AGGAGGAGATGATACCCAATTAGAGTGATCTCTTACCAATTAGACTTGTGTAAATAATCCTTTTAAACCTGATAAAACTTGAATGAATATATCTTTAGCAGATATATTATTGACATAGATCTGTATACACCTTATAAATAAAGTCTGTAGCTTCAGTGAACATTGGAAAACACTGTAAGATAACTGTGATATTATTTTAATAATCTACCTTATTAAAAGATGTTAGAAACCTCCCAAATATCATAAAATATTATCTCAACATACTAGTCCAATATATTGAACAAAGAAACAATTAAAATATTTAGTATTTTAGGCTAGAATGCCAAATTCTTTATGCAGTAACAGTTTAAATAGCTATTACAGCTCAGAAAAGCCTCTGATTATTATCACAATCATATCTCAAACTTTTATAACAAGTACATATATAACAAACTGAGATACAAACTTGAATTTGTTGAATTGAATCTTGATGAGGTGTGATATGTCACAGCTTATTCAGCTTGATAGGCTGTGATATATCACACTTCATCAAGCTGGATGGGCTCTTGGTCACATGATCCTATCGAGCAGAGTTTTTTGTCACAAAATTTACTTGAAAATAAAGAATACAGCTAGATATTCAGTATATAAACATGCATATAAGAATGTATATGCTTTCCTAACACTATTAGTACCCATATAGCATCTGTATGGTCCAAAAATAATTGGACCTGCTGATGGTACAGATACAGTTGTCTGAATCTTAGGTTTTGCAGTAGGTAGACTACACTGTGCAATTGAGTTCAGCTGAAATTGAGATCCATTGTGCATAAATTCTGGATTGTGTGGTCAATGCCAATTTGGTACATGTCTGATACCAAATCCACCCAAGGACAATAATCAAATCTAGGCCAAGTTGGGCTGTCCAAGTCAAATCTATATATTAAGAGAGGTTGATGATGACATAATAGGCAGACTTTGAATTTTCTGGCCATTGCCACCCATGGTGCATTCCGGCTGAGTTTGAATGTTGCTGCATTGCCAGGTTGCACCCAGGTTATGATAGCACAATAGCGATGAGAGAGCAGGCAAGTAAGATGAGTACATGAGTATATTACTGAGATGTTCCAGTCTATAAATGAATATGTATCAGCATAATTCCAACACAACTGCCAATCTTTCTTTGTAACTACTCCTCATGGTAATGGCTTAAATATTTTATTTATCAGTGTCTCTGACAATCTGGGCTTAAGATGGAGGGAAGGGTTGCAACAGTTATTCAAGCTGTCATCAATAATTTGGGACATACAAGGTACCATTATGGATACAACCATGACAATATGGCTGTAAGCTATCTAAAAATATCTCTTATGAACTTACAAATATGCACTGTATTATTAGAGATATGCACTATATCCGGTCTGTACTATGGTGGCTATGTACAGCATATATAGATATGAGTCCACACCATTGGGAGCATAGGCAAGAGGGGATTAAGGCAGATTCAGATTGGAGCATGTGGTGGTTTAGGGCAGATAGATATAGCTTTTCTCATTTTCAATGTTCATAGCCAGGTATTTCATCATTGATGCATTCTATCTCTAAGACTCTGTGAGGGGCTCCACCATGACCATCTTTGAGGATGCAAAACATGGATGCTGCCAGAGTCAGATCTATAATATGATACAGATTTGGCCTCAGCCATACCGTATCATAGGTAAGGCTTTTTGTATAGTCTACAGCTGTATCTGTAATGGTATGGTGCACATCCTTATGCATCTTACTATGATGGAGTTTCACAGCCACCAGCCACTGTCTTTTATTTTACATTATTTAGACCCTTATTTATCTTACTGATTGTTACTGTAAAATTTTGGCTTCTTACTGCCATCTTCCTGAGTATCATACCATGGAATACATGTCATTCAAGCCACATCACCATGTTCTCTCTGACCGCTACACTTAAAATCCCAACAAAACAGCTGATATAGATACAGATACATAGAACTCAGCTCATGTATACATTGGAAATTGGAATATATTTTGTTTGAGCCTCAACTTATCACCATGTTTATATCCCCTGATAACATCTATTTTCAACTGCTCAGAGTCTCTTAAAAAAGATTTTACTCCACCAATGTCCCAAGTAAACAACCGGATTTGGGGCAGACCCCAACAAGCTGAAAACCTGTATCATAGTCAGGTTGCTGGGACCTGAGGTACAAGGGTCCAGCAATTGTGATGAAGACATGGGTTGGAGGCTTGTTGACCTGAATACATGTTAATACCAATGTGGTCTGACAGCAAGGGCAATTTTACATCATGTCTCAGTGGAAATGCACCTTAATTACCACCAATTTTGAGAGTGTACATGTGCCCCAGCTAGTTCATATTTTGGGTGGGTCTTCCTCAGTTTCAATTTTGTTGTGATCCAAATGATAAATCCACTCAGTGGCACTCCCCATCTTTCAAACATTACATTCAACTTCCAACAATATATACAACAAATATATAAAAGTGATATAATATATTGCAGTCTTCCTTCTCTTCTTGTTGCTTGATCCTTAGTGTCACCTTCCATTCCCTTGTGCTTTTCCCCTGCTCAGTCTTCTTCAGTGAATTCAGGGCTTTGTGACTCACCCTACACCACTAAAGCCACTTGAGTTCACTGTGATCTGGAGGTTTGATGAAGGAATAAGATGGACTGTAAGCATAGAATTAGGGTAGATTTAACCTTGGTTAAAATCTAATTTCTCATGTGGTGTTGATATCCCTTTGGAGCCCAAATTGGCTTGGCCTCAATGTCCACCAGCTCTATGCCAATTCCACAGATACTGTATGATTTTGACAAGATTTCAACTGTTAATTCATATAATATGTAACAGGGACCAATGAAGCAGAGCTCCTGGTAATGTGTAATGCATAACAGAGCTTTGTGAAGCTATCATATCTTGATGACCAAACAGCCCAATTTCCTTGCATAAATCCAAAAATTTTGCCTCCTACATGTATTATTCTGATACCAAAGGTATATACAATGAAAGATCTACGTCTTCCATATCTTTAAAGCCTCAAGCTACTTTGAGGGCTTCTGTATTCTACCAAACCTGCTGACTGATGGCTCAGTGGAGATACATGTGTCACTCTTAGGCTTGGTAGTGTCTATTGACTCAAACCATAATCCATATGCTTCCATCTCCTCTACTGCCATCACATGAACAAGGCCTTCATCGCTGATTCCAAATCTGGTTTAAGTATTAGACAAACTCAAACCAATGGCCATAATAATATTAAGAGGTATATCATTGCCATCTGCAGATCAAAAAGCACTCACCCGAGCCAAAGGCAAATAAACACCTCACAAGTCCGTTGCTATACTCCACACACAACACCAACATGCCCAAGCTTGGAAAATAGAGTACTGAATGGAGAGATCAGATGCAAGAGGGAGGAGGAAGCCTGAGCATTGGCCCCACCACTGCATCTTAGTAGATAGTTTACTTGTTGCAGTTAATTAAATGCAGGGTCCAAAAAAAATAAAAAATAAAAAGAGGTATATCATCATCATAATTTGACATGATGACCAATGTTTTCCATATGAGATCCAGTCAGAGGTGTGAAATGCAGACATTTTGCAGTAGAAACAGAATTTAGATTCAGAAAAAAGGAGAATTTTTATTTGCTAATCACAATCTAATCTGATACACATTGGGTGGTGAAATTTCAAATGAAGCTAAATTCATAAACCATAACATGTAACTTAACCATATGAAGCTATGGCCCAGACACTATCAAGCATAACACATAACACCCTATGAAGCTATGGTTGAAATTAAACAGTAGTACATTATCTATTTATTCTAGGACATTCTACATAGTCTAGTAGTATAAAAATGATGTACCTAGTGATGTGATTTGTTGAATCCAAGCCCTTGAGGGTGCCTCACATGCTGTCATGCTGTCTTCTTGCTCATCATTGCAATGATCCATCTGTTGGACATTGCAACTCCCAGTTTATTTTCATGCTTTAGTCAGTACTTACCTCTCCTCATTTTCTTGGACTTTACAGTAGTATATATACCTTATATTTTGTACCTGCCACCTCAGCTTGTTGCTCTATACTGACAGAGAAGGCTGAGCATAGCACATATTCTTACATGATTTTCATGAATATTAGTTCCTTCTTGTGCTTACCTATGAACCAAAAGTTCTTACACAGCTCTAATTCCAGCATAGCAGTGTCTTATTAGACATGACAACTATATTTAAATATACAAAAAGCTATTTTAAAATAGTAATATTGAATAAATATAATATATATATATCTATATAAAGTAATATAAAGGTATCCAGGGTATTAAGGCACTGATTACATTTGAAATTGAGCATACCAGTCTTGTATTCCATACCTTAGTATGTTCTATTGTCCATCAGCTATTTAACTTGTGATTTGCCATAGTGCCAACTAAATATTTTCTCTATGCTAACATGGCTTCTACTGAAGACACTGCCAACATTGTTGAGGGCAAGCAGAAGCGCCAACAGACTGAACGCAGCAAGGCTAGCGAAATCCAAGCTGTTGACAGTTCTGATGGCGAATCCACTGCCCCATCAACATTGCGTGCCAAAAAGAAGTCCAGGGTTGCAGCCAGCGCAAAGAAGCTGGTCCAAAAAGCTGTCCGCAAACTCACTCCTCAGAAGTCTTCAGCTTCGCAGCCATCTGCTCGGTCTGAACCTTCTGCTTCTGCCATGGGTTCTCCTGACCCCCCCAGCATCGAGCGACTGGCACCTAACAACAAAAACACAAGTGAGTTATATTACATGAGCTAATACTTGGGGACTAAATACCATTCAGGTTCCTCAGCTTCAGTTAAAATGGTCGATCTTCCCAATTTGATTGAAGTCAGCGATAGCAATGATGAGGAAGATACTCCATCTGTCACTGAGACAGGCTTGCCTGAGGATGATGATGATGCAAAGCTTGGTATGGCATAAAGCTTCAACTGTGTTTATCAGTACTGATGGAAAACACAGCACATGCTATAGCAACATGGAATGCACCAGTTTACGCTTTCTACTCTCCCGTCCCAAGCATTGAGTACCGCGAGGGCTGCAAGTGCTACATGTGAACATGCTTGGCAAAGAGGTGTGGTCATCAGGTTAACCATTTCCTTGATACTTCGGATTCTTCTTCAACAAAGAATTTATGCAATCATGTCAAGAAGTGTTGGGGCGAGGATGTCTTGAAGGCTGCAGATGTGGTCAAGCATCTTTGTGATGTGAAGAGGATTGTACAGACTCACCATGAATCAGCTCAAAATGGATCAATCACTCAGGCCTTTGCACGTGTTGAGGGCAAGGGTAGGATCATGTATTCTCATCGTCAGCATACTAAACCTGAAGCATGGTGAGTGAACAGTATATCCTATATCAAGCATAGAAATGCTTACCATCAACCGCTGTAGAGCCAAGTTTTTTTGCTGGATCTCTGAAAGCCTTCATCCGTTTGCAATAGCAAAAGACTGGGGGTTCAATTGTTTGATGAAAACTGGCTATCCCGAGTGCTATATCCCCCACCCATCAACCATCTCACGAGACGTTAAAACTGTGTTTGCGAAGTCACGCAATCGCATTGCTGATCTTCTACATGTGAGTGTCATTAATACTACAGAACATCAAAATACTTAACCCAACGTACCAAGAAATATCCAGGCTGTCTGAATTTTGCGACTGATGCCTGGACATCACCAAACCACTGTCCATACATTGCTGTGACAGTCCATTTTGAGTATAAGGGTAAACCTATAAGTTTGTTGTTAGATTTCGTAGAGGTTGCCAAGGTATGACCAACTACTTGCCATGCCAGCCAGACTAACAAAGTACTCATAGTCCCATACTGGTGCCAACCTGGCAGAGGCATTTGAGCAGATGCTGGATGAGTTCGGTATTAGTGAAAAGGTATATATTTCACTAAGGATGAATAGAAGCTTACCTGATCTGAAAACATAGATCCTAAGCATAACGTGCGACAATGCGACCAACAATGATACCACGATAGATATCCTTGCTGAAAGCATTCCTGCATTTCCTGGGGAAAAACACCAAACCTGATGCTTCACCCATGTTGTCAATCTCATTGTGAAGAGCCTCTTAAACCAGTTCGAGCCTCCCAAAAAGAAGAAAGAGGATGCCACTAATGACATTGAGCATGACCTCATTGAACTAGCTGAAGGTTTGGAGCAAGAAGACTTGAATGTATGTCTGGAGGAGGCAGAGGGAGCAGCAGGGAACGTTGAGAAGGATGATACTGATGGGTTGGTCGATGAGATTGCCTTGCTGAGCATGGAGGACCGAGAGAGATGGGAGGCTGAGACTCGTTCTGTTCAAATGGCATTAATTAAGGCATGTACTTAGAGGCCAATCTGATGCACCATATCTGATCTCCCCACCCAGATTCGTAAATTATCCTTTAAAATCATTCACTCCAGCACCATACTACTCCCCGAGTGGAAGAAAATCATTGCTGAGTTGAAGCTAGCTCAAAAAATGCTCCCATGCGATGTTTCGACTCATTGGAATTCAACGTTTGATATGCTTGATGCAGCGTTGGCATACAAGTCAGCAATAAAAGAGCTGACGGGGGATGACAATTATGGAGTGAGCAACTATGAGCTGACGAGAACAGAGTGGACAGTCCTGGAGAATCTCTGTGATGTGTTGAAAGTGAGTTGGATGTCACACTGTGACCAATATCACGTCTCTGACTCACCTAGGTACTGCCAGGTCCTAAAGGATGCTACACTCTACTTCTCTCATTCAACACCCAATTTAGCAACTGTGATACCAGCAATGGATCACATTGATCAAGTCTTCGCAATGGCATCAATTCAAAATGTGGATCTAGTGCCACCAATACGAGCAAGCCTTCTCATCGCGAAGAAGACTTTGAACTGGTACTACAGTCTGACTGATGCATCGGATCTCTATCACATAGCTATGAGTGAGTTATTATTTCTCATTGCCATCCTCTGTATTACTGACAGGTTATCTTAGTTCTGCATCCTTGTTATAAGCTCGACTACTTTGTCGATGCTAACTGGGAGGCTAGCTGGATCACAGATGCATGCAAGGTCATACAGGATGAATTTGATCGCAAGTACAAGAATCTAATGGACAATGTCATCGTTGTGGAGGATGGTGCCGAAGATGGTACACAGGTATGTACTCTCTTCATAACATTTTATGCTAGCTGATGTGGGGCTGTAGGCAGTCCCTTCAGACAACATTTTTGATAACCTGAACAATACGAAGAGGCCAAAATGCACTGATGTATGCGACGACTTGGAGTGTTACCTCTCTGTTGAGACTGAGCTTACTGATAACCCGCTGATGTGGTGGAAAGAGAAGGAGAGCATGTATCCCTGCCTCTCGAGAATGGCATTGGATTACCTCTCCATACCTGGTATGCAGTGTAAATTGTTCTGACTTACGAGTTATTCATGCATTTCTATAGCTACTTCTGTAGATGTTGAGCATACATTCAGTCGTGGATGTTTGCTCATGTCCCATATTTGTAACAAGCTTACCACTCAGACGTTGTGTGCCCTAATGTGCTTAGGTCAGTGGAGTGTCTATGGATTTGTGCATGATAGTGATATCCAGGATGTCTCTAATCTGCCAGAGTTATCGGATGCTGATTGCAAAGATGACAATTTCTTGATGCCTGAAGGATGGGATAAAATACAGTAGGTAGTTCAGTACGAAAAGATTAGAAAATGATCATACTCTTAGCGGGTTACCTGTCAACCCTTCTCACCCTGCATGTACCTGTCTGACCCATATAAAAGATGTACCCATGGTGAGGGTAGGGTGATTAACGGGTAAGGGTATGGGTCACCTCTGGTAAACCCGGGGGACACCCGTGCTATTCACTAAGATTCGGAGTTGGATCGGAAATTGAAACAAACTTAGCAATTCTTTTGATGCTGATTGCCTCCCTGGCTTGACACCCACCAGCCATTTGCAATTGCCATACACAAATTTCTTTTGTGAGGTATCCCAGAGATATCTATTGAATTTTTCATTTACTCTGTATCATAAGAATGGATTTTTATGTGACCTTGAACACCTGCCACATCGCTCCCATTCATTATGATTTATATATCTATGGAGGTGTGCACTTGGCTTTATGTATATCTTGTTTGGCTATGGAGGCTGGGCTTGGAACTACAGATTGCTACAGAGCCGTATGGTAGGTAACAGGTGGAGCAACGTAAGGTACCGATCATCAATATGATATAGACAAATTGTGGTCAGGTACGTAGTATTTCAGTTTTTCCTGATTGAGAAGTGGGTTTTTGAATAGAGAATCGTAGTTTGAGATCAGTACAGTCTCTGAAGATAAGAAGATAAGCATACATGATCGACGTCGAAAGGAAGTCAGTGTACCTATATGGAGGCGGCGGTCATTATCACATGCGAAAGGGAGGTGGGGCGTATTCTCCTCGTGTGCATTTACCCAGCATACCCGCCAACTACCGCTTGGGTCCATGATCCATGTGCATGTATGTTCACATACCCCTCAATCATACCCACTCGCTCTTTGACCGTCGTATCACTACATCCCACCAAAGCAGGCACTGAGCACTGAAGCCGAAGCATTGATGTTGTGCCAGAATTGGAGACACCTTCTGAGTAGAGGGATAAATGTATGACATCCGTCACCAATTTCGGTTTCCCTGGGATTGTAGAGTGTCAAGTTGACGGAAGCGTCTTCAAGTTCGCTTTCCATTCAGGGACGACTCTCATATATCTCCTCGGTCGCATCCTAGCAAAGTATGTCGACGGCCGTATAGACCATGTCTACAGCCATATCCACAATCGTTCATGCGCATGACTATGTTGAGGGCGTGATACGTGAAGCGCTGCGACAGGGTCGATGTCGAGCTTGTGACAGGGAAGGAGGCGAAGGTAGGGTTGCTCGTGTCAATGTCGAGAATAAGGGATAGACTAGGGTAAAGGAAAAGCAGTCCTCGACACCATTCCTTCAACTATGGTGGCTTCATGTCCCCACGAACCATTCGCGCTAGGTATCGTCACTTGATGCAACTCGACGTCTCAGCCAGATGAGTCTGTCCACGCCGTCTCCAAAGGCTAACCACTGCTGCCTTCCCTTTTGCCACGATCCATGATGAACGGAGACTCGCTGGCACCTGCGCAGGAAAGGAGGTCCAAGGGATTTCCAATTAATTATTCGGTTTTCGTTGAGCAGAACGGCCGTGAAACTCGCCCATGTTTGCAGCAGTACTCAGATGCTGGTAGATTCATCAGTCTGCGGGGCTTCCTTCAAATCACTCCACCTCTCACCTTCTCTCTCTCCCATACCCACGCCCCGCCTTCGCCTTCGGTGTTGCTGAGTCTGTTGCCATTGGTGAACCGTGTCCTCATTTTCGATGGAAGGGGTACCACAGCACCGGCCTGTATAGAGACTCTTGATATCAGCAAACTAAGGAGTCTCCATTTTGGGAAAAGAGGGTAGATTTCTGGTCAAACGATGGAGGGTGGAAAGAGAGGTCGGGAGAGAAGTGTGATTCAGACACATGCGGCGCGTTTAGGGTTCCCACGGCTCGCTTCGTTTTCCCTTTCTCAACTGTCCTGGCTAGACAAGTCGTTCGTTGTCTTCTCCAGCAGTTTAGTCACGCGTCCCAAGGACACGCAACGATATCGAACTCGGAAAGGCTCTGACAGTGATTAGGGCCCGTCTCACAAGATGAGATGTAGGGACTGAAGAATCGCTTTCAAATGCCGTGGGCGATGAACAACGATATGGAAGGGTCATCGAACTCGGACAGGCTCTGAATAGGGCCGTCTCACAGGACGAGATTATAGGGGTCAAAGAATCAAGATTTGAAAGAGATGGGAGGGGAATGAGCATGTTCCAGATGAACAAGAAAGGGGAGCAAAAGATGGATGAGTTCCCTCCCGCTCGGAGAAGATTTTTGGAATGCCAAGAGAGGTGCGGAAACCGTTACGCGTTCCAGAGATGCGAGGGTTTGGAGGAAATAGGAAGATGAAGGCAGGGTTCGCGATACCGACATGGTGGGATAACGGCTCGTCGTTGTGAGCCCTTTAATTTACATTCCTTGTTCTTTTTCCAGCATACGCAGGGCGGGTCGTCTCGGCGGTTGTTAACGCTAGCAGACTATGCTGCATTTTCAGCGTCTGCGTTTGGAATTAGTCCCCGTTCAACGCGTCATCGATGCATCTTCGGTTAATGTCATCACCTCTTCCCAACATCCCGCAACCACGGACGTTTGAGTGAACGAGCTTTGATTCACCAGGCACTCGTCACCATTCGTGAAGCTCGTCCTGCAAGAAGTCCCGCGATTTGATAGGCAACTACGGCGAGAATCATGGTGGCGAATTGACGACACGGGAAACAGACAATGTGATCAAAGAGCTCGATGGATTTTTTTAATAGTCTGATTTCTCTGTACTGGTACTTGTAGGCGAATATCCAGATACTTCTGCAGTTACGGGAGGAAGAAGGGAGATATTATTTTCAACTTGAAGTAAGACGAGAAAGAGGGGTACCCGTCCGTACACCACCACCGCGGACATCTAAACACCCCAGCGCTAAATTGCATCTGTAGTCAAGTCCGTGATCGTACATGAGGCGCAAGTTTGGACGCGTTGTGGCTAGGATAGACACCGATATGCGAGAGGGATGAAGGGGGACGTGGAGGTGATGGAAGGAGAAGGGGAGAGTCGTCGGCGTGTTGTGCAAGGAAGAGGACTGACTCATCCCATCGGAGCGTGCACCACTGATTCTGAAATCTAGACCGTGTGGATTTTGAGCGTAGGGTATCTCTTCTTCTTCTTCGTCGTCGGTGGTCGCTCAACTGAGGCCGGTGGTCCTATAAAACGCATCTATAGTCATATAGACAAGCGTTCAGGGCTTTATTGAGGATCGACATCGAGCCCATGAGATGGAAGGAGGCGAAGGGATTCAAGGGAGTGTCCTTCGCACCAATTTTGAAGATAGGTCAATCCACCAGCGCGGCGGCACGATGAAGGAACGCCTGCTTGGATTGATGATAGTTGCTTTCATAGCTGTCTGCTTATAATAATACGTCCTTGGATGAAACAGATGAGCTTCGTTGTGACAACGTTTAATAATGAGGCTACCATAGGAGAAGGCATGTTCAACGTTCGACAAGGACCTACTTGTCTATCCGAGAGGTTGAAGGTGAGGTCGTCCACCTGCAAACTCGGGTAGCCTACCATCGCAGCCACGGAGAAAAGAGTCGCATCAAGTTGACAAGGAAAGCGAGGCGTGGGAACTGTGAACGCGTCGTATGCACCCCTGAATCACGCTTCTCTTCCGAGCATCTTTCTACCCTCGACGACTATTCTCCCTCGTCTCCTCCCCTCGCACAGTACGCCCCACCGCTGACCCAGATAATCCACCCTCTTCGACCAGCGGATTTCCGAACTGGAGGCTTTACTCGTCCTTCCTTCGTTTGCCGATATCAAGAGTCCCTGTACAGGCCGGTGCTGTGGTGCCATTTCTATCGAAAACGAGGACCGTATAGCATGACGCGCAGGCTCAGAAACAACGAGTGTAAAGCTTCTCCGAAGGTGTTGCGCGGGTATGGGGTGAGATGTGGAATGGTCACCGTTAATGGATTGATCAGAAACCACCAGCAGCTGAATCCCTCGGACCTCTTCTCCTGGTCGTGGAAAAATGGGAGGTGGCGGTGGATAGGCAACGACCAGGTTGAAAAGACCCGCCTCTTCAGCTCCATCGCGTTTCTCGTTTCTCTATAGACATGTCTCCGGATCCAAGTTTTTTCTCAACTCGCACTCCCAATGCAAGCCGACTCTTCCATGTACCTCATGCTCTGTCAAGGTCGTGCTGAAATTCATTCTACGCGTACCAAGAACAATTTCATTTGTCGTTGCTCAAATGGTGTGTTCATCACGTTAAACAAAGATCGTCCATTCCATCCAAGGGCGTTTAAGATAGACCGGCCCATCATCATCATACGCGCGCTACCTGACTATCAAGTAAAGTCGCTTGAACCTGTGCAAGAGAGGAGGGGTTCTCAGTACTCAGTCGTGTTGGCGAATTGGTCCCCCCTCACACCCTCCCTTCGCTCATTACCCACTCACAAACTCGACCTCAATCTGGGTGCCCTCGATGTGTCATCGACATCTACCCCTTTCTGCGCTCAAAATTCACACTGTCGAGATTTCAGAATCACAACACCCCATCCCACCCCTCGCCTCGACACTCTCACGTTTGACACGGCCGACTCTCCCCTTCTCCTTCCGTCGCCTCCACCCCTCTCGCATGTCGGCGTCTATCGTGGCCGCAATGCGCCCAAAATTACGCGATTTGGTTGGATTCATATTTGAGGACTTTGACCGCCGAGAGAGAGGAGATATAGCTGATGGGAGAGTGACGATGAAAGCGGCCGTTCGCGTGTGCGCAATTCCCGAGCATATCATCCATGGGAGTGGATCCATCGGCAGGACTCGGCGGTGCGTGGATACTCTTCCCCGACGACCGTGTAGCTCGACAGTCAGGCCGTCGGACAGGACTCGGATAGAAGAGACGAAGAAGGAAGGATGTTGGAGTACATGCCAAAGGAGGAGGAAGCGACTAGGACTCACCAGATGATCCTGACTCGGATAACAGACCAAAGAAAGGTGCGAAGATCGGCTCAGTTTGTTTCACTACCGTGTATCTCATGCAGTGCTGAATGTAGAGGGAACGATTCTGACCGAAAAGGAATCCGGAATGCGAACAGTTCGTGGGTACATGACGCGACCTTGATTGAAGAGATGGTGTCAATGTCCTTCTATCTTTCGTGAGCTTGCTCCCTCGTAAACAACTTGATTGACGATTGATCTAATTGCTTAGGATGATAAAGGCGACTACGGTTGTGGTGGCAAGCTACCCCAGTTTTCAAGTGGATTGCCTCACCTTCTCCAGGTCGCCAGTCACTCCCTCTCCGACGTACAGGCAAACATAGCTCAATCATACACCCCTCACTCTGCGTCTTGCCTTCCCTCTCAGTCAATGTTCACGTCCGTACTCTCAACAGTCGTAAACGTGATGGTAGATGTGGTTTATAGAGACGGTGGCCCCCGATTACATGCCCTGCTGGAACGCAACCAAGAGATGCATACGAGGGCCTTGTCCACCTCAGTCTGCTCCTCTCCTCTCCTCAGCGTCTTATCAGCACCCTCCTGCACTCAAATTCACGCCATCGAGATTTCAGAACTAGCCGTGCACGCTTCACCTAATAGAATGCCTGATGCATGTCGCTTCTCCCTCCAAGTTGATCCCGCGCGACACTCTTCCAAATTACCCCCCTCTCTCATTTGATCGCGGATGACTCTTCTTCTCCTTCCATCGCTACCGTCACCGCCACTCCCTCCATCCCTCTCGGATATCACGTCTATCCTAGCCCGATGCTACGGTGATTTGCGATTGGAGATGCGACCGTCGATACGGTTTAGGGGGTGGGGGGAAGGTTCATGACGGAAGCGGGCATATTGACGCTTGCATGTGCGTGCAACCTCCGAGCATATGGTCATGGGAGTGGATCATCGATGGTAGTTGAGACCGGGGGGATTGAGCATGCCAAAGGGAACAAGGTTGAGTGGAAGGAAATCTGCTACCGTCTTATGTCTATAAGCGATAATCTCTTGAGCTGTTTCGCAACGTCACAGCAGGAACAGCCCGGATAAAAAATACGATCCGGAGTTACAACAGTGTGGGGAGTACGTCAAGGATAAAGAAATCACCTACGTCGTCGACTATCCCAGATAACCTCAACTCGAACCAAATAATTGACCGCGAGGGTGGGTGCAGTGTAGTAGAATCTCAGGCTGCACCGCATGATTTCGTTCTTCCTAGTATGCGGAGATCTCCTACGCGTGCACTGCTAAGCACGAATATTGGAATTGCCTGCTTCTTGAAACGCATGTTGGAACCGTCATCAGCACGTCGACAGGTAGGCAAGGGTCCTGGTATTCTGCCGTCAAGTGCACGAAACCACAAGCGGAAATTCGCATTTGCTTTGTACCATAACCATACCATATCCAACAACCTTTACGCATGACACCCCATGACGCCTCTTTCTCCCGATGACAACGAATACTCAGATTCTTCCGTATATGCTTCTACTTCCAAGCCTCGAGTTGGACAGATCCTGCCCTTCTCTCCGATTCCGGCATAATAACGGGTCATTCTGCTTGCTATCACTTTCAATCATCAACTGCGCTGCATCTTCATGTCCTCATTCATGCGTACAGTTTTGAAGAGAATGGGGATTCTTATAGTCGTGGTATGAGGAACATGTGGCCAGGCCATACCGAACAGGACTCGGAGAATTGAGATGTCGAAAGTTGAAGGTTGAAGGAATGCAAGAGGGAGGAAACACAGATGTGAGCAAGATAAATGGGCTATCCGAGCGGAAGAGTCGCAGAAAAGGAGCAGAATGAAGTCACCACCGCTAACCCACGTTTTGTAAGTCTGTAATGCCTCTTCATCAACTTTATCACTGAGTATCTCGAAGGTGATCCTATTGGTATTACCTGATATTCGACTCTCAGAAACGTCAGATCTTGCAGAAGGGCTATGCTGCCAGCATCTTCACTTCTCAGATTGGCGCTTGTTCTACGTGACATCGCGAATAGTCTGATACTCTTGTCAATTCCAACGTCTCCCTCGTTCCCATAATCACGGATCACGCAATGGTCTTCTTCTCAAGGTTGATTCTGTGAAGAATGACGGGGGATGGAGAGACGGCTGCAACACCGATCTGACAGTATCTGTGGTATATTACTCTCGCAACGTATGATCTTTCGTTCCCAATACACTGCCCGGGTGGAGAGCTGCAGTAAGCTCCTTGAGAGAGGTGATCTCTTCACCAGGCACCGCGTTAGATTGTTCAGTCTTGACTCTTTTTAACGTTGACTTGTGAGGGTGGGTGGTTCGGGTCGAAAAAGACGACATAGGATACGCGACCGATTTCCACGGTGGATTTCCTAGGCTGCTTTTATCGACTACCTTCATACCCCTGTGCTTGCCTACCATCCCCAGCCGGCGTCTTCGTGGCATGCCCTGACAGCATCTCTCGATGACATTGTAGGCCAGCGGAGCACACAATCAGTGCTAGCGAGTGATCAGCTGTAGATGGCATGGCGAGAGATTTGCGAGGTGGCCTTGGAGAGAAGATACGCGGGTGGGATCTGAAGCTTGAGTAGGAATGTCGTTGAAGTATTGCTCTATCCGAATAGTGCCTCCCTGCCATGGACGTCGTGGTCTAGGCTGACGTGGCAGAGAGGAAATTCGCGATTTGGCGGCTCCGATGAATTCATGACTTCTACCTCTTCACGACACTCTGTTGGGATAGTACAGAAATAAGGCGAATGTGGGTTTGCGTCTTTACGAGCATCCCTGTCGGGCTCGAATTATTCGTGTTCGTCCCCTAATTCCTCCTGTCAGCTATGCATCGTAGTATCCTTCTGCTTACTATGATCAAGTTATGGACTGACGGTCCCGATATGTGTATCTAATTTATCTCATTACGGCACGGTTCCATCAGGCACGCAGAACGGAAAGTCACTTCAGCTCCAAAGCCGAACTCAAGACCAAACAATACAATTCCTATACATACTAACCGCCACGGTAGATCGGGACAGCATAAAAGATTGTCAGAACGGAAAACGTGGTCTTCAGCATCTCTTCCTTAATGTATTTGCCATTCTAGCATGGCATGCTCTGGCGACTCCGCAAGCCTGCCCTTTGTGTCTCCACCACGGTCTTCCAAACACTCTTCAACGAACGTTCTCTGTTGCGAGCATGTAACTGTGGCAGGATCCTTGTAAGGGCTTTGATGCGCCGGGTCCTTGATCTTCGCGGGTCGGTACGGCACAGCGGTCCAAAGGAGTAATTGAAACATGATCGTCGCGTTAGCAGTAGCATTTCAACCACATACATGACTGTTTGGATACGCACTGGGGGATTACTGAGGGCTACGATTCTTGGGCTATCTATTTTTTCCCGGTCCCTTACGACTACATGAAACCGCTAAATCTGATCGTTATCACCCATTTGTTGCCGCAACCAATCTTCCTCGGATATCTTGTTCCATCTTCTAGTCTCAATTTGAAGTTTCTAGTGACATTCCGTTCTAGTTATCGGCATAGTACAGACGACAATTTCAGCTGGTTCACAAGGTCCGTATTCGTCGAGCCTTTTGTGAATACTTAAGTTTTTGTTTAGAGAGCATGAAGGTTATGACGGTTACCAGAATATGCCAAAGCTCTGCCCCGGACGTTGAAGAACCCGGGAAGGTAACCAATTTTGTGCATGGGGGTACTGGAGAGAAATTTTTCTTAGCCGAAATGAGTCGTGACTCGGTTAGCCAAGCGGCCCTGCTTAGGGCTAACAAATCGCTTTCACGCCGCTATCTCTCCACCACCGTCCTCCTTTCAACAACTATTCGACAATATGTCGACTGAGAGACCATGGACCTCGGTTTCGGAGCACGACCCACCCATCGCACGTGAAGACGCAGAAGCCAAAGAACAGGGAAATAAAAAAGTTGGGGGGCGAGAGAAGGGATCGGGTGAGCAGGAGATGGAGGCGCAGGGCAGAGAAGGAGTGCAGGAGCAGGAAGAAGTCCAAGTCACGGCTCCACCGATTTCTGCTAATACAGCCAATGTGCCTACGCTTTCTGGGGGGAAGAGGTCAAATCCTACTGTCAAGAAAGGTGCGAAAACCACATCCTCTGCTGTCATGTAATTCATGAATCGCTGAATAGAACATGATTCGTACGACTACGAAGAAAAATACCCTGAGGATGCTCCCTACGCAGAGGCGGCACCGACTGCGAGAGTTTGGAGTACGTACGTCGATGAAAGCAAGATCCATGATGCCAACATGGTGGAAGAAGCCCGGGACAGTGTCGACGTGCTGCTCGTTTTCGTGAGTCTTTACTTCTTTCTCTTTGACTCCTTTGCTGAACATGTCGAAGGCGGGTCTCTTCTCTGCGGTCGTCACCGCGTTTGTTGTTCAAACGTCACAAAACCTACAAGCCGACTATGCTGCCATTTCAGCGTCCCTACTCTATGAGTCGGTCCTCATTCAACGTGCCATTGCCAACGGTTCCTCGGTCAGCGCCATTGCCTCATCCACCATGGACCCTAGCACCGCCTTCGTTCCTGCTACCATCGACGTTTGGGTGAATGGGCTTTGGTTTACCAGCCTGTTCCTCAGCCTGACGACTGCACTCATCGCTGTCCTTGTCAAACAATGGCTTCACCATTACGTCGCCCTGCCGTCTGGCACACCGCGTAACCGCAGTTTTACCCGTCAGTTCCGGTATTCGGGCATTCAAAAGTGGCATGTCCAGGTCATTATAGGCCTCCTTCCTGCCCTTATGCACCTTGCTCTTGCAATATTTTTTGTCGGCTTAGCGGTTTTCTTGCATCCTCTTCGGGAAATTCTATCATGGGTCATTTGTGGAGGAACAATCCTGGTCTATGGGGCGTATATGGTGGCAGCTGTCCTTCCTATTCTCTGCCCTCAGTGCCCTTACCGTACGCCTCTCTGTTGCCTCATCTATGTCGCTTTTCGTTATGTTGTACCAGAAGTCTCTTGGTCACTTTGGAGAAGAGATGCTTTCGTGGATGCATTGAGTCGACTAAGTGCTAGTGAGATGTTTCGCTATCTTCCCCGTGTGCAAACGAGGAACACGAAGTCTCTGGAAATGATAGAGTCGGAGTCGGTGCAGCAGATGTCGACTGAGTTGGCAGCCAAAGCATTAAATTGGCTTTTTTCTGTCTCTTCAAATCCAACGGTCCAAAGCATTGTCATTCAGACTATTGGAGGGCTTCCGTTGGCATCAGAACGAGAGTTTTTCAAACTCAAGTCATATGCAGATCGCAAAGCAATGGAGGATATGCAGAGAGCTTTACTTCGAAGTTGTTTACAGCCAGATGGGGAGGATCCTCAGTATGACCGACCGATCCCAGGCATGGAACTCAAAGTTGGACGTCTCCTTCGTTTCGATGCTCATTTCAATGATGCATTTACGTTGGATCGTTATATTGTCGTGCCTGATTCCGAGTCGATCGAGCTTATGGCTACAATCAAATTCTCGTATCGTGGGCACGATAGACCTGTTGGCTTCTCTACTCAGGCTGCATTTTTCAAAGATCTTATATGCACAAAGTCTTCCTTGACATTGCCACTACCCCGTTGGTCTTATCTTGTGGGGTGCGCCGAGCGTGGGGGTGTTTTCAGTCCCCTGAATCCTGAAAACAATGATCCTACGGATTCCTTTCCTGTTGATCTATGTTCTGCTCTCTTAAATTCATTTGGAAAATCAATGAAGCACCCAATCCAGGATTTTTCGTCGCCGGTAGTCTTTGGATTCAAGGATGCTGTACCCTATATCCATGAAGCCATCTACGACAGTACTCTTCACATGCTTTACGGGTTCATCCTTCATCCATTCTTGCGTCACCTTTATGCATCATTATCTAAACCTATGAAGATCCTTGTAGTGGTTGTCGAATTTTTGCTTTACAGACTTACTCTTTTTGGGTCCGATCCATCTCATACCAACATTTGTGATTTGTTAATCACTGCAGTCAAGCAACTCAACGACGAAACCTTCTCGTTCCAGGAAGCTACTGCTGTCATAACGGTACTCGAGGGTGTACTTCCCACTTGCTTCATTCAGGAACAGGTTCCACCCCATACAGAAATAACACGGAATGAACTGTGCTACAATACTATCCTCGCCTATCAGCATTCCACCACTATCTCGCCATCAGCTTGTTCTCCACATGGTCTTCGAATGATGGTTGATGTCATGACAGCCAGCTGGGAGCGCGAAAGCGATTACCAATGGTACCAATCTGACATTCCATGTCGCGTTTTGGCTCACCTCTTCGCAAACCACATTCCTGCAGCTTATGATGTGTTCCTTGATAAGCAATGTCTTGAGATCTTCAGAAACAACCATTTTCATGCGGCGTCAGTTCGAGTAATCAGGGAGTATGTTGCTGGAATTTCAGCCCTACGTGGAGCAATGCTTCAGCAGCACATTGAATACCTTCATGAAACACGCAATCTTTTTACTGCAGTGCTCGATTCTGGCCATACAGGGTTTCGAGGACACAAACCGGGCCGTCATTCATGACGACGTCACAGCATTGGTACGACTCCACCCACACGCTGCTGCCTGGGATGACTGTCGCAGGAAACTCCATGATTTGATGAAGAATGACAGTCAAATTTTCAATAGGCAGCGAAGATTTGATCACGAGCTTCGGCCGCTACAGACTGACGAAATCCAGGTCGGCAAAAACAACATCAGATACGCGATACATGTGCTTGATGATTTCTTCAATAACGGAGCATATGTATCGGTAAGTTGACATTTCTCCGAAATACAGACTATCTTCCACTCACCTGGTCAACCCAGGGTACCCTTGAACTCATCCCACGACCAATAGGCTGCATAGATCATTCTTTACGCTTTCTAGAGCGGTGCATAGGCCACTGGATACCAGAAAATAATTCGTCGGAACAAGTGTAACGTGTTGGCTATTTAGATGTATGATTTTGATCATACGTTGTCTGAGCATGATAGTTCAACATCCGCTTTTATTGCATTTTCCGGCATGAAGGGCTCCGGAGAACACTACCTTAGATTGTACTATACAGACTTACAGTCAAATACTCTTTTTGCGAAGAGGACAGTTCCAACTTGGTTCCAACCAAAGGTAAGCAAGAACGACGGTAACAGGAAGATAGAAACAAATACAAGCAGAGGGTGGAAGGTTTCATCGCAGTGATCGTAAATCAGTCGTCGCTCGTCCACTGACTACTATGTACTCCATCACTTTACTCGGCGCCTCCCCTTCCTCTCGCGCATCACGTAATATTCTGCCACGCATGCCACCACTGCTATTCCCACGACTGGCTGTAACCAGCATTGCACCCACACTTTATCCTAGGCTACCCCGTCTCAACGCTGTATATCACCAACCTCATGGGTTCATGGAGATAAAATAAGTCGAGATTCCCTGTACTCGATAGATTCAGTCCGAGATGGACAACTATTCGACCCCTGGCCTCAAAGCCTAAGAACATCAATGACTGCAGGGAAGCGTTGGTGTTATTCAATCAATCGGAAACATGATGACTACGTGTTTGTCATGAGGTCCGTCCTCGTTTCCTCTCAGGCTGATGAACGCTGCTGCCAGGTCCTGTTATATCTGAAACTAGTACTACCGTTCTTCGAATCGATCCTTCGTCATGAACATCCCTTATACTGCTCATACACTACCTGATCCTCAAAACACTATCATCTTCGAGATCGACACCATTGCTCGTAGAGAACCGCGGCTCATGTCCGCATATCAATACCTCGTTGACGTCAAGCGGTACTGTCACAACGGAGTTGGAGAGGCACTCGTAACAAAAATCGAGTTCAGGAAGTCCACGGGGAGTCCACAGCACGAATTTCTGCTCTGCTACGTCAAGGACCGTAACGTTCCCGAGAGGAAAGTCTTCATTCGCCTAGAGCGATTTAATGATAACACCTCTTCAGGACGAGAGAATAAACCTCCCCTTCCGCTACCTGCCACGGAGCTCCTCTCTCTCGACGCCTTGCACAGCTCCTCCCCCTCCTCCTTTGGCAAGGCGCGCGATACCCTTACTATCACCTGCGACATAAACGTCAAAGACTCTGATACCGTGCTCTCTACTTTGACATTTGACGATGACTCTGATTTCACATTCGATGAGGCCGCGATGATGTGTAAGATTGCCAGCGATTGTGCGAACGAGTACAGTGTTGTCAGTCACCAGTGTTTCTGGTATGCCGGGGTAATCTACAAGATTGTTCAAGAGACATATATGGGGCGTGTCGAGGAGATGACGGGTGAGGACAACAGGCGCAGGGGCAAGGGCAAGGGCGTGAGGATAGTCAGCAGAGAGGTCGCGAATAGATTTATTCCGCGTTGCCATACCTCCGAAGTCCTTGCCGAGATTCATGCCAAGCAATGGTCCGAGTGGGCGGGGGATATTGAGGCTGCGAAAGAAGTACGTCTCCTTTTTATTGCTCGTGATGGTGCCACAACTGATTGTGGCACCATAGGAAGAAAAGAGAAAAAATGAACAGTATCAGCAAGAGTGTGACAGGAAGGACGAAGAGATTGCCAGATTGCGCAAAGCACTACAGGCACAAAGAGGGGGGAGCTGTGCGACATACTAGTACCTGACTGATTCTTGATTCTCTATAATCCGTAGATGACGTTTTCGCTGATCTCTTTCGCACTTGGTCTCCATTTCCATATTTCTAGTATCGTTTGGATGGCAATTTTCTTTTTAGAATCACATTTCTTGTCAAGGTCTCTCCGCCCCCTTATTTGATATCTTTGCTCAATAACAGGTACCAGGACGATTGGGCAATGCGCCATTTTCTTCTCTGTAGTGGCGGTTCCACGTTGACACCTTGTCATATCTATTATCGAGCACTTAGAGCCTCAATTTCAATGCTACGGAGATAGGGCCTAGCCGGATATATTATGATTTCGCGAAACACAAGCCATAGCTTACGACGCATACATTGAAGACCAATATTGGAGGCAGATACTAGTATCACCTCTTTCTCGTTTTACTTCAAGTTGAAAATAACCTCTCCCTCCCTTCCTTCCTTCATGAACGTAACTGTCCAAGTATCTCTATATTCACCCATAACTAGCGACCTAGTACAGAGAAACTAAACTAATCAAAAAATCCATTGAGCCCTTTGATCACGTCGTCTGTTTCAACCGTGTCGTCAATTCGCCACCATGATTCCCGCCGTAGTTGTCTATCAAATCGCGGAGCTTTAGCATAGTGGTAGAGGTAGAGCCACAGCTTCATGCATATGACGAGTGCCTACTCGAATATCTGTGGTCGTAGGATGTTGGGAAGAGGCGATAACTTTGACCGAAGATGTGTCGATGATGTCGATGAATCGATGACGCGTTACATCGAAACGCAGACGCTGAAAATATAGCATAATATGTTAACGACCGCTGAGACGACCCGCCCTGCGTTTGCTGGAAAAAGAACAAGGAATATAGTGGACTCACAAAGACGAGAAACACGCCGGGATTCTCCCACTATGTCGGTATCGCGAACCCTGCCTTCATCTTTCCATGTCCTCCAAACCCTCGCATCTCTTCGTAGGGCACGTCTTCGGGAACGCTCAGCGAAACGTGTAACGGTTTCTGCACAGATCCTGATACTTTAGCCCCTACAATCTCGTCCCGCCAGTGAGACGGCCCTGACCAGAGCCTGTCCGAGTTTGATGGCTCTTCCATATCGTTGTTCGTATTGGAAAGCTGGACAGCGCGGAATAATGGCATCGAAAGAGCCACATTTTCATGCGTGTCCTTGGGACGCGTGACTAAGCTGTTGAAGAAGACAAGGACCGACTTGTCTGGCCAAGACGTCAGTCGAGAAAAGGAAAGTGTACCGTGGGAACTTTGAACGCGTCGTATGTGCCTGAATCACACTTAGATCTTCCTACCCTCGACGACAACTCTCCCTCCCGTCCTTCCCTCGCACAGCACATTCCTCCGCTTACCCAGATAATCCACCCTCTTCGACCAGCGGGTTTCCAAAATGGTGGCTTTACTTGTCTTTCTTCGTTCGATATCAAGAGTCCCTCCCTGTGCAGGCCGTTGTCGTGGCGCCTTCTCCATCGAAAATGAGGACCGTATAGCATGACACGCAGGCTCGGCAACAGCGAGGGCGAAGGTTCTCTGCGCTGTCTAGGGATTGACTTGAAGGAAGACCGGATGTCCTTTCCTGCGCAGGTGCAAGACACGTTTCGGGTACGGGTGCAGGTGCTAGCGAGCTCCGTTGATCATGCATATGGCCGTGGCAAAAGGGGAGGCGGTGGTGGTTAGCCTTTGGAGATGGTGTGGACCGACTGGAGATGTGCTTGCCAACTCATGTAGTAACCGGGATGAAAAGACCCGCCATCGTTTTAGTCAACCCTTGGTCCATCTCTGACGCGTCTTCAGCTTCAGTGACCACCGCGGCGGCGCGGGACGTACCCCAAACTTCCGCCACCATCGCGTCTCTCGCTTCTCTATAAACGTGCCTCCGGATCCAAGTATTCCATGCATTGACTCGCACAGCAATGCAAGACTCTACAGCACCGACTTTTCCATATGCCTCATGCTCAGTCACCGGCTGGCACCCAAATCACGTAAAAAAAATTGAATACGCCTGCGTTCATCTCATTTTGGTCTAATCTTCAAAGCAAGATGGTTCGAACATGCCGGCGGTCCCTTGTCGACGTCAAAATGGTATGCCCAGACTCACACTCTCGATACGTGGATGGTTGATGCGGTTTATCAGGCCAGCGGCTCAAGCGCTCAGACCCAGGTTCAGCGTCGTCACCACCATCACAACGATACTTGAAGGCATTCTTGTTACTTGTGCCACACTAGAACGTGATCCACACAATGTACCTTAGCTACCCGCAGTATGAAAGTCAAACTAAAGGTATGTTTCGTTAGTATTCCTGGCGACAGGCTCTAACAGCGTCACACAGTGTATGGAGGGCTTGGGAAGCCTATGCGAAGGGAGAAGGTTATGCAGATTTGGAGGCAGCTCTCAAGACCAAAACTCTGTATACGGATTAGTTGGGGTCATGGACACGACTATACTTCAGCAGCACGTTGACCAACTCCATGAACCATGCCACCTTTTTATTGCATGCTTGATCTTGGCTACGCATAGTTGCAGTGCTAAATACAGTCGCCGGACTGTCATTCATAACGACATCACTTCACTCGCGCTACTTCGTCCGCATGACACTGCCTGGGATGAGTGTTGCAAGAAACTTCATGATTTAATAGGTAGTGACGGTGCGGACTTCTTCACCCAGCAGCGTGTTCTGGTTTCTCCATCTGTTAATCGCGAATTGGAAGCGTCAAAAATTATGATTGAAAAGGACAATATCAGATACGCAATGCAAGTCCTCGATGCCTTTTTGGAGGGCGTACGTGGTCAAGTGAGCAGAGATACTTTCCTAGTCTTATACAGTTCTCTCTGACCGTCGATTCAGAGATTCTCTTACTCACTGCCAATATTGGGATGGTGCGTTGGTCGTAGATGGGGAAACAATGCGGGGGAAGCGCAGCAGGTTTAAATGAACTTAAGAGACGACATCTCTGATAGTAGCTGGTAGTACACCCAGTGTATTGGTACATTTGTCGTCTGCAATTCTACATAGTGGGTACATGATATGTATCTGCTTCTGGATATTTTATTCAGTCCAATCCAAGTCTAATCAGACAAGACGCGCTTGATGGGCAAACAAACTACAACAACGAGCTTATTGTTCTCGACGACGTGCTACCCCCCGAAAAAGAACAATGACCGTCTGCACCAAGGAAACCACGGCCGCCAAAGGGCCACCTTTTTGTGAATCCATACGGCATGACCATTCCTTCTTCTTTTGCATACCACCACGTTCGCCAAGGCCATGACAAGCCTACTGATTTTTTCTGTCTTCCTATTCGTCGCGTCTGTTGGTGAGTATTTCGTTCGACGGCAGGGTACAATACTAATCTTGAACAAGTCGCATCTTCATCTTCATCTGTAGTCTGCATTGCAGGGCAATGCCTGCAAGGTTCCTCCAATACGACTCGTGCGTCGCATTCTTCTCAGCTTTTTTCTTCACTGTAACCTTTTCTTTCTCTTACAGTGGGTGTCATTCTATCGTCGTCAGATGAATCCACTGCCGTTCTTCTTCTCCCTGGCCAGTATGCATCAACGACAAACCCCCAACTTCTCCACAACATGCTGACGTCGAAGTCGGCATCTCTATCACCCTCGCCCGGCTTCAACTCGTCGGGATCCATCGATCTTCCACTGGACCTCGCTCTAGAAACAGGCATGGCCATTTATTCCGGATCTCTGTACTCTGGTACCGCAGCTTTCACATCGCTACCATCTTCTCCGGCATCCAATTCATCGACGACTCTATCAGCTGCATCCCTCGCACTTTCATCCATTGTTTGGGCGGCAGTTGACATTGGGAACGAGCGTGTCATACTCTGGGAATCCATTCCAGATGTTGGTCAATTACCGCTCTCAGGATCACTTTCCCTTCTCGACCTGCAATCTTCTGCCTGCTCCCCATCGTGTTCAAGTTCGGGTGTATGTTCTGCTTCTGGGACATGCACTTGCCCCAAGGGGTTCACAGGCGAGTCTTGTGAATCTTGCGCATCTGGTTTCTACGGTCCTGAGTGCCAGGCATGTCCTTCTGGTTGCTCCAAATGCGACGAAGGTATTTCGGGGACTGGACGCTGCTTGGTTGTCGAAGTTTCAAATGCGCCAGAGAACTGTAATTGTATAAACGGCGAATGCGGTTCTAACGGTCAGTGTACGTGTAACACCGGCTGGACCACGGCAAGCAATGGAACGGCATGTGCAAAGTGCTCTGATGGATTCTATTTGACGTCTACTGGTGATTGTAAAGGTGCGATATCGATCTTTTTTTGTCTCCCAGAAAGATCCTTACGCGATTTATAGTTTGCGAATTGGGTTGTACATCATGTGCCGATTCCACAGGAACTTGTTTTACCTGCAAGACCGGTTTTACTCAGGATGCGAACGATAAAACAAAGTGCGATGCTGTAGAATCTAAAACATCGTCCGGCACTGTATGCCCTGATGGTAGCTTTAGTAATAATGGGACAAATTGCACTACCTGTTCTTCGGCGTGTTCGACCTGTAATGGAGCCACGTCGAACGACTGTATCCTCTGTGCAACCGAGTCATATGCGTTTAACGGCAGCTGCGTTTCGACCGACAGCAAAGGAGTCTGCGAAGGCACAAGCCTCATTGCTGACAATAATAAGCATGCTTGTGATAGTAAGTTGTTTATTATTCCATCTGCTGTTCGATTTTGAGTGTTAAACCTCTTTAGCATGCGGAGCCAAGTGTACTTCCTGCGAGATATCGAATTTTAGTGTTGCTTCGACCGTTGACGAACTAAAGTGCACCGCTTGTCTTCCGGGCTCTTTCCTTTCCGATGGGCAATGTGTGGACAGCTGCCCGACCGGTACTTTTGTTTCTCCCAAGGATAATGTCACCTGTACTAGTAAGTTGAGTCCTAGCTTGTGGTTGGAATGGATTATTAACGGTATTCATAGGTTGTGACTCGTCATGCTCCACCTGTTCGGGTTCGGCAACGTTCTGCCTAACGTGTGCTAATAGTAAGATTGCTTCCGATGGGAGCTGTGTTAGCTCGTGTCCATCTGGCACATTCTCATCCTCCGGCTCCTGCCTCACCTGTCATCCCGACTGTGCCACTTGTTCGGGCTCGTCGTTCAATCAATGTTCCTCCTGTCCATCTGACCGCCCGGTCCTTACGAACGGACGATGTCTTCCTACCTGTAGCAAATCCCAATACTTCGACAGTACCTCGTCGACGTGCAAGTCTTGCGACTCGAGCTGTTCGACTTGCTCGGGTCCCAATTCCAGCGAGTGCCTTTCGTGTTCCAGCTCTAGTCAATATCTACGCTCCGGTACTTGCGTTGATGCGAAGTGTACGAACTCTACTAGCGTCATATCCGGGCTCGGGGTATGCCTATCAGAGCTTGTACTCATTCAAACTTCGACAACAAGCTCGGACGGTCCTGTACCTTCCATCACCGGCGTTTCAGATCCGACTGTGATACAAAGCAACAGTAATAAGCTGGCATGGTGGCAAATCTTGCTTATGACATTAGGCTGCGCATTCATATTCCTGCTCTTTATCATGTGTTGGCGCCAAAGAGCCCGTAAACAGCGGGCCAAACGCACCGCCATGTTCGCTACCGCAAAACGGCTAGATCACAATCCGAGTTGGCGCTGGCGGCTGGTTCGATTCGGGGAAAAGCTGTTTGGGCACCGGCGAAGCGAGCGAGTTCCCTACCCGCCTCCTGAATCAGAGGAGATGAAGTTGATGAGGCTTAGAGCTGCGGAAGAGGCACGGCATCACGATGAGATCGAGAAACTAATCGGGTCGTACGCGTACGAAGACTCGCGTAAAGCGTTATCTGGTCGGGACGACGCGAGTATCGTTTCCGGTCCGTCGATGTACTCCCAAGTCACAGGGAGGCCTAGACAAACGCCCGATGTCCGACAGCCCGTGAAGAAGGACCAAACAGCGCGGTTCTCGGCGAGTACGTTTAACTCCACGTTGGGATCTCGAGATCGAGAGTTGTTGCCGCCACCCCCACGCTCTGATGTTGAGGCTTATGTCCATGCTGTTCGATCGCCTAGTAGGGGAAGTTATTGGATGCAGCCGAATCCGACTGGGTCTTCACACAATCCTTTTCGGAGATAGCACCCTCGGAGGGGCCATTTTATGATGATTCCCCTCTCTCCACACATTCGATCTTTTTTTGTATATCCTAGCATCTTGGTTTGATATCACGACTGTGATTTTAATGTAGCGATAGTTGGATAGAGCATTTAATAGAGTGCGTCAGTTGATGTTCACGAGACCTTGCTGTCAAGCGGATATGAAACGATGTGGGTGGTACAAGTCTTAGTAAAGGTTTGTGTGTTGACGATCCGCGGCTGAGCGATTATTTTGGTTCTCAGATCATGATGTATCAAGAGCCTGCCGAGTTTGCGGAAATGCGGAACGATGTCGAAGGTCAGATGAAGGATGAGTACTGCTGTATTAGTTTGAACATCATGGCTGTATCCGGCAGGGGTAAACTCAGGGAAGAATACGCAACGCAAAAATATCTGAATCATATATGAATATTTATTAGATCTCTAGAATAATAGGGCCATATACGCAACAGTACTTTTCTTGGGAACTTTTTTCAAGGAGTCTTCGGATGCAGGGACTTGGAATTTAGTATAAAGGCTATGCCTCAGATTGAGATACTTTCTGAGTCTTTACATGAAATATATGAATCATGGAAGGCCTCTGAAATCAGAATATATTTTTGTATGCCCGTAAATTGTTCACTGCACCTCTGATCAGCAAGTACTCTAAAATCATGAAAATATTCATATAGCATGGGCCGTATAAAAATGTGTATCTTAGATGCAACTATCAGGAACAGCTAACAAGGACTAAGATTTTTTTGATATTAAATTTAGATGTACGGTACAGAAAACCTGTTGATAACTGTTATCCAATGAACCAGGCTCAGATAAATGAGCTGCCATGGATATCACCTTGGTTAAGGAGGACCACCTTAGCCAAAGGCGGCTTGATATAAACGGCTTCTTCTAGGATCCATCGAAAATGCTCCTAATGCGCGTAAAGAAAATCGAGGGAAAGGTAACGGCTATTCCCTCGGGCCGGGGAAATATTGAGATCGATCAAAACTACGTTCCGCCGCTTTTTGCCTTCAATTTACGGCTTGACATGCCTAGGAGTTTTTCATGGTTACTACTGAATGACATTATGTCTTCTACGAAGCCTGTAGTCATTTTCAACATAGAATTCGAGGAGGAAATTGCCGTTTTGAATATGTTGTCTTTGCTCTCGATCGATCATTTAGCCTTTCTTAAAATTTCTGGAGCGCGTCAACGGATAATTTCTAGGCTCCGGTGTCATGGGAGTTCACGTGAAGGATGAACGAGAATACTATGCCACATATGTAAGTATGTCGAAGAAGTGTCATGAAACTAAAAGCGTAAGCGAAGAAATTGAGGCGAAACAGCAACGCCAAGACCTAGTCCGAAAACTGACAAAGAAAGCGGTCTCGAGGCGCACAACGCGTCTGATATCCAGGGCCCGTCTTGCCGTTTTGAACTTTTTTTTCTCGGTTCATTCGCGGTAAAAATAGATAATTTCAACAAGGCTGTTTTGATATTTCCAATCAGGAAGTCGGAGGCCGGTAAAAAATACAGAAGTGGTCACCATTTTGATGGCCGATACGGAAGGGTCCTGGTGACCTGACATTTCGATGGTTTATAAGTTGCCCAGCTACGCCCATGTGCATGGGTTAGTGCTCTTTTTTCCTTGGTCCCTGAGCGACGCCGTCGTCGCCGCCAGCATCAACGATTGACAAATACTTGAAACGCCTTTGGGAAGGCACCCTTGCGCTCTGCCATCCCATGGCTGCGCTCGTCCAGCGGGCTTCGTTCAAATTTGACTGGGCTTATGCAGAAGATATTCCTGGCACCCGATGTGGACCTGACGACGGACCGTGGCCACGGTCGTATCAGGTGCTGAACGAGGGCGAGGTATGGAAGGAGCTGAGAATATTGGCGAAGCCACAGAGCGTAGCACTTGGCAAGGGACGGGCTGACAGCGTCAATTTCCAGCCGTCACCGTCAACTCGTACACAGGATCGATATGTCGTGAAGAAGCTGCGCGTAGGGGACCGTGACTGGTCACTGACCGGTGTCTTTGACGGTGCGTGGCCTTGTGCTTTCTCAGCTGTAATTTGCTTACCCAGAGCCAGGTCATCTGGGTGACGTTACAGTCGAGCACGTTTCTTATCATCTTCCCATTATCGTTGCCGAGTTCCTACAGAACGCGTATAAAGCTGACCCGACGCGGCTCGATGACCCTGCATTTATATCGGACTTGTTTTCGCGCTCGATTGTCGCCTTTGACGATGCCATCGCCGGAGACGTGTTGGATCTCTTTGGCGGCATCGAGGGCCTCGCAGAATACTCTGATGCCGATATACGCAGAGTCATCAACGATCACCATCAAGGAGGTACAAATTTCAGGAAAGCACGGCTGAACATGTACGGAACAACCGCCCTTGTCGCCTTGGTTGACCCTGATCATGGTAACCTCTGGGTGGCCAACCTGGGCGACTGTCAGGCAAGTGAGTAATCATACCCCGCTCTGTGACGCCGTGGTTTAATTAACTTTCCACAGCCCTGGTTACGCAAACCGACCCCAACGTGTGGGACATCAAGGTCCTGACTACGGAACACAACGGATATAATGATGCTGAGATCGAACGTGTTCGTCGGCAACATCCAAACGAACCTGAGTGTGTCATCGACGGTCGTGTCCTCGGCGCACTGGCGCCTTTCCGTTGTACGTCCCAATCTCTCATCAGATTACACGTACTGATAATTATCCTTCAGGCCTAGGCGATACACCGTTCAAACAGCCACCGGAGTTTACCCGACGGATCCTCTACAACCTATCCCCGGGATTTCCAGATACCTCTCCTTGGGAAGAATTTCTAGTACGCAACCGCACGCCACCGTACATATCTACTGAGCCCGAGATTGTACACACGCAACTCGGGGTCGATTCTCGTCCAGAGCGCCCGAGATTTCTCATCCTGTCCTCCGATGGTTTTGTTGACTTGTGCGGTAATGAAGGACAGGAAAAGATTGTCAGAGACTGGGCGCAAGGCATGCAGAATATGTCAACGGATGAGGAAACTCACCCTGGTTCAGAGAACATGGCGCTGAGGCTTTTGCGCCGGGCGCTCGGTGGCGAAGACAGGTTTAAAGTGTCGAAGGTTTTGACACTCAACATGGACGTGGCATGGATTGACGATACGGCTATCGTCGTTCAAACATTATAATTTTGCGCATCGTAAGGTCTCTTTCTGGATTTCTCTCTGAGGGCATTTTTGTTGTTGATACTTATTCCTTTCGCTCGCACGCACACACATCATTCTAGCATACCCACTCAACATTCTTAATCTTGGCATACCGTACATTTCGCATATTCCCCTGTTGTTTTAGTTTTGTTTTTACTTGCTGTGTCCAACTGCTTTGTCTCGTGGTGTATCTAACGAATTATCGTTCTCCATTCTGTCCATCGTTTAATGAAATAGCTAATCATTCAAATACATTGCAAAGTCTTTGAACCACGCGTACTGATCCTTCGGTGTAGCATACTTGTCTTCGTGGCCCCCGAAGAACGTGCTAAGGAATCGGATCAAAGATGACATCTGGAGTAAAATAACTATGAACGTACCTGAAGAAGATACCAATGAATCCGGCAACCGAGGGGGTACCCTCCGAGCTTTGCTGGTCAGCAAAGAAAGGACCAGTAGAAGTTGATGCGAGGTCGGCAGAGCCGTCCACATTCACCGATACCTGCCACTGCTTCTCCTCATTTCGCTGACCGAGAATCCCATCTGGTAAGAGACCGCCACCACCATCATCACGATGGGAATCGCCCATTGTCGAGCTCGACTTCTTCGGTTGACCAGCAACGTCGCGATAAAACACGTCAGAGCGGTCAACAACTCTGATCCCGTTGACATCAAGCGTGAAACATCCATCTGTTTTACCGGGCGTGTTGAGTACGACAGTTTGCGAAACTGTCGTCCAGTCTCCTCTGGCCCAGACAAATGAGCCGCGACCGATAGAGAAACCATAGGCGACGTCGCAGAGGGATTGAGGGTCGTTGCAGAGAGCCTTCGTTTGTTTGTCCTTGGGCGCGTACTGAAGGAAAAGGCAGGGTAGTAAGTATGCACGGCGGCATAAGACATTATAATCATCATACCAAGTAGAGTTCACCTTCACCATCCTTTCTCCACATAAGTCGAGTACTGAAGCAATCTGCAGCGGAGACGCCTCCAGAGCATCCCCCGTGGCCGCCATACAACCCTGGTAGCTTGCCTGCCAATACCCAATCGAAATCCACAGGAAAGAACACACTAAACGTCAACGTAACGTTCCTCGCTCGGGTGATATCCAAGGGCTCTGCGTAGAATTGCGCGCCACCTTGCGGCTTGTCCTCATTTCCAGGGTTGATGGAGCCAGCAGGGTATAGCACCTGAATTGCGGAATCCGTTGTTACAACTTGAGGCGAACCGTCGGGGGCGACAATGACCGAAAGAGAGGTGGCGCTGGTGCTGGCAGGAATGACGTTGATAATTTGGAGATTTTCGTGGTTACCAGAAAATTTCTTGACGTTGAATGAAGAAAGATCTGTCATCTGAGCGGGTTCCGACCACGTCGTTGATGAAGGTGAAATAAAAGGCGTTGATGACGGGAGATAGACGGTGACTGTCGAAGAAATCGCAACTGTGACAGTCGTGGACGCCTGAGCGTCTGTGGCAGTAGATGTTGTTCCTGTGAGATTCTGAGAAGCCCTGAGAGTAGAAAATGATATAGGCGTGTTTTCAGCAAGTCCCGTAGAAATAGTAGATTCTGAATGTTTGATGGTAGAGAACGATAGAGTAGACACAGAATAGTTTGTAGTAGAAGTGACAGGAATAGCGAGAATACAGCGAGAGAGCATAACGAAGGCGCACAGCGCTCCGAAGGTCGTCAAGACCATGACAGCGAAAGCAAAGGGTACAACAAGCCCATATCGGGAATTTGGCTGTTCCCGATATGGACATGAACGCTACGGGAGTTGCCGGACGTAATAATGTGAAACATTCTAACATTGACACCTTGTCATATCAAGCACCTAGAGCCCCAATTTCAATGCTATAGAGACAGGGCATAGTTGAATATATTATGACTTCAAGTACCGCGGTGCAATGCAGGCCACAGCTTACGATCCATGTATTGAAGACCAGAGCAATATTGGAAGCAGATACAATACACCTAATTGTAATCAACACATTCCCCGCTACCAGAGAAGTCGCCTCTAACAGCTCAACAGTCCCATGTGTGACCAGTTCGCTATCCCAAACAACGGCTTACCAGAGGTCGTCTTTCCAATATTGACAGTGAATCAGAGGATACTTAGTAGCACGTCATTGAGAACAATAAGCTCGTCGTGGTATTTTGTTTGGCGATCAAGGGCTTCTTGTCCTGACTGGATTGAACACAAATCCAGGAGCAGATATTATTTATCCACTGTGTAGTGTAGGAACTGCAGGACGACAACTGTACCAATCCACTGGGTGTACTACCAGCTACTACCACAGAGGTGGTCTCTAATTTCAGCTAAACCTGCTGCGCCTTCCTCGCATTATTTTCCCAGCGTCTACGACCAACGCACCATCCTAAAGCACGGCGTACCACGCATCGTCTTGTCAATACTGGCAGTGAGCTAGAGGATCTCTGAATCGACGGTCAGAAAACTGTATAAGACTAGAAAAAGCATCTCCACTCACTTGACCATGTACACCCTCAAAAAAGGCATCGAGAACTTCAATTGCATATCCGATTTTGTCCCTTTCAATCATAAGTTCCGACGTTTCCAATCTGCGATTAGCAGATGGAGAAACCGGAACACGCTGCTGGGTGGAGACTGCCAAGTCCGCGCCATCACTACCTATCAAATCATGAAGTTTCTTGCGACACTCGTCTCAGGCAACGTCATGCGGACGAAGCTGCGCGAGCAAAGTGATGATGTCATTAGCACTATGTGCGGCCAAGATCAAGCACGCAGTAAAAAGATGGCACGGCTCAAAGAGTCTGTCAACATGCTGCTGAAGGATGTCCATGTCCATGATTCCAACTAATCCATGTAGCATGGCAGCAATTCCAGCAATGTATTCGCTAATGACTCGAACCGACGAATCATGAAATGCATGGCTCCCGAAAAAGTCCAGACATCTGCTTTCATGGAATACGGCATAAGCCGCAGGAACACGGTTTTCGAGAAGGTTGGCCAGCACATGGCATGCTGTATCAGTTTTGCAGTAGTGATGACGAGGGCATTTCCAGTTGATAGTCATAAAGTCAACCATCACCTGAAGACCACGCAAAGGGCAAGCGGAAGGAGAGAAGGAGAGTGAATACTGGTAAGCTTCGATGGTTTTGTAGAACAGCTTATTCCACGGTGAGTCTACATTGCGTTGGTCCCGTTCTAGTGTGACACAAGCGAAAAGGATACTCTCAAGCACCGTTGTGATGGCGGTAGCTTCCTCGGACATGAAATCTGGTGACCAGACCGCATTAACTGCAGCAGTTAACGAGTCAAGGATGGTCGTGTGGGACAAATCAGATTCAGGAAGAGAAAGTCTGTGAAGTAGGAATTTGACAGTGGCTACCATCAGCGCCCTCCAAGGTTTTCTCAACGATGAGTCGTACAATGGTATATCCTCAACATACTCGGAAAGCATGGTGAGAACATTGTTGTAGATTGCGTATGGAAGATAGGGCAATGCGTCTGAGAATGCAAGAGTCAATGGAGACCTAAAATCATGCTTTGAGTGCCACAGTAACATGGAAAATGAAGACAGGACAGCAGAACAGAGATGAAGGGGAAATGTATTGGCATGATTATTATGGTCAGGATCCAGGGGAGTAAAGGCACCGTCCTCCTTTGCCATCATTATGAGGCGAGACCAACAAAGCGGGGGCAGCTTTAAAGAATGGTGGCAGCACACAATTTCTGTAAAAAATGCAGCTGGACTGGTTAAAACAGCAGGCCTAGGCCTTGTGATGAAACGGAGAAAAGGAGTGGAATGGATTGCAGCGGTAAGCTCAAATGAATCAGTATCACCGGCAATGATGAAGTGATCAAAGGGATAGCATGAAAAGCGAAGCAGGCGTTCGACTTTGCGCTCCATGCCTGGCATGGGTTTCTCAACGTCAGGATGTTCCTCGTCCACTTGCAGACAGCGTTCAAGCAAAGATTCACGCATTCTAACCATGTTTGGATAGTATGGCTGCCGACAGAACACCTCATCCGAGGCCATTGGCAACCCCCCAGCAGACTGTACGACTATGCTTTGGACGCTGGGATTCGAAGAGGTTGAGAAAAGCTAGTCTAGTGCTTCAGCAGCCAAGTTTTCTGATATCTGCTTCACGGACTCTGACTCAGACCTTGTTTTCCTTCGTTTAAGATGGGGAAGATGTCGAATAATTATGTTCCCAAAACGTCGTGACCTCCACAGTTCCTCCCATGATACTCGTGGAATGAGCCAACAAAAGGAAAAGAAAACAAGATCGTAGAGAGGCATACGATAGGGACATCGAGGGAAGAGAAAGGGAAGAATGGTTGCAACCATATATGCTCCATAGACAACGACAGTTGCCGCACAGATGGACCACGACAGAGTCGCCTGTAGCGGATGTAGGAAAATGACCAATCCTGCAAAGAAGATAGCGAGCGCGAGGTGCATAAGAAAGGGGAGGAACCCTATGATTGCCTGAACACGCCACTTTTGAAACCGCCATATCGGAACTGACGAGTAAAAGCACGCTCACGCGGTGTTCCGGATGGCAGAACGACGTAGTGGTGGAGCCATTGTTTGACGAGAACGGCGAAGAGAGCTGTCGTGAGGCTGAGGAACAGACTCGTGAACCAGAGTCCGTTCACCCAAACGTCTGTGGTTGCGGGCACGAAGGCAATGTTGGGGCTAAGGGGGGATGGAGCGATGGTGTCGACCGAGGAACCGTTGGCGATGGCACGTTGAACAAGGACAGATTCATAAAGTAGAGATGCTGACATTGCAGAATAGTCCGGCTGCAAACTCTGCGATGTTTGAACGACGAAAGTCGTCACAACCGCTGAGAAAAGACCCGCCTTTGACATATTCAGCAATGATATCAAATAAACTGGAGTAAGGACTCACGAAGACAAGCAGCACATCGACATTATCCCGGGATTCTTCCACCATATTAGCGTCGTGGATCCTGCTTTCATCTTCGTACGTTCTCCAAACCCTCGCGTTAGGTGCCGTCTCTTCATAGATGGCATCCTCAGGATATTTTTCTTCATAGTTGTACGCATCGTTTCCTGTAGGTCTTTATGAGATATACTGCTAATAATGCAACTGTCTTCGCACCCTTAGCTGCAGGATTCGATCTCCTTATCGTTCCAAAAATCTTCCTTGAGCTGGCAGGAACATCATGCTGCTCATGACCTCTGCTGTCTCTTGTCTCTATTGGTTGGTTATCCTGGTTATCCTTGTTCTCGCGGCCTCCTTCAGCTCCTCGTCCTTCGGCATGCGCGTTTCTTCCCTGCTCGGTAGACAGACTCTGCTCTGGGTCTGAGCTCGATGGTCCCTCACTTTCATTCATCGACGTAGGAAGAATAGATGCTTATTGTTGAGTAGGTGTGGCAAGGCAGACGGTGGGTGATAGAGGTAGAAGCACAAATCAGTGACGCGGATGAGAAAGGATACGGTGGTGATGTCATCTCATCCTCAAAAAGGATGGCCTTCAATTCAAATTCCACATATCCTCCTGCTTTTTTGACTGTCACTGACTTGCATCATGGAACAGGACAACATCGAGTCTTTCGCTGACGTATTGACGCGCTGATGTATATTCGAGTATCTGTTTCGAAGAATAGGCAATTATTGTGTGTAGGCTTACCCTATCAATTCCTTGCACTGACCTGATCCTCCTCGATTCAGTATCGATCGTGTCGATGCAGATACTACGGCCTTCACAATACTACTACCTTCATCTGAGGATGGATACACTTACATAATGTTTGAGATCGACACGATGAAAAGTGAAACCTCTTTAAAGCTTGGATTTCTCAACACAGCCGAGTCAATATGCTTTCAAAGGCCCGGAGATCTTTGCAGACTCTTTTCTGCCCTGCTACAGCTGCACCTGCCTCATTCACCCCTCCTCCTGAAAACACCATCATCTTCGAGGTCGACAGTGCCGCTCGTAGAAGCACAAAATCTCAGTCCGCATACTCCTATCTCACTTCCGTCGCTCGATACTGTCCCCGTGGGGTCGGAGACGCCGTCGTAACGAAAATTGAGTTCAGAAAGTCCCCGAAGCCGCCTAATCACGAATTTATCCTCCTCTATGTCAAGGACCGCATCGTCCCTGGTAGGCGGGCTGTCATCCGGATAGCTCAGGCTCTAAACCAAGAGAAGGTTCCTCCCTGTCCCTAGATTCCACCAAGTTCGATTATTCTCCCGACGCCTCCCTCAGTACGGAGCACGATTTCTTTATAATAACCTCCGACGTCAACACCAAACGCTCCGATCACATACTGTCTACTTTGACGTTTGACGACGACTCTACTTTCACAGCCGACGAGGCTGCGATGATCTGCAAGATTGCCAGTGACTTTTCCCAGCACTTCAGTCACCAGTATGCTCGGGTGATCTATAATGTTATCCAGAAAACGCAGAAAGGGCATTTCACGAAGAAGTCAGCTGAGGATGACAGATGCATGGTCAGCAATGGAGCCTCGATATCCTATTTCGATAGATTGGCAGAAATCTACTGTGAGGAATGGCCTAAATGGATGGCGGATATCGAGAAGAGGAAACGGGTACGTTTTTCCGTTCGCTGCTCGGGATAATCTCACGATTTATTGTGGCATCGTAGGAGATGGACGAGGAGGAGAAAAGATGGAAAGAGAATGAACAAGAGCTCGTAAAGGTAGAGAATAGCACCATGGAACTGAAACAAGAGCTCAATAGGCTGAAGGAGGAGCTGGCAATGTTGCAGAAAGTAAAGGACGCTTCTGAGAGTAGGGATATCGCCTCTAGAGAACCGGTTGAGACTACTGATTCTTCTCCTTGATATTCGTAGTTGACCTCCACAGAATTTCAGTTTTTTAGTCCGATGTCAGCCCGTGCTATACGTAAAATATACCGCTGAGCGTGATTCGGGCCCACTGAGACACATTCTCCCCGTTTCTTCCATATTTCGTGACCCCAAGAAATGGGTTTTCTGAATGAGAATCGTAGTTTGAGATAAGTGCTAGTCTAGAAGATAAGCATTACTTGCACAGTCGAAGTCAGTGTACCTATATATAGACGGCGGTCATTATCTTCATCTGCGATTGATTAGATGCATCGCGCACGAATACGCGTCAATCAACATCGTTGGTGTGGGTTCAATACTGAAATCCAAAACGGGAAATCACCTCTCCGACAACTTGAAGCATCGCGCCTTTTTCCGATGCCGATATAATCAGATTAATCATTGTTTTTCTAGAGTTGATGTTGTAGATACGGCGGTGAGTGTATCGTCAACAGACATTGAACAGAAAAAGAATGTAGTTTTCGCATCCTTCTTAGTTGTAACTTGTCTACTAGTCGTTCCAAGATCTTCGCGTTGGCAGAACTGGGCAGGGCTGACGCGAACTTCATGTCGTTCCAATTTCTTTTTTGCACCTCCTCCGCAAGACCTGCTTGTCCTCCCACCCTTCATGTTTTCATTCTACAGCCTCTCCAACCATCTTCGGCCCGGATCCAGAGTGATTTTGGTCGATTGCCATAGATGCGTAAACTAGATTTGAATTCTTCAGATCTCAACATGAATACGTGTAAGTTATGCACTTCTGGAACCAAACACTCAGTTAATTGAGATAGCATACGCGCTTGTGCTAAACGTAGCGGAACCTGAAAAATAATCGTAGGTGCATAGCTCTCGCTCAAGACGACATTACATACCAATGAAAGGCTCAGTGCCACCCTGAGCCTGAACCAAGAATTGGGACGATGGAACACCACGGTTCGATGTAAGATAGGCTAATAATATAGTTGAGCGGCCGAGAAGCAATACCTGCATCGTGTTCTCACTCAGGAATGGTTTGAGATCAGATTTGAAGTTCGTGATCTCGCTGGGAGCTACAAACGAGTAGACAGTCCAAGTCGAGACAGTGCCTTGGAACAGTTTCCATGTAATACCGTTGATACTACAGGAGTGGAGAAATAAGCAATGCAATGGAGCTCAAGAAAGATGGACCTACGTCGCTGTGCCAATCTGAGAGCCCGCCGGTCCGGCTCTGTAAATACAAAGTGAGGAAATGGGTAATCCAGTCAGTTGCTTTGGACAAACCCTCCACGAGTGCTCAACCAAATCATGCTGGACAGTACGTTCAGTAATATGCAGCATCCTGTATAAAACCGATCGTACACTTCGAAAGTAGAGGTCGACGAGGCGCCACCAGAAGAAGCGACATTTGAGAGCCAAAGGTCGTAGGAGACATCCGCAACCAGACCAGAAGAAGCACTGCTATAGCTCCACGTCCAAGTAACAGGGATAGAGCTGATAGAGGAGATGGTTTTACCAAGACCAACTCGTAAGTCCAAGTTTGCGACTAAAGCCGTACTGAAAATGCAACTCGGCAGTATTTTTACGGAGCAACTTACAACTCTTCACATTAAAGTTTCCGCCTGTTAATGTTGGTTTATTATCTACCATAAGATCGTAAGAAATCATGAATTACCTTGCCATGTATACGTTGTATGCCAGGTGGTCGTATTCCCGTTTGTTGCTGTAACTTGGGAAGTCTGCGAACCTGGAAAATGACTGAATCATCCATGACGACGTGAGAAGCGCGTATGACAGACCGCTAGTGGCAGCACTCATACCCCACAAATTGTTTTCCAGGATAAAGCGTCTAAAAGATAGTGATTTGAATTTCCGAAAGTGCGATTACAACGTGAAAAATCAGCCATACCCGCCAGCCTATACAGATTCACAAAAAACTTCCAGTCCTGAAGATCTATCAAACAACCGACGGACCTCAGATTCAGTATCCCACTGTCCGGAAAGGACCGATCCACGCTTTGCAAGGGCCTTAGTCTCCTGATCAGGTATGGGAGACGCAAGAACAGATGCGAAAGCGACTATGGCCAAGATCGAAAAAGCACGAAAGAACATCGTCTTTGAGCGATGTCGTTGAGAACGCTCAAACTTTTATACGCCATTATAGCTAACGGTCCGGGGCGGGCATGTCCTGTTATCAGGTGCTATGCGCTAATAGGCAGCCAGCAGCTACGGAGTAAAATTTCAGCGTAATACAGCATGACGATGAGAGAGTAACCACTAACTGGGGAGCTTTTGACTATTGCGGTACGATACATGTGTCGAGTTTGGTCTCCTTTTATCCGAGAGTTTTTTCCCTACGGTCCTTGGCACAGCTTGGTTGGGCCACTAAGGACGTCGCACACATATGCATAGCCGACAGTGAGATGGGCACATTTGGTCGCATGTGATCTTGAACGATCCGAGGATAAGACGGCAGCACCAGTATACTGATCCGGCGCTTTACCATCATTCATTCGGTTAGATTTCAGCAAATGGATAGCATTATGTGAATGTCCGTGAAGGTGATACAGTAGGTTTACCCGGTTATACATCACGAAAGATACTGTAACTTGCGATCATTAGTCAGGAGCCACAAGAGGCGAGTAAAAACTCCCACACGAAAACCGTAATTAGGCTCTATGTTCCCGCCAACTCTCATCTCGTGAGTCGTCGACCAGAAACTGATACCAGAAGGGAGCTATAAGCGCTGTAGATAAGTGCCATAATGAATGCGCATCGATAATTCGGCCCCAAGGAGGAAAATCGAAAAGTTCGAGACCAGTCGCGGCCGTGGTGAATAACACCAGTATTGCGGCATGACTAACAAATGGAGGTCTATATGTCTTTGGACGCGAGGGAAATCTCCGTATCAAGGATATCGAAACAGGCAGGGAATATACGAGCCAGAGAAGGTTGTGTGACATCCCCACGACCGAATTGAAGATGATGTTGTAAACGTAGTCGAATCGGGGGAGGAGCATGAGGTACGTGACATGGCACACAAAGGCAACGATACATATTGATGTCCACAGTATCCAAGTCCAGCTTGTAGGAAGATCGTTGGACAAGATGAGACGGTATCGTGGTTTGGTATACAGGTGGAACAAGCGGATTACACAGAAATAGAGGGCAAACAATATCGTGAGTGCAGCAGAAAAATAATCCAATTTTTCTGTTAACGGTGTGTCTAAGGCTAGATGAGAGGGATGCTGAGACCAACAAGTAGCGGACAAACCTCGAGTATGGAATACCGACGACCAAACCCACGTGTTCATGCTGGCAAATGCCCACAACAGATAATATATCCGCATAGGATGTTCACCAGATATCTCCCTGCGCAGCCTAGAGGCCCCTTTTACGTGCGCCCAAAAATTGAGCAACGAGAACGCTACCGATGCCGGCTCCTGCACGCCCCCAAGTCGCCAGAACGGCCACTTTCCGTAATATTGTTTTACTTTTGTTCCTAGCGCAATATCTCGCGCTGTGATTTCGTGCATACAGCGATATTTGCAGTTGTCTGAGCACGTCCAGCGCATCAGACGGAGACTAAGCGAAAGAGACGCCGGTTCTTGGGCGCATTCCGCCGTTTCACAACGCTGAAGGCAGTATTGAAAATCTTTGGATCTGTCCCCCCATGATGCAAGAACCTGCAGTGGAAATGCGGCCAGCAGAGGAAGGAAAGTCGCGAGCTTCATCCGTTCCCAGTGTTGGACGGTGAAGATGGTAACCAGACATGTTCGGCAAGGCGACGGCTTCCCCAATAAGGGAGATGTTTGTCTCTCTTTGTAACGCAGTGGCTGATCACGGTCGAGACTTCATCTTCAGATCTTTGCATGTAAATAACTCGTTCACTAACTGGGGCTCCTTCGTTATCTGTATTAGAATTTGTAGCACTATCTTTACAGGGACCCTCTTAATTGGTGATACCACCACCACCACTCCTGCGGGCATTTCTGACAATTTTCTTGGCCGCTCAGATCTTAAAGTCTGAGTCTAAAACTTCTTCAGACGGTTCGTCTTCTGATGCATTTATACAATTCGAGAACTTACACTTAAACATCAATTTAGCACCACATCAAGCCTCTTACCTGATATCCCTACCGCTATACAATCCTCGGAGATGGTCCGAGCATCTCAATCCAAGACCTTCTCTTCGGCGCCATATTTTCAAGACCGTGGTGTTCATGGGACAGCGCAGCCCATCACCGAAAGAGTAAATGTAAGAGAACGAACTTTGGATTCATATTCCCAAAAGAGTTGCTTAAAGTTTTTGCAGCCTCATTCCCGACCCATTGTCTCATATTATTTTCCCAAAGATATTGGCGCACAACACTATGGCGTAAGTATTGATGGCGTTAAATACAGTGTCAGTTAATGATTTGTGTTTTAGGAACGTCATCCTATGAAGCCGCATCGACTTACGCTAACGAATGCTTTGGTGTTGGGTTATGGACTTGACAAACAACTGCATCACATATATGATGTTCGGTGGGCTACACGAGAAGAACTCGAAGTCTATCATGATTCAGACTACCTTGATTTTCTAGCCAAGTCAGTGTTATGCGTATGGCGGGATGGAAAACATATCTGATTGTTTTCAACGCAGAGTTACACCGCAAAATCAGGGAGAGATGAAACAAATGCTGGACAACTTCAACTGTGGAGAGGACTGCCCCGTTTTCTCCGATATGTATGATTTCTGTCGTATGTCATCCGGAGGCTCGCTTGCAGCTGCTAGAAAGCTCTGCGCTGGTACCACCGACATTGCTATTAATTGGGCTGGTGGACTCCACCACGCGAAGCGAGGGGAAGCCAGCGGATTTTGCTACACGAATGATATCGTTTTGGGCATTCTGGAACTCCTGAGGTACGCATGTCTTGGAATTCGCTCGGCGCTCTATTCATCTCCGTGCAGATACCATCCTCGAGTTCTATATATTGATATTGACATCCATCACGGGGATGGTGTCGAGTTCGCCTTTTATAACTCCAATAGAGTTATGACTGTGTCTTTCCACAAGTACACTGGCGACTTTTTCCCTGGGACTGGTAAATTGGACGATAACGGCAGCGGACTGGGGAAACACTTTTGTCTCAATGTACCACTGCTAGATGGGATCGATGACGAGATGTACCTCACCGTTTTCAAGACGGTGATCGGTGACACGGTTCACGCATTCAGTCCGTCAGCAATCGTCCTTCAATGCGGGGCAGACTCTCTAGGCTGTGACCGACTCGGCGCATTCAACTTGTCTATAGCAGCACACGGCGAATGCGTCAATTTTGTCCGAAAATTCAATGTCCCACTCATGATTGTCGGGGGAGGTGGATACACAATCAAGAACGTCAGTCGCTGCTGGACTTACGAGACCTCCGTCCTTGTGGGCGCATCAATACCCAATGAATTACCGCGTACCGTCTATGACTCCTTCTTCGCTGACTCCCATTGGAAACTCCATCCACCGCTTACCGGGAAAGTCGATAATCAAAATACCCCTGCCTCATTGCAGCGCGTCACGATCAGTATAAAGAATAAGCTCCGGTACCTGCAAGGTGCGCCGAGTGTCGAGATGCAGGAGATACCCCCGAACCTCCAGGGGTTGTTAGCAGACGAGGAGCGTACGCAAGAAGAGAAAGACGAAGAGCGTGGTACTGCAAAAGCGGGAGAGCGACGGGAGGAACGAACGATTGCTCGTAATGAATTTTATGATGGGGAGATTGACGTTGATCATGTCCCGCCGGTGTCTAATAACAATAAGCCCACGAGTGGTCGTCGAGGACGCGGTGGACGCCGAGGACGGGGAGGTCGTAGGTCTCGAGGTGGAAGACCCTCCGGCCCGAGTAGAGATGACGATGATTCCAGTGAAGAAGTCGTCACTCCTCGAAGAGGTAGGGGCGGGCGGAGAGGTCGAGGTAGAGTGAAGAGTTCGAGGACTGTTGAGAGGGAGAAAGATGACGAGGGAGAACCGGAGAAACCTAGTGCAGATTCAATGGATGTGGACGAAGAGGAGTGATATCTGCAAGAGGCTTGTGCTATATCTGACTTTCCGTTTATCGTTGTTACAGTAGTTTGGGGCACTAATATTTTGGAGACTTGCGCTACTATATCGTAGCCAAAGTTAAGGCGAAAGCGTATGCCCAACGCCTTGATAATTTAGTGCGATCATGGTCCTGACGTGTTTTATACGTTCATCATTGTTGGGATTTTGCCGGAAAGTTCTAGAAGGGGCAATCCGGCATCATGCCGAGAGTTGCTGAGTAAGCACGAGACTAGTAGAAAGTTGTAGTACATTCTAGATTACATTGCGAAGTAGTATAAATACAGGCTCTGTAGGAGCCTAGGAATAATAAGTTCATATCAACTGGCCTTACCAGCCAGGAGTCTACCCTGCGCAACACCGAGGATTCCAACAATCATGTAGTCCCCAACATGCCTGAATAAGTCCGAATGCATGGTCAGCACATCGCATCATAGTATACTTAACAGCACTTTAGATCATTTCTGGGCAACGAGTTCACTAGGAATAGCATCCAAAGAGTTCTGTTTACAAAATAGAGGTGTTGGAATTCCGAATGTTCGGCAACAGCGGCATCCAAGCCGCGCGAATGCCGCATTTCGGCTATCACCGGGGATTGTGTCTTGGCAGCTCCTCCTCGGAAATAATCGGAGATGTGATGACTCACTCATCACATCCGCTTTCAAGGAGTTCAAGGTCCTCAAAGAAAGAATCCAAAAGAGAAACCTTGCCATTCCATGATGTTGCCAATGTTTCCCAAGAGCTTAAATATTTTACATAGGAAATCAGCCACGAAGTTTCCGAGTGCCCTTATTGAAACCAAGCTGCATTGAATCATTCCGGCTAGTTCCGGTTATAGCGACACAGCGGCAAAGTACCCTGTACCTCTCAAAATGACATCCAGATGTCCATAATGCTGTGCGAAACGGAAGGATGGCAAAGCTCCCAAGAAGTTTCTTGTGATAACATACCTGAACTGAAGGTCTGCGTATCCGTTGACGATGAATATGTATAACGGATCGTTGAATGTAAACACTAACTTTAGATTGGAAGACAACCAAAGCAAAAGTGTCGAAGTTACCGACTGCTACATGTAGGGTGCATGAATGTCAGTATAGAGACTGTTGTTAATTTGATGATTGATAAGCGGCATGGACCGCTATAATTAAGACGGGCAGTGCGACTCCATTTAATACGCAGTTGATGCGCAGCAGAAAGACCCATGGGGAGCTTTATAGCCGGGTAACCATCGCCGACAAGTCTAAGATACTAGCGAAATACGAGTGTTCCAAATGAAGTTAAGTACGATAAGTACGTAGAATAATCATATTATACCGTCACATAGATAAATGGTAAACATATAAAACCCTGAACCGTTCGAAGCCGAAACCCGCACTTAAATTACGAAGAGTGGTGTCCGTCCAATTTAGAAACATTACCTATGAAAAGACTGTGTGTGGGAAGCAGACAAAGCACCGGCTATTGGGGTGTCAAAGGAAATAGAACTGATGCGATTCGGAAGTGGCTCTGGTTTGGACTGCGTCCGCCGAGCGGGAAAGATGTGTAATCGCCTCGCAGAATCGACCGCCTCGGAAAATGAACGAAAAAGGGGGGAATGGCTGTCGTCAGAAGTAGGGAAAACGACAGTGTTTCCTGGTAATCCATAGAGGAATGGATTTTCAACACTCGTGCTGGCTTGAGTGTCGTCCTCCGACGGACTCGGTGTGGATAACGGCGATATTTCTTCCCAGTTTTCGCTTACGGAGGCGGTTTCATCAGGCGGACCATATGGCTGGGTCTTAGACCGGAAGAACGACTGTCTGGGTGGCTTCTGAGTTTGCGGCGGCGAACTGACGCTCTTCGCTCGGGTAAGCTGTGGAACGGGAGGGGGGGTCGCATCCTGTTCAGCCTTTGCACGAAGATTGGTATGAGATCGAGACTTGAAACGAAGCATAGTACGCTTCCTTTTCGGAGGTTCAAGTGAAAGGGGAGTGAGGTTAACCTCTGGAATTTGAGTCCGTTTAGCGGTGGCAGACTTGGGCCTTGACCTGGACCGCATCCGAGCAAGGAAACGGGATGCTCTGGATGACGAGCGGGCAAGGCGCTCCTTGTGGGAATTTCCATCATCCAAGTCTCCAAAGCTGCAGTCGCAATCGAACCGCTCCCTGAACCTGCTGCCTGTGTTTGACTCCGCAAACCGAACCCCACCTGTACGTGCACCATTGCCTTCGCTGTCTGGATCACTAAACATCCATTCGGCTACCGGACTATTCTGTTCCAGTGCTCCCAGCTGAACGAAGACATCAAATACAGACGCCCGTAGTACCGTAGTAGACTCTTGCCTGCGTAAGTGTGAAGGAGGCCTCAGAGTCATGATACCGGGAGGATGAGTGGGAAGAAAGAGAGTCGATCCGGTGGTGGCAAGGGGGAATTGGTCCGTCACATATAGCACGGATGAAAGAGCGGATTCTCAGCATCATCCGCCCACGAGTTTCCTTGACGATTCCAGATGGGGCCAATAGCATGCGAATGTCGGATGCTGTTAAAGGCTGTAATTGGAAAGATTCTGCGATCCTGCACATGAATTCAACTGTCACTTCGCAACCCAATATTAGCGGTGTAACAAGGATCAAGGGCGGATCGAAGTGAGGAAACCTTGCGGGATGTGCCGTGACGGGAAACTCGGTCCGACTTGTCTCAAACGTTCACCTTGCTCAAATGTCGGCCAAGCTACACTTGAGGAGAAATACTAAACCGACAAGTGTAGAGCTCCCCCCAGAGATCTGGTCACTCATTTTTGACTTGGCTACTCAAGTACCAGGAGCATACGATCCCGATTGCTTGGCTTTGGCATTCACTCATCCACCCTCCAAATTTCAGATTCAAGAGACAAAAAAGTCTCTGGTGCGTAGCCTCTCGTTGTGGATCTCGGTTATCCCTAAAGCAACGTATATAGAGCTCAAGATCAAGGCTCATCCGGGTCTGCAAACTTTGGAGTATATTTGCTTTGAAAAATCTATTTGAGCACATCACCGTTGTACGTGATGCATCTATTGTCTCCCTTCGTGACAAACTTGTGCGGTCACGAGAGGACGCTGGGACTGGCCATCATCTTGGCTGTTACACTAAACGTCTCGACATATCCCTCAAAACTAGCGACATAAACAAGACCATCACAAATTTGAGCGACATCATCAGATGTCTCCCTAATCTCTCTTTCATCAAAATCTTCCTAAATAACACGAATCGTCCGGTCTCCAGGTTTAATCACGGGCGCGATAACACCGCTGTTCCCGATCCCTTTCTTGATGCGCTTTGCCTCTCCTGCCCATCTCTTCAGGTCCTCGAAATCCTGCCACGGTCCTCATTCTACATTCCTCACACTGATCTTCATCGAATCTTCTCATCATTCCCGAAACTGAGCTCCTTCCGCAATGACGGGGACATGTATCACTTGCTCACTCCTGGGGAATCCTGCCTCCATCTAGCCGCCTCCGTCACCACTGTCGCCATTAACGACCTGTATTTCAAAAGCATACCTGTGGCCATCCCCCCTGACCCAAGCACTTTCCCACTGCTCCAAACTGCCATATTCTACACCATGATAAGAGCCGAGAGACAATTCTCGTCCTTCATTCAGATACACGGATCTACCTTGACTACAATCATGATCCGATTCTCAAAGACTTCAACCCCTCAGGATTTCTTCTGCGGGGTCCTTCGTACCATAGGCACGAGTTGTCCTGGGGTCATCAATTTTATGATATGGTTTGATACTTGGAACTGGTTCGAGGGGCCAGCTGGCCTTACTCGCTTCCATTTCCCTCCCTCCATCAGAGTTTTCGGTATACGGTGCAAGGATCTCCAGGCGGATAGCTGGACGTACGAAAGGTTTCTTTTGCGGTTGGATCCCGAGAACGGGCGAATTCTGAGGCTGCTTGATGAGAGGCATGTGAAGGATTTGTGCCAGAAACATACCAAGACGTTTAAGAGCGCTCGACGAAGACTTGAACCAGGAGGATGGCAGTTCCAAGGCCCAGATGAACGGAGTCTGCTTTGAGGTGAGCTAGTCTATAGCTTTCAGTTGTTATCAGTCATCAGAAATTAGTCGAACAAATAGCAAGTACAATTGTACATGTGAGGATACGCTGTTCTACACATAGTGAGGGAAAAGAAATTGAATGCATGCAGGATATTATCAATTGCGAGTTGAGTGGAAAGATGGAAAGAAAAAAGTAAGCTAGAAGGAAAGAAAACGGGGAGGGGGGGGAGTATAGGAAAAGAAAAAAAGCAGTTTACTGATCGTCATCATCGCTGATCGTTTGAACAGTCACTGCAGGCGTTCGCCGACTCGAAGAACGTGATACTGACGCAGACGTCGTCCGTGTCGTAGAAGATGTTCTACTCGACGCCGCCGTCGACCCAGATCTACTCGCCGACCTGCTTGGTCTTCCCAATGAGTGTGCATCTTCCACTGTCAGCTCCCTTTGTCTCGTCATTTGTGCCTCTCTCCTCTGTACCTCTGCCTCTCTCCTTTGTATGTCCGCCTCCCGCCTCTGTACTTCTGCCTCTTCTCTCTCCCTTGCACGCCGCCGCTCCTCCTCTGCCGCCCTCTGCCTTGTCTGCAGATCCTTGATCTCAGCTTGTGTCATCGGCATCTGTATACACACCAGCTCAAATGCACAGGGGAAATCAGAGTTACATCGTCTCTGAATGAGAGCGTCACTCTTCTGTATACCACCGAACACCGAGCAGGGGCCCAACAAATCCATACGGATCATCTCCCTCGGTAGTGCACCTCCAGGCATCCCCGGCGCCGTAGAGCGATGTCGTCGGTACGCGATTACGGCCATCTTCTTGTCGGCTGGGCTGAAGGTATCCACTTCGTCTTTCGTGACGATTCTTCGCATGAAATGTGCTATACCATCAATGACATCGCCACAGGTCACCCCAATATCCTTGTTAGCTGCGTTTATCTGGATAGAGGCTAGCTGTCGCTCAATGTAGAGTACGATGGTAGTCACTCGCGGGAAGGTCGCTGGTTCGCCCCGTCCTGAGCTCCAGGAGACGTTACCAGCGTCCTTCGAACTCTGGCAGGTATTGGGAGAATGAAGCATGTCCCATTTTAGGTATTCTCGGCCCAGGTCGTCCGGAGGAGGCTGAAGGAGGGGGTTGAGCTCAGGTTTGGCACCTAGCTTATGAATGAGGAATGGTTGGAGGACCGGTCCGTCTGGAAGAGAAAGAATGAAGCTCTGCTATGTGACCGTGGAAGGTTTGAAAGACCTACAATGATCACCAGCCGTCCAACGATTGACGCGATCACCGACGTGTTCGCCTGCTCGTCCCAGAGGGACTTGAGGTGCTTGAGGCTGCATTTGCCCCATCTGCATCATCTGCATCTGCCGATTCATTTGTGCCTGCATCTGTTGTGCTTGCATACCGTTATCAAGTCCCATACCACCCATTCCACCCATGCCGCCACTCATTCCACCCATGCCGCCACCCATACCACCCATTCCACCGCCACCCATTCCGCCCATACCACCAAGATTGAGCCCAGCAAAAGCGGGGGTCAACTGGCCTATCCCGCCCATTCCAGGTAACGGTCCACCCATACCTGCACCACTAGGAGTCATCATAGGTGGTAATCCCCCACCGCCCATACCACCCATAGCGCCCATGGGGCTATTCATCGGGGGGAGTTGTCCTGGGATCCCAGAACTACCCGGCGTAAACATAGGATGCATACCAGGGAGCTGTACACCCAAACCAATACCACCAGGGGTATACATCTGACCCATCCTCGGCTGCTGATCCCAAGGGGAGGTTCCGGGATAAGCTCCAGGGGAAGGCCAGCCGCCGGGCACAACAGCAGGCGGTGGGGCACCCCACGACCCTGCATTCGCTAGTTGTGGAGGTGCCGATGGATATGGTGTCCCGCCCGTTTGAGGTAGTGGCGCGTTTGGTGCAGAAGAACTGGAGCTCCCCCAAGAACTGTTTTCCTGCGGCGAAGGAGTTAGATTTGGGTAACCTGACCAGTCATGGGAAAATCCGTTGGAAAGGACATTGGGCTGGGGGGTCGCGAGCTGGGCAGCCATTCCTTGACCTGGTGTAAGTTGGGGAATAAACGCTGGTGCTGGGGCGTAGGGAGAGTTAGGGAAAATTGGGTAGCCACCATTGGGTAACTGGGCCCCTTGCCATGGAGTATAGGGTGTGCCCTGCATCTGAAGAGCGGCTGAAGGCTGAAGCGAAGGCTGAGCCGCGGTATTAGGCGAACTCTGGGGGGTGACTAGAGGTGGAATAAAGGGAGTACCACCGCCTGACATCATGAATTCAATATCCGAGTATTGTTTCTAGTTCCGAATATCCAAAAACGGTTGCGTTATTTCCTCAAGTAGGCGTAGGCACGCTAGGTAACAGCATGAGATACGCGAAGATGCGTGATGGTTTGACTCACTTTTTCCGTTTTGACTTGATATTTTTTGGCTCAAAAGTTCCGAATAGAGTATAGCTGTGCTTCCATGTACCATGAGACCTCTGTCACAATCAGTGTTGTCGAGATACACGTACCAGACCGTTCCCTTCGTTATCCCAATAAAAATATTTCCCCCCCTTCCGTGATCGAGAAGTAACAAAGGCGACTATTTTTCTGCCGACGTCGTCCTTCTGAATGTTGATATCATATAAATATGTATACGGTATCCGATCGGACGATTGAGAGAGGGGAATACAGCAATGAAAGGTCGGTGTGAGTGGTTAGAGGGTTTCCCTCAGTTCAACAGCGATTGCCCCAAATTGAGCAATTGCAAATTACACGTGAGGTACAGCCGCTGATTCTGCCTGATGTAACCATTTGGCATCTTGGGCTGTACAATTAACCGTGTCTCCCTGCCGCTGCTGCAGTAAAAAGGATCTTGTTTTACACGGCCAATAACAGCCTTCCCTGATCTCCTGGCTGATGTTTTTTTCTTATCGATCCAAGAGTTACACGGTTATGGATTACAAGAAAATGTTATACATCCGGAAGTGACTGACTGAAAGATGCTGTTGAAACGTATGATTAAGCTGTCAAAGACATGACAAAGATGTTCGGAGCCTTGAAGCCAAGACGAGACTCCGCATAGCCGTCATCTCGACGCAAGTTCTCGAAATAGTAACGATCGCGGAGCCAATCTTCAGCACATGCACTGTTAGAATGACTCGAAAATGTTAAGCGGAAATACAGCCTACCAAATCTTCTGAACCGAGTCGCGGCTTGTCCGGGAGAATAATACATGTTCCAATGGGCGTTCTGAGCACCTCGAGAGCTACTCGCCCGTTTGACTTGCTCTTGCAGCCGTGGGGGAAGCGTCCCAAACTCCGTGTCAGTTACGTAGTGCTCAGAATAACTGTGATAGGTAACGTTCAGCACCCGAGGGCAACAGAGAACATAAAGCTTGACCCACTCTCTCCACATGGCCTGGCAGATATCATTCATAGTAACACCCCGGTCGTTCTTAACGGTCGTGCACCACGGTGTGATGTCCGTGATGATATACAGTTGTTGAACGCGGGGAAGCGTCGCAGGCTCATCTTTAGCATTGAAAGGGAGATCAGCGTCCCTCTGATCAGGGTTGAAACCCCCGGAATGCCCTTTCGAACACTGTGTGAGCCACTAATAGCGAACACTTGAGAACCAACTGACCGTTGCTGAGATTGAAAACAAGTTGGAACTTGGGACTCTTCCCGCATAGGATGGGGTGGATTTCGAGAGTGGGGTTGAGTAGGTAGAGGTCGGTTTGTGACAGCACGGGTCCGTCTACAGCGTCGCGTCAGTACCAGCTTCTAGAATGGATACTGAAAAGCCATCTTACAAGACGAACCGGACGACCATTTGGCGACTTTGTCAGCCATAGTTAACACAAAAGAGGGAGGAGAAGGGAAGGGGGGACGGTTAGAATGACAAAGCGGTGAAGTACAAGTGCCTTGTGATGAAGGCGATAGCCCTGTCTATTTTCGGGTGTATTTTTTTGATCGAATGTCATCGATCGGAGATATCCGCTCACGTGACTAAACACAGATAAGATAATCTGATTGATTCACCCAGCCAGCTCCCATTCTGACCACAACCTCGTACACCAACGATCCATTTACACTCATGGCTCCCAAAGGTGGAAACGCAAAGAAAGAGAGTGGGAGAGCCAAGAAGGCTGAGAACGAGTCGAAAAAAAAGGAGGCAGCAGCAGCAGAAGCGGTAAGACGAGAATCTGTTGGAGTCATTGTCCACCGTGCCGATCTTACTCATTACCGCGTAGGAACGTAAGGAAGCCGAAGCCTGGAAAGATACCAATGTGAAAGGCGGAAAGGCCAAGAAAGAAGAGCAAGAAGCTAAACGCAAAGCAGAGCTTGAGCGCAAGGCAGAGAACGCACGATTACTTGCTGAAGAAGAAGCCGCTGTACCCAAAGTCAAAGCCGCACCCAAAGCTGGCGCCAAGAAGGCCGCTAAACCTACTCCAAAACCCGCTGGTCCCGGTGCGATCGCTGCTGGCGGTGGATTGGACGATGATGGAAAGAAGGAATGGGAATCGGCGGAGCCAGAGAGTTTCTCTGCGACGGGTATCGACAATGCCCTGGATCTCTTGGAAGTCGTCACCGCCAAGATGGACAAGGCATCCGTTGGTCAGCAGGCGGCTGGTATTGAAAGGCATCCCGAGGTGAGTATATGCGCTGTTTTTCTCATTTTGCGCTGGTGTTGAATATCAAATTCTAGCGACGATACAAGGCGAGTCATCCTTTGACTCGGTGGCGGATTTACTGATTGATGTGATTCCAGGCCGCCTTTGAAGCTTACCAGGAACGCGAACTGCCCAAACTCAAACAAGATGTACGTGCACAGGGATATGCAACAACGATGTACTGATTTCCTGCTAGCATCCAGGGCTGCGCCTACAGCAATACAAAGTCAGTGCTCTTACCAACTGTACCGTTGTAATCACTGACAGTCTGCACAGGATTTATTGCACAAGCAGTTCCAGAAATCACCTGAAAACCCGTGAGTATGCATCTCAGATATTGAATGTTTCTGTCTGACTCGGACCTTGCCTCCTTAGTTTCAATCAAACAGTGGTCGCGTATGACGCCAGTAAGCAAGATAAGGTGGAGGCTCTCAAGGCGAAGAAAGCCCAGGTTGAGGAGCGCCTGCGAGAATAAGGCACTGCCTTTTCTCCGCGAAGGGTACAAGAGAGAATACCGCCCGAGCTCCACATAACGCTGTGTACAACACGTCTAAGGGTATGTATCCTTTCGATCTACCAGCATTTTACATCTGATTCGATATACAGGTGATATTGTGCGAATCTGTGAAAAATGCTATCATTCCTCATTTATCCAATTACAATATATTTCCACCATCACCACATTTTCCCGAGTCGGTTTTCTTAGGCTCCGTACTAGTGGTTTGTACATTTATGTTCAGTAATTGAAACAATGTAAATCAGTCCACTTCGTTATGACAGATACGGTCCACATGACAGAAATGCAATACAGTAGCTTGCGTTTGCATGCCGATTAGCAAAGTAGTATTGGCGATGCCGCGGTGAGGGCAGCGCACTGTCTGATAGCACAGCTATTTGCGGCGCAGTTTGGTCCGCTTATGTCAGCACCTACTGGAGGGGAAAAAATTTTTGGTATAAAATCGACTCCACCTCTTCACATCAACCATCACCATCGTCTCCCTCATCTACTCCTTCTGCCGCCGTTTAATTCCTACCAATGATGTCGAACTATTCGATTTCTCTTCCTTCTACATCATCGTCTGTGCCGTCCTCGTCCTCGCCATCACGGCGTACCAACACACTTGCAGTGACCTCGTTACCCAAGACTTTCTTTCACCCTGTCATCCTCACCGTATTGAAGTCTCACTTTGAAACATACGGCGAAATCAACCAATGGGTACCTCTACCAGGATTTGGACGGATTATCGTGGTTTACACTGAGGAGGAGCATGCGGAAGTCGCTAAGACTGAGTGTGACCCCATTATCCTTCGGGGTACTTCAGACATGTGTGTAACTTTTCGTTGGCAAATTATTCTCCTCCTAACCTCTTATTGTCAGATCACAAACTATCTTGCGCGTATACAGAGCTGATCCCAACCCCTTGATCACAGACTTTGGCCAAGCAGTGCCCGAAGCCAACTTCCTACGCCCACCCGCAATCGAAAAGAACTTCCTCATCTCACCACCAGGATCGCCACCTGTGGGCTGGGAGCCTATCAGGGAGGAACCACCCAATGCGGCGCCACTTGCTGACGACCTGATCAACGCACTCAAGCTTCTCCAGGTGCAGGAGCGTGGGCCTAGTGTGGAAGTGCTGATACGCCCTGAGGACTCCTGCGTGGGCGTCTTCGTAGAGGACTGTGACCGGTGTGAATACGATGAAGATATTGAGGAGGAGGATTGGGTGTACGGCCAGACGGCCCCTACCAGGACGAAGTGGCGGCCGATGGTCACTGCTATGCCCCCTCTACCCGCCCGAATCCCTGTATAGATCATATGTTTGATCAGTATTACTGTGAGTATGCGGTTTGCTGTGTGCTCTTGTGCTATTATGGGATGATAAACCTATCAGACCTGTTCCGAACCCATGTGGTTGTGTGGATAACCGATATTGCCTTTTATTTCTGATCCTTTCCGTTTCCTTGATGACGAACTGGAACTGACGACCCTTTTCTATAGATATGTTCCTGGGATACCATAGTACATGTATTTTGGTGAGTTTCCTTTCCAAGCACCTACGATGATGTATACCTATCAGACCTGTTCTGACTCTTGTGGAGACAAACCGATTATTGCCTTTTTTATTTCTGATCTTTTTGATGTCTCTTCGTTTGAGCTCTTTACTGATTGCTTCTTTATCAGGCATGAAACTCGACTCGATCTGACATTTATTGTATAATACTTAATGGACTTTGTCCTTGACTAGCATCGCTTTCTTTTGGACAATCGGATATGTATGGTAGTTTAAACCTGTGCTTCTCGGGATACAATTTGTATAGTAACATTTTGCATGGTTCGTTATATAGTACTGGCAGAGAGGTAATAAGGACCGCTCTCTATCATATATTACTCCAAACCCGACGTGTATGGATATCTATTCCTTTTTATGATGAATTTTAACGAACACGGGCATTTGGGGACGTGAGGTGGCTTACTTTTCAGTGCGGGCTATTGCACAACTGTAGACTTTGAGATAATCTCTTCGTATGGAACCGCTAACTCTAATTCGAATTCTCGAATAAGCACAAACACGATGACTTTCATCCTACAGTACTACAGCCTTCAATACTTGATCGAGCCCGAGATGATGCACCCACTGAGCAAGAGTGAACCGGTAACCAATACACGACCGCGATCCTCCGAGAAACGACAGGACGTTACTCCATACACCAGGAATGGCGTTCACAGCTTCGGGGATCTTCTCCCAACGTTCCGGACTGGACCAATCGCATTCAACTTATTAGGCTTAAAGGGCAGCATGAGCGGAAGATGTATTGGGATTGAAGGAAAGAGGTTGAGAGAAGCACGAGCTAGCGGGCTCGGAGAAATAGTAAGCGTGGTGGCACTGCATCGAAATCATCCCGAATAATGAAGACGTATGAATTATATATTTCTACGAGCGTCAACTCTTTCTCAGTTTCTTGCAGGTTAGACCAAAGAAGCCATCGGCATGAACGCACCTCCTCGGACATTTGTGGGTGAACCCGTGGTTCAATATCATCATACATTATTGGGGAAAGTTCGAGAAGGCATGAAACTTGTTCAATTCTTTGGGATGGGCTTGATGATGGCCATTGCTTCTCAGACGGGACAGCCAGTTCGAACTGGGACGCTTTCACGTGGGTGAATTATTCCTGCACATACGTTAGGAAGGAGAACGAAGGGACTAAGCTGGAGACATACTGCCAGTGGTTGCTTCAGCGAACTTACGAGTGAAACTGTTTTCGGAAAGGCGACTCAGAATACGAGGCATAATTTGAGACCATTAATGTCAGGACGCCATGTTTTTGTCGGATGTAGTTATAATGGACATTATTATATATATCTAACACTTACAAACATTATAACCGTTCGTAGTGGCGTCGCTATCCTTCGTGTTGATAGACTTTAACAAATACAGGCAACTGAGGACCATCGGCTGGACTATTTTTCAGTATTGGTCGTTGGACGGCGGAAGCTTTCACGATGATGTCTTCATATGGCACCGCTAGTTCCATCTCGAACCCTCGAATAATGGTAAACAAGATAACCTTCATCCTACACGGCGTCAGTCAATGATGCTTAATGGCACACAGTTTAAAAACGCACTCAGCGATTGCAAAACGGTAACCAATACACGATCGGGGTCCTCCAATAAAGGTCATCATATTACCCCACACTCCCGGAATCGTGTGCACAGCTTCAGGGACCTTCTCCCACCGTTCCGGCCTGCCAGATGTTCTTCGTCAAAGGACCAGACAGAAACCAATGGATTGGGCATACCGATAGTCTTCCGCATCCTCACCCCACAAAGATTTATCTCGATTTAATGCCATTATGGGAATGGTGATCATCTCGCCTTTCTTAACCCTTCGTTCACTGTTCAGCCATCTTCTTTTGACAACAAAGGGGAACTCACAAGATGGAATCGTGCAATATGCCTCTGTTATCTCGGAATGGATGCCGCAGAGGTATCACATCGTCTTTGGCTGCAACGCGTATCGTCGAAGGGACGGGAGGCCGCACTCTCATGGTCTCCTTAACGACCCAATCCAGATACGGTAGCCCATTTAACTCCTCTGCCGTCGGTGTGCTTGTGGGTACAGCAAGAAGCTCTTGGCGAAGCTTGGTCTGGACGTCGAGGTATCGACACAGGTAATAAATAGTCCATGTCACAGCAGTGCTTTGGATAGATGCGTTAGTGCAATTTGCGCGTTACAACAGCTACATGAACGGACCTCGTTGTTTCATGTCCGGCAAGCAAGAAGGTTGGGACCTCTGTCAGTAACTTTAAAAAAGCAGCGTCGATATTTAAAGAGAAGGCATACGTGAAAGAACATCTGCCTCATTCATGCGCTGATTGATAGGAACGTCCGGTGAAGCATTGGCCCGGACGAGCAAAGAAAGTAGATCTTTGTTATCCCCTTTCTCTGCGTCACCCGCTACCTTGGCATCTGCTAGCAACTGCCCGCCAAGACGAACCAGAGTATCCTGAATAGCTTGTAGTCGAGCTTTACTCTGACTGGGCTATTAAGAAACAAAGTCAGACTATCGTTACTATTTTCTGCGCAAGACCTACAATCCATTTCAAGACGGGAAACCGAGCGTAGAGTATACGTGTAGGTCGACTTTCGTTGGCTACACGTAGTAGTTCGACAAGAGCCTGATGAACTTCATTATGTGTATCGTTTATGTTTAGAGAGTCGAGTTTGTGATTAAACCCTAGAATTTTGCTCTATGAGTAGGGCTGGCTGAGTTAAACAAGCGAACATACCAGTGCGGGCTATGATATCCAACGTCAGACGAGTGAGCCACGATACGGTATCGATTCGTGCTTTCCCTGAAGACTTGAGACATTCTACCGTCCATATCTGCTGAAGCTATTATAGGAGGGAGGTTAAAATGGCTCGCTATCCGCATTAAGGCTCGATGTGAGTACCTGGATGGCTTTATCCAGAAACACTTCATGAAACTCGCGGATGTTAGCATTAGAAAACGCTGGATTCTGTGACGATTCAGAAGAAGTTTCGAACATGCGTCGAGTAAATCATACCATAATTTTACGCTAAGGACTTGCATTTAGCCATGCGTGTGACACTACCTAAGAATTTTAGGTGCATACCTGCTGTTTATGCTTGCTACCTTCCACTGTAAGAATGCCTGAGAAAGATAGTCAATCGAGGGAAATGAATGGCTGGCGAAGGTCTGACCTTCACCAGCAACTTCACCTAGAAGTTTGCGCGTCATAGAAGGCTTGGGGTAGTCGTATGCATTGAACAGAACATGGGCTATTGCTATTCAAAATTTGAGGGCCCTCGTCCGACAAGCATGCTGCAAGACGGAATACCTTTCGTGTCAATGGTCAAAAGATTCCTCGTCTGTTAGTGTGTGTCAGTCATCTTCGAAGATGAAAAAAAGGAATGATCTCACTGCAAAGATTCCTCTATACGATAACGTGGGTCCGTACTGTTGAAACCAGCGCTCATAGACACCATCGGGGTTGTTCTGCAGGTACGTCAAATCCGTTAGCTGAATGATGTCATCGCTGTACTTGCCGCTAGCACTTCTCTGAGGTTACCAAGAATAAAACCCCCTCCTTTCGGGCTAGGAACGTGACGAAGGAAAGAAGCACCACCCCAAAAAAATTTCCACAGCTGTAGTAAACAATACCCCGCCAATGCACTCAAAACCACAGAAAAGAGCTGGTTATGCATAGTTACAAGCCATAAGAGACGGCGATTGGGAGCGACGGAGTTAGACACCAAATTCTGGAAGCATAACGGACTCATACCATGTTTCGTTGTGGGAGTTGATAGTAGTAGTGTGGGGGTTGAAAAGACGCAAGCCTAGTGCACCGAAGTCCCTAGCAGCATAGGTGTTTAAATATAGGCCTAAAGCTTTCGAAGCTCAGTAGTCTCCGTCGGAGGTCTCGCCACGGAAGCAATAGTGCGACGGACGCCGTCGGCCTTACAAAGATGTAGGAGCCCCTTGCGCCGGCTCCGAACAGAAACATCGGGATATTCAACGTTCATTGTTGTATAAATTACACATCATTGACACAGCCGGAGGAAGCCGAAAGCCCATGCACCATTCTTCACACCTTCTGGTATGGTTTGATTATAATGGGCATTTGGTTCCCGGCATCAGGGTTACTTCTGAGCAATGGCCGTTGCACGATAACGGACCTTTTCGCGATTTCCGCTCCCGGGACGGCTAATTCGAATTCGAATGCCCTTACGAGAGTGAAGAGAATAGCTTTCATCCTGTGCCAGGTTGATCAGAAGCGAGCGCGAAAGACCAAAAGACATTGCACGTACTCCACCAGAGAGAAGCGATACCCAATGCACGAACGAGGACCACCAATGAATGACAGAAGGTTTCCCCATACACCAGGTATGGACTTTACTGTATCAGGAATGTTTTCCCATCTTTCTGGTCTGGTGTCCTATGATCAGCGACAGTAGACCGATACATAAATCAGCCAGGACGAACTTGAATGCCATCGCATCTTTGCCCCACAGGGTTTCATCTCGGTTGACTGTAGCAATAGGAATCATAACAAGCTGGCCTTTTCTGATCCTAATATTAACGTTTCGAATGAGTACCGGGCCGACGGGGGATTACATACATACCTGATACAATCCTGGACTTTGCCTTTCCTGTCAACGAACGGCCGGCTTAAAGGAATCACATCATCCTTTCCTGCAATACGAGCGGTTGCAGGGACGGGAGAATGCACGCGTAACGTTTCCCGAACGACCCAATCCAGGTAGGGAAGAGCATTCAATTCATCCATCGTGGGTGTATCGGTATCAACCCGTAACAGCTCGTCCCGCAGCTTAATCTGAGTATCTGGACTTTGAGTCAGGGCAAAAAGAGCCCATGTTGTCGCAGTACTAAGCGGGACAGTCAGGTACGTAGACTATCTTCTCCAATTTTTATTCACCTTGTGGTTTCGTGGCCGGCGATCAAGAAAGTCGGGACCTCTTTGAGGTATTGAGATAAACCAGACAGTCAAACAGATAGTATAGATACTTACGAGCTAGAACATCGCTATCAGCCATGCGTTGATGTTCACCGACACCAGCAGACATGTTGGCCTTAACAAGCAGTGAGAGAAGATCCCGAGCGGTCGAACTACCTTTCTCTCCACTTGCTCGAAGGCGGGCGTGACTTTCATCGAGGAGTTGATGCCCAATTCGATTCATGGTTTCGTGCGCTCTGGTAATTTCGGCCTCCCGTGGATCAGGCTTAATGGCGGTAAATAACCTTCTTAGTGACAAAGACGAAGAGTCTCTTACGATAAAACGTAACGCCGGGAAGAAGGTTTTGATAAATAGCAACGGATTTGATCGGTTAGCAGTCGCGAAGATTTTGGTAAACGCTTCGTTCAACTCGTTTGGGGTATGACTGGGGTTGAGTGAATTGAATTTGTAGTTGAAACCTTCGGGATACGTATTAACGTATTGGAATAGGACAAAGGAAAAGCGTTAATACACACCGGCTAGACCAATGACATCTAAGGTCAACCGACTTAACCACGAGAGTACGTCAGTGGTGAGAGTTCCTTGTGCAGCTGCGCATTCTGCTGTCCATAAATCCCGTAACTATCGCAAGAACCGCTCGTCGACTTGAGGAAGAATATCAGGCACGGAACCTCGTACCAGGAGAGACTTTTCGAGGAAAATGGTGTTGAGTTCACGAATTTGAACGGGTCCAAAGGCCGGGTTCTGTTAACGTATAAGTTCAACGTCTACAGAAATCAGCGATTCTCGCCGCTCGGCATACACACCATAGTCCTTCGCTGTAATCACAACACCAGTGTCAATGAATGGACTTTTCCATACTTGGCACTAAATTAAGTACCTGCTGCTTGTGCTTTTCTCCTTCAACGACAAGGATGCCTATAAACCGATTACTGAGACGTTCACAAAATTCATGGGGAAAGGTAACCTTTGCCGATAATGCGCCCTAAGTTATATCGGCTATGGGGCGGTTTAGGGTAGTCGTAAGCGTTATTAAGAATGTGCGAAACTGCTCGTAGGTCCGTCGTGAGCAACCGGTACCCCTACAAGACATAAGCATCTAGCAGGAAATCATGAAGAGTAAAACACTTACGCCAAGGGTCCCCGAATATCTAAGGGTAGGTCCATATTGTTTGACCCATTCGTGGTGTACATTACTGTCCTCCTGGAAATAATCAATGGTACCACACACATCCATGTTTGCCGTGTCCCTAGACATACCGACGCCCATATCTGCTTCAAATTTCCCGAAAAAAAGCTCGCGCTTTCAGGCCCAGGGAGATCACTGAGGGGGGAAGTATACTCGATATAAAAGTTTTTGACAAGCTGATACAATCCGTAGGCCACAAGGGTGCCCAAGAACGTACATGCGATCTGAAGAAAGACCTGCATATCGATGAAGGGAGAAGGGAGATCTGGACGAATGTTCACTTACCGCCAACAATTTCTATCAGGCCTTTGTTATATCTTCCCGCTTCCACGGCTGCTTGACAACATTAGTAATTCGTCATCGCCCGTGGGGAACAGCTGTTCATTGATGACGCAGTCACGGCAGGGACAGTACGGCCCGAGAGCCGGATCTAGCCCGAAATTCGTGCGCTGATTATTCGACCAAGGGAACAAAGAATCGACTACGGTGATACCAGTAACCATACATACATAGATCTTCTCAACAGATAGAATACAACTAGATTGTACCGACAACTTGAACACTTCTACTGGGCGTGGCAATTTTGTTCGTGAAGGACAGGTAGGTCTTTCGAGCTGGAAGGCGGCGATTCCTTTTCCGATGGGGTTAGGTTCCCGCCCCACCCATCCTTGAGATCAGTATCGTGAGCACGCGTCGTCTCGACGTTGACGAAAACCTGGTTAGAAAAGGTAATTCATTCTAGCTAGGAGGAGTAACAGTAATGAGAGGAGTACTTACACCTGGGGTTTCGTGTACTGTACGGTGCGGCTGTAGGCGACATTAGTGAATGCTACCATTCATATGAGAAGAAGCAAGCTTACCATGTAGGCATTCGAGGCGTAATCCCCTGATGGCATCGCGAGAACCTCAGGTTTTTTCACGTCGATTATTTTCCTAGAGTTGAGCGCAGATAGAGCCATGTTCGCGTAGAGTTTGGGCATGACAAAGGAGAGAGCTTAGAGAACCTTCAGAAAAAGGAGAGAACGATTGCAGGAAATGGGGCGCACCAAGATAGTAGGGACCGGACTAAATGCGCGAATGTCAGTGAATGGAAGTACGGCAATGTCATGAACCCACGTCACAAAGAAACAGAATCGCTTGTGCGGATGACAACAAGGACGTTACAAGGCCTGTCATGAATGTGGGTATATACTCAAAGAAGGGAATTGAGGTAAGACGGACCATTCTGAACAGACACTATCCGACAAGCGGGAGGATAAGAAGGAGAAACATAGCCGGTCATCGCTTGACTTGCCTTGGATCATTGTGTCCAGAGTCCTGCTGGCGAGACTGAACTTATCCTTTCGACGGAACAGATAATGTGACATCGCGCCGGTGATAATGATATTGGCTACGGCAGCCGGGACCAAACATACACCGAGCGAGGCTTTAGCATCTTCCAGGTCAGCAAACGTATCCATCTTTGCACCAGCGACTCCGGAGGCGATGCCGCCAGCTAACGTTCCATTAGCCTAAAAGTATTGTAAAAACACAAAAGGAACTTTACCGAAGGATGCAAATGCAAGAACACAGATCACTCCCGGGACCCACCATCTGGTAATGAGGGCGTGTATCCTCAAAGCAAAGAACGTAATGACCAAAGGTCCGATGATACCCTTGAGTAAAAGGATTAGAACTGCAGAGGTATCAGTCGCTTCTCGATACTCACGAGAAGAACGGGTCCTAAAGGCAGCACAACAAGTTTAATAAGAATAGAGCGCGTCTCGGAGATTCTCACCTGTTACCAGTGCTAAAGACCATCTCGATCAGCCTTATCCAATGCATGGAAGAGAACACACGATCTTACTCCAATAAATCTGCATAAGAGATGTATTATCGGCCCACGTAGTAACCAAGACGCGGTAGAGCCTTTAAGTATTGAGAAATGTGAGAAGTAACATCTAAAGAACGTAGTGGAAGACAAACCAAATGAGCAGGAAGATAGTCGCAGCAAAATCGAGCATGAAAAGTGAGGCCACGAAGGCCTTCAACCGACCATTGTCCCTTCGTATCAAAGATGTTGAGAAGGCGGCACAAAGTTACGACATTCGAATCCGCGTACTTGTAATTGAAGTTGTTGAAGTAGTTCCACGTCTTATGAAAAGTCTCAGTCGATCGCGAACACACGAGAAAACCCGGCTAACTCACTTGAAAAACCACAATTCCAAAGAGAATCAGAGCAAAAGTAGCACCTATAGACCGCGTCAATCAACCGTGCAATGAGGCTATGAAGGACATCAGACCAATGAGAATCTGTGCCAGCGGGTCGGGTAGGCGCGCCATTGGATCAGCTATGGCTTTTTGGTTGACTAGAAATATTAGTGTAACAGACCAAAGAGAACTTAAGGAAACGCTGAACCGAGAAAAACAGAAAGATGTCGGACTTTATCTAGACCACGCGCCACGCAACGTGTAGCAGGGTCCTGATTCGCCAATTAGTTAACTTTCCATTGTTCCCGAGACGTCGGCGGCCTTGTGTCTTCCACGGTTTCCTTTTACTGCACCATCACGGCAAAGTAACGTTGTGATAGTGCGTAAAATCACGAAAGACGCAGGGGTATCAGCATCTTTCTTCCCGTTTAGTGATGCTGTACGGAAGGCCTATCGTACCTGGAGATCGTCAAATTTCTGTCTGTCACTGTCAGCGTCCATGGAGAAAGGACGTGGGCTCTAGTGCTTCGGGACCTCATCTGATACCGCAGCTGAGCTGAGGAGGATATTGGAAGATATAGCCGCGTGCAACTGGAACCGGAGGAATCGATGTTATTTTAGACAGTGACATCGGAATTAACTGTTTTTAAGCGCTCAGAAGCTGCCACTGGCAGGGATGATTGAAGCCCTTCTTTAAATTGGGGTCGAGGGCATATGGAGAATTTTTCCCTAACGTTTTAGTCGTACGTTGTTGGAGTATGTATGTAACATGCAGGGATTGGAAGGCGTTGTGGGATAGACAATATCCGATTCGTAGGAGTGGAAAGAGATCGCCGGACCGTAGGCCGGCCAATGGCAAACGTCGCGACGTTAAACGTTAAATAATTGTTTCGCGGATAACGAGGCTTCTGAGGTCTGCGTAGAAAATTTGATGCCGCCGCCAGGCTACGAGTCACACAGGCAACGAAGGCTTCTCTCCTTTCGCAAGGAATATTTTTACACCATGCCCGTGCATCTTGGCCGAGACGATCTTTTCCAGGGAAAACACGCCCAGCCCGGCTCCGTCAAACATCTCTTTCATCTGTTCTTCGTTGAAACCAGCTTTATGCGCGACGATATTAGCATGTGTATTAGGAAAGCCCGTAGCATCGTCCTCGGCCTGGTAATCAGTAACCAATAGGATTCCGCCGGGCTTTACGAAAAAAGCCAGACGCTTGGTCGTTTCCTGGGGGAAAGGCATATGGTGGTACGCCATGGAACACTGCACACCGTAGCCCTCTGGTCATTTCGTCTTTCTCGGAATGAAACATGGATTACTACTCGCCAGGACGACGTCAAACTTCGATCCATCAAGCTCGCCTTCTTCCCCCTTGAGCTCGATACAAAGTGCTCTCATGTCTTCTGGAGGTATCCCTTGGTTATGTACACGGGTGTTATACTGGTCTACCATGCCTTGACTTATGTCGATGCCCAGGATGCTCTTGCAGTGCGGTGCGAGCTGCCGGGACATCAGACCTATAACGCCTAGCAACGTTAGTGACGGTCAATCATTTGACAATATGTACCTGCGCCGCAAGCGAAATCCAACAATGTTGTCGATTCTTCATTAAACGGGTACGCTCGTTGAATTGACTGGGCTAGCCTGGACTTTCAAGGGTAATGGTGAATCTCATATATTATGTACTTGTCATGGACTCACCTCTGAGCGAGCTTAAGCGACTGGGGTCGGTCATCATGCTTGTCCGCCACCTTGTCGAAATAATCTCTATTTGCTGAAGTAAAGTCATGTCCGTGTCTACTGGTCAGGTCAAGATCTTGATGGGACATTATGTTTCTGTCACTTTATGATGAGGTCTAAATAGAGCTAATAGCAGCGTCGAGGGAGTGAAGTACCTTGAAAATGAATAAGTCACCCGTTCCAGCGATCGTCAGGCCAGGTTCAACGCTGCAATTTCAAGAAATTTGAATATTTTTCCGAAGTTTCGAATTTCGCCGTGACAATCACAGGTCATGACCCAATTTGGCTCCATCACTGAGACTTGGTGACCGGCGGGGATGTCGATACCGAATCCTGTCCTTCCCCCATTCTCGCCAGCTATCACATCCTACCCATCTTCACCGTCGTCTTCAACCTATCGTCCTTGAAAGATTACATCGAGTGCCAGCATTATTCATCAGCCTTAAGTGGCGACCAATCACCATCACCCTGATTGACGCCGGACCTGAGATGTCGCCTACTATTTATCACCGCGCTCCACTTACCGACTCCCTCGCTCGTCATGGGATACTGGGAGATGTGTTAGAGAAAAGAGGCACTCCGAAAATTGGAGGTTCTGTTGGCGGTCAGTTCCAAGAAATTCCAATTGTTTTGCTGACTCACCATTCCATTCCATTCCATTCCTCCAGGGTTCATCGCCCTCGTTGTTGGCCTAAGTCTCATCATTCTTATATCATGCATTGCTATCTTTTTTCTCTTGCGAGAAGGAGAACCCTCGGATGAGGAACGGGCGGCTCGGCGGCGACGATACCGCCAGCAAGCATTGGAGTACACGTATGGACCCACAGCCAGTCCGCAGTCATCGTGGTCGTCAAAAGTCAAGAGTGTCTTTGGAGGCACCACAAGCAGTAGCAAAGGGTCCAAAAGGGGCTGGGTGCAGGCAGGATCAGGAGACGAATGGGAATCCGAATCGATAATAGACGAAGCTGAAGGGCGGCACCCTGACCTTTCTCAACGAGGCAGCATGCAGATCACGTACTCGCCGCCACTGGATGCGCCCTTCCACCCACCATTACAGCCTTCGGAGTCTGCTTCTAGCGTCCGGTTTGATACTCAGGGAGTGCCGGTATTACCCTATCTAAGGTCGCTGTCTTCGCCTTCACCCCATCCATCGCTACCGAATATTCACAGCAGAATATCTTCACCGACGCCGTCAGATCCGCTTTCGCCAGTCCATGATAGAGTTGTGTCACCAGAACCCATTGCTCCAGCGCATATCGACAGTCCTGTTGAGCATCACGAAGGCAGGAAGTCGTCTGGTCAGTCCGCAACGTCAGTACGGACATTCAACGGGGGAACGAAGTTTCTGGAGGCCCTGTAGCCAGCCATCTATTATGCTCTTGTACATTAAGACTTCTTGGACATTGTGCTATAGTTATCTATCTGTACGGGACTTGCTTTGTACCCTGATGTGCTTTCTGAATTTTGGTGCCACTTACACAGTACACGCTACTATACGATTCTTAAATAATGATATGTATGTATATGTCGTGTCGGTAGCGAAGACTACCTCGAGGAAAAAGGGGGGAATTATTGGTGGGAATATGCATCTAAATTCGTTATATAAGATACCGGTCCACTAATAAATTTACACCAGCGCCCAAAAAAACAACGAAAATAAAGGTTAGCTCCATTTACAACAACATCCACAACCCGAGGGACAGGACGCAACGTTTGCCGTTTTTGAGCATGATATATGAAGCACATGAAGACAGTGCACACAGCTTCGCGAAAGGCCTAGTAAAACGGGATCGTAAGGCTCAAGAAGGGATTCACAGCGACACACACGTAAATATACCTTTGACAGGAAGACGGCAAACGGAACATGAAGGCATCACCGCCCGATGGCTGCATGAAGTACATACACTAACGCCATGCGGAATATCGCCCTGACAGCCGAAAACCGTACACCTGTGAACAATACCTGCGTTCCTCCCACATTAACAACCAACCTCGATTACAACATTAGACACTCACCGATCTCGTGCTGACCGATATCCCAAGACATCTCTCGTCCGTGAACCGCCTTCAGCAGCTCGAGTCGCTTATGGTACAGCTGCCAGCTAAATAACACTTCAGCATAGACGTACACAGAATTTAGGAACTGTTGGATTTCGGATCTCTCGAACAAAGGCGCAGGACTACAAGGGCAGGAGATCAGCCATCGGCGGTAATGGACGTGAGTAATGAATGGTACGTGCCTTTCGTCCTCTGGCGGTTCCTCCACGATGATACGTTTTCCCGTCCCCCCGACGACACGACGGCCAACGCTAGATCCATGTGATTGCATCGATATTGATGCAGGTGAGAACGACACCGATTGTCTATGACTTTGAGTCTCCTTTTCGTTCCAAGATTTAGACACTGCAACGTCCTTCCGTGGTCCTTTACTCTGAGACGGCTTCGGCGAATCGGGACCATGTCGCACGCGATCACTTCGACTAGGAGGAATGGGTATCGATCCCGACGTGACAAGCAGAGGTCGACTCTCCATGGTTGGCGTCGCTAGTCCATCTTTGATGCTGTCTTGTACACCGCTCATGAGCTGTCGCATTGTGCCGGTGTTGAATAGACTTGACCAGGAACCCCGGGAAGAGGAAGAGGATGATATAGAAGGCGCCGAATTCAAGATGTTGGGCGACGCAGAAGGAAGACGAGGCCATACAGGCGACTTCAGACTGTCACGGTCTGGCCTACTTCTCGTCATACTGAAGTAGTCGAAACCATCGGAATGGCCAGAACGCAGAGGAGTCGCGTTCACGCTCTTAGGATCCGGACTTCTCATTATGTTCTCTAAAGACTCGCGAGTATCAAAGGCTTGAAGCACTATCATGGACATCATCGCTAACATTTGCACGTCTTTTTGCTGAGATAGCTCCGCAGTACTGAAACAGAGATATTAGACCTTCGGACGACCGTAATACATGACCAAAAAACGTACAGACGACGTATAACTTGCCATATTAGAGGACTCGACTTGACAATCCAGTCGGTGTCTTGCACTGGTCCCTCGACATGGAACAAAGCACCAAGAGTAATGAATATCCGCTCATGATCAAACCGGCGATACTCTCTCGCTACAACGGCGTTCCTGGCACAGACATCCGAGAGACTATGCGACTGAAACACATAACGCAGAGCAACCTTCTTGTCACTCCCGGCAAGGTGCGATATCGTCCCGATGGAGAGCGTACTGCGCCGCAACGGAATCACAAAGTGATCGGGCACCTCTCCCTGTGGCCGCGAGTCAAAATTATTCCGAAAACGTTCCTGAGAAAACGTGAAAAAATTGGTCATAACACGCAGAATGTTGTCCCCGTTGTCAGACTGGCGCGAATCGGCTGACTTGCCGGAACGATCAGAAGCGATGGTGCCAAGACGGCGGACGGCGTCTGCGACGAGCGATGGAGACTGGTAGATGTTGACGGTGCTTGAAGAATTTTGGGGTGTTGACGGCTTTGTCGGAGAATCAGAGCGGCTACCACGTAGAACGTGGCGTACGATCCTTGGTGGCGCACGGAAGAAACATACAAACTCCCCTGTGGATGACGGTTTGGTAAAAAGTGGAGAATGAAATGCGTTTGCCTACCATTTGGACCAAACGTCCCTTGAGATGTACACGGCTCGGCCAAGTTCTTGTGATTCCTCAGCGCCAGAGCCAAGTCCTTGCCTTTCTTTTCGTCGTCGTCGTCATCAGAGGATCCAGAGTCCATATGGTTGCGCGCCTCTGTTCGTCCATTCTCTTCCTCGTTGGCGCAAAGAAGAAACCTCAGGCAAGCCTCAAGACAGGGCCTTCGAGTTTCTCTGATCCCCTTCAGACGTCGAAGGATAAAGGCGCGATTCTTGATAGAAATAAGGGGACTTTGTTCAAGATTCACGGTCGGCGTCCCTTCGGGGTGTGTTGCTTGAGGATAATCTCGAGGGAACGTGAACGTGACTCTCATGAAGACGGTTGAAGATTCTCCCCAAGGGCCGTAAAGTCCTAATGTACACGTTCGTTTCTTCGTTAAATCGTGCTGAAGGCAAGTTCAGTGACATCCAAGAGACGTCCGAATAATCCCAACCTTCTCCAGCGTAACTTTCCAAGCGGCCAATTTCGTGAGCGCAGATGTAATTCTGCGTAAGATCCATAAGGAATACGGCCATATCGATAGAAGGAAATGTACTCACTCATCCTGTAACGATTGATTCGCTTCCTCGCCTAGGAGTCTATTTCTGCTCTCGCTCCTCTTTTTGCTATCGTTTCCTACAGTGTCTCCCGGACCCGAGTTGCCTCGAGATCTGGAACCCATCCTTGATACCTCCGCACTATTGTGGCCACTACCAGGACCTGATGAGCTCCCTCTTCGTTTCTCCCCCACCTTAACACTTGATAGCCAAGTCAACGCATCGACTCTCGTGGTAACGAATTTACTACCGGCATTTCCCCTGGTCATCTTATTGTATGAGACAGTAACAGGCTGTTTGGAAGCTCGAGATCGAGAGTGCGGAGTTGGTGTTGAAGACGCCACTAATTTCTCGTGAGGAGGGGCACCAGCACGAACCTCGGCAAGAATTGAACGATGACCAACAGGTGCCGACAAAAGCGGGGAGTTTTTGGAAGCTTGGGGAGGGTTTCGGAAAGAGAAGGTACGTCGTTCATCGGTAGCCATTTTGCGTCCTCGTGAGATCGGTGGACTATGGCCAACTTTCTGTCATCGAAGTATCAGCATAGAGTTAGTGGAGTATTTTTGGGTGCAAAGTTACCCGCAGGGATTCTGGGTCGACCGGCCAGAACCGTAAGGTCCGGTCTTTTGACCACGTTATAAGCTGGATGTCTGAGTCGTCCTTTCCGCCCCTCCTCCAGACGAATTCCTTTACGACATCTGTATGTCCTTCGAACACGTCCACGGGTGTCGTTGTGTCAGAGCGCGCATACATCTCAAGAATGGCCTCCCCTCTCTGCGCTAAACTCATTACACCGTTGCCGAACGGCAAGTTCCTAGCACGCCAAACAGGGTATGCCGTGTGTATCACAGTTTTGGGTTCCTGAGGAGTAGCGTTCACATCCCATATTTTGATCGTCTTGTCTAATGAACAAGTGACTATCTCATTGGATTCCTGGTAAGACCAGTCAATGCCGTATATTTTGGAGTTGTGAGCTGCAATTCTGGAGATAGGAAGAGAACCTTTACGCCTATCCCAAATGAGCACCTCGGTGGAATGTGAAGAGGCGAGAATGTTAGCATCTTGACGACTCCATTTGACTTGGGTCCCCGGAGCTAGTCGTCATGAGACGTAGCTTTGAGTGAGAATACAGAGATCTTACAATTGAAAGCACAGAGTCCTGATCGCGTTCATGAGCTAGACAAACTCAGTAGAGGTATGCTTGACATACCGAATATGGGCTTTCGAGGTTCTCTAAGATCCCATGCCCATACCCAACTATCAATACCGGTGCTGACAACGGTGTCGAACTCGGTTGTATGCCAGTTTATGTCAGTGATAGCGCGATAGTGAGCGTAGAGAATGTGTTCGATATTTGACTTTCCTGTGGCCATGAGATTCCATATCAATCTATGAACAGTATCAAAAGAGGTGCACGGGGGAGAAATAGAAGAGACATACAATTTCTCGCTGGAAGTAGAAACGATGTACTGTGCTCGGGAAGTATGTGGATTCCATTGAACGTCTGCTACATCCCATGTGCCACCCTGGGGAAGGAAGCGGGGAATTTCCAGAGGTGCTTCCAGGTCAATTATGAATAGACCTCTGCGTCTAGAAACGTCATATATTAAAGAAAGAATTTTGGTAGCATCCAGGACACATACGCAGCAAGAACAATGTCCCGAGAAGCCGGGCTGATACTCATCTAAGCTTGTGAGCCGGCGCGAGAACAGAGGATTGGCACAACATGACTCACGTTTCCAACGGCATCCCCCACCAACCCCTTCATGTCTATCTGCAGGCTTTCATGAAAATTTCCACGATCCTCAGGTGATGACACCCCATCGTTGTTCGTCCCAGAGTCACTAGTGTGCGCTTCTTGCATCGACGGAGTCCAAGATGGTCGCCTGGTTGACGTCTTGCTTGAGGATGGCTGAGAAGAAAGAGGCCAGTCCGTCTGAAATTTGATTGTTACTGAGACGTTGTCCAAGGATCTTGAACCTGGTAGAACTTTGGGTTCATGAGGCTCGTACGAAGATACCAATGGTGACGAAGGCATTTGAAAGCTATACTCCTTGGCTCATTGTTGTGGGATAAATGTATGATAGTAATCCTCTTCACTTCGAGAACTGTTTGGTTCGCGAAAGCGCGATATGCACCTTGAGACGCGTCAGTCGTTCATATCAAACGCGGTAGTTATACGAATACCAAAAAGATCCAGCTGGTTATAGATTGTAATTTTCCCTCTGCTGGTATACGAAGGACGGTGGAAAGGGTGAGAGATTGGCCAAGAAGGGTCGTGACGTCGAAGTAAAGACTGAGGCGAACGGCAAGTTCCGAAATTCTTATGTCGGTATCCGGACCGACCAACACTAATGTTGCCCTTATTAGGCCTCGACTCAGAAGTTATCATTCCTCAGTTCCTGGTTGTGCAGCTTAGTGCAATGGACTCAGCTTCTCACAGTCTCTCCTCCTCCAATGGCTGTGTGTACTAACTGATGGCATCGGCTCTTGTAACAAGAACTTTCCCAAATTAGACGCACTAGCCTCCTGCCACCAACCTGAAGGCACCGGCTTCTTTTTTCGTCTTCCTTTCTTCGTATAGCGCCCAGGTCCCCATTGCTCTGTCCTTGCTGTGAAACAGTACTATATGTGACATTGGACTTGTCATTTGCGACATTTGCGACACTAGCGGAGTCGTCTTATTGATTAGCTAGTTGATAAGTATCAACACTGCTCGAACATACAGAGCATGAAGAACGAGTCTCTTCATCTATCAGCTTCTGGTTTACCTGCTGCTCAGTCGTTTCACGATACAAGGGTATTGTCGCGTATCATGGAATGTTTTACCATGTGTGCGTGTTCTCCATTGTTTTCAAGACGCCGTGATTCAAACCTTTTCAAGGCGCTTTTTGTTGTATACAAGCTGTTACCGTAAACAACACAGCAGCGCCAAGAATAAAATGCGTGTCGAGTATCATGTTCCCCGCAAGACACCCACATGCAAGCCACAGACGCTCGTTCCCAGTCAAGAAAGAAGTCGCGTCGAGAGTTCACTACCGACACCCCTCGAGATGTGCTGATCGACGCCCTCAAAGAGAAGGAATACAAGATCCGGAGAATGCAAGGACTCTTTGTTGACGCATTGCAGTTACTACATGACACAGAACGCCGCACTGTCGAGGCAGAAAGCCGCATCGCTGACACGGCTAAAGGCCTTGACAAGTTGAACCAATACAGATCCAAGCTGCTGGATGACACTTGGAAGGTGAAGCAAGAGACCTCAGAGGACCGATGGTGGGCCACACGCGGTCAGGAGGAACGAGCAGAGAAGACCAATCTACTTTCTCATCTTTTAGAGGGGGTCGGACAGACAGTAGACGAAGCAGCCAGTGAGCGCCATATCCGTGTGCAAAATGCAGAGGCTCTGGCAACTGCGCGAAGGGTGGACCGTCTATGGAGTCACGAGGTTCAGAACCCGAAGCGTAATAACCCACTCCAGTCTGAAGCGCAACAGGTGGCCTTAGTGGCAGCTCCTGTTTCTCTGCCACCTAACTCAGATGGCAATGCCCACCATCTTGCTTCAGAGAGCGTTCGTTCACGTGTACCATCTACCCCAACAACACCTCCTACTTATCCAGAATCTCTACAAGAATCTCTTCATTCTACACTCCTTGACACCCGTCCTCGAACGAGCCGTCCATACCGCATGCGTCGATCTCAGTCAGTTTCCAGTCCTGCATACTCCAATGATATCGCGGGCCGAGGCAGCCTGCACTCCGTCGAGAACAGCTGCATCACTTCCCAGTCATCGGATAGTCACTTAGAGTCTCTTCTCTCCGAACCCGGAGCCCTTCCTAGTGAAATTATCGGCTCGTCTCTTCGGAAGAGACGTCCCAGTCTCACAGAACGCCTGTTCGATATCGGCAAGGCCACTTTCAGTCCATCAAACGCGGTCACCGAGACTCCCGTTGATCCTTGGTGCCCCACTGGGCATATCACAGCCGCTCACAAGCCTAAATTTCACAGGAGGTCCTCTGTAGATTCAGAGAATTCACTGCCTCCTCCGGTACCACCCAAAAGCTATCCCAGTACACGAAAGGAAAGGTTGCTTCTCGCAGATGATTTACGCTACGGGGCGGCCGCAAAGGAAATATCTCATTATAGAGAAAACCTCATTTCAAGTAAAGAACGCGATACGGTAGGCTTCATTCGTCCCTTTGGAATATTTGGCTGATCACGTTTAGAGCGCTTACCTTGGACCTGATAAGATTCACCGAGAAGCTGCCGCGATGCTCGCATATCCTGATCGACTTGATTCACGCTCGCCGCGTACATCCTTACATTCTACTTCAACTACAGTGGATACACCTTCCCGCAGGAGCTCTCGCATAGCGTCTTCGACCGCTGCTGCTAGTCTGTGCAGTGACGGCGAACCGCCTAACCCTTCTTCATCAGCCTCGAGAGTTGGCCTATCTCCTCAAACAGTTCCTTCAATAACAGTGACCCCGCCATCACGTACGACTTCAATGGATGATCTTTCATCACCGTCACTCTCTAGGAAGCAAGCTGGCGATTCAAGTTCAAGAGCCCCGCCGCCTACGAGACTTTCACCCGACAATCGTGCTTCAGGATCTCCCAAACACCTCATCAGCGGTCCTTCGAACCCACCAGCCAGTTTGCTCCTATCCCAGAAACGTGCCGGACGCCACGCCCGCGAAGGTCAAATTCTAGCGTAGGTCATAGACAGAGGGACAAGAGTCTGCCCTCGCGGCCGACTCGTACACCTGTTTCCGCTCAAGCTTGCCGAGAACCTGCTTCAACTAGAAAGCCTACGTCCCATTCTTCGGATTTGCCGCCACCCATCACTCCTCCTCCAATTGGTGTCTCTTCCACCCCAGTTCATATTTCTCGCAATAAAGGACCTCCCAACCATATCAGAAAGATGCCTGCGCCAAAGGCATCATCGGTTAACAATTCTCTTCAGTCTATACGGGATACAAGTATTCCTGCTGAAGTCAAGACCCTGAGACGTGTCAAAAGACAAGTTCTCCGCATCTAATGCACAACGCACGACCATCATGACTGTTTGTTCTATTTCTTTCGTTCGCTGGATACTGTACTTATTCTCCTAATGCCCATTTTGAATCCTCGCTTCCCTTGTCATTCGTTATGGGATGACTTAATTTTGCTTCTTTTCTATGTTACGATCCCAATGAATACACATGATTTTAATGTCATCCAATCTCAATTCGGAACCGATACGAAAGCGCATTCTGACTGATGTAAATAGATGGTCCGAATAGATCTACAATCCAAAACAAGATATACAAGAAAAAGAATAGATACAATTTGAAAACACTTCAGTATGTTCAAGCTAATTCAAGAAGTCCGGAAAAAAAGGAGAAACCACCCGTTCTTATCCTTTACAACCCACAGTATGACGCATTGACTTGGACAGCCGTAACATCCACGATCCCATACTCAACGGCATGTCCGTCCGTCAAATTATTGAACGCTTCCAACGACGTATAAAATCCCGAATCGGCATGATCTACAGCCAAGACCGTGATATTGCGCGGCTCTCCCAGCCCCGTGTACGTCAAGTTCCAGCATGTACCGCAGTTTGCGCTGTTGTAAGTCTCGACGGCGGAGGACGACGCGATGTACGGGAAGGAGGGGAGGCTTTCGTAGGTGGTGTAGCCCTTGGTCAAAAGACCGTTGGAGCCATCGGAGCAAGCAACGCTGCGGAGTGAGTTGGTCCCGACGCCGTAGCCATTGTCATAGCCGGCGGTTATGGCCATAGCGCATGTGGGGATGAGAGCGAGGGCGAACGACGAGAGGAACTTCATGTTGGTGGTGATGGGCTTGGTTTGAGAGGCTCGGTTTTCTGCTTTGGCTCGCAGAGGAGGCGATGGAATGTGAGGCATACAGTAGTAGGTTTTATATGACGATATACACGACATACCAAGGTAGGTATCCTCAGTGTCAGTAACAGATGGCGTTACGTTGCGAATCCTCGGAAAAGAAACGCCGCCTGGTCAATTAGGTGAAGTACAAGAGACTTCTAATGCTGGCGGCCCTAGTTTACGAGTTTTTGACTATTACATCTTTAAGAATTCGAGACCAGAAGCGCATGTCGAACAGCCCGGATCCAATGGAAGAAAGTAGTGGTTGTGCAGGAAAGAGAGGTCTGCCTAGATCTACCGTGTCGATCTTCCTATACATCAGGTATCAATATTAAAAGTGGTGATAGATTGAAAACCACCAGACCATTGCAAATATGTGGGCGTCGGTTACTGTAGCTGGCGGGTAACTCCAAGACGTACGCTTAATACATATAAGCGATTGACGTAGTAGATCATCTGAACATCCTTGCGAAGGCGAAGAAGCAGAGAAAACGCCACCTTCACATGTCATATAACAGATGATGTGAACTCCCGCAATCAGAGGAGAAATCATACAAGTCTATATTCATTCTATACACGTACTAAAAAACTGTGTAAGTCCTCATGAAATACATCTATGACAGGGGGGTATCCGTAATCCACCGAGTGATCAGATCCTGGTGAAGCATGATAGTCAGTACCGTAAGACGATACAATAAACAATTAACAAACCAAGGCAGCCTCAGATTGATCGTACGGAACCATGTGTCTATTTAGAAAGATCCGAACATGGTGAGTCAATCAATACACAAGAACCTGAAGGTAAGACGAACCCGGCATTGTAGACGTTCACGAAAGTGACGTTTCCTGAAGTGAACCCACCGCCACCGGCACTACGAACTTCGCCGGCAGTTACACCAGTCTTCGCAATCACCCAGGGAAGCGTTTCGGCATCGTAATATTCCTCACTGAAAGCGGTATCCAGTTCTTGAACCCATCTCGAGTTTCCCTATGATCTAACATAAGGAGTGACCAGAGCGCAAGAATAAATGAGCGTACAATGTAATTGCACATCATGTCTGTAAGCAAGATAACCATTAGCCTAGTATGAGAGACAAGACAAAAAAGGGCAGACCAGCATTTCCGGCGTATACAAGCAACTTGATTCCATCATTGATTAACTCTGGCAATAAGAGTGCGCTGTTGTGGCCCCCATCACCTTGAAATGCAAACGCCTGATTGACTTCCATGTTACACGAGTCAAAGTTGCGCTCAGGATTTACGCCCAGCGCGCGCTTGACAGAAGGATCATTCATGTAATTCTCGATCCATCCCATTTGTTTGTAACATAGTTCACCGTCTTTGTCCTTGGATCTATCACATTTCTTCCGAACATCATAGGGATTCAGACCAGTTGCTGGCAAGTCAGGTGAGAACAGAGTTTGAGATCAGAATCATTTTCAGCTACTCACCCATAAGAGGTCCGAACAACTGAGAATTACAATAGAGCATGGCGGGTACACAGGTTAGCCTAGATTGGAACTTGTAGCAGGAATTGATGAGTCTTTGGCAAGTCGGGATCTTCGCACGAAGGGAGGTGCACTCGGGGCCCTCTGGATCGCTGAAGATGGGGAACGGGCCGTCACACGCGTAGTCTGCAACAGAACCCATTTGAATGTAAGGATTGGTGAGCCCATTAGCGAGAATGACTGAGGCGAGGTTGATCTTCTTTAGACTGGGAGTGGGAGCAATAGATAGCTCCTTATTCGCCTCATGAACGACGCTCGCGATATTGGGTGCATATGTTCCACCATAACTCTCAGCAGCGACTATATAATTAAGGTTACTATGGACACAGCTTTTGTTCAGTGACTGACTTACTATGGAAGGGCAGCTCCAAATACTCGGAGAACCGATGGAAGAACAGCTCGAGGAAAGCGTAGACGTCTTTCCCAGCAACGGGGCTAGTGGAAACGGTCTTGCCATTGTCCGCATACGAGTATCCAACGTTGATGGGCTGGTCAAGGAAGATGATGTTGGCATGGGAGTTCCAACTATCTGGGTTGGAGGTGGTATTATGACCAAGCTCACCCACACGGCAAGGACCGAGTTCAAACAACAGCCCAGTGGAAGAACTGCACCCAGGTCCGCCATTAAGCCATAGAATCAGAGGATCGTCTTTGGGAGAATCTCGAGACTCGAAGAACCTGGAAATTTATGAACGAACAGCGTAAAACGCGAGATGATAAAGTACCAGAAGAAGAGATGCTTATCTTCCTCGATGTCCAGATAGCCAGAGTATTGCTTGACCGTAGGGTCACAGAGTTTGGGCTTGGTAACCCTAAGTTGGTGTTGGTCGAATGACGGGTGGGAGACGAGTTCATCTGTCGAGAATTAGAATACACGCTGGGATGAAGGATTCTGGAGCTGCTCACACATAAGATTGTCTTGTTTGATGAAATCCTTGCCGTCGTGTACCCATTTCTCCATGTTCTGTTTCCCATCCAATATTGCTTGCAGTGCATCGCCGAAGTCATTGTTGCTGAAGACTGTCTGGTCGCCATAGGTGGGGAAGGAGGCCACCAATGGCAGGGAGAAAAGGAGCAGTTTGAATGGCCTCATGACGGGAAGGAAGATGACAGTAACGAGGCGCGTCTTCTCGGCTTTAGAGGCGTCGACCAATCGGAAACGCAGGAAAGAAAGAAGGCAAAGGAATGAGTAAGATAACAGTAATATTAACACTAATGGTACAATGGTGCAGTGGCTGTAATGGCCCTAAACCGGGAATGTGAGTGGTTTACGTCAGCGATTCAGTCCGCTTGTGCGCTGGTTCAAGACTGTCCCCTCCAGAAAACTTGGTTTCCACAGCTTCCCGCTCTGCAAAGAGTGGTACGGGCTTGGAATAATTTGTCCTTGATTGGCTAGGGAAGCAATTCCGCAACCAGCAGGACTGGCCGAGTTAGTCGCAGAAGATCAGGGCAAGTCGTCAGTTCGCGCTACGGACCATGCTTCTCACAAACCTTCTTCACTTTTTGATCAAGAATTCAATCAAGACTCAAAACCCAAGAAAGACCGAAGATGATACAGTCATCACCCGGTCTTTTGTACATTTGAATATAACTTCACTTTCCGCTCTATTGTGGTGCCAATTTTATTTTTATCTTATAGAGGACAATATAGGTCATCATACCACTAATGAAAATCAAGTCAAGGAGCCTTGTATCGGTCAGGAAAAAATCAATGATGAGTGATTTGTGAGTGATATGAATTTTAGAAAAACAAGAATACAGTATTAGAAAAAAGTGAGGGCATTGGGTTGCATAAATTGATGTCGCAAATCATTTTACTAGTTATAAGGATGGATTTTTCCTGCAGAACCATGGGCCAGAGATTACTTGTTGTGGTGCTACAGGCAAAACGAACCAGAACCGCTTTTCAGAGCCGTGAGAAAATACTCCAAATTGGGAAACGGTGGCCCAAATTTGGCGCACGGAAACCGGTGTACAGAGGTGCCGGTAACCGGTAATTTTGGACTTTCCTCGAAAAAATTCACCATGCTATCAAATCATTATGGAACCACCTAAAACTCATAATGTATAGTCTTAAACATAGCTTTGACATTATTATATACTTTACTGGATGAAAAATGGATGAGGGAGGTTTTAAAATCCATCGGAAATTTGCCTGTACATCCGACCGGGTGATGACTGTACTCAAAGACGATGGTTAGCTGCTAATGTCCTTCGGTGATTGTTGCTCTAACATACAACTGCTGAAATTTATACATTCACTAATAAGTATTTGTATGCGAGATACCACCTCATGCTAATTCTACTTCCCTTAGCCTTCCGTCTAAAAGGCTCAGAACCGTGTCAAAGCCCTTCAACACCCCCTCATCAGGCCCGTTCCCCGGTACAAACCGAGTATGAGCGAAATCGATCAGTTTGACGATATAAGGAGGCCCTCGCTTGGGTTTCTCATCGTCATCGTCCTCGTCTTCGTCATCTTCCTCCTCCTCTTCCTCCAACATCCATTTCACCCCGTCCTCGGCCTTGATCAAGTCTCCCTCGTAAATGATGAGCAAACTGCCGCCGACCACCCTCATCTCCACGTCAGCAAAGGCCTCACGTATCTCTGCGATGTCTTCACGAAGGGCTTTGAGTACAGGTACGAGAAGCTTCGAAGGTAGGCCTTGTGTGGTATGGGGAGCGAGAGCGGGGAAGAAACGTGCGATACCTTCAGGAAGATCAGACGACTTGATGGATTTACCGTAGGATTTGGGAGTGTTAATGGCTTCCATGGTAGCGTGATCGTGTACCTAAGGTAACCCGATAAGAAAAGGAAAGTATTTTAGTAATTTTAGTATGGACAAGAGGCTCACTTGGAAACCTGTTAGCCGGACGCCTGTCTCAAAGGATGTCGTTTCTCTAGCAACCTTTTCCATCCTAGCAACTTTTTCGGGTAACGCATCCTCATCATACAATACAGTCCCGAGCTTTATGTCCAAAATATTGGGTCTAGTGAATGGGTGTGACAGATTCTCTAGCACAAGGGACTGTATTCAAAGTAAGGAACGATAAATATACGCGACCGCGATACATGGATAACCACTCATCTTTCTGGTGCCCTTCGGGAAACTGCTTCACCGCAATTCCGTTACCTGGCTCTAATCCCTGATTGGCTTCATCGAGTTCACCCTGAAGTTTGAGGGTGCCAAGGAACTTTGGGATAAACGGTCGAAGGGCGTCAAATGCAGGATTGGTATTGAGGGTCTGGTAGAAATGATGCTCTAGCGGTAAAGCAGGTTTGATCAGGAGCGATCCGTCTTCACTTGTGAGAACGCCAGCATGTCCGCCAACTTGTGATGCTAGTGGAATTGTGCTGATAGGTGAGGACATGGTGGTAGTACTGTATCAGTATATTCTGCCATGGGATGGAACGCCAAGAGAAAGCTGAGTTCGAATCAGGCATCAATAAGTGATCGGTCGGCTGCGACGGCAAATTCCTGCCGACGGAAACTTCGGCAATTCCCTTCCAAGTGTTCCTTCTCCCCCCACCACGAACAGTCAATATGGAACAGAATTACGAAGCAAACACGTATCTGGCGGTCACTCTCGCGCCTAATTCTCCTTACAACCAATCTCCAGAGGCTCTTTCGACTATTCATCCTCTGATCACCCATGTCGGTCAAGTAGGATCGCTGGATGACGTACAAATGTTGAGTGTACCGAAACAGGAATGGGCACAGCGGGGCGAGGAAGTGTTGGCATCGTTGAAGGCCGCTCAGGGTATTCATCGAGTCGATGTTCAGTCGCTGAGGCAGAGATCCAAGAGAGATGAGCTCTGATTGTACTTGTTCACGTTTGGTAGAGGCATCACTTCATTCTTCAGCTATTCGTTGCGATAGATTCGGTCTAGAATGCTACCCTGTTACTGGATGTCCGACCTATAATTTTTATCATGTACTATCGAATCGAGCTATCGTTCTACTCCCTTGCTCTTCGCTGCGAAAGTGACACTCTCGGAATTCTTGACGTCTCTTCTGCCTACGATACTGGTGTTTTCTCAAATAGTTACTGTCCTTGCTTCTAAATCCGCCTTTCTACGGATTTTTGCCACATTCGGTATTTTACTGAAGGATTGAATAAATTCTCAGTCTTTTTGTCCTAGTTTTTCATTTCCTGCTGCCGATAAGTACTGCTCTTTATAGAGCGCTTCTTTTGCTTGCCACCGCCCGGATCTGGTCAAAAAATGTCTCAGTCAACTTAGAATGAGCTAATTTCGGACAATAATGTACCGTTCTGATATGCTAAATCCGGACGACTTTTGGTCTGACGCTCGATCGCGACTTTTCCCAAAACTGGGAACATCTCTCTTGACTTCTTCCCATTTCTTCGTTTTCTTCTGCATGCAAGCGCACGACTGAGCACTGAATAGCTTGCCGGTTATCCTCGTCCACATTTTCTATACTTTCTGCTTCAGGTTCTTGATGATGGCCGCCGACGGTGCTCTTGCCAACGAATTGGCTCAAGTCAAACGCGAATTGGAGATCCTAAAGGCAGCGGTGAGTGGCATATATGCGCGTTATTCGACGTCTAATTCACTGCATTTCTAGGATCCTTTCAAGGTCGTCGAGATGGCCATCGAAATTTCGACAGAACGGATGAAGGTCACCGAGGCCATGCATGCTCGAGACGCGGCAGTACGGCGATTATCAGAGGCCTACATTTCTCTTCGACAGAAAGTCGCTATCATAGACCGTCTTCAAGGCAACTCTCACGGTCCCGAATTTTTCAAGGAATGCATGTCTCTTGCCCAACGAGATGGAGGCGTTACGGAGACAGACATGCTAAAGGAGGAGATTTCCGCACTCGAGAGTATTGTCAAGAGTCTGAGAGAAGAGATGCGCGAGCAGAGTGCGCAGACCGCCGCTTCCACTGAACCTCCTCCTCGATATGATGATGGCGCCTACAAGGTCCGTCATCTTCTCGCCCCGACGCGTAATATTGCCTGACTCGTTGAGCAGACTAGTGAACAGTCGGGAAATCAGAATCCAGGAATGATTCCACTCCGAATTTTGCGTGATACACCTCCCCTGCCATCGCGTTGTTCATCACAAACATCGATGTCCTCCGTTTGCACCGAAAACCACATCATTAGGCCTATCTTGAAAGCTGACGATAATGGCTTCGATTACAAGGTCATTTCTTCGCTATTGTCCCTTCTGCCAGGCGCTCATGTGCGTTACAGATTGCACGCCCCGTACCAGAGTCCGTTGAAGCCGAAGAGACCATCGAACAGAGAAACAAGCTTCTCGCGGCAATGCCCCTCCCGCAAGATCCACCAGATGATACACTGAAGCCAATACTTTTGCCTCAGAATTTGACTTTGCATGAGTTCCTTGGTAGCACATCTGGGGTACGTTTTTCTACCGGAAATGGATCAAGTTACTGAGCCCCGCTCTAGTCCTTGCGCAGCTCGTGCGTTACTATCATCATATATGCATGCCTTCCCTTTCTGAAGCAGACAATAGGTTATCAAACTATCGCCTTTTGCAACAGCTCACCACGTCATGGTGTCCGGAACGCGAAGAACACGGCTATTTCTTGACTCCTGCTTTCAAATGCAACACGAACCCTCGTGTAGCTACTGCACATCGATGGTCTTCTGTCGACGTTCTTTCGAGGATGAATAAACCTACTGGTGGGTCAAATTTACATCATTGTATTCTCAACCTTATCCTTTTGGCGTAGAGTGTTTCTTCAACAAAGATGGCACCTGGTATTATGCCGGTATATACAAAGCTTTTCGACTTGACGACCTCACAACAAAAGAATGGGAGGCGCTATCCAATGAAGTATGTTTCCCTTCACGTTCATAAGGATGTCGTATCTGATTTCTTTGATGAACAGACCGTACAAGCTATCATCAAGGAAACGATTGCTGGTCGAAAGAACGTCTCGCCGCAGAACGTGTACGAGACATCCCAGCTCTACGCCGCTGGGGCACTCAAAGTTGCGTGCATCGGTTTACAGTGCGTCGGGTTCAACAGGACGATGTATAAGTCAATCTTGGAGCAGGCGAGTAAATGCATGCAGGGCGGCAAGTGGAAAGTCGGCCACAATGTGTCGGGATCCACGTGGAATGCCAATGGGACTGTGGGTGAGGTGACAGAGGCGTTGAATGATCTTGGCATTAGTGGTAAGGTCTCGGAAGGTTGATGAGCTTGTCTCGAGGGCATGGGTAAGGGAGTGGTCCTTTTTCTTTTTGATTGTTTTTTGGGGACTTTGGCATCATGGAATTGTAGCGTATTCGAAAGACTGAAAGCGGATTGGTTTGCATGTAATAACTGTATCGACAGTAGTACTTTTCATCGGATTGTATAATATACGGTATTAAGCCTTGTTGACATGGCAAAAGATAATCATAGGTTCACTTGAGGATCCAGCAGATATCCTTTGTGCAACGTACGTCGATCTGCCATCAAAGACCATGCGTTCCTGTGGTGTGCTCCGAATTCGATTGCGCAAGGCCAGCCCTATCTATCTAGAGGCCATCTGTAACGGAATGTTTTCCCTCTTGTGCATGATTTTCTGATCAGACTCGGATTCTGGAACTGTAGCTCATAAAGTTTCAAGGCCTGTATCGATGTCATCTATCACAACTGTAGTACGTCTTGACGGTAGACTTCTGAATTCATTGCATTGTTTATAAATTATAGAGTACCAAGCCTCGCGGAATAGTCATAGCTTCACTTGGGGAGCTATCCTTTGCGCGACGTACCTCGACCCGCCGTCAAGGAGTGTATGGGTTCCTGTAATGTGCGATGAACCTGGAGAAGCGAGGAAAAGCGCGAGACCAGCCATATCCTGAGGAGCTCCATATCGTCCTGATAGGTCGAAGTGAATAAATCGTAAGCTGTATAAGGACAAGACATACCCGTAGGCTGGCTAGCGATAAACGTCTTCTCGCCCGCAGTTCTGAAACCCCAGGCAGTCATTTTACTTGGAAATAGTCTACGAGAGATATTAGGATGACGATGGACAAATGGATAGAGGAAGAATATTTACCCCGGCAGTATGGCGTTTACTCTGGAGGCTTTATCGTCAGCAAAGGATCCCCGGGAATGAGCGCAAGTCTTACGTGACATGACGGGGACCCAGTTTCACGGCTAACGATGAAGTCAGGTGGTTCACTGCAAGGGATATTAGGCGAGTTCGCATGAGGTACGCATTATTTCACTCACCCGCGGCTTTACTGGGCTGGTCTACTTAGCGTTAGCTCGATGACGGAAGTGGCGTGTTCCACGTCCACTTACAACTCCATGTCCCATTTCCGGCACTGCTCAAAGCGCCTTCGCTTTCCGGTTCGACGGAAGCTGTCGAAGATATGTTGATGACACGACCAGGGTCGTAAGCATCGGAATCTTTGGCAAGGAGTTCCGTAAGGCTGTCGAAAATGCAATGAGGCCCGGGTTGAACTTGGATCTCAGGGCCCTCGGCTCACCCTGCTGTCACTGATATTGAATTGGGAATGTTAAGCGTCGTGTAGAGTTCCCAAAGGAGGTAGTTTGAGGTACGCACTGTAGAAGATACTCTTGACGTTCACGTTGAAGACGTTATCCCATCCTTTCTCCTCGGGAAAGTTGTCGTAGGGGCCTCCCCAGGTGATGCCGGAGTTGTTGACTAGAACGTGTAGCTTGTTCTCGTGTTTCTTGAATTCGGTTATGATAGCGTCGCATCCAGCTTTGGTCTGCACGAGTTTAATATAGAATATGAATGATCCATGGGAACGTACCGCAACGTTACCGACGATGTATGAAGCTTTTTCAGAAGCTGTCTTTTGGAGATCGGCTACAGCCTTGGGTAAGTTAGCTCGTGCTGCTGGTACGATGTTCTAACACGGTGAGTTCACCTCTTTCAGTTGAGACTCCTTCCTAGCAGCGATATATACTTTTGCTCCATTCTGAGCAAAGCCTGCAGCGATCATCTTCCCTATACCTGATCCTCCGCCAGTTACGAGCACTGTGATTTGTGTTTAGGACAGCAAATTAATCGCGTGGACCTGGTAACGCACCAATCTTGCCCTTCACATTGAACAGGGAAGTCAGGGATAAGTCTGAGGATGATCAAAATTTCAAGGTACGCGTCTGGGATAATAAACGTTTACCTGGAGAGGACATGGCGATGGGAAGAAAAAAAGACGTGGTAACGCCTTATAAGCGCAATGATAAGTGCCAGCCTGAGTGGAGAAGACGCCGGCTGTCCGGCTCTCAGTTTGCCGATCGGGGTTCGATCCGAGTTCTGATCCAGGGTAAATTAAAATCACGAGTTGAACGCGTACTCTCGCGTACTGCTCGATGGGAATACTGCAGTGATCCTCGGAGATGAAGCTGAAACGTAGGACATGTGGATTGCGGTAAATACGGAAGTATAAGCATTTGTGTGCTATTCCTCATGGGACGGAGTTTCCTGATATTTTTTACGCAATCGCTGGCTAATTATCTTTCATTTGAATCTAGTTGCGAACTAGTTTAATGTGCTTGTAGTGGAATCATGCGAGCCCCGGAAGCCTTATGAACTGCTGAGGATACTAAAATCGTTAGTACTCATTGCCGTTCATCGCTCGTCATGAGGGTATTTCATGGGCTCCAATAGAAGCATAGTGGTTCCTATGGCCTGTTTGTGTGGGAATTCGATGAAGATCTCGAACGTTCCGTGCTAAAGAAAGGGCTAGCTGTACGGAGGTACAATGTCAAAGTTTCTAAGGTCTTCCCACTAGTGCGAACCGTGTATTGGGTGGTGAGCCATATAACTAGCATACCTTAGGCATCGGCCAACATTTACCGCCATCTGAGGTAGCTGAAGTATAACCAAAGCTCAGAAAGGTCCAACTAAGCTTCAAGTAAGATCTTTCGCCTGGAGCGGTTCACAGACCGGCAGGCTTTTAGTGACAAAGCCAACATATGTGGGGAAATCTCGGAAGGAAGCCTTTTACGTTCAGTGAGAGTCGCAGCTGACGCGAAGACAAATTTTCAGGGTTTAAAACTCAAGTACACGCATACGGACGTTGAATGTCAGCCGGACAGGTGAGACTCATAAGGTGTCGACTAAGTATTATAATTCTGACATGCCTCAGTCTTCCTTCGTATCTTTGCAGAGCCCACAGACTTACACAATGGTTAGGAGTACACCGTATTCCTCCAAAGCGGAGAGAGCCAAGAGATAGATTCCGGCTCCAGTCAACCACAAATACACGTAGATGAAGCGAGGCGTGAACATATGTACAATAAAAATCACACCGATTATTATGCATATGTAGGGCAGGCCCCGAAGGTCAGCCTTCCTAAGAAAAGAAGTCGCCAGGTCAATCATTTTGATGGTCCGGCTGACAATAGTGCGGTCCCGAATAATGGAGGAATGGAAAATGAGATGGTTCCTGTAAGGCATTTGGTGCGAGCTGGAAGCCGAACTTCAAAAGAAAAAAGACAACTCAGACACAGATAGGTTAAAGAATTCGTCGCGCTATAGGTGATATATCTGTTGATGAAACGCCGAAGGTAAGCCAGGGTCCGTGGAAGAGGTCGTTCGGTGAGTTCGTTTTTGGAAATAGTGTGACTGTGTCACAAATGTGACAAGCACCGCCGCGCGCTGTGCTTGCAGGTTCTTTGCGTCTTTATCCTTCCCTTCCTCAGCAATGGCGCAATGGGGTCAAGGCCAGCCTGGATTCCAGTATCCCATGCAGACTGGATACCAGCCAACGAACCCTCAATTCCAGCAGAACCCGCAATTTCAGCAGCCTAATCAGCAGCCGTTCCAGCAAAACCCGCAGTTCCAGCAACCCCCTTCTCAGTTCCAGCCTGGTTATGGACAACAGTCAAGCGGCATACTGCCACAGAGGACGGGATATCCTGGACCTCAGGGTATGCAGCCTCAGCAGACGGGTTTTCCTGGGAATGGCCTTATGCAGACTCAGCCGACAGGATATCCTGGACCAGGAAGCAATTTCTCGTCAGGTCTTCGACCAGCTCCGCCACCACCTGTTCCGCCCATACCTCCTCAGTATCAGCCGAATCAGAGCAGCTTTCTACAGCCACAGCAGCAGCAGCAAAATCGTGGCTTTCTGAGCCCGTCGCCTGGGATGGGAGGTCCTGGCTTGTCTGCTATCCAGCCCCAGCAAACGGGTTTCCCTGCTGCGCGTCCTCTGGTGCCACAGGTCACAGGATATATGGATCCACGCTTGCAAATGATGTCTAGCACGTTCTTGCCGATGAATCCATCTACTCCGTATAGCGCCGGTGGTGCCCCTCAGCTACCGTCACAGATACTGCCAGGAGGTTTATCCCTGCAGCAGTCGTTCCAACAGCACAATCAAGAGGTGAAAGGCACTGCTGCCCCTCGAGTCCCATGGGCACTGTCAAAGCAAGAAAAGAAGAATTACGACAATATCTTCCGGGCTTGGGATACACATGGTGATGGCTTTATCAGTGGGCAGACGGCGTTGGATGTATTTGGGCAGAGTGGACTTTCAAAAGATGATCTTGCCCGAATATGGTGAGTGAATGTTATTCTGACTCTATTCCCGACTTATGGATGTATTCAGGACCCTGGCCGACGTTGACGACCGAGGAAAACTGAATAAGGCAGAATTCCATGTCGCAATGGGTCTCATCTATCGAAGTATGTCTGCAGTTTTCATCTCCGTCATCACATTGCTGATCTATTGGATGCAGAGTTAAATGGAAATGAAATTCCTGAACAGCTTCCTCCTGAACTCGTTCCGCCTTCCCATCGTGATCTCGATAGTTCTGTTGATTTCCTCAAGGGGGTGCTAAAAAACGAGACTCGATCACGATCTCCAAGCAGCATCGACTTGCCTGTATCGCGGCTGAAGGACCGCTCATTTACCGGCTCTTCTGCCCTTGATTCTGGTAGGGATGCAACTATCTACAGACACTCAGACAACGAGTCTCCCGGCGGCGTTTATCACCCACGTAGCCGCCACATAAACCGTGATAACGTTAGGTCACGAAATGACACTGGTCCATCGGCTGACCTTGCCGATGTAAAGAACATGCTCGCAAACACTGCGCAGATGCTTGATCGTGCGGCCGAAGCTGATTCGGCCAGGACGGCGGAAGATGAGGCTCTGGACAGAGAAATGGAGGATCTGAAATACCGTGTTAAGAGGGTGGGAGATGATCTCGATTACGTTTCGCGCGGACCAAGGACCGCTGCTAAGGATGAGGAAAGGAGAAAACTGGAAAGGGAGTTGTTATCGTTAATGCATGAAAGAGTACCAGAAGTCGAGAGAAAGATCAAGGCACGGGACGAGCGCAAAGAAAGAGAGAAGCGACAATGGGCGCGAGATCGAGACGATTTGAATCGGAAGTTTGGTCGATACGACGACAAAGATGATTCATATTCTTCGTCTCGGAGGTATGACGATGATCGCGATCGTCCATATTCTCGTGGCTCGTATAGGCGGGATTACGAAGATGACTATCGGCGTCGGACGCCCTCGCCTCGCGATGGGAGAGATAGGGATTACGACCGTCCTCGCACTCCAGCTGCTGCTGCTGCTGCTGCTCGTTCGCCTTCTCCTGCTACTCCATCTGTAACGGTCACCAGCTTACCTTCGGCTGCCAGGGCGCCACCATCGCCTGCTCCAGCGAAGAAGAACATGACTCCGGAGGAGCGCCAAGCCTTCGCCCGTGCTGAAGCTCAACGGCGCATTGAAGCGCGCAAAGCTGCCTTGGGTCTTGTAGCAACTCCGTCTCCTGCTCCAATCGATACCACTGTGGAAGACCGACTACAACAAGAGAAGAAAGAAGCCGAGGAGAAGGCCAGAGCTGCGGAGAAGGAGGCAGAAGAAAGAGAAAATTTGCGCAAGGAACGTCTTCAGCGTGAAAAGGCTTTGAAGGAGGAAGCCTCGGCTCCTGCGCCGCCTGTTGTTTCTCCTCCTGCCGCTAAAGCCCCTCCCCCACCACCGACGCGTGCGAAAGTTGCGCCGCCTGCGCCTAAACCCAGAGGTACTGCCCCCGCCCCGCCCCCTCCACGAGCTCCGGCGGCTCGTCCACCTGCTCCCGTAATCATCCCTCCTGCACCTGCACCACCACTCCCTCCTGCAGTTCCCGAGGTTGACCCAGAAGAGGAAGCTTTCCGTGCTCGTGAGGAGGCTATCAAGAAGCAGCGCGAAGCGCGCGCTGCGAGGCTGAGACAACTTGAGCAGGAGGAGGAAGAAGCTCGACTGGAAGAAGAAAGATACCAAGCTAAACTTCAAGCTTTCAAGAATAAGCCAGCGCCGTCGCCAGTAGTTGCGACACCTCCTCCTGCACCTCCTGCACCCGCACCTCCAGCGCCCCCAGCGCCCCCGGCACCTCCCGTTGTCTCTCCGCCTGCCACGTTCGCTGGTCCTTCTACCCCGGCGGTTCAAACTCCCGCTGAAAAGCCTGATACTAATCCTTTCAGCCGTCTCATAAAAGGAGGTGGCGCAACTGCGGCAGCATCCCCAGCGACAACGAGTTCTGGTAGCAATCCATGGGGCCAGCCCGCCGCCTCTGTCAGTCCTCCTGTGGTAGTCCCGACGCCGCCGCCTGCAGTTCGCTCTCCCAGAAGTCCCGGCCCGGTCCCAGTCAAAACGCCTTACAACACCGCACCTCCAAGTACTTCTTCCATTGGCGATGATTGGGATGTCATTAAAGAAAACTCGGACAGCGACGACGACAGTAGCGATGACGAAATTACCAAGTCTCGGAGTGCGAGGAATGATATCGCTAGTAAATTGTTTGGCAGTTTGCTTCCTAGGCCTCAATCGGCAGCTGCTAGTCCCGATTCAGGCCCAGCATCGTCCCCATCATCTCCAGCTCCCGATCGGGGTGTTACGTCTCCGCCTGCACCTCCGCCTCCAGGCCCGCCGCCTCCGCCTGCACCGCCAGCTGCGCCTGCCGCTCCTCCTCCTCCCGCGGCTGCCGCTCCATCCTCGGGTCCAGGCGACGTCGGCGCCCTCATGCGCTCCATCCAGGGTGGGAGGAAGCTTCGAGCGACGAAGACGGTGGACAAGAGTGGACCACCAGTTGCTGGTAGGGTCATTGGTGATTCAGCTCCTCCTTCGCACATCAACACTGTTGTACGAGCACCGTCTCCGCCTCGTATCAATACTTCTCTTCCTGCAGCTGTACCTGCATCCACTCCTATGGATCCTGAGCTGTCGGGTCAGTCTAATCGACAGTCCGTCGATTGGTATGCCGGTCTTGCGACTGAGGCAGGAAACCCAGCCGAACACCTTCCTGCGACGCGCGAAGAAGATGAGATCGACGTAGCACCTCCCACTCCTGTGCCTGTTATCCAGGTCGAAGACGATCCGCTGGCAGATATTGACAAGTCCCAAGGTTTTATTTACCGTTTGTTTGACTTTTCTTGTTGCTAACTTATGCCTTTCTAGAGCTTCGTGTTCGAACATTGTATGCATACGTTGCGGATGGTCCGGATGATTTAAGTAAGTTCCTCCCGCACATGGGCCATATTTGAAGCTCATTGTTCTTTCAGGTTTCGATGAGAATGTTATTCTGAAGGCTAATCCTTCAAAGACTGATGGTGACTGGTGGTTCGGCACCATCGTGACCACTGGGAAGTCAGGTCTGTTCCCTCGTACCTACGTTGAGCCGACGAAGTTCGGTGAGTCGTTTCACTGATTTCCCCCCAAATCTACCTGATACGTTCTTTCAGTCACAGCCAAAGCTTTATACACGTATACAGGCAATGGCTCTGATGAGCTATCCTTTTCTGAAGGAGACATGATTAACGTTGTCGACGACAGTGAAGATGTATGGTGGAAGGTGGAACACGATGGCACGGTGTTCCTTGCACCCGCTGATTACCTAGAGGTCGCTGAGGGTCAGTAAATTTATCCCCTCCCCCAGCTCTTCTGTTTACGTCTTGTTGGCAAACAGGCTGAATCTCCTTTTTTTGTTTCTTACATGTACTCTTCAATTATAACTTGCTTCGCAATGGAATTCAATGGTATAGATCCTGATCGTACTCTGATTGCACCGGTCTCCGACATCGCGGCCGTTCAAAGCTCAGTTGAAGTGAAAACCAGCCAGCCGAAACTTGATTCTACGGGCGATCTTGGGACTGATACGAGTGGCGACGATACTGACACTAATACTGAGGCCGAAGGTTCCGACTACTTATCATTCGACGAAAGCGACATAGAAGACACCTATCCTGAAACCAAGGCTGAACGCGAAGCCCGTGAACACGAACGACAACTGGTCTTAGAAGCTGCTGGTCTCATTGTCAAACAGGATGTGAAACCTCCTCCGAGACCTCCCCGAAAACCAAAGTCTGGCAAACGTAGACCTCCTCCTCTTGCTCCTGAACGCTTGTCTACCAACACGTCGACGTCTTCGCTGAAGGACCTTCCGCCCGTCCCACCTACCGAATCAGAGACGTCGGCGCATCTCAATGATGCGTTCGATAGATACGAGGCATTTCGGTACACCCACGCTGATGCTAATAGGATGTCGGTAGCCTCCATGGATTCAGCTCCTCCAAGCTCGCCTACGATCTCCACTATCTCGCAGACACCCTCGAAAGAAGGAGAGAGTCGATACTCCAGCATCATGCACTTTTTGGGACGCAAGTCGCCAGAAACGGAGAAGCGTTTGGTGATATCAGCTCCGATACTCAATTCCCCCGAAACCGAGTTCAGCAGGTCTGCTAGTCCGGCGTTTGGAAGTGTGCGTATCACTAGGTCTCGGTTCTTATGTCTGTTTTTGATTTGCAGCTTTGTTTATAGTCATGGGCCAGTCTTGTGGATAAATCTGCACTTGAAGGGATTCCATCAAAGGAACGACGCCGACAGGAGGTGAGTTGTGTCTTATACTTATTCTGACGATGGGCTGATGCGCTTTGAAAGGCTATATTTGAACTCATTGCAACAGAGACTGCATATGTACATGATCTGCAGCTCATCGTCGAGGTATGGACGAGTATTTGAGTGTACAATAACATCTGCTGATACTCCTCTTTGCAGCACTTCTATTCGAACGTGCTATCACTCCTGGATATGAAGGCAGTAACGGTAGTTTTTGCGAACGTGGAAGACATTTTGATAATCAACACGGTCTCTAGTCCTTGATTCTTCCTGACTAAGACGAGACTGATCTTCTTTTTAGACATTCATGAGTGCTCTGGAGGAGCGTCAGAAAGATTGTCGGTTGTACATCGATAAAATTGGAGACGTTTTGCAGAGTCATATGTCAAATATGGCCGTGTATATGGTAGGCGGGGTTGTGTCCATTGTCCTACGACGATCTTACTAGTGCTTTCAGGAATACTGCGTCAACCAATCGAATGCCATCAAAGTGTTGCAGTCATTGCGCGATTCAAGACCTGACCTTGCTGCTCAGTTACAGGTTTGAATTGACTTGAATTCATGACGTGTATCGTGAGACTGAGCGTATGTATAGCGCCTTCGAGACGATCCTGCGGCTCGCAGCCTCGACCTGTCAAGTTATCTGCTCATACCCATGCAGCGAATAACGCGGTATCCGCTTCTTGTCAAGCAAGTAAGTAGCATATTCCTTTCGCCTATAAGATGCATCGACTTATAACCGTGTAGATCCTTCATTATACCGAGCCCGGCGGAGACGAACATATAGCAATCACTGAATCCTTGAGGGCTGCAGAGAGGATCTTAGCTCACATCAACGAAACCATCCGCGAGCAGGAGGGCCGCGAGACGCTTAGGGAGATTTCTCAGCACTTGTGGATTGGCCAAGGGTGAAATCATCCCCCCTTCCTCCCTTCTGGTTACTGACGATTACGAGTAGTCGGCTGGATTTGACGGCTCCCACTCGGTATATGGGTGCACGAATACTCCTCAAGGATGGGATTCTGTGTAAAGCCAAAAGCGGTCGGAGATTACACGCGTTTCTGTGTAGTGATACGTTGGTATTGACCGACGCGACGGCAAAAAACTTGTATCGGATGGTCAGTGTTCGTTTCCCTTCTATGATTCTGGTAATATCTAACCTTGGGATGCAGCCCATATCGCTATCAGAAGCGCGACTGAAAGATGGAAACGGTGACTACTCTCCTTGTGGTTGAGACGCATGCTCATCAGCTCTTTTAGATGATTTTTGTTTCCAGATCGCATTGCCATATCCTCGAGGTGGGGAGGCCGTTGGACTCCGAGCGTCATCAGTTCGTGAATGCCAATGTATGTTCAGGCTTTCACGAGAATTTACAGCCATCTGACGTTTTTCTTGTAGTATGGATGCAGGCAATCGAGTCGGCTAGCCGAAAGTGCCTTGAAGCGGAAAAAAGAGCGTCTCGTAGAATCAGCAAGGCGCATTGAGGAAGCACGTACATTAAAGCTATCTACTAATTTGAACTGGAACTTTTGGAATGGACATTTTCAAGCTACTACTACCTGTATATACCAAACTCTCGTTTTACTTTACATCGTGAAATAACAACGCTCTGCTAGTCGCATCACTATGAGGCACGGATGCGTGCTCCTCTGAATCCCGTTACCTGAGGCTGAGCAGTGTTTCTGAGTTCTACTGCCGCTTGGCTTTCTCCTGCATTTCTCTTCGTTTTTCCCTTTCGAGTTTAGCTTCTATCTCAGCTTCCCGAAGTGCAGCCTCTGCCCAAGCAAAACCTCCCTGCTTTTCAAAAATCTCCTCTAAACGCTTCTCAGCTTCGTCCCATTTCCATTGCGGGTCCGAAGGCACACCGTCGTCGAGTTCAGGTTTATGGAAACTGTGGATACGAGCCGAGAGTGGGGCTAGCTTTGTAGCTACGGACGTTCGCATCATAACAGCGAACTCATCCACCTAATAGGTATTGACTGTAAGCAAACGCTGCTAGTGAAGGAGCATTCGTACCGTGTCAACGCCCAGTAGAAGCTGAGTACCCCAGATAGTCGCCAATGCACCGATACCGACAAGAGCCGTGGAAATTCCGAAGGCTCCTACAGTGTACAGCGCCCGTCGGGCACCATCGGCCGGCGCGTGTGGTCTGACCGATGCATCCTTTTCAGAAGGAAAAAGACTCTTCCACGATTTCGTTTCTTCAGTTACAGGAGAAGCCACAGGCTTCGCTTCAGTTATTGGTTGGATCTTGAACGCGACAGTTCCTGTTCTACGCGGAGGGGCCTTTGCCAGAGCATTAGAACGGATTCTTTTTCGTAGGGATAGTAGTGTCCATGGAATGGCGAGAGTGAGCGCTGTCCCTGCAACCTATTTCCAGGATTAGATTATCTACAAAGAAAGAGAAAAAGAAATTTTCACGTACTAGGGAAATGGAAATCCATTTTTCTGATTTTGGCGGAGAAGAGTTCTTGGAGGAGTCGTCGGGCATGTTTGGCTTCGCTTGGTCTCGTATACAAGAATGGCAACAGTATTGCCTGTTTTGTCAGACGCCATCGTGGCTAACGAAAATTCTCATATATTTCTCCCCTTTTGACTTGAAATCCCCGTTAATTCTCTCTTTGCGTGCTCAGCGTAAAATATTATGGCATATCGGCCTCAATTGCGCTGATTACAAAATAGCGACAGATAATGTCGGAATAACTATCAGCCCCGGACCGATATCATTCCATCATGAGACTCAGTCTTCCAGTTTCCTGCCACAAGGGTGCCTGCAGAATAGCGATGGCGACCATAAAGGAGCAAGAAGCTCAAGGCGATGTATGTCTTAGGCCCCTCAGTTGTGTAGATTGATCACCAAGCTGACAACGTATTAGGTCGAGGATACAACGAAGGTTACGGCCCCAAAAGATTTCGGATTTATACCTGTTCCCCAACGGCTGCGACATGACACCGATAAACCTTTTCATTTCTCATTGGCTATGAATATCGCGTTCGGAGTTATAAGCACGTTCAGTATGTCCGCTTTCAAACCGGGAACAGTCATTGTTTCGCCTTTTGGTCATGACTCACGGTAACACTACCACTAGCGGTTGCCAATCTGTACTACTGTCAACCATTGCTCAGTAAGTCTCGTTTCTAGCGAAAGAGGGTGTCGCTAATAGTCACATGCAGTTGAATTGTCGAAAGATTTCAATGTTACCTACGAAGAGGTATCCAGGTGAGTTGTACGCTTCTGTCTCTGTTTCTAGGCATGAATTTTGTAAACACGACAGGATACCAACGCTGTTACAAGCGGGGTGAGGCCTTCAATTTTTTCCACATAGCACAGGTCCGGAGCTTACGGTTGCTCATAGATATGCGACTGGACTAGTTTTAATCACACCTCTTGGAGATCTGGTCCGCCGTCGACAGCTCGTCCTAATTCTTGTGACGATCTCCGCGTCTCTTACCATTGGTCTATCAGTAACATCCAGTCTCGCTGCCTTTGAGGCATTATCTTTCCTCGTCGGTGCTGTAACAGTTGTTCCCCAAGTCTTAATGCCCCTCGCAGTTGATCTCGCTCCACCACAACGTCGAGCCTCAGCTTTATCCATTGTCCTTGCCGGACTGCTCTTCGGTATCCTCCTCGCGCGAGTTCTCTCAGGGGTCATAGGAGAGTTCACCTCATGGCGCGTTGTTTACTACCTCGCCATAGGAATTCAGTACTTCCTCGTCCTCGGAAGTTACTTCGTCGTACCGGACTACCCTGCGAAGAACGCTCATCTGACATATTGGCATATCCTTCGGACGATGGCCAAGTTCGCCGTAACGGAACCACTCCTCATCCAAGCGTGTCTTATCAGCATCGGGTCGAGCGCTTCGTTCACAAATTTTTGGGTTACGCTTACTTTCCTGCTTGGTGGGGATCCGTATAATTATTCCACGTAAGCTCTATCCTTCGGTTATAAACATTCGCTCAATCGGTGATTCAGTTTGGTCATAGGGCTATTCGGGCTTATAGGGATGTTTGCTGTGGCTATGGGTCCGGTCCTAGGAAGGGCTATCGACCATTTGGTCCCTTGGTATGCGTCTTTGATTGGCATTTTCATGATGCTATGCTCTCAAGCCATACAAACGGGCGCGGGTGGTATTTCCATCGCTGCTGTTATCATCACTACGATAGGGATCGATACCTTTCGGCAAATGCTGGAAGTTTCTCTCGCAACGCGGATTTTCAGGTTCGCGTTCAGCGAGTGATTATCGTTTTTAGTTGACTTACCAAGCCATGTCGACACAGTATTAATCCAGAGGCTCGCGCGCGCCTCAATGCCGTGTATATTCTTTCTGTGTGTACCTTTTCCATCTCAGATCGTATATGTTCTTACATACACTACTAGTTATTCATTGGCCAAGTGATGGGCTCGTCCGTAGGCACAAAAGTGTTTGTACAGTACGGATGGCGTGCAGGTGGTGCTCTCTCGATGGCATTCTGTGGATGGATGCTTTTTATACTTATGCTGCGCGGACCACATTGCGACAACAAGACGTGGTTTGGGTATCAAGGAGGCTGGGAGGCCAGGAAGGATGTCGTGAAGCAAACAGAAGAAAGACGAGAAGATGATAAACAAGACACCGAGATGGGATCCGATAGTAGATCGCATGAAACGAATGAGAAGGAAAGCGGAGAGATACGCTAGAGAAATGATATGAGCCTCGAGGACACCTGTAGAAATGAGATAGATTTCACACTAACCCCAGTTCGGGAGGTCTCTGAAAACTCATTCCCTTTTGGATCTCTGCCTCAGCGATTGAACATCAACTCTGTCGACACGTTGAGTGGCTGTCAACGATTCCATCACCGATCTGCCCTGCTTCGCCCATCCTTTTTGCGGCACAGACAACATCTGCACATCGCGTAGTGCTCCTACTGGACCCACATATGTAAGCAATGGGTGTGTACTGGTTAGACCTGTGGGTACTGGATAAAATATGAACCAGGACTGAGGGTGACTGCCAAGTATGTGTAATTGTCATAATCCATGGTGTCGGTGAGAGTCTGAGAGAAGAGAAGGGGGTTACCGCGTATCTACATCAGATTACGCGCCGAAGCTGCCGGTTGGTGTTAATCGAAGAACGATATTTAATTTTAATTTGCTTTGTCCCCACCCTGCAAATCAACTGCAAATGATAAAGCTAAAGGACGGGTTATATACTCTAATTTACCTAAGGTTATAAAATTCAAAATACTTATTCGACATCTTGAAAATGATGCTGTATTGCGTTCATACAAATACTCAACCAGCTCGACCGAAATACAAGATAGAAAAAATGTCCAACAGCAAACGATTGACAAAGGATCATCCATCATGCCACAGTGGGACGGCAGTTGGCAGCGCTACGATCTCCCATCCTTCCCAACCATCCCTTCCTCCGATACCTTTCCCTGCTCTGACCCTGTACTTCTCATCCAGACCAGCAAGGATGGATGACAGGATAGTGGCAGCAGCCATCGGTGCCCAATTCTTAGCCACGCACTGTAGCCTTCCATAGCCAAATGCAAGGAAGCCTTCCTCCTGCTCTGGTGTACGCGTCATGTGGCGCGAAGGATCAAACGTCTCGACTGAAGACCCCCAGACGGCTGGAGAATAATGCACAGCCCAAACGTCCGCGACGTGGAGCGTGTCAAAGAGGCGTGACGACATCCAGCGGGGTAAGAATGAGGGAAGGGACGGAACCGAACGTGAGATGTGTTTCGAAGGGGGATGAAGACGCATTGCTTCGATGATGAGACTCTCGGCACTTGGGTCACAGCCCTGCAGGCGGAACTGGGTTATGCTAGGGTTCACATGCAGTTCTTCAAGCGCGCGCCTAAACCGATCGTCCTTGTAAACATGTGCGAACGTCGTAGCAACGACTCGCCACATTGTTTCCCAGGCAGGTATAACGAAATCGAGGGGATTGGGATAAGCATCAGTATCTGGCACTAGCGCGCGAAGATGTTGATTAAGAAGGGGTAAGAAGGTGGGGTCAATAGGCTCCGGATGCTTGGATAGAGCCCATAGCTTGGTGATCAAAGACGAGACGGTCTCGACGGAAGATGGAGGAAAAGAAGCGTCCTCTGCGTCTTCGGTGCCCAGCAAGCCTACTAGGATCACTCGTAACGTCACCGCCTGTACGAGCGTATCGACACGGACGACGGTAGACGGGAGAGACGACAGGACTGCGTGATCTGCAATCCGTTTGAAACGATGCCAGTCACTGGCCTTGTTAAGAAGACCCTGTGCTCTGTTCCGGAATCGCGCATGGGAAAGCTCGTCGTCCTTGACGAAAGTATTGGTGAGGGAAAATGCCCTGATAAGGCGCTCATTAGGACGGGCACGAGCATGCAGGAGTGAAACCAGAGGGACATTAACGGGCTTCAGGAGAGAATGGATGGATGATATAGTGGAGTGATGAAGAGGTCGTTTGATCCGCAGGTAGAAAGCAACGCTCAAGGCAGAGGCTAGGAGCAACGCAAGAGTGTGGTATACCATCTCTCCAAACGGGATCGCATCGTCGATAGCTCAATTTATACCTGTTGCCATGAAGAAAGCACGGAGATCCAGCAATGCAATTACGAGGGCCGGTGTGATCAAGTGCATTGAAAAGTGAGGATCGTATTCACATGCGGAGCGCCGTGTACGAGTTCGCGCGCGTGTTCTATGATGATTCCAAGTGCATTGAAAAGTAAAGATCCTATTCACATGCGGAGTGCCTTACTTAAACGAGTTCACGGGCATGTTCTATGATGATTCTGTCAATGAACGAAATACACCAAAAATAGATCGCCCACCGGTTTGACGTGTCGGGTACTGGGAACGGTGCTAAGTGGAACAGAGAGGAAGCACACATTAGCGCCAGATAGTCATCGATGAGATAGATATTACCCGGGAATTGAAATCTGAATGCATGTACGCTAGAAGTAGGAATTAGCATTTTATTTACATTGACGCTATGAAGACAGAACCTTCGGAAAGTGGCGGTTCACATACACGGTTAAAGTTTAGGGTACACATTGGTACATCCCCGTTTCTATGTGGTGTGAAGGCATTAAGTCAATCTAAAGGCGCCGTTGAATGTGGTTCGGCGGTGCACGACGAAACTAGGTGAGGCAAAGACATTTTTAGGCGCGCGCTGTTCCGGAGCATCCGATAACCATATGCCTTGATCCTTTCTTAGTCTCTCCAGTCTCGATTGTACAGAGGTACCTCTGAACGACACTAGCATGTAAGCGGACGAAGAACGGTCGTAGATCCTGGCACAGCTCGTAAATGAGGCACTGCGACACGAACAACAGGAGCGGCACACCTATATAAGCTTTCGCACGTATACGCTTTCCGCGCCGTCTCCTTGCAAGGACCCTCGATCTCGTTCTGCACATGAATGGAGCGACCTGCGGCCGCCATACACGTCAGAAACGCTCACGAGGTAAACTGTCAGTGACATCTCATAGAACAGCGCTTTTGCTTCCGTGACTTGTACTAACCATTGTCCCGCTTGTACAGATTCTCCATCCGTTCTCTTCACAGATAAGTTTGCCGTCACGAAGTGTAGTCCCATTCCCATCCGTCTTAGTGATATCTTCCTCCTCCCTGACACTCGGACCGGTTTGCGGTTGCACACAAAATCAATCCAGTTTTCCAGCTTTCTATCGTAAAACGTACCAGAACGGACGGGAACAAAGTGTATACCGAACGCTTTCAAAAGTCCTCGACGAAGAAAAGTGATGCCGTTACGGAGTATCGAAGGAACTGACCCTTCAAGCGCGGGGCAGTGTGGTAGAATGGACACACTGTCCTATCGCCGGTGCGTGCATCACAGAACCCATAACCTGAGGAGCTTGTGATCATTCATGTATTTGCCCAGTAAGCCGCGCTGTGAGAGCAGAGAACCCTCCAGAAGCTGCTGGACCATTAAGTAGGGAGGACTCCGATAAGAACGTGTTTCCGGGAGCTCATACTAAGCGCGAGATGGTGGCATCGAGTATGGAAAAGAAACTAAATCCGATAAAATATCATCGTGCGCGTCTGCATCATGAAAAATGTCGCAATGTTGGTACACCTTACTAACAACCCAGATTAGAGATGACCAGGATTTCGATGAAAGAAACACCCACTTATTTGCTTACTCTTTGCCTAATTTTTTTTCCAAATCGGTCATGCTAGCGTTGATATTCAGGTATTCTAGAGCACAAAGAGAATAGAGTTAAGTTAGCACCGGGTTCGTCGAACTTTCAAGGTGCCCGACTTGTACGTATAAGTAAAGGACTGCAGGGGATAGCGGGAAAATCTATTCGGGGCGGCTTATCAATCCATCACGGCATTTGCCGGACCAGTCACGACTCCCTCATCAGTTCGCTGTAGGTCAATAACGATTTCTACTGGGCACTGTGCTATCTCTATTCCAACCTCTATATCTGCCATTAGCTCTTATAGGTCTACAAGTCACACTCCCAAACCGTACTAATTGGCTGAGTCAACAGTCCATGTCCAGGCATGGCAACGGAGAACGCAATTTCTCTATGATTGCATCTCCCCAAGTCCTGTATCACCGGTAACTGCTTCGATACCCTTAAGGACCCGTGCACCTACATCTATGGCTTGAGATACTCCTCTTGCACCATCTCTGCAGTCTGCCCTAGAAAAGTACCAGTTTTGGTACCCGTGGAGTACCGTCAAAACTTTGTGTATTCCATTTATTTTGATTTTATTTATGCTTGACATGTGTACAGCACGTTCAGCGTACAGAATACAAGTCTGTCTCAAAAAAGGACGCCTTCTCTTCAAATCTGGTATTTACTGTGTCATTCCCTATGCTGATTGTTCTTAAGCTTTGGTCCGAGTCGACGGATATTCGTCTACTGGGCGCCCAAACGCATCCTAGGTGAATTCAAGACTTGACCTACAAACATGCTCACTAGTCGACAATGAGTTAGTCTTTGACTATACGGATCGACGTCCCGCGCAATGTAAGCCCCCATTTAGAGCTTTTGAAGGAAGATTATAGCTTATTTTTTCTCCTCCAGAAGCTCTGCATCACCTCGGAATGCTGAATATCGGTTGTGATGCGGTGTACATATTGAGCATCACTTGATGTGATTATCTTCCCAGCTTTATCGCTGGTACCGATGTTGGACAGGACAATCACTTAGCCGCTCAGTCCATCGATGTCCATAGGAATGTATGGTTCAATAATGGTATGCTCCATGTGAGAGGTGCATCAGAGAAGGAACTCATGGGATTGCGTTCTTTATAGATGTATGTAAAAAAATACTTAAACCTCGAACCTGCCACTGCGTTGACCTTCACCACTCAGTTATACTGAGCTGAAGAAGACGCTCGCGGTGAAGTATCGCCTACAATGAGGATCTCCGGCCGCTGAGATGCTGACCATATCAAAATGAAGATATCCGGCCGGGATTCTGACCACATCATGAAGGTGGCGTTTCCCCAAGCCAATCCAAGTAAACATGATTGAGGAACCGGTAACTACAATATTAATGGTGCTACTAGGATAGAATGAACTCGGAGCGCTATAGGGATGGATTGACGACTGCCCTCACCCCCGCCCTCACCAGAGTCAGAAAGAAATAACGTCTGGAATGAGAGATATCTTCAGGAGTCGTGGAAAGTAGAAGCGTTAGTAAAGTACGTGCACCTCACTACCAAGTTTCTGGGGCACTAAATAGTATGTTACATAGATATTTGCCGTAGATCGGTACTTCGTTCGTAACGCAACATAGCCTTGTTTTCGTCCCTTTTGACAATGATATCGAACGACATGATAATGCAAGGACTCTAGATAAAATTGAATTGGAGTATGGTCCTCCGATCACGATGTGTCAAACAGAACTCGCTACCGGGCCATCCAACTAGTTCTGTAGTATATAGGATGATACACAGATTCGAACGGTACTCATGCATTTCCATCTTGTTCGTCTTTTGCTCGCACTCACTTATACAGTGGCTGCTATACCTCAAAATGTGCCTTTTCCCTTGTTTCGTTCACCGTCTTTGCTGAAAAGCCTTGCAGGATCTCGAGGCTAGGCAGTCGTCTGTGACCGGAGACTCACGCTGCGGTAATGTAAGCGTTCTTCCGTTCCATATTTTTTTGTCTGTTCTCATGACCCTTCAGACTATGTGTGTCGAGGTCACGACGAACGGAACCTCCGTACAATGTCAGAATCATTTATTTTTCCCTTTCCTCCGTGGAAATAACTGATGTTCCCTAGATGTTTTATCCAGTACCCAGACAGTTGGATGGATGGGGATGTAAGTCTCCTATATGTCGTCGAGTCTGTCACTAGCCATCTCATCGATATTTCTATTGCTAGAGGGTTTGGTACCCACATGCCAAATACGCCAATGGTTATTATGTGGTCCAACAGCGATGGGACCATAACTATGTCGCAGCGGGAGGCTAGCGGTTATTTAATGCCCCAGGTAGTCAATAACCCTGACCGTGTCGCGACCTTGGCAGAAAGCGCTAGTACTGTAAGCGTCACCGCCCAGTGCCCTTATTCACCACCAAGTAAATCACACTCTCTTAGACATCCGGATCAGAGACCAGATTCGCATTTACCGTTGATGTGTGTCATGTTCCTCAGTCCTAAATTTTTGCCTGACTTGCTTTCTATCTCTCTTTCTAGGCAAACAGCGATACAACTCAAGACGTCATTTATGCTTTCGCTCGTACCAATCCTGGATCTTCCAGTGTAAGCGCTGACATCCAGCAACATATTGACGGTGGCATCGTGCAATTAAACTTGGCGGGAACTTTGCCTGCGACGCCGACCGGTTCTGCGTCATATCCGGGAAGCACTTCTGGGACAACTCAGTCTCCTTCATTTAATATCCCCTTACAGCCGTACCAGCGCATGATTATAGCGCACGCCATTCTTTGTGGCATCGGGTTCTTGGTTTTCCTTCCCTTCGGATCGTTACTTGCGCGGTATGTCAGAACATTCACGCCGAAATGGTACACCGGACATTGGATATCCCAGTTTGCAATCTGTAAGTCGGGTTGTGATCATCCTTTACCTCCCTTCTAAGAAGATCGTGCAATTTAGCTGGTCCCCTAATCCTTATCGGGGTTTCCTTGGGACTACAGAGTGTAAATTCCGCTCATGCAGTTCATTTAGACGATAAACACAAGGTAGCTTCGCTGCTGACGGTGTATTTTAATTTCTGACTGGTCGTTTTACTTAGCGATGGGGCGTCGCCATATTTGTGTTGTATTGCGTTCAGTGCGCTTTAGGCGCGTTCATTCATTGGGTTAAGCCCAAGAGGCCCTGGCCTGCTGGTCGGCCCCTGCAAAATTACCTCCACGCTGTCCTCGGGTTATTTATCATTGCTTTGGCCTTCTACCAAGTTCGGACAGGATATAAAACTGAATGGCCGAGGACCATTGGGCGCAGTGATATTTCTAAAGGTGCCGACATCATTTGGTATATCTGGGTAGTGGTATGTTCCTTGTGCTTCATTTCTATACAGTATAATTTATGTCTGTCGGCACAAACCAGGTGGCACCTTTGTTGTACTTTGCCGGATTGGCATTCCTTCCGAAGCAATACAGACAGGAAATCGCTGAAAAAGATCAGGCAAACCATTTGCAACATGAATTCTCCACGTCCAATATTCAACCCAAATGAAAAGTCCGTCTACACCTCTCACTTTTTTTGCATTTAATACGTGTCATATTTTGGTGTATCAACGCATATACAAAGTTGGGATATATCCTGGTTATTGCTTGATGGAAAATAAGGATCATATTTCCAGTGAAAAATATTGCCGGCCTCTAGTTATCATCGATTAGTGATAGCATGAGCGTGGAAAAAGAGGAAAGAACCTCAATTTGGTACCGTGCTGCGGTAGTGGACGACTTTTGGTAAGCATCTGTTGTTGGTATACGAGAAAGGACATTGCGGGTGTTTGGCCCCCTTGAGGGGGCCCCTAGCGGAAAGCTTAAAGCAAGCTGGAACCGCCGAGAAGATCTTTGTCGCAATGCGCCGTAAATATCGCAAACGCAAAATAGAACAGTTATTCAGGTAGATAAATGCAACTTACTAAGGGATAGAACCTAACAGCAGCGGAATAGCAACATTCATTGCGATCCGTGAAGGCGTACCCAGTCATTCAAAAAATTTATGTCGTAGTGACTTGCCACTTTGACGAGTGGCAACCGGAGACAGCTGGTGGTACGGAAGCAAGAGGACCCTGACCCTGGCTTTGTCATCCCTACAGCTCTTATCATCCGTCATGAAAATGAAAACAAATTCATACCGAGAAAAGGAATTGTACAACGTAGCCTGATACGTAACTCTAAGCCTGTCTATGTCGCCGCTCCCTTTCACTACCTGGAAGACTTTCTCAGGTCACATGCCGGAGCTACTAGTTCTCCAAAGTTCCACCCTTCTTTTCATTCACAACGACATTCTCAGCACTAGGCTGTGTTGACTCGCTCGGAATAGGTGGTCCCGTATAATAGAAGCGTCCATCTAAACAGAGATGATAAGCTGTTACCCCGACCCGAAGAACTAACTTACTGATCATATACCAGACGGCGCTGATGGTCGCAAATCCTACAAACACAACAGAGGCATAATCTAGAATACCATTAGTTAAGTCTTAACCTGAAGGTAACGACACTCATACTCATGGATACTCTCGTCACAGGTACCACCGCCGGCATCGAGAACAGCACCAACTCGAACACGGTCCAGAGCACTGCGATACTATTGATGGCCCATCCCCACCTACCCAACGAGTACGGAGAATTTTTGACGTTATCACGACCGTTGACAAGGGATATGAGGACTGGCATCGAGTAGCTCGTTTGTAGACACATCACCGCCACTCCTACGAATGCATTGAAAGCCGCGCTGGAGCCGAGATAAATCAGTCCTAGCAGCAACTGGACAACAGTAACAAGGAGGAATGCATTGACAGGGCCGTGTTTTTCTGACGAAACATGAGCAAAAAATGCGTGCAAGGGTATTGCCTTATCTCTTGCAAATGCCCATGTTGCCCGAGAAGCGGCGGATGAAATCGACACGGCGCAAAACATGGCGCTCCCGAAAACTAACTTGGGTGAGCACAGAACAATGTTGAACGAGATAAGCGCGTACTGATGAACCACTACATCGGGCGCGATAGGTAAGCAATCAAAACATAGACCATATGCATGCTCTTACCATTCCGAATCCGCCACCCTTTGAGCCCATTATGAGCGTGAACATGACACCGATAGGCTGGCCACTGGGGACTGCATATTTGTTTGGTCAAGCTAAGGAAATGGACGGAAAAAGCCACACCTGACAGCAATGTAGCAATGTCGGGGAGCGTGAATAGAATGGGCAACAAGAAAAAAACGCCTTGCAAGAAACCAAGTGGAATGGACCAGACTATAGCTCTTGGCAGGTCAACTGTCGGATTATGAAGCTCTTCGGCCATGCTAGCAACTGAAATCCGACATGAGTCTTGATAGAACCCTATGCTTCAAGACTCACTCATGCCAATCGTGGCGTACGTATATGCTTTGGGGTAAGGTCAGTTAATGCGATAGATTGGTTGTTCATACACTGACCGGGCTACAAACAACAATGAGACGCGAAATATGGCACAGAATTCAACTCACAGGCAATTGACCGATGAAAAATGACCATCCAGGCGTCCAACCAGATGCAGATGGATCGAAATGTCCCAGAGCAAAAGCGGCTGAACGACGGCCTGCTGCTGCCTTCGCCGAAAGGCACACGAGCATAACTTGAAAGGCGTTAATATTTGAGAAAGGACCACACGAGTTCCCTCGTACCAAGAACACCTAGAACTGTCCAACATGCGCACGCGATCTATAGACAACTCGTCAACAGCTTTACCACTCGTGAACGCAACGACATACATCGATATAATGAAGAATATCGTTCAAGAAAATCCCGAGGGCCGTACAAATGAGTGTCACCCCCAAAAATATGAGATCTGACACAGGTCAGACGAAGTCGTCGGAAAGGAAATAAATTAGGCTTGCATGTATGCCACGTCTTGGCAACCCAGTCTGGACGAAAAATACCCGCCTCTGCGACTATGATCTGTGCAATTCCCTGCAGTGCCGGCTCGTCAGATAAGCTTACTAAATCACAAAGAACTCCGCCTTACGAAAGTGACTGACAGACAGTCTATCCACACGCCCACCATCGTCAGCCACCCATTTATCCATGACAAAAGCACTCGACTTCTGGGTGACGCGAGACGGAAACACCAATAGTATGCTCCACCAGAAGTTGGATACTTGGCGCTAATTTCGGCCATTGATAGTGCGAGTGTGAAGATGAACGCCGAGAAAAATACCCATCTTCGGTAGTATGAGAAGATGTTTTCGTTTGGAATTGCGAAACTCTTACCCCCAGATCAGAACCGCGGGTCCACCTCCAATGAGCCCAGTAGCGAATGGAGCAGAAAGGCCGAAAGCTGACGATGTATTTTTGTTTATTTCGCAGTAAAATGAATTGTTCGATGCACTTACGGACTGCCATAATTGCTACGGCAGAGTCGGGTCACATCTAAGAGCACACTAGTCGAAGAACAAAACACACCTAGCGTCACTGCATCGACTATCAATAACTCAACATCAAGAAAAAAGGAAGGAACGCACTGAACAAGATATGAAATAGACTGCGCCTCTATCCACTTGAATCAGCGAGATAGTTGCACCACAAACAAGACGAATCAGATACCCGTGTCATCTCCTGCTGGTACCCTAGCTTGTGCAGGTCAGCAACAGCAGTGGTATCGACATCGTTCGACATGGCAGTCAGAACGGAAAGCAAGCCGTCTTACGCAGCTGGAACGTAAAACTCAATTGGGGACGAAGATTCGGGGTCATTAAGAAGCGAGATTGAGCTCGCCGTGGAGTACGTGTGGAAGATTTTCTGAATCCGGTCGTCGGCAGAGATAATGATAAAGCATGAATTGCTGCACCGACATATGCACAGTATCAGTCTATATCTATCAAATAAAAGAGATATCAGAACGAATGGCCTCGAATCCAAAAGACTGGCCCTCACCATCGGAATTCAACTTGCCAGCGTTCTATCACAATATATGGATTCTCAATTTATTCATTGTCCTGATCACCTGCAGCTGTTGTAGCCAACTCATGGAAGATGTAAGACGTCAAGACCCGGCGCCAAGGCTCCGCTCCAATTATCCGCTAAAAAGACTCTTTGACGTCCGAGAAGTGCTTGGAACCGTTGATCCCGGCTATTGAATATCGAACGTCAAAATGATGCTGATGAAAAGGGAGCGTGTTGGTCCTGAGTGCACTATGAAGAAGTAACTACACCAGTCCGTATGAGGTCCGCACATAAACAGAAAGATGCCGATATACAAAGAGCACGACAGGAACGAAAGAGTGGCCACAGTACCCTCAGGGTACGAAATGCAATGGACTTGCGTTGCGTGCACAGCCTGCTCTAAGAAATTAACAAGATTTTAAATATGAGCAGGTGAAGGTATGCAGTGACGTGGAAGGTAATAAGGATAAAAATAACACGTGGAAAGTGAGAGAGAAAAATCCATGGAACTGTCAAGTCCGCATCTAATACCACTGGAGACATACCGTGAACGCACTCTTGCCTCCGTCATCAATCAATATCTATGTGGCTGCCCAACAGGTGTACTTGTACTCATCCTCCGAGTCGATTCAGCAGCATATGAAGTGGTGGGCCATCGCAGGGCGTGGCATATCCGAGCCCTGAAGTTGGAGTGGGCTGCTCTGCGTGGACGTGGCACAAGGTCCATATTCGACGCAATGACAACACGATAAAGTTAAACAATAGAACAGAATAGTGATTGTTCCGTCTTCCCCTGAGACTAAATTCACCTCCAGATCCTAAAACGACAAACAGGTCATAAACGACAAAGAAAACATACAGAAGGAAAGTGCACACCTTCGCAGTCAGTGGTAGGTTGATCAGGGCATCGAGTGATGCTGAGTCGGCGAACGAGGTTGCTTGACAAGGTGCAGGTATACTATGAAGCAGTTCAGGACGGGTCATCCACAACGCCAATGATAAGAAGAACGCACAGGTACTTCTACTATATTTCCTGGAGACAGCCTAAGACGTTCGTTCTGTTCCCACTCAGTGCCGTTAAGACAACGTCCGATGTAAAAGTCGGTCAAGATGCCGCCATCGACGATGATCTACCCACAAGTACATGGTCAGTGATCAACGTTAACCGGAATCAATAAGCAGTACATACACACGTGGGATACATGGATATTCTGCTAGCCAAACTCTTTCGCCGGACTGACAGCACCCTCAAAGTGCGCTTCCCAGCTGAAGAGTGCACTGGTGGTGATGTTCCCTCTTGCGCGCGCCGTAGCTCCCATGAACACCAACCACCCTCTCTTCCCCGTCTCGTCGACTTGATTTGCCTGGAGTTTCCATCATTCTCGAGAGTGCAAACGCCTTCAGCCTTTGTTCACGTTACGGTCCAGATGCCCTTGCGTGTAATATCGAAGAACGGTATCCAGAAACCGTGTCTCATATTGTAGGCCTTGGCAGTGGACTTGAATTTGAGTGCAAGTGAAGTTTATGCCCATGGACCGTGACAAGATGAGGATTGGGGACTAAGGTTAAGGCTGTGCTCCTACCAGCAGTATTGATTCCATGAGAGAGGCGTCAGGACCACGAGATATGAAGGTAAGGACTTATCCTCGTTTGGTAAAGAGACGGCTGAGGAAGAGCAATCAATGCTTAAAAGAGAACGCGTAACAGGTGTGACGTGTGACATAACCTGAGTGACTACGGCACGGTAAGTTGTCCATCACGCACCGCCACCAAGACGCTCAGGTTAGCATATCCCGAATCCTGTATACACAGGACTCGGAATGGATCGTAGCCCATGCTCGTCCCGTTGCGATTGTGTGATTCATATTGATCTTGATACAGCGCTTGTAGACTTGCTGTGCTCGAACTCCATGATTCGTTTTGGTTATATGCGTGCTGTAATGGGATAAAGGCACTAGAGTCAGAACTCCGCAAGGCCTTATCCGTCCTACCAGCACCAGCGCCAGCACTTAAAGAAGCTCCAAACCTGGGACAATCTCGCATCACATACGACAACGTAGACTGACGGTTGGCCTCACGTCTTCATCGCGTTAGACAGATACCAACAAGCGCACCGAGTATGCCCAAGACGACCAATCCACCGACAACCCCGCCAACAACGGCAGCAGTATTAGTCTTGGAACTACTATTTTGGTCACCACTTGATGACGTTGTAGAGCCATCGGCAGAACCTTGGGCGTCGGTGTTGTTAACACTGGCCGGTAGCACTGCTGCAGCAGCTGTGTCTGCGTTTCGATGTTTCCACTTCCAATGATAACATAAGAGCCATTGCTCGGAATACCATTCACAACGACGTGCAAGAAAGCAGGTCCTGGCTGGTAAATGTTTCGCAAACGATACACCTGTAATAATTGCTGGATCTAACCCTAATGCCGACGTTAACCTTACCACTTACTTCAACAACATCACTGTAAACCGCCAAGTGACAAAGCTAAATGTTACTCTGCCCTTCTGTACAGTGTACACTAGTACTTCTTCGTCTGCTCTTTCCACATGTTTCTTCACGAGAAAGTTGGCCTGCATGCTTTCACACACGTGTATGCAACGTTGGTAAATTGCCTGTTTCTAAACGTTGTTCACATGCCTGGAACTCGTGCTATCGACAAAGTGTAACCACCACCATAAACCATGCCCCGACTTCGCCCCGACAAAGACAAATATCGTACAGCATGGAACAAAAGCTGGGAAGATGACCTTTTGGATAGATATCCCCCAGGACAAAGACCTCCAAATATGATCAGCGCCATGCTCCCCGAGCGCATTCGTTTTCTCAGAGATGCCGAATCCCTTCCATCATTACAGCTGGAAAATGACATCCGAACCAAGGAGATATGTATCCTTCAGCGAGACTTGGCTGAGGCTGCCGTAACAGGATTAAGCAACGACAACTTGGAGGAAAGGTGGAGATCCTTATCGCAGCAGCGGCGGGAAGAATTGGTTCTCGAGGGGCTATATGTAACTTCCCGTGTTCCAAATGGCATGGAGGCCTGGCGGTTATGGTGTCCCGAAATGACCGTCGCAACGCTCTCTGGGACAAACGACAGAGACTTCTTCCACCTTCTGAAAATGCTCCTTCCGGTCGATCGAGTCAAAGAAACACTCGGCACTCCGCTGCTCGTGCCGAATCCCGCATTCGAGGAGCTGATGATGACCGACGACGCTATGCTCAGGCGTATGGTCGACAGATATCGGCTCTATAGAAGCTATTTCATTACTATGGCCGTATGGAGTATCCTGAATGCATTCGTGAGTTCTTGTGCTTAGGCGTCGACAAGTATATACTGAAAAGTAGCTAGTACGGTAACAGAGAACAAATGCAAGCAGCCAAGCCTCTGTACCGCGACAAAAGCGAGACCACCAAGGCTTTTTTACGCCGAGCCAAAGAAATCTACAAAGCCGAAGGAAAGCTTCCCGAGTTCTCGGAGAGCCAGAAGGACTACGATCGTCGAAAAGAGACAGAAAATTGGGAAAATCTGTGTTGGCACTGTAACCGCAAGGAAGCTGACGCATCTGCTGGAGGAGAACGTTTCCAGATTTGTAGCAGATGCAAAACCGTGGGTCGAGTGGTGAGATACTGTTCAGTGTTAGTTTTGGTGTATTTGTTGCCAAGTCGCAGTACGCTAATTCATCCTGCGGTAGGGAATGCCAGAAGAAAGATTGGAAGCAGGGATTCCCCAGACCTCACAAAGCCATCTGTGGAAAAGACGTTTTTGAAGAAGACAAGACCGACGAGAGTATCCCGGAGACAAAGGACACGGAGTCTGAGACTGGTATTCCGCCCCCGGACCCGTTATTCAAACGATCCCCAGATCTCCTGCACCAAATTTCTTTCATCACCAAGCCCACACCATGTGATTACGTTGTAAGACCCAAATTATGCTTGCCATGGGGAGACAACGGCTCACGATTCTGTAGTACATGCGACCACGTCCTTTTGACGACATAGGGATTGACATCCCTGATATTGAAGGTGAGAGGAATACTTAGCTTTGTTGAAGTAGCGCCTGTCCTAACAGTTGCGGCTCCTGAAGATAAGGTTTTGTTTACCGCTATGCGTCGGCAAGGTATTTCTTATCTTTCGGTTGCTCGATTCCTACTGCTGAAACTTCGCAGCGATGATAAACGGTGACCCTGTCGCCGTCCTCAACATGTATGCGATCTTGGGAATTCACGCGCCACCTAGCATTTCGGATAATCGGCTGAAGACACAGTTGAAGAAAGAATATGGCGTCGATGTCGATCTGCTTGGGGAGGACATTTGGGATAAAGAGATAGATCCTCCCGCCGAGGAAGAACAACAAATCATCACGGAGTTGGTGATAAAGAAATTGATGCACCGGAATGTGCCCGCACCGAGCTAAAAAGGAGTTGGTGAGAAAGAAAGTGACGCATCAAAATATTGAAGAGTCATGTCCACCCGCTAACTCGGAGTTGAGGTTGGTAACAGATCAGAATGTTGAAGAGGCCACATACACCCACTGGCACTATACTGTACTTCACCTATCACACTTCTTACTTTCTTTCTAATATCTTACCTCCTGTCCGTCTTGATACGTTAGCGCTACACTTTCGTTTCGTCTTCACTGTGCCCGGCGTGTACATGTACTGTTCGCTCCATGTATTACTTACACTCTTCGTTAACTCTTCCCGATATTCTTTCCACTTTAAGAAAGATCCAAGTGCGGTCGATTTTACCGTCAAAGTGTACGATATCATTTGAATCCACACGGCTGAACGTCATTTACGTTTGTGCCTCCCTCTCTACACCTTTTACCTCGTCCTTCACCATCTTAACGGGTGAGCCCGCTAATTTCGATTTCAAGGCCTCGTACCTCTTCCTCTGCTGAGGGCTAACGCTTGGCCCGACCTTCTCGAAGGCGGTATTGAAGTCAGTGATATGGACTGTAACCTTGGGCCTGTCTTCGGGCCCTCTCGTATCATCATCCATTTGATCCAGCATCCCAAGCGTTCGGCGCAAGGCAACGATACCCGCCTCACGAACCAAAGCGGCCAGATCGGCACCACTGAATCCATCGCAACGCTCGCGAACAAAATCCTCCACCTGGCTTCGGACGGTGTCTAATGTCTCACTCGCATCACCCGCAAGAGGGACCTTCCGCGTCATAGTGCGAACGATCTCGGCATGTTCATCACCGTTGGGAAGATCCACGTAGAGCAGCTTGTCAAGCCGTCCTGGCCGAACCATGGCGGGGTTTATCATATCGGGACGGTTGGTAGCGGCGATAACATAAATACATTTCCGGGCATCTAGTCCGTCGAGCTCCGTCAAGAGGGTATTCACAACACGAGCTGATGATTCCGACTAGTGAGATAATCAGGCAATGACGTTCAACACGATAAGGGAAGGTGACCTACAAGACTATCGTCACGCCGAGGGACGAGTGCATCAAGCTCATCAAAGAATATAACGCAAGGAAACGATGCTCGGGCTCGCGCAAAGACTTGGTGTATTGCCCTCTCGCTTTCACCAACATACTAAGGGAACAGCGTGAGTTTGAGTAATTGGAAGAAAAGCATAAAGCTACCTTGTTCAATAATTCTGGACCCTTGACGCTGATAAAGCTCACTCGAGACTCGTTCGCAACAGCTTTAGCCAGCAATGTCTTTCCGCACCCTGGTGGTCCCCAAAGTAATACCCCACATGCTACCTCTATGCCGACAGTACTAAAAAGCTCCGGTCGTTCGATAGGCTGGACGATAGCCATATGCAGCTCATCTCGGGTACAATGCAAGGCACCAATGTCCGACCACGAGACATCTGGAACTGTAGCAAAACGTTCTTGCTTGGAAGAGGGCTGAACCTGGGTTAATGCGATGGTGAAGTCGGCCGACGATATGCAGAGGGGAGCGAGTTGCGTAGGCGTGAGAGGGTCCGGGTGGGCATTGAGGAAATGGGCGATGGAATGGACTGATGACGTAGGAAATGAAAGGGAGGACGTTATAACCTTTATTATCGGGGCAGGCCGCAATGCAGATGACAATGACGATGCTTGTGATGGATCGTAAGCGGAATGACAAAGATTAATCACATGTAAGCCAAAAGGAACGGCACAGCCACCAAATTTTGGAGTTCAGTTTTGCCCAAGATCGAATCCTATATATACACATGATTCGGAATATCGGCGTTAACCTTACCACTTACTTCAACACCAAATGTTGCGCCGAAAAATTTTATCCTCCTACTTCTCCGCCAGCACCCGACCGGAGCCGACCGGATTACCTTCTAAACACTCTTACGGTGGAGACTACTTCGATGTCACCTTCCAGCTCCTACTCCGGAGACTCTAATGATGCCGCTGTAAGTGCCTTCGTATCCGTTCTTCGAACTGGTTGGACAACGCATGCGATGAACATGGGCCAACGTTATCTTCAACTCAACAGCACGTATGCTGTGAACACATGGGGATCCAGACAACTTTGTGTCGACATGAGAGCCGTCTCAATCTGATATTGCCAGCTCTGGTCTTGATGGGCAATGTGCCAGAGCACCGACCGAACCACTGTGCTCTTTGGTACAGCATTGTGCGAGATGGTTCCATTTCATGCCTGGAATCGAAGTATAAGCTGTTCTGTACTTTGGCTCACGCGCGCGCATGGTGATAGAAAGTGTTAGCAGGTACCAAGATGCAGATAGCATCTAGTCAGAAGAGTCACGAAGCTGGATCTTAAAAGCGATATCATGACAGAGCGCCGGTCTGAAAATGGACCAGTCCACAGATCCCCGGAATGCCCGCCTTCGCTGAGATCTGGATATAAAGGTCTCTCTTCATGTTCATGGCCTTAGAATCTGCCATCCACAGCTACCGTTCAAGCAAGATGACCGAGACTTCAGACGAGTCGTTCACCACACCCCCGCCTCCGTATTCCTGTTGTCCCGCTCAAGGAGAAAAAATCATAGACCACTCCCTTCGACTAGGCTCTCAGACTCCAAATGGAACGTTTATAAAGCATCAAGGTAATATCACTGTCGTTTTGTCAGGGCAAGAGGATGGCAGATCGTCTCCTTTGTACCGTCGAGGGGAAACCATTGAAGGTAGCATGCTCCTAGAGAGACTTGATGGCGTATGCAAGGTGAAGATAAAAGTAACTGTTATTGATTTCTCTGGCATGTCGCCTTTCCATGCTTATATGCTTCCCTTAGATTGAAGGGCGGCTGGATCTTATGGGATCTTCAAGCGGTGCACGATCACTCACTATGATCGACAATAGTACAACGTTATGGAAGCGCGATCCATCAGACGGCCCGATTTGCCCAAGCTCCTTGGCCTTCTCCCTCAGCCTGCCGCGCTCATTCAAGGAAAAATCTCAGAGTATCCCCTCCCGCCTAGTTTCCATTGTCACTTTTCTGGAGTTCCGGGATTGCTGGTTACTTCAGTATATACTCTCATCATCTCAGTTACTTCCATCCGTCACACAAGGCTTCTCCTACCCGACAAAGTCGAAACGTATGTTCCGGTCGCAGTGATGCTTCTGGTTCTTACCAATGTTTTGTAGCCTTCGGATCCTCATCACATACTTCCCCAGAACGCGACCAGAGCGACCGACGCTATCCATTCCTCTTTTCTCTAGTATCAAATCTTCTCCCGAAGAATGGACGCAATCCTTCATCACCGTAAGAACAAAAGGCACTGCAACAACCTCCCCGGTACAATGCAATGTAAGCACCTTCCGCAAAGTCAGTAATTAAACCTGAGTTGATATAACTTCTCGTCTAGCTATTTGTACCATCCGTCCAGACATTCGCTATCACTGATACGATTCCCTGCCACGTTCAGCTAAGCGGTTCGATCACATCCCTTGAGCAAATTCTGGACGCTCGTCTTTGTCATATCAGTGAACATAGTGTCATCAACCTATCTATTCGTCGACAGATCTCAGTTGAGCGTCATGGAACGCGTTCATACCAAACGATGATAATAGGGGAAGGAGATATACGCTCTGTACCTCAGTATACGAGGGACCTCTATCGTCCCTTTAGCGATGCTGTTAGCCGAGAAGAACATTTAGACTGGGAGGGTGAGCTGAAATGCACATCCAGAGTAACAGTGGGCGGTTTCAGTGCCGCGGGTGCCTCGGTAAAGGTGCGATGTCTCTTCCAAGGTCCTCGATGTTTAGTAATGTTAACCTTCATTCCAGGATTTTATTGTGGTTATAGTAAAACCTCCATCGGCATCGCCGTTCCTTTCATCAGAATGTTATGTTCCAATTCTCCTTGTCACAGATACCTGGGAAAACGTTCCTAACGGCGCTTGAAAGTTCACTTCGTGTGCACCCGCCTGGCGGGGGGGGGGGGGATGCTATGGACCTTGGGTTCTATTTTATTTTGTCCTATGCTACAAAGTTGCATTACAAACGAGTTCCTCCATCTGGCGAGATCGAGCACGAATACTACATTCAAACATCTCAGGATGACTGAAAAAACATGAACTTGACGCAAACACAAAATAACACTCTACTGACCATGTAAGTCCTGCTGTATGCTTGACTACAGGGTTGATAAACTCTCCACGGGCATCAACTCGTCTGCCGATATCAAGGGTATGAAGCATCGTAGCTATCACTATAAAAACACTCGCGTCTCCAAGATGCCTTCCTGGGCAAATTCTATCGTCCAAAGTTCAATTCGTGCGAGATGAAAGCTTAGATAGAGGGACCTACCTCCTACCAAACCCAAATTGGCCCAGTGGAAAAGGCTCTCCATGACCTCCCTCTGAGATCGGAGCGTAGCGATCTGGGTTGAAGACTTCGTGGTCCTTATAGACTGTTTCGTCGTGACACATACTATAAGCGTTGGCGATGACGAAGGAACCCTTGTGATCACGGCTCAAATAGAGTTATTATCTAGTGTTAGCATGAATTACCTTCGGGATGAACATGTCACGATATACATCGTCTTCCAACGACTTATGCGGCACACCAATGGGTGATACAGGATACGATCTGATTTTTGGTCATGATTCAACCTTGGAATTGGGTAGACGATGGAACATACCGGAAGGTCTCTTGCACGATACGATCGATATAAGGGAGATTTAGACGGTCGGTAAAAGTAGGTAGCCTGTCGGATCCAACAACGGCATCAAGTTCAGCTTGAGCTTTTGCTACAATTTCAGGATGGAAAATGACATTGACGAGGAAGACAACAATAGTAGACCACGTCTGAATGAGTGATTAGAAGGAGGGTACAGCCGGACGTTCGATATGATACTTACAGTGTCCTGACCGGCAGCATAGATAGCTCCTGCAGCACCCTTCACATCTTCACGTTTCAGGTCATCTTGGATACCCTTCTCAGCGTTAGCGGCTAGACGGTCAAGAAAGCTTTGTGTAATGGATGGACGAGCATTTCCCTCTTTCTATTTCAGACATCAGGTACCTGGTCACACTGAATTATATAGCTAAAAACTGACGATCTGGGTCTCCACAGCTGCGAATGGAATGTCGTGCACTTTCCTGATAGCCCATTTCCAGTTACGAGCGAATTGAAGAGAACGGGACAGAAATGACAGGCAGTTTGGTAGATATTTGACTGTAGCAATTTATGACTCAGTGGTACAATACCTCAATCAGCTCGGGATAACTTACGCAGTGGGAAAAAATCAACTTGGACAAGGGAAATATGAGCAAAGTTGATGATATGTGATAGAAAAGTTTACCCGTAGTCCCTGCTGGAGCGCCTCCATGCCCCAAAGCATACGATGCATCTGCTGCTATTTGTATGAATAGATCAGCGTCCGACTTGATTTCATGGCCAAAAGCAATGTCCATAACAATGGCAGTAGCGAAACGACGAATGAGACGATCATAGTCTTCTGGGCATTTCATCAAATTTCGGACAAGTACGCGAGCTTCACGCATCTGGAGTTCTTGGTACTTGACAATCTGTGGCTTAGTGAAGGAGCTTTGAATGAGTTTCCGATTACGCTGGAACCGAGGTCCCCATCGCAAAAATGTGAGAGTCCCTTCCCAGCCCATCCTTGAAAAGAGCATCGAGTTAATTAGGTGTGAAGCTATGTGCATGTACAGAAGGACAGCGTACTCCTCGAATAAATGGAATGCTGGTCTGTCACAGTAATTGCTGCCACGTTTGTCCAGCAGGTCGATGGCGGCTTTCACACTGTTCAGGACGATTATGGGCTGGCCTAAAATATGGAAGTAGAGGACATCCCCTGAAAGAAAGACAGAACAGCGATGCGTGAGAGACATGCCAGTAGCAATGATGAAGCTTGCCCTGACATACCATATTGTCGACTCCATTCACGATACTGCAGTTCAGGATTACCCACCGGTACGACACGCAGATGTCCTAGTATGGGTTCTCCTAAACAGTCGTATCAATAATCTAGTTTGTTCAAGTTGGAAAATTGTGGTGTACGAGCCTGGCGGTCCAGGAGGGAGAGGATACTTGGATGTTTTCGAAAGCTTCTTGATCAAAATCCAAAGAACGCATGCACAAGCAAGGGCCTCAAGATACGCCCAACTTTTAGGCATGGTGATTGGGGAAGAGACGCGGCCTTAGTGGATTTGTACGTACTACTCGTTCTCCATCTGGCAAGTAGCAACTTACCAGAAGCCCCCGGTCCACATCCGGACCAAGCTCTTCCGAGAGTCCGGTCGCTCAATATACAGTGCACACAGTGAACGAGATCAGTGGCAGTGAGCATCTCAGCCATCAATTAATTGATTCGGCGTATTGACCCAACAACAGGTCGCTGGAAATAATACGCTATACGGTTCACTCAGAACTTCCAGCGACCTGTTTTTGATTTCAGTTGGCCCTCGAAGATTCGCATGACAAGATAACCATACCATCCATGTCTTGACGTTGGGACTATCAACCGGATATTCAAAGCAAGGCCCTGAACGAATAACTTGGCAGTGTTGGCACTGAGGTACGCATTCTCTGCAGAGTGAAAACGGCTCACTAACGGCCCACGACTATTTTTCAAACTCCGCACTGCGGGCCGCTTTCCCGATCCTGGTTTCCTGAGTCTGGCAACTTACCAACTCCTCGTCATGAAAGATGCAAGTACACGAATATTGGACCATCTAGTCCATTTGACGCCTCCAGGGACTGTTCAGCAGGCTTCGGATTCGTTCAAGTCCCTAGGATTCAAGTAAGCTCTGCTTTAACAGACGTCGCCAGCCTCGATTGAAGCCAATCAAGAGTCCTCGAAGGAGGAACTCATGCTGATGGTCTCACCTCCAATGTTTTGGTTGTAAGTACGAATTCGAGGCGTCCAGTCTAATCCAGCTGAGCATATGCTAGGTAATGGCCGACGGTGTATATCTAGAGCTAATCGCCTTCACTCATGCGGCATCATGGTATCCTCTAGGCTCTGATGAACGTCACCGACGTGAATCGCACCGTTGGGCAACGAAACAGCCCGGATGGATTGACTTCGCCTTTCTCGGGAATGGATCAAAGACAACTCGAATATCAGATATCATCAACGCGTGCGCGAGGCTAGAAGGCAGCGGAACCATATACCAATCTGAAGTCGAGGTTGGTCGTATACGCCCTGATGGCGTAGAACTGAAAGGGCTTATCACATCACCTGCCGAAGAGGGTGTACTTCCGTTCTTTTGTGGGGACTTGATGCCGCGAGAATTACGGGTGAGCTGTTCGAATTCGAGCCTGTATACGTACTTGACTGGTGATTAGGTCCCGTTGCAACCTCCCTCTAACGTAGTGCATCGGTGTACGGCTTCGGGGATTGCTCATATTCGAGTCCTTGCCGAAAATCGATCAATACAACATCTGTCTCAGCAGTTCACAAGTGTCATCGGCGAACGACCAGTGCTATCTTCATCACAATCGTTCAAATGGAGCGTCCAGCCATCGGCAATGGCATCATCGAAACGGACCTGCGAGCTAATTCTGAGCGTACCCGTCAGCGAGGAGGAACACGCTTTTGTAGGCGATAAAGAACATCGCATATATGAAATCGGTTTCTGGGTGGAGGAAAGACAGCTACCCGGAAGTGTCGTGGCGCCTTACGGTAGAATTACCTGGGTTAACGCTGATTGAGGAGGTTCGTTTTGCCCTTGTATTTTTTTGAACATGCCCTCACTTAGTGGTCGTAGGCGCTGTAGGAAGTATACTATCCTCGCCCATCGGCATTCAATCGCTACTCTCCTTCTTTGCGTGGTTTCCAATCCATAGTCAATTTTATGACAGTCAACTGGGGTCGCGTTCGGGGCTACTCCTACCAATCTGACTTCGCATGTAGTACGCTGGCTAATGCCTTCGCCAAGTCTGTTCCTGCAGCTTACGCTGTGTCCCTTAAAAGTCCACTTCCATCTTGGCCGCGCTTCGCATCACTATCTTTGCCGCATATCGTTACCCACAGTCTACTTCCAACTACTGGCCCATATCTCTGCGCAGTCTAGTGTATTCTGCAAAGTCATTCTCCGATTCTACGAGCGTTCAGCTACTTCTATTTATGCTCAATGCTAAAGGTGTCCTCAAAGGGATCGCACTAGGATATGACTGGTATGAACCACTCTTCATCTTGCCGGAGTCATAGTAAATCAAACCTTTGCAGCGGTGCTCGTCGGTGGGGGCAATAAAGTAGGCCTCACAGACTTTCGGTCGTCCTTTGTGCAAAGCTTGTACCTGCCGCAGCGACACCTTAGTTACAGGCCTTCGCTCCACGGTTCAATTTCCTCCGACATCGCGGTTTATCCAAAGAAACTCCATTTATTATCTTCCTTGGTTGCAATGCATTCCACGTAGTGCCAAGCTCAAGTGTCTGTATTTTATAACATAATTTCGGTCCTCGTTATTAGGGCTGGACTGGATGATCGGCGCGGCTACTATTTACTGGTCATTTTTATCTCCTTCACAGACCCAATATTCCGAGTGGAACAATATAGATGTATTACCTTTCGAGCGAGTGTATTCTCGTGTGTTCAGCTACTCTCGGACGCATCCATTCTCCTCCAGTTCGCCGATGCTAGACGCTCTTTTGGTTTGGGTTTCACTTTTACCTGTCACTCTGTCTGTCTACTGTCAGCCACCTGCGCTTGCTTGTGTGCCCAGGCCCTATCGTGTATAGCGCGGAACAGAGATACGTAACACTGGATACAGAGGTGCATATTACCTCGTACCGTATGTAGCCGCATTTTGCCATACGCATAGTATCTTATCTTGAGTAGAATTTAGCTCTCAACTGGGGGCATTGCGGCAGAAATTTTCGTGCCATGACAATCGTCAACTAGTCAGGACTCGGAACGTATTAAGTTCGAATCGTTGGATGATCTATTCGGCGGCCGAGCCACGCATTTATCGAAATCACCGTGGCTTTATAGCGGAAGGGTAACGTTACAGGGGCTATTGTTCTTGGTGGCATTGTTTGTCAATGCCAAATTGAAATTATAAACACGGGCATTTGCCTCCTTGTTTCCTTTCTTTCTTTACTTCCACCTCCGAGTATCGACGACTCTGAAGTATTACCTTTCCGCTGAGCAGGACTGAGAAAACGGCAGCGCCTTTTCTCTTTACAACACCGATAACCAAAAGAACCGCCTTTTTACTTCTCTTTTCCTCGTCGTCATGAAGACTGCCATGTTCAACTTTACCTTCATCCTCTTCTTCGCGTTCCTCCAGCTCTTCTCTTTCGTCCAGGCTCTCCCTGCTGGACCCGGAAGTCTCATGGGTCATTCCTACCTCGTCAGGGACCCCGCTCAGCCCATCGAGCCCGTCGTTATCGCGCGTGATGTTCCTCTCGACCGCGCTGCCCGGTTCCGAGCTATCCAAGAAAGGCGTGTTGCCAGGAGTGTTGGAGATGTTGATGGTCAGGATTTTCTATCAAATGAAGGACCGCCACCCCCCGCTCACGTTCAGCTCCCTCAGCCCTCGATTAGTGTCCCTCCTCCTCACGTGCACGACGAGAAGAAGAAGAAGAAGTCGATGAAGAAGAAGCAGACGAAGAAGATAAAGGCAAAGAAGGTTGATTAGCGGTTGTTCAAGCAGGCTGATGAAGCACCCGTGATGATGATGTTGATGATTCTGGCTTGGTACGGGTTTCCAGTCAGACATTCCTTATCTCTATCCTCTCTAGTACGCTATGCGTACACATGTACTACCTATCGCTGTTGAACAGAATGGTATTGGATATCGGTAAAGAAATGCATCATACATAGGATATCAGCCCCTTAGAGCCCACTACAAGTGATGGAGCCGGATGCCTGCGGCTCTTACCACCAGCAATGCCCGGATATACTTTCTGACCATGCCACCTCCGCGTCTTGTATAGTTACTGTACGAAAGAGACCCATCCGCAAAGGAGATAACAACACCAAGCGCTGCTGATGTCGGGAATAAAGACGCTTCAACGACGCCATCGTCTCCTCATACAGGTCCATCATATTCAACCAGTTATCCTGCGGCTTCAAGGGACAATGCACGAAAACTTTTCGCAGCTTCAAAGCCGACTCTTCCTCCAGCTCCTGCAAGATCTGCTCCAGTTCGGGAACAAACGACTGTGAATGCTCCGGAGCTGCTAAGCGCAGGTTGACGAGGCCTGGCGTGAGCTTTGAGATCTGGCATGTAAGGTAGCAAGGTGAGGAGAGCGGGGAGAGATATAGATGGCGAAGACATGGGAACTGGAGGCTTTCATCAACGTCGGGGAAGCCGTCGAGCGAACCGTACAGCGTCAGTTCGCGAAGCAGTGGGAGGTTGACGGGTAATAGTGGGAACGGGCGGTAGAAAATGAAAAAAGCATGCAGGACCTCGACAGTCCCGGTTATATACTGAAGGATCCGCTCAAAGGCAGCGTAAGCTTTGGCTCGTCGCGAATACTCGGAAGTGATAGCCTTGGGATTTTCCGCCGTCGAGCGAGCATGAGCAGATATAAAGATATACCGCACCCTGCGAAGGCTGGGCGGCGTCCGCTCCAATGCAGCCGCGAACGCCACGAGCTGCTCGTAGCCAATGATAGAGATCGATTGCAGTCTACTCATTTGCGACGTTTCCCGCACGAATTTGGAGACCAGAGAGAGCGAGCGGCCGGTGTAGCCATTGTCCGTGCAGGCGTATGAAAATATTTCCCCCAAGATTTCTGTGGGACAGCGGTCCAGTGATGGGTGCTGTTGCGGTAGTTAGTGGAGATATCGAATGCGTGGACACCCGGGGCATACTGGGTATGATTGGTATTCCGTTGGGTTGAGTATATCTTTAAGGGTCTGCGAAAGATGCAGAGGGAAAGAAATTGTGCATGACAGAAGCGGAGTTGTGCAGCACTGTCCAAGACAAGGACTAGTTCCGAGTGGAGTCGTTCATGACCTAATTTGGACTTTGACAAGGCGATGCGCACGTGATCTACTTAGAGCACAGATTCTGGTCATATGTTTCCAAGGTCCGTAGCTAATATTCCGCTATAGTTTTGTCAAACTTCCATCTCCGGATCCATTCGTTCTGTTTTACAACTATCGTCCAAAGTAATACGATCCAAATTCAATCCACCTAATCCTCCCAGCTCATCAAGTGTCCGAGAAAATACCTCATCAAACGCCGCCTGCAATCCCGTAGCCTCCAGAATATTTTCACTACTATCACCGTCGCCTTCCCACCCAAACAGCCATTCCTCGAGCGTCTCAACACCGCCGAGGAGTAAACTTCTCAGGCGCGTTCGCTCCGTCTGACTCAGCGGAGATGACTTTACCCCAGCCGCGACGGAGTCTACGTCGATCACCAGGTCGACGCCCAAGCCTTCCTTGGGATCCCACACCTGGGATTGTAGGACCGCCAGCCAAGCCTGATCAAGGTCGTCTAGCCAGTCCATGAGGTCCACGACATTCTGGGGATCTGGTGCGTACCCCACGATGGAACTCAGCACGTCGTTGGTGAGATGAAGGAGATACGACGTCCGGAGTGATGTCGACGGGTCGACCGGTGGGATTTGTAGTATTATCGAGAGTATCTTCGTTGCTGCTTCGAGATAGAGCTGAAGGGTCGGTAAATGCGACGAAGGTTGGGAACTGCATGCGACGTCTCGGAACGGGAAGAATATGAATTCGCACTGACTGACCGCTTTTTGTAGCCCCTCATCATGTTGAGGAAGCTGTCGTCTAGGTAGTCGACGAGTTTTCTTTCTTGTTTTGATGATAGCGCGTGTGGTGACATCTTCGTTCTTGTTTGAGACCGAAATAGGAAATCGGAGACGAGGGGAAAGTTTCAGCCAAGCTTGACCAACTTTTGGCACAGCCGCTTCAACCTTGCAAATCGTTCCCGCCTCTCATCATCAATTGGCGTTTCTGAGTGGCGTCTTCTGCTAATCGGACTTGGGCTTGAAAGCTTGACATTCTGCATGCTTGAGCGAGTATAATTTCTTGCCTTTATTTCTAATGGGTTCAGGTATCTTCCGGGTTGCCGATCTGTACTCTTCTGTACTGCCCCTTCGAAGTTCTCATCACCGCGAGTTCCAACTTCTCAGCAAGTTTACAAGTCGAATTCTCCACATACCCTACTACCCTGGGCTCAGGGTTTATCTGTGTCATGACTCATCTTCTCTTCACAAATATCTGATCTGCGGGGGCTATATGCTTTTGTTACACCCTGGTGCTGCAGAACGGTGATTCTCTTATCTGATCCTGTCATTCATGGTATGAGAAAACTATATACATGCGCAGCAGGCTCAACAGCTTTGATTCATTACATTAACAGGCCTCATGGTCAGCACGCCCCTACTAACTCGTCATCCATCAGCGTTCAGTGGGGTCACGGTCTCAAGCCTTCATGGTGGCGTTTCACAGATACATTCAAGGCACTGCTTGGCCTCAATATATCTAAACAAAATCAATCAATGCAATACCGCTAGTCTCCTCTGGTGTAAGTGTTCCAAACCAGTACCGGTCGTATTTTACTCAACTGCGCCGTGCTTCCAGGTTAATAGAGACCGGTCCTCGGTCAACCACTCTGTTATTCATATTACTACTTGTTCAGCACAAATGCGCCGAGCATTGGCTGCAGTAAAATTCTATCTTACTGACCTCACGAAGTTTTCGCGGTGGAAGAACGACTCATTACTTGTCCTGCGCACCATCCTAGGTCGACTAGATCCTTCATACTCTAGATCGAGCAATCGCGTTACAATAAAATCCCAGAACAGTGCCCAGTTTTTTGCTCGCAATCTAGGACAACTCTGATCAGATGTCTTATGGCGATGCCCTCCTTCTGTGAACGTACCGCCTCCCTCCTAGTAAAAATTATAAACTATCGTTCACAGCACTTGCCTGCCTTCTCATCCCTGCATTTAACAGCTCGAATGCACAAAAATACTAGGTCCGGGTGTAGCCTCGTTCTCTTCTGTCCGTGTCGGCCGTCTAAGTGACATGATCGGTGTTGTCTTGTTCTTGGTCGCGTACGAGTCATACAGCCCATCGTGGAAGGTGGAACCCTGAATCTAAAGCTAGAGCGATGAAAGAGTCTACTTGGCATTCCTTAGAAGCTATTACAGCCCCATGGATGTATCCGCTCTGTGGTTCAACCAACCCACGAGTGCGCTTCCATAAAAAAAGCCAGGTAGATCCATCGGCCACCTCTGGCATTCGCCGTCGTGTTCGAATCGCAAAGCCTGGTGTTTTCATAGCGAGAGTCGGGCGGTTCCGTTGTTTCCTCCGGTCTCATAATTCGGACTCGACCATACCATTGGCCAGAAAACGAGAAATAAATTCAACAGCTGCAATAAACATCGTAGCTTTGAATTAGAACAACTCTGATCTTATGGCGATGGATCGCCATTTATCTATCGCACGAACACATCCTCTTTCGGTAAGCACCGCCTCGGTCCTATTGGCAGCGATTATTGGTTTCGCCTCTGAACTTTATCGGGTGTAGCCACTAGGATTTTTCTTACCGTTCATCGGGCAGTAGACCCAACCGTACGAATGGATAAAAGTACCGGTTCTGCATCTGTGATACTGAGGGCTGGTTCTCTCACTCCTCAAGCGTTGGTATAGGCCGTGTAGCATCCTCGCTCTTCTTCCATGAACGGACTGTTAGGTCTAGCATACATCAGCCATCCTCATTTTGATCGGTGTTGTTCTGCTAAGCTCAATTGTGACACCACCACCGGAAGGTAGATGCCATGCTTCGAATATAAAGCCGTAACTAGGCGTTTACAGCTTCCCTGAGGCTGAAATCGCTGATGATATTCCATGAGGAGTGGAGGAGAGATATCAACTGCTTCGTGTGCAAGTCATTCAATCAACAGTGCTGTTAAATTGCGAGTCTAGGCTATTGGGGGTACTTCGAATCTCAGGTGAGGAGCGATGTTAAGGGTTTACTTGACAGGTCGCACTAGAAGGCTTAACAGCTTTACGGACATACCCAGGCTATCATCCTTGGGATTCGGGATACCCTTCACCCATGCTGATATTTCTGGAGTTATGGTAAGCGTGAAATCTATGCTGTTTGACCGATAAATTTGCTGACGTTTGTGTATCCTGATTCAGAACGCCGCTTGTCGATGATATATCTTAGACACTGGGGATTTCCAAAATTTAATAGAACTTGATAACTGCGGCATCATGATCTTTGTGGGGAACAAATGTTTACCCCATGCTATGCCAGGTACTCAGGAGAGATCTATTCCAAGGCGCAACTACTCAACAGCTCGGATCGATTACAAGGTTTTGATATATGGACCAAGGAACCCCACACACGGAGTCAGTACGCAACAATCCTGGTGCTTCTAGGAGGTATTTCTGACTCAATGGTAGCTGTGGGGATATGTCCTTTTGAAGGAGATAGTTTAGTTTTCTTTATGAATATATTTTCAATGCCGCATGTATATGAGCCGCTGCCTTGCTAGTCAAATGCCCATCAGCCCCTCAATGTCCAGCTTAATACTCGAACAACAGCGGAGCTTCGTCGTCGTCGTCGTTATGGCCAGCGTGGTGGTAATCAGTAAGTCGGAATTGCGCTGGCAGACAACGGTACCAACTCATACGTGCCAATCATTTTTGTACAGTACGCTCCATACTCCCTTTCCTATTTCGACAACGCGATAACAACACTTTCAATACAGTTACCCACGAAACCAACCATCCGGAGGACGAAACACGTACCTTCTGTCTACCAGGCATCCAATTTATTAGAGGACAGCCGACCCTCCCCCCGCCGATCACAACACCCCCCACCCGAACCGCTGCACAATCCATTACAGATGCCTTTAATGGTGTCTCCCAATTCTTCTACGGCATCACCCTTGTTAATCAATTTATCGCCTTCTTTGCCAGCGACACCCATTCTGACAATCACACACGCCGTGGCGTGTATCCAGATCCTGACGGGCCTACACATCACGGCTTGGGTGACCGGAACTCGAACACCATCAGTACTCCGGATCCGGTGGTCTGTAGTGATGTCAATGATGGGGGCACTCAAGGAGGCCGAGGAGAGATCAGGGAGGGAATCTGAAGCAGTCATGGATCCTGACCGTCAGCAGAGGACATCTGCCTCAATTCGTTAGTATATTTCCCCTTTGCACCGCAATGTCATTGCTTATTTTTACTTTCTTTTGCAGTAGTTTTTGAGTTGGTGTTCATTTTTTTTAATTTCTGTTTTTAAGTAGCTGTTTAGTACTGTCATTTTGAGTTGTATGTATGTTGAATATGTTCTACCCCGGACCTACCTATCTATATATATTGTTTGCGATGAGTTTTGAAGGAACTTGTTCTTCAGTAAGCTCTTAAAGTGCGCTCACGCGGGAGAGAGACGCGACCACGCGGTAACTTATGGCATAAAAGGGGAAATCAAGATTTACCATATGATAGCGAGCCTGAGACCTGATTACTAGACATTTAAGTGTCGAGCAGAATGGCGAATCCCTAATCGGATATTAGCGCCGCCAAGCACACAGTTCAAGCAAGTCCCCACAACCAACTTTAACCGACGGAATAACCTGTTGGTACTGTAACCAGCCGAAGACGGAGTTGCAAACGCCAGCGGTCTCCCATCACGGACTTAGACACACGAGAGAAATGATGGATCCCCTGCCAGACATGGTGAGCCAACCGAGAGGAGAGAATTGATGATTGAATTTGAAATGTCGCAACGCGTGATGAAAGCTTGCGACTTGTGTAAAAGTTCGTATGGATTGTTCGTCCATCGAGGCTAGGCAAATCCCAAGCTGCCGATGTGCCACCAGTGCGGCCAATAGTCAAGGAGCCACAACAAAGTCCGAAGCTGCATTTTCAGTAGCCCAGCCTGTACTAGCATCCCTATTATTGAATCACGTTCGCAAAGGAACTGAACGGAAGCTAGAAAGGAGTTCAACTTGAGGAACGCACGGACGACAATTGATTTGGCCCCTACCGGCCGGATACCCGACGCGGGAAACTCCGCTAAACTCCGGCCGACACTGCGGGGGAAGTAGTGACGCGTTGTCATTCCCCAGGTAAACTTTTTCGCCGGTCTCCGTTCGGTTTTGCCCCTACCTTTCCTTCCGACCCCCAACCTTCTGCATTCGTGTACGATGGGAGCTTCAGAGGAACTCGAGTACCTCAAGTCTCTCGTTGCTCAGCTGAACGATAAAATTGGCGCTCTTGAGGCCAAGGCGAAGAAGAATGCTGCTCCGACGCCTGCTCAACAGCTGCGAACGATTCTGATAGGGCCCCCTGGTGCTGGTACGTGGATTTTATCTCTGCTGCGTGATGCCGGTGCTTATTATGGGTAATAGGCAAAGGAACACAAGCACCAAGGATCCGTGAACAGTTCTGCGTCTGCCACCTGGCCACGGGTGACATGCTCCGGGAGCAGGTCGCAGCGAAGACCGATCTTGGTGTCAAGGCCAAGAAGATCATGGATGCTGGCGGTCTTGTTTCGGATGAGATCATGGTTGGAATGATCAAAGATCAATTGGAAAAGAACAAGGAATGCAAGAACGGGTGAGTGATTGCTACAAGGACGCGTATTCGCGTTCCGGCTTGCTTCTTGTACATCCACTGACACTGTATCTCAGCTTTGTACTGGACGGTTTCCCCCGAACAGTCCCCCAAGCCCAAAAGCTCGACAGCATGCTTGAAGCCCGGAAAGAGAAGCTCGACTCGGTTGTCCAGCTTCAGATTGACGACCAGCTCCTTATTTCACGTATTACCGGACGTCTCATTCACCCTGCTAGCGGTCGCTCATATCACAAAGAATTCCAGTACGTGTCGATTTCTTCACTATCACATGATTACGTGCTAAACTTTGACTTTTCAGCCCGCCGAAGAAGCCAATGACTGACGATATTACCGGTGAACCACTCATACAACGCTCAGATGACAATGTCGAGACCTTGACGAAACGCCTGGGAGCGTTCCACGGTATGACCGGTCCGGTTGTGGATTATTACCGGGCGAAGGGTCTCTGGCATGGTATCGACGCTGCTCAGTCCCCGAGCGTTGTCTGGGATAACCTGCGGAAAGTGTTCACTGGCAAGTAGTAGTTGGGGAAGACATTTACCATAGAGGCCTTATGGCTAGTGTAGAGGTTCATGTGTCCCGGACTATACCACGGAAAAAGGAACACTTGAATTGCATATGTGAGATGGAGGAAAAGATTATGGCGAATATCTCGTGACCATTATGCAAACGATTTCGAAACTGTAGAGATGTTACAAACTTCGAAGCCAGAAGTAAGGTATCGTTATAACGAGCTTTCCCATAACTATTATAACGAGATGGTAACCTTACCATATGAGGCTAAGCATGTGGTAAGTACTGTCTACCGTAGTACGTTGCTATATAGGAGACTAAGCGGTAATAAGTAGAGAAACTAAGAAGATAATTCGGTCAGTTAGCTCTAATGCAATGAAAATAGGTGCAGAGCGCAAAGTGGGTCTGCGATAGTTTGATGGCCGGAATCCGGCATCGCGCTTATTACCGGCGGCAAGTTCGGCAGTTCAGAGCTCAGCGCTGCATGCATTGTTTCAACATCATAGGAGAACGTGGTTGGATGTGAGAGGTAGTAGCTTGGTCGTCCAGTCTTCATCAATTGAAGCCATGATCCTTCACAATATTAAAAGGGCGTAGGCTTTTCTAAGACCCATCGTATGATCTCCGCGCTATAAAGGTAGTATCAGTCATCCTGTCTTCATATCCTGGTAAGAAACTTACTGAGTCTCTGCTTTCATGTGTGCACGATGCAAATATGTGACAGCTCCTTGACCTTTGAATTTGAGGATTGAAACATGGATGTGATAGCACCAATGATTATTCCGGTAACTCTTCACAATTTTTCTGGTGCTTAGCATGTCTCGACAAAAAAAAAACACTGCTTATTCGAGTTTTCTCTTCATGAAAAGGTACGTCCTGTAACCAGGCACCTCATCACTCAGGTACAAGGTGCCTTGAGCTTTTCAAACGTGGCCCAACGCCCTTCATCTGCATGATGCGGAGTCCCAAGTGAATTAAATCAATAAACTGAATCAAAAGACAGTTGGCTTGATTAAAAATTAGATATAGCAAAAGACATTGTAAATCTTTCCCCTACCATCTGTATGTGTAGCAAAAGACCAGCAAGGAAGTGAGAACAGCGCAAAGGTGACGGAAAGAAGCGGCGAGTGCCAGAACGATCACTAAGGAGCTGACTAAGCTTAGCTTACGTTTGATGGAACTCGGTTTTCACTTGGGCCCCACGACGAAAGGCGAAAAAAACGAGCTGGATCGTTAATTCATCTGGTAAACATTGCGGATTTATGAGCGCGTATAAACGCGCAAATCATGTACTACACCAAGAAATGGTAAGGAGATGCGGGCGATGCGGGCCCTCGGCATCTAGCAAAGGCTCGGCCATCAGATCATCAATGTATGTAAGCTCTCGTAAGTCGTTTGAATCAAACTCAAATCAAACTCTAAATTTGCTGCGCTCAGAGACGAACAATATGGAGTTGCTGGCTGCTTTTGATGACATGGATTTCTATTGAGGTCAAACGGCGTCAAGGGGGAACAGGTGAATCCGAAAACAGTAACGATGGAAAAGTGTTATCAGACTAGCGTTGAATTTTCAGGGTGGTTGACCTCAGGCTGCTGTCTGGGGCTCGAGCTTGGAGTAGGTCCGCTGTTTCCGCACTTCCGAGAATTCAACAAACAAAAGGATGACTCACGAATTGGTTTTTATGTCTGGGCGGTACCGATCAACAAATCGTGTTAAGAACGAATTGCGATTTTCGATCGTAAATCGAGTCATGTTTGAGCTTGAGCTTGAGCTTGTGTCCAATAGGCAATCAATGCGGAATTTTGAACTTTGCATGGTAACGATGTCGACGTCGTTGACAGTCAGTCACGAATATATTTTTGTCTTGGTCCATTTTCGTACCGATTTCGTCGTACAAAAGGCTGTGATTCATCGTTGCAATGTAAGTAGCCTTTTGTTCCTCGGATGGTATTGCTTAGGTGCCGCCCAGTTCTGGTGACCTCGGAAGTTTGACTTCCGAGTCCGATACGATACAGCGGCTCTCGCGTCTCCGTCTGGCAGAATTCTACTACTTAAGTAATAATATGACTGTATGCCGCCGTCTTATCGTCGAAAACGCTGGGCATTTAGAATCTAAAAGGAAAACAATAAAACGGATGATGAATGGGCGACGGAAGGCAGCGGAAGGTAGTGAATAGCAGCAGGAGATGTCGCACAGTTATCAGTACGTTCGATGAATATCAAATCTTAGGAGATCAGCTGGACGCATGCGTTATCGGTTTCATAATCCCAACATCAACTTCCTTCCAGTTGCGACAAATATATGTTGCTTGCGGATCATAGTTCTGTTCCTGCCGTCATGAACGCTCAGTTCATATAAACTAGAATTAGTGCCTCGACTTCTCTTTCTTGCTCTTGCTCTTGCTCCCTATGCCCAAGGCAGCAGCATCGTTGGCTCGCGGCTCTGCCTGCCTTTGTTGTCGGTTAGTCGCCGGCCCCCGACTCATCATCCCTTTGCTGATCTAACATTCGCATCTTTCCTCTAGGAAGCGGAAACTGGTCAGTAAGCACGCGCCTTTTCGTTCTACGATGCCTTCTGAACGAGTCATAGAAATGCGACGGGGGGCGCCCAGTATGCCGTCAATGTACGAAGATGAATCGGGCGGAGGAGTGCGAATACGATGATATGACTGTTAAGAGCAGGACGCAAAAGCTGCAAGAGAAGTTGACCATGCTGGAGACCAGACTTCGTGAGCTCGAGTCCGAACCGTCGCGTTCATCGCAGTCATCAAGCGCCGAGACGTCACCAGAGGCGGGGCCATCAACGAGTCCACCAAGTGCTGTTCTCGCACCGTTTGCCCCCGCAGCCATCACTGATGCAGATCCTTCCTCCCTACCAACCACATTTCAAGACTTCAGCGCATTCGATCCATCGTGGTCTACGAATTCACCGTCATCGTCGTCAAGCTCAGTCGAACTCGCTGCTTTTCCCGGGGTGTTCGGAGAAGGGTCAACAGACCACCTGTGGCCTTCCGTAACAGCGTCTTCGTCTCAGGTTGCGCCTTTCCTTGAGGGGAACGATACTCTAGGATCAGGATTCGAGATCAACCCTGGGATGTACCCCGTGTCAACACATGCAGATCCAAACTTTAGCGCGTCCTTCTTCCCCCAATGGGATCCCAAAACACCCTTGCCGAACGAGCATAGGACGATTCTGTGAGTATTTCGCTTCGTTATGACAGAACACCTGCTGACTGTTCTGTGTAGAATGAATATATTTCTTCTCCACCGGCATCAGTTCTCGTTCGAAGGAGACATTTCGAGATTTGATGATTCCGTACCGGCCAACCTGTTCCGTCCCGAACCTCATCCTGCTCTCTTGAGTGCCATCTACCTCCTTGGATGCCATTTCGCACGTTCTCCCTACTATTCTGGGTTAGAACCTATATTTTTCAACAAGGCGCTAAGCGAAATCACCTTGGCTCTCGACAGCTCCGATCGCCTCGTCGACATTATCGAGACCTCGTGTCTTCTTGCCGTATATCTATACATCAATTCCCGTTTTCTCGAGGGCTACTGTCACGCTTTCGCTGCCGCACGTCTCGCCGTGGGTATCGGGCTGCATCAGATTACGTCGGAGCCGTATGACTCGAACACATCTTCGCAACAAGCGACTGTTTCCACAATTCCTTTGCCCGCTCCTCGGTCCCAGGAGGAGATGCGTGACAGGATAGCAGCATTTTGGCAGGTGTTCATTGTGGATAGGTGTTGGACAATTGCAAATGGTCTTCCGTTGGCATTACCCGATGGTGACAGTCATAATTCGCGTATTAAAACACCATGGCCAACGCCTCCCGAGGCCGGAATTGTAAGTCACTCTTCTGCTTCTACTTCTCGTCATTGAACATGTTGTCAGGACCCTTCGACTTACATCCCACTTCTTCGCGCCAAAGCAGTGGCTCTTCTAGAAAGGGCAAGTCGCATTGCATCCAGTAAGGCTTATTTCCATATTCGCCGTATTTCCCTGTTTCACAGTTTGACAGTCTCCAATAAGAACGACGATTATTGGGCCAATTACAATGCCGCTGAAATTGCATTAAAACGATTATCGGCCTCGTTGCCTGCCTTCCTTGGCTTCGAACCCTGGCGGATGCAGGCACCGTTTATAGACGTTGACTTGTTCGCCATCCACAGTGCGGTCCACGGGGCGATGATACATCTCTATAGGGATGTCAATGAAGGGGAGACACAGAAGGGTATGAGGACGATTCTGTCTCTCATACGCCAGCTGAACAATGACGACTATGAATTCCTGGAGCCGACCCTTTGCGTACGTCTTCCGATTCGCATCACGACTCGTTCTAAATATTGCCCTTAGGCTACATGGACCTGTGTCGCCAAGGAATACATGCGATTCATCCACATAGCGAACCAGAACCCTGGTGGATCAGATGCACACAGTGTTTCTATCGCAGAGCAAGAAATCGTTGTTCTGATCAGTGCTATGAAGATGCTCAGCGCCTTTTTCCCTATTGCGGGTACGTAATGCTTTGTTCGTCATGCTATGTATCACTGACCGTTTTCCCCTGTCTGCCTAGGCGAGCATGCCAAGAAGATCGAGCAAGAGCTCCAGCAGACGCAAGGATCGACTTAGTAGTAAACCGTTTCTCCCGGGTCTGAAACTGACTCGGTTGCTATCCACTGCAGACTGCGATGTGGCATTCTCTCTGGCCGGGCATACTGGCGACCTGTGAATCGTATCAGGAACGTTTCTCATGAGCCCACTTTTGCTTCGATGAGATGATACCGCCGGTTTGAGGGTATGTCGCCGAGTGCTTGAAAGGATGGATGGAGTTTTTATTCAGTTGAGGAGTGTAATTTGCGGTATCGGATTGCGGTGGATACAGCAGCGAATGTGTAGACAAAGTCGGCTCGCCACATTGTTTAGGATTCAGGAGCAAACGATAATTTGTTCGACTCGGGCGTTTGCCATTTATTTGAAGAATCTCGATGTGGTATGTGAAATCTTATTTTGAATTCGTCTGCATATGGTTCAGATACGGTCTTCAAATATTTGCATCTAGGCTGGACTAATCGTCCTGGGCCGAATTCTGAGACCTGACGTTAGGAGGTCTAAATGCATATAGGGAAAATCCCCACGTCGTCGTCGCCCCTCTGCGCTTGGGTCGTTCTAGATTCCCCACCCGGAAACGATCATTACATGCTGATACACAACAAATACCTAAAAAAACAGTGGAGCTATGCATCCAGTGGATAAATATCGGCAGAATCAGTCTTTCTTAAAGGTTGGTGGTAAAGTGCGAGGAATGCAATGAAAGAAGTGCGCTAAGAGAAACTTCGAGTAAAGGGACTCAAATGGCTGCATGGGACCTTTGACCCACTCGTAATGTGGCTTGGAGTACGTCAGCGGGTGTCCTGACCTGGGCGCTTTGCCTAAAGGATTAAATCAAGGCAATCATCTTGACTGAAGAAAACCGGCAAATGTAATTATACATCTTCAGGATCAAAGGCCCGGTAGATCACTTTTCAGGGATGCAGATAGCGCTGGTACCAGAGTACTAGTATGTTGATTCAACGCAAAGAATTGAGAGAGTGTGCACTAGCCAATCTCGGCTGAGTCGGCTGTGAGATATACATTCAAGGAATGTCAATTGAAAAATAGCTGGCCTGGATACCAATACATTCATCGCGTAGGTGTCACTGAGGAAGGCATTCTATAATGTTTGAGGTTGGCAGGAGCCGGGTGCGCAATAGAGTTTGTAAAGCGCATGTATGGTCAACTGCGCAGTTATTACCTGTAGTACATAGGGTTGATCAAGATATACGCCTGTTCGTCCCCTTTTCAGTCAAAATCGGAGGTCTTCTGAGATTGTGGAGGAAAACTACCGTAAGCTACCATTATCAGTACCATTTGACGAGACGATGATCATCAGGGTACTAGATGCTCGGCAATCCACCGGAGAATGCCAAGGTACATGAGAGCTACGGGGATTTTACCATTGGTTGACAATCTGCGATGGATGCCTCAGTGTCCAATGAGAGGACAGCAGTGGTCGTTCTGTTAGACACAGATAAGAAATACCCATGGTCAGTTGACTGCTCGGAAAATCGATCGCGGTACCTCGATTCGACAGGGTTCCAGGGTAATCGAGACCAGATTCAGAACTTCGCAGGAGAGGAGCGGCTGAGATGGTCTAGTCGAAGGTTAGACACGTTCGTATGGATACAACCGAGGGCCTCGTCGCGATATATGTATGTGGACAACTGTTTTATCGTATAACCATCGATGAAATACGAAAAAGACCCTCTGATGGATTGAACATTCGACTTCACCTCGCCCTAGGCCCCGACGAGGAAAAGGAAATGCAAGAATGCTTGGTTCAGACATAGGAATTTCCAGTGTCTAGAACATTGTAAGAGTGGCGGCATTGACGGCAAGAGTGATCGGAAAGCCCTAAAATGGGCAAGTTATGGAGATGACGTCATGGGTAGCACGTGGTATCTGTTCCTAGATGGGAAGGATTCTCGAACGTTATCCATTTATCCATGACCATTATTCATTAATTTACTCTCTCCTCGAGCGTCCATCATCTGACGCTGCAGGGGGCCTCGCTATTCTTTCTCTTCTCCCTACCTTATACTGGATACCTGTATATCTTCTCTTATCATTGTGGTACGTATTCCCATCACTGGTTGCTGACGGTTCCCTGACTTTTTTTCCGTTTGTTCCTGTTCCGTAGTAATCTTGACGATAGTCTCCACCCGCCTTTCTCGTTATCGCCTTGCTTCGTTGCTCAGAGGGTTTCAAGCGAGGGGCCGAATCATTTCTTCGCGTTGTTCTTGGTCGGGGTCTGATCTGTTCGTGCATCGCCTGTATGTATCCATGCTACCATCGCCGGCGCTTTGTTTACCTTATTTATTTTAGATTTTCCTTCTTGTTCAGGGAGAGTTCGATCACTTCTTCAAAATTTACACGTCGCACTCCTTATCGGCAAGGCTTCCTGCTTTTCCTCCACAGAGCTTTGCTCGTTCACCCACGTATCGATACTTGCTGTTGTACAGCCTCTGGGACAGTGAGTTGTATTCTGTTTCGTGATTGTATCGTATTAATGCGTCATCGATTAGCCTCCTTTCATTTTTCTGATGATTGCGACAATAACCACACAAAACTGTCAAGTCTCTTCCATGGATAGTCCACTGCGACGAAATTCGAATTTGGCGGGTGGACCTCTGCCACTCATCCCTCGCAGGTCTGCTTCCACATCACGTCTACCGCTGCCATCATTCGTTCCCCCTTCTCCCGCGGCCGCCAGCCCAGTGAAGATTAACGTGCAAGGTGCTACTCCTCCAGATTCCGACGAGAAGCCAGTCGCCTCTTCCTCCAAAATCGACCCTGATACTAGCTCGTCAGGATCTGAAGGAGGTTCAAGTGTTCTTCGGCCGAAGAGAGTACTTGGTATTCCCCGGGCTTCATTGCATCAGCCTCCGTCACCCACGCTATCACTATCTCGTGTCAAACCGAGCCGCAGGCACATTTCCGATACCGACCAGCCCGCTTCATCACTCCGGGATACTTCCATTTCCCGAGCACCCGTTTACACCTTCGGGGATAAACGTTTGAGCCTCGATGCTTCGAAGCGGCACCCCTCCGAGTCTCAACCGGACACCGGAACCTCGAGTAAATCTGCACCCATCAACGCTACGCCACCCATGATCGTCAGGAATAAGTCTGGGCAGCTAGTAAAGTCATCGCTAAAATCGACGAGAACACCACCCAGGGGCAGTCTTTCGGTCATTACAGGAATGTCTTCGAGCAAGAGCGAGCCCAACACGCCGTCATTGTCTAAAGTCGTCCATTTTGACGCGCAATTGGAGCATGTAAAGCTCTTCCTTGCGGAACAAAAACCTTTGGCAGTTTCTCGAGACGGAAGTCCCACCGACGATACTAGTGGCACGGATAGCGACTTCCCGCCGTTCATCTTTGGGGAGCCTTATATGTCCAAACACCGACTGGTGATGAATGTCATCAACATGCCTCCCAAAGTGAACTATATGGCCGACGTTGCAATGGACAGTCTATTGCTATCTACAGATGGACTGAGCGTCACGGGCCGAGTTCGAGTGAGGAATATTGCGTTTCAAAAATGGCTTGCTGTGCGCTTCACTTTCGATGCTTGGCAAACCACAAGTGAAGTCACTGCGAGATATTTGGAATCTATTGACTCGAGTTTCGACATCTTTTCCTTCAGTATCAAGCTGAATGATATTTTGGCTCGAATCGAGGAAAGGACGTTGGTTTTGGCGCTGAGGTATTCGGTGGCGGGTAGGGAAACATGGGATAACAACAATGGCAGGAACTACGTTGCCAAGTTTTCGAGGGTCAAGTCCTCGTCAAGTCGGGGCAAAGCGTCGGGAAGTGATTCGGGCAGCGACATTGCTGATCTAAGGAGGCAGTTGGAGAAAGTTGTACAAAAGAGGGAGAAAGAAGAGCTTGGTTCTTTGCCACCTTTGCGACCAGCCTGTTCGGGTTCTACCTCTCTAGACAGCTCTTCAGAATTCAAGAAAGGTTCTTCGTTGTCGTCCCGATATGATTTCGGGACATCTTTGAAAACAATATGGAATCCCCCGGCAATACGACATTCACGAACTCACACGTATCCCACCGCCACCACTTCCTCTCCTCCCAGCTCAATTCCTTGGCCGACGAAGGATGCGCCCGATAGCGTTAAGCATAACTCGCCACCCGTCAGATCGAAACCATTAGGGTCCCCGCGAGACCAAGATGGCGATACCTTCCGACCCTCCCCATATGTCGCTTCCGATGCAGCGGACGCACCTTTTGCTCCACCTACAATTTCTCGACATCATCAACGCGGATATTTTGACCTCAATTTTCTATCAGATTCCGCACTCAAAAGGACACCCCCGGGGACGCCTAGGATGAGATCAGTTGATGATTTGACGCCAATAGCCAGCCCCAGCTCGGGTAGGTGCCACTCGTTCCCGCCTGTAGACGCCCTACGCCCTGCACCATTATTTAGCGTGGGTGGTGATCTGAGCTTCAGGCAGAGAGACGCGGAATTCGGCGCAGGTAGTGATGAATCAACACCCTCTATCATGTCTCCGTCGTCGAGCGGCACATCTTCCCCAACCCCATCACCGACGGAAACTGAGTTCGCGTCGCTACTGAATCTTCGTGATGAGGACATATCTATCGATCCTAACACCGACTACCACCAGTTTCTTAACCGGTGAGTTAGGACGCCATGTATTATATTGGACCAGGACTGAATCGTGGCTTCTGCCGTGCAGATTCTGTTTCTACACTGGTCCGGATTCCATTTTTGATACCGATTCTGACGTCCCGTCAAGGACGTCATCAATGTCGAGCATTGAAGATATCTTCACGGCGTCTGCCACCCCGCGTGTCCCTGTGCTCACGGCTCAGCGTGTTTTGGATACTCCCACACCAACCCGGAATGACAGTACCCTGGGCGGTTCTTCGACTCCCACACCGTTCAGTTTCCAGCGACTTCCTCCATCTTCCGTAACATTATGATGCGCATCATGCATACGTCTTCGAGTTTCTTCGTTTCTCCTTTTACACTCTCTCGATGGGGGCACCGATCCTATTCTGTGTAATTGTAGCTAATGTACAGTATATTAGTCACGGTATCTTTTCTTACCAATACGTTCACCTTATTTCTCGTTTCAATCACGCCTTTTCGATGCCTCGGACATGCATTTTACGGTTTATCATGTGTACGATACACTTGCTCCTAGCTTTTTCGATTTGTACTACCACCAACATCATTTATTCCCCGCTCCCCACACCAAATCCGTATCCATAGACATTAGCGATACGTAGAAAGCACATTTTTAGACAAACTATCATTATTATTACTCCCCTATGCACTGCAATACATGATCCCGGTCTTGGTTGGTTACTCTATTGACCCATTCTTGTTATCGTGGATCTTTGATGATTCTTGCACCTCTCCCGGGTTAGCTACGGGTTACGCTGATATCAGTGCCCCATGGGGATGTGGTACGGGTGATGAGTATCAGTGATGCTAAGAGCGCGTCGCTTGATGCGACGCGTATTTAGACCATACTGTTACTTGGGCCCTGTTGCATTGCTCGGACGTACAGAGTGTGATGTAGCTACGGATTATGATAAATAGCGATACGACGGGTAACTATAGTGTCCTTCGACAGTCATGGTGTGAAGATGAAGTTATCACGCCGAAGGGTGATGTCAAGATACGTGTATTTTGCATTGTGGCGTCCACAACATGAAGCCGAAACATCTAGATTCCAGTCTGGAATATTTTCAAGAAAAGGTCAGGACCCAGTGGCGAGCAGGGCCGGAATGACGTCGCGTATAACACGATGTTTCGCTCTTTGTTCGGTGTCAGTATTTTTAGATGCAGGTGTATACGTGTAATACATGTACAATATTAGTAAACACGGAGAACAGGAAACTGCGAATATGTACTGCCCTTGGAATCGCAGTTTACAGCAAGGAGGATGTTTTTAGACGCGATAAGGCTGGAGAGGTGACCTAAGTATCGGACCTTTTAGCATTTGTCGTTGAATTCGAAAAACCGAGAACTTTAGAAATTCTTTAAGAATTCAATATATGGCTCCAAATTCGAAGTGCTTCGTTCGAACTACCATGTGGATAGACGCACGTTCGAATAGGTAAGCAATAGGTAAGTATAATGCTGAGAGTGTCTCTGCGCTTCTAACAGACACGATAACAGCGAGTGTAATAAGAGCATTGGTTTCGACTGCCAGGGCATGAACGAAATACCCGAGTTCCGTCCGGAGAAAAATCGACGGAACAATTTTGAGCGGGCCAAGTTCGAAGTCCGAGCTTGACATTCCAAGGGGGAGATCACGTGGCCTAGTATACTTTACTCTGCAACGACGTTGACGTTGTTATCGACGTCGAGCTCGCACCTGAGCTCGTCGTTGAGCACGATGATCCTCCGCAAACTCGCTTCTCCGATACCAAAGTCCCATTACACCGACCTCGACCCGTTGTCCCTGTCGTCCGTACCGTCGCCCTCAATATCTCCTTCACCATGCTCGACCTCCCCAGCGAGCAACTCACAGTCAAAAACTCATGCTTTCTTCGCTTCTCCCTTTTCGACGCGACCATCAAGTCCAGTTCCCCCGACAAAGAGAAACACAGACGATCTAGATTTGAATGGAAATGGCAATAAACCAAATTCCAAAAGGTCGTCTGCTGCGCCACGATCATTGACGGCAGATTTCTTCGCAACGACGGCGACCTCACCTACAATTTCTGTTCAACCAAAGAGTAAAAGGAATTTTCTTAATCTTGATTTGCTGCGGTATGCCCCCAACGTCGATGGAACCGCACAGCATCCAAGCTCGCTTGCGACAAACTTTACCTCGACACCGACACCGACGTCTATTGAATATCCTGATATGTCAAGCGAGCCAACGCCGCGACCGCCAGCCCTCAAGCTCAAGCTATCTCCCAATCTGATGGAGCCCGCCTCTATGCAGCCAAGCCCTCTTTCCCTCGTACAGCCCGTCCCGCCACCGCCTGGAACGCAGGAAGACGCTGAGGTTCTGCCTTCCTCGGCATCGATAAGCTCGTCGGTGCGCTCCGATGACACATCGGACGTATACGACGAGCTCGCTCCAGGCATGATCATCAGGTCTTTCCTACCTGGTCATTCATCCTCCTCCTCTTCTGTTAAGCAGACACCAACCCCCACCACCTCTTTTCCCAGCAGTGATACCCTTTCTCCCCTCAAATCCGATCCCCATCCCGCCGGCGACCCTGCTCCAGGTGACGTATCCCTTCGCTTGAAACGTGCACTCGGTAAAGGCGCGTTTTCGAATGTGTGGCTGGCGGAAGATCTCTCCCCCACCCCTCTGCTACTAAAGACGAAGAAGAGCCTGAGACATTTGAAGAGGAAGGCGGAGGCGGCGTCAAGTGGGAAGCTCAAGCATTCGAGGTCGTCTTCAAGCTTGATGAAGCGACTACGTGGTGGTGTGAGTGGAACAAGGCCCCATAATGGGTCGCCTACTACTAGCCCCAACAAGTATGGAAATGGACTAGGTGTAGGGCATACACATCCGATCAAAGACCGCATTTCGAGCTCCAGCTCTGTCAGGAGCATCTATCTGGACGAGAAAGACGGCGATGGGGTCTCACCTGATGCAGGAACGTCTCTATCGCGTGCTTCCTCCATATCTTGGCAATCCGTGTCCTCATCGGACAGCGATGGCGTCGGTAGTGTGCACCGGTCGAGTTCGACTCGTTCAGCCAGGATTAAAAGGGCCCCCAAGCTTGTCGCTGTTAAACTGACACTGAGAGGATCCATTGAAGTGAAGAAAGATGCGTATTATCAGGCAGAAGAGGAGAGAGAGCGAGATCGCATGCGTGTTAGCTTCGTGAGAGAAGTGGAGGTCCTCAAGGCAAGTGTCTCGCCTTTTCTGACCTTCTTTGCGCAACACGTTTCTGTTCCTGCCTCGTGTATCTAGCGATATTCGATCAATTCTGTCTCACTTGCCTCCGATGTCTTTGATGTTTGGCTTATCTTTTCCATTTTCCAGCATATCTCCCATCCGAATATAACGCCATTGCTGTCCCATCTGACGACTCGTACCCATCATCTCTTAGTATTACCGTACTGTTCGGGCGGCGACCTATTAGAGCTGGTAACCTCTGAATCTTGGCATGTGCTCGACGAGAGCATCGTCAAGCGGATATGGGTAGAAGTATGCCGTGCAGTCGGCTGGATGCATGGTGTCGGTCTAGTGCATAGAGATATCAAGCTAGAGAGTGAGCATCATTTATATCAGTTGTCGTCTGATCTGATTGATCATGTGCAGACATCCTACTCACCGTGCCGTTATCGTCCTCGATGATCCCCAAACCGCCACAGGATCCGTATGATACGGACGCGTCCCATTCACCTCTTTCATTACCCACTCCCCCGCTCCCACTTATACAACTTACTGACTTCGGACTATCGCGGTTTATTGATCCTTCTCGTCCATTATTGACGACGCGATGCGGCAGCGAGGCGTATGCAGCACCCGAGTTGGTCATTAGCGGTGGTCGGTCTACTGTCGCGTCGGGTAAAAGTAAATGGGGAGACTACGCGGAAGCTGATGGGGGCGGATACGATGCCCGCGAAACTGACGCATGGGCTTGTGGTGTTGCATTATACGAAATTATGACGAGGTTGCTACCCTTTGGCGAGGGTCCTAGTGATGGAAAGCCGTATGGGCGAGCCAAGTTCGCGGGTACGCCGAGTGAAAGGAGACAGTGGTTGATCAAGATTGCGAGAGCTGAGTGGAAATGGCCTGAGGGATCGAAGCACGGCGACGGTGAGGAGTCGATTGTCGAGTGTACGGGGGCACGCCGAATGGTTGAAAGGCTACTTGTCCGGGATCCGAGCAAGCGGTCGAGAATAATTGACTTGTGGGATGATGAGTGGATGAGTGGCCTTGTATCTCCGCCGCCATCTGGGAGGCCCAGTATGGAGAAGGAAGCAGACAAGGGTGGATATAGTGTTAGAGTGAACGTCTGGCGTGATTCTCAGCGGCTAGAGAACGGCCAGTACGAGGATGATTTTCGGGAAGACGGGCTTGACGAAGAAGAAATGTTGGAGAATGAGGTTGATACTGATGGGTGGATCGTTGACAAGGAGGGGATTGGGAGTATTGCGAGTGAAGAGGTACAGTAACATATGCAGGTGAGGCTCTTTTTTTCAGAAGGTGTAAAAGCTAACTTGGGATTTGTAGTATCTATTGGCTATTCTATTTCTTGATGTACGACCACAAACGAATCATTCTCTGGTCCTTATTTGTCACGTATCTGCTACACTACACTCTATATAGATCCAAGTTCACGATGTTTGTCTTATTATTCCTACATGGCTCACCAACATTGGTCGGAGTCGCCTTTTTATTTGCCTTGGTTTCATGGGTTATATCACGTATACTGTACAAATGTAGAGCAAGATAGTAGGTAATCAAAACCGTGTATTCGCGCGCTGAATTATCAATATCTTTGGAGACACAGTCTTTGTTTCGTTGACAGTTCGCGGCATATTATCCTCTTAATTCATAAATTGGTCCTAGAGAGCGGTAAACAGATAAAGTAGTCAAAGAAGAAGGGCTTACAGCTGTTAAAATAATAAGTCCTAGAATACTCAACTTGGAATGTTTGGAGTCCCAGGTGATCGGCTTACGATACGAAATCATGCCGGCGTTTAGTCAACCGTGCTTGGGAATGCGGTTCCGTGGTCTCTTTCGAGTACCAAGTAGTGATGGTGGAGGTTGGGAACGAGCGATTACATAGGGGGAGGAACCGATCCAGGGACCAGGAGGTAAACATTCAACACTTTGGAAGGATGCATATTGGGCTAGCGCAACATTTTCAACGCTGAATGGCACATTATGCCAGGTTCAAACTTGGAAACTGAAAGATTCATATCTGGGCAGGGATAAGGTGTGGTTTTGGCGAGCAACACTTGGATTCTGCAGTCGGATTCGAGTTTGCTGGCTATGATATGGTATCAGGACACGTATCTTATTCGTTCAAGGCTAAGGCTGCCGTTCTGACTCTGAGCTGTCGATGATTTGCACCAGTATACGTGGCTATGAACTACTTGACTGGACGTCTTCGCTCGCGCAAGTTTGTCTCTTACGCACTGTTATAGTACATGATAGCAGCTGTATTCTCGTGAGCACCGTTCTTTACAAGCACCTCTCCGAAACACATCTCGGCACATCTCTTCTCGTGTTTTTGGCGCTAGATAGATTACTACCGCAAATAATTAATATACACTGTACACCCAATATTTTCGTTGTCTCTCTCTGCAATTCTCTATCATATGCCGATCCGGGATGTGTGGGGGCGATCACTGGCCTGGATTGGTTGATACGTTCAAACGTTCCCCACGGGACCGTCGTCACTTGCCTCATGATTGTGCCAAGGTAACAATCGATGCATGTGACTGGACCAGTGGGGCCGGGGATTGGGTAAAGCATCGGCAGAAAGTGCGGGAGTAAAAAGATAGTCAGAAACACTCACTGACTCTTCATCCAACTCGCCCAAGAAAAATGCATCCAAGGTCTTGATGGCGAAATGAATACATTCCCTTTGTTTTGCTATCTCTTCTCCTGACAAGGGAATCCGTTCGATTCCATTAATAGAAGCCTGTCGATAGAAGAAATCCATTCCATCCTCTTCAAGCAATTGTTCAAGTCTGCAGCGGCATTCATCCCATGCAGGAGCATCCGGCTGAATCCGAACAACCGATAGAATGTTCTTCTTGATGTGCTTTTCGTGGTTACCAGAACGGTATGGATTGCAAACAGTTAGGATGGAGCACACAGTAAAGAGATTATCTGGCTCGTGGAGATATCCAATGCATTCTCGTTCTACCGAAGCATCAAGACAGGATTGTCCAAATGCGGAGAGATAGCCTTCAATGATATTCACCAACCACGGGTGACATCCATGATGCCCGAAATATTCTAAGCATTGCTTCGCACGGAAGACACTGTACATTGTTTGGCTGCCTGCGTGAAGACCCTCGGCTATGATGTTGCCTGCACTACTGGAATTATAGGGATCGTCGAAGATGAGATTGACAAGTGCCTCCAGGGATCTAGGGGACATGGTATGCCATCGTGTATGGACCAGCTCAGAGTAAACACTTATGGCTGTGAAACACAGAGGTGTGTCTGCCACCATTGGTATCATCTTCAGGTTATCCGTGATGAAGCGTTCAAAGACATCGAAGACAGCGGCATTTGCCTGAGAAGAAAGGACATGCATATGGCTCATAATGCCACAGATGACTGTGGTGAGGGCATGGAGTTCCTTTGCGTCTGAATTGGCTTGTTCTTTCAAAGGAAGCCTTGAGATAAGAAATTCAGCAAACACGAGGAGGATCCTCAGAGATGGTAAGACAGAGTCAACGTTTGAAGGGCGCACAAACGCGGCAAACATTTTCAAGAGATAGGTTGTCATGTTAGTGAAGAGATGGTTGCGAATAGCGACATGAAGTTCCATGGCTGTTGACTGGGCTTTGTCCCTTTCGGAGTCACCGGAGTTGTTGTTTAAGGAAGGACGCAAAAATGCAGGTAGAACCGTGCAGCATATGTTCACGGCAAAAGAATTTTCGGTGTCAGTATCAATGGGAGAGAAGACATGGCTTGAAGCGGCATTCCTGATGAGGTCAATCCAGACTAAGGGATGGGAACACAAATATTCTGTCCCGGACGAACTACGGAATGCCAGAGCTCCGTTGAGGGCAATGTCTTCCATGAGCAGGTTTATACCACGATAATCTCTATATCTTTCTGTCAAGGCTGTGACATTGAGTGGAATCTCAACACCTGGTGTCTGTGGAAGGTTGATCACGGGAATATAGCTTTCATCAGATAGGACCAGCTTGCAGCGTAGAAATCGTTCAAACTTGGTCTCTAATCCAGGAAGTGGTGCAGCTGGTGCCCAAAAGGAACGGGAGGTCGTAGAAAGACACTGAAAGAGTGAATCATGGAGTAAGAAGCCAGTATCATCAAACAGCTCTTCAGCTTTCTGCTGCGATGCTGGATGCAAACCACCAATAGCTTGAATGACAATACTTTGGACAGTGGGATTTGATGACATGGAAAAAAGCCAATGCAAGGCCTCAACTGATAATTCACCCGACACTAAATGTACCGCATCTGACTCCAACTCTTTCAAGCCCTTCCATTTTATAGTGCTGGAGGCAGACTTGACAGCTGGTAATGGTATATCAGGCAAGTTCATCTCAGATTGGCGGCGACAGAGCTGGACAGTATACATGGTATACTGCACCACATGACTGTACAAGACATGGAACAGTTCACAGAGTGAGGTACGGTAGGGGCATTGGGGGAAAATGAGGGGAAGGATGTGTGCCATCAAGTAAGTCGCATACGCAATGGCCGTAATTGCACCAATAACCCATGCAAGGGAATCTCGCAATGGGCCAAGGAAGATCACGAGGCCAACAAAGAAGATCGCAAGGGCAGTGTGCATTAGAACAGGGAGTAGCCCAATGATAACGAGAACACGCCATTTCTGCAGTCCCGCAAATCGGAATTGCCGCAGAAGGCTACGCTCGCGGGGTGTTCCCGAGGGTAAAGCGATGTAATGATGGAGCCATTGCTTGACCAGCACCGACACGAGCGCCGTTGTGAGGCTGAGCGCAAGACTGGTAAACCACAGACCATTCACCCAGACGCTCGTGGCTGAAGCAATGAACGCGATGTCGGGGTTCAGAGGGGAAGCAGAAACGGTGTCCAAGGAAGCGCCGCTGGCAATAGCACGCTGAATATTGATCATTTCGAACAGTAGATTAGCCGACATTTCAGCGTAGTCCGCTTGTAGGCTTTGCGAAGTTTGGGCTACGAATGTTGTAACCACGGCCGAGAACAGACCCGCCTGGTACAGAGAGATGAGCACGGAGACGAATAGAACATGGGCCACGTACGAAAACGAGAAGAACATCGACACCGTCTCTCGCCTCTTCGACCATATTCGCGTCATAGATCGCGCGCTCGTCGAGGTACGTCCGAAATACCCGAGCATTAGGTCCCATCTCTTCACAGTACGCATCTTCAGGATACTTTTCCTCGTAGTTGGAAGGATCGTTGCCTGGTCAGGCTGAGATGAGAACGATTCCATCAGCATATGAGTGTGATTTACCTTTGGGAAGCCGGTAAGGAGCAGATCCTCGTAATCCGAACCTCTTGCTCGACTTTGCAGGATCGACATATTCAAGATACGGTTGGCCTATAGTGTCGTTCTCCTCTTCCTCGACAGCGACAGGCGAGGCTTCGAGTTTTGAACCCTTCTCCATTTTTACTGGGGTGGTTGTGGGTACGACCTCGCTAGCAAGGGTATCAGAATTTGTGGGCGTTGTGGTAGACGTGAAAAGCGAGATCCAATAGTCATCAAACATCTCCGACGTTACAGCATCAAGGCACCAACAACAGAGCAAAAACGGAAATATTCCATAGCTTATGCGCGCATCAGGACAAGACCCTTGAAGACCGGGAGGGCCGAGTGGGCGTCGTAACACCAGTTGACAGTGAATATAGTGGAAGATATAGGGAATTATAGGCGATACGGGAAGATTATCAATTTTGCACACTATCGTAGCACCTTCGAACAGCGCTCATCCCCGACGTCCGGTCCGATTGTTCAAGAATCCGATGGGGAAACCATAGTTGAATGGCACATAGACTAAGGTTCAAAGTTGGAAGCCGAAAGATTCATATCTAATTTTTGAGCCTTCGGCAGTGGTAGAATGCGGTTTCGGCGAGCAACACTTGAATTCTGCCATCGAATTCGAGTTTGCTCAGTTTGATATGGTATCAGGACACGTACTTGGACATTCCTGGGGATGGAGCAATCTGTTGAATACGTATCAATGATGTCGCAACATAAGAACAGAAATGCGCCAAACTCCAAGACAAAAGATTATCCCGGAGTGCTAGCCATTGCAGGTCGCAATGAGAGCTCCACAACTTTCTCGTCGTTCTTGAGCCAAAGCTTCACCTACGGGTGCTATCCTTCCTTATCTCATTCCTCTTTCCATTGCAAACAAGATCTACAACGGCTACAGCGCCATCACAGCAATGTTTTGGCCTGAGCCCCAAAGTCAATTATTTGGACTTGTGTTTACATCCTGAGAATCGTCTCGCAGCGCGACTCTCACTGCAATGATTTCGCCGACACGAACACATAAACTGGTGTTGTAATAACTACTTAAACAAAATGATAAGTTATAGGGTTGAACGCGTAACTGGGAACGAACCTCGAACTGATAAGTCTAGATTACCGCCTCGGTAGAAACGTTGCCCTAACCAATTCTCTCACTCTTCACTCCCATGCAACTAGATTCACCCTGTGCGTCACCTCGATGCGCATCGAGTCTTTCGAGTGAAGTATACAGTGCAAGTATGCAAAGACGAGCGCGTCGAGTGCTGTCGGAGCCCTGCCTCACGTCAGCTTTACGAAAGAAATGAAAACAGGAAAACGTACTTGGATGACAGGAACCACTTATCGGTGCCCAATCTCTCAGAGAGCGCCCCAATGGCGTCCCAGTAACGCGACTGTATAGCTTTACGGGGGATACGCGTACCAAAGGGCGGGAAGAGGGAAGTAAGGCCTGACAGCAGGGCTGGAGGCAGCGTGAGAATGGACTCGATCGGGTGGGATTTCGCTTCCGCCAAGGAGAACGGCGCCGACGTCGGTTGGACAACGAGCAGCGCAGCGTGCACGCAGCCTTCCAACAACGCCACCCACGCCCGACTCTCGTCACGCGTCGCTTCGTCTTTGTAGCATTCCAGCCCACTATCATCGTCAACGTTGACCTTGCTGTCGACCCAAGCAGGCGACTCCCTCGCCGCTAATCACTGTGCGCCGTCCCACAAATTCGGAAGCTGCCCATCGATAGCACCCTGAGGGTCAACGTCGGTGCGCACGGCAATGTGGTCAAGACCTCGTAGAGCCAGGTAGGCATGCCATTTGAGGCACTTGACGTCGGAGCTGAGGACGCCATCTGGCGAGTGTGGAGGATGGATCCATAGACAAGGCCTCAGGTATTGGCGCGTAGATGTGGAGAGGGGAAGGGGAAAGCAGTTTGCGGCCGCCTGCCATTAGGGGACATAGCTCAGTCGGGAGATGATGATGATGATGAAGGTCTGGATTGGTGACCCGCAACACGCCTCGTAGTGGGCGAAGACGCGGGGGTACAGTACTCTACTGCTATGTATGACTGTACCGCTACTCGTTGTAATACTAATCTACTTGTCAACTCTATGGTATGTAAAACTCTCGGGTAAAATTCTATGTAGCTTCGTGTGTTTTAGGTGTCTATTCTTCGTTGCGAAAATCATTGTCTAGGGAAAAGAGATAGGGAATAAATACAAATAGAAAAAGAGTAAAGGAAAAGAAACAATGGGGGGGGGCCCGGTAGCGCTGCGATGTAGTGTTCTATCCATCATCCTCTTCTTCATGCGGCTCTGGTTCATCTTCCCAGAGCGGCATTCCCACCTCTCGCCTTTGAGTTCCGGTCTTTGTAAAGGCTCCAGACTCCGCTAGGAACCTTGTGACCGCTTCGATGCCCAGCTCAGTCGGGAGAGCAACAGACTGAGGCTTCTTGACTTTTCGGTGGATAAACGGATGAGCGGGACGAAATGCCGATCAGCGACGTAAGTGGTCGAATTTGGAATTCGCGACTATCCAACCAACGTTCTCGCGTTACTTACTCCTCAGTCTAGACAAACGTTTAATATTCAGGGAAGCTGCTTCATAAAGGCCTGCTCTAGCGTGTTCTGGTATCCTTCCACGAAGGGTATAATACCTGTAGATATTTCTCTTCGCTCTATGGAATCCGAGTCCAACAATTCGACTCCTGCGGTTCCGGTACCCTGGAACACGTCCATGAGGCAGGCAGTGATACCATATCTCACCAAGATTGCCCATGGATCAAGTCTGTTTATAGCGACGTTCCTTCTTATCCATCTAACCCCCCCAGCCTTGGCTAATCTTGGTGGCTCCTCTCTTTCATCGCAATCCATGGTAACTATTCTTCCTTCAATGTTAAAACTTGATTGACTTGGAAATGAATTTCCAGCTCCTCGGGAGAGAATACTACCAAACAAGCTTTGGCGAGAAATATCTCGTTCTCGCTCCGATTGCCATTCACGCTCTTTCCGCTTTTTTGAAAAGAGTTTTGTCCGGGCCGAAGAACCCTCCACGGCCGCCTTCGAGTCTTCTGACGGCTACGGGGTACGCTACGATGTGGTTGCTCCTGCCGATTCATTTTCTTGTGCACCGTCGTCTTCCAACGAGTCCGGCGCCTCCCATCCTTGAAGTGGGTCCTTCCGAACTTGATTATGAGTTTGTCAAGGTCGGGTTGCAGACGTGGCCATGGAGGAGCGCGTTGCTGTATGGTGGACTGGTGACCGCTGTAACGCTTCATATGGCAGATGGTATGGGGATCATATGGAACGCGTATTTGGCGCAGTCGTGGGGAAGGATGAAGCAGTCTATGAGGAAGTATAGACGTGCGGGTCTGATTGCTGGTGTTGCGCTTCCGGTGCTTTCGGGGCTTGTTGTCGTGGCAAGGGAACCGATTTTTGCGTTCGCTTCCACTGTGAAAAGGTTCCAGGCGGTGTTTTTGATGTCGTGGATTTATCGCTTGTAAGCTAGAACATGTGATAAGTAAGGGGATAGACGAATGCTCTCCGAATGAGATATAGTATGGTATTTGTTGGTTATTGTAAATTTCTTTGGGATAATACTAGAACTTCTCGACGCGTTCTCTATTTTCATCTTGGATGAGAAACTGAATTCCACGTGTATACACGACAATAATTATAGAATGAGTGGGGATTGGTTCGCTTCTTCTAATAAGCGCCCGCAGAACCTTCAAAGCTTAAAACCAAGCCCTCGCATGCACGCAAGGTGCCTTTGCACCAATTCTTGGCATTTCTCATCACCATCCGTTGTGCCATACTTCAGGAAACAATCATCTCGTGCAGACTTAGTTTGCGGGCACGCACAACAGCTAAGTTAATTAAAGAAGATAGCAATTATAATTCTGTTCATCTGACGAACGAAAAACGCACGGTTTGAGTCCTTGTGGGTTCAAGGGATTCATTTTCGGGTCCGTGGGATCATAGGGCTTCTCTGGCGCAGGGAACCATAGAGAAGTAATCTAAAAATTTCAAGGTCAATTAGCAGTCTGAATAGCGACTAAAAGCGCACCCTCTCGAACATTTTCGGTACTGGTGGATGAGTAAACTAGAAATGCAAACCGGGAAGTTCCGGACCGTGGAAACAGTAATGATTATGTCATGACCTGCCTTACCTTTTACGATGTCAGACGGAACAGCTGCTCTCGCGATTCTTTTCATAAAGATCAATCATGAAGCTACTCCAGGATTGACCGCAAAACATGTCCACATTCCTCTTCCTCCTCCTCGTCGCGACATTCTCTGTCCTGGTCGCGGCTCAGTCTTGCGAAAATGCAGGCGTCGTGAACGGCTCAAGCTGTGATTGCCCTACAGGATTCGGCGGTTCGAATTGCTCTCAGCCAGCATGTGGAGGAAATATTTTCCAAGGCACAGATCGTTCATTGGCGCCTATCAACTCGAACGGATTTGCGAATCTCACGGCGGCGGGGTGTTCCTGTCAGAGTGGATGGACGGGAACTGGCTGTAATGTTTGCCAGACAGACAATGCTTGTGCGTCGGGATATTCGTCCTCGACCTCTGGATCTTCAACGAGCTCGTCAGGGCTGACTGGACTGAATGATGGGCAGAACAGGACGTTAGTGTGCAACAATTCTCCTAGAGTTTGGGCAGCGGGGCAGCTGAGTTGCAACGTTAATGTGTGTCTCTTTCTCTTTCTTGTCGTGCTGCTGGCTTATAAGTTACATAGAATCCAACGTTGCGAGCACTGTATCCTCTAACTTCAATACTCAACATCGAACGGACCCTCAATTCCTCCCTGAGCCCCATTCCAAACACGACATCTTTCGGCTCCGCAGGTTCCGTTTATGCCCAGCTCTTTTACGACGGTGTCGAGCAATTCTACTGCTCTGCCGATTCTTGCACCCAAGACCTTAGCAGCGGCTCTAACGGAAGCTCCTCGTGGGGCTGCCAGAATCTCTCGTGCACGTGTCGAACAGGAACTTCGTTCTGCGGCGCCGTACATGTGTCCGACTTGACCAGCGCGATAAATGGCCTGTCGGGGACCTTGACTATAAACTGTAACCCTCTCAATGAGTCCACCAACACGGCGTCCTGCTCCTTCCAACAATCTACTCTCCAGATGCTTTTCGGCTCCTCGGGTCTGACAATGGAAGATTGTGCATTCGGAGAATGTATTGGACAGTATGTCATTGATAACAATGGCAATGTCACTTCCTCGACAACTGTCACCTCTTCCGCTCATCTGAGCGGAGGTGTTATCGCGGGTTTGGCGGTTGTAGGCGCATTTGTTCTTGCAGCGGTGATCTATCTCGGCTTTGGTGTTCTTCTCCAGAGAAGAGCTCGTAAAGCGAGTGACGATGACCTTGGCAATGGGAATATCCCCGTGGTATGGTCAGATATCAGCTATCTTGTCTCCACGGATCATTCTGTTTTTGGAGGCTTTCGAAAGAAGAAACGTGATGATGGGGATGGTACGAAGGTCGTTCTGGATTCAGTCAGTGGACGGGTTCTACCTGGACAAATCATGGCTATTCTTGGACCCAGCGGAGCCGGTAAAACTACCCTTGTCGATATTCTTGCGCAGAAGCCCAAAAGTGGGCGCGTCACTGGGACAATCTCTTTTCCGGGCGCAACGAAGCCGCGTATCGGTTTCGTCCCGCAACAAGATGTCCTTCCGCCCATGCTTACAGTCTACGAAGCCCTCCTATTCGCAGCCCGTCTTCGCCTCCCAGAATCCGTCTCTGACATTGACAAGCAGTCGCGTGTTTTATATATCATGGACAAACTTGGCATTTCGGAGTTGAAGGACTCTAGGATAGGGTGGGGTGATGCTGGTGGTGGGAAGGCTAGAGGGATTAGTGGAGGGGAGATGAGACGCGTCAGTATCGGACTGGAGCTGATCGCCAGCCCAGACGTGCTGATTTTAGACGAACCCACCTCAGGTATGCTTGATTAGTGTCTTTACTTCACTTGCTCGACAACTGATTCCTCCTCAGGGTTAGACTCTGTGTCCGCTGCTCGCGTAGCGAATCTGTTACATGATATCGCGCACGACAGTCAACACCCCACCGCCGTTATCGCTTCTATACATCAACCTAGCTCTCGTCTATACCAGACTTTTGACCAGATACTTGTTCTTTCTCATGGACACACGTTGTATTCTGGACCTGGTAGCTTCGCTCCTGTCGACCACTTCGCTGTTGTCGCGCCTGGAGCTGTACCACCCTGTCCGCAGGGGTACAATGTAGCGGACTACCTCCTTGAAGTTGCTAGCGATCCGCCGTTAGCTCTTATCCAGCAAGCGCGGAGTCGGGACGCACCTGATAGCACTGACAAAACTGAAGGCACCCCCCATTCGGATCCGTCATACAATGATGTATCTACTTCTTTGGAGAAAGGGTTATTTCTGGCGCCCACTGTCAAGCGAGCACAGTCGACCTATGCGACGACTTTCTTGACTCAGTTGCAGCGCCTGTCCGGTCGAGAGTGGAAAATCCTACGACGGTTCGTGAGCCTGTGGAATATTAGTTCAGTTCCTGTGACTAAAATGTTTTGCGTGCAGAGACAAGACTTTATTCCTCACTCACCTTGGGATTGCTTGCGTATTGGGAGCGTTTTGTGGTACGACTCTTTCTTTCTCTCCTCTACAATTATTTGTCCACTAACGTGATATATAGGAGGACTGTACTACAAAACAGGCGTTAATATAGCAGGCTTTCAGTCACGTATTGGGTGCCTCTTTTTCCTGGTAAGTCCTTCGTGTACGTTAAATAGCGATCATTTACTAATCTTGCATTCTAACAGGGCGCGCTCATTGCCTTTTCGTCTCTAAGCGCATTGTACAACATGGTAGAGATTCGGCCTTTGTTCTTGCGAGAGAGGTCAAGCTCGTATTATAGGTTAGCATCTGTTTTTCCATGAAGATTCGTTTGTTTTGACGATCATCTACTACCGCAGTCCAACGACGTGGCTGCTATCTCGTTTTCTTTTCGATGTTGTGCCCCTACGTGTGATTCCGATGATTGTCGTGTCTACAATGTAAGTCGTCGCGAGCTCGCGTTTTCTGGTCCCTAATTACATTCCCAGCACGTATTGGATGGCGGGACTTGCCGGTGACGCAGCCCATTATTTCAAGTTCCTGTTCGTCCTATTCCTTTACACTCTTGCAATTACTCTTTTCGTAAGCTCTTCTTCTCTATCGAATTTTCTCAACATATTCTTACCCGAGGTTTGTGACAGAACTTCCTCCTTGGCGCTTTATTCCGCAATGGTGGTATTGCGATCCTCCTTTCTGCTCTGAGTGCTCTGTATCAGATGACGTTCGCTGGGTTCTTCGTGCATTTGGGGGCTATTCCTCCTGTCCTGCGTTGGCTTCAATGGCTGTGTCCTCTGAAGTACTGCTTAGAGGCGTTATCGGTCAATGAGGTCGGCTCCGGACTCATGATAGAGGATTCACTTGAAGGCGTCCCTGTGAACGTGTCTGCGACTCTCATCATGAATTTGGTAAGTAATTTGTCTGCTTGTCTTTCGCGGGAATCTCACTGTGACTACGCAGCTATTTGGGTTCGGTTCGAACAATTATTATAGGGATGTACTAGTACTCTTTGCTTTCATTGCTGGCTTTGGTTTAGGAGTTATTGGCATCGTTTGGTTCAAAGTACGAGAACGCCGGTAGTTTAGGGACATTTAATGGTTCATATAATTTACGGTGATAGTGAGTGCTACATGGATGTGAAGGCTGGGATCATGCTCAAGTTTTCGATGCAAAGGGAATCAATGTCGTGAGAATAAGTTCTCTAAACCGGGAGACGAATTTTGAATCACCTTTGCGATATTTTGCAATTGGAGCCAATTCGAGGGTTCTAACTCAATAGCACGCGTTTATCCGATATTGTCTTACTAAAGGTTCGTTCGGGCGGTATAGGGCGGTACCCAGTTACAGGAAGCGCCACAATGGATCGACGATTGCCGCAAGACATAGAAAGGTAATAGGAGACGCAGCAGCCTCTGCTATACCAAGCGAGGGGCTAATTGCAAGAAAAGGAGAGTAGCCAAAAAGTTCGAACAATGGCGATTCCTACCGGATCTTTAACGTGTTTCCAAGCGGGGATACCGGTTTTTTTTTTCCAAGAGATTTTTAGACTTTGGAGAGGGGATACGAACAAGTTCCGGTGTTCTATTGTCGGTCCGTTTTGGTTACCTCCCGGTTTCATTCGGCGATATCACGGGGCTCTGTGGAAGGTAAGTAAGTCTTTTCGACTCCTCCCGATTCGGATTGAGTGAGGCGTCCAGGTTCATGGAACGACACGACAGCTCGTTATGCAGTGCAAATATTGCCGTGTGAGAGCTACATGGTGTGAAATTCAGTATATGAGTTTATGGCTGACTGATGGATGCTCATTTTCTTCAGGAACAACTACTTGAAAGGCACCGAGTATCCCTGGATTGACTGGGGTGATAAGCCGAGGATTTAGGCATGATTCGTTAGGCAGCTACCAGGTCAAGATCGGGACTAGCTTGCTCAATTTCGTAATGGTATATGTTACGATTCATTTTTTGCATCAACAAATTGGGCGGACAATGGAAGAAATTGAAGCTAAGCGTTGAAGTTGAAGGGACATACTGACATATCGGATTTCATTTTGATTTTTTGTTTCGGTATGTACCGGTATTTCCAAGCTTTTCGATAGATCGCCAAATAGCGCGCCCCGAGTCGGGGCCTGGTCAACTGGAAGTTCGGGCTCGGTGACTACTTTCGCACAGTTGTCTTTCCTTTGAAATTTCCAGAAATTGACAGGCATAGGCTAATATCTTTCCCCAGAAAATCAGTTTAGTTCCGCCGTTTACCGCAACTGCACCGCCGGCAAGTTTAATGCGTCGTGAGGTCATGATTCTCCACGCAATTGTAACATTCGCTACCAAGCGCTTCGATGGATTGAATTCACTTATCGCATTTGCTGTGTCGCCAATGATGGTACGAGTATTAGCGCACGTTTAATTTAACTATGATACTGATAATTGTCTTCCCTGAGCCTGGGTAACGTTCCACCGCGATATCACGAGGATATCATCCTTTTCTGGAACCGCGTTTCACAGGTGTACTGCGGACGTCGGATTTCGGTTAGAAGCAATGGCAAGTCTCGGCAGGTGGACAAGTATTGCGAATTCACCTCAACCTCTTTCTAACCCTCTTCTAACTTTGGAAGCGCTCTATTTATTTCGATCTCTCCACATCTCTATTGAACTCGCGTGCCTTTCTATACAATCCCTGTGGGGCGACATTGCTTTGTCTCCCGATCGGGTCTACAGACTTCAGGCCACCAACATCAAGGGGTCAGCACTCATTTGACTTCCAGGTGCTGCTAGACCACCGTATGTGAGTCGAAACTCGAATTATCAAAATATATGGACTATCAGTTCCAACGTCTCGCGGGTACAAAGAGTAGGGCAAATGCCGCCGAATAGGAGCCTCGTGCGCACCCGAAAGGCACACCTCTTTCCGGCGGTAGTGGCAATTCCCGCCGGCGGAGACGTAAGTCCATTGCCGCATCCACTCAACCGTGACAACGTGGTCAATGTCTCAGATGACACTGGTCCTCCTCCTCCCTCTATCAGAACAGCAAGCAACCGGCCTGTGAGTGTACGGTCTTTTTTCTTGGATGCAAAGGCCCATGAGCCAGCTGATATTCAACCTGAACAATAAAAAGCCCTGAAATACGCCCAAGGGAGCAGGGATCTAGTCGATCATGATCGAGCTCAATATCTGAGATATGTTTTCTTCAGAAAAGGTCATGTCAAATCAAGAAGTCAATCTAGATCGCCGAGGGTATCAGAGCATTTAATTGTCGACAAAAGATCATATGCCCCCTACACTATGCATACCCCAGGAGCTCCCTCTGGCTGGTCGCCCAAGAACCCAAACGGCGACCATGTCGGTAACAACCATGTCAAAGGTCGCGTCATCAAGTTCCACGCTGACAGCAATGCAGCTACTCAGGCCCCTCACTCTACCGTCTCATCTTTTCACATCAACACCGGAAAAGGCCGCTCAGAGCATGTCGCTCGACCCCGGAATGCTTTCATCTTGTTTCGCTGCGACTTCGTACAAGAGCACACGAAGGATGGGGGAAGGCCCCGTCGCTCCGCTGGGGGTGCCCCAGGGAAAACAGTCTCAAAACGCGCGGGTGAAGCATGGCATCTGTTGAGTAAGGAGCAAAGGGATCACTACCACGATTTGGCCGAGCAAGAGAAGCTCGAACACGCTCGTCGACACCCTAACTACCGTTTCCAACCTCTGAGGCGCTCGTCAGCAGAAAGGTCAAGACGCTCTGCCGCCCGTCTCCTGTCGGGACCTCGGATCTCCATGCGTCGCACTGCAAAGTCCCGACACTCTTCGTCGAACACCCATTCCTTGGTTGCACAGACTCGTTCACCCTCCCCATCGACGTCGCCCCCGGATTCTCCAATTTCCCAGCCAACTCCGGCACTTCATGGCCTGGAAGAGGGCTCCGAAGCGGAGGATGAGTCTAATGCCGTCACCAAAGGCTTACACCGACGGTCCTTCTCCGTCCCGGTCTTGTCATCTCACTGCCTTCCCTCCGGTAACGAGCCCATGTCCGAGTCGGCCCCCAGGAACGAAGTCAGACGCACGAGGTCAATGGGCGAGGGTGGGATTCCCCTCCCAAGTTACCCCATGCAATTTATCTCTGGAGCGAACGAAGCTCAGTTTCCAGTGAGTCTACTCCTCGTAAATCAGCTCGTATCCGACTCACAAGCATACAGATCCCTTCTCCACAAGAATTCTACGCCCCGAGCCCGTTCACCGACGGAAGCCCCTTCAACTACCCCGACCGCTCAAATTTGTATGACGATATACCCAACTACCACACATCCCCTCTGAGCACCGTCGCTTCGTCCCTGGCCGGATGGAACGGCGAGCCTCCGAGTCTGACATCGAGGGTGCCCACACCCGCTTCTTCGCCCGACTCCTCCTGGTCCTCGCTCCCCGGGTACAGCACCCAGTCTACTCCAGACGAATACTACCCATTCGGGTACCCCAGGCAACCCATGGCCCCGAATGATTACCTCTCGTGGGGCGTGCAGCCCGACTACGCAGCGGAGTCTCGTGGTGTTGCGCCCGGTGCGTATCTGGGCCATGGGGTTGCGGGCCAGTATGATGTGGGGATTGGGCTCGCCGAGCGAACACCAGACGGAGGTCTCATGCCATTCGAGGCGCGCTCGATGGACAGTTACCATCCAGATACCTACAAGGCTTTTTGATTCTTGCATCTTTTGACTTGTCATTCATCCAGTTGTGATTTGACCTAATAATTGTAGCATATTATTCTCTCTCTATATTTTCTTACCCTCTATGTAGCTTATTACAGTTATCCCATACGTATATTAATACACCCTGTACTTATTCCAAACCTAAAGTATTTTACCACCCTTCTTCATTGCCGCCCCTCAATCCTTTGCAATGATAACGAACATTGTTGATTCGGAATTGAGGCAGGTTGTGAAGCCGCCGAGTCGCAGTGTATTACCACCTCAGGCTTGTTATTCCCATCCATCGTCGGTCGTTTCCTCCTCAGCGACGGTCCTATGCATCTCTCACGAGAGACCCCAACAGATGGACAGACTGCCAAGTCCACACCAAAGGCCTCCCGATTAGCTTTTTCCACCTCCAAGTAAGCCATCTGACGCGCTTCCCGAGCCTTAACAGCCTTGCTCTCCGCCTTACAAGACTTCGCCCTGACATGATCATAAAACACCACATAATGACCCCACTCCTCCATAATCCTCTCCCTCTCCTTCCTAGTCGTCGGGACCGAAAGACTCTGAATGGTACGATACGGGTAGGGCTTCCCCATCGCCTCATAAGAGCGTAAGGAATCCCAATCCATGCGATGCCACCGCTTTCGAGCCTCCTCTCTCGTTATGCAGCCCATATTCACGAGTCGGTAGAGCATCTTCCCAGAAATGGGAGAAACGCGGGGGGTTTCCCTCATTCGGAGTTCGTATTCGGCGATGGCGATGTGGTGGTTGAATAGTTCGACGACGGGAGGGGTGGAAGAGGAAGAGGAAGCGGATGAAGGGGCAAAGTCGCGGACTTTGATGCCGAGGGATGTGAGTTTGGCAGTGTTCTCCTCCGGGTCTTCTTCTGGAGAATATGTGGGCTGGGGGACTTCTTGTTCTGTTTCTTCTACTACGTGGACGCTGATGGTGGTCTGAGAATACGGTGTCAATAATACGATAAATTGCAATCGATCGAGACGAATTACTGTGTTATCGACACGCTTTCCGTTCCTTGTTGGAGCTTGGTCGGACCTGGATTGTAGGACAGCATCTGCTGGGCTACGAGACTTTGACGACAGCTTCCCGTAGATGGCGGCGGTGAGGGTTACCTTGAGACCCGTAGGCAAGGAGAATGAAAACCGATTGTTAGGCATCCCGGACTGTAGAGGGATCGTTCAAGACAGAGTGTTAATGTAGGTGATCGGGTTATGAGCTAGTCTGCGTAACGTTCTCGGGCGTCGCAGTGGGACAATCCCACGACAGCAATGGACATTCGCTCCGATTCGGTAGCTGCGGCAGGGCCCAGGTATTGGATGACATACCGCATCTCATATTGCGGTCAATAGAAGCCCATTTCAGAGTGCGAGCTGATTCTATTGCTTGATGGGCCACAGATATTGGGGTCTTTCCGTGAAGGATTACTACCGGAGTCAAAGGACAGAATCGCGTTACGCTATGGGCAGTAGACAGCTGTAAGATATAACCAGGAAGACATCCTGGACCCGCGTAACGCACGATATTCTTGGGAAGATTCCGGTTGGATGGATTATGAATTTGGAAAAAATACGAATTTAACGTTTATTCAAAGAGTGGAATGTTGGAAACGTCTTCCTACAGCGCCTACGATCACCAATGGGGGCATGTTCAAAATACAAGGGCAAAACGAACCTCCTCAATCAGCATTAACCCAGGTAATTCTACCGTAAGGTGTTACGACACTTCCGGGTTGCTGTTTTTCTTTCACCCAGAAACCGATTTCATATATGCCGTGTTCTTTATCGCCGATAAATGCGTGTTCCCCCTCGCTGACGGGTACGCTCAGAATCAGCTCACATGCTCGCTTCGACGATGCTGTTGCCGATGTCTGAAGGCTCCATTTGAACGATTGCGATGAAGATTGAACAGGCCGTTCGCCAATGACACTTGTAAACTGCTGAGACAGATGTTGTATTGATCGATTTTCTGCAAGGACTCGAACGTGCGCAATCCCCGAAGCCGTACACAGGTGTACCGTGTTGGAGGGAGGCTGTAACGGGACCTATAAACACAAGTCAAGTACGTATAGAGGTCCGAATTCGAACAACTCACCCGTAATTCTCGCGGCGTCAAGTCCCCACAAAAGAACGGAAGTACACCCTCTTCGGCAGGCGATGTGATAAGCCATTTCAATTCTACGCCATCGGGGCGTATACGACCGCCCTCGACTTCAGATTGGTATACGGTTCCGCTGCCCTCTAGTTTTCCACGCGCGTTGATAATATCTGACATTCGAGTCGTCTTGGATCCATTCCCGAGAAAGGCGAAATCGATCCATCCAGGCTGTTTCATTGCCCAGCGATGCGATTCGCGTCGGTGACGTTCGTCAGAGCCTAGGGGATACCATGATGCCGCATGAGTGAAGGCGATTAGCTCTAGATATACACCGTCGGCCAGTACCTAGCATATAGTCAGCTGAATTAGACTAGACGCCTCGAATTCGTACTTACAACCAAAGCATTGGAGGTGAGACCATCAGCATGAGTTCCTCCTTCAAGAACTCTTGATTGGCTTCAATCGAGGCTGGCGACGTCTGTTAAAGCAGAGCTTACTTGAATCCTAGGGACTTGAACGAATCCGAAGCCTGCTGAACAGTTCCTGGAGGCGTCAAATGGACTATATGGTCCAATATTCGCGTACTTGTATCTTTCATGACGAGAAGACTTGGTAAGGTGCCAGAATCGTAGACAGACGCGAGTGACGGGCCAGAGGCTTTTCCCGGCATGTCGGCATGCTAAACTTGCCGCCGGCTCACCACCACTAAAAATGGCGCGCACCTTGGTTAAGAACGTTGCGACCATTTTTGGTGCTGAGCTCGTTCTCTCTGAATCCAAAGATTACATATACAAATTGGGCATGGTATTGGAATGAAGCCCTAAAATGTAGAGAGGTTGATGTGGAGAGAGAGAACATTGTGTTACCTTCGTACGTTTTCCATCAATCCTCTTGTCTCTGTGAAATTGACACAGCGAAGTGATTCAGGGGTACGCGGCCATTTTCTGATTAGCAGGTTTATATAACGATCTCATTATGCATCGCGACACAGGATGTGCCTGGCTCAGTCTTCGAGTTTTCAAGGAACCAATCGTTAGTAGACTAGATCTCTGCTCCTGCGCTTCGGACGGCGTAAGTACGGATCCCAAGGCCACTCCGCTTCTTCGTGCAAACCATGCATCATCTCACAATTCTTCCTCGCCGTCTTCATGGCGCGTTCTGCATCATTTCTCAGTGCGGCCGGTGTATAATTACTTGACTATAGACGACATCAGACAAATGCTGCGTGGTGGAGGCGTTTCCACTGCCCGTGAATGATATCGATGTTTTACCTGGCGGAGGAACGTCACCATTCACGGTATACGTCTCGGACTCGTCGACGGAGTTGACGAGAATACACGCACCGTGTGACCGCCCGACGGAAGTAGTTCTATGACTTTCTCGTCACCCTTGCCCTTCCATGTCATAGTGGACCGGTGCCTCTTCGATTGACTAACACGCCACAAACGATGCATTGAACCCATTGCCACGAAAGATACTATGAGTCAGAACAACTTTGAAAATTGGATGCATCGATATCGATACCACTATTACATCTAGCTGAAGATGGAAAGTACGCCATTTCATTCGATCCAAACACAATTCATTGAGTTTCATCTACAGACACTCGAGATCCGGTGGTATGTGCCTCTATTTGAACCCATTTTACTAGGCGACCCATGTGAGCTTCGTCTAGTGAAGTCTGCGCCACTTTAGCACTACTTGACTGTTTTGCTACTCGTTTTCTCAAAAATTCACCATGGGCCGGGCTCTCTTTTCCTCTGTCTACAACTCTGCGCCTACTGTAGCGACGCTCACGCCGTTTGCCGACACTCCTTACGAAAAGATATATGAGAAATGGAGCATCTTCAACCAATTCGACCCAGATTCGGATGATTTCTTCGAAGATGCCCAGTATGAGGTGTTCATTACCGACGAGCAGGAGCAGGAGCAGGAGCAAGACAGCGAGCAGTCAGACGTTGGCAGCACCCCTGCCTTGTCGCGGGAGGGCAGCATGGAGGACAGGAGCAGTCCCATGGCTGTTGGCTTGGACGATCCAGCTGCGATGCTGGCCGATGCAATTGACAATGGTGAATGGGACCAGAGCGTCCCCACGGCCACCATTAACGGCGACGTCGAGAGTGATCCTCAGTGGCGGCGCGTAGGCGACCTTCCCATCTGGACTAGGCCAGTCCTCGCCAATACGCGTTTCGTCTCAGACCCTCCAACATCCAGCTTACCGCCCTTCCTGCCGCCGTTATCGCTTCGCAATTCGACAACGGCAAGCGATCTCGACGACGACGAGCCACCCACCCACTGAGACGCAGCGTCGTTATCGCGCCCATCACCATCCCCCGTTTGCCCAGCCCTGTCACTCCAGATGCTCCCTGACACCGCCCAATGCTACCTTTTCTCTATCTTCGTTGACCCCTTCCCCGGCTCCATCCGTGACGCCTCGCGTTTATCGCTGGCCTGCACCACCCTCTCAGCTCTGGTCCTCTCACTAACTCCAGCGCTCGCATGTCACATGCTCGAATTGTGCCTCAGCCTGCTCGTATCCATCTTCCCACCTTTGCGGTGATCGCGAAAAGTATCGCTAGCCATAGATTGGGTCGGTCTGTTTATACAGTATACTATCAGCTATCTATCTTCTCATATCTGAACGCATCGTCCCTTCCTTTGTTGTACTTCGGGTGGATTGTGTTTTGATTTATGCTGCCATTTTTCACATATATAGATTGCGTTCTATTGTTTATCTTCCCGTATGCTCCCATCGATTGGCACACGCTCCTTCCATCTTGTACGTAACACGGCAGTCTCTTTCGTACTTACATTACTACCTGTGTATCAAACGGAAATGCATAGCCAATTCTTGATTTCTCGTGAGCCAGATCGAAAGTTCATTCTCAAGTAATAGCAAGATAGCTTAGGTATTGAAAGATGCTCAAAAGGAACCACTGATATATCTATTGGCCTCCTAACGATGTCGGAAAACAACTGTCTGGCTAATGATGAAGTCTATCTTCTCCTTGTTAAAATCATCGGGTACCACGGTCAAGTTGTCTGCACTGATTTGTAGCAGCGCCTACTTGAAGTTAGAGACTTCAGTCCTGCGAAGACAATGGAATGCATTACCTGATCGCTAGCCGTATACTGAGGCCATGTTGGGCGCTGCGAGCCGAAGCCGTCGTTGGGATCCAGGCTCGTTGCGAATGACAACCAATAATCAATCATTACAGTACTCAGGGCAACTACTGGCGTTGTTTCATTCATAGCTGCTACCTCGCCGAAGATGAATGGAATCTCTCCCGCGTGAGGCACTTCATGTGGAGTGAGCACTTGGCTTTGTAACGTTCAAGTAAAACCTTACCCCCGAGGTAAGCCGGCGTAGAGGAAAGCCGTTGTGTGAATCTATACGCATATGACTTCACGCCCACATCCGCGGTTGTTTGGCTCCAGAGGCGTCTTTGGGAGTTGAATGCCAGGTCGCCAACTGGATTCTGGGTTAGAAATATAGGACGGAAGAAGGAAGGCTCGCTCATACAGATTGCAGATATCCTCTTAAAGCCAGGAGACAAGCCAAAGGTCTCGTTTCCTGTATTATACGGGGACCCCTCGGCTGGATCGTCCGGATATAGATCCATCAGTTCATTCATGACATCTGTCGGGATAGCAGGGGGCGAGTAGTTTGAATTCACTATTGAGCGAATCACTTCTTCGGTATAGTCCTGTGTCGGGGCGCTGAAAAGGGGTCCTATGAGTTGGATCAGTACGCGGACAACACATTCGAGGGGCTTCTTTACCTTCATCTAAATTTGTACCAGCGATGAACGGTAAACGCGCGAACTGTCCCGTGGAGAGCAGGTGCGAAGGCAAGTCAGGAAAGAGACCTGAAGGTCCATCGAGAGTAGGACAAAAAGGAAACAGCTCCGTTGCCTTAGAGTACGCCTGTAAAAACCCTTGGTAGACTTCAGAAGAGCTCGCATTTTGCACGCAGGGAAACGTTGACAATGTTCCGACATAGGAACTGCACTCCGGTATGGCGGCGACGAAATTATTCCATGCATCTTCTCTATCTTCTCGAGCAGTAGCATTGAATGGGAGGGTGGCGCTTGCAGTTCCGGACTGGAAGATCTGGGATTCGGCTTGAGTATAGTAAGCACAGATGAAGGTGGGAATATTTCAACTTACTCCCGCCCATGCCAGGTCCGAAATGGACGGATGTAAGAAGAGAATAGATATCATACTAGCCCCTACACTCCCTCCGAAAACAGTCACCTACTCGCTCTTCAGTCGTCTATAAACACTAATAAGAGCATCAAACCTTGTTCTTGTTGCCACCGAATGCACCAATATTGTGTTGGACCCACTCCAGCGCTGCGAGCTGATCTTTGATCCCAAGATTTAGGTTTTCCCTGTCCGCGGCTTCCTTTCCCTGAGGAAATCCGAGAGGCCCCAGACGATAGTTGAAATTGACGTAAATAACGGGTGTGCCCTGGATTAGGCACTCAGCATTAGTGCTGCAGATGCAGATAATAACACCTACTCTTAGGACACTTTGGGTCACAATTGCACTACCGTCATGGAGAGAGGCCGACCCTTCATAATAACCACCACCGTAGACCCTGCAGGAAGTTTTTAACAAATATTAGCGCGTTATTCACCTTTGTAACAGGGATGTCAGACCAAAGTAACACTGGTAGCGAAGCGTTATGGGATATCCCAAATGGTCGCAAAATATTGATGGTCAAGCAGTCTTCCGAGATTGCGTCGATAGGCAAGCCCTATATTGAAAGGCTCAGCCTTTGTAGAGCACCACAAATAAAAGGGAAACACCCACGGCCTGGAGGCAAGCCAGACCGAACTCACTGGCATTGAAGGTTTCAACTCCGAGATCAGTTTTCAGCACGGGAGGCTGCAAACGCAACGCTCCAAGAGGTGGTTCAGTCTATGGAATGCCTTGATGCTTCCAATCAACAACAGTATTTCGACAGCCGATGATCACAAACCGCCAAAGAACTCTAGCTGCGAGAGCGATAGGTCACTCCCTACAAGCTTCGTTGTACCCAGTTGAACCTCAGGCAGAGAGTGTGCCAAGGAGGCGTAGCAGAGAAAGAAAAGGGCCAACATGAAGATAGTCTAAGTGAAGTCCATCACCGCCAGGTTAAGTACCAAATCGGATGCCTGAGGGCGGTTAACCCTACCCGGGATTTGCAGCAGTGGCTGACGTCGCAGCGCAACGTCGGATAATATAACGTTAGTGAAAGACATTCGCCATTGAATAACCCAGGGACTATTATGCCAAGTCGTCGCGTGCCGCATGCCTTGACAAAACCGAATGACGCTCAGGCTTAGAACGCCCAACGCTGAAACGAGAGAATAATTTATTCGACGCTTAGAGATCGGTACGAAGAGGGAGGTGGCTTACAACTCTCCGCAATGGACGGGGAGTACTTACAAGAGGGTGGTAGAGTCTGGACAACAAACGATAGGCGCGTCGCCAATGGTTGTTCCGGGTCCGGCTCTTCGGGCCGCACCACTTCCCTCACTGAAAAAAAAAGTCCTAATAAGCTCTTGCCTGCTCTTTCATCCCTGCAGGTAAGACGTCTCGCTGTGCCCCTATGCAAGCTCTCAGGTTTTCTACGAGAATTTACCCCCAAGGGAACATGGGCCTTAGTTGATGTTGCCGTTTCTCCCCCATCCTCCTAGCCGCTCAGTCAATATGTATCTCTATAGTCCTTCACGTCCCTATTGACATGTATCATGTTATAGCTGGAGCAAAGGTTGGTGGAGGATGCCCTTAATACCGCACCGAAGCCAAGTCTGTGTAAACACCTTCGCGAGTCTCTGTTCGGTGCACCACCACCTTTAATATGAATAACCTTGAGATAGTTCCGCTACAACCTTCAAGTTGATTATTGATAATAATAAAAAACAAAAGAGATCGAATTTATGCTGCGTCTGTATCTTGACTCGTAAATCGTATTATGTTGTACTGTCGACGTACACGTCCGTACTGTGTGAAACAAACCGATTTCCTTGAACAAAATTCCCGCTTCTGGGACCTGAAGTCTGTATAAACAGCCTGTCTTGGTATTTCCTGGGTTCTAGCATGTTATTAATGCGTCCAGATAGCAATGAGAATAGGGACAGGAACGGACCTTAGGTGGTAACAGTACTTCGACCGAGGCTTCACAAATCTTCGCTACGACCTGGGAAGGTTCCGCCTGGTCGATAGCATTCAATTTTACCCCAAACCAGGGTGAGACCAGCATTCTGTACTTCCGCGCGCATCATGCACTTGTTATTGACCTTCGCCTGTTGCACATAAGGTCTTGGCCATCAATTGGGGAGAAGTCGCCACTATATGCCGCATCGACGAGGACAGTTCCTGCATAAAGATCCGAGATAGAGCTTCTCGGAGAGAGTGTAGGAGGACCACTAAGCTCGCGAGAGCTAGATGAATGAGGACAGGGAAGAGTCCTATGATGACCCGGATATACCAGTTTTGGAGACCGGCGTATCGGAACTGAAGAAACTATGGACGCGCAGTGTCATGATGAAACCATTGCTTCGCGAGAACGGCGACGAATGCAGTTATCAGGCTTAGAGACAGGCCGGTAAACCAGAGACTGTTCACTCAGACATCTGTGATGGCGGAGACGAAGGCGATGCTGGGACTCAGTGGGGAAGGGAGAATGACGTTGACCAAAGAACCGTTGGCGATGGCACCCCGAACGAGGACCAGTTTGAAAAGCAAAGACGCTGACATGGCGGCGTAAGTCTTGGCATATCTGTACAACAAACGTCGTGATGGCCGCCGAGAGATTCTCATTGACGAAGGCAAGCAAAGACAACTTCAGCCTGAGACTCACAAAGATGAGCAGTACGTCAATATTATCCCGACATTCTTCGACCATGTTGGTGTCGTAAATTGTGCTGTCATCTTCATAAGTTCTCCAAACTCTCGCATTCGGCATCGTTTCTTCATAGTTGTACGTATCGCTCCCTGTTTCACTTCATGACATACAACGCAACAACATGATGAGTTTTTCGCACCTTTCCTCCTTATAGTCCCAAAATATTTGTGCCGGCTGCAGTGAACAGAGTTCAGTAGGGCTGATGTGGGGACTTCATCCTGCTCCTCCTGCTCCTCCTTCCCCTCCGGTAGCTGTATATCCTGCTTATCCGGTATCAGCCGACTCTTCATTGCTCCTTTTTAATAAAGCTCATCGCGTGTTAATGGATGAGTTCCGCTCTGGATCTGGTGAGGTCGACGGTCCAACCAAGATAGCCTTGAAGAGCTGCTGAAAAGACGGGTAGAAGTAAAGTTGAAGGCAAAGGCCTCAGGAACCATTAACGAAGTGCGAGTCGATTACATAGGAAATCTCGGCCGAAACGAGACCACCGCCAAATGTACTTAAGAATTTGGCTAGGTGCGCGCAAGGTGAGGAGAAGGGGATCCATCATACGCCCCAAACGTAGACCAGGTCAAAAACATGCAACGATATTCTTCAATATAGCCACGAAGTTCTTAGAGGAGGATGAAGAAACATCGATGGAGATAGCATGGGCGCCGGGCCATCAGGACATACCCGGAAACGAAAAAGCAGATGCGTTGGCGAAGGAAGCATGCACAATGCACCATCTGGGACAGCGAACATATGCAAATGCACGTAGACGAATGAGGGAACGAGTACAAGGGAAATGGGTGCAGGAGTGGGAAAAAACAAATCCAACTGGGCGCTTTGGACTTGCAAACCGGCTGAAACCAAAACTCAGACCAACACAGAGGTTCAAGGAGACACCGCGTGAGGTGTTTGGGAGACTGATGCAGTGCAGAACTGGACATGCGCATACAGGCGAGTACTACGAACTCTTCAACATTCCAGAAGCAACTGACTGTGTGGTGAACGCTTACAAACACGAGAACATATCATACGAACATGCCCGAGATGTGGCGACCATCGACACATCCTACGTGAAGGATCACAAAACCTGATCATGTGTGACCTCTTGGGCACAACGGAGGGCATCGAAGCAGTAACGAGGTTCCTAGCAGAGTCGGGAGCCTTCACAAAGACCGGGAATCCGAGGCGAGAAGTGGGAATGCCGCTGTGGGAAGAAGAACCAGAACCGCGTGAACAAGAAGATGAAGATGGATAGAAGCGACACACACCACCTAGGCCTGAGACAGGTCTGACCCCCCCTCCCGTTATTTATTCTTTTCTCCTTTCTGTAGGTAGAAAACACTCTCACAGAGAAACACCCAACGAGACCGAAAACAGCCACATAGAATTTTACCCGATAGTTACACATCCCATAGAGTTGAACAGTAGATTAGCATTACAACGAGTAGCGGTATAGACGTACGTAGCTGTAGGACTATACCCCCGCGTCTTCGCCCATTACGTGGCGTGTTGCGGGTTACCAATTCAGAGCATCATCATCATCATCATCATGAGGAGAAGGGGTCGGGAAAACGGCCCGCTCCCCGGTCTAAAATTGATTAAGTTTTTTATTTTATTTTCCCTTTTCTTTTCTTTTTCTCTTCATTCTGCTGGTACCTGGCTTATCTCCTTATATGTACTAGGTAATATAGAATTGGTACATAGTGTTTTTGGATCATGTATTGCTAGTAGTAGGTACGCACACTAGTCAGCGATTAAATAACATCTATGGAAATTTCTCGTATGTAATGGGATGGCGACATTCTGAGCGAAACATCTCAGGCGTCAACATTAGACAAGAAATCGATGAGTATCTTGAAATAGCTGATGTCACAATGAGCTGCGCAGGATAGTGCGGAGACGGGAACTTGAAGGCTTACTTATCTGGTTCCTCATACATCGGTACGTGTGTACTATTCTGCAACTCAACCCATTTACATTTTGGAATGTTCAGGAAGAACGGCCGGACGGCTGGCTCCCACATATCATCCTGCGGCGCGCTAATAAGAAGAGTCGGACAAGTAACGTTATGCAAGACGTCAATGACACTCCAGTCCTTCAGGCGCTTGCTCATAGTAAACTCGGGATGCCCTAGTTCCTGCATAGTCAGCTGCCTGCGTAAAATCGCCTGCGGGAACCACTTACTGTTGCCTTTCGCATTCCCTATCGACTGGAGGAGTTTCTCAGGCAAAGGGGTCAAGGTGCAGAGGTGCATGTTCCGATAAACGGTTATCGTGTCTTTGTATTCCTGCGAGTCCTGAGTTCCTTCCGCTTCATGCTTTTTAATCACCTCTCCGAGCCCATCGGGAAGATGGTCTCTCCAATACTCTCCGCCCTGAAGGTAGAGCTTGGAAGAACAGAACGTGTTGGCAAGAATCAGACGCTTGAGTCCTGGGTGCATACGATTCGAAGCGTAGTCGCTACCAAAGATGCCTGTAGGACTTGTCACTATTTACGTTTCAAATCAAAGAAACTCTTCAACGCGTACCTCCCCACGAGTGCCCGAGAAGATCAAAGTCATCTCTGATTCCGAGATGCTTGAGCAGGTTGTCGAGTTCGTCGTTGAAGAGGTCGACCGTCCAGAATTCGGCGGGAGAATCAGGGTACTGACAAAGGCCGATTTGGTCGTAGAACACGACCGGTATGCTGGTTAAAATTCAGGTCGATATGAATCCAGAAATTGGGGATACGTACCCAGCATCCGTAAAGAGTCTTTCGTGTGGGCTGCGGGATATCAATTATCAATAGTCAGTGAGCAAAAGGTAACCCACGTCATACTGTTCAATGATAACTCAGACGCCACAGATGTAGTACAGGACGAGCAGATACTCACTACACATGATTAAATCCTGGACCGCCATGTAACATAACTATCGGCCTTTTCTTGCTAGTCTTCAAATCTCCCAGGATCTTGTACCATGTCTGAAATGTGCGGTCTCCAACGACGAAATCGATGGTTCCGGTTGTAGTTGGTAGAGCGGATTCAGCCATTGTTCATGGGCAAGAAGAATTCTGCGTGGTAGCCTGCGTGGCTGCGTGGTGCGTGGTTGCGTGGTCGTCAGCGTGGTTGACAAATTGCCGGACTCCCATCAAAAGTTGATCAAGTCCATCAAACGCGACTCGAGAGTCGACGCGTTCCGTTCTTTTCTGTCAATCCTTGCGTAGAATCAGCTGGATTGTCAATACCTGTAAGATTTAAATATGACAGCTTTGGTGGGATATCGAAATACTTCAAAATATGGTCAATATCATGAAAATTTCGAACTGGATTGCGAAGTTTAAGAACATCAAAAGTATTGTAGCTGAAGTAAATAATTTTACGAGTATCCTAACAGTATAAAAAGGCCTTAGAGGTGGTCTGCTAAGCTATAAGCAATAAGGTACACAATGTGGGGTTCACAGTGAAGAGGACAACATGAGAAGGAATACGGATTTCTATATTTGATGTGAATGACACCGAAGAACAAGCCAATTAAGAGGCAATTATACGAAGGATGCACTTTCTGAGGGTAACCTTATATGGGCTGGCGTGGTCTCTATGCGAAGCCTGCGTGGTTGCGTGGTTAGTCAGCGTGGCTGTGCGTGGTCAGCCTGCGTGGTGTGGCTACGTGGCTGCGTGGTTGCGTGGCTGCGTGGTACGCAAGCGTGGTTGGTTGCGTGGTCCAAGGTATATCCGTACTTAAGGAAAGGTTGTTCTTGTGGAAATTAAATGATCAGTTTGGTGGTATTGGAGCAATCAAGGAACGATTGATACGAAGGCAACGTTGCATTGATGTTCATAGTGTCGCGACATCTTTGGATTAATAACTTCAAGCTGGCAAAATGAGAGGGTACCTAATTTTTGATATTTAACTTTCTTATAATCCTAAATACACTCATGGAAGATACAATAGTACCTAGAAATCGAGATTTGAAGGTTTAAAAACTCTAATTGGCGGAAATTAAGCTTTGAAATATTTTCGAACAAAGGTCTATTTGTTGCAGACAATTTACCAATGAATGAGAAATAGATAAAAGGATATGTTTAGCGAAGCATTCTTATCATCACACAGTATATATGTACTGTCAAGGCAAGTTCAACTAATGACTTGCGTGGCGTGCGTGGCCACGCGCCACGCACGCGTGGTACCACGCAGGTGACCACGCTGAATTTCTAGTGCCCATTGTTCATGGGTCAGGCGACCTACTTCCCTTTCTTTTATATAGCTACAGATCGGGCAACCCACGAAGAAGGCTGAGGGAAAGCATATCCGGGCATCATTTCAGGAACCACGAACTTAAGCGTGCCGGGGGTCCAGGGAGGGATATCAGTGAATGCGGGATGATTCAAAAGTTAAATCAGAAAATCAGAATAGCCCCGCGAAGCAAGCAATTCGTCATTGCGGTCCATCAAAGTTGCTCGAATTTAGACGATACAGTGAGTGTTGTAGAACCATGAAGAACATGGTCATTCGATGGCTGCTACCGAGACTTGAAAGAAAAGGGTGAGTGGAAGAGAGAATCGAAATTCGGCGTGTGAGTAAGTCCCACCGATAGATTCCCAAGAAAAATAGGTGGTTTCTTGGAAGGTGAGAGAGACGAGTGGGAGGTTTCCTGTATACACGAGACAGGAAATAAATTGAAGCCGTCTAAGCCAACAGGTCAAGTTCAATGATGATAAACGAGACGATTTTATTTTTATTGGGTATTATTCGTTGTTGGAAAAGTTGCGAGCTGACAAATAGCGACGAAGATGTTGGATGGACAAGAAGGATAGCTAGTAGATACTGCATATATAGACTGCCAATTGTCTTGGCCATCATTGAACGTTAAGCCTGAGAGTGATTCGAACCAGTTAATATACCGGCATCCCAGCACACAGTGGTAAGGTTCCCTGACTCTAAGAGAAGGAACCAACTCAGAGGGAGTTGCCTGAAGCGATAAGCAATAGAATCGAGCCGAATCGAATCTTTTCGTACGACGTGCCAGGAGCACCGGACCGGGTGCCGGCCGCCACTTGAACGACGATCAAACGCCGATCGCACTGACTTTTTTCATACCTCTCAACAAGCTCTTACTGATCCATGAGGTATCTGCCATGTTCCATAATTTTACGCGGTAAGTTGTCCTTATCTTTTCTGTATATCACGTCTGAGCATCTCTCACTAAACAGATTTGTATCGTCGTCTGTCTATGAGAGACTAGATTAGGCTTCGGCGCCCTTTCCAATACACTCCCAGATGCGAGAACACCGATGCGCTTCTGTTAGAGCGACCCTTATTCACTGGCTTGAATAGCTGTGTGTCATGCCCACTCCAACTGATGTAAAGCCGGCTTTTATATCCGCACTGATGAACAGCACATGACACGCAAGGGTATTTATTTGGTGGTGCCCGAGTTACATCCAACCCGGACGTCCAGATTCAAGTTTCGTAATCTGTTCTCGTTAGACGCTGCATTCAGCACGGCTATTACCTCAGTATCTCACCCTTGATAAATAATCAAAGGCCCCGCGGTGACCCTCAACCGAAACGATTATGTCCACCACCACTGGCACCGTTGAATTTATAGTCAATGGAACGACCTACCAGACATGGTACATGGTCGTCGGCGACCTCAAGATCTCGAGCAAGACGCCTCTCGTCGCCCTTCACGGTGGTCCAGGGATGTCCCATCATTAGTCCGTATCATCTCTTCTATGTGGCGCAGCTGGGGAACTGACTTTTGAATCTAGCATGCTGTGAGTATTCTTTTGCTGTACATCGAACAACGAAATTTGAACGTCATGGAAGGCCTCATAAGACTATCTACGAGAAAGCTGGGTGAGGGTTTCCCTAGCCGCCTGATGGCTTAGCGCTTATTTTATTATCTGGTAGCATACCTGTGGTATTATATGACCAGATCGGTAACGGCGCCTCAAGCCATGTCAAAGACGTCCCCAAAGAATTCTGGAAGCCCGAGTTATTCATGGACGAATTGGACAACCTCCTTGCGCATTTGGGCATCTCGGACAAGTTCGACTTGCTCGGCCATTCATGGGGAGGTACGATAGTCGGCATCATCATCTTCAAGTTATTTATCTCTGTTCAGGAATGTTAGCGGGTCAGTACGCGGCTGCGCGCATGCCAACCGGATTAAGGCGACTCATTATTGCCAACGCTCCAGCCTCGGCGGACTTATTTGAGCAATGCACCAACGCCCTTTTGGATCAGTTCCCAGGTGACCTCGCCAAGACGCTGCGAAAGCACGAAGAAGAGGGGACAACTGACTCACCCGAGTACCAAGAGGCGATGATGACGTTCAACAAGAAGCACATCTGCGCCATGGACCCATGGCCACAGGAACTCATGCAGAGTTTCGGAGAAGTGATGAACAATCCGACGGTGTATTCTACCATGTACGTGGTCTGTTGGATTCTGGGACCAGTGTGAACTTATGAGGTCTATGCAGGTGGGGCACCTCGGAGTTCAATATGACGGGGACTATGAAAGGGTGGAGCGTAATCGATATCGTGCATAACATAAAGGCGCCGACGCTCTTGCTAAGCACGCCTCTTGATGAGGTGCAACCGGTAGCCTGCATGCCATGGTTCTTTGGGATTCCCAAAATCAAGTGGGTAGAATTTCAGCGTAGCACGCATTTGGCTCAGTTTGAGGAACCAGAGAGGTGAGAGGCGTTCTTCTTTTGATTCGGATGCCGAGCTCGTGCTGACAGGTTCCTACTAGATACTTTGAAGTGGTTCTCGAATTTTTGGCATAGACGAACAATGTAGATCTTTGTAGTCGGGTAGCCTATACCAGGACAAGAATAAAACCTGTTTATACTGAACGAAATCAAGCAGACGTTGAGTCGTGATGCCACCGGGCAATGAAGAGACAGGTATACGGCTGAGAAGATCATACTTCGCCTATGTTATATAGATTCAGATGGATCGCTGGCAATAGAACGAATATTGGGGAACCCCATCCGCACCATAAATATCTCTCTGCCGTGTCGTTTGGTAGAAAACCATAACTGATTTTCATGTTCCAACATCTTGGAAGCAGGAAATTAATTCAGAATTTAAATTTTAGATCATAAAATGAGTGTCAAATCTCGATTGTTGAGGATGAAAAAGGTTTGTGAGAAGCACGGTCCGTAGCACGAACTGACGACTTGCCCTGATCTCCTGCGACTAACTCAGCCAGTCCTGCTGGTTGCGGAATTGCTTCCCTAGCCAATCAAGGACAAATTATTCCAAGCCCAGACCACTCTTTGCAGAGAGGGAAGCTATGGAAACCAAGTTTTCTGGAGGGGACAGTCTTGAACCAGCGCACAAGCGGACTGAATCGCTGACATGAACCACTCACATTCCCGGTTTAGGGCCGTTACAGCCGCTGCACCATTGTACCATTACGGTTACTTATAATCCCTTCCTTGATCTCATTCCTTTTCCCCGGCCTCTGCCAGTGCGCTCTCTGAGCCTTGCTCTTCTACTCGACGTTGGAACCGCTGGAAACTGCAGTCGCACTACGAAAAGCTATCAAGGCGCAGCAAGTTATTACCTACACAGTGATGATCCTTGTTTGTCATTATTTTCTGCAACACTGCACCTTGTCATTCCTCTTCATACATTTGCGAAGTCGGCGCCTACGGATGTTGTATATTTGAGGCTTAATTTCGTAGGATTTACCGAGCAAAGTCTGGCGAAAGCTTCGAGGGGTCTGCGCCAAGTCGTTTTCGCAGATGACCACCACGGTACTAGTCTTAGTCGGTAGATGATCGATGATATAGGTTTCTATTTTGTTTTTTGAGTTGACATTTCACATCGTAATACATATCATTTTTTCGCTTTACAACATTTACCAGGGCGTATAATTCCTAACTACACCATCGTCTGCTGCAGTCCAGATGTCCCCAGTATCCGTGACCCGTACGTGTCTCACTGCGTCGCAGTCCGTACCAACTATTTCCGCCTCGACACGAACTTCTTCTCCTTGCAGAGAAGTAACATACGGCAGCCCATCTTCTGCGCCCACAGCCACATCCGTCGGAGAGAGAAAAGCCAAATCCTCCACAGAAGCTTCGTTTCTTGCAAACTGGACCACGGGTCCTTGAGTCAGAGAGCGAATGTCATAAATGCATATCACCCCCCGAGAGGAACCCGTTGCCAGTTGAGTATTGTTAATGGTAATGGAAAGTAGAGGGCTAGTAGATGGGGAAGAACGGAAAATTGAAGATGATTCGGGGGAGGCGCGCAGGTCAATTGAGGAGAATGATCCGTCCTGCAGTGCGGTATATATCGGCTCCGAAGAGTCTAATGCGAGATACGAGGGCGTAATTTTGTTGATGCCACTCGAAATCGGGAACATGGAGGTCTGTGTGCCGGATGGAACATCCCAGAGCCGAAGGGTGCCGTCGAGAGCTGCAGAAAGGATGGAGCGACCAGGACCAATGATAGCGGTTGCTGTGACGCGCCGAGTGTGGGCACGAAGGGTGCGGGCCGGTTCTGTGGATGGTGTGATCGCGTCGCTATCAGCGGGAAGAATCTGCAGGGAAAAGTCTGCAGACGCACTGAGGAGGACACGGGAAGACGGGAAAAACTGAAGCGAAGTGAGCGTCGATTTATGACTTCGGTAGAATGCCGTGGGAGTTTCGTGGGCCGGCGAGGCCCGAAAGAGTTGCGCAGAACCGTCGAGGAATCCACATGCAAACTGGGAGCGGTTGGGGGAGAGTGCGAATGCGGTAATTCGATGTGGAAGCGTGGTGTAAGAATGTGTCGGGAGGAAAGTTTTCGTGTGGGAAATGCCTAACTCGGAACATGATATTTTATATTTCTGAAATGCGCCTTTGATCAAAAAGAAAGAAATATGCGATTTATAATACGTACACGATCTCCCCCTGCCGGCTCGATCTTAACGTCGCCTTCTTTCGTGTGAAATTGGACAAGATCGCGATCTATGTCGTCCAGAACGACAGAAACTTTTCCATGCACGGAGGGGGACGCCTTTCTGTAGCAAGATATCCAGATATCTTCTGAAGGAATGACACCAGAGTGGACGTCGGCAATTACTTCAGAGAAAGTGGGCTGGATAGTTACAATCGGAAGTGTGGAAGATGATTTAGATCTTGTAGCAGCAGATTCCGGCATGTTGCGTGAACAAAATATCGCAAAAGAACGAGCTGACCGATGACGTGATGGTAAGTGGTTTGGAGGTGATTACCAAACATAGGCATACCCAGCGAAATTCTTTCATTTTCATTTTCCTCATTATTGATGCCGCGGCAGCCTGCGACATCCAGTTCATCGCATTTAATTCCTCGTTCGTCAAATGGCTCAGCTGTACGCTCTAAACGCAAGGCAGCTCGACGGCGTGCGAAGGAACAGAAAGAGGATGAATCCGAGACATCGGACTCTGACGACTCGTATCAAGAAGATGTTGACTCTGGTGACGACTACACAGAGGATAGCGCAAATCCACCCAAATTACGCAAAGTTTCAAGTAATCTTGCTGTCGTCTCATCGAAATCCACCCAGCATCCTACATTGCCTAAAGCCGGTCCTTGGCATCCCGATTATGTGCTGAGCAAGGGCGGCATTGCTGAAATGAAGAATAGAAAATGCCTGAACATATCTCCTAGATATGGAAAGGACAACTTCTGGCCACGGTCAGCAGGCCTCAGAGAGCTAATCCAAAATATGTTTGATGGCACATTGGCCGCTCTCAGGGCCAAGCCTAGCTGTCAGGCATGTACTGCAAAGAATATCGAAGTTCGCCATATCTTTCCGCCGGCCGGTATCTGGCGCTTCCCTATACAACTTTGTCGAGTGCCGATTGGTCAAAAGTTGACTTTTGAACTCCACTATAAGCCGTCATCGTCAAAACGCGGGAGGGAGACTGGTTCACCGCCTCTAGGATGGGTTAGTTTCAAAGCGTCGAGTCATGGGAAATGCCAGTTGGAGTTGTACAATGAGGGTGAACCCCTGGGTTTCGGTTGCATGGCGTTTGGGTTTTCCTCAAAAGCCGGAAAGTCCGATTTCATTGGGCAACACGGAGATGGCATGAAGATGGTCAGTCTCTTTTCTCGTCGCACTTTACACCATACCTTAATACCATACACGATTAGGGTGTCAATGCCATCATCCGTCCAGAAGGTTTGACCCATCCACCGGAAGTATTCTATGTCACGGGTAAAAGCAGTGGGACTTTCTCTACGTTGATGATCTCCTGGAAGCGCATCAAACTGAGTCGAAGAAGCCGAATGTTCATGGCGTTCTCACTCAGGTCATCGGATTCCCACAGAAGAGTGTCCAATTTGACGACTTCCTGTTTCTTCGACCTGCAGTTGACACATTAGAAGGATTTGAGACCAAGTTTCGTGGACGTCGTGAGCGGGTGGGCTCCATCCTTCTTGATGAACGATTACGACATCACATATTCGTTTGTAGATTTCGCCATATGCGTACTGCAGCTATTAAATTCTTCCTTCCCTAGGCAAAAGGCGTGTTTGTACAAAAACGAGCAGGTCGCAAGTTCGGTCTATATTACGGAATCGATATCTGGCAAGATGTCGAAATTAGTAGGGATCGCGTTGGATTGCAAGATGATGGACAGTGCTCCGATGCTGCATTCAGCATATGGAGGTCGCTTTTTCAAGGCTCGGAGCGCGCTCGACAGCTCTACATCGACCTGTTGATTAATCACGATTCTTGCCTCGAGACCCGCTATATCGTGCAGCAGTTTGAAGAGGTTGACGCGCAGCTTCTTTTCGGCCAGCTTCAAAAAGATAAGGGTGATGATCTCTTTTTCTACCACGCTGAGGATGCTGGAGAATCTGTTCGTATCATCGAGCAGGTCCTCAAGAAGAAACTTGATTCCAAGGGAGTTTTGTGAGGCGTTACTGAAACACGGCATGATAGTGACCCCAGTGGCGGCCCGCATGGAACGGTTTCACAGTTTGGCTTCGTCGGTTTATCACAACGGAAATTCTCCCCAGCTCAAATACACGGCACACCTGATAGAGGGATTTTTGGCTTTGGACCCAGATATGATGGATTTTCAGGATTGCTTCTGTTTTAAATCTGCTCCAGCTGATATGGGTGTTGAGATCATTGTTACGGATGAACTACCAGGTGCTTCTACACGAGCTGACGCTATCTTCCGTCTTCATTCATCGTAAACCTCAATTTGCCATGTGTTATCGACATTTACTCGCAACCGAGGCGCTGGGAGCCACGGAACCGGAACGCAATGATCATAACGGTGACCAAAGTGGCAACGAAGCATTACGGACTGAACAGGAGCCGACAGTTTCAGAGGCCGAGCATTTCTGGCCAGACGACCCCTCGCCTTTCGTTTGCGACTGTTCTGCGCTTTATATACTCCACCTGATGACCCAAGAGCTGACAGACGTATCCACAATGCGCAAGACGGAGATAGAAATGGCGCGCCAGCTTACGCTGCGATCGTTACCACGAAACCTTACATTTGAGGCCATCAAGCCTGACCACTATGCAGGGGACGACGAGCCGCTCGAGATGACTCTGTCGTGGTCAACCGATGATAACTTGTCTGGGTTCAAGGTGTTCATCCGCCCGGACGTTTAGAAACATGCGAAACCTCTTCGAGTAAACTCTAAAACAGGACACGGTGAAGGAAAGGACAACGAGATGCAGACTACCGATGCGCCGACGCTTCCTGCAAAGTCACGCACTGACGGCTCTGGTATGTCTGCTGAAATAAAACATGAATTTACGCTGACGCATCGAAATGCAGATGCATTCAGCCTATTCTCAGATTCTAGCAAAATTGTTCTCAATGGCTGTATTTCCCATGGCAAGAAGTACATCGCCCAAGTCTGCTGGAATAAGGACAGCACTCTATTTAGCCTACCTTTGTCATTCGCCGTACCACCCTCTCCTCCCTCCTCGACCTCTTTGAAGGTCGAATATCAAGCGCAGAGGATGACCGTCAAATGGGATACATCGCCAGAGTCAGGCGCCGACTCATGGGTGGTAGTTCTTAAATTGAATGCCAACGAAATTCTTCGAGAAGAAGAAAATGAACCGCAAACGGAAGTACTACTAGACGAGGAATTGGGCGACGAGGACTTGTTGGTGGTCGAAGTTTATGCCAAGTCATCCGTATGTGGTTTGACTAGCACCAACTTCGCTTCAAAGGACGTTCGGCGTGTACTTCAGCCTCCTCCTTCTCCAGTCACTCCTTCTAGTTCATTGTCTACAGCCATATCACCATTATCGTCAACCTCATTCCAAGATACCCCAGCGCAGTACGATCCTATAAATCCACGAAACTCCAGTCCAGGGCTTGAGTATGTCGACCGCTTTGACAACTTTGACAATGATTCCAATGATGGTGGCGGGCCTGTGATTGTACCGACGCAGTCTGACCATCAAGTCAATTACGGATACGATGAACTGCCTGTCAATGTCCAAGCTGATTTCATGACAGACTTTATCCAAGGTAAGGTGGTCGCGAAGCCAACCCCGATAGTGAACTCAATTTTCCTTCCTCTTCTGCGAGCGCTTCTCTAATCCCGGGCATTTTTAGGACGTAGATGACTCCGCGTACTTCCCAGTCAAATCTACTTTCATTAATCACCAGAAATTTGCAGTCAACAACTATTACATGGTACAATTGAAGAGTTGCGACAATACTGTCCACGAATCAATTGTCTACGTTCACTCCATACGATACCCCCAAGATCCCCTAGACGAAGCCTCGAATGTCGCGGTCCTTCATCTATCTCAATACATCCACTGGACTCTTGTACATCCAGATGCGCCTGGCAATGGGCTGTTACTCCTATTCTCACAGGCTGAGCTCATGGGAACCATCCACGACTCAGAAACCTTCAGTGCGAACGCAATCGTCAAGGTTCACCAGTGCGTGCAGGTCACACATACGCTGGAATCCGATGTTACTGGCGACACTCACCGTTTCGTTTGTAACTGGTCTCTTCGACGCACCGCGTCATGTAAACCAAGGACTATCGAGAGCTTTGTCGCAGCTCCCGAGCACCTTCATGCTCCTAATCCACCGCTGAAGAAAAGTACCCCGCGCCGAATAGATTCTCTAAGTTTCGGAGATCCGTATTGTGGAGCGGGAGGTGCATCTTGTGGTTTCAAGGATGCTGGCTTTATCCCACAGTTTGGTGTCGAGGCAAGCTACGCTGCAGGGGGAGCTTTTCGGGTATGTAGATGATGCAGGTCTTGACTCATAGTACGCTGAACGCCCTTCAGAGTAATTGCTCTACTGCTATCCTGTACAACGAATCCTTCGATACGTTCTTGCGGTATCCGTGTTCAAAGAATCCGTTACAGACCGCAGTGATATCTGTTTCTCCTCCCATTGATGTGTCTGCAGTTGATGAGCATCCGATTATACAAGTTATCAATACGTTCAAACCTGCCTATACTGTACGTCACTACCGTCGCTCCTTTCCGCATTATCTGATTGAGTATCTGTCAGGTATACAACTGCACCGTGGTTCGTAATCTATGTATACGACACTACGCCGCTGACAATTGTGACAGGACCAGCTATCTACGAATAATATCGGCAATTTGAGGAAGCTACAGTATCAAATATTGAAGCTCGGATATGGTTTCACTTACGGCGTGCTGAAAGCAACAGATTTCGGAGTCCCCACCGTGAGGAATAGATTGGTTCTCATTGCCGCAGCTCCCGCTCAGCCTATGCCGGAGCTTCCGTCGCCTACTCACGGCGAAACTGGTCAGCCATCAACACGGACTCTTCAAAATGCTATCAGCGGCCTCGACTGGAAGAACACTACCTGTAAACCTACCGGCCCAGACCTTCAGAGCGTAGTTTCCCATCCGGTAGACAGTTTCCAGCCTGTGTCCCGACACTGTACTGGCTGTGTCATCTCCGATTTCACAAAATGGGATGACTCACGTACGATCGCAGATTGGAACGAGCCTCTGCCTGGCAAGTTTTTTCCCTGTTACCTCTTTAATTTATGAGCTGACGAGACCCTAGCCTTACTAACCGTGCCATCCGAAAAGTGGAAATGCCGGCACCCAAGTGAGTAATAAGCACCTTAGGTGCGGAATGTTCCTGACTAGAGCATCAGACAATCCACAGCGTTTTCTTTCCGTTCGAGAAACGGCACGAGCCTTGTCGTTCCCTGTAGGCACTTTCTGTCATATTTCTGATTGGTGTTAACGTTAATTTACGTTAATGTGTCGATAGGACTCATGGGATTTCAGCGGGTCCCTTAAGGATCAGTATAACCAAGTAAGCCTGCTTGATTGTTGTGATCTTCTCTTTAACTCATCTGGACAAGGTCGCAAATGCTCCACCTCCACTTGTAGCCAAAGCCATAGCAGAGGAGATAAGAACAGCAATATTCAAGTCCAACCCGCATCTTGTAAACACTCCCTAGGCTAGTCATTGGAGCCTTTTCCCATGTCACAATAAAAATCTAATCATGTTTCTAGACCATGTAATATAAGCAGCATTCTCCGGCCAGTGACTGAAAAATATTGCTCAAATGCATTTACCAACGAATTAGATCTGCTGGTGCAGAATCAACAGGACACCGTTTCAACTGCATAAATGTTAAATAATATCTAGCAAGCAGCAGACTTTTCTGCGGTTCTTTCGAAGCACCTGTTCATCCGACTCGAGAGCCTAGAGAGATAAGACATCGAAAGGCGCTGTCCTTGGCCGGAGGATCGGCTACTTGGAAGATCCTTCAAGTCAGAATACTGAGATAACATCAATTGTGCGTTCGGTGCTACCCGTTTGCTAGTAAAGTTTTGCAGTGTTAGGATGGAGCCAGCCAACTTCGCTAAAAAAGTGGCTGGGGACGTCTTGCTTCTTTTGATCATGAATTTGCTACACAGCCATGGACGCTTTTTGCTATTCAGAATGACCCTTACCCTACAGAGAGCAACAATCGGTGGTTAGTCAACATGAGGAAAGTCACAATGAGGCTTGGGCCGCGGTTGTTGTTGCTTGAGTGGGTGGGAACAAGTATCCTAGACCAGCGCCCTATCGCGTTGGGATGGGTTCATTCATACGCCAGATTGGCATACCGACAAGGGTACTTTTTCGGCAAGCCCATTTACCGCTCAACCCGTCTGCGTGCACTGAATAACTCTATCGATATCGGCCGTCTGGAGGAGCAGCAGAAAACATACACTCGAATAGCTTGCACGTATCGTCCAGAGCAGATCGTTGATATTCAGAATACGGTGTCACAAAAAGAGAACAATGAATAGAGCGCTGTATGCATTCTGGAGACATGATACATTTGCTTTCCTTCACGACCTCATCCAACAAGACGAAGCATAAGTAATCTTGACCTGTGGTCAGAGACGACAGTAAGTAAGGCTATCAATGACAAAATGATGCTTGTATGCGCCTCTTCATCCTCATATTGATGGTCGCGACGACCTCACAACCTTGTATCCTCGTTTTGGCCGCCTATCCAGCGTTTGCTGCTGCTTTGTCCGTACAAGGTGATCTGGGACATTCTCTACCTCGACCAATTCCTTCACTTTCAGGATTTTCCCGGCAACGATAGGTGAGTGTGGGTGGTATACGGTCTGCATTCGTCGATGAATACCGAGCGATTCCAGCGTTCCCTTGATTCTGTCACCAAGAGATATCGCGGAACGCCGCAGAGTAATTTTAAAATGGGTATTCGGTGCGTTCTCCGGTGCTGGCGTCGACGATGTTGCCAGCGTCCTAAGAAAGGACGTGTAGGTCCTGCGACACGTTCTGCTCGCACTGTTCAATATCCACGAGGACATTTTGACTAAAATATGGAATATAATTGGCACGATAAAGCTGAAGTACAAGCAAGCACGTACCAAATGACTGCCGGACAGAAATGGGTGAAGGCAAGCTTTGTTGATCAAAGAGACCAAAACAAAACACGAATTTTTTCACTTTTACTGCGACGTCGATGGACCCTTCGGTGCGTACTAGCTACATCCAGAGTACCTTTATCCTTACAAAAGCTCAAGGCAGGGTTCCAATGTTCTCAACAAATCCATGCAAGGACTTTGGTCGAACCATAGGCGGAGCAAGCTCAATCTGAATGCATCCTCGACGGGAAATTCGCCTTTGCCTACACCACAGGAAGAGCAGCCAGCACCTTTGGCGGATGTAGAGGAGCAGCCGGCAGCTCAGAATGGTATTGTGGAGACTACTGTCGAACCAAAATCGCCCCAGCCGGCTGTGAACGGGAAACGTAAGGTCAGGTCGTCTCGGTTGACGGAGGAGGGCTTGAAGAGGGCCAAGCTGTCATCGGGAACCGCGTCTTCGAGTGCGAAGGATTACTCGCCACCTACGGCGCGACTATCAGACCTTGGAGGTGTCGAAGGTTGTGTTGAAAAAATGCTGGAGATGGTGGCCATGCCGCTTTGTCACCCAGAAGTTTATCTGCATACAGGTGTGCAACCGCCTCGCGGCGTTCTGCTACACGGTCCTCCTGGATGCGGAAAGACTTTGCTGGCGAATGCGATGGCAGGTGTGAGTAACGAACCATTTTTTAACGTATGCGAATTTAAACTGTTTCAACAGGAACTGGGAGTTCCCTTTATCAACATATCTGCTCCGTCGATCGTTTCTGGGATGTCTGGGGAATCAGAAAAAACCTTGCGGGATGCTTTTGAGGAAGCAAAAGTACGTCTTCGTCAGAGTCCCCTCTTGCAATTACGCTAATTGAGTATCTTCAGAGGGTCGCGCCTTGTATTCTTTTCATTGACGAGATCGATGCCATCACACCCAAACGTGAAAGCGCCCAGCGAGAGATGGAGAGACGAATCGTTGCACAGTTTCTAACATGCATGGATGGTAATATTCACACTCTATCTCTTTTCTCACCTAACGTGCGTTTAGACATGTCTTGGGAGAAGAACGACAACAAACCAGTGATTGTGATAGGCGCTACCAATAGACCAGACTCACTTGATGCTGCTCTACGACGAGCCGGTCGGTTTGACCACGAAATTAGTATGGGTGTTCCTGATGACGAAGCCCGAGAAAGGTAAGAAAATCATCCCTCTATCAGTATCATTCTGATTTTCATCCAGGATTTTACGTGTCCTGTCCGTCAAGTTGCGCATAGAAGGCGACTTCAACTTTGCTGCACTCGCCAAAGCTACTCCAGGTTATGTGGGAGCCGATTTGTCAGCGCTTACTGCTGCTGCCGGTATCATAGCAGTCAAACGAATATTCAAACAGCTGTCGGAAGGTACATTACAGCTACCGACGGAATCAGATTTGTCTATGCAAGTCGACGAGCCCCAGATTGCATCACAAGTGTCCTCATCGTCGTCTGCATTGCAGCCTGCCCCGATAATAAAGGCTATAACGTCCTCCCTTTCATTTCCCACGTCATCAGTCCATTCCATCGCCCATTTTCTCAATGCCCATCCTGACCCTCTTACGCCCACGCAGCTCGCTCCCCTTTGCATAACGTCGGCTGACTTCACCGTCGCATTAACCCAGGTTCAGCCCTCTTCCAAGCGAGAAGGTTTTGCTACCGTTCCAGATGTCTCGTGGTCGGACATTGGTGCCTTGCATCGTACTCGAGATGAGCTACATATGGCTATCGTTCAGCCTATCAAACGACCGGAGCTGTTTAGTGCTGTCGGCATAGAGGCAGCATGTGGGGTATTACTCTGGGGACCACCGGGATGCGGAAAGACATTGCTGGCTAAAGCTGTTGCGAATGAATCTCGAGCAAACTTTATCAGCGTCAAGGGTCCGGAACTCTTAAATAAGGTAGCTGTATGCTTTTCTTCCAATTACCTAAGCTCATGTCGTTCCTCAGTATGTTGGTGAAAGCGAGAGAGCAATACGCCAAGTGTTTTCACGAGCCCGGGCATCGTCTCCTTGCGTTATATTCTTTGATGAGCTTGATGCAATCGTCCCTCGGCGTGACGACAGTCTTGTAGGTCACCTTCTCTTATCGTGTTGAACGTCATTGTCTGATCATGTCACCAGTCGGAATCATCAGCTCGTGTTGTGAATACCCTCTTGACGGAGCTCGACGGACTAGATGCCCGGAAAAGTGTTTATGTTATCGCCGCTACCAACCGTCCCGATATAATAGACCCCGCCATGGTTCGGCCAGGACGGCTTGACAAGCTGCTCTACGTGGATCTCCCCAACGGTGATGAACGTGCCGAGATCGTTCGCACTATGACGCGGAAAGTCCCTCTTGCTGGTGATGCAAGCGAGACGCTGGACGCTGTCCGAAGTCAGGTGGAGGATTTTGTTCGCGAGCGCTGCGATGGATTCAGTGGTGCCGATCTGGCCGCTTTGGTTCGTGAGGCGGGTGTTATTGCCTTGCGCCGAACGCTTGGGGTGCTGGATCAAATGGATGATGATACGAGAGGGTCTGAAGAGAGGCCCAAGGTTACAGTCCATATCACTGACTTCAATACCGCCTTCGAGAAGGTCGGGCCAAGTGTTAGCCCTCAGCAGAGGAAGAGGTACGAGGCCTTGAAATCGAAATTAGCGGGATCGCCCGTTAAGACGGTGAAGGACGAGGTAAAAGGTGTAGAGAGGGATTCAGAGGCGCAAACGTAAATGACGTTCAGCCGTGTGGATTCAAATGATATCGTAACACTTTGACGGTAAAATTGACCGCGCTTGGGTCTTTCTCGAAGTGGAAAGAATATCGGGAAGAGCTAACGAAGAGTGTAAGTAATACATGGAGCGAACAATCCATGTGTAGCCTCCATCGGGCACAGTAAAGGTGAATCAAGGTGTAGCCCTAACGTATCAAGACGGACAGGAAGTAAGGTACAAGAAGGATAGTAAGAAGTGTGATAGGTGAGTAAAATATAGCGCCAGTGAGTGTATGTGACTCTTCAACATTCTGATCTGTTACTACCCTTAACTCCGAGTTAGCGGGAGGACACGAGTCTTCGATATTTTGATGCGTCACTTTCCTCCTCACCAACTCCTTTCTAGTGTCAGTGCGGGGATACGAATCTTCAACATTCCGGTGCATCAGTTTCTTTCTCACCAATTCCTTGATGATTTGCTGTTCTTCCTCGGTAGGAGGATCCATCGTTTTATCCCAAAAGTCCTCCCCAAGCAGATCAACATCGACGCTATATTCTTTCTTCAACTGTGTCTTCAGCTGATCTTCCGAAATACTAGGTGGTGCGTAGGTTCGCAAGATGGCAAACATGTTGAGGACGGCGACAGGATCACCGTTTATCATCGCTGTAAAGTTTCATCAATAGGAATCGAGCAAATGAAAGATAAGAAATACCTTGCCGACGCATAACGGTAAACAAAACCTTATCTTCAGGAGCCGCAACTGTTAGGACAGGCGCTACTTCAGCAAAGCTAAGTATTCCTCTCACCTTCAATATCGGGGATGTCAATCCCTATGTCGTCAAAAGGACGTGGTCGCATGTACTACAAAATTGTGAGCCGTTGTCCCCCCATGGCAGGCATAATTTGGATCTTACAACGTAATCACATGGTGTGGGCTTGGTGATGAAAGAAATTTGGTGCAGGAGATCTGGGGATCGTTTGAAACACGGGTCCGAGGGCGGAATACCAGTCTCAGACTCCGTGTCCTTTGTCTCCGGGATACTCTCGTCGGTCTTGTCTTCTTCAAAAACGTCTTTTCCACAGATGGCTTTGTGAGGTCTGGGGAATCCCTGCTTCCAATCTTTCTTCTGGCATTCCCTACCGCAGGATGAATTAGCGTACTGCGACTTGGCAACAAATACACCAAAACTAACACTGAACAGTATCTCACCACTCGACCCACGGTTTTGCATCTGCTACAAATCTGGAAACGTTCTCCTCCAGCAGATGCGTCAGCTTCCTTGCGGTTACAGTGCCAACACAGATTTTCCCAATTTTCTGTCTCTTTTCGACGATCGTAGTCCTTCTGGCTCTCCGAGAACTCGGGAAGCTTTCCTTCGGCTTTGTAGATTTCTTTGGCTTGGCGTAAAAAAGCCTTGGTGGTCTCGCTTTTGTCGCGGTACAGAGGCTTGGCTGCTTGCATTTGTTCTCTGTTACCGTACTAGCTACTTTTCAGTACATACTTGTCGACGCCTAAGCACAAGAACTCACGAATGCATTCAGGATACTCCATACGGCCATAGTAATGAAATAGCTTCTATAGAGCCGATATCTGTCGACCATACGCCTGAGCATAGCGTCGTCGGTCATCATCAGCTCCTCGAATGCGGGATTCGGCACGAGCAGCGGAGTGCCGAGTGTTTCTTTGACTCGATCGACCGGAAGGAGCATTTTCAGCAGGTGGATGAAGTCTCTGTCGTTTGTCCCAGAGAGCGTTGCGACGGTCATTTCGGGACACCATGTCCGCCAGGTTTCCATGCCATTTGGAACACAGGAAGTTACATATAGCCCTTCGAGAACCAATTCTTCCCGCCGCTGCTGCGATAAGGATCTCCACCTTTCCTCCAAGTTGTCGTTGCTTAATCCTGTTACGGCAGCCTCAGCCAAGTCTCGCTGAAGGATACATATCTCCTTGGTTCGGCTGTCTTTTTCCAACTGTAATGATGGAAGGGATTCGGCATCCTTGAGAAAACGAATACGCTCGGGGGGGATGGGGCTGATCATATTTGGAGGTTTTTGTCCTGGGGGATATCTATCCAAAAGGTCATCTTCCCAGCTTTTGTTCCATGCTTTACGATATTTATCTTTGTCGGGGCGAAGTCGGGGCATGATTTATAGTGGTGGTTACACTTTGTCGACAGCACGAGTTTCAGGTATGTGAACAACGTTTAGAAACAGACAATTTACCAACGTTGCGTACACGTGTGTGAAAGCATGCAGGCCAGCTCCCCTGCGTGAAAGAACAGACGAAGATTCACTAGTGTACAGAAGCGCGGAGTAACATTTAGCTTTGTCACTTGGTGGTTTACGGTGAGGTCCAAGAAATGTTTGTCCTCATAAACGAAGATATATTGTTTTGTGATCCACCCGTTGAACGACTTACCTTCATAGACCGTTAGGTCAGGTTTCTAGACTACTTACCTTCCCTCAAATTTTGGAAATCATGCAATCACTTGAACGCAAGTGGTAGGATGAAAATTCTGATGTGTGGAATGCGGTAAGCTACTGATTAGTTACCTCCCTTCGTAGGATGGATATTGTAAGTAAACGAGTGTAAGTAATACACGGAGTAATCGAGCGAACAATACATGTATAACTTAAAAATGAAAGGACTGAGGTGTAGCGCTAATCTATCAAGACGGACAGGAGATAAGGTACTAGAAAGATAATAAGGTGTGTGACAAGTATGTAAAGTATAGCGCCAGCGTATGGGCGTTATAGTGTACAAAAATTCTTTTGTTCTGTAGGGAGGACACCACTACTTTTGATGGTTCCCAGCACTACTTTCGATGCAGGCGCTTGTTCACCGTCAGGGTTTCCTAGGGTTAGGCCCACACAGCCACTTCCCATTTGAGCGATACTTGTGTTTCAGTTTACAACCACTTAGCGATCCGCTACTACTTCAAATTCGCAAGTACTTTACAGATCCCGATGGACACTACCACCCAACGACGAGCCCCTCTTGCATTATCCGCGGCCGTGGGCACATCATTGTTTGCACATATTTCCAGCCCGCTCGCAAAAATCATGTAATTATTATTCTTACCTCTCCGCTTTCCCTCGTCTATTGAAGCTCCATTGATTTTCATGTGCAAATATCGTTCCTATCGACATCTTTAATTAAACCTCTGCCACCTGCTCAGAATTGACGTTTCACCTTGCATTTCCGCGACCACACCTACGAGATTTTGGGTCTGGCTTTGTACTGGAAGTGAAATTCCAGGGTTTGTAAAGTTCTTTTCTATTTTGCTGAAACATTCTTGTATAGTCATTGATTATTATATATATTCTGAGGGTGCTACTGCATTGGCATAGGCTTATATTATCCATACAAGCTCAAGGCTTGGCGTGAATGCACCATCAGCGGCAGGTTCGACGTCTCGGCAATGCCCGGATCATTGCGGACCCAACAGGGATGTTCTCAAAAAGTAATTGCGAACAGCTTGTTACAGTACAATGACAAGGACTAGTAGATGCAGGTACACCTACAAGGATGCATGAAAGTACTGGGAGATGGAGAAACAACTAGGTGTGTGTCAAATGGGTACCTGTTTTAGCTGATCTCCTGAAGTACCTGTACGCAGATAATTTTTGTACACTATAACTGCGATACCAGCGGGTGTATGCGACTCTTCAACATTCTGATTTGTTACTACCCTCAACTCCGAGTCAGCGGGTGGAGACGATTCTTCAATACTTTGATGTGTTACTTTCAGCTCCTTTTTAGTGTCGGCGGGAGGATACGGATCTTCAACATTCCGATGCATCAGTTTCTTTCTCACCAACTCATCAACGATTTGCCGTTCTTCCTCGGTAGGAGGATCCATCGTTTTATCCCGAATGTCCTCCCCAGGCAGATCGACATCAACGCCATATTCTTTCTTCAACTGTGTCTTCAGCTCATCTTCCGAAATGCCAGGTGGCGCGTAGATTCGCAAGATGGAATACATGCCTCGGACGGCGACAGGATCACCGTTTATCATCGCTGCGAAGTTTCAGCTGCAGGAGCCAATCAATGGAACGATAAAGAGTACCTCGCCGCCGCAAAACAGTGAACGCAATCTTATCTTCAGGAGCCGCAACCGTCAGGACAGGTACCACCTCAGCAAGCTATTCTTCTCACCTACAATATCGGGGATGTCAATACCCATATCATCAAATGGACGTGGTCGCATGAACTGCAGAATCGTGAGCCGTTGTCTCCCCGTAGCAAGGGCATAATCTGGGACTTACGACGTAATCACAAGGTGTGAGCTTGGTGATGAAAGAAATTTGGTGTAGGAGATCTGGGGATCGTTTGAATGACGGGTCCGGGGGCGGAATACCACTCTCAAGCTCCGTGGTGTCCTTTGTCTCCGGGATACTCTCGTCCGCCTTCTCTGCTTCCAAAACGACTTTTCCGCAGATGGCTTTGTGAGGTCTGGGGAATCCCTCCTTCCAATCTGCCCTTTGGCATTTCCTGCCGCATATTATTTAAATTAGCGTATGGCTACGTGGCAACAAATACAAAAAAAACGGACACTGAACAATATCTCACCACTCGACCCACAGCTTTGCATCTACTACAGATTCGGAAACGCTCTCCTTCGGCGGACGTATCATCTTCTATGCGGTTGCAATGGATGCATGCGTTTTGGAGACTGACAACCTCTTTTTGGCAAAGATAATTGTTCCGAATCTCAGAAAACTCGGGAAGCCTTCCTTCATCCTTATAGAGGCCCCTGAGTTGGCGTAAAATGCCTTTGGTGGTCCCACTGTTGTCACGGTAGAGCGGCTTCACGACTTGCACCTGCTCCCTGTACCCATACTGGTGCGACTGATCAGTATACATTTTCTGACACCTAAGTACAAGAACTCACGAATGCGTTCAGGATGTTCCATACAGTCATGGTGATGAAATAGCTTCTGGACAGTCGATATCTGTTGGCTAACTTTCTGAGTCCAGTATCATTGGTCCTCACCAGCTCTTCGAATGCTGGATTCGGCAGGAGCAGCGGAGTGCTGAGTGTTTCTTTGACTTGATCGACCGGAAGGAGCATTTTCAGCAGGTGGATGAAGTCTCTGTCATTTGTTCCAGAAAGCGTTGCGACGGTCATTTCGGGACACCATATCCGCCAGTCCTCCATACCATTTGGAACACAGGAAGTCACATATAACGCTTCGAGAACTAATTCTTCTCGTCGCTGTTGCGATAAGGATCTCCACCTTTCCTCCAAGTTGTCGTTGCTTAAATCTTTTACCGCAACCTCGGCCAAGTCTCGCTGAAGAGTGCATATCTCCTTGGTTCGGGTGTCCTGTTTCAACTGTAACGATAGAAGGGTTTCGGTATCCTTGAAAAAGCGAATACTCTGGGAAGACATGGCGCTGATCATATTTGAAGGTTTTCGTCCTGGAGGATATCTATCCAAGAGGTCATCTTCCCAGCTTTTGTTCCATGCTTGACGACATTTGTCTTTGTCAGGACGGAGTCGGGACATGGACTGCTATCGTGGCGGTTACAATCCGTCGAGGTGTCAGGTATGAGAACGTTTAGAATTGGCAGACGATTTGGTAACGTGGCTACACGTTGAAATCTGATTGCCGGCTTTCTGCCATGAGGAATACTACATGGGAAAGAACGGACTAAGAAGTGTATAGAAGCACAGAATAACATTTAGTTGTGTCATTGACGTAACCGCGTACTACAGAGGAATCCCAAAAATGGTGTAAGTATTGTTAGAAATAGTCTCAAACGAAGATGGTCGCTGCATCCATTGAATGACTTACCTTCATACGAATCGTTGCATTACTGTGCGTGAGTGTACAGTATAAACTGTAACGTGTGACAGAACTACCGTTTCGTTGTTCTTTGGCCCTCCGTAACACATGATGGACGACCGCTTTCTCATCTTTTCTGTTACTCTGTAGAAAAATCATAATAAACGTCGCTGAATCAGGCGACCGTAACATATGACTCATAGACCATTTCCGAGTTTCTATAAATTTCCACTGTAACACTCACTTTAGCGCTCCTGCACACTTCACGTATGACAGTTTGAAGCGACTGCGATACCAGTTTAAACTAGTACTTAAAATTAAGACTTAAGTTCTAACAATCTGATTTTTCGTACGAAAATAATTTAGGTTGGAAGCCAAAAGCTGGCACCTAGTTAATCTAGATTTTCTTGCAGAGTGAAATGTGCCAGATTCAAAAGCATAATGATTGAAGTTTGATTCGCTTCAAACTAGGGTTATGCACGAAACCCTAGATTTCGATGCAACGGGGTTTCGGACCGGTTAGTTACTGGTAATTTGCTGGAGGTTTTCGTCGAGGTAACTTACGAACCCCCTCCTTAGGGAGTGATCGAAATAAAACTATAAACCCTCCCCCTGGAGGTTTCGTGCGCAGCCCTACTGGACTAGGGTTGCGCACGAAACCCTAGGTTTTGATACACCAGGGTTTATTCCCGGTAAGTTACACCCCCATCGGTGGAGGGTATTTTGTCGAGGTAACTTACCGGTCACATGGTAATATTACAGCAAAATTTTTCAATTTTCCCTACCAAGGAATAGTAACCCCATCATGGCGCCGCCAACTCCGGATCATCAGCTAGTCAATTCCTTAGAGAAGCACGCTGCTATACCCGAAGACTATTCATCGTTGTTACCATCGGATACTGCTACACTTAAAGACATCATTGACTTCGTCATTCCGCCTGTCTCTGAACGCCACGTCCTCACCCCAGATGTTCCCTCATCCTTATCCAACTTTCCAGCCTATCTTGATCCCTCTTCTGCCTGCACTATTTTATTAAAATTACCCACCGCTGGCGGCAGTGCAGAAGTCAAAAAAAAGCTAGCGCGAAATGGTCATGTGAGAGATCATGTGACCGGTAAGTAACGGTAACTTACCGTAGCAAAACCACCCCCCCCAGGGAGGGGTCAGTAACTAACGGTTACTTACCCCCCCTGGAGGTTTCGTGCGCAACCCTATATTGGACACCAAAAGATTGACAAGAAGGATATGAAGAACTAAAAAGTGACAAGAGTGGGACTTGAACCCACGCCACATCCTGCCACGAGGGGTTCGAATCCCCCTCCCCAGAAATTAGCACGATGACGCCATTTCCACATGGCTGCACCCCTGCCAAGCACCGCTTTGGTCGCCAAATTGCGTTGGCTCACCACCCAAGCAGGCGAGGCTTTTTAGCGAGCCTGCCTAGCATTTAGCACGAGTGCCCTGCTGAACCCACACCTTGTCTAGTGACAAGCCACCCATCATTTCAACTGGCGCCGTTTCCACTCGCATGTCCACACCGACTCCCTTCTACTATAGGCACGATACAATAACTGTCCCATAATCATGTGATCGTTCACGCCAAGGCAGGACGCATCAGTATCAGCGACAATAGATGTGGTTCGTCACATCACTCGCCGAGCCAACGCCAGACGCGCGTGACAGCAGCAAGTGCTCACCCTAGGCGCAAGATCCACTGCATCGATATCGCAGGTTTCTCGGCTGATCATCGATTTCAACGCCAAGGCATTCTTCTGTGCGCTGTCCACAGAACCCCGTGGTTTTTTTTCTCACCTCTCACTTTGACTCGCATTGACAGCTTGCGATGAGGCCAGGGCGTGCTAGATTTAATATCCACGCAAACCTTCACGCAACGCCATCTCAATGCATCGATATCACAGGTTTCGTCCTCGACCATCGATTTCAACGCTTCTTCTGTGCGCTGTCCACAGGATTGCCACATGGGCCGCTCCCTGTGGGTTTCGCTACCTCTCACTTTAACTCGCATTGACAACTCGCGATGAAGCCAGGGTGTGCTAGATTTAATATCAGCACTCATCTATGAACTCATCGATCTTGCAGTTTCGCTCCTTGCGTCGAGACCAGATATACCTCTTTGCGCTATTTTTACGCATTCATCCTTCAGTATAGCTCGCCAAGCTCGTCATCATCTGGTTTCAGCCCGGGATCAGGACTGAAATTTTTTACCACCAGCTATAAGACGAGTAGCTTCTCACATTCCATCCCCATCTCCCCACCCCCCATTCCTTGACCTCCATGCCAAAAGACGTCTTCACCGACAAGGAACTTTTCACGTCTTCAATCAAAGGTGTCTCACAATCGTTCGTGCAGGAACCTCTGATTCCCGAGGAGGGCATCCCGATATTACCACCCGACACCGACCTCGATCCTCTGACCGGCACCTACATTCCGGTCTCCATCGACAAAGTCCCAGTTTCAACCGATGGATCTCTGGCTGCCCCCGCTGCTGCAACGCGAATCGCCGAACGTAAAAAAGTTCGCAAAGGCAAAGTCGACCTCGTTTTTGGCGCCGAAGCTGATGATCGGGAATTTCTGGACGCATTCATTGCCGAGGCCGACAAATTTTCCAAAAACGCGAAATCTTCAGAGGCACCATCGACCATCAAGGCTCGGGAATATATGGAAGCAGCTTGGGCCGAGTTCCTGGAACGGTTTTGGCCCAATGTCCCAGAGGAGGCACACTGGCACGTTGGCGTTATTGATACATGTGCCACTAAATTTTTTTACTATCTAGCAAGTGTCTTGACCGTATTTCGAAAACACCCTCTCACGTCTGTTTTTCTAGGTTCGCACAACAAAGCCGCGTCGTGTGGATCGACAATACATCAAGGCTCGGACACTTTTCGCCTTCATGACGCTCTTCATCCATCTCGTAATCCGATATGCAATAGATCCGGCAACCTCGAGGCGCGTTGGACTGGTTCTTCTGACCAAATACCAGTTACACACCCGTCTAAAAAACCAAATCCTCAGTCGTATGTGCTTGACTTTTTCGAGTATCTTTTCTGACCAATCTCGCAGTCATCCACCATTTTAAACTTGACCGCCATTACGACAAAAAACTCTACTATGGACGCCCGGAGCTGCAGCTGATGATCGATACCGCAATGCGGAGCAAGAACATGCGACTGGTCAAAATGAACGTCATCTTAAGGGTGGGCATCTCTTCTGTATTTTCCAGCCTGGACCTTACCATGTTAGGTCCTCTTTCCGTTTTATATGACGTCTCGGCCGTCTTCGATGGGCCCATTTTGCAAAGAATATGCAGACCTTGGTTACGCAAGTGGTTCATTTCTTTGCCTCTTCTACGTCTCATGTTATACTAGTACCTCAAATTGCGGAATCTACGCATTTATCGACGCTCACGCCTAGTTTGGACAATAGCTATAAATTTTCGCAACTACAAGGGTAATAATTCCTTCCTCACCAAGGAACAGACCTTTTACTTGGAGTCGGTCACTCGTCCCCACAACCTCACATTTTGTGTTGTTACCTGGATGATGACCTACCTGTACGCTATAAACGCATTCAAGAAAAAGTTCGAGGCGAGTTAACACTTTTTTCTCTTGAATTCTTGCCAGCTTATCGAAATTACAGTCATTGCGGGCATTGTTTGATTGCGAAGACGGTGAGGTCGAATTGGACGAGGACGTGGATGAATGGGCATGGCGAGTCGGAATGCTTTGCGCTTTTTACCATTTTCTCACGCAGATTCCAGCTTCCCGGCCATCAAGCAAGGCGGTCGAGAATTTATCGAATTCACACGGCCCGCTACCGCAGTCGCTATTTCAGCCTCCACCGGTTCCCTTTGCAAGATGTCTGGCTTGGCCACCGTCGGCAATTATGCTGTCCGGCGAGACACTGGTGATAAATTCAACCTCATGTTTGACGAAGCAACCGCCCGAATGGTAATGGCTCACGAAACCGACTCGATCTTTCGAAATCATTACAGTAAAGAAACCGAGACTGTGGATGTTGTAGGGGCAAGAATAGGTGAGGCTGAAGGCGTCAAAGTACAGTGATAATTTCCCACCACTTGATCATTTGCTCACTCTTGACTGCAGATCATAGTAGAACGACAAGCGTATCTCCGATGTGCCGTCCGTACTATCATCCGACAAGACATCTCACAGCAAGAAGCTGAAGAAGAGAGCGACAGTGAAGAGCCTTCTTCAAAACCGACCTCGGGAAGGAAGTCAATCATGCCCGTGGCTGAGAAAGAAGCAGCACTGAACGTAAGATCAAACCCAATTTTATTTGCATCTTTTGCCAACTACTCTCAGGCTGACCCCGAGCTCGCCGAGGCCAAGACCGCTGTGGAAAATCAATGGCAGGTTTACTACAGCTGCTTCACTGACGATGCCAGAAAATACAGAAATTTCAAGTATATTTATGAAATCGCAACAGGTGCACGAGTAGCTGGACAGAACCGGGACGTTACCTTTGCGGATGGATATAATGCTGATAATGTTCTCGAGGCAGGTCACCCCGCTTTGTAGTGAATAATTCTACTCACCCTGTTTCAAAGATCTTGGAGGAGCTACAAAGACTAACCGCTGCACTCCGGAAGCTCCATAAAGTCAAGAGCCGCCATTTGACCACCGAGTACCTTCGCAATCGAACCAAGCAAGACACAGAGGGGAAGATGCCAGGCACCAGTGCGCAGCGTGATGCAGCCCTGGAGAAATCGGCACAAGTTTCCAGTTTTCTTCAGCCAATCATACAAGGTTGTCCCCCTTTGCCATCGTCCCATCTCTATTCTGATTTTTTTTCTCAACCAGAAACAGCTGCAAAGGCAACTGCAAACGCACCTTCTGATCGGATTACGGACACTGAGGACACTGTGACGACGACCACAGACACTACTAGCCCTGCCATTTCTGAAAACGACGATGATGATACCGACGGCATCACATTGGGTGATTTCGCCCGACCAGAGTACTCGTCGTCAATGTTCACAACGCTGCATCTGCTCGACACAGAATGTCCACCGACATCTATGCTCGAGGACGACATGAACGCCGGTGAATTTGTGCCTGCGGAAAAGGACATCAACGAGGAGGAAGAACCCAATGAGTGTCCTTTGTCCGTCACCGAGGTTCGTGCGGGGGTGATGGCAGCGCTCATGGAACCCATCGAAGCTGATCGTGAAATTGCCAAGCACTACGTATGTCATTGCTTGATTGTTTGCTTACACATTACTCATCTCTGTCTAGGACCAGGCGACGAAAAGATGGACGTGCCCCAGGTGCAAGTTGTATACTCATGATCCAGAGATGCGAAACGGGAAAACTTTTGATAAGGATCCGCACTTTCGGCGCCATGTGTGAGTCGTCCTTTCCACCCATCAGATGCATGGTTCATCGTCTAGAATAGGCGCAAGGTACATACGGAATGGAAAGACTTGGAACTCCAGTTGGTCTCACATTGGACCGATGCAGATGAAGTCCGTTATCGGGAGTACAGATGCCCTTGCACCTACTACAGGTCTGTCCCTGTTACCTATTTGTGCGAAACTGATCCAACACGATCCTCAGCCATTCTACTCAGGATCTCATGCGAAAGCATATGATCAGTACCGACTGCTCCGCCAGGATTAGCCACATCAAGTTGCTTCGGGCGCATAACGAAATCGTACTAGGCCGGATCGATGACGAAGATGAAGAACCGTACCTATTCACTCTGCCAGTGCCGAAAACGATCCCCGTAACGAAGCAAGTCGTCGATGACTTTGAAACCATCATGAACAGCGTATGTTATCATCTCTTGCCTCCCAAATTTCCCTAATTTTCAGAACAGGTGTCGTCGGAATTCAGCGAGGATGCAAATGCTATGTTATCAGAGGCGTTGGATACAGGGCGTACACATGTAAAAAAGGAGGTTGTACTCGACGAAAGGAATGTGGAATTATAGAGTGTTCATCATTTGAATGTCCGTATGAGAAGGTCTAGCGACAGGTGCTGGGACATAAGAATTAATAGACGGTTGGCCATCGGGGCGGCTTTCTTGCATACGATTCAGGGAAATTTCTTGGAGAGGCCTGTAATAATTGGCAGCGGGGAGATTCGATTGATTGGCTTGAGGCTGAGGAGGGTACGAAGGATGAGTAGCATGCTGGATCTGGAATGAATTTTGGTGCTGAAATTGAGGAGGCAGTGGCTGATTATAATGAATTGCATGCGGGGGCTGATTGTGATAATGATACTGAGGCTGAATGAGATGCGGGTGGGGAGCTTGATGATACGTGGGCTGAGCAGCCGATGGATCATACTGGGGCTGAGCGGGAGGATGAGATGGCGTTGGAGCAGGCGACGGAAGAGCCACATCAGGACGAGGTCTAGCAGGGGTAGAGAGCGTGGAATCATTGGATGGTCGCTTGGACTCGATGAATGCCAACGGATCCTTAAAGAGGCCTGAAAAAGACATAAGTATACAATACAACCGACAAGATGGAGTCGTACGTAGATCATTAGCATCTAGGGCTACGTTAGTATTGTAAAGGTGAATATATGCGCAACATAACTTACCAAATCCTAATTCTTTCGCCAGTGCCAACGTCTCTAATACCTTTTGCGTGTAGGCACGGTTGATTTCCAGTAGCTCGGCCTCCTTGGACACCCTGGCAAGCCTGGCTTCCTCGCTTGCACGCTCTGCCTCTACGCGTCTCTGCTCTGCCTCGGCACGTCTCTGTTCTGCCTCTGCCGTCCGACATTGAGCGGTAGCGACACGCATCTTGTCAAGTGACATCTGGTTGACGAGTTGGGTCATAGAGGTCACGGCGTGGTCAATACGCTTTTTCCCGGGGAGTCGAGCATCTTCGAGTTCCGAGTCACTGTCGACAGCTACCCTACGTCGCTTTGAACCACCCTGACGGGCATTTTCTTTGCCCTTGGGCATCTCTGAGAGATTCCGTCAGTTCTGACCACTACTAGACAGGTTGTTCAATGTACCAATTATCCAAGAAAACAACAGGATAAACCGTTGTATGTGAGAGCGGAGCTGTGAGCACCGTCTCGCCAAGAAATTGCTAGTAGATGATGGTGGAAGACAAGAGTTACGTGGCCAGCATCTTGGCCTGAAATACTAGGCTGCATTAAAACATCTACAATGTACCCAAGAGGAGATGCTTAACCGTGGCAGGGTGTCCGAGTAGTGAGAGGAGGTGTCGATCAAGGTTCGATTCCTAATCCTAATCAGTTTTTTCCACCTCGCGTAAATCAGGCATGAAACCCAGTGAAAAGTCGGTCGAGCCACACTGAGCCAAATCAAGCCCAGGGAAATGGTCGATGGGGCTCCATTCCGCTCGTTGTGGCTTCGAAATGTGAACCATTTTCCAGCTCAAATCGAGCCATTTCGAGCTCAGTGTGTCGGTGTCATAGGGTTCCATTAGGCTTTTTGGGGCTCGATTTTATTGTTATTAATATGCATAGAATCAGATTGCTACTAGTACGTACTACGCTAAGTAGTAGCATCCTTCCCATTCCGTCCACGGCTGGCTCTGTCCCGCTCGGATACCTCAACCGTGTTTCCCGATGTCAAGATAGATGTACCGAAATAGATAGCCCTAGAAAATGTTATATCAGTACACAATGACGGTAAAGACGATTCCAGGACTACTCACGAAATAAAAGCCAGCGGGAACGATGGCAAACACGACCTGTATAAGATTAGATTAGTGAGTCCAGGAATACACACATATAGAACAGAACGTACCATCACCACACCCGAAGCTATGCCTAGACGGCATATGGAGCAACTGTACACATTCTAAGTATCAAGAGAAAAACATTCAAGAGCGCAATGAGACGTACCTCAGAGATCCAGATATCTTTCTGCTCAAACGGGATTTCCAAAGACGTATTGCTGCTAAAGGTGTCCAAACATGGCGCATATATCCACTTTATGCGGCATTTTCAATCTGTAGCCTCATGTTTGCAAGTCTTCGCATCAGCTTGCCGGTAAGAGACCAACAGTAGGAGGCTACGAGAGCAAGTACGAACCCATGTCCTTACAGGATCTGGGTGTAGGGCGACAATGAGGACAGCGAATAGGCCAGAACGCGACGTGGATGGTGGTGGTAGAAGGGGAAGAAGCGTTAATCGCGTCACTGGATGACATCCACGTGGTCGGAACCGTTGACTTGAAGTTGTGCCAATTTGCGCTCGCAAAATTCAGCGCATTTTAGTTCACCGTTAGGTTCAGAGAGATTCTGCCCTGGTATTCTTGGATATGCTGATGGAAAGAGGAGAAGGTTTATAGTCCGAAGCTTTCTTGTATGACGCCGCTTGATCCGGCTCGACTACGCTACATGATAATCTTTGCAGCTTGATTTGGCTCAAACCGGCTCGACGGAATTTTCACTGGGCATGAAATGAGAACGATGATGAGAAACCCCAATCGGGCAAGCTTGCTTATGTAGCGAACTACATAAGACCACTTGAGTCACACGCCTTGGACCGCTCGGCCATTCTACCTTGATGTAACTTGGAGTGAAGAGGTATATATTCCCTTCTCTAATAAAATCTTGAAACATCTACAATGCACCAAGAGAGAGTGGATCTGATGTCAACCCTGAGGTTGAAATCACATGGTGCGCCTCTCTTTAACACGCACTCCCAGTCAGATATGAGGGAGAGAAGCACCATCATCGAGCCACCCGTGCCATGGTCCGAAAGTGATTTGTTTAACATCGAACACGAGGGGCGTGCGACAACACGCGTGATAGCATGAATTGAATTGAATCTATTTACACTACTCGTCGCTCCCAGCGTCCTCGTCCTGCGTGGCACGACGTACTGGAGAAAATTCGTCCAAAAAGTCTTGCACATAATCCAGAGTCTCCGGTGCGAAAACCATCAAAATTTCCCTCAATGCGTTCTCATTTGCCTCGTAGCGCCGCGCAGGGATAGGAATCCCATTCTCCTGTGGTAGATGGGTGCAAAGATGTGCCAGCAATGAAGTGAACATCTTGCTCCTCGGTCTCTTCTGGCTCTTGTCCACTACATCCCATGTCGGTTCAAGAAAAACGGCGGCGCCAAACTAGTCGAGGTCAGCTTTTAGCATTTAGGTATGAAAAAAGGGACTTGCATAGTCATAGAGGATCGCAAGTGGGCGGCGCATCTCCATCTTTCGCTGATGTTTCTTCCTATGAGCGTCCAGTCTGGTCTTGTACGCCTTTTTCGCTCTGTTGATTTCTGGTTCGTCGCCTGCTTCAAGTGCTTCATTGAGGGTGCGTACGACTACTGGATTTTCGTTCCGAAAGGTGTCCTTTAGATAGTCGATTTTCCATTTGCGTTCTCCTGGTCGGTCGTCATCTGGTTCAGCGTCCCAAATTTTGACGTAGCGAATGGTTTCGATGCCGCGAATGACAAAGTCGATGTACATTTCGCTGCACCCTACGCAGATCTGGGCATCGAGGAACTGCGGGAACGTTATTAGGTGGTTGGAGATGACAATGATTGCCTACCTTGTCGATGGCTACAATACGCTCAACCTCTGTGTCAAGTGTACGCATTCCCTGAGTTTTCTTACAAACTTCACCCCATTTGTTGCGTGTCTCTATCATGGATGAGAGGACGACGGTCTTGAAGGGAGTATGAGCAAGAGAAAGGCGAGGGTAAGAGGTGACATACCCAGTTGTGAGTGGTGTCACTATATCCCCGGAAGAGAGTCTCGAACGCATCATCCTCTGCTGTAGCATAATTGCCGTTATCGGGGGTTGTGAGCCTGTGCTTGAAGTTTTGCGCTGTGAGTGGCGGGAAAGTTTTCGCATCGAATTTGGGGAGGAGCGATTGAAAACGAGCGATGACAGGATCTACAGTAGCAGCCTGAGGTGTAGCAGCGGGGCTACTGGGCTGAGGAGTGGGGGTGGGTTGGCGACGAGAGAGGATGTTCATGGCCGTCATCTGGCTCATGCGTTCGAGAATTTCTTTGACGAGATCATCGCGTTTTTTCACGGTTCCAGGAGTGGCGGCTGGATCTATTTCCATGAGGTCTTTGAGAGCGTCCTCGAGCTGCTGGAGACGGGATCGGATTCGAGCGCCTGGGGAGAGAGGTGTTGGGTCCATGGGATTAAGCCTCGGAGTGAGTCACATGCCGACTGGTAGTGGCTGGCTGGCTGCCAGCGACGTAGTCTGAGTTGTCAAAGAAGCAGTGGTCAGAATCACATGAAGACAAGACCGAGGCTTAAACCAAGGGGGACGGAACGTGCCCTTGACCCTCGTTGACCTCTTACTACCACGTACGCTCTTCTTTCTTTCTAGCAGTGTGCTGCTACTCGCTTTCAGATATGACGAAAAGAAGGAGGGTTGACTCGGATGCTGGTCAAACAGACGAAGCAGCGTGCTCTGTCGATGAAGCAGCCAAGACGGTGGCTGCCCGCCTTGTCTCTGAGATTCTTGAAAGGTACTCCGAGAACGAGAAGAAGCTCGATTGCGCAGGGAATGGAAAGCATTCTGCGAGGTATATTCAACTCCTTTCGCGTCGTTTCATCAACTGACATCCACCAGGCGACGGATTCGGTGCTTCCGTCCACAGCATCCAATGCAACCCCGGTGGATTCCAAGGTATGTTGTCCTTTCGCGTCGTTTCATCAACTGACATCCACCAGGTGACGGATTCAGTACTCCCGCCCGCAGCATGCAATGCGACCCCGGTGGATTCCAAGGTGCGTTCTCCTTTTTCAGTGCATTCATCCACCAACATCCACCAGGCAGCATAACGCGTCTTTATCCATGCTCGTAGATAGTTACCAATAGAATCGGGTGATGCACGGGTCGGATGTATAGTACAAAAACTGTTCCACGGCCAGAGCAAGTTAGCGACATTCAGATGACCGAAGTATGTAAGCGTTTTCTGTCGCTGACAGTGGTTGTAGTTGGGCGTATTCATGGATCGAGTTTGGGATCCGAGGGATGCAATGGAGGTTATGCTGATCTTGTTGAGCGCGTTTGTAAAGTCGAACACAGCGCCGGCGAAGAGGGCGGAGAGCACAGTTTCATTCGAGCAGGCGCGCTCATGGTGTTGGCAACAGAAAAGGTTGTCACTTGTGTCACGGCGTATCCATCACACGACTAAGGAACAATAATTGTATCATATTGACGAGCAAATTATATTTGGCTCCTGCTCTCTCTCGGAACGCGAGCCAAGAACATTGCACGAGCTGCAGTTTTGTCCTCTCTTTCGCACCCAAAAAGACTATAGCACCCTACTAAGACATTAGGGATGGCCGAAGTAAGTTACCGTGTCATTCTACGCAGAGCAAGTTATCGACATTGCAGATGGCCCAAGTAAGAAGTAAGTTAACATTTTGTCGAGTAGCGGAGCATAAATCGACTAAATGTCCGAGATTACTCATGCCCAGTTTCCTCCAACTTTGTTATCGGGCGTCAATTTCCCCCCATTGCAGGAAACTGCAACAGCGGCCGCGAGAATTCTGCCAATAAAGATGAATGCTTCTATTACCCTTCCCTCCTGGTGCCTTATATTTTTCGTTCGTTCCTTTTAATGTCGTGAGAGCCGCCGATTGATTTATCTTCATCCGTTTTCGCCGCGTATTTCCGCGGTGTGTAATTCAGCCTTTGTACTTACCACGTCTGGCCGAACCATCGTTGATCCAGATTCCATCCGTTTCCATCGCTTTCGACGACCAAAATCGGCATGCTCAACTTCATACCGACGAACACACGCTCGCTGGTCGGAGTCTTCTGGGCTATGGCTTCAACGATATTCCTGTATACTTTAAGCGCTACTTGGGTCTGGCTTCGATATCGGGACGCGGGTCAGCACCTATTAAGCCGATGTCTATTCTACTCCGGGTTTCTCGTAAGATTCTTTATCCGCTCTGACGTCTTTTGTTTCACCAAGGTTAAATGGCTATTGGTGGAAATGAATCATTACAAAAAGTGACAAATCGAATTCACGAGTAGCAAAAAATAGAAACCACCGGGACCGGTCGGTGGTGACTCGGGTCATGAGGGTGTATATAAATGTGAACCCTGGGCTTGGTTTTAGTTCTGTCGTCGTTCTAGCCATCTGGCAGCTACCAGCAGTTACCTCCCCTCTTCCCATTCTGCGAAGCTGAGTTATAGTCATGCCTGGTTCGTCGTGCATTACTCTTACGCTGTAGTGTGTATTGACGCACTACATAGAGAAGACAGAATACGTCCAGTCCCCTTTTAAGGCTTTCGTCACCTCCCCAAGACGCATGCTCTATGCCGTGGCGTTCTTCCTCGTCTTTGCCTTGAGTTCGTAGCCTATCCCTCGCTGTATTCACTATTCCTGATACTCAACGTCTTCTATCACACCAGACACTTCACAACTCGGTCTCGTCTCGCAGCAGCTTCACAATGGCGGAAACGATTACGCCAACTACCCCGGCATGGAGTACAAGCATGATCTCGGCTTGCTTCTCTTCAGCTGTGTCTTCACCTACTTATACCTGATTGGACATCTATATGCCCCTGGTCTCGGTTGTACGTCCTTTGGCATGTTTTCTAACGCAGTTTTAACATCCACGACAGTAATCACATTTTTCACCTTTGTCGGCGCTGTGTTCTGGGGAACCGGCGCAGGTGTTATGTTTCAAGTCAGCCCCTTCCGGTCCTTCAACTGTGGAAACCCCGCGGACTCGTTCTCACCAAACTGGGCGAGGTTCATCGATCAGTGTTCAAGGATCGTGGCTATCCAGGGTATCGCATGGGCGCTCTGTGAGTATTATTAACTGTTACCGGGCAAAGCACTTATGTTGAACTTCCAGGGGGCTTGTTTGTCTTCCTCTTCTTCGGAATGCTTATCCACAAGCTAGAAATCAGGGCTAGGCCCAACGTGACGTTCTACGGGCCGTAGATATTGCCAGTCGCGAGGGAACCTAACATAAATAACTGTAAAGTTCAACTCTTGTTCAGCGATGTTTAATGATTCATGCATATCATGACCTATCTTACTTCAATCTTGTTGCTAGTAGAAAAAAAAATTGTTAGCCACATAACACTTCAATAGGTTTAGCCTGGTCCCTAAGAGTTGTCATTGATGAGGACCAAGGGCACCCCCGGTAGGACACAATAACCGGCAGCAAAGAAAGGATCTGAGTGGTTGATTGTAGTACCGATACCTTCTACACTGCGATTAGTCTTACGCAAGGCCTTTCTCCACGTCGGGAGATGTCGGGACGCCGCTGCACAGATATTGTGAGTGCCTAAAAAGGCAGATGACGCTTTCTTCCGGCACGTTGACACCCGAGAAACGACGACATCAAGTACCAAATTAAATACCGGCCTATCCCTCCCTTCAGCCACTGAATTCACCGTTAACATGGCCAGTGCAAAAATTGCTACATTGTTAATCCGAGTAAGTATTGGACGCATTCTTTTTCGATATTAAAACTTATTTCTTCGCGGAGAGACTATCGCGAAACCAATAAGTGCTACCCTCAAGGAGCAAGCTAAACGGTCCTCTTTATGTTCATCTTGCCTTATTGGATAGGTTTACCTATTCTTTTCGCTAGGCATGACCGGTTTCGAACATTCTGTGTCTCATTGGCCCAGGGAATGTACCGTGCCGAAGTGAGGCTGAGGACTGGAATGTTGGGAGAACCTGCGAAACATATACGCCCACTTTCCGAACAAAAGTGCGTCCTACTCTTTGCTTTTTTTTTTTTTTTTTTGATTTCTTACATGTCTAACTCATTGTACAGAGCTATAGACAATGGAGCCAATGCGTTAGCAGAAGGATTTTTATTCAGTGTAGCAGCGCTCTTGATCATAGGAGAAACATGGCGGTCATCTCGAAGTCAATCCAAGCGTAGAGATGACGTGGATGACAAGCTAGATGAGCTGGGAACACAGGTCACAGAGATGAAAACACGAATAAACGTACTCACAGATCAGCTGGAGCAGAGGGACCTGGAACAACAGCTAAGGTGCGTTTATCACCATGTCGTTCCTATGCCCGTTCACGTAGCTTACCATCGATACAGAAATGACGAGCTCACGCGAATATTGGAGCGTGTAGTCGAAATTGGACTTCGAGGTGGATGGGCCGAATTTGAGGATACGCCCCTTCAGTTTCCTCGCATATCTCTTGCGCCGACTGCTTCTTCTGTCTCTCATTCCCCCCTACCCCCCGACGATACCCGAATAGACGTAAATACCCCAGACAAAGATTCGAAATCCTCAAATAATAAGCCCCCCTCTTCATAATATTCACATGTATAGAAATCTAATGCTGCTTCGCTCCAAATGACTCGGAATGACTCCGAATATTCTTCACACCGAAGCAAATGCAAGAAACTCGCAAATATATGTCCGAGATACATGCATGTTAGGACCGTAGATGGGACATATTGGATTAAATTTTAGGATGTCGGTAAAGAAGAAAATGGATTGGAATAGCAGTACAACAGGCAGAGTAACTCTACAAGTAGGGTAGCCAATATGGTATCAAGTACAATGTCCCATGAAGTTAGACAGCAATGCAGTAGAATGAAAAGAAAACATCACATTACACAGCACCCTTCTTGGAAAGGACATAATTTATCCAGCCAAGACCACGAACGCTCCTCGCCGCCCGTATCGCGCGTCGATATCGGACCTCCCGTCCGACGAATCTCGATAATGTACTCCCTGTCTTCCTCTCCCTCCTGCGGTGTATCATACCACCACCGGAGCAGTTGCCCTTCGACAGTCCACCGCCCCGAACTCACCGTTACCTCTATATCCACAAGGTTCTTCTCTGACAGAGTATGCAACAGTTCCTCCCCTCCCGTCAACGTCTGACTCGACCGTGAATCTGTCAGGTTCGACGCTGATGGAACACGAGACACGGAAGAGCCCGTGTCTACCGAACGATCTGACGCGTCATCACTAAGCAGCCGGGAGTGTGCGTAATGCACTAGAGGAACGAATATCTCCGTCGCTGGTGATTCTTCATCCACACCGCCAGCCTTGAGCTTGTCTTCGGCGCGCACGGTTACGACGAGCTTGAAATGCGCCTTCCGTAGGTCAAACGCGATGTCTTTAGGTAGGCCAACAACTTTATGGGGCCAGGGTCGGTTAAATGCCCGATCTGCCCTAGCCCCGTCCGTTAGAAACTGGTAAGGATTGTCCCGCCATCGCATCATGTAGAGCTCATGTCGTTGCTGCGCCCTCAGCTCGTCAAAGCTCGTAACATCTCCCATCCCTAGCGTAGCCAAAGAAAATGTCGATGCAGCCCACGCCGCTCGAACATCGATACCTTCGCCCGACATCTTCCGCTTCAATAAACCGGCTTGCGATTCCGTGCCCTTGAAGGGGTATTCGCAGTAGTCATCCTCCTCCTTCCCCCTCCGCACGCCCAAATCATCTGAGCTCCATAGACTCAGATCTTCCATATTCCACCCGTCGCCCCAGTCGTGACAGCTATCGGGACAATATGTCCATACTGTCCAATTGATCGCGTTAGCGCCATCAGCGCCATTGAGACTAGCGTCCAGGGCCCGTTCTTGTCGACTGTAGTCGCCCTTGTGCTTTCCGTTGTCCGTCCAACCGTAACTCCGTTTGTTGTCCATGTCGAAAGGAGTACCTATCTCACCAAGAATAGTTGGATATGGTCCAAGGGTAAGTGCATCTGCTTTATACATGGAGAGTTGTTCTTGCAGCGATTTCCGTATAGCGGTTTCCCCGACTTTGACAGCCTGTAGTGGAGAGGAATACTTTCCCCTCAATACTCCTAGCGCATCGGCATTAAACCAATTCCAGTGTCGTGTTATAAGTGTAAGCCCGTCGTAATAGTGGGGGGAGTATGCGGCACGACCTTTGAGTACGCTCTCGTCGATGGGTGGCGGTGGTGCAAATACGGGGGGCTGGGCGAACATGATCGATTCCGGATGGGACTCCCTGATGCGAGAGGTAAATGCCTCGAAATGGGGCTGCCAGTAATCAGCAATGAACTCGACTTCGACTGGGGCCGCGTCCGCACACCGCGATGAAGGGACATATCGAAAGTAGTCGGGAAGAAGGATATATCCCGACTCTATATCCCACACACCGTGCTGCGCCCATACGCATGTTCCAAGCTGCCAGTCTTTGTGCCGCCGCCAGCCCCACTTTGGATGAATGCCTTCTTCGGACTCAGCGTCCGGATCTGACCACATTTTGTACCCCTTGGGATCAATGGTAACACTGCCATTCCGTGAGGGACCGAAGGCACCAAAGGACCAGTTATCTACCGTTTGGGCTTGGCCCATCCCAAGACAGAGAGACTGAGCGGGAGAGGGATGGGTGCCTTTACGGAGGGTAGATCCCTGCTGAGTAGGAGACACATTAAGGTCCTCCCAGCCGCAGAGGCCTTCGAAAGGCTCGTTCATGCTGTCCCAGCCAATGACGCATTCGTCCAATAGGTCGCCGGCATCCCTTATACGGTCGGCCATCTGGCCCATGGCCTCGGTAAAGTGCTCCTGCAGGTAGTCCTGAATATTTTGATCATCGATTATGCATTTGGGCGCAAAGTCACGGCCAGCGAAGAAAAGGGTGAATATGGTCTGGGATGCTAGGCGGCCGTAATTGGTTGACCATAGCATGGCAGGCATCGAGGCGGGGTCGGGATCATAAGGTGAAGGATATTCCGCGTGAACAATGGCAGCCTGGGTCGCGGTAAAGTGCCTTGGCTCGATGCCACATGCTGCAAGGGTCCAAATGGGAGCACCTGAACCGCCCGAAAAGCGTGACCACTGGTACTCGTGAGCAAAACGGTCGAGTCTGGAATAGGATACTCACGATATCCTGGTGTGGATCCATGTAGACTTTGAATCCGTAATCCTTACATTTTCGTAGCACTCGCACGGTGTAGTCCATGAATTCGTAGTCGTAGAGGCCCCTGGTGGTACAAAGGTGACGCGTAGTTCGAGCTGGACAGCGACGAGAATACTTACGGCCCTTCGTGTTCTAGTGCCTCCCATGTTACAGGGAAACGCAGCATATTGAAACCCCAGCCCTTGAGGCGAGCCAAATGAACATCGGCAGACCCGTCGTCGATGTTCAGCGGTCGTCCTATGAAGCTCTCGCCTCCTTCCTCCGCTATATCCCACATTCCCTCAAGGATATAGGATGGCTTGCCCACGGGTGCCTTTGAAGAGCCCGAAAGATTGACTCCTCGAAGTAGTAATGTTCGACCCGCATTGTCAACGAAATTGCAATCAGTAGTGTGAATATATGATGAAGAGGTGGTCTGGCCAGTTGCAGGAGATATTGAGGGGACTCTAGGCATTTTTCTATAAAGATAAAGAGGAAACGGAGCCCTCTCGTCGCTGTCGACGACGACGGTGAAAGGAGAAAGAGAAAGATGATTACAGAATAATGACGCTCCAATATCAAGTCGTACCATAGGGTAAATCCTAATGCGGATATTCCAAATGGGGAGATCAAGGGCGATGCGCCGATGCCGGCATATCACTCTTCACCCTTCTCGACGACGTCTCGGCGCTGGCCTCACGAATTCTAGCGTAGTTTTTTTCCAAAAGATAATCAGATACGTGCCAATCTCGTATTTTATCTCTTGGCCTACACCACCGTGGCTATATATCTTTTACTGGGCCTTCTTGCAGCCCATCGCACCGCGGCCCATCTGATATCAAAGGCCCGAATTGTTCGTTACTAACAAATATTTTACAATGGGTGCTAAATACGAAGGGCCGGTAGAACCATCCCCGTAACTATGTTGATTCGCCTCAAGTCCTTTTTCGCCAGCCCATAGATTCTGGTCTCTCTTAACACGGAATTTCAATTCGAATTCAATGTTCCGTTGTCGGTTCCATGGACAGGTTCATGTCGTTGTCGATCATGATCCAAGTTTTAGTTCACTCCGAATCGGAATGTTGAACAGTGCCCCAAGTCCTAGTCGGGGAAGTAAAGATAGTACAAGTAAATGTTCACCAGACTCGTGTACTGTACGCGAAAAGTATAGATGAAGCAGATATCTACTTTACGCTTCTTCTGGGGTGCTTCGCCAGAATCGCCACTCCACTTGTGCTACCCCCTTTCCCCTCTGCTTCTATCTGCTTCTAGATACCATTTCGGAGGAAGCAGCACCGTAGGACTTGTGTCTGCTAAGCTGTCTGATCTGTGTAAATAGCATTGACATTTCCGACTACAGATCCTGGCGATCCTACATGGTTATGGCTTGCACTGCGCTGAACTGAGCATGGCACATTGTCAGTATGTTATTCCATTATCCTAGACTAGCAATGGTTGAAAGATTACAACAGAGCGCTACAAAACGTTGACTCCGATTATAGTTTGGAATGAATGAACACCCTGATGTTTAGTGCCGTGATGGAGGCACGCGGCTGGCTTATTCACGTTGGCGGTGATTGCCATTTTTGGAGGAAGGGCATTTGCCGTCGGCTTTTTGCTTGCCGGCGGCACGTGGCTGCATGAGCGAGTCTTGATAAGACTCTTTGCTCTTTGAAATTCTCTACTATCTTCGACCTGGTAGTCTGCCTCCTGCCCTTGCTCGACTATTGAACACTCTCGCGCCCAAGGTGATGCCATCGAAAGAATACCCATTACAAAGCTATTACAAAGCACATCAGTTCAACCTCACCAGAGCTTGGCACTACTAGGTAATTTTGGACCTTGGTGACCAAAGTTGTTCAATGATGCTGTTGTTGTTGTTGTAATGCTCCACCTGATTCGTCATTATAGTCACACAACTGTCGGAAAAATTGCAGGCCCGAAACTTTCACTATCAACCCACCATGACCGAAATACTCCGCGTGGGGGATTCGACCGCAATTAGCATAATAAGCGACGTCCAACCTGAGGCTGACATCCGTTCCGTCAGTTCCGCTGAACATGAAAGCGACCTCCCGGGCTTCCTTTCCCAACGTTCAGAACATGAAAGTGTTCAACCCGAAACAAATTGACATCCTGGGCCTTATCAGACATCGATGCCCGCTAATGATAATTCTTAATGGCCTTTCTTTTCTGGATTCATGACAGCTAAGCGTCTCTGGCGTACTTTCTACTGGTCGCATGGCATCTGCTCCCGAAGCACTTTTTGTCGGTCGGGACGCCCTCTGTCTAACAGGAATACCGTTATAATGATAAGATTCTTCAAGTTTACCCTCTGGTTTTATTTTTATTTTCAGTTCGATCTGAAGTTAACAGCTTCTCGGTGGATCGCATGTGCTCAGACCACATGTACTATTCCCAACCGGCATTATTTATCCCCTTTCTCTCTCTCTGACACTTCGCCGCATCGTTCTACTCTCACTCGAGTACGAAACAAGATGTTCGCCTTCCCAATTTTTTATCTACTCTACCCAACCGCCCCTATCTTAGCCCTGCGTTTCAACAATAGATCATACGCGAACACCAAAACACGATGCTTTTACCGCGCAGTCCAACGGAGCAACTGTTGATGATCTGCAGCTCAAGTGAAGACGAGACGTTTCGTATCAGGGTACGGTCGGCGCTGATCATCCTCAACTACGCCCCGACCGCGAATCGCATGGGTAATTGTTTGTCACCACGCGTGAATGTCGTCTAACTGAGAGCTCTTATAGGACATCGAGGATGATCCTGCTGTCCGAGCCCCCCGCTAATAACAGGTCGGGCTGCAAGTTGGCCTGGACAGCGAATTTTGATATTGCGCCCTTAGATCACCCACCTCCTGTAACAACGATTACGTTCGACAGAGGTCCCGGAAAGTCACTTTCAGCCGAAATGATTCCAACCTCGATACTCCTGTAATTTCCAGCTGCTTCGAAGCAAGACACTTCAACTCCCAAAGTTTAGATGCAAAATGGTGTATATAAGACGGTGAGTGGCGCAAAAAGGTCTTTCTCTTCGACGATATTGGACCATCATTCAAGTGCTTCCTGCAGTATCTCTCCGACGCCCCCGAGCTCATTTTCGAGACGCGTGGCTTTGTTTATATCCGTCGGACATCTGCAATCAATTGATTGTAGATACCCGGCTCTCGCTCCGAGCGTTTTGCAGAACGTGTGCGCTTGCCTTCTTATGGCGGGATCTCCGCTGTTCAGAATTCTTCATGAGTCGGCGACTCCACGAGTCTTTTCCTTTTGTCCTTTGTTCGTTCGATTGTCCCTGTTACAAGATAGGCGAGTTGATATCACGTTTGATCCCAGAAAAGACGGAAAAGAACCGCAGCATCCCACACGGAACCATAGAGGAGAGTAGAATAAGTACGACCTGTTAGTTCTCTGCTTTTCCGAAGACGTTCACCTCACGGACGTGACTATTACAGACCCTCGATCCGAATTTCGTAGGTTAAAAAATGTGTTTACCTCCGTGCCTCAAACGTATCAGAGACATTGGACATGAGACTGCTAGCTCTTTGGCGTCGGTGAACGTCACGCACGTGAGTCTCTCTTCTTGTCTTTTTCCTTGCTGTTACGTATCTTCACCAGATCGAAACATCTCTCTGCGGAAATTCTAGCCACTACAAGCCTATATTTCAAAGAGTCGAGAACTCTTTCGCGGAATGTGCTAAAGTTACAATCACATTCATCAAAGACAGTACCAAGGGAGAAATTGTCATACAAAACAGAACCTCACAATACTTTTACGTCTGGGAGTATGACAACGGAACAAGTTCGCCCCAAGAAGAAAGTGCGAAGGGATGAGATGTACCAGACAACGCGCGCTGCACTCATAGTTATCCAGTGCTGTGGCGAATTTCAGGTGCATTATCCAATGAATGTCTTCACTAAGCTGACTTTGGGTCTATGGACAGTGCGAGACCTGCATTGCCCGTCCGATGGGTCTTGAATGCGGCGAGCCCTGGGTCTGTACTTTTTACTAGTCGTTCAACGATTGATAAGGCTGATGACATTCGATAGTTGAGCATCGAAACGATGGGCCATGCGCACCAAAGCAAGAGACTAACGACGCTCAAGTCCCTTCACCGTGGCCCTGATATGATAGAATTTATTTCTAAGGGCATATTATCTGAATACCCAGGTGTAAACTTGATTCAGGTTCTGAAAAGGGACGATATCATTTCTGGGGGCTCTGATCCTATCATCAAACTAGGATTGGACGAGACGGAAAGGGATATTCGAATTCACTATGTAAGGAAGGCATCACCCTTCGGTCGTTGAAGCCTTGGCTGATGATTTGATAGAGTAACTGCAACGAATATTCAACCTGAGCTGTTCACATGCCCGACTCACACTTCACGGACTGGCGTTCTTCGCAGCCACAGCAGTTTACAGAGGACTTGTCGGTGCTAACACGCAGGCAATTCGTGCTTGAGTCTCTTTAATGGCATATTCTTATCTCTTTCGCAGGACCCATCGGACGACTCGATTGAGAGGATAAGGCATGCCAGGTTGTTGGGTGTGCGTAAGATAAGTGTAGGTGTCTGGACAGCTGAAGTCGAGTTTGTAGCTTGAACTTCTTACTAGTCAGTTGTCACCGACTTGATGAGAAACTACGAAGGTAGTACGGATACGACTGTAACAATAAGTACGTACAAAAGATATCGTCCATGGTAGAGTACAGCTGATGCCTCATGCTCAATGATCCTGAAACTTATTTGTGTCTGCCAACGTTCTCGCTATTCGAATCCAGCAATGAATGGCTGAGGAAAATGTGACAACAACAAAGGCTTACACAAAACGACCAGCAAAATTCCCGGGTGGAGAATACCTGCAAACGACATACTTCGATGGTTGTTGAAAGATAGTTCCGCCTTTGCAATTAGCTATAGCACATGCTACCTGCTTGCTACTCTTCCAAACAACCTGTAATATTTGAATCAGAGTCCTGGACGATGTCGTCAGCAAGGAATGGATTATACCTGAGTGAAGTGACCAGTAGCACTGGAAAAGCCGGGATGATTATCTGCCCTCATCGGTGAGATGTGTCGAGTAAGTAGTTATAAGGAAAACGTACAGTCATATTTAGCTGAATCCTTTATTAGCAGGGTATACCGGAAAAGCCACGACGTACTTACAAGCTTCGTCCATCCAACTCTTGAGGCCATTGGAGAACCCATAAGAACTCCCGGTCCCGGCAGCCTATGGGAAGCGATGGGTACCGACTTAGATATTTCATAATCGGTTACCACCCACCAAGTTCTCTCCGTATTTCCCTTGTCCGTTACTGGGAATGGGCAATGAATGAATTTAGGAATAAGGATTCTAACAATGAGTTCGCGTACCTGTGTTGGAACTTGCACTGACTAGCCCACTGAGATGTAGCTGGGTATAGGGCATCGCTCCACGTAAGGGGCGCGGCACCATATTGAGCCCTATATACGTTGTGCTGCCTCACGACGGACGTTTTCCAGTCTTCGAGGATGGCATCATCGACAGAATCTCCATCCACATCGAAGTCGAACTCTCCGTCAAACGAGAGCGGCTCGAAGACGACCTGGCCGGACACTGGGAGGTAAGACTCGGGATCGACATCAACATCGAGGGCTTCCCAGTCCCTTGGAAGCGTAGACGCAGAGGCGAGAACTGCGAGGGTGACAGTGGCAATAAGCGATACTTGAAATTTCATGTTTATAGGATTCGTTGAGAAACAGAAGAATACAGCAAGTCTACCATATTGACCTATATATGTGTAAAGCCGTCACAGCCCACTGAACCGTAATCCCTCAGCTGTATCCAAGGTAGCGACCTGCTGATAGTTTGAGCAATAAGAAATGAAACGGTTCTTGTCTTCTGCGTGAAATGAATGTGGGCGCGTCCTTGGCATGAGTAGGTGGTGTAGATCACGAGGGATCGCTAGTACATTCAAATTTCCTGGATTCGCGGAGGACATATTCACATTAGACTAAAATGAGATGAAAGTAGACGGTTTTGAACAAGCATGTTACGTGACCGGGATCACATACAGAGGGGGCGAGTCGAAACAGAGTCATTTGAGGCTGGTGACTGGGTATGAGGTAATATAGAACCATGACCGTCGAGTCTTGCACTGCTTACATGTGCAGCCGGTAAGAGCCCTGGTTAAATATGAACACCACATGGAAAACTTTGAAGCACGTCGTTGAGAGGTAGTAAATAGTAAGGCAAGAAAACGATGGTGGAAGTTGAAAAGTTCGAACACTTCTTGCCAAGGCGATCACTGCCGCTTCGCATACGTGTTCAAGATACGTCAGAGATGTAAGTTACTATATGCTCCGAACCGTGACCGGCGTTCATACCGCTGATGATTATCGCGTAATATAGTAGCCCAGCCTATTTGATCATTTGCAGTATTAGGTAAAGGATGGATGAAATTATCTCGTTGACATTACGGTTCACCGTGTATATATATGCTTTCTATAGTGGTATGCCACCAAGTACATTAGTTGACGCTACGATAAGAATCATGAATAAGGGACACTACGTATACTTCGGCAGTGATAAGCAAGAAGCGATAATCATCAACTTGAGATATGGGGTATCAGGAGACGTGTCAATAATGGGATATGCGTAGTCGATTGAAGTGTCGTTAAGAGGCATCAAAGGTGCTCATCATGCGCTATACGGTGTCGAAGTGACGCCGACATTCATTTCTGCATTAGAAGTAGGAGATGGCATGGCTATGAGGACCGAAACACGGTAGGCGTCTTGGATTGTTTCCTTTTCGTTGATAGAAAGACGTGAAGCAAGACTATCGCAAGAAGCCACGGTGCTGTTTGAAGTACTGGACAGCGGCCGCGGTTCAGTCTTCTTGAAGAAAAATCGTCTAATCCGCGGAGGTGGCGGTGTTGGAGCGGAAACGGGTAGGGGCAGTTTTTCGATAGATAAAGGCTAGGGAGGAATTGAGCATCACATGTAAACTGCATTGTGGGGCAACTCACTCGAATGTTGTTCCATGAGAGCGTTGATGATGGAGTATCCAGCCATATCTCATGGCATTGAGGCTTTTCATTAGGTGCTCGGGTCGCAAACGAATAAGTGATGCCACTGTCATCCTCGAATCTTCTTCGCCGGCGCGTCCTGACGATATAAAATAGCGTGAACCATAGCCCGAAGACGACAATTGCAGCAAGAAGGCCAAAGACGATGTAACTGTAAGGTATGAATTATGCCAAGTTATGCGGTATACTTGAATAAAGCCGGCGAAGACATACACGAATGATTTCCCCTGCAGCGTTTGTAACTGCACAACAGGAGATGCCTGTTCCGTGCTCGACATCGAAGGACTGGATTAGCAAGCGCGAGGTCCAATCCTCGGGCTTTAAGGCTGGCATCATCTTAACCTCCCATTCAGGGAACAACGAGTTACCGACGCAGACCTGATAATGAAGGTCGATCAGCGGCGGAAGATATACCGGCCGCAGACACGATCCAAGTCAGAACATATATTTGCCGCTGTCGGTGGAACAACCTAGAGAGTACACTGTGGTGAGTCTTAAATTCATCATATACCCGAGTCCGAAGCTATGAACTGCTGAACACTCTAGAGCTAAGTGGCTGCACTCGGAACTATAGACCACAAGCAGAACTCGAAGAACGACAAGCAGAACGTAGGCAGTAAGCAGAGGAAAACTACAACAACCATTTCTCCTGGAATGTGGCGACGTATTTTCATGATCGAGAGGTAACGCCAGGATCTCAAGAGCGGCAATCGACGTCGACTTGCTCGGGTTTGGAGGCCTCGGCAATGCAATCAGCTGCCATTAACAGTATGAGACTAAAAAACAGCCCCGGGTAGCGCTCTCGAGGCGGATGGACTGATGCTTCGGAACAACCGCAGACAAGTCCGCTGCATGCTAGATTTTGACATCTAAGCAGTTGAAATGGTATCCTGTTGTTTCGCAGGTCCAGTTCGTTGGTCAAAGCGCTTGAGCAATATTGTTCAGTCACTGGCTGAAGAACGCTGCTTATATTACATTACTACTAAGTCTATAAACACGATTAGATCGTTATTGTGATATGGAAAAACGCTCCGAAGACTAGCCTTTTTTATGTTATAGGACTTTGACTAGTCGTCTACTAAGGTGCTTTCACAAGATGTGGATTGGACTTGACTATCGCCATTTTTATCTCCTCTGCTATGGCTTTGGCTACAAGTGGAGGTAGAGCATTTGCGACCTTGTCCAGATAAGTTACAGAGAAGACAACAGCAATCAAACAAGCTTACTTGGTTATACTGATCCTTAAGGGACCCGCTGAAATCCCATGAGTCCTATCGACACATAAGCGTTATCATCCATCAGAAATGCGACGGAAAGTGTCTAAAGGGAATGACAAGGCTCGTGCCATTTCCCGAACGGAAAGAAATCGCTGTGGATTGCCCGATGTTCTGGTCAGGGACGTTCCGCATCTCAGGTGTCATTACTCACTTGGGTGCCGGCATTTCCACTTTTCGGATGGCATAGTTAACAAGGCTAGGGTCTCGTCAGCGGACATAATTAAAGAAGCCATAGAAGAAAAATCTTATCAGGTAGAGGCTCGTTCCAATCCGCGATCGTACGAGAATCGTCCCATTTTGTGAAATCGGAGACGACACAACCAGTACAATGTCGGGCCACAGGCTGGAAACTGTCTACCGGATGGAAAACTACGCTCTGGAGGCCGGGACCGGTAGGTTTACAGATAGTGTTCTTCCAGTCGAGGTCACTGATAGCATTTTGAAGAGTCCGTGTTGATGGCTGACCAGTTCCGCCGTGAGTAGGCGACGGAAGCTTCGGCATAGGCTGAGCGGGAGCTGCGGCAATGAGAACCAATCTATTCCTCACGGTGGGGACTCCGAAATCTGTTGCTTTTAGCACGCCGTTTCTTTTCGAAAAATTTCACGATCTTTCCATCTAAGAACGACTATCCATGAGTCGGCCCCTGAATCTGCCGATGTATCCCACTCTACAGTCACTTTTGGCGCTTGACATTCGATCTTTAAAGAGGCTGAAGAAGGAGGGGTAGGCGGTATGACAAATGGCGTAGGCAAGCTATACAAAGCGCCCTCTTTCTTCCAACATACTTGGGCAACGTACTTCTTGCCATTTGGAATACGGACATTGAGAACGATTTTGTTAGAGTCCGCGAATAAGCGGAAACATGGCGCATCATCTACACCTTACCGTCAGTTTGAACATATTGTTATTGAAAATACATACCAGAATCGTCAGCGCGAGCTTCCACGGAAAGCATCGGTGCATCCATAGCCCGCGTCTCCTCGTTTTCTTTCTCGTCAATCGATTCCGAATTTGATCCTTGCCGTAGTTTAGCGCCCATCGAAAGATATTCCGCATGTTCCCGGTCATCAGCGTGGATGAAAACTTCAAACCCAGATAAATCATCGTCAGTTGACCAAGACAGAGTCATTTCGAGAGCCGCATCGTCCTCTGCATAATGGCTAGGTCTAATGGCCTCGAAGGTAATATTCCGTGGAAACGATCGCAGCGCAAGCTGGCGCCCCATTTCCATCTCCGTTTTGCGCATTGTAGATACGTTTGGGAGCTCTTGAGTCATCAAGTGAAGCACATAAAGTGCAGAGCAATCACAAACGGAAGCGGAAGGGTCGTCTGCCCAGAAACGCTTGACCTCTGAGGCTACCAACCCCTGCTCATCCTCCGACGATTCATCAAGGTGGACGTTGTCGTTATCCTTGTCGGGTTCCGCATCTTCCAAAGAGTCGGCCGCGTGCAAATGTCAATAACACATGATAAATCGAGGTTTGCGGTGGATGAAGACCGAGGATAGCGTCAAGTCGTGAAGAAGTACCTTGCCGTCATCCACAACAATCTCGACTCCCATATTAGCCGAAGCAGATTTAAAATAAAAACAGTCCCGGAAAGGTGCCATATCTGGGTCCATACGCAGAAATGCCTCTATCAGATGTGCGGTATACTTGAGCTGGGGAGAGTCTCCGTTATAGTATTTCGACGATAACAGACTCCGGAATCGTTTCATACGAGCCTGCTCTGGCGTTGTGATCACTTCGCATTTCAGTAGTGCCCGGCAAAACTCTCGAGGAAGCAAGAAAGGTTTCTTCTTAAGTACCTGCTCGATGATACGAACAGATTCTCCAGTATCCTCAGCGTGGTAAAAGAAGACGTCATTCCCCTTATCCTTTAGAAGTTGGTCCAAAAGGAGAAGTGCATCCTTCTTTTCGAGTTGCTCCGCTATATAGCGGGTCTCGATACAAGAATCGTGCTCGATCAACAGGTCGATATAGAGTTGTCGAGCCCGCTCCGAGCTTTCGAAAAGTGATCTCCAGATGTCGAATGCAGCATTGGAACATTCTTCGTTGTCTTGTAATCCAACGCGATCCCTGCTGATTTCTACGTCTTGCCAAATATCGATACCATAGTGCAAACCGACTGTGCGGTCGGCTCGCTTTTGTACAAATACCCCTTTTGCCTACAGAAGGGAAGATTTAACGGCTACTGCACAAAGACGAAACAAACTACATACGAAGATGTGATGTCGTAACCGCTCATCAAGTAGAATGGCGCCTACCCTGGGCCTTCCGCCAAGATCAATCTCCAAAACGTCAACTGCAGGTCGAAGGAACAAGAAGTGTTCAAATTTGACACTCTGTCGTGGAAACGCGATGATCTGAGTAAGAACGCCATGGACCTTTGGTAGTTTCGATTGTGTCTGATGAGCTTCCAAGAGATCATCGACGTAGAAAAAGTCCCATTGCTTTTTACCAGTGACATAGAACACTTGGGGCGGTTGGTCACGAGAGCCTTTTGTTTGGCGAATAATGGCATTGATACCCTAATAAGCCATGAAGATAGGCTATGGTATGAAATGAAAATGAGAACAATCACTGACCATCTTCATGCCGTCTCCGTGCTGCCCGATAAAATTGGACTCTCCAACCTTTGAGGAAAAACCAAACGTCATGCAGTCAAAATCCAATGGTTGTCCTCCATTGTACAACTCCAGATCGCATTTGCCATAAAATGATGGTTTGAAAACTGACCCATCCTAGAGGCAGGGATTCCTTCTTTCTGCCGCGTTTGGACGGCGACGAAGCGATAGGGAGCTTATGATGGAGCTCAAAAGTCAATTTCTGACCAAATGGAACCTGGTGAAGCCTCAGCGGAAAGCCACCCCAGTCTCCAGTCGGTGGAAAGATGGGTCGAGTTTCGATGTCCTTGGCGGTACATGCCGCGCAGCCAGGTTTGGCCCTAAGAGCGGCCAAACCACCATCAAACATATTTTGGATCAGCTCTCTTAGGCCCGCTGAACGAGGCCAAAAATTGTCTTGTCCATATCCTGGGGATATGTTCAAGTCCTTCCGATTTTTCATCTGTGCAACGCCGCCCTGGCTCAGCACATAATCCGGGTGCCAGGGACCGGCCTTAGGCAAAGTAGGGCGCTGGTGGCTGGATTTCGATGAGCCGACAGAAAGCCCATTTAGACCTTTGCGTGATTTGGGTGGCTTCTGGCCACCCTCTGAGTAGTCATCATCAGAATCATTCTCGGCATCTTCTGGATCGTCCTCGTATTCATCTTCCTTCCGTTCCTTTGCACGTCGAGCAATTGGGTACACAGGTCGCGCGGCTGAGCCATTTGATGAACAAGGAACGGAAAGTGATGAAACCGGGATCATAGTCTGGGACCGGGGTGAAATTTTAGGAAATGAAATTCAACGATCTAAACGGCACGTGCTGGTTTTGATGTCTATGTTTGGTAATCACCTCCGTGAACAATTTCGAATCATTGCCATTGGCCTATTTGGTGTAACACTACTATCGACGTCGACTCGCTCGGGTTCGGGAATCCTCGGCACTGCAATTAGCTACCATTAACAGTATGAGACTAAAAACAGTAAGTACTTGGTTTTTTTTTCCAAGGTGGTTGGAACGCCACACTTGGGCGCACGCCGTGATAAGTAACATGTGCATCCTAGACCCTTTCGACCTCCTCCCTCCGATTTTCCAGTGGTAATTAACGGGCCGTGTGCAGCTGGATCGACAGCAATTACTTATGTTGAAGGCAGGATCTATCGAGGGTTTATTTTACCCCGACCACACCTAGGACGTCCTCTTCCGTTACGGGATCAGTCCTTTACCTGTATCGGATGATTTGCAGGAACAATCAACTGTCTTTGTTCTTTTCGAAATACTGGCATACCACATCAAATTCGATTAACATCCTTTGTGCCTCCGACCCTTTGTTCTTCTTTTCCCCCAGGACACAGAACCAGGTCCTACCGTAATTCTGTCTTATTACCTCCCACTGATTCCTTCAAACTTCAGTTCTTTACCACTATATTCCATTGCCTGTCTGATACTCGATATCTTACTCTTGGCGAAAATGAATCCAACCTCCTCCTTCAAGGACCCTCGTCATTCGGTACGATATGTTTTGCTTCATGTCATGGTGTCTGACCTCCCCACCATAGATCTCTTTCCTTCTTTCGCGTCCTGACAGTCCCTCCACTCAAGAAGGGAAGCCCTCACGGTCTACAAGCTCTCTTAGTTGGACTTCAACTGCGACTGCGATAGTAAACCAACTCTCCATCGGCAATTTTTTTGGGCTGATATATTTTTCAGGAAGATGTGTTGTCTCCGTTCCTCAGCTCCCGTTCCACAACAGTCGAGCCGTCCTCACAAATGGCCTGGTATGATAAGGTATAACATTTCTTTGTCGTTTGCTACCAGTGGCATGAATTTTACACCAGGACGTCTTTGCCTTGCCACTTCCAGACTCCGGTGTATTGACCCCACGGACCAGATGGCTTAGTCCACCCACCATCAGTGGACCTTCGGACGTTCGTGGCCACAGCCGTCCTATAACTCCCTTGAAGCCGGCCCCTCAACAGCGCAGTAAGGGAAAGGCCCGGGCGACTCTAACGCCTCTATTGACCCGGCGCCACGGAGGGCATTTCCTTGTAAGTCACAGCTTATCTTATGTCTCTTGTTTCTCACCCGCCCCCATCACTATCAAGTGTCAACCTTGCCTACCCGACTCGATCTTGCGAAGCCACGAACCATGGGTGAGTACGCCGACATTTCTTCCTAACATGGCCGTTCTGATCTCCTACTTGTTAGTGGGCCCTCCAGCCAGATAATCCCTGGGACGTCACCTATGTGAACTACGAGTCAGCGCTCACAACCTATGGCGCTTACATGTTACAGAGAATCGAACTCATCCCAACCAGACCAAACACACAGGTTCCGGGCATCAGTATCTTGAACATACTGCAGGAAGACGACGCCATCCTTGACGGTGATAAAGCCATCGACATCGATAGCGCTGTGGTGGAGCTTCGATACGTTTGTCTTCCTGTTACTTTGTACAAGACTGCGGCTCACAGCAATGAACAGAAAGGTCGGAAAGAAAAGGTTCAGCTGCGCTGTTGCCATTCATCAATCACAACCCATGGGTTGGCGTACTTGATGTCCACTCATATCTATCATCACTTGGAAGCGCAGTCGAACGCTCCGAGTAACCTCTACAGCATTGGAAATGTCCTCAACGCACGTTTGGTGTCTATCTACAGTATGGAGCCTGGTATCTGGGTTCCGGAGATCGCTTTCGTACTATGAAGTTCAATGGCCTTATGATAATGTTAGTTCCCAGCAGGGAATTATTTACGTGAGGAATTGGATATCGCCATCACTTGTCCAATATCATTCTCAGAGCACATCGGGGTTTGTTTCTCCTGTGGGCTTGTGTTAAATGAAGTAGGTTCCATCTTTGGTAAACGCGACATGGGGCTAACTACGAAATACTATCCCAGGCTGAGGTCGTGTACTCTAGATGCTCGGCGGTATGATAACCTTGAGGAGCTGACAGTCATTCATTCGCTGCCGCGCTGGGTTCCCACGACCCCTTACATGCCAAACAAACGCATCTTCCTGGTCTTCCGCCTCCTTGTTTAGACGGCGACCCCACTCACTGTTACACGCTTCAGTATAACATTCAGTTCAGCCTAACCTCGATGTCGCGTCTAAAACGTCCCAAGTTTACATAACCGTTCTTCGGGAGCTCGGATCAACGAATCTGTAACTGTACTAAATTCAAGTTCTACTAATCGTTGTTTATCGAATCGCTTCCCTCTACCAGGTACCGCCTATCATTACTTCATACTGACTAGTCTATCTTCTGAACGTTTACTCATATGCAGCACTTTCAAGAGCTTGGCAGCATTACCAGGTTTGTCACCAAATGGGATCCGAAGTGACAGGTAACTTTGAGAACTTCTCAGCTCCGTTTTATCCGGAATAGCTAATAACACGGGACGTAGGCACAACGTAGGCAAAGAGGAGCTTAGTCTCCTCCATGCCGAGTGCTTGCATACATGTCGCTGCTATGTAAACGTTCCCACTATGACCTTGTGCAGCCGTGCATGACCTTGCGCTGATTCATCGAAGTGTTTCGTTCCGCTTTAGTAGGCGAGTATTGTCAGACTAGACCAGGAGCATCATGTCTTTCCACCAGCCAGCCAGCGACCCACCAACAAAACTCGGTATCTATCGTGTCCTTTCCGCTCAAGCGGGCCTGAGGGTCTCGCCAATCACGTTTGGTGCAATGAGTGTCGGTGATAAATGGGTATATCTTCGATTGCACGGCGTTGTTCTTGGTCTCATAGTCATGAATAGGCAGCGATGGGGATGGGATTGATGGACAAGGAGTCCAGTTTCAAGCTCTTGGACGCATACTTTGATATGGGTGGCAACTTCATTGATACTGCGAACGTTTAGTATGTTTCAACCCTTGAGTTTAGTTTTCCTGTTGATAATACCGCCTCAGTCAGGACGGTTCTTCAGAATAATTTCTAGGAGAGTGGGCCGAGAAGCGAGGCATTCGGGACCAGCTTGTCATAGCCACAAAGGTTTTTTTTTTTCGCTGTCTACTGCAAAACCCGCCCTCATGCACGGCAGTACACGGCCAACTACCAACGCGGCGACGACTCCATCGCACAAAAAGTAAACTACGTTGGTAACAGCTCCAAATCACTGCACCTCAGCGTCGAAGCGAGCCTCAGAAAGCTCCGTACGTCCTATATCGATATACTTTATGTGCACTGGTGGGATTGGGAGACATCGGTTCGCGAAGTCATGGACAACCTTCACCACCTTGTTGCGCTTCGTAAAGTGCTATACCTCGGTATATCCGACGCGCCTGCATGGGTCGTGGCACAAGCGAATCAATACGCCCTGGACCACGGCAAGACGCCGTTTGTGGTTTACCAAGGCCGGTGGAAGGTCATGGAGCGGTCATTTGAGAGGGAAATCATACCGATGGCAAGGGAGTTCGGTATCGCCCTAGCTCCTTGGGATGTTCTCGCCTCTGGGCGATTTCGGACGGACAAGGAGGAGCAGAGGAGGAGAGAAACAGGGGAAAGGGGTAGATCCTTCATTCGTCAAGATTGGGAGAGGAACGATGTGGAAACTAAGATGTCGAGGGCCTTGGAGGTCGTCGCGGACGAGGTCGGGGTTGGAAGCGTCACTGCTGGTATGCTTGATTATTTCTTCACTCGTTTAGAATACTCCTTTGATGTATGCTTTCTTCAGTCGCTATCGCATATGTCATGCAAAAGGCCCCATATGTATTTCCAATCGTTGGAGGAAGGAAAATGGAGCACCTGAAAGCGAATATCCAAGCTCTGGATATCAGATTGTCGAAGAAACAGATCGAGTACCTCGAGAGCGTGGTGCCGTTAGATCCTGGCTTCCCAACATCGATTATTGTGAGTTCCTGTGTATTAGATGTGAAGTGTGTTATTCTCATTCTGACGATTACTTCAGCGAAATGGAACGACGTATAACAAGAGCATGATAGCTACTGCTAAAATGGCCAAACAGCCGATGCTGCAGCCTATTTTTCCGTAGATTTTTATTCACGATGTTTCAAGTAGCAGGGAATGTGTAATCGTTTTCTTATTATGATAATGATGATGATGGTAAGAATACTATGTTCGTAGTGCCCGAATTTCTGTCAGACGCAAAGGGTCTACAGCTCACTCAATCTTCCTGCGCTTCTGCGACGGTGCAACAGTTTTCATATCTGATAAGAACCCACGAAGTTCACAATGAATACGGTGTACCCGAGAACGCCATGTCCGACAGCTTTGTAGCATGTCGGATTCTGCTCAAAATTTCCGCTCGATGGTCAAAACTAATTAAAGTGCCGATGTCACTATAGCTGTCGGTCGATTTTGTCGTCAGTATAGAAATTTAAGGTCGAATTCCTGAGAGAAAACCGATCATGCTCACCAAAGATGTACATTTTGTCGTTGTGGTGGAACAGGATATGAAATTCTTATTCGAATCACTTCGGTTATTTTTTGTGATCTGCATTTGATTAACCACGGTCCGCAATCAACACACTTTCTCCTAAGACATCGTGGTCGTACTGATGCTCAGCCTCTCGACTCCAATCCCCCTTTCATAGATCCGGGTATTATCAGCGTGCGGGTGCTATTGTCTTTCAACATAATGTCGAAATCATAGTTTACGCCTGGGACGTTTCAGCCACAGAAGTTGTGCGTTATGAATCGATCAGTAAGTATGCCTCGAGGTCAGCAGAACGTGTTGCCGTTGGGCGGAGCCAATCTTACAAACTGAAGGAGCGGATCGGATGCAAGAAATACAAAGTTACGTTCATCTTCCTGGTTTGAAAATCCACATTGCCTTCTCGGAGCGCACACTGGCCGCCTCCGTGGCGGACGAAGATACTGATCGATATCAGAAGCTGAACACGTATCTGATGCGCCAGCTGCAGACTTTAAGGAGGGGAGATAATTCGACAGAGATAATGGAGAAGTTCGTCCGGGAAAGGGAGGCCGATACCGTCAGTTCCTTACGTGGCGCGGCCTGTAAAAATAGATGGAACTGGGTGAATGGGTACAATGCTAAAGCTGCAATATACCCGATTGCGGGTGCTAGGAGACATTCACATCGCAACCCGAAATCCGAGAACAGTGCAGTCGCCAGTGTCACCGTTAGAAGTGAGAGTGGGTGAGATAGGCACCGTGGCAATGACGGCGCTGTAGAATGGCTTGATGCTATTCACAGTGCGATGAATATCAGCGACAGCAATTGTAGGAGGAGCAACCCCGAGTGTGGATCGTTTCGGGAGTTGAGATGATGACGAGTGATGTAGAGTAGCTTCGAACCCCGCCTCGTGCTGCGCTCTTGCTTCATGTTTGTGGCTTCACCACGCAACAATGCAGTCCATCTCCTTGCATGAACTTAACTGACGGCGAACGAGCCATTTTTCGCATACCCCAAAAGGTGAAAAGTCCGACCTGTTCCAAAGTCAAGTCTCAAGATGTCATGGTCGGCTCGAGGTTCGCCCGATTCAGACCGTCCACGGAGTACAATTACCGGGTTTCTACAAAATAATGAAAATCGATCGAACTTTTTTTCGGCTGCCCAATATAGTAATTCATAGGTACCGGTTTTCTTTCAACAGCGACTCAACACCAAGAGCAACAGTAATGATAGAATAAATGGTTTAGAATTGATTCCCGAAGCAGTACACAGTGTTTTGGTGCCATCAAGTCATGCAATGGAGCCTGCAGTGATGAAGAAAATACCGCTGATTTGGGATTTGACAGACCAGATTAGCGGATTCATGAGGATCACAAACCAAAGGCCCGGGTGGTGATATCAGAGCCTTTGATGGATAATTCGGAGGAATATAGCCCAGTTGTACGTCAGGAAGGTATAATTCGCAGTGCTTATGCATTTGGTGGAATCCAAGATGGGGAATTACTATATTGGGCAGCCGAAAAAAAGTTCGATCGATTCTCATTATTTTGTAGAAACCCGGTAAGGGGGTCTTAGAAACAGCATGGCGAGACACATTGCACACGTTTCGGTAAGGCGCAAGGACCCGAAGAAAGGGAGGGTTCGATAACCTCACCGACGGAGTTGCGTGGGAATCTCGAAGAGTTAATATTATTTCTGTATACTCACCTGAACATTGAAGGTTTCAAGGAGTAAACTGAGTTATCACGGGTGAGTCCGCTGGCTCGCTGGAACAAGACGAGTCTTCAGTTTCACTTAGCATTCTCGACGAATCTGGTCACTCGGAGATCCTGCCAGCTGTCTAATGTATGCGCAATGCCTAGACTGCATATATCTGACGAGAGACAGGTGTCCTTCGCTCCCGGGTGCGAATTCCTGGGCGCCTTTGCGTAAGGACTCGAGAGCGGGCGAGGCGTGATGGAGGCCATCGCCAAAAGAGGGAATACGTGACGTCACGCTACTGATCCCAGAGTTCCCACGCACCTAGACGCAAATTTCCAGTACGCTCACTGTCCTTCTCGTTCCCTACAGACAACCCTCGGTCCCATCTCGCACAAATGGTGAGTTCATTCGACTCCATGGCACGTCTACTGTCCTTGCTATGTGAAATTGTGCTATTCGAATAGCGAGAATCGTTGGATGGAGCCGTACAACTTTGGATGACGCGCTGACTTGATTTTGTATATAGGCTTCCGCTGACCTTGCCGCTACATACGCCGCCCTCATTCTTGCCGACGATGGCATAGAAATTACCGTGCGTCTCAACTTTCGGTCTTTGTATCCTCGAAACTAAGGGAAACTCATGGAACAGTCTGACAAAATTGTCGCTTTGACAAACGCTGCCGGTGTTGAGCTCGAGCCAATCTGGGCAACTCTGCTAGCAAAAGCTCTTGAGGGCAAGAACGTGAAAGACCTTCTATCAAACGTTGGCTCCGGTGGAGGAGCACCTGCTGCTGGTGGTGCTCCCGCTACCGCTGCTGGTGGTGCCGCCGCCGCCGAGGCACCCAAAGAAGAGGAGAAGGAGGAAGAGAAGGAGGAGTCTGATGATGACATGGTTCGTTCTATTCCGTTGGTTGTATTGATTCTGACATGCTAATCATCCTCGCTACAGGGCTTCGGTCTCTTCGATTAATTTTTTGCTACGTTTTCCATGCTCCATGTCCTGCACTTTCTTATGAAAAACATTGGAAACCCGCAATTGTATGTGTGAATACGAAGACGAATTTCGCGCTACTTCATTGTGCATTGTTACCGATCTGCGACTGTCGCAAGAATTACTCGGGAAATTTAGGCTTTATATCCCGTATTGTCGTCCAATGCTACTAAGTGATGCTGCCCTCGCTACTTCCGTCGGGGAGTAATTACGTTCACGCCACTCAGTGTGGCAAGAGCGCGTATTAGATTGCATCCGCGAAGCTTCGTTTCGGCGTGCGGTTTCATGGTGACCACGTATTATTATTGGAGGACTGGTGGGTGGCTATTTGAGTGTCCAACCGTGCAATCTAGTAAGATTTTGATGTAATATTACCCCCTTTTTTACTTGATAAATCCTGGCATTTATCGTATTCGCCCCCCAGTACCAATCTCGCAAACATCTTGAATGTACTCGCAATGGACTATTTTTTTCATGGCAAGCCTGGCAAAGCTTGACACAGCTTTCCTTGTTGGAAATCGCCGATTTTCGCAATTTCCAAAAGCGTCGAAATTTGATTGCAACGTGGCCGAAAATCTTTGAAACTGGCCGAAACCTTACGCTAACGGTTACCTGTTGTAATGGCATTGTTTTACAATGTATCCCACAGGTGGCCGACCTTTCTATTGGACTGTGCAATCGATTGGCGGAGCTGTCAGCGATAAATCTAGGTTTTGTGCCTATATATGATCAAGGGCTGGGCACCGGAACACGGCTCCAAGCCGTTTACCGTGTGTTTCACACATTTCGAATTTTCTGTTCTGCATGTAAAAAGACGTCACTTTCTTCCTACCTTACGCCCGCTTTCTTCTTACCTTCTTTCTCTGTACGTGCTGGAGCTACAAGTTCCGTACTATTTGTACTGACTCGTATGCAGGGCGCTGGCTGCAAATTTCAATGGCTTCCCTCGGTATCACAACTATACCCCACGAGCTATTAGGAGAGGTTTTCGTTCGCTGCTCATACTATTCTGCTGATGCACCCGTCATTCTATCCACGGTGTGCCAACGATTTCGTGTCGTAGCAAGGAGTACCCCTCGTGCTTGGCGTAGTTTACGACTTTCCGTATGCCAAGAAAAGGAGCGCCAGACGATTCGCAAGGCTAGCCTCTGGTTTTCCCTCTCTGGCATCTGCTGCCTCGACTTGTATATCGACATCGAAGGGCAGACAGCCAACGTACCCGAAACTCACTCACTCCTGATTGCATTTCTCCAGCGTCACACGACCCGCATTTCTTCTCTGAATGTCCGTTCAGAAACAGAGAAGGCAGCGCATTCTTTCTTAGACGCGTTGTACTTCCCCCTTCCATTCTCTCCTTCTCCGACCCAACTACCGCTAAAAACATTGAGGCTTCGCGTGGCGTCCGACACTCCGGGTCTTCCTGCCACTTCGGCCGCTACGTCCGTATTCCATACCTTTACCCACATTCCCCATCTGAAATCTCTACAACTGACCAATCACAAATTGCCCTCACTTTTCACGCCGGATTTTCATAATCTCCAGACCCTGACTATTGCTCGTCCACTTCGTGCCCCTCCAATATCCGTTCAACAACTGTTGCAGATCGTACATGCTGCACCTTTCCTCGTGAACTTGGAGATCGCATCACGCGTGGTCCATGCGGAGACTCACCAGCCCCTGTTTGAGGAGCTGTACCTTCCTTACTTGAAGAATCTCTCGTTGAGGACAAACGAGGTACCTTCACTCGTTGAGGTCCTCGTTGCTCCGATATTGGAGGAACTTCATATCAACGATTTGGACGGAAAGCGACATGGGGCGTCTGCCGAGTTAACGCAGTCATTGCAGACTGTCAGCCGCAAACTCATGTCGAGGGGGGCGTTGGATTGGTGTGTCAAGCGTCTGTACATCACCGGACTTTCGCTTCACCGCGATGATCCAGGAGCTCAGACATGGGAATGGTGTCTTGGACGGGCGAGGATGTTGGAAGAGCTTTCTGTTTCTAGTAACGACGAGGATTTTGAAGTGTTGGTCAACTTCCTTGTGGGGGAATATGCAGGAAGCTGCGTATGTCCCCTGCTGAAGATGATCCACGTCAGTGGACTCGAGTCTTTCGACGGGATGGATCGGTTGAAGAGGGAGAGGCCCGGTATTGAAGTAATCATGGATGTTCTGGGAACGCGTGGAGTTACTTCGCGGAGTTCGTCGCGAGATTCTTCGCGTGACCGACGACCATGCAATGGGTTGGGAGGAGGTGGTAGTGGGTTTGGATTCGGATTTGGTTCACGGTTCGCTATTCAGCGCAATGGCTATAAAATGCCGGCCACTGGGAGCGATGCAAAACTCAAAAGGCAGCCAGTTCTTGCTGTCGACTGTGAAGATTGGTAGATTATTTGACTGATCCCATCCGGTTTACTTGTTTTATTTGTAGTCCTTTAGTACTTTGTGTGCGTGATACAACAATACACTCTTTTTATCGCTAGAAGCTTTTATCACATGTTGATGATTACAAAAGTGTAATTTATTTAGAGGATATACCTAATGTTAATGCACTCACGACAGTATGTCGTCCATTAATGGAACCTCTATAGGTAGTTCTTTCTATCAGAAACCATAAACAGCAGTTACGGTGCGGCAAATGCTTCTTGTATTTGCTTAACCTGATACTCTGTGATACGGGGTTTAAAGGCTTAGTATGGAATAATCACATCTTAACTCCCACTCACTTAAGAGAACGCAGCTTTCCGCCAAGACGATCATATGCTGAAAACCAGCATTAAAGATACCGAAAAGTTCTATTTCCCTGTCATTTGCAGGGCCATGTGCTGGGCGCGATGCTCTCAACGCAACCAATTCCTCAAGTAGGACCTGACCTGCAGATATCCAGACCGTCTGGCAAAAGAGAGTAAGCGATACCATCGATAGAAAAATCTACGACGAAAAATCAGCGGACTTACCCCAATAATCGGATTGATGGGTGAACCATGCGGCACGGTACCGGTCATTCGAAATACAGCTTGAGCAGCCATGAGAACCTTATCCTTAGATTGCGCATCGACCCTGGCGAAAAGACCGTACAATTGCATGATAGCGGCGTAGGTCAAGTTATGGGCAACAAAGAGGGTCCTCCTTTTGGCGGATGTCGGGTTGGTCACTGCATTCGGTGATGGAAGGGCATTTTGCAGATTTTCAAGCAGACCGTCCAAAGCCGCAAATGATGCATAAAAGTCAATCGACTCCTGTTGGGCCATGTCTACATTGAAAATTATAATTTAAAATGATGAGGGGAAAACGAAGCGGTCCACATACCGGGTTTCCAATTCCTTATTAAGTCAGTCACACGCTCCCATAGGAGAGACGCTTTCGCGTGAAGCGCCTTGGTCGACATTTCATTACCGCCCGATGTCGGTGCACCTCTGAGGTACTTCTGAATGGTATAACTGCACACCATACCCGAAGGAAACCCTCCCTAAAGAAATTACAGATGAGAAAAGAGATATATGAGAGAGAACTCGAACGCACATGCTCGTATTGTTGGACTTCAAGAGGCCATGGGGTATCGAGCTGAACTCCGACGATATCAGAAGGGCATGTAGAATTGGGCACAGATGCCAATGCGACTGCCCAACTTTTATCCAAGATCAAAACGGTCCAGCAAGCGTCCACACGCTCGCCTTCTTCGATGGCATCCCGCGGGGCTGGGAGAACTGGCATCTGACCAGTGGAAGTGTTTCGGTCGGATCGTATTTTATTCAACCCAGTACTGAGGGCCAGGGAAACCGCCGTTGTGACATGGTACTTTCCCTCTAAGAAGCGTCCAGACGCTAGGAAGTAATAAGCCAAGAGAACCTCGGCTTGTATGGTTTGCACAAATCTCTGGGGATGATAATTGCTTGAGAGTGCACTGGATACATCCGCCAGCGCGCGCTCAAGGAACGTCTTTTCGTGAATGATCAAAGACGGAGCGTGGGATAGGGAAATCCCCAATAAGTAAGCTGTCGTCATAAGTGCTGGTAATGGCCGGGAGTAATATGCAGAAGGATCAAGGGCGGCTGATCGGAAGCGGGAAGTGTTCATGAAGAATCCATATTCTGAGGCGTAATCGAGAAATTTGTCGATCCTATAGATCGCCAGTATTATATTTAGACTCGTTATAAGTATGAAGAAGGGTAATGACGAACAGCACGGTTTTAACGTCGAGAGGGGGGTCTGACAGTGTCCACCAGCCATAACCTAAAGAAGGAACTACCGTAACGGGAGATACACCTACGTATTAGCCCAACTTCGGGATGAAGCAGACAATAAACATACTGGCATTCGAAGAGGAACCACCAGTCGAGTAAGGGTCACTCAGAAGGATAGGTGGACCCTGCTCCCGTGGGGTTTCAAGTTCGCGAATTCGAGCCTCAACACGACTTATATTTTCCTCGAGGACCTCCATCTTAGTACGGCCCTGGCTGTCCTTATACTGACAATCTTCAGATCGATTTCCCCTCTTGCACTGTCCACAAATGGGGCGAGCACCATCGCATCGCTGTGAAGAAGTTACTTAAGACTAGGTACGACACTAGTGAATGACAAGAGGGCCAACCATTTTTCGGCGGCGACAATGAATACAGGCTTGACCCCAGTGGAGGGAAGAGGTGCGATTGGAGGAGGGAGAAGACATTATACCGCTTAGGTTATTCTGAAGAAGTATCAGACGAGCTCAAGAAAAGCGGATGGTGGGTAGTACACCTAGGATGCCCTCAAATTTATAACCGTGTAAGAGCATGGCGTACACTGCATAAGCCAGCGCCTACTAAGGACACAAAGCATAATGAGTGAGTACGGAGTATTAGCGGATATCCCCTCGAAGGCGTTTTGTCAAAGAGCTTCACTCTTCCGCTGTGGCTGTGTAGATGCCCGAGTCGCAAGACCGAAGATCGTCATCCTATGGAAAAGCAGAGAACTGGGAAGCTGGGTACACAGAGCCTGGGAAATCAGCTGTTAGATAATTGTGGTCCCATTTAAAAGAGTCCACATCGCAAGCAACGGCGAAGCGGTACTCTGTGACGAGGCCTTGAGCAAGTCTGGAATGCACTGCGCACATAGGCCATCATTTCCAGTAGGATAAGGCCTTTCTGTAATCTTAGAGACTACCATAAAACGATGGGCCAGCCTCTGAAAACTACATAAATAATTGTAGTTTTACAAAGACCGATCAAGAATTAAGCGCTGCACTATAGATGTGTCTACGCACTTTATTAATCCGACTTAGAGGTAAAAGGCGGATATCATGTCTACTGAAAATCGAAGAACGTCTTATAGAGTGCCGGAGATCGTCTGTGAGTGCTATTGAGCACTAGCACTGTAATGCATATCCCTAGAGAAGATTAAACATTCGTGGGACGCACCACTTTTAAAAATACCATCTATTTCACTTTCTGTCCGTCTGAACCCGCAACGAGAGTCTACAACGAACTCTCCACAAACTGATGCTGCAGCCAGAGCTAAAAGCTTTGACATCAGAAACTATCCGGCAACATCCGAATCAGCGCCTATTTGGTGCCGGTAATAGCCGGTAGCTCGGGGACGGAAGCATCCCCGAAGGCGTTAATGAAGCTTTGACGACGATGATCGGATACGGGGTCCGGCTTGCCAGGACAACTCATTGCTCTTCCGTTTCGAATGACGCACTGGAATTTGGTAGTTGCGGCACCGCTAATGACCAATAGTGATTAGACTCGGTGGTGAGACGCAGAAACAAGCTGAACAGCCCGGGCATTTGGTGCTGCAGGTAGCTGTGAGCTTGTAAGTTGTGGCGTACCACTTCAACAACCTTCCCGCGCAAGGATGCCGACCTCAAGTATGATCTGCCTGGATATTGAGAAGCATGCTTCGCACTGTACGTTTCAGCCTTGTTCTAGTATTATTACTTATCTGTAACAAGAACACTTAACGGAGGGCCATACTACTTCTTTCAGACATAAGACTACGATTAGCAGAAATTACATGATATTATAATACTCGAAAAATAAATAGTTTCCTGAACTAGATTTGTGCCTCTAGCTAGCATCTTAAAATAAATAAATGAGTTAAATACATCGATGAACGAGTGGGATTGAATATCAGAGCGCAGAGTAAGCCTCTTGAATTTGGCTCAAGTGATATCCTACGCAACAAGATCAGACAGGGAGGAACACATAGAGAATCCATCATACTCAAAAGACTGCAGCTTCGCCCTAACGGCATCATATCCCTCAACCCGTTCTCGAAAACACTGAGCATACCTCTTTCCTCATCAGTAGGCGGAATACTTGCGGATCTCGACAACCGGAATGCTTTCAAGGCTGTTAGTTCTTCCAGGATTACCTGACTCGCAGACACCCAAACTGTCTATGATTAACAGGTTCAATGGTGTTTATATATAGCAAAGAAGGAAATCAACGTACTCCCATTATCGGATTAATAACTTGGGTCGCATTCCCGAGGCGGACTGCATTAACCATACGAAAGATGGCTTGGGCTGAAAGGAGAACCTTCGTCTTCGATTCCGCGCTATTCTTCGCGAAGACTCCATGTAGTTGAATGATAGCAGTGTAGGTCAAGCTATGGATAATAAATAAGGTGCGCATTTTGGACGGAGTACGGTCAGTCATCTGATTCGGGGGTGGGAGATTGACTCGCACTCTCTCGAGAAGAGTGTCCAGGATGTTGAATGCTCCATAGAAAGTAGCCGATTCTTGAGAATTCATGTCTATATAGAGGAATTAATTGAGGCAACATAGAAAGAGTAGCGAACGAACGCGACTTCCAAGTTCCAACTAAATCATTGGAACGCTCCCACAGCAACGATGCTTTAACGTGAAGACTCTTCATCGACATTTCATTTCCTCGAGAGCTCGTCATTCCCCTAAGATAATTGTTCAGTGTGCAACGGCCCTTCATCCCTGCAGGATAGCCACCCTGAATGATTCTAAATTAAAAGGATCAGCCAAGTAAGATAGGGCTGACTAACGCTCTCATAGCCTTCGATATCAAGAGGCCAAGGTGTATCTACTTGAACCCTTGGATCATCAGATGGACAGACGAGATTCGTTGGAGACGCCAGTGCTACCGCCCAACACTTGTCGAGAATTATCATGTTCCAGCATGCGTCGACTCGCTCTCCTTCTTCTATAGGATCCTGGGCTGCTCGTAACGCTGTGATCTCTCTCGGGTCGATCTGATCGGAGCGTATTTTATCGATCCTCGAGCTTACGGCCAACGAAACAGCGTTTGTAATATGGTATTTCCCCTCCAGGAACCTTCCCGAGGACAAAAAGTAATACGCCAGTAAACATTCGGTTTGAATGGTATGGATTACTTTCTGTGGATGGTTACCCGCGAGGGAACTGGATACTTGAGACAGCGAGCGAGCCAGCAGAGCTTTCTCGATTTCGGTGGGTGTCGATGAGCCCGAGAGTTTAGATCCCCAGAGATAAGCGGTGGTCAATAGTGCGGGTAAAGGACGGGAAGGATGACCTATGGGAGCGGGCTGAAGAGCAGACGTCCGAAAGCGTGTCGGATGGAGGAAAAACCCGAACTCGGACGCGAAAAATAGAAATTTATCGAGTCTGAGTCATAAAAAATGAGATCACACTTAAAATAACCTGAGCTTTGAACGTACAAGACCACTTTGATTTCTGAGGGAGGCTCAGGCAGCGTCCACCAGTTTTGCCGAGAGGCGTCAGGATGGTGACCTCGACGGCTGGAGGGCGAAGGAGCTATGAAATCATCAGAGAATGTCATTGACTTCCACGTTATTTAGATCTTACTAGAGACACGGGTCGGTCCTGTAGTACTTGCCGCACCTTGCGTGTAAGGCGAGTGTAATAAAACGGAGGTTCCCGCGGTTTCGGGGTTCTCTAATTCTTGAATACGGGCCTGGACGCGACCAATGTTTTCTTCTAAGATCTCCATTCGTGAGCGTCCTTGATTGTCTGTATACTGGCAGTCATCCGGTCGACGTGCTCGAGTACATGGGCCACATACAGGACGCACTCCGTCGCATCGCTAGACGATGAAAGTTATGAGCGAGGGCTGAATTAACGTAGCAATCACTGACCATCTTTCTGCGGCGACAATGAAAACAGGCCTGTCCTCTTTGTAGAGCATGTCCATGAGATGTAGAGCTCATCGTGTTTATTAGTATTGTAGAAAGACGCGGAGGAGAGAGATGATAGTGAAATGTGTCCTTCAAAGCACCAACCTTAAATATCGAGCAGGCATTTGCCTGGATGCACCGGAAGGCACTTCCAGTCAGCATCCTTGTGCAAGCTTGTGGAATTGAAACCTTCGGTCAATTGATCCTGCCCGTACCAACCCTGTGAGTCGGGAGTTTTGAGTCTTCAGTCTATTCTTGCTCGAAAACGAATGATGGCTGATGCATGATTGAATATCGAGAACCTCCTCGTCTTCAGACGGAATGACGACTGAGATGATGTGCCATAGATGATTCGCTGAAGGGGGATTTATCAGAGGTATACACAGCCTAACGGCCTGGTGCAGCAGGGCCACAGTGGCTTCCAGCAGCTTTCCGGAATATAAGGATACCTACGACAGCCTCGTTCAATGTACTCAATTAAGACTGGAATGGATCAGAAGCCACGGAAACGGTACAAGGACGTAAGAACGGTAATCAGCAGGTCCCGAAGAGTTGTTACTGTAAGGGGAGTTTCCGCCAAGTCGTAGGTGTACAGATAGAAAGGGGATGTGAGCAGCGCCAGAATAAAAAAGGCATGTTTCAGGGAAGCTTGCAGTTGTCGCTCCACATACCTTTGGCAATTGGAGAAAAAAGTAAAGGCTAGGAACTGCCTTTGCTATTGTCGGTCGAATGTTCAGTGTTGCTAATCAGTAACGAGACGATATTGATGCAGTATGTGCTTCTCGACACACATCATTAAAGGGTCTGTCGCCGATTCAGATCAAGCTATGAACGATTTTAATAGACCAGTGCATAGCGCGTCTGGGCTTCTGAAAAGTTAAAACAGGACGGGAGTTCCGCATGGAGATCAGGAGGCGGGACGCTGTGCCATTGTACGAAGCAGAGGTACTTCGTAGCGTTGATCGAGGGTGGTTGATATGTGACGGAACATGTTCGGCTCGATAGCCGAATATATGCCGGATGTTCCAAAGGTTGCCGTCCCGGGCCCCAGTTGCGGCACAAGACTTTAGTCAACATTATGTCTGTCACCTCTGAACCTCGTCAAGCTAAAGGTCAATGTCACTTCTGGTGCTATTCCGTCATTTAATATTCACGTCTTTTATACAGGGCTTCATTGCTTCTTCTCGTAGCCTGAACTAATATTTGTTAAGAAAACTGAATTCAGCCGGCTCTTCCGCACACTTCGCCGATTATGTCGGGTCTAACTCTACACCTCCTACTCCTGGTTGGATGAACATTTGACTTGTCATTTCTAGCAAGAGAATTTATCGAAGGCTTCACAGTTACCCTTGATGCGCCCAAACTGACTCGTATGATGAAAATCTACTGCTAGTGTCTACTTCAGTGTTCGGCGTTCGACGTTCCCCCTTGTCAATCTAGAGCTTAGGAACAGTTACTATTAGGAACCGGCCTTCTGCGGCCATGTGCAAGAAGCCAATTCCTTGAACGGATTCCTTGTCAATATGGGCTTTTGGACTGGTAGCGGGCCGCGGTTGCGGGACATACTTTTGTCGGAACATACAGCGACTGGAAAACGGCTGTAGCTAGGTATTTACCCTTGTACCTGCCACGCAAAGGGACGCCGTGATTGCAAAATCTCTTCCACTCGGTGCTGCCGCCTGAGGCTTCATTAGTGGAGGCCGCTATAGTACTAAACGTGATAGTACCTCTGGAAGAGCGAGACCAAGACTCGGGGCCGTGACGTTGCTTTTCCTGAGTGTGCTAAAATGTCTGCTACTGCCAAAGACGTCTCCCCGGCCAATGTTCATTCACGCCTACCTGAGGCATGGTGGGGCTCGCAATCTTGATATTCTGATGGACGTTGAAGCACCGGTCTCTCCTTCGGCAGGTCATCGTAGGTTATTGACACTCCAGTGGAGACCGAAAACAGTGTCGTCTACGGCACTGTCCTTATTCTCAAGGAACTGCCATTCAAGTGGCTTGTCGCGGTTTGTGCCTATTCTTAACGAGCTTTTGACCTCAGAAAGCTCTGACAACTAAAGCTATGCCAGCGCTATTCAAGAATATACAGTGGAATAGCACTACCTGTTGGGTGGGTGTCACATTTAACAACCGCGACAAGATTTTACCGATGACCGGTACAATAGCTCCATTATGGTGTTGCACCGACATCGGTATGTATCTGTGATTAAGCTCTGACTGATCTTATTCTTCTTGTCAGACCTATGGTTTGGTCTGATGAATCCTGCGGCAGCGCTTTGTCTGGTACCCTTGAAACTAAGGTTTCCCTTAATAATTCCTGGCGATTATACATTTTATTCCGTGGTTACAAGCCTCTATGGCGTACGTTCCAGTTCACACACAACGCATTGATCTCCGACTCCGGGGATCCTGCCCACCGGAGACGGTATCGTCACTTGCCCTTCAGCGAGATCCCCGTGTCCAAGACTTCGGACTGCCCTCCTTGTCCAAAACTTCAGTAGTTCAAGAGTCACTACTCCAACGTAAGAATGTGTGTGCAAAAGGGCTAGGTCCAATCTTGGCGGCGCAGCTGGGCGCTTCAAGTTGATATACTCTTCCCGTGGAACCCTCGGTATTCACAATCATCGGATATAGCGGAAACATGTATTTCTCTTCCTAGGTCTCCGACCATGCAATCTTAGCGTCCATGGTATCCCATAGAAGAACGCCTCCACCCTGGCGGTGCCAACGGCGTTTATCGGGGAGCTGATGCGTCGCCTCTTTTTCTGTATAAATAGTCTGCGAGAGATCGATGATTTGTGGCCCAAACCTTCCGAAGACTATCGCAAAGAGGCTGAACAAGTTGAGGATGGCCATATGTCAACTCGTTTAATCTAACTCCTGATGCGACTTACTCTTTTCGAGAGAGGTAACCTGAGCTAACTTGTTTCAGCGCAGTTTGCATGGTGATATCCACAGATCGTAATCAATTAACCGGCGCTGGCGCTGAGAAGCTTATTCAGAATACAGCGCGCTTATAGCCTTTATAGGTAAATACTGTGCTGCGTTCTTTGCACACGAGGTTTCGTTCCTTATTCTGTTCCCAGGGCAATACCGTGGAGATCGGGATATTAACATAGGCCTCGAGTATTTATGGGGGTATAACCCACATCCGGAGGCTAGCAAATGTTTCCTGGTGTTTCTGGGACTTATTTGCGAATCGAAATTCTCACAACAATGAATCGTATCAATGAAGCTGGGAGAAATAAAGCACCCGGATCTCGCAAGGGCAGTAGGCATTCGAGTTTGAACTCGCGGAGCAACGATAGGCAAGCAAGAATGACTGAAAGGCGGCCTCGCTGCTCATCGACGAGACCAGACAAGCGTTACTATTCCTAGTATAACCCAGAATATGTAATTGAAACTATCGTACACGGAATATAAAAAGAACCACATTCAGTATGAAGGCTAGCTAGATGAACTACGTCATTCGGGCATGGTCTTTCGTATCTCGGGAGAATCAGTATCCACCTTCAAAGGACTGTTAGTCAGAATGCACAGCAGAAGAAACAGATATACGACCTACTCGATGTTGATGCGCTTTCAAATCAGATGTTGAAGGCTTTGCTGGTTCCAGCTCGCGACCGGCGTCTCCTTTGCGGCCGGCATCCACCCGCTCACTGCCGTTCTTTTGTAATGGTTCAATGGCTACAAAATTATACAATCATGTTTGGGGGGCGTAGGCAGACCATGAGGTTATCTACTCACACATTATTTCGTTAATTTGCGAATGACGTCTTGTTGTAGACTGTAAATTGCGGGTATGATGCATCCCGGACAGGGTTCTCGTTGGAACATAAGGAGCTGGTGATAAGCATAAGAATAATAAAGGCTACTCTGCGGACGGCTACTCACATTCATACTCCATCATTTGTACTTTGTGCCAATCTCTACCGAGAGAAAACATGAGCGTGGAATGTTCGGGTGATAGGTGATGGGAGAATTACAAGCCAGGGTAAAAGAATGGATGCGCCTTGATGATGCGCATCGGTAAACGTACATCCGGGTTTTTTTCCATGAGCTACCACGACATTAGCGTTTGGATAGCAGCAAAGAAAGTCATTCCACCTCTTGTATCAGGCCTTCGGCAACTTCTTCATTGCGATGCCAAGTTGCCCAAACAGACATGGTTATATCCCCCTTGTCATTGAAAATGTCCTGGATCAGAATAAGGCTTCAGCGGACCAGGAGACTGAAAATAGACACACATAGTTTCTGCGCGGACAAAGATACATCTGAAGAAAAACGACCCCCATAGCATAAATGTTGGCAGCGTGTCCAGAATAGTACGATCTTCCGTCAAGGGCTTCTGGAGGAATATATCCGGGTGTACCCCGTCCTCCCGCCTCAAGAACTCCGGACCCTATCTCAGATAGGCTAAAGTCGACAAGGACCAGGTGCCCTTGCTCAGTGAACATGAGATTTTCCGGTTTTATGTCACAGTGAAAACAGCCATAATGATGCAGGGCTTCGACAGCAAGGACCTAAACCATTCTATGCTCAGTGACACACTCACTGTGGGTAAGGGAAGAACATCATACAATTTCAGCTGCATGGTGTCTTAATTCTGTCATGTTCATGACCTGATTGGAGTCTGTTAACTCTTCCAGGCGATGCGAGAGAGAAATATAGTATCGTGGCTGTCAGTTGAAGATTAGTATAACCATTGTATGGGATTTCGGCTAGCGCACCATGACGAGATAGAAATACTGAAGGTCTTGAAAGAAAGACAACAAGGTAGGAAGGAAAGGGGATCCTGTTGCACCCGCAAGTCTCAACGCATCGCGTTCCCTACATATATCGGAGATGTAACCATCCTCTTTCTCACCCTTAGCCACTGGGACACCATCGATGAGTAATCGTGTCCTGTCGACAATTTTGATAGCCACAGGGCGGTCCTTTGATCCATCGTAAGCTAACCTGACTACGCCATGGGACCCTCTACCGAGAACGCGAGAAAACCTGTAGTTGTGGCCGTGACATTTAATGCCATGACGAAAATGGCTTTTGCGCACGAAATATTCAAGTGTCGCGGTTCTGCTTTGGATATCTGACTGAAAATGCTCAACGAAGGTCGTCGGAGGTTGGGGAGTGGCAGTTGGGGTGTCACTTTGGATGTTGGGAGTGGCAATATGAGAGCTGTCGCGACAGTGTCCGAGTCCCATAGCATCGATTACAATTTGTTGGATGACTTTGTCGTGAGCGAGAGCACCAGCCGCATCTGAAGCATGAGTGGCATTGCCAAAAGTTGAGGATTTTCTTCGGGCGCTAGACCCTTTCAGTGTCCGTCGGCGGAAATAAGCCTTGAGCTGTGTGAAGGAAGGAAAAGGCATCTGGGTGAGGGGAATGACCTTTTGGACGGTGGGGGGTAAACTGAAGGACTATTGTTCAAGACCGAGCCATTTATACATGCCGCTGGTCAAAGCGCCCCCGGCCCTTGTGTTTGTTCTTGCCATTCCGATCGACATTCTCGTTCAAAGGTCACTTTGAGTGGTGTGCTACCGTCTGAAATACAGTGAACGATGTCAATGCATAATCTTTCATCACCTATTATCCAACAAGACCTTGTCCGCTCATTGGTTCCACGTGGTCGATACCAGGCAGGAATTTGGAAAAGGACAGTGGTAACGGTGGCATTGGTGCTCCCACGCCGTCGATTTAGATTGAAGTGACGCAGTTCTTGACATTGTCGACATATGTACTACTTATAATCTCAAAAGACCAACAAGCTCCCCGAGTCTGGATGCGATTTCCTTGACAGTAATCAGTGCATGTCAACCATCAAAAAAGGATACCAACCTCTTGTGCTTCGTTCACCACGTCCAAAACCGATCCGGTCCTCCAGAATTCGTACGCGAACCATACCCCGAAGGTAACAGTTGACAATCCCGCCACCACCCGCTTTGTCACCTTAATACGCTTCTCTCGCTTTAGTTGCTTATACCAGTTGTTTGACGCGACAGCGTCATAGTGTTCAAAATATGTCTTCCTCGTCCACCACCAAAACAATGGTGCGCCACCGGGAAATACACTCGTGATCTTCCCGTCCTTTCCGCTTCGGTACCACGAAAGGCAATCCGGGAAGACGGAACGAGCGAGACGAGCTTGAATCTTGGTGTTCCATTCATCCGTGGGCTGATGTTTGACTGTAAAGGACGATACAAGTCCTTCTATGACTGGTGCTACCAACGACATGGCATAATTGGCCTGAGAACTAAATTGAGATGCGGAACAGAATTTCAAAAGAAAGCTGATAGTACCTGGACTTCTTCGGTAAAAATTACAGATGTATGACCCGTAATCGTGTTCGGACCTGCGTAGAACAAGACACGAATTCATTAACGGAGTTTAATACAACGAACAGTGATCAAACCTCCGATGATATAGAAGTTCGGGAATCCAGGAACTGTGGTTCCGCGATATGCAGTCGGGCCGCCTTTAGAAACATAATATTCCTTGACAGTTTGTTCGTTGCCACGGACATGGAGGGGATAATCATCCTACAGATGTTTGTCATCTTAAGCCACGGGTTCGATGAGGACAGAGTAGATTCATACCGTGATGAACCCCGTGGACAGAATGATAACATCGAATGGGAACTTCTCGCCTGTATAAGAGACAATTATAAGAGACGAGGAAGAAAAAGTGGACGTACCGGAGAGGACTCACCTGTCTTAGTGATGATGCCGTCTTCGACTACGGAATCGATGCCATCCCAGTTGAGTCGCATGTTCGGGCGATGTAAAGACTCGAGGTAGAAGCTATTGAAGATGAGCCGTCTACATCCGACCTCTGTTGAAACAAACATCAGCAGTAGAAGTCGTGTTCGAAAAGTAAAAGTACTGACTGTACGTTGGTATGAGTTTATCGTGATACTCCTTCGGTGCAAATGTCTTGATATAAAAAATACTGAAAGGCTTTAAAAGTCATGTGTAAATATCCATCTGGGTCCATGGAATGGTACGTTACCTTCATAAGCCAATCACGGAGGAAATCGTTCCCAAAAACAAGCCAATAGCAAGTTTCCATCTAACGACCAATGATCGGGACTGTCTGTAGCGTGGTGAACAGCCGACTTACCTTGACGCAATGATAAAAACGATGGAGCAGCATGTTGAATGGGACATATTTGAGCAAGAATTGCCACACAGGACCATATGAGTTGCGAAGCTGTTTAGGTAGCTGTGTCAAATGTTGCATCAAAACGAGAGGCGCAATTGTACTCACATTCCATAACACCCAATACGGAGTCCTGCAGAATTCTACGATATCCGTGGACGGATTCTCGGAAATGACTGGAACAAACTGCGTTCTGGAAGAGGAGCGATAAGACGACATGATGAGTAGACATCTTGTAAGACCCACGCCGAAGCACCATTCCCAATAACCGCGACCCGCTTGTTCTTCAAAGAAACCCCATGGTCCCACTTCGCACTATGAAACATATCGCCTTTGAATTTACTGAGCCCGTTAATATTAGGATAATGCGGTTGCTCCAAAAAGCCAAGCGCAGAAACCAAAATCTTCGTGGTGGACGTCGACTCAGTGCCAGTCTTCAGATCTCTCGTAATGATGACCCAAACTTCTTTGTCCACGTCCCAGTCGGCTGAAATGACACGGGTGTTGAAGACGATTTTTCTGTACAGATCATTCTTTCGTGCCATCTCCTGCCAGTACTCTTGGATTTGCGGCTGATAGGCGAGCGAGTGCGTCCAATCATGCTTCAGGGACGTGGAGTGAGAATAGAACATCACGGCAATGTCCGAACCACACCCCTTGATTAGATGAGTGATTCTGGTCAAGATGAGAGTGGCCCCGGCGTACCGGATACGTGTTGTCCTGCCAAGATGATAGGAAGAGCACAAAGCACGAAATAAAGGCGATAAACATACTCTCCATGTCCCTCCAACATCAGACGCCTTCTCATAGATCTATTCCAACACTGTCAGCATTGGGGTTACGGCTACAGACCTGTGCCTACCGTGAAGTTTTCATACTCGGGAAACTTTTGTTTCAAAGCAATGGAAAAAATGATGCCACCAATGCTACGAAGGGGATTCAGCAGGTTTCCTCATCATCCAGTCAGATAACATACCCAGCGCCAACAATGACTACCCTAGGTGAATCGTTAGACATCCCAAGTATTCTGGCAATCTTCGAAAGAGTCTTTGCAGAGGAGGTGGGGGGAACGGGGGACTGGACGCACTCCCCGAGCCACAGTTTAAATGGGTTTTGGAACGGTCTTGTGATGCTGCTTTGAGAATCCGGGGAAATTTGTCGCCCAAAACAACGTAATGCGTATCTCTTGGTATATACGTACTGGGATAAACCGGTTTTACTTACTCGCCGCTTCCACTTTCTCGTTGTTTTTGTGTCCTCTTGACCTTATCCGACGTATCACATGTGTCGATAACCGTGGTTGAAAATCCGGATGCAGAGAGGAGGAGCAGACAAGAACCGAAAATCAAGGGCCACATAGGCTGATTGGTCCTTCAAAAGGGTCCTTTGTACTAACAGACGACGTAAAGTCCTTCCTGAGACGATAATTGAATCCTCACGCACCCTCGTGTTGTTTTCTTCCAGTTGCTCCAGCTTGCCTTTAACCCTAATGTCCTCGGTCCTAGCTTTACAGTACAGGTAGTTCTCCTCCGCTAATCGCATGCATCTATCAACTTGAATCCAGAATTGATGCGAGAAGGTGGCGCCAAGGATCTCAAAGACGGAATTGAGACTCAGTGAAAGCGGCGATGGACGCAAATGACAGTGCAACTACCGAAGAGACTAACCAAAATGACGACGTGAGTAGGTAAGCCGATAGCAAACAGCCATTGCAAGTACAAAGTGAGATCATCACTAGATCTAGCGCCGCCCAATCTCGCGAATTCAACAGAATGGAGAAACGCAGGCCGACCTTTTGTGCGATGAGTCCAGGATTCGCAGTAACGGTGGGATCAAACTCCATCGGGTCATTGGATTCTGGAAAATCATGATGTTGATTACTATAACGCTTCAAGGAATGGTCATTCTTTAGTCATTCAAGTAAACATAGAGCACAGGCACCACCACCATCATTGGCCGAAGATCCGCCTGGTGAGCCCCAAGAACAGAGGGAACTATTCCTTGCGGAGATTAAAGACGCATCGATGTAAGCCGCCCATTGTGTGGACGCGTCGGAGGCGTCATATTCACCGCGAATTGGCTGTAATCCGGAGATATCAGTCACAACATAGATGATGGCATGAGAAAAGTACCAATATTGTCAAAAGGATTGCATAGAGACGCGAAGCAGATGTTAACATGGTGTACACGTTGATGCTACATTATAAAGACTATACAGTATGGCTACAAAGATTAGCTCTAAACAAGCATCAGCATCTCTTTCGGATTAGATTATGACGATGTTAACTCACGAGTAAATACAGGCACACTATTATCCACCGATTTCTATGCCGCTTATTTTGACAGCGAGTTTGAACGGAAACGGAGAGATTCCGTTGTGTGTAATAGGAGGCACCACAGAGCGTCCTCTTTCCGATGATGTATGCGTGAGCATTGTTTGAATTGATTTCGTTAGTGTTGCTGCTAACGTCGAGTCAAAGGTGAGTCGATCTATTATCGTATGCATAATCAGGGCCTATGAACGGAGAGGGAAGGGGGCTTTACCTCTATCGAGCGGTTGCCGAATTTCTGCGTTAATTATCCTTCACACGACGGTCAGCAAAAAGGTAAGAAATTTTAGGAAAAAGAGGGGCACCATTGCTCCCACGGAACATCCTCTTCTCCACCGCCATACACAAACCATCCCTTCTTCTGCCGTTTCTCCGAAAATGTCACCAATATCTTCGGAAATTTCGACGTCAGTCCTAGAAAAGAAACCAGGGGCTAGTAGTCATGCACCTGACCCCGTTTACTACCACCATTCTCGATGCTCTTCCAAAACAAGTCCACTTTCTCTTGTACCATCTGCTCGACTTCGGGGTCTGACACGCCGGGCTGGCGAATCCATCGTGAGCTTCAACGAGGTGGGATTGAGAAGTTGCACACCATCGTCACGTCAAGGACTTCGAATGTTTGCGGCTTGACGATGCCAAATAGTCTGTGAAACAGTATCGAGTGTAGCATTGCGCGGAGAACGTCCTTGGTTGTTGAGCGGTCTAGGACCTGAATAGATGGGTTTTCTGGTGATTACGGAGACAAAAAGGCATACCAGGTCAATCGTAATAGTGGATAGGCTGGACATAATATGTGCTCGAAGAAAAAAAAGACAGAAGGAGATGGAGGTAAAAGGCAGAAGGGACGTCACAGCCACGCACAACAAAAATCCGACTACTTCCATTGGCAAGCCACATCTTTTTCTACTGGACTCGAATCGACAGCAATTACGCCACAAAAAACCTGTAAGGTGACTCTAACTACGAATCCTTATAAAGGACTCTACGGCTAGTTTGCACGGATGGCTAAAAATGGCCTTTTCCCACTTTCTTGTCGTACTTCTATTCGCCTCCCCCCTAGCCAATAAAGTTGCTGAAGCATTAGGTAGCAGATAATATCGCTGTCAACTGGTCTTTTGTGGGCTCAGTAAGGGTCTGTCAGGAGACCCCTGGCGTAATAGGCTTCCTTGATACGGAAAACATAGTAGTTGCAAGCGCGATGGCTTGATCTTTCACAAATCCTTTAACTCTCAAGACTCACTCGGAGAAAATCAGAAGGTTGGTCATTGTACAACTGGCGAGATGGCTCCTACTTGCCAATGTTACTCCAAGATCCCTGATTTCCTGGGCCGTAATAGACTGGGCGAATGGAAAGACTGAGCAGGGAAGCACCTCTCCTTGTATCAGGCAAGCAAAATCCTAGTCGCAACGAATTCAAAGCACAATGCGCCAGGGCATGCGTCTGTTTCATCACGGGAACTCACATACTGTACTCGAAATGTCTCGGCGTATTTGCCTCGTATTCCCTGCTAGCTACCTCGATCCTCTCCTGGCAGTCCGATGGGTTCTGGTACTAACTAAATATGCTCGTTTCGTAACCTACTCGTTATGTGCTTCTGGTCTCTATGAACGGAGCCTAGAACTATTTATGCTGGCACATATTCGTACGGTAAGCTCCACAGATGGTGAAATACCATGTCCACACCTTCCACTTCGCCGTACCTAATCAACGAAATATAATTCTACGTGCTATTGGCTAGAACTCCAGAAGCACCTCCAAATGCCAGAGCTTTCAACGACTCTTCTAAAAACGCTTGCTGCCATTCTTTTGATGGCATCTTCTGCCGCTGCCAGACTTTCGAACCCTGTCGTACTTTCTCGAACTGCGCCAGTGAGTCTACCATATCTAGGGGATTTGACTTCACTGGGTCGGCTACGCTCGCGCAGCTATCCCATTGATACTCGCAGATAGTGCGAGTCGTTCCGAGGAATCCGTCGACTTCAATGAGGACATCAATAATGCAGGGGCTGTCTGTACCGCTTCCATTGGCATTAGTAGTCCCGCGACAAAATGTACGTATTTTTATACGCTATGATTGAATGGAACTCTGACTGTGCCTACGGATATTTTGATCATTGGCACTGGCCTCGTTCGTTTAACGTGAACATCAAAGGCAACGACGATGGTATATGTATATCTTGTTAATGGCTTTGGCTCGAATGGTACCGAAGGGCCTGAATTTATCATCGACTATGCTTTTCCGGAGTGATTCTATACCATGTATGACACGACGAACTCGGAGGTTGGGTTTGCTGCAACTACGAACACTTATGTTGAGACCAATTATGGGTTCCCCTTACTCCTGGCGCCAGAAAGAGTCTAAACCATTCGTGCAGGAATACATAGTGACGAGCAGTTCGGACTGAGGAAGGCACTAAAGTTAAAGTAAAGATCATTGTAACATATTTTTGGGAAATCATCTATAAATACAAAGAATTGCATGAGTCTGCGGGTCGTCAGGTCGGGTTAAATAGATGCCCAGTCATCAACCAAGGAAATGGATGCGGAAAGATTAACATCGAGCACGTCCAAACTGTCGAAGCTGTGGTACGCGTCGTAGGTGGAGGATCCTTGGGTGAAATCCGTCGTAGACGCGGTAAGTGGAGACAACTCGACGTTTTCTCCCGCGGCTGTGAACCAAAAGCAGCTATTGATATCAATATCGGACTTGAAACCGAATTGAGAATCGACACGGGAGTAGTTGGGCAGTTGGGGGGGATTGCTGTACTAAAGAGAGTGAATCAGCAAGCGATATGCAGGGGTAAAAAAAAGTTGGCGAACCATTTCTAGGTTAGGAGCGTCTAGGTCGAATGGTGAAATGTCGCAGGTGGGGACGAAATCGTCTTCCTCACCGCAGATAAACTCTCCCTGGTCCTGGGGAGTAAGGAACTGGAAAACCGTGGTAGATATCTGCTCCTCGTCGGCAGTGGCTGAAGAAGATGGGGTCTTGCATGTATCACTCTCCATCGTCTTCTCCAGCTCCATTCCATCAATACCCCCTCCAATCAACGTCGCAATCTTCTCGCACCTACTAACCTCCTCCATGGTATCGCGACTCTGACTCGTTGTCTTCCTCGTCTTTTTCCGCCGCGACACCGGTGTGAATTTGTAGCCAGGATACTTCGCGAGATGTTCCTTCTTAGCGCTGCTGGCCATGTCTCTGTAAACCTGCTTCTCAGCGGGTGGTAAAGCTTTCCAGAGTTCGCCACAGGTACGGCTGATCTCGCGGTGATTGCGTTCGCGTATGGTATCTTTGTTGTCGCGCCAGTAGTGGGAGCGGAATATCATGAACGCGTTGGGGGGACGGGGGACGTGTCCGGGAGCGCGACGATGCAAAGGTGTGTGACGGCGAGGGGAAGGAGTGTCGGACTGAATTGTGGAATGGGAATCAGTAGACGGTGTCGGTGAAGGTGCTTCGGATACTGGCGTAGTGAGGTACATGAGCAAGTCGGTGGCTTCCCAGCCTTCCCCTACGACAAAATGTTATAATCAAGACGCGACAGCAACTACATAGACTCACCATCGTATCGGACTGGTACTTGACTGGACAAGCGCCAAGATCGACGAGTAGTCATGGTGCGAATTGGGGCCATTGGACGCGTTTTTAGCGAGGAAAGAGGTGTATATGAATTCTGAGAGGCTGTAGACTCGTGCAAGTCAAAGGATGGGGCGAATGAACTGAGGAAATATGCATTTTCGCACTGGGCTTTTGACGGTTGTGAGCGATTACCTTAAAGGTGAGCGTAGGAATTTCACCACTCGTTACGAGCACGTCGTGGCTGCCTCGAGGCGTGAAAGGGCAGATTTGTCGTAATTCCCCTTCCTTGTTCACAAAATGAACTCCATTCGGTATTTCCATCAACCATCAGTGACCCATTTAGACCAACTGGCACCGACCAACCTCCCTGCCCTTCACACTTTCGTGATGATGGTCACGACAATTAAGATGACGTATTTATCTCGTGTCTTGATCACCTGTAGGATAGCAATATCTTCATTATTCTGTTATTTCGAGTCCTTCGGGCTTTCAGACATAAGAGGCATTTGAGTAGATCCAATAACTTGTCCAAAACAATTGTATTTTTTTACAATGCAGCCTTTGCATTTGCCTCTGCGGCAAACGGGTAGTCTGTATAACCCTTTGCAACATTGCCGCCAATGTAAAAGGTCTCCCTGTCGTACGGATTTAGTGGTATATTGTTCTTCAGTCTGCATACCAAATCAGGCTACCAAGATGATTAGTATGAAAACAGCGAATTTGGACACCAACAACTCACGTTTGCGAGGAAATGTCGACCGAAAGCAATGAGGTCATTCTTCTCATCGGCAACCCTGGTAGCCGTGGCTTGATCATAGCCACCCGCTGATATGACAGGCTTGGGCGCCCAAATTTCGCGCAAGAAATCATTCTCTTCATGAGCGTCGATGTCGTCGAGGTTTCTATCGCTCGTACCAACAATACGAGGTTCAACAACGTGGATGTAAGCAAAATCAGGATATTTTTCTTTAATCTGAGAAACGAGGTACGTGAAGGTCAGTTTGGGATCCTTCATTGCCATGTCTAAAATGGTCCTTAGAATCAGACATGGATCTGTATCAACAGAAGCCTACCTTGGAAGGAATTCCAGGGGCTAAGGCGATATCCAGTTTTATTTGCGCCTACGGCATTCACGACGGCATCAACGACCTGTAGCGGAAACCTCACGCGGTTCATGATGTTCCCGCCGTACTGATCGCTCCGTCTATTTGATACATTCTGCGTGAACTGGTCGAGCAAGTAACCGTTCGCGCCATGGATTTCGACGCCGTCGAATCCCGCTTTTATAGCGTTCTGTGCGGCTTCCGCATAGAGTTGGACATAGTCCTGGATCTCTTCGACAGTCATAGGCCGAGGAATAACCTTTTGTCCGGTCAAAGGGATGTCAGAAGGAGCGATATATGGGAAGGAAGGGTCTTCCGCCGCCAGAACTTCGGGATATGCAGCCCGACCAAAAGCCCAAAGTTGGCAGAAGATGTAGCAGCCTTTGGCATGGACGCGATGTGTGATCTAGGAAACTAAACATTGAATAATGATCCTGCGATTGTCATGGGTGCTTACCGACTTCCATGCATCTATCTGTTCTTGATTCCATATACCGGGAATGTGCACCCAACCTCCTGCCTTGGCTGCAATGATTGTGGCTTCGCCAATTAGCAGTGTCCCGGGTGTGTGTGAACGCTGCTCGTAGTAGTCACACATGACGGGGTTAGGTACGTGGGTGGAACTTGCTCGGAAACGCGTCAAGGGTGCTCCTACAACGCGATGTTGCAGGGACATTTCACCGACTGTAATGAGCTGGAACAGCTTCGAGGGTGCCATGAGGGGGAGATCAGAAGTTTCGTTTGACGAGAAGGCAAGTAAGGGAGGAATTATAGCTAACCACTTGTCTAGGCATCATGAAGCAGTGATCCCCGTCTTGATTAACTGCTACCACCATCATGATTGTCATGGATATCGGGTCTTTTCTGACTTGAGCGTGAGTCAACACATGCCTGCTCTCGGCCTTCTCGGTCTTGACCTCGGCTTACCGGTATTTTCTCTTATTTTCTCTTACTTTCTTTATTCTTCTTGCTGATACTAGAATATTACGGAACATTGTAGAATTATAGTGACTCAATGCCTTACTAGTAGCATATAAATATTGTCGTTACCATTGTATTAGAATCTTAAGCTAATTTCACTCCTCTTCGAACGTCCACTTAACTGTGTGAACTAAGCAACCTTGATCGGTTACGCCAAGCGCTTACCAATCAATTGCTTTCCGACTACGCCTAGCGCTTTTCGGAAACCCTGTCAGTTACGCCTAGCGCTTGTTAGCACCCTTACGGATCCCTCTTGGTGGTTGGAACTCGGCTTTCGGACATCCTCGCTCGCAACTTGGGTTTTACTTGAGTATTCATTACTTCATGTATTAGCTCGAAATACCCTAATCCTTAATAATGATATATGCTTCATGCAGCTGTGTTGAACAATTTAAAGACGGGAAGCAATGATGGGCGGAAGTGGTAGGAACATTGCTCTGGCAGGCACAAGGTGTATGTCCAGCATCATCATGAGGTAGATCGCAAATATCACAAATCTTTCTGCACATAAATATATGAGATTCACGACAAGATCAAACCATATCCAGTGCTTACCATCGTGCCCCCCTCCCCCGCGTAGACACCCTAGCTTTTTGTAGCACTAGCGAACAGAGATAAAAGGCTATTATAAACTAATATTGCGTGAATGAGATTTCACGTTGATTTAAATTAAATTAAATACTTAAAACAACTAATTAATTACTCTGGTCATGGGAGACTCAAACATGGCAAAACTAATCGCCACCGCACGGACCGGGTGAATCACTGCCGGCAACGCTTTCACTGCAACTGCCACTGGTCACATCTCCCTTTTTTTCTCTTTCTCATCGTGCGGTGCCCCGTAAAAACCATTGTTTTGAACGAACATGACTAACATGTCCTCAGGATCAAAGCGTTCATGGGAAGGCAGGGAATCCAGCTATCGCGAGCATAAAAAACCAAGAGAAGATACCAGAGATTGGAGGGATGTCCACTTGAAGACCTCGACTGGGCACTCTGCGTCCAGTGTTAGTGGCCGCAGAGGTAGTAATGGGCATCGCCGACGGGATACTGATCACAGTCGACGAAGTACTAGTCGACCTCGCAGGGACCGCAGTCGTCGTAGGGAGGACCAGCGACATGATAATTCACCTCGACAATATCGATCCCGCTCTCCAAGAAGCAATGGCAATGGGAGGCATGACAGCAATGAGCTGGAAGAAGGCGAGTGAGTGTCGTGAAATTTGACGGCTTCCCAATGGAATACAATCTAACTAGCATTTTTAGGATTTCTCCACGCCATAGCCCTCCTACTGCTCCAGATCCAGCACCGGCGCCGGCACCGTCTTCTTCACTAGCTCCAGCACCGTCTTCCGAACCTTTGCCCGACCTGCAACTGGATATACCGGCACTAACAGAAACCACCTTCGATCCTGAGGCCGCTCGAAAGGCTCGTCTAGTCAAGTGGGAGGCAATCCGTGCACGCTCGAGTGTGAATACGAGCGTTAACGGGACTCCCGCACCGGAGATTAGCAGTGCGGTCCAACCGCCCCCTTCTTCAGCCGTTTCTGATCATATAACGAGCAGTTTTAGCCATACATCTCTACTTTCCAACGGCTCTAAGGCGGGTGCGTTATATCTCTCATTGAAGTAGGTTTTATACTGACACGCGTCCGAAGATAATAAGCGCACGTCTCTGTCGCCATCACCGACTCCAGGAAATGATTTCGAGCTCGCTAAGGATGACGAGGCGGAATCATCACAACGCAAGACACAAGCCGAGAATTCTACCCTAGATGGCGCGGTTCAAGTCTCTGCGGGTGATTACGACCCTAGTCTAGACCGCAGAGAAGACGAGCAAAGACGTGTGTTCGGTCCTACTCAAAATGAACCTGAAGTTATGGAGGTAGATGAGGAGGAGGAGGAAGAAGAGGAAGAAGAAGATGTCGATGACATGTTCGCCGTCGCCACGACAGAGAAGAAGCCCAAGAAAGTCAAGAAAGTCAAGAAGACGGTCAGTCTCCGACTGTACACTTTTTTACCCCACTAAGATCTCCCCACAGAATCCCACTGCCCCTGCGCTAATAACAACCACTCTGGATTCTGCAGCTGACTCAGAAGGATATTATTCTGTCATACTTGCGGAACAGCTTGACGGCGGACGATATCAAGTGTTCTCTTCTCTCGGTAAAGGAATGTTTGCCAATGTCGTGCGTGCGCGAGTACTACAGGGCGATGGTGACGCCGTCGGAAGAGAGGTCGCAATAAAGATCGTTCGATGTCAGGAATCCATGTATGTTTGTGCGGCTTCGTGGTAATGATTTGCTCACAATCTGTAGGTACAAGGCCGGTCTCAAGGAGGTTCAAATTCTCAACAAACTAATGCAAGCCGATCCTGACGACAAGAAACATATTGTCAGACTAGAACGGACATTCGAGCACCGAGGCCATCTTTGTCTCGTTTTTGAAAGTCTGAGGTGATCATAATGCTTTTTTTCGGAATGATCTGTTTGTTGATTTTTCTATCAGTATGAATCTACGCGAAGTTGTCAAGCGATTTGGCAAAGACGTGGGTCTAAATATACGGGCTGTTCGGGCGTATGCACATCAACTATTCCTATCCCTTACTTTATTGAAGAAGGTGGGTGTAATGCATGCGGATATCAAGCCAGACAATATCCTAGTAAGTTCTGTTTTTCACGTTCGTGAGCGTTTTCTTATCCCCGCTAGGTGAATGAAGCGAAAACCGTACTGAAACTATGTGACCTTGGGTCTGCGTCTGATGCCTCAGAGAACGAGATTACTCCTTATCTCGTTAGCCGATTCTATCGTGCCCCGGAAATCAGTTGAGTGATTGTCTTATGTTTACAGATAACCGACTTACCGGCGTCCTTTGTGTTTTAGTACTCGGGGTTCCCTACGATCCTGCTCTTGACATATGGTCCATGGGCTGCACGCTCTACGAACTATACACGGGCAAGATACTTTTCCCCGGAAGATCAAATAATCAGATGCTCCTTCTCATGATGGAACTAAAGGGCCGGTTTAACAGCAAGATGATAAAGAAAGCGAAGTTCGGTGATGTTTATTTCGATGACATGGGAGGCTTTGAGAGTGTCGAGCGTGACCGAGTGTTAGGAACCGTCAGTCGCATTTATCCCATAGTGGACTAAAATGCTGATCCCAGTCTTTTCAGGACGTCGTACGCAAAGTTCACATCTCAAAGCCTACGCGCGATCTTCGTGCCCGCCTCATGCCGCCCGCGTCAGTCAAAATGAAAGATGATGAAAGCAAACTGCTACTCTCTTTCATTGATCTTCTTGACAAGTGCTTAGCGTTAGATCCTTCGCGAAGGATCACTCCTCGGGAAGCTTTAGCTCACCCATTCATCCGAGGATAGATAGACGGAAGTGGGCGAGTCCTTTTTTTACGTGGTACTTATACATATGTTGTACTTTTAATCGTTATCGCACCTGATTTAACAGCAGTAGCCGTTGAAGATCAGCGTCCGGATTTCACACGAACCGACTTGGGCAGCGATCGCCGCTGTCTACCAACGGTGCACGTTAGCAAGACATACCCGTCTCCCGCTTGTCACCTTTCGCAATCAAGGCACGGCAACAGATATTATTATATATAAACCGAGTCAAAAGCATGAGTCGTTACAGTGTTATGACTTCCTGCAGACTTGCACCAAAGGTCAATGATGGAAAGCCATTGCCGTCATTTGACGAGCTTCCCAATTTCCACAACTACAAAGGTTGTGCATGGGGATTATGGGGAGAGGACGACCAGCTTGGAACTGTCAATTTGCTGACTGACGATGTGGTCAAGCAAGCGGCCACGGAAGAGATCAGGTATGAGTTATCGTTATCCTTTCATCATACCACGGTTATCGGGATGGATGCATAAATTAGAACGGGTCAAAGCGTATCGTTGAATTGGTGGGTTGCTTTGTGTGATCACTTTCTTTGTGCACTTTTCTGATGTAATTTAGGCCAATCAACTTTCCGGAGAAGGTATGCCTACGCTATACTCCCCCGGTGCCCGTCGCTGACCGACTACTATTGTAGCCGTTATTCAAACGCAAAGCTGCGCAAATACTCATGATGCCTGATGAGCAAGGATATGCTCACCGAGAAGATGAGATAGAAATGGTACGTACGAGGAACCCCCTGGGTATTTTAAGTACATGCCAAGCTGCATGAAACCAACAGGACACACAATCGGGTTCGCAGTGGGATGGTATGACCCACTTGGGCGTCGTGGACCATAACGTTTTTTACAATAAGTGCGTTGTTTCCTTCCCTTTACGCGTCACCGTGATTCGAACGAGACTCCATGTCAGTACTCCTAAGGATATGCTGCTAGGTGGCAAGGTTCCCATTCCTAATCCTATGAACGTAGATCCACGATTGTCCAGGCTAGGGATCCAACGTGTGTCAAGGATGATCTCCGTCTTGTACGTTTGTAACCATAAATTCCACTCTAGACTGGGCAGACCATGGAATTTGCGGTCGGGGTGTGTTCCTCGACCTCGTTGATTTCTATATCTCTTCTGGAGATCCTATACCGTACGATCCCTGGACCAGTTATGCGATCAAGGTGCCGGAACTCGAGGCATGCGCTGCGAAGCAGGGCGTAAAGTTCAGGACAGGAGATATTCTGCTCATCCGTGTAGGCCATATCAAACGTTACAACGAGTCGTCGCAGGAGGAAAAGGATGCTGTGGGAAGCAGGGACGAAGAGACATTGTGAGCCGTTTGCTTGATGCTGTGCTCTGTAAAATCCTGATTGTTCTCTGACAGGGCCGGGATCGACCAGTCAGACGATATGAAGCGTTTCCTATGGTAGGACGAGTGTTTTTGTGTGCGATGTTCCAGGAACCTCACTGTTGAACAAGGGACAATCACTTTTCCGCTATCGTCTCTGATCAACCTGCTTTGGAGGTCTGTGCAATTTATCATGTGATTGCCCAGTAATTTACGTGGATCAACGAAAGCGTTGGCCACCACCGACAGGTGTGCCTCATATTCACCAGGTACGTCGCTGCGCTGTTGCTGCTCCTGCAAATCTTTCTAACTTCGTTTTAGACGATCTTGGGGTAAGCTTCCAAAGCATCATCATTCTGTCTGGCTCACGTCTTGTCAAGTTTGTGGGGTATGCCCATCGGTAAGTACACAGGATAACTCACGCCAACGTCGCTCATTGTTCTTTTTCATCAAGGTGAAATGTTTGACCTAGAAAAGTTGTCGCAAGTCTGCAAGAAAACGGGTCGATACACTTTCTTTTTCTCGTCGTGGCCTCTTCCAATGTACGTGGCAAAACTCAGCAATGCTGATCGGAAACTAAACTTGAAGCTGCTTTGTCAACAGCATCGGCGGCTGCGCCGCGCCTCCCAATGCTGCCGTAAGCACTTTTCTTGTCATTTGTTGGTGTCCTTTTGACGACTAAGTAACAGGCAATGTTCTAAATTCGGGGTTGCGTAGCGGATTTGATCATATAGAATACGCTTGAAAGAATGCCTTAATATGCGTCGTGTTAAATTGTTCTGTCTGCACTTAGAGGCGTACGAAATATTCATGTTTAACACCATGGTCGTACGATAAGTTCTTCGGTGAGAAATCGCTTTAAGATACAGCCGCCTCTCGGTGTCATTCTCTCACTATCGGACCTTGGATAGTCACAAGGATCCGCAGGAAATCCCACCTAACAGTCAGATGACATACGGAAGAATACCGTCATCTGGGGAGTACTGCGGATAAATATCGAGAGTGCTTTCTTCGTACTCACTATCACTTCCTCTGAAACATCTCAATTACGATGACCAATCCTTCGCCAAATAGCCGCCTTCAACAGATTCTATCATACGTTGCTCCCGGGGAAGTGAAGAACGCAGGCCATGAGACGCTACCGACGTTCGATGAACTTCCCATGTTTAAAGATCACAAAGGATGCGCATGGCAGGTTTGGGGTCCCGATGATCAGCTGGGAACTATCAATCTGTTGACGACGGAAGTGGTCAGAACGGCTGCATCGGAGGAGATCAAGTGAGCTTGTATCTAAATGCAATAGCTACGATATGTTTGGCTAATCATAATTATAATACACAGGATTGGTCAGACAGTCTCTTTAAATTGGTATGGCAGTTTCCTTCATCTCCGACGATAGAACTTTTCGTTAACAGGCTTGTCAGGCCGTTGAATTTCCCTAGCAAGGTGGCTAGTGATTTCTACGCACCCTATTTGCTCGCTCATCATTTTTATTATATCACAGCCGATGTTTCGACGCAGAAGTCCGGAATTGCTTATAATCGATAAGTATGATCGTGCTACACGAGACGACGAGATCCATTTCGTACGTATATAATAGAGATCACTTGGAAACTTGATATCTAATGTCTCAACAGAACTCGCAATCTGGTACCCAATGGGATGGAATGAGACATTTTGGGTTGATCGACCATGATATCTTTTACAACAAGTGCATCGTTTCAGCCTACTCACAGAACTTCCAACACTCATGCCATCTTCCCCTTCCTGTAGCACTCACAGAGATTCAATCCCCGGAGGCAGAATATGCATCACTGACCCTAACAATATCAACCCAAGCTACCAGCGCATCGGTATTCAAAGTAAGGCCATTAATTGACATCAGCGAGTAAATCTGATTAGGGCGTGGTATATGTAGACTGGTCAAACCACGGCATATGCGGACGAGGTGTCTTTCTGGATTTAGTCAGATATTACACGCAAGGAGGGAATCCGCTACCTTACGATCCTTGGACGACCCACCCAATCACAGTCAAAGAACTTGAAGCGTGCGCAGCTTACGAAGGAGTCAAATTCAGGACGGGGGATATTTTAATCCTTCGCGTGGGATTCATAAACAAATTCAACAAGGTGACACAGGAAGAAAGAGATGCGCTGGGGAGTAAGCCGGAGACCTTGTAAGTCCTTTCGCCCTGATGGAGAGTCGATTCGGAGTTCAAACCCGATCATTCACGATAGTGCCGGAATTGAGCAGTCGGATGACATGAAGCGGTTCCTCTGGTATGGCAACCATGCTGTGGCCGGAAGCTGGTATTGACTCGCAGGAATACTATCCTATTAGGGACAATCATTTCGCCGCCGTAGCGTCCGACCAGCCTGCTCTTGAGGTATGTTACATGTCATTGCAGTGTATAAGATCAAAACAAACCTGTGTAATATCCAGCGCTGGCCTACACCCGAAGGCACCCCTCATATGCATCAAGTTTGTTGATTCCTTTGACTGTTACAGGTGCTTGTCTCATATTAGTTTCTAGACGTTGTTGGCGTGAGGCTTTGGATTTGTTACGCTGATTGTACCCTGTTGACGTTCCGATTGTTTCTAGCCTTTGGGGTATGCCAATAGGTATGCCCGATGGCCGTTTCACGTGCGAAATTTATTGACCGCGCTGTTAGGTGAAATGTTCGACTTGGAAAAGCTGTCAGAGATATGTGACGCGACAGGACGTTACACGTTCTTCTTTTCTTCCTGGCCACTGAACATGTAAGTATGCATGCGCTTTAGGTGGTGTAGCAATGTTCTGAATATTTCTTTAAGTATTGGCGGATGTGCGAGCCCCCCAAACGCTGCGGTATGTGTCGTTCCCATGTTGACCTATTTTTTTCTCAATGGTAACGCAATAGGCCTTCTTCTGAGTTCACCTTCAAACTAACAATACCATTATCATGGTTTGTATATATTAAATCCTAAGAGATATATTCCCGGAGGGCAAGTTTTCTTCTTAGTCAAAGTTGTCTTCATTGTATGATTGTATACTATGTCACTAGCAAGTTCTTGGATATATCAAGGCGACCAAATAGTTCTGAGTTGGGTGGAATATTTTCTCAAAAGCTGGATGAGGTCTAAACTTGCTGAGTCGGCATTTCTGAGACAACATTGCCTTTTCTCGTGTCAAGCAGCATTGAATACGTTCTACGAATTTCCAGGCTAACCCATAAGCTTGAAGCTCTCATGAGCATTAGTAGCGAGCCAGGGCTTATGAACCTGCCTAGTCTCGGATCAGAGCGCTATGATGTTTCAAATAGTATGACGAGAATGGTTCTGGTGTAATTTATTCAGTCTGATGGCCGTGAGCCGGCATTCCGCCAAATCGAATCGAGTTTTGAGTTTACCAACAAGCCTAGCATGCTGCTGCTTCTATACGCGTTCAATGAGCTAGAATTCCCTGTTCAAGGTACGAAGCTCATCCGATTCTCAAAAACGAGATATGCTCCACCATTGAAGTAGGAGTAACCGAGTTTAAACTTCAATGGCAAGATAATTAAGCTCAACACACGTAAAATGGGTGTAAAACCTACTTTTTTTAAAATAAAAAAACTAGTTCTGGAGATTGCTAATACAACAATGAACGACATATAGGGATCCGTGGTGTCGTAATATGATGGACCTACTCGCGCCTACAGGCTCTTGGATGTCGGACCGAGTGTGAGAAACAAGGTAAACCAAATGGAGAATAATGTACACGTGACCTTGTTTTCCATCAACGCGTGTTGACCACGGACGTGGGGCATTCCCACTTTTTGTTCTCCATTTGTGTCTCCACGGACGCTCGTCGTCGCCGGCAGCCATGAGCAGGAGGGATTCTCGTGCGTCTCTGGGGGCGCGGCAGAATGACGCCCTGTTCGAGTTCGAGAACTGTGCGTTGCCACCTTGTTTCTGCATTTTCTCCGCGAGATAACTGATTGTGGGTGGCACGACAGTCAAGAAGAAGTTTCTGCAGGCGAACAAGCAGATAACCAAGTGGGCGCTGCAATTTATCTAATCGCGGCCGGTTTTCTGATATTCCTTGACTCAGACTCAATTCAACGATGAGCGTTCGAATAGAAGAACTGAACGCCCAGATTTCGACGCTGTACAACGAAAACTTACGACTCCGGGCCTCTGAAATTGCCCTTTCGACGGAACTCAAGCGAGAACGACAAAAGTCGGGAAAAGTGCTGGCTGAGGTAGAGATAGCGGTACGCTTGCCTGGTCATCGGTATCAGACGACGGTAACTGACGGATTCCCAGGCTCTCGGTCTCACCAAGCACCTCGACTTCCTGCGACAAACATTTAACATACGCCAGCCTTCAGAATCTCCCACGCCAACACTTCCCAGAGCCACACGACGCCCGTCACCAGCCACGTCTTCGTCGTCGCCGTCGCCGACGAACCGCCTATCCCGACCACCAAGTATACCAGGAATTTGCGAAGAGGAGGAGCCAAGCCCCACCTCGGAAGAAGAGCAAATTGAAATCGAGAAACCACCCAGTCCTTGCCGCAAAGTCAAGACAAAACCACGGTTATCAGCGTCGAAGCTGCCGCTGCCATCTCGGATGGCTTCTCCGCCCCCAATGCTTGATCTTTCTTCCACACATGTGAATCCTCTGCGAAAGAAACCAGGACGACGTCAAAGTGGTCTGCTAACAGTCAACATTGACATGGTCCAGGGTGACATACTGTCTATGCACCGGCCAGTCACTCCTATCCTAGGAATGACCAAGGCGGAGAATGAGGCTTGTGAAGAGGAAGAGGAAGCAGAGGAGGAAGCAGCTGTCTACAGTGGCTTGGTCGAAAACGTGGACGAGGAGGAGGAAGTGGAAAGTGTCAAAGTCAAGAAGGAGAGACGACGCAAATATAAGGACCGGGACGCTATAGCCGATACCACCTGCGATAAGGAGATGAAATCACTTCAAGATGAAGACGGCGACTTGGTGTTGGCACCTCAAAAACTCAAGTTTAAGGACGTAACGAACTCGCCTAGGCGGCGAACGCCTGACCCTGGCACTGATAGCTCCGGTATGCAATCCCTGGCTGATATCATCCCATGAGGCTAATATTTTATTGTAGTCAATACTGTTCCAGGTGACTCTGGGGCTCCTCGCCAGTTCTTAGTATCTTCCCCGTCGCGCACCTCCCATCTTCCCACTCCCCATCCTTCGAGTCCCACGCCACCACCAGAACCTGAATGTGACACTGGTGGACGCGAGCGTCGGGTCAGAAAAAGTGTCAATTATGCTGAACCCAAGCTAAACACGTGCGTGGTATCCACTATTTGACCACTTTTCTCCTCGCTAACACAAATGCTCCAGGAAAATGCGGAAACCTGACTCCGCAACCGGTAATTCAGCACCGAGAAAACGTGCATCGGCGTCTGCTGCACTGGCTACGTCTACGTATAAGACCGTCGTGGACGACACCACGCACGATGCAGATAATGACACCGAGGCCCGGTCGTCGGTTGAACATCCTCGTGCTAATGGAACAGCCATTGACCCTGCACAGTTGCCTCTTCCACCTTCACGGCCGTCGTCGAAGGTAGGGCAGAGAAAACGGTCAAGGCCACCACCTGTAATTGATGATGACGATGACGACGGCGCCGACGCGGATGCAGAGTACATACCAGCCAAAGGACTGGCAAACGGATGGGTTAGTGACGGGAAACGACGACAGGGAGCGAGGAAAGCCGGCTTGTATGATGAGGAGACCCGACGACATAGTCTCGCGGTTTGATACCCTGGGACACCCCCCTAAAGGTACTTTTTATGTGGTAAATACGAATGAGAAGGGTGAATATGACCATGCATATTGGGCTGTAATATAATATTATCACTATGGTACTACACTTTATCACGACTCTCATTTTGGTGCACATATTTATGTAAATAGATTCTTAATTAGTATTTTGGCGCTCTTGTGAAACGTTGAACAGATGTAGTGGTGATACAAGAAAAAGGTTATATATGGGAATGGGTCTCGCTCTTCTCACTGCTAGCGCTAGCCAGAACTTCAGGTTTCAGCCACGTAGCATAGTCTACGTCCCCATCTCTGCGCCTGTACAGGTCATCATCATCCTCGTCTCCACTCATATCAACATCTCTGGCTAAAAATTTATCAAGCTCATTGACATTTCGTTCCACGTCCACCTGGGAATTATATCCCAACTGCGACCCCTGGAGCTGCGTAGATGCAAAGGGCGGTTTAAACGCTCCGGCATCGTATGTGAAATCAGGAAGCTCGCCCCCATCGCCGTCATCATCACCATCAGAATCCTCGTCAGCAATAGATGATAGCGACTTGGCAGGCGATACGAAGTCGACGTCCATGTCCATGTCTAGGTCCACATTCACAGGCTCCTCCGGTACAATTGGTACCGGGGTCTTAACAGGGGAACGCGGTTTGGGAACAACGCGTCCTTTGCCTTTGGGCGTCTTTCTAGCCGAGGCGAGGAGCTCTGTTAGCGTCGGTAAGGGCTTTTTCTGAGGCGTCGTCGGGATCGCCGTTTGTTGCTTCCTGGCAACTAGATCAGCCAATGGGGAGGCTTCTGGTTGTAGTATGATATTGCTAGAATCTGAAGGTGGTGGTTCTGTCCGCGAATGCTTCGAAGGTCTATCAGGCGTAGAAGAATTTTGTCTCTTAAGCAGGGTTAGCCCTGGGATTTGAAACGACTCTGAGCGGCGGAGACCATTCTGCTCTGGAGTAGATATATCTGTGGATAAGGGTGGAGGGTCCACGTTGGGTGAAGATGCAGGGGAAGAGGATGGGACAAAGACAATGGGGGGAGGTTTCTTGCGTCCAAGGTCCGGTGGAGTAGAAGTGTCAAGTCCCGTAGGAAACGAAGGTGGGAAAAAAGCCTGTTGCCTCGACTTAGCCGTAGCTTTGACAGTTTGAACAAATCATTACTGACCGTCTCGGAAACATCACTGATGTTTGCTTTGCCCGCAGAAATACTGCTGATGTTTCCGTTTACAGGCACGTATATGTCGTCTGATTTATCTTTCGGTGGTGGAGACGGTTTCTTTTTCGCAGCGTCTGTCACTTTGCTACGCTTCGAAACGGTAAATCCCAATGGCGACGGGTTCTTAGGATCACGACTTTTCCGGCCTTTGGTAGCAGATGAACCAGCCTTGCTTGCACCCTTTGGGCTGAATTTTGCTGCGGGAACCTCGACTTCGACCACTGCCTTGTCCTTCGACTTGGCCCGAGATTTGGCCCGGCCTGGTAGTGACTCTGTGTCGTCCAAAGGTGGGTCATGGATAACGACATCCTTCTGCCAGTTCTCCACTTTGCTCTTCAACAGTTTCTCGGCTTCTCTCCGTTTTTCCCACTCGAACCACTCCTCTTCGGTGCCGACCAAAACGAATCCACAGGGTCCAGGCTGCGCCTCCTCTCCATCAGTGCGAACGCCAATCCATCGTTTGCCTGCACTGGTGGAACGAAGTCGAAGCAGCTCTCTTAGACGAGTCCATTTGCCGTCTGCAGGATCCCCACTACTGTATTCAAGAGCTTCGACAACTTGGTCGTGCAGTATGCGCACACGTTGTTGGGCATCGTCGTCAAAGTCGGAGCCACAGTCCGACGCTGGAATTTCTTCCAGTCCAGCAAGTGCTATATGTCGTTGAGATAGCTGTTCCAGATATGCAGATGGTGAACGGTGTCCAGATGCCACTGACGACGACATTGAGGAAGAAAACGGGCTAGAATAGAATACTGGGGTATAGGGCGTCTTGGATGGCTTGAAAGGCTTTGTAGTCATTATGTCGTATCAGGAATTGCAGAATGAAATCGAAATGAGTATAAATATGATAAAAAAGGGTAGAAGTACAAAGGGGAGCGTCGCGCCAAGTTCGAATTGATCACGTAATTCGAAGGCTTCCCGATAAGACATAGACAAATAAAAGATAAAGATTTTTGGCCACAAAAAATGAGAATCAAACTCAAAAACCTATAGAGCAGTAACAAGGTTGGATTATACCTCGGTTGAGTCTAATGGCTATTCCAGGTTTGATAAAGTAGACAGTTTCTGATGGTAGTAATACCGGTATTAGAGTAGTCCGAAGCTCCCGCGGACGTTGGCAACACTTATCAATGATGGCTCTTCGCAGCAGTCTAAAAGAAATACCATCGCACGAGTCATCTCTGCACAGCTAGGCAACTGCGGAATAACTATGGATTACTTGAACATGCGATGCGCCTCACCTAGGACAGCCCAGTGGCGACCTCTCTGGGGAATATAGGGCAGTTGCTGAGTTTCGAGAATCAAAGCATGGGGGATATGTATCACATTGACAAAATGCGTTTCGCATAGAGGATAGGCCTAAGTCTAAGAAACGACACAGCCGGATTTCGGTTTTCAATGCACTGAACTGCCTTGAGCATCCCGATACTGCACCATCTTGAGCTACGAAGCTTGAAGACTGAAGACTATCCCACGTTGGTCATCAATACCGTTCCTTAGATTTACATACATTGTTGGGCCTTCTGGGCAATTAATCAACATCGACATGTTTACACCGTAGAAGCCTCAAGACCTCACCAGTTTCATCCAACCAATAACTAGATCCATCATCCACAGCACATGCCTCAAATTGCGGTCAAAATCGTCAAATGATGTTGCATCCGTCTGCTCCTAGACACCGTACAGCCGGAAATAAGACCCTCGCAGCTACGACAAACGAAACCGCAGTTATAGGTGATGATGCTGCCCAGTTATATATCAGACCTACTTGCCTATATCTATGCGAATGAAACACGTTTCCGTGTCGCTGAACGATCCGTGGATGGTCGCTCTTTCTGGTCGTCACTTGTTTTGTGTCCTGTGCCCGTGTGTGATGCTATTTGCCTCCGAGATTTTGCCTTCTCTCTCTTGTGCTTTGAGCGCTCCGCTGCCAAGATGGCTTTCTTCTCTTTCTGTACTTTGCGCTGATCAAAAGAAAGAATCAAGAGAAGATTTTTGAGCGCACAATTCTACTTTTGGAAGACTTCTTCTCAATCCTTGTACTTTCGGGGCGCACAAGCTGTGTAATGATCGGAACGTACTCGCGGGTCAAAATACCACGTCGACATACCTGTGTATGGCGCCGGTCAGATCTGCTCTTAGATTTGGATTCCTGCAGTTCCCCGATGGATACTGCGAGGTCCAGGGTATCCTGTGCGAAAAAGACACATCAGCCAACCGAAATTTTTTTTGAGCTGCATATCAGCATCTCGGACCTGTGATTCTAAGAATCTCTTGGGCTTTTTGCCCTTGCCCTTGGCCCCTGCTATTGAAGAAACAACTGCCATGAGAGAGAGACCCTCCGAACGTGGGTTGGGTTAGTGACAGAGAAGGAATTTGATTGCTTGGTCAGCTCGATCGATGCTTTTTGATCGCCGGCCTTTCCCTCGGCTTCAACCATCTCTTTTGACGACTACGAAGAATGTCGGAGGCAAATAGCATGGATCATACATGCGTAGAAAACAGATAGAATAGCTTCTCTGGACTACGAATCCAGAAATTCGGTCGTCGTCATTCGTTTCTCCGCATTATCCATACAAAACGCCGGACTGAAATCTGTTCCATGCATACCCTTTCAGACATCTTCAACGCTCGATCTTTATCATCGTTATATTTCCGACATATCTCTGGTGGAATTATACTAAAGGATCTATGCTAAATCCAGCTGGCGCTGTCGTTGTTCTTGTTTCTTCTGTATATCAAGACTCACGTGTACCGGGCGGCCTTTCAAGCAAAAGCCTGGAGCACGAGGGGATCAGCCCTCAAAACCGGGGCGATTTGCTGTGATATTAGGTTCCTGTATCGAGAGCATTGATCACACGCATCTATTCTCGTCCCAGGGACACGCAAGACGGACTCTGTACAGGTTTCGCGGGACGCGAGCTGGAACAGGCATCGTCGTCCTTGTACCTCTTAGATCTTCCTAGCAGCCTCTACTGATATTCCGTGTCCCTCGGCTTCAGATACAACTGGTGTTGGTCCTACATAATTCTTTAGGACGCACAGCATTTACGGGCCGATGATTCCGGGTTTATCGATATCTCAAGAGCCTTCAGATCCCAGTTCGACTTCTCTTTCTGAACTAATTCTGCCATTTTCTATAAAATATGCCAAGGCTCTTCCCGGCTCCACCATCAGTCCAAAGGCGCTGCCTGATGTGGTAAACGCCCGGCGGACATTCTCTGAGTCCCTAGCGACCCTTCACGAAGATGGCGTTGACCTTCGTTAGCGAACCGTGAGTCCACGGATCGAAATCATATTATGCTGCAGTACAAAACATTGTTGCGCACACTGACTGGATCTGATCGCAGTGATCTTACATCGATGTCGTCGTTCATTCCCTAATGCATCTGATCATCCCTACTACTGAATCCGAAAAATATACGATACACATCAACAAACTAGTGATGGAGTTTGGCGCTGCAGGGTATCACCGTGTTTTATCTGTCTTCGCCTACAGTAGCTAATGACGACGTTTCGCGCAGGGACACTGGTTGGACATTTGGGCTGCGTGTTGACTTGTAAGAGGGTGGATCATTGTGAAATGAGGTACGACGATTCTGGCTTAGTAGCCTCCCGTGATGGATGCGGCGCCCTCTTGCCTTGTTTATTACTACTCCTGGCAGCGCCTTTCCTGATATGGCTCGTGGGCGATGATCTACTTGACGGTCTCGGATGCGTTGTATCTTTTGTACAACCGCCCATAAATCATTGGATCATTGAGTATCGTATAAAAACAGAGGAATACCTTTGAGATACTCCATCTTCACTGTTACCTCCCAGTCTTACAACTACACCTTCATCTTCTCCTTCAAACACTCTCACACAATGTGTCGCCGTCGCCAGTAAGTACCGTTTCGGTGCTACATTCTCTCCTCTCACAATGTCTCCCAGAGTCAGGAATTTCTACCTCCGATGCGGTCACGCTGTAAATCTCGTATGTCCTTCCGTTCCCGACCTACCCGCCCCCACTGACCACCCTTGATCTAGCCCGAAGAAACGGTATGATATCGAGCTCGCCAATCTTACCTCCGCAGTACTCAATTTTCCCGCCTCTCTCTAGATTACATGCGAACAGTCCAACTGCAAGTTCAGTCCATTCCACCCTGCGAGCTGCAGGCCGCCTGCTTGCCACCAGACCTGTTGGCAATAGTACGTCCTTCCTTGATCTTCACAATACCTCATGCTAATCGCTGTATTACAGTCACCGATATCCTGAACAATATTGTACGGCATCTCCTACGAGTCTTCTGTTCTTGCGCGCTGATATTCAGAATCATAGCCCCCCAAATCGACAGGTATTGCCCCACCTGCAGCCAGGCTATGCAGTACCGCCGCTGAAGAAGGGCTTCGTATCTATACCGTTACTAGGACATTTCATTAACATAGAATTAGACTAGACCTACTTACTCAGACCCCACGATAGAGTGCACTTACCAAAAGAACCTGCCGGGCTTATTTATTTGCAGGGGCTTAATACATACTGGTCTGTAAAGTAGATCAAACCAACGGAACTTGGGTGCTTCTTTCCTGACAGCTCGTAGTGAAGCTGGATTTGCTATGTCGTCCATGAGTGTTACAGGCGCTTTCAGCGTATTGATATGGGAGCCTGACCCTGATCGGCCGCAGTCGAACGGATCAGGTTCGAATGGTTTCCTAGAAATGCAGAGCCCTTGATTCGCACAGCTCGGTGGGGACCAATTTACACGAGTCAACTTGGGATCGAAATCCTAGCTACAAGGATATTTTGCTCAAATCTTTAAACATTTCCTTCTTAGGGAGGTTCTTGGATTTTGATTTTACTTGTTTTGACCCGCTGCAAACAGTTGCCATCCCGCTATGATCTTTTGATCGGGTTGAGGGCCATGCCGCCACTCTCTTACTTTCCGCAAAATTGCGCGCTTGTCATTGGTCGGTCCTTTTTAGTAGTATTAAGTCGGTAGTATATCGCCGCTTCAGTTGATTTCATGATGATTGACGATGTGCGATTGTCCAGTGTTCACTTGTCATGTTCGCTATTATATCTAAGATCTACACAAGTATCCAAGAAGCCTTGGAGAGGCAGAGCCGTCACTTAGAGGGGCGGTAAAGAATCTTACGGCATTCAACCTGGATACCGTGATTCACATTGCGCACCGGTATCGGGTGACGTGTAAATGGTGGAACTAAAGATGAGGCTAACTCAAATTAATCATGTAATAGCACGCCTGCCGTATCGTTTCTGGACCATCTGCCGACTGCATAACTTGGTGTGTAATTCCCCTTCGCCAATAGGGTGGCTACCGCACGGTAGCATTTCCTTCACAATGACGCTCGTCTATAAATGTTGTAGCCACTCGCTTCCTTGATCTTGTCGAAATCACACCAACAATGACTTGATTCATGAATGATGCGCGCATTTAAATCTGGGTGCTCACGACGAAGACCTCAAACATGCGGTATGAGCGTCATGAAATTTGATTGGGTTAAATATGCTCTTGTAATTCTGCGATATAATCCGACGAATTGCCTATATACGAAGAGTAGTACAACATCTAGTTTGTGTCTAGTCGTTCGGAGTCCTTGGTCCGATGTCAAGATCGGTGGAGAAGCCGAGCAGCCGCGGTTAATTTTGCAAATTGTAATTGCCGGCTGCGAATTTCAATTACTGTACCCGATCAGGAAGCTGGACATATATGGAAGCTGGACACTCGCAGCAACCACTGACCGGAATTGTGAGCGGCTTGTTGCGGTGTCATCCCACATCTCTGGAGCATCGTTTCTGATGCAGTTGTTAACCCATTTTTAGATTTCTACTCTTTCATTTCAATGTTTCTTACTTGAAGTCCCGTATCTGGACCAAAAATACGATATAAATGAAGTTTATAGCACATTATAATTCCCATAGGCACAAAGTAAGGACATGTAAATATACTGTGCCTGACCGGGAAGCGGGCCGAACTAGTTTGTTTTAACTGTAAAAAATCTAGCATCACAATTGTCCCATGTTAGTCACCACTTGTAATAAGAGAAATATCTGTTCTATTATTGTATGAGGTTTTGAGCCTGTATGAAAGGGAGCTTCTTACACTATGAATATTTTCCTAATTGATGGTCTCAAAAGCATGGAAACGGGTCAACCAGTATTTTACATAATTTAAAGCAAACTATCCTTACTGTTATGCTGTTATCCTCTCCAGGAGCATCCATAAAGTAAGCTATGATCCTGAATTACATTGTGGAAGTGTACGACTGTGATAACGGGTGAAAAACGGCCTTGTTTGCATGAAGTTGCTTGCAAATGGCAATTTGACATTTTTCTCAGATCAAAAAAATTATTGAGAGGGAAATTTAAGATGAAAGAACAAAAGCTCTTGTACATAGATGCCAGATAGCCCAACCTCCAACCTGAAAAAAACTGCTCATGAAAAGGTACCATAGTCGTCGAGATATGAGCGGTTGACCCGTTACCATGCGTGACCCGTTACCTGATATGGCACAGTATTCTGAACTGGTATTATTTATTTTACGAAATAGAAACCGCCCAGATGGTGTCATTGGGTAGAAGAAATATAGTAGATAGCTCTGGTAAGGTATTTTCTCTCTTTCTGATGCCCTTCTTTATGAGGGATATAAACAGCTCGTTGCCCACTTTAGTGATGCCAAAAAATTCGAAATATATGCTCATTCTATTCTACATTGCCCATTGGTCCCTCCATGCTCTCTCAATAACTTCAGAGTCCATGTCCAGCTTCCTTGTTTTGGGTGTTGTGTGACTATTCAGTAAGAATTTATTTCTGCAGCTGCTATTGTATCTACTGTAGAATATATTTAGCTTTCAAACAAAAAAAAATTCATGCAAAACGGAGCAGGAATGGATGCGAGACCCTCAATTCTATTTAGAGTGTCCAGCTTCCTGATTAGGCACAGTAGTCAGCGTCTAAAATTAGCTGCTTATGGGGTCATGTGATCGTTCTTTCAAACTCCGAAATAATCCCCTGCGCTCTAACGTCACCGATTTTTTACCCTTCTCCGTCGTACCCGTTCCTTTGTAACGACCACTTCATGACCACAGAATTTACTGAACGAGATCCCTTACTCCCAAAAAATGCTGACGAGGCATCTGAAGAGAAGTGCCCAGTAGGCCCCCTCGAGATATCACCCGCTACGCGATATGGTATCTTAGCAGGAGTATGGACCGCTACGTTTCTGTCGGTGGGTTCAGTTCTTATTCTCCAATAAATGGCTCACTAATTATACCCCTTCAAAGTCTGTCAATCGTACGTGAAAGTTTTCTGCTCGCTGAGTCAATGACTTGAAAATGTTTCACACAGTCACCCTCGTACCAACAAGTGAGCGAACAATCGGTTCTGGAATTTGGAGGGAATAACATTTCTGCCAGTGCTTCCATCCATCTCTTCCAATTTTCACAAATCACACCAGGCTAGTTGGCTCGGAACATCGTCAGTACTTTCAGCATTTCCTATGTGCACGTTTATCTGAGCCCCCCCGTTCGTAGGTATCTGCTCGCCACATGCACATTTACTCCGCTTTACGGGCGTCTTTGCAATGTCATGGGCCGAAGAGGAGCGAATCAGACGGCGGTGCTTTTCGCCGGCCTGGGGACGCTCGCATGTGGCCTATCAACTAACATGGAGACCCTAATTCTTGCTCGATTCGTATGTGTTCTTGATCTCCACCCCATAAATTTGTATTTACAAATGCCCAGATATCAGGTATAGGAGGCGGTGGTATCTTCACGACATCGACGTAGGTACAAAGTGATTTCTTTCAGGGTTAATCTGATAATCTTTGTCAGAATTGTCATCAGCGACATGTACTCACTACGGGTTGGTTTCTCGTCTCTGGGTTCCTTCCCTATCGCTGACAATTCTTTCAGTCGAGAGGTCTGACCCAAGGAGTTGCCAGCGTTTTCAATGGCGTAAGTGTTTTACACCAAATTCACTGCTAATAGAAGCTGATGTTTGACCAGCTGGGAATGGGCTTGGGTGGTCCTATAGGTGGACTTGTCACAGATTGGTATGCTTCCGCGCCGAAAGATGCCCCACGTAAGACTCATGCTTGACAGGCTTGGTTGGCGTTGGGCCTTTCTGATACAAATTCCTTTCTTCGCTGCGTCGTTCATCCTGACATCGTACAACCTTCGCTACGTGACATCGGTAGGTCTGCTTGTCTGTGGATCTGAAAGCTTATTCATCTTTCTTCAGGGTAGAGGAAAGAGCACCAAGGATATTCTAAAGCGCATCGACTACGCAGGCAGTCTGACTTTGCTCATCTCCGTGGGTAGCTGCCTCTTCTTCCTCAGTACCCGCTATAATGCGATACTACCTGTGAGTGAAATATATGCGTGCAAAAGTCTCTTTTCATTATTGAAATCTAGTGGTCCGAGCCGACGGTCCTTGTTCCTCTGATCCTGTCAATCGTTTTCTTCATCGCCTTCATAATCGTTGAACTTCGAGTGGCGCGAGAACCTGTTCTGGCACCATTTCTGTTGAAACAGCGTATACCGGTGCTCGTGGGATGCTCAAACTTCCTTGTCGCGCTGTGTAACTTTTCTATTACGTTTTTCTTCCCCATGTGGTTCCAGACGGTCCTTCTTACAAGCGCATCCACTGCTGGTACGTAAGAAAATTTCTCATGCTACTCTTCCTCATTGCTCCACAGGGTTGCATCTGGCGCCCAACAGTGTATCCATGTCGACTGGGTCAGTTTTCGCTGGCTGGATGATGCATCGCACAGGCAAATACAAGATGATCAACCTTATCTGTGGTTTGTTCCCGTTCATTGCCACTGTGCTCATACTCCAGATGAAAGAGGATTCTGGGCCAATACAATCTTGGCTAAGTATCGTACGTCGAATCGGGTGCCTTCCGATTTCTCTAGCTATTCTTTTGTTCCATAGCATTCACCGCATCACCTGTGTTCTTATAACATTTAGATCCCTCTTGGATTCGGAAATGCCGTTGTTCTGCAAACCATGCTAAGTACGGTGGTGTGTTATATCGTCGACCCGCCTAATATCTTCCATTTTTAGTTGCTCTGTTGGCTCATCTTCCTGGTAAGAGCCAAACCTCAAGCACATTCTATTGAAATAACAAAGTTTGAAGAATCTCACATGGCGGTTGGCACTGGTTTTGGTCAAGTATTCCGAGGCCTAGGTAAAGCAATTCATAATGACCACTTTTCCCTTTCTGAAATTATGGGCAGGTCAGGTAGGAGGTGTCGCAATTTCCTCTGCTATCTTTCAGACAAAGTTGGATGGTGAACTTCGGAAACGTATCGATGGCCCAGACGCAGAACAGGTCAGTCTCTTGAGACCTTCGCCACTTCTGTGTTTATCTTCTTCACAGTGGATTAAATCCATCCGACGGTCAGCGCGTTTGATTCATGATCTGGCCCCGGACTTGCAGAGAAAGGCTCGAGATTCCTACTCTGCGAGTCTCAAAGCCGTGTTCATGTTTTCAGCCTGCTGTACCCTTCTTGCATTCCTTGTCCGTTTACCGGTACGTCTTTACTCTAGGCCGTTGTATTATGCTTTGCCGTCATGTGGTTACCTCTATAGATCCCGGAGAAAGACCTCGACAGCCGACCCAAATCGCATGCCCCAGCTGACGATTCATCGCGGGAAGAAACGGCTATCGAAGAGGGTTCTGGAGACGTGGAGGCCCCTTCGATCAAGAAGAAAGTGCGTCGGCTGTCTACCTTTGAGTCTGCCGTAGGCAGTATGGACTTGGAGAGCAGTACTATCGGCGGTTCCGCCAGGCAACCGCCACCTCCTTAATTTACAAGTGTCGAACCCTTGCTTTGGACATGTTGCCGTCCTTAGAGGCACGATAGTCCAAACCTTTTCTGTACTCTTTTTCCATTATCAAGTTAACGTCATGAATGATTCCTGTGTGGTGACGAGAAGCAATACTATGAGGTCGAAATGGAGCGGGGGATTAGTCGGGGGCCCTGGTGTACATAGGCGCGCGCCATCCTGTCCCGCTGTTTAGTCGCATCGACATCATTAATACTGATTGTTTAGTTGAAGGGGATCTATTTATAAGGCGTCAGCGAGTCTCTGTGCCTGATATTTGCTAGACTTTGCTTCAACCGTTTGCGCCTCCTATCCAACTTTGTTGATTCATCGATTAGTTAGATATTTATCTGTCCGACTAACTCTAGTGCTATCGATATGTCAGTGGAAGGTATTAGCTGGGGGATATTACGCTGGTTGACAGACGCAACCATTCAGATGGGGCATACTCACAGAAACTCGCAGGCACAGATACGGCACAGCTAAAGGTCGACTCGTTCCCTAACGTGAGCGGGAGGAATGAGCCAAGGTCTCTCGATATGCTCCTCGAAAAATTAAATTAAAATCGACTTGACAATTCACATACTTATCCATTACTGAACTCTACCTAACACAGGATATCTAATGGGGCTCCTTCATGGTCTTGAATTCCAGATGCTTGCCATCATAGAAAACTATGTATCGTGCCCTGTAAAGACTTTTAGAGAGTATGATAGAGCCATGACAACAACAATACGTACCAGCTTGCGTTTCTGAAGTGCACCGGGGTGATGTACCTCTTGGAAGGCTCGTTGAAGAAAAGCATAGCTTCATAGAATTCGGTAAGGAGGATATTATGGCTGACCACCACAGCATGAGGAACGCCGTCAATCAAATCCGCTGAGTCATTAGGAACATCCGGCATCGAAGCAAAACTTGCACCGTACGAACGCAGATATTGGAGCAAAGCATGCTGAGCGCGCTCAGCAACTGATTCCAGACTCTCGCCTCCAGGGGGCTTGTAGATTCGGGAGGGAACAACGGGAGTCTCACTGTAAGCTGAGAGAGCCCCTTTTCCTGTCCGCAACTGGTATTCACTAACCCAGTTTCCAGATCTCCGAGCAGCTTCGACCGCGGGTCCGTGATCCTGCTCTATGATGAGTACATGTCCCTCAGGTTTCAAGTCGGGTCGCTCGGTGTTGTTTTCCCCAATTGAGCGAGCAGTATCCATTGCTCTTAGGTATGGAGACGATATGAGATGGTCGATGTGTGTTGAAGAGAGCTCCTTTCCCAGTTGTTCTGCTTGGTTACGGCCAAGGGGGGTGAGGGGATCGTGAATATTTGCACTGTGTTGACCGACGTTTGACTCTGACTTTGATATTTGAGAGATAAAAGTCATTTTATGTTGGAAGGATGAAAGAATATTGCATACCTGCCCATGTCGCACTAACGTCAGAATAAGGCGTTTTCCTGGGATTTCCTCTGTCTGAGAGCTACTCGAGATATCTTCTGGTGCCAGAGAAGCGCTATTGCTGAGTTCTTCTTGCGAATTCATGCTGTTCAGGAGTAGAGTTTGAGAGTCAAAGTCTGAGCTACATAGTAGACTGAGACTCAGCTTGGCTTCCGTTGTCCGAGCCGCGCCACGTGGGCAGTATTGCCGCAGCTCGACTCGGCCCGGCTCGACTTCGGATAACTCGGCTCCGGGAAGACTCCGACTCAGCTCGACCGAGCCGTGGCAACACTACGAAGAGGAAACTACTCTTTTTTTCAGTGACGGACCGACATTTTTTTCCTACCACCATGATTATCTATACGTGTAACTGGACCTGAGGACGCTTGCTCATTGAAGAGGGACCGCGTCTCAGGTCTAACGTGTAACCGAGGACCCTAGCTATTTTCTTACCGTCAACGCCGATGCCTTACTAGATGGCTCATTATAAACTCCTCGATGATGATACCCACGCTTCTATTCAAACCGCAGTAGCGACATTTTGTCACTCTAGTATCACTGCATGGTGAAATTCGATCTGGCCGAAGGAGCAATGCGTAAGTGCATCGTTGCCAGCGGAGCGACATTCCCCATGTTGAATGCTAGGACAGCTACTCCATATGTTTTGTCGACACAAACATAATGACGTTCCCTTGTGTTGAGGGACGGAAAGATCGGTCCAGATAGAGCCATAGTTTTATGACATACGCTAGATAAGATGTCGTAAAAACAGTACTTGAATATGATGAAGATCCGGATTTTGGAACAATTTTGAAATCCCGGCGTAGTAAACCCTGATCATCATATCACACAACACGTGTTCCCAGATCGCTTAAGTTCTTTCCCACCTTCAGCCACCGTCGTTGTACCGAAATGCCTGCAGTCCTACGAACTACCCGCTCCTCAGTCACCCCAGGGCCTGCCCAATCTTCCCGAACAATAAACTATAACCAAGGACAAGACCAGCGAGGTCAAGGAGTAATCTCAAAAGCGTCTTTCGTTGAACACCTTCAGAGCATCGTCTCCCGTATCCTTCACGACCCCGATATCACTCAGCGCCGCGTCTACAGCTTTGTCGCGCCAATCTTCATCTTCGCATCGTTGCTCTTGGCGTCTGCCCTTGTCCCCAAGAACACTCACGTCCGAGTCTGGCTCAAAGACGTTCGAAATTACAAGATGGAACTCGCGTTTACGGTAATGGCGGTTATAACTGGGATCTGGTGCGGTCTATTAGCGCTTCGGTGGCTGATGTGGAATATGGCGGTGTGGATGAGGCAGTTTGTCGAACATGACTTCCGAGGACTGGGTGATACGGGTGTCCCAGATTCATATGAGATGATCATAGGAGGATTGTTGTAACTTCATACGAGATCACACTACTATAGTATCTGAATTAGTTCCACAAAAACGTTACGGTTAATTAAGGATTCGGATGGGGTCGCCGCCCGTAGAAGGCTGTTACAGAGCAAGTGCTATCTATAGGGTATGTTGCTACACAGAAAAAAGTCAATTCCCACTTCATATACACTCTCCTCTCCTCTATTCCTTGAAACTCTTAGAGGCCGATAGGAACTTCCCATACTCGTCTTTATCTGGGACGGCAAAAACCACCTGTTCAAACGAGTGCCCAAACCTCGCACTCTCTCGAGTGAGCAAGTCCGCCCAAATGTCTGCCACCATCCCAACATCATTCCCGACGCTCGCGCCAAAGCTCCCCAATATCAGATACCTAACCCGCTTCCTCTCGAAAAGGGCGAGAATATGACCCATACGCTCTCTCATTTTCTTCTTAATTTCTTCCCGGAGCGTTCGCATAGACCCCTTCCAAGCTTTCCGCGCCTTTGTCGCATCGACGGGAGAACACGACAGGACGTCCACCTCGAGGGGTTTGATCCAGTCTCCGTTATCCCTACGGAAGACGATGACGGAAGGGGAGTAGATCATGGCGTGTGTAGCGAACCCATCCGAGCTTCCAGGTTGTTCGTAGTACTCTCTGGTATGATGGGTAGTGAGAGTGCGGTAGAGAGTAGACGATCTAGCAAGGGATTCCTCCTGTCCCTCGGAACCAAGACGAAACTCGCCACCGGGTGAGGTGGGATGGGCGAAATTGAGGACGCCTATCCTCTTCGTCGTCGAGACCTCCGGGTCAAGATGCAACTTCTCCACTGCTTCCAGCGTAGACCATTGTCTGAGGAGGAGTTTGGCAGTGCTGGTCTGCCAATCAGAAAGTGAGGATTGGGGGTAATATTGAGCGCCATCTGTCGCTTCCCTGAGCTTGGAGCGCATGTATCTGGGGTCAACAGTGTGGCCGCCAAAGTCAATGCAACGGAGAGTCTCGTCGGCTATAGTAACGTTGATTTTTTTGTCGCATGTCATGGCGTTCTGCGATTTGCGGGAGAGAGCTTGGCAAAGGCAACACATTGGACGCGGGGGGCGCCCTTAAGACGTTTCGGAGCTTGGCTTGCATACCACAGCATGCCAGTTGGGATTTATAGCTGCTGTATAGGCGCTTGTCTGAAGAACATTGCTGTTTCATCCACAATGACATGCGTTTCGTTTGATACCCTGACGTTGAATAAAGATTTCCTCTGCTGAAAGTTAACACAGCTAGACTGCCTCCGCAAACCTCTGTTCGCAGTTCCCAAAACCCCCGAACCAACCCCTGGTTATTGCAAGCATGCAAGGAGTGTGGACATAAGCGCAATCCTTGCCGCTGACGAAAATGGTCCTGCGGATTCCCAGCCTATCAGCCAATACATTTATCCTAGGAACACACGTCCGGAATCAATACGGGAGACTTCTCGATGGCGATAGCTGCTAAGATCCGATTACGGTAAGTAACAGCTCAAATCCTGTGAATTGTATACTGAAGCCCTTACCGTAATTGACAGATGAACTGTTCACTGCAACAGCAGTGATTGAATTACCAAAAGCGCCCAGGTATTCTCGAATAGAGGTGCAGTCTTCCAAATGATCCACGAAGATCGAGAGCCGCCGAAGACTATCTAGGTACACCAACGATGGTAAAAAAAGGACAAAACCAAGAATGTCCGGGCTTTCCCAGCCTCCATCCTTCGTAAAAGCAAGATCGCGCCGATAGAATCGCATGGAGAGGTTTCGTAGATTGGGAAGACACAGCATCGAGTCGTGGTATAGTACCGATGAGTCGGGGGGTGCGATGAAGCGTATTCCTGTTAAGGACAATTCTTCGACGGTTCGGGCATGCATGAAAAGGAAGGAGAATTCTCCAAAGCCATGGAAGGCGAGGCGTTCGAGAGTAATACTACGAATGCTTGGTGAGGTAAAACTCGTGCGCATTGCTGCCTGCAGGTCTGGAGAAATGCCGCCCCATTGTACGCTCCAGCCATGCTCACCGCCCTGGAAGATGCGTATGTGGCGAAGGCTGGATAACACGCGCAAGACGTGTATCAGAGGCGAATTCTCGCGCGATAGTTCATTTGGGAGTATATCTGGTAGCCAGAAAGGAGCGGGGACAATACAGATATGTAGATCGCGAACGAAACTGGCGATGTGAGGAGAGCTGGATAGGATATCGAGGAACTGGGTGCATCGGCTATGATCTGAGCGTAATAAATGGTTAAAAGAGAGGCGGACAGTCGAGAAAATGTAGCTCTGAGCGAATGGAATGAAGGAACGATGAGCAGATGCAAAAGATTTAAGCGATTTAAGGTCATGGCGAAATTCACAGACGATGACATCCACTAGCTCCGCGGGAAGAGAATTGAAGAAAGTCATTCCAATGCGCTCTAGTGATTCGAAACGAATACGCAGGGCGACACTAGTAGTGGTAGGAAGAAGAGGGGGAGGAGGGCCATTTCCGAGGGCCAAGAGATACTCCGATATAAATAGACACCGCCTCGCGATATTCCGAAGTTGGGGCGTCAGTAGAACCTGGAGATCCTTCAATAGATGTCATTTGATATCTCCAGTTGAACAGATGGCCTGCCGCTAGCGTGGTTACTGGTTTGCTTGCGTAGGTGATGAGGATAAATGTGGTAAGAATTGGACCACGTGTAAGAGTATCTTCAATGGGAGAGAGAATTCGCAAAAAGTGGGGGCTCGTGGGTAGGAGGTAGGTATCTATAATACAGCGAATGCATGACTCGGAGAGTTAATGCTATAAATACAGTCGAGGAAGATATGGGATGTTTTCAAAGACCATCAGTTCGGGGGAACTTCGAATTAGGCGTGCGTCCAAGCATCGTTAAAAGAGTTGAAAGCAAGATCGGTGTCGGACAGACCTAATCCATACTCTGGCGCATAGGTACCGTCGAGACCGAAAGGCTGGAAGAGGTCGGAAGTGAAAGTGGGAAGAACAGCGGGCGGGTTGACGAATTCACCAGTAGGTTTGAACCAAAAGCAGTTGTCCGCGTCCACATTGTCCTTGAAACCGAACTGTGGGTCAATGTGCGCATAGCTAGGAGGCTCCGGGATATGGTTGTACTAAAAGAGGGTGTAAGCATCAGAGAGGACTAAGGAAAATCTAACGAACCAATTCTAAGCCAGGAGCATTCAAGTCAAGGGGTGGAATGTCGCAGGTGGGAACAAATCCATCTTCCTCTTCATCGCAGACCGATTCGTCGGGAGCAGGGAAATCGACGACAGGAACCGGCGTAGGCGAACGTTCCGTCGCTGGTGTCAATGGGGTCGGGGTCTTGCACGTATCCTCAATCTCCTGTGTCCTCTCCAACTCCATCCCCTCGACGCCTTCTCCTATCATCATCGCAATCTTCTCACACCTAGCCTCTATCATATCACGATCCTTTCCCACTACTTTCCTTGTCTTTTTCCGTCGCGACACTGGCGCGAACTTGTAGTCAGGATACTTCGCGAGATGCTCCTCCTTAGCGCGACGGGCCTTGACCGTGTAGACCTCCTTCTCAGCGGGTGGCAGGGCTCTCCAACGTTCTCCACAGATAGTACTAATCTTGGAGTGGTCGCGTTCGAGTATGGTGTCCTTGTTGTCACGCCAAAAGTCGGAACGAAAGAGTATGAACGAGTTGGAGGGACGGGGGACGTAATCCGGAGTACGACGATGGGAAGGCGTATGTCGGCGAGGAGAAGGAGTGTCAGACTGAGTCGAAGAATAAGAGGCAGACGGGGATGGGGAAGGTGCCTCGGATACTGGCGTAGTGAGGTACATGAGCAAGTCGGTGGCCTCCCAGCCTTCCTCTACGACAATATGTTATAATCAATACGCGACAGTAACTACATTGACTCACCATCGTATCGGACTGGTACTTGACTGGACAAGCGCCGAGATCGACGAGTAGTCATGGTTCGAATTGGAGCCATTGTAACGCGTTTTTAGCGAGGAAAGAGGTGTATAGGAATTCTGAGAGGCTGTAGACTCGTACAAGTCAAAGAATGGGGCGAATTCGCTGGAGAAACATGCATTTTCGCGCTGGGCTTTTGACGGTTGTGAGCAATTACCTTAAATGTGAGCGTAGGAATTTCACCACTCGTTACGAGCACGTCGTGTCTGCCTCGAGGTGTGAAAGGGCAGATTTGTCGTAATTCTCCTTCCTTGTGCACAAAATGTGCCCCATTCGGTATTTCCATCAATTCTTATGTGGACCGAGGTGCCGGTCCACCTTCCACACCCTTCACATTCCATTGAGTTCGGTTAATAAAGCAGTTTAAGCAACAATAACCACTTTGATCATCTCGTTGACGTCATTTCGATAATAAAAGTGATTGAGGCTGTAAGACCCAGCTTGTGCTTGAGCAAAGCACGGTCCTTGACAGTAGAGTACTGAGTGATAGAATTGATTTCGCTCGAAGACTCTGGAAAGCGACGTGGAGGGTGCCTAAACATTTACAGCGCAGCTTTCCGCTGATCTGCCGACGGATGATGTATAACCTTTTGTAGCATCGCTACTGGCGTAAAAAAACTCGTCTTTAGGTATGGATTTAACAATATGGTCCTCTCTAACCTGCGTGCTAAATCGAGCCGAGAAATATAATCAGGCATGGCAAACAGAAGCGAGGAAATAAAAAGAAAATATCTCACAGGATGCGATGAGATGTCTGCCGAAGGCAATGAGGTCATTCTTCTCCGCAATAGCCGTAGAGCGGACATGGGCATTTATTTTATGCCCAAGAAAATGGACGTCAATGCCGTCGAGATTTCTGTTGCTTGTACCAACAACATGGAGCTAGACAAAGCAGAGAGAGATAAAGGCAGATCAACCTATCGTTCCTTGATTTGGAAAATGAGACAGTATAAAATGTAGGTTCGAGTTGAACGTTGAACACCCGCGGATGATTTGGCTGCTTCGTCTTGACGACAAGTGCAATGAAAAGGTGGCATTCTTGGCCACGTCCAATCAACTGAGCGTTAGACATCGAAGAGTGATAAAAGATTCCCCCGTATCGACGTCCGGCGTCGTTCTGCCATAGCAATATCCATTAGGACACCCAGTAAAAGTTCCATAGGCATCCTATATAAGAGCCTTTGACGCGATCGCGATTGTGACTAGGACCGTGTGATCAATAACAATTTACGAGACGGCATATAATATCACCTTTCCAAATCCAGAAACAAGGATTCGAGCTATCCCCAGCATGAACCGCAATAAACGCTCCTGACAGCTGTTAGAATGTAGACCGAACTTGCGACCTGCTCGTTTTTGTACAAACACGGCCTTTTGCCTAGGGAAGGAGGAGGTTAATAGCGGCGATACATATATGGCGAAATCTACAAACGAATATGTGATGTCGTAACTGTTCATTGAGAAGGATGGTGCCCACCCGTTCATGATGTCCGCGAATCTTAGTCTCTAATCCTTCTAATGTGTCAACTGCGGGTCGAAAAAGCAGGAGGTCGTCAAATTGGGCACTCTTCTGTGGGAATCCGATAGCCTTAGTGAGAATGCCACAAACATTCAGCTTCTTTGACTCAGTTTGATGCGCTTTCAGGAGATCGTCAGTGTCGAGAAAGTCCCACTGCTTTTTACCCGTGACGTAGAACACTTCCGGTGGATGGATCAAGCCTTCTGGACGGATGATGGCATTCCTTGTGGCTGATGGTAATAAGGCACGGTGTGAAATGCGAAGGAAAAAGAAACTGACCATCTTTATTCCATCTCCGTGTTTCCTAATGAAACTGAGTCGATTTGCGGTAGATGGAGAGGTCCCTCGCAGGACAGAACTGTCTTGAAGTTCGATTTCATTCTGCTTAATTTTCTTGACGATGTTGAGGTTATGGGATCAACAACATAGCATCGCTTGTTCGATGAAGAAGGGGGTACCTGGGATCTTTGATTTTCCTGGCAATGGAGAAGGTGCCAAATTCCTTGAGCGTGATGGTGGTAGGTGGTGGTGTTCACAGTCGTTTACTTGTTTCACCTGCACCAGAGAAAGTTGACAGTCTCTGAGTACATAAAATGGTACGGACTCACCTGCAGCGCGCAAAATCATGTCAGACTCAGAGCCCTTTCCTTTCAGCCAAACCACCACTTTTTCCTTGCTGTAACACTCACGAAACCAATATTCAGCCCGTTCTCTGGTGTCTATCTTGTGTAGTCTGCCGCAGACGTATGTTGGAGAGACACAAGATATTGAAGTGCATCAAGAGTGTAAAAATCGTGAGAACCTGTCGCGGTAGTCATGTCAACCTTGCAAAAACGAGTAGGCGCCTACTTTGCAAATGTATACAGAGGAATGACAAGGTGTGCTGCAGATGATAACGATGAACGAGGACCATCACTGCTTGTGTAGGTGATAACTTGCTTCGCCTTGATAGCTTGCCGTAGAGCGAGTTCTGGTTCCAGCGCTGAGATCATGGCTGTTCAGATTAAGAAGCAAGGCTTGAGATGAGCGCAAGAGTGCCGGAGAAAGGAACGATTTCAAGGGCAGTAAAATGAAATTAATTGTACAATGGTACAGTGGCTCCATAGTCCTAAACTGGGAATTGTGAGTGGTGGTGGTGGTGGTGTTACCGGCGCCAGGTCCCAATAAGGAACGACCGGGTCCACAGCCCTGATATGGCGAACAATGTGCTGCTGCTGCGAAGGCTCATATCGTTGTAATCACACTGTTGAGTATGTCTCGCGAAGTAGAGACTCTTCGCAGGTGCTAAAGTGGGTAGCGAAACGACGGAACTATGACTGAGAACAAGACAGCGAAATTTACAGAACTGAAGTATTTAAATATTTATGGATACAGTGGTGTACAGTTATTTAAGACTCGAGTGTCGTCACTATCAAGAAGGATATGGAGAACCTGTAGTCCAAATGACGCCGATTTCAGGGCAGCTGCAAGGGGTGGAGTTGCCAGCGCGAAAACGGTATGAAAGAAACGGACACGTAAATCCTGTAAATCCTGTAAGTCGCCGGTTCCGTCGCAGTACAACAAAACGTGTGCCCCATCCTCGACCTCTGAACGTTTGAACCACAAAGACGGCACAAGTGCTGACAGCAGAGAACGGGAGGATGCCTTCGTTCCGTCCATCGGAGGACCTCCACGGCGAGTGCATAAGAAGATGTCAACAGGCGTACTAACGCTTTTCTATAGGCAGGAATAGGAACATTGAGATAGGAACGAAACTTGCCACAGCCGATTTCTGTAGTATTTCAGGATGTGCATGGGCAGGTCGATGACGCAGGAGAGCCTTAGAGGATGTCGCGATGAAGGAGGAAATGTCAAACCGGAAAACTAGATTGATTGGCCGTGCTGTTTCCGGGCCGAATTCCCGGAAGCTGTGACGTCAACATTCATCACTATTGAAATACTTTCCGTCAACTCTTCAGTACGTTTCAATTGTAGCGCAAAACACAAGGAGCTTGGACACTTCTGCCTATCACATGAGTGTGGCTCGCGACCTTGCCGGAATGGAACGTGTCATGACGCATTTCTTGACCACCCGGATTCTATTAGTGCGTGTCCCTTCACCGGATCCCTTGTGATATTTTTATAATCCAGAGCATCTTTCTGTCAGAATACAGGTCTACAGCCTGGAGCACAACCGGAGATTGATGTTACCGGGCCCCGAGTCTTCAATATTTGGCAGGGCTATTGCTTCTCCCCCGGACGATATCAGTCAAAGTCATCTGGCGACAATTTATATGTGAATGCGTTCAGACCCCAGTATCTTCGGACTTCATATCTGCTTTCTTTGGCTAGTATACGAAACCGGGCATTCTTCACGCCGTGATGTCAGATGTGTTCAAAGTTGCAAGCGACGCAAGGCGAGAAGTATTACACCAGAATTTTTCCTCTAAGTATCCCGGCTCTGTGCGAGAAAAATACGATTTTACTACTGTTTTGCACCTGCCGTCGGCCGAGTTATTCTCTGCTTAATGGACTGACCACGTCTAGGATGGCATTCAATGCTTTATCAAAAGAGCCCGAAGGCCACATCGAATAGAACCCTAAACGTCATCGTTCTGCCTGCCTTTCTTCGTCTTGGCATTCTCTATATCGTCCCGAGCTAATTTCCGAAGTTCCGCAGACATAGAAATACCGGATTCCACTCACAGTTAAAAAGCGCAACCACCTTTATACTTCTACCCATTCCTGATTTCTTTCATTTGCCAGCATATACTCGCTCTGGTGAGTTGTATCTCAATATTCTTCCGCCATTCCATTCCGTCATCTTGCTTCAACCACCTGGGACAGGACGTGCTTGTCATTACCTGGAAAAACCAGGCCTCCCGTCTTTCAGTCTTTACTGTAACATTTCTGTTTTACACGATTCAGTGCTCATTGATTGCACAGATGCCTGATTTTTCCGTCTACGTTACAATTATCAACAACACCAACGAAGCCCTGCATAAGGACTCTACTCATGCTGACTGGGGGACATGGCTCAATGTCCCGAGTGAAATCCAACCACTCACGACGTCCAACAAGTTTCAAATCAAAGACTCTACCGGCCCTGCCGGAACCGAAGGGACCTTCAGATTCTTGGTTGGTAACGCTCAAGAGACGGTCACCACCTACCTGTCGGCCTATCAAACATGTCCGTGGGGCGCTTATAATAACGAATTCAGCCCCGGAAATACGAATCCCAAGGCGGTTTATACCACCTCTTTTCGAGCCTCAGTCGATGGTGGTAGCTGGACCGACAACAGGGTTAACACATCAGGGCATCCAGTGACAGTGGAGTTCACTATCGATTACCAGAAGAGCAAGCGTTATCGGTTCCAGGTCGTGCAAATCAACGCACGTTCAGACCACCCCGTTCGTAACTCTCGCGATGAACTTATCATCGGGGACCACGTACTTTGGAACCGCTCCGATCCCTCCGCCTGGGTTGATGGTAAGAAGGGCTCATTTCAGCCAAACGTCTTCAAATACGACTTCGTCTCCCAAGTCGCCGCAACGTCTTCCCTCACGGTGAAGATTCAACCTCTGGACATCGAGCTCATTGGAGCTGAATGTTTAATATATGGCATGGTCGGCAACGACCGGGTCTTTCAGAGCGATTATTTCTTCATCAAATCGCTTAACCCGGTCGATGTGACCACATCTGTCATCAATCCCAAGACGAGTTCGAAGCCGTTCGTGTGGAATGCCGATGTAGAGTGGGGGATGGAACTGAGGCTTTCACACATTGGTGTCGAATGTGTGGAACCGAAGATATCGCGGTTAGAGCTTTACTGGATTGCTCAGACCTTGCATCGTGGTTTCCAAAACAGAGGAATTCCCGTTGGATTCTTGCGCAATGTCCTGAAGTCGGATCAGTCATCAACTTCCAACGTCGCAGCTTTCAACTCGACGTCGTCGGAATGGAACCAGCAGATGACCCAAGGGGTATTCGGGAGCATGAACAAGATATATGACACAATCTCCGGTGCGTATATTATCCATTGACCGTCTATGATCTTTCTGACAATGCTTTTTTTGTTACAGGTGCCGCAGCCTTTGGAGTGGGCGCTTGGGGAGGAATATTCAATCAATCATACTATCTCGCACCGGATGAATCGGGTACAGAAGGGATGCTCTATCGACACGTCAACTGCATGGACCAGTGCGCTATGCTTGAACTATCCTGCAGCCTTCAAGATGGTGTCCGTTCAACTAGCTGGCTGGTGCAGCAGCCTTTCGGGTACATAAATGACACACATCTCGTTGGAGTCGTCAACCAGCAGAACCAACTCATCCCAGTCAACAACCCATTCTTTGGTACGGACCAATCCCGGAGCCATGTCGATATCAATGACCCCGCACGAACCTCCTTCGGCTGTCATGTATATAATGGCCACTCACGACCTTTTGTTCTGGCTAGCGATGGCATATATGACGCCTGTGGGGGTCCACACATAGGCAATGAAGTTGCCGCTGACTATTTGGCCAGCAGCATCGACACCCAGACGACGTTATACATACACGGCCTCCAGCCCGGTACCGTTAACAACATCGCAGTGGGTGATGGCGTTACTGGTACAGATGGACATCACTGGGTGCCTCCGGTGGCTTCGGAAGGCTTTACCGAACTTTCTCGCAATGCAGTTTCGAACATCCTCAGCCCGTTGACCACTGAGACCCCCAACTCCGTGTCGCATATCAATTGGGCGCATGTTCCCGAGTGGATCAATGATGTGCTGGATGAAGACTGGGGCGTGAAGTTTGGGCGAGTCAGTGTGGGGGACTCGACTACGCATGCATTCTGGCATCTAGGACACGACAAAGCGGAGGAAGGGTCCCCGCTGAGGGTGAACGTCCACGTCGAGTCGGTGGTAAACCTCTCTGGGGCCTTGGACACTGCAGGTTCTGAACAGGCTGCGCGAGACCGTCTCGGGACTATCCTCACCAGCACAGACCGTGATCCCGAAGCGCTGTGGGTTCGCGGAACACTCGACGAGTTTGGTCAGTATTCCCTGCAGTACGCGAGTGATGTTGCTGCGGGACGTGTTGTCGTCGTTGCCGGGAATGCCATTGTAGACATCAGCGGGATGTCGTCAAGTGCGGCGTTGGAGGACTATGCTCGCAAACTCCTGGGGCATACGGTTCGCAGGGACGGCCCTCCTTTGACTATGCCTGCTATCAAGCGTGGTCCGGTGAGGACCACGGGAAATCAAGAATCGATGCTTCTCGATGACAACACTGGTAGAACGACCGTTCAGGGGGTCGATACCCGGTTTTCGCTCTACTTTGAGCTCGACAAAGGCGTTGCAGCTGCCAGTGCTACTCCCGAAGGAACTGGTATTCTTTTTGACAAATATGTGATTGAGGAAGGTCTAGATGGTGCTGTGGCCGTTGATTTCATGTTTGTGGCGCACGAGTTGGGAGCCCATACTGTCAAGGTGCACTTTACGGACATGGAGACGATGGTTTCGGTTTCAAAGACCATTGAAGTCGATGTTGTCTGAAGGGGAATTGACATCCTGAAATTCTGGTACAGTAGGTAGGTATGAAATTCTTTGTGCTTGTAATGTTACGCTGTCATCACCACACTGCTTCTGTGACGGTTCTTCGAAGTTCGTTATTGAAATATTCCTTGCTGGTGACGCCTATGAACCGCGAGTTCTTACATTTAACAGCAAAGAAGCTACAGCCTGCCGACATCTTTCATCTGAAACATACAGAATCCCGTATACAGGGCATACACTGGGTGATCATGGTGGTAGTAGAAGAATTTGGAAGTCGGTAAGAAAGTTTCACTCGCGTTGGTTTGCCTTCGTGGCACATAGTAAACGTCCTCCATGATTTCACAAGAAAAGCTTAGCAACAATCACAATAATCATAAAATATACTTCGAATGGTCATGAAACAGGAAAGGCAGGCAAATGTATTCCGCGACATGGGCAGGTGTGCACCATTATTGTGGAATATCACACCCATGATACGTTTGTGTATTGCTCTTTTAGCCAAGTTGAAAACACTAAGACTCCTAACGGCTAAAAGCGCATCAAAGCAGTACAAGATTAGAAAAACGAAATCATGCACTAATACTGTTAAATTGTGCATGAAGTTTTTCCATAGCGACCATGTCAGTGTACGGATGTCCAAGAACACCACAAATAGCCTTTGAACCGTCATCATAGTCAAATTTCCATGAGCCGACGGCTTGTGCTGCACCGCTAAGCCTCATCACCTTCATAACAGCTAGTCGCAGGTTGCACAGATCCGGCGATGGCATGGGAATAGCGCTCTTAAAAGGTCCCCCCTCCACCCCGAATTTGATTCGTGTTCCGCCTGCAGGTTCAAACGGAAAGGTCAATCCTCCCAACTTGACAAAGTAATACTCCCAAGCATCCTAAGACCAATGAGCTCAGACATTGATTACATTCAACGACGACTTACTTGGTTTACATTCTCTATCGCTTCTATGGCCCAACACATCTCATCAAGGTTGTTATGAGCGTCAAAGGAGAGGAGCAGACAGCTCTCTGGGCTATTCACCAAAGTTGCGAAACGTTTTGTGAGTTCCTCATCGTCCCAAAATGTAGCAAATGCTTGATAGACGAGGGGATTCTTCAAGTCAAAGCCATCAGCATCAACAGGAACGGAGCAGAGACACAGTTTCATACCTCGATATGATTCGCAAGTTTGGTAGGGCATATATGCGCTAATTGAGCTTCCACGCTGACCCTGCCAAGCGCGGGGGGGGGGTTGGTATCAAACGGCCAATTTGTGACGGGACATTTATTTCCATCCCGTTCTCGAACCTCAATCAATCGTTTAAGTAGTAAATCCGGCGATACAGTAGGCGAGAAAAGAATTACCAGCTCTATCATTTCCTTTTGGTTAGAGTGACCGGGAGTACCAAAGCGCTCCAAAATTTCTTGGATCTCTTCCAGTGATTGAATCTGGGGAGTCTCATCACCGCCGCTGGTAGGCACTGTTTGGGGACTCGAAAGGTCATACACTGAGAGCAAGTATAAAGGTGAGGACAACGCTGAAAAAGCAATCGCACAAACTTGCTAAGCCAAGGTGAACAAAGTACTCGTGTGCAAAGTTGATTATTGGCGACCAGTCCCAATGATCCCTGCAATGCCCTCTCAAAGTGTCCCTATATTCTTCGGGTGTAACGCTCGCCTGGCTCGGCGCGTCAGACACTACAGCGACAAGTAAGGACATGCCCAGACTGTGAGTACTCTGGAGACTATACCATAATGCAAAATGTCGAGAGGAACGTCGTTCGCAGCCATGACTTGCTGAATAAGAAGACCGACTTTTGTGGTCAGCTTGAGTCCCCTGGATTGTTGAATGAGGTGGCATAGGAATCGTCCAGTCCTTATATGACCATGGTTAAATGGCCGGTCTCCTATCTGGTCCTGTTCAATCCGTAGAAGTACAGACTGTCGTAGTGAAGACTTACATTTACTACGGGATAGCATGGATCATCGAAAAGGCTCGGAATACTATGCGGTGTATCATCAAAAAAGGCGGATATGCAAACCTTGATGCGTTCCATGATGAACGTCGGTAACAGGGCTCCCACCCAAGTCTCACATTCCCAAGCACAGACACATACCAAATATCCTCCATATTGAACCTCTAGATACATTGTGTATAGTCGACAGCAACCGAACAACAAAGGAGTAGACAACAAGCGAAAGCGACGGAAGATGAAAGAATCCAGCGGAGATCAGGCACCGAGACTCGCCAGCTCCTTGCGAATATCGGCTTCGCCTTCCATCTTCTTCAGCTGGGTAGCCTCTAATCTCTCTCCTCGTTTCGCCTTCTCCTTCAGTTCCTCAATTGCTTTTAGCTAATCCAACAAGCACCTCATCAGCTTAGACCATGAATATATGTCGTTAAAACCATACCTTCTTGTTCAGATTCCGGATCTTTTTGGCCGCCGGATCGAGTGCACTATCCAGTGTCGGTGTAACAGGTGATGCCGCATCCACATTCACCTGTGGAGGGGGAGCAACCGCCTCCACGTTAGCCTTGCCATTGGCCTTCCCACTGGCAGGAACATCCAACGACGGCCGTCCACTATCAACATCCCCAGCATCCTTCTTTCCCTTCTCTTCGCCGTCCTTCTTTGCGCCCTTATTTCTCTTCCTCGACGACTTCTTCTCGCCTTCCGGTCCAGGGCTTGGACTGTGACTGGGCGGTGCGGCACCCGGGACGTGTCGCCGCCCGTTCCCGTTGACATTCCCGTTGGCCGGGGCTCCGGGAGCGGGACTCCTATTGTACCCTCGAGGCGGGGTGGCCGTCCCATTCGTTGGCGTCCGCGCAGCGCCACCTTCGTCTTCTCGCTTAAAGATGGCTGGCGTGGCCAGACCTCGAGCTCCCGGGGGTCGGTATGCACCCGCGGGTTTCGCTGCGGCGGGCTTCTTAACGGCTTCCATATTCCTGACGGCCTCGCTGGGAGCAGGCGATAGTGGGATGCCCTGCCCAAACTGGGCTACATGCTCCACCGGTGTAGGTCTCCAAGACGTTTGATAAAGCTCCTCAGCATTCTGCAAGTGGACAAGAGGTCCGGAACAGTGCCAGATTTTGATCCCGTTATCCACACGTAGGCGAGGAGACAAGGTTGCCGTAAGAAGGAAACGACCGTCTGGAGACCACTCACAGTACGACGTGTTGGGTGCATCGATGGTTGTCACTTTCGTCAAGGATCGTCGATCAAAGATGTCGATTTTGCCTGCGAGGTTACCAAAGCCTGCGAGGGCAATAAGGCGGCCTTGAGGGTTGAACGAGACGAAATTGTGCGGAGAGGACCCAAAATCGTGTAACGAGCGGACTCGATGGTCGAATATGATAGATTTGGCGGGCATATCTAGAAAAATGTGAACATCAGCTAAAGATGTGGAAAAATGTAGACCTACAGCCATACACAACCGCGAACTCTTTCGAGTTCGGGCTCCAGTTAAAGTCATGGATGGGTCCTTCCTTGTCCAAAGTAACACGACAGTCAAAGTTACCGGCAGAACTGAGCAAATAAAGCCCAGTCTCTCCATAGTAGCTCTTATTTGAGTTGTCGACTTCGGTCTGGGTCAGGAGTAGTACCTGCGTGCCCAACGTGTTCCACTTGATTTGTGACCGATCGGCCTTGTAGAAGTTCTTCTGGCACGTCGGAGGGCTGTTGAGAGTTAACAAGCCATAGATCTTGATACTAGCCGGCGCGCCCTACAAGAAAAGATCAGTAAGACCACGGGGCCTATCTGCCTAGGTAACGTACCTTTTTCTCAGCTACAAACACGGCGATAGAAGGGTTGAGCCCGGGACTTAGGGCAATGCTCGTGGCTCCCTCAACCCGCAGCTTGTCCACCATTCCCTTGGACCACTCCGCAGGCCGATACACTTGGATGTCGGCGCCGACCAACCGGACTGCGTGCGACTCGGAGATAGTATACTGAAGATCCCAGCCATCTTGCGACTTCTGTCCGAAAGATATGAGCTCCTCGCCGGTGGAGGTCGAGAAAACCCGGAGATTTTTATGTTGGGACCCGTCTTCGAGTTTGACTGGCCGCTCCCAGGTGGACAAGTACGTGCCTCGAGGAGAAAAGTTCAGCTCGACGACATTCGGAATTGCCAGCTCCCTGAGGAGTATGGCCCCCTCTGCCTGGAATATTCGCACTCTGAAAGAAAAACAGTCCTTTCAGCGGATCTCGTCAGAGAAGTAGGTGTGGTGACTCACACAGTAGGTAGAGTATAGGCATACAGACGACCATCAGCGCTGTACACATAGGATCTAGCCGCAACGTCTGGAGAGACAAATCCTGGAACTGGGTTGTAGTTCGGAGTGCCGCCAACGAGGCCAAGAGATTTTTGAGCACGGACTAAGGGTTACAAAACAAAATTAACATGCAGAATTACAAGCATGAAACATTGAAAAAGTGAAAACAAGGTATCTGTTTAGTGGTATCGATGATAGTAGGCCGCAGACGACCACTACCATGAAACCGAATTGCGCAAAGCAAAGATGTTGTACTAACATGCGTACTGCTGTGAGATTTGCGATGCCATTGCAGAATATTGAGGTCCAGAGGGCGAAGAGAGAGGTCTGAGGAGGAGAGAAGCAAATTAATGCTTCGCAGTCGACAGTGGCAGTGAGTAGCAGTGAGCGTTTGATTTGCCCTTGTTACTTCCAAAGGCACTTGAGGGCCGGTCCGGGTAATTTTCTTCTGATTTGCCTTCCTTATTGGGCCTTCTGATCTACGAACACTTCGGTGGCACTATAAGCTTTATTTCTCAGCCACGGTAGCATTCGCGTCCAAGGTGGCATGAAACCGTATTCGCGTCGCCATGTCTTTTTCTCTTGCAGGGGGCTTCATTCATGCATACCGGGGGTATCGTGTCTTTGCATGTTTCGCATCTATTGTACTCGCGTCGCGTCTGGTGGCATGGTCAAAATTTTCCAGGCAAAGCATCTGGGAATGCCACAAGAAACAGAAGCATAAATAAGACAAAAAGCTCAGGTAAGCTTCACACTACTGCACTTCCTCGATGGCATCCTACACTCAGAATACCTGCGTTAACCCTCGCGAACTCGTTTGTTCACAGGTAGAAGCTATTCTGGTTGTTGTTCCCCCTCGAGTAATCATCGTTCACTCTTCCTGTAGCCCCAATTTCCTGATACTTCGAGCCTTGGACGCGCGGATCTCCACTACCCTCCACCCACTCCTCAAAGCATCATGAATGGGGAATATTGCGAGTCCGTTTCTTACCCGACGCGCGTCGAATATGTTCCGCTGAGCTCAAAGTATTGTCGTGAACCTCCGTCATTCACCATTCCTTTCACAGTCCAGGGGACAATTGGGCCGTGTCTCTACTCTGTGCTTCGTAGGGAGGTTACCATCGACGGGGCGTATCTTGCTGCGTTCAAAGCCTATGGATGGTCGATGACAAAATGGACCTTTGATGTATTTCATGTCTTATCCCTTCTGGATTTGCGCCTCCTTAACCTCTATATTCCAGTGGCCTGGACTCAAAACGGATCGTATGGGACTCTGGTGTCACAACAACCGCAAGGAACCCCTCACCTGCGATGAACTTATTCGAGAGATTGGCACTCTCATCGTCGAAATCATGCGAAAATCACGGAAAGGGGATCCAAAATATCGACAGTCAAATGACATACCTCATTGCTGGCGCTTTGAAAATATTAATCTTCGCGACATTCGATTCGTTTCGCTGAACTACTACAAGGGTGTTTGGGTGCCTATACTTGCGGTTACCAGATACTAATAGGCCTTTTTCTGTTGCTTCTTCCCACTTTGATTCGTACCTCACAGCTTATAATTACTTACCTTCACCATTCTACTAGCAAAAATCGCACTTAATGGAATATATTCTGGCCCCGGGGGACCGATGCTTCATTTTCTCCGTCAAGCAATGCAGATTGCTACACATTCGCGCTCTACCTGAAGAAATATGTGATTCGACTTCAAGCAGAGTAAGTCAAGACATGACGCGCAGGTGGCAGATTGCAGATGGAATTTCAGATGGGGGCTATTTGTCTTTATTATGCAACGGCATCACAATTTTTGTAAATTTCCAATGGCCATTTCCCCTCAACAGTAAGCTCTACAGCCGTTCCTTCCGTGCTGTGTGCTCCCCCTTCTCCCTCAACTTCCTCCATCCCCAGACGATCCGACATGTCTCCTCCCACAGGCAAAGGAAAAGAGTCCAATACTGCCCGTATCCTAGGCTCAGGAACTTCAGGTCCGGCTAATTTTTTCAAAACGGCTTAGTTTCGCTGAATTTCGACTTTTAGGCGTTGCTGAGCTGCTCGTTTTCCATCCTGTGGACACCATTGCGAAGCGATTGATGAGTAACACGTCTCAGGTGGGCCTTGACGCGAGCTTGCTTCTGGAGGACCTTCACTAAAGTCCTAGCAGGTCTCCTTGTCGACGTTGTCGACCATCATCTTCCGCGACAAGGCCACTGCTAGCCTAACCACAAAATTCAGCTCTCTGTTCCCTGGTCTGGGCTATGCCGCCGGATATAAAGTCTCACAGCGGATATACAAGTTCGGCGGACAGCCGTGGTTCAACGACCTCATCTCTTCGCACTATGGTACTCAGTTCAGGAATACGTTCGGAGAGAGGAAGGGAAAACTGATGATGCAGGCCACCGCTGGAAGGTCTGCACTCTATCCTTGTAGTCTTTTGTCGACGCTCACACGCACCTCTTGGCAGCTTGACGGGTATTGGTGAAGTCGTACGTGACATATACGCATGATTTTTTGAAAGGTTGCTGACCCCCATGACAGGTCCTACTTCCACTGGACGTCCTCAAAATCAAACGTCAAGTGAATCCCGAAGCTTTCCGTGGCCGTGGAATTCTCCGGATCGTCATGGAGGAGAAGGGAGCCCTCTACCGAGGATGGGGATGGACAATGGCGCGGAATGCTCCGGGAAGTTTCTCTGTAAGATCTTTATGCCATACTCTTCTCATTTATTTTGCTCACATGCTCCCTACAGTTGTTCGGTGCTTCCGCCTTTACCAAGGAATATATCCTTGGCGTCAAAGATTACTCCAAAGCCACCTGGACACAAAATTTCATTGCTTCCATAGCTGGAGCTGTCGCCTCCATCACCGTCGCCGCACCTTTGGATGTCATCAAGACCCGAATTCAAAATGCCAACTTTGAGCACAAAACATCCGGAATAACCGTCTTCAAGGATCTAATACGGAAGGAAGGCCCAAGTGCCTTGTTCAAGGGACTAACTCCCAAGGTACTGGCCATTTTGACCCAGTCCTGAATTACAGCTAATTCTCGATATTTGTAGATTCTGGTCGTCGGTCCCAAACTGGTCTTCAGTTATACTCTAGCGCAATCCTTAATTCCCCTGTTCGCTAATTACGTTTAGAGTGCTTTTCGTCTTTTCGAGGAGCGTGCTTTCGTATACATCTAATTTATCTAGGCAAAATATAGATGTAGGACCTTCGTATGGCCTATACAGCACCATTTATGAATGTCATGTCATATTACCCTGCTCACCTCCGCATGCCGATGCTGACTATTATGACGCATACTCCGCGGAACGACAACCACCGTGTGCAGCCGGCCATCCCAACAATCACCGATCGACCAATTTCCCTGACAGGACCCCGTCCAAAAAAATTGCACGCAGTATTAATTGAGAAACAAATCGTATTCAATTTCGCTTGCGAGAAAGAACCATCGTGTCAAGAGGTATATGCCAACGAATAAAGATAGACGTAAGTAAGTAACAGACAAACAACATCGATCTACAAAAACATTGCGCATGGCCTGGCATGGCATAAGACTGGTAGAAGTACATTGGTGGTCCACACCGTATTGATATCTAGCAAGAGAGACAGAGATAATGATGAGATGAGATAAAACGAGACTGGTACCGGACTCTGGTATGCCTCCCTGAGGCAACGGGTATATACAGAACACTGGGCAGTAGGGAAAAAAAAAACCAAAGCAAATTGGTCAAACCACGCCAGAGCGAATGATGATTGCGCGGACCGGCTCAACGGTCCGAGCTGATGATTGCCTGCGCGCGAGCTCACCAGGTCGACATACGACGGCGGTGGGAACGAAGGCTTCGCTTCGACGGAACACTGTCGCGGATTGATGGAACACTGTCTTTTTTCGATGGAACGGATTGGCGTTTCGAGGCGGACGTGTTCCGCTTAGCGGCCCGCTTTTTGCCGTTGTGATTATGGCGTTCTCTGCAAGTCTTGGTGGGAGTGGCAGCGCTGCTGGTGGCGGTGGAAGAGCCGTGAGAGGCGGGGCATGCAGATGGACCTGTTTGGACTGCCGCTGAGGAAGAAGATGATGCGGTAGAAGAAGACGAGGTGGTGACGGGCGCAACGGAAGAGGAACTTTCGGATGAAGAAGTGGTAGCGGGAGCGGCAGAGAAAGAAGATTCCGAAGATGAGGTAGTGGCGGGAGCGGCAGAGGTAGAAGATTCCGACGACTCAGTAGTGGCGGGTGCGACGTACGTAGAACTTTCTGAGGTCGAGGTCGTCTCGGGTGCTGCGGAAGTAGCACTTGCCGCCGATGATGTGGTCGCAAACTCAGCCGGGAGCGATGAAGACGACGACGATGACGAGGAGCCCGAGCCGGACGAAGAGCTGCCTCCAGTGCTAGCTCCGGTGAAAATGTCGTTTTGAGCGCCTGTAAATGTTTCGTCAATAAGCTGGATGCCGCGGAGCATCAAAATCCGATGAACGCACCGCCAGTGAATCCCATCTTGGTGTTGTATCCGGGGGACCTGGGCTCTCCGGCAAGATCATAGCCATCGACGGACACCGTATCAGCTTCGTTCTGGTTCCAAATGATGAACTTCTTGGGTCCCGAAACACACTTGGATTGGTCGTCTTCACACCATTCAGGAGCTTGGGGTGTTCCAATGGCAGTCGTACCGGTGGCGCCTGTAACTGTACACCTGAAGGGATGCATATACATGTTGGGAATGCCACAGCTGTCAAAGCAAAAACATGTCAATCACGGCGTTGAGTGAAGAGTAAGAAATATAATAACGAACCCGTTGGGTACCTGGAGATAGCCGAGCGATCATTAGGTCAACAAGTCATTATAATGGCCGAGATAGAGATACGTACCCAACCCCACTGTGCAGGCAGGTACAATCAGTTTAGGTCCAAAACTAGTTGTCAAGCGCACTCACAGCACAAATACAACCGCCGTCTGGGCATGCTGGCATTGCCGCTGGGACGTCGTATGTCGCAACAAGCTTCCAGGGGGTGCTAAGAATTCGGAGTTAAGGTAACGTACGAACGGGATGAAGGTAATTTGCTCACTTCGGAGCAACGGTGAACACGACAAGGTTGTCTTCGTTGACCGCAGAGATGTCGGACTTGAGATGGGTCAGGAACATCAAACGCTGGTAGAGTGGACTGCGCTACGCACGGTGTAGGAGATAGCGAAAGCAGTTCCTGCTGCCATGGATTCGTTCTGGGCGTGGACTACCAACGGGACAGGAGTCAGTGATTGACATCTCGACAAAATGTAGCCGATGCTTACGATTGGGGCTGGTTACGCACTCGGTGTGCTACCAAAATTTTGAGTATCGGTGAAATGACAATTTCATAAGGATGCTTACAGCTCCATACAATTCTTCGTGGGCTTGACCGTCAGCCCAGTCAGAGACTTCAGTACCGTCATAAGAGTAGGAGGTGAAAGCACGGTTAGCGGCAATCTCGACGTTGAACGAGCCACCGGCGGGACTGTAGAGTTTAATTTAGTACACAGATAGAATACGATGAAACGAATGAGCACTTACAGCTCCAGGAAAGTGTCTGCAGCTGGAGGTTGAGCAAGACACTGCCAACAATTAAATATTTAAATTAATGTGGCGGAAGTAACTAGTTCTTACGCCGGTATTAGCATGCACTGTGAGATGAAATGACTTTCAGTAATGGATAAGATACAGTGAAAGAAGCAACTCACTCCAGTATCCGCTGTAGCTCAATTGATACACAGGGTTAACAGCTTCTTGGGCGTTGATATTGGACCCAGACGTGCCCTAGAGTCCATAGTATGGGAAAGCGGCAAATAATCGACCCAGCATAAAACGTACATTGAAGCACCACATCGAGGGGTGAAACGGCGCGACATGGCCTCGAACGGCTTGCGCAAGGACGAGAGCAGCAGCAAAGGTCGTGAACATGTCGATAACGAGAGATCGAGAACGAGGGTATAGAGAAAAGACAGTCAGTTTTTAAAGGAATGTGAACAGGCGTTCCGGGGAAAGAAAACGGAACTGAAGATGACCTGCAAATGGGCGTCCAGAAGGAAGGCGTAAGAGTGATAAAAAGGACGAATCTGGGTTTATGCCATTTATAACATTCGTGATGTGAATTCCCAAATCAGGACTTTCGAATTTCACCCTTCAGGTACTCCAGGTTGCGACCATAGGGTGCTCCTAAGTCACGTGAAGTGGTTGCTAGGCTGGATTCGACTCGAACAATTTTGAACATCGAAGGTAAATTGAGGCCGCTGGGCGGTTATTCAATGGCACGTCACTACGCCGAGTCCATCGCGTATCGAAAGATGCCTGGCTCTGCCGCATCACGTTTCCCCCTCTTTCCCCCCCCTACATCAGACTTGGCGCTAGAAATCTCGCGATTGCAGATGGGGAGCCAGATATCTCCAGATACCCAAGGATTAAACCAAATTAACGGATACCGGCTACCAAGCAAGATTCTTGCATTCCGAAAAGGTTCCTGCCATTCTTCGACGCCACCATGTTTATTAAGTCTCCTTGAGAACGAACTGCCGCGCTGCTTGAAAGTTTGGTAAATGGTTTGATCACAAATCATGACCCGGTTGCGAAGTCAACTGGTCCTCCAACAAAGGCTGGATTTACGTACACGTCATATTTGTGTGGAGAACTTAACTGACTCATTGAAGTAGAGAACTGCCAATGCAACTCGTAGATATCAGTGGTAATCCTCCGAGGTTACAAAGCACCAACAAATGGTCACAATGTTTCACGCATTCCGCAATTCGGGAGCAGCTTGACCGAAGAGCGCTGTTCCGATTCGACCCTAGCACGACCGGAGGTTAAGCGCGAAGTACACTTACCAGATCACTATGTCGGTCTCACAGGTGTTGTCCGAAGCTACGAAGTCAGCACGGGAAGAATCTGACAATCTATTATGAAGTTTGCTCTTCCTTTTCTTTGGATCCTTCCATCGATCTAGCGCTCATTAGGTCTTAGTTATGATAGCTCTGGTTACGAGGTGGTATGCTACGACCCTATCTCGGTTAGCATGTCGTTGGTTGACTGTGACGAGGCAGACAGACAGTGGGACATCATTCTGGAGATCTCAGACTAGCACCACTTTCATCAACATTGCTAAGCTTGAACGACCAGAAGGCCAAATTTAGCTCGGCTCCGTCTTCCTTATCAAATTCTACTGTCTAGTACCCCCATGTTCGCGTCGAGAAATTTCCTTAACATCTCTTTCGTGTCAATACCGCGCACATACGTGGCTGGACGCTGATGCAATAATCTACGCGGGTGTCTTCTGATGAAGACACGATGGCGTTGAAGTCGCCGGGTGCAGCTCGACTGGTTAGTTATTCCGAGTGGATGAGCCAAGAAGCATCAAATTCCAAGGTTGAAAGACTAACGTCTGATAATAGATTGTTATCAAGAAGTAGAGTCATTCAAATGTCTCCGGGCGGCACATCAGAATCTTCATTTTCATTAGGATACGTACCCTCTCTCGGGGATTTGTTCCCAAGACAAATGACGTTAGTCAAGGTGCTACTAGTCTCATAAGTTATGTCGATGAATACTGGCAGCCGACAAAACCATGAGGTCGTGTCCAGGTTCAAGTGCCCCTGTCGTACAATCATTGCCACCGTCAATAACATTAAGTGGTATATTCTCCTCCAATGAACAGTACTCATACAAAATGGGATACATACAAATAGACACAATCGGCAGACCGATACTCACAAAGATAGAAGTGTGCAAAGCCCAAGCTGCCTAATATTCAGCCAATTGTAGCACCTTGCCTGAGAACGCCACCGACGTCAGTTCGACATCTACGAAAACATACTGTTTGGAAATACTGACCAACATGTGAATATGGTGTACGCCTCCGGTGCCCAAGAAGTTGCACGTCACCACTGTCAAAGAAGGAGTATCCCGCTGCAAACGAAGTAATGAGAAAAATTATTAAACAACGGGAGGCGACATACGCATAGCAATATCCTCATCATCACCTTCGTCACCAGAATGCCCACTAATAGGTCTTCCCGTCTTTGAGTCCCTCAGAATACCCGCATGATCAACAAATGGAGCCGGGCGTTCATTCGCCGAGCGATGAATATGAATAATCAGCTTCTGTATATCAAGCAAGTATTCCTGAAGGGTATTCAAAAATCGCCTAGTCTGCAAATGCTTCGAGGACGCGCAGCTACCGTAGGGAGTTAGCGAAATACCGCATGGACAACGTTGGAAATTCATACACAGATAATCCGTCCTCCTTGATGATATATCCAATTCCGTACCCATCGGCAGCGACGGGACCGAAACCAAAGAGTCGCAGAGCGGGGTTACCACAATTGGACGTGGACAGAATCGACGTGCTGAGGAGTTCCCAACCGGGGTCGGTGAAGATCGCGGGCATCTTGTTACTGCACTCTGGCCATGGCGCAGGGTCGTCAGGCGAGGGGTCGAGATTTCCATTGAACTGTCTCTGGAGGAGACAATACAGAGCGTAGAGGTGCCTTGATGGATGGAGTCAGCATTCCGCCGAATATGCTGCGCTCATGTGATTTTCCACTCACCTGTCTTGACCCAACCCTTGACTGCACTCTCGGGTCAGCTTAACGTGACGCTCGCAGGCCTTGTGCAGAGCATCGACTTTTTGGGAAGCCGAAGCTTCAGAGTAGAAGACCTGCGATTATGTGAGCCTTGATTTACATATGATATGAGCGGCTAAGCTCGTACCTTTGTAAATTGGACACTTTCTGGCTGAATAGAACGAATGGCCTCGGTACGTCCATGTAAGAATGATTTAGTCATCGCAGGTTCGTATACACATTCAATTCGACCTGGGCGATATCAGCATCGGCGAATAGAGGGGAAGGAACGAGCAGACCGTATAGCCCGAAATACGCCGCTTGGAATGCCATCTGGACGAAGGCATCTGGACTAAATCCATGACTTGTGATGAAGTTCTTTCCATAACCCTTAAATTCCAGAGCTTGACAGTCATTCTGGCAAATCAAGTCGCTAATTCTCGTTTCTGCAAATCGAATACCCACGCGCAACTCGGAGGAGAGTTTCCACTCTAACTTCTTCGGCGTCGTGTCAATGTGGTCTAGAGGGGGTGTTGGCGGTTTACCAGAATTACGCGGTGGCTTGAACGCCTTTGCATGAGGCGAAAGGGTTGCATGGAAAAGGGTAGGCGCCGAGGGATTGATTGACCGGGCAAGCAGCATCAGCCCTTCAGTGAAGATATCAGCCGCAAACCGAAGTACGGTGTGACCATCAACGCCAGTGTGCTCAAAGTTGATACCAGCAGCACCATCTGCACAAACTATGATTTGAAGCTAGAGCCCCAGAATAAGCGAGCGGAAATAGAACCATCAGATCCAATGACGCACCTTATCGTACCATCGATTGGTACAGGTACCAGTTTGGACACCATCTTCCAAGCCGTACGTGCCGCACAAGAAATTGCTGCATAGATCCGCCAAGTTATCCGGCGCAGCATCATCCAAGCACACCACAAACAGGGACCGGTCGATGATATCAAGGCATGACTTGTTAGTACGGTCATGAGACAGGGTATCACGGAGCTGAGACCATATCTTTCTATTCTCTGTAGAAAGCACGCCTATCGCGCCTCTGACGACCTATAATCATGATTGGTTGATGGAAACATCAATACAAACATTCATGTACTCACATCAACTTTATCGGTTTTGTCAGCATCACAGATGATAGCCTTGAGGTTGCGTATGACTTCGCGTTCCGTAAGAACCGGCAGGTTGTCATCATCAAGTACGTCAAACCAATCTAAGCGTCGTTTAGAGCGGCCGTAAAAGTCGGATGGGCCTGATACTCACAAAACTGTCCGCGGCGAAGAACGACAATATGTCTCGAATCCTCGTGTACTTGCATCTTGCATCCTCGCTAAGCAAACCTTGTGAGCACGGAAGTATCTCGCTGCCGACACCACCAACGTACCTCTGTTGGAATCCTGGCGGTGCCGAACAGTCTCGAATACTGGTCCATGTCCAGAGGCTTTCCTCGGATAGTATCTGGCTCCAGAATTCCAGCTCGAAGGTCATGGACGAATCCCAGAGATGAAATGATAAGCGACGCAGCCCGAGGAAGCTGGGTGCCTCGATCGGGCGAAGGATCATTCCTGGAAGTCGTGAGCCATAATTACGGATGAAATGGACGGAGCTCACTCGAGAACGAAAAATGGATTCAGTGCTAATACGACGGGGTCTGTATGCGATAGATATGATTCATACCAAAAGTCTTCGATGTAGCTAGGTTGTCGTTAGCCGAGATAACGAAGCGAAGAGGGATAAGCGCCAACCTGTCCTTATTCTTTGCCCATGCCTTCAGTTTCTCTTGTATACGCGGCCCATCTTTATCCAAGAAGTCCTGAACGGCTAGCTTCGTCTGCTCGTGTTCTCGTGCGTCCTGCAGCCCCTCAAGGGCCTTTAGATATCTTTTGCAGGTATCTTCCAAAGGGGGGATGGGAAGCTTCGGGAGCTTGTCTTGGAATGCGAAAGTCTGGCCTGGCATTGGCTCCGAAGAACTAGAAGCTTTGAATCTCGACATCAGGGAACTCGAGCAGCAGCAAAAAAGGAGATTAACGCACAAATATTGAGTCTTTATAACGGAGTGTGGGGAAGTGTGGGGTACGGGATTTGAAATAAGGAGGAGATCCGGCGTGCTGACTTACAGGCAGATAACTCCTAATCGTTTAGCACCTCAGGTGCTCCGTTCCGTAAGTAGACGGCGGGGTGGCGGTCCGCACGGCGGTTTTTGATCGAATGTCCGTCTGGGCAGCCCGTATAATTGGCCTTCGGCACCTTCAAGAGACTTCAGCACCAGGAAAAATGGCAAACTAGAGCGGCAGGTAATCACTTACTGACACGAAGCCGGCAACGATGATGGTTTCAAAGAGGGGTGAGCTTATCATGCAGAATTCACGTGCCGCCTCTAAATTTAGGGGCGGCAGCGGCTGCGTCAGTTCCATACAGGCGCTGCACCCGAGTCATTCCGCATAGCTTAGCAACAACTCAATGCGCTGGTCTCTGTTTTCATAAAGTCTCTTACAGCGGATTAACAGGGGAAAAAACGATGCATCGTACTTAGATGGGGCGGCCTATGGCAGAATTGATCGCCGTGCGTCCAAAGATTGCCAATAAAACGAAGGTGTTCGTCCAGTGGTCGCCGCCGAGTTTGATTGTTACGGTTGCATGACAGGCACGCGTCGACGGGTCGTCCAGGATGCCACAGAAACTGACACTTCCGAGCCAGATTCTGTCCACCAAAATTGATTGAGTGTCCCTGGCAGCCAAGAGACAAGCATTTGCTGCGCAGGGTTGTTTCCAAAATCAAAGCCTAACACTGGTCAGTGTCAGTCGGTCTTGGGAGGGGAAATACTCACGTGTACTAGAAGATATAGCTAGTCTCCTTGTTAGCTGTATTCTAGGCTCTCTAGGGCGTATGTATATCCAATGCAGAGGGGGTTATTTCTTCGATGGGAAGCACCATATAGTATGAGGACTCGAGTAAAGTGTTTTATATTCTTCAGATGAAGAGCGGAAGGGGAGCGGCGGGCGGTGGACGCAGCGGGTGTTAAGAGGAGATTTCATGATCAGCTATGAGCGCCGAATCTCTGTTGAACAATTTGCTTACCGCCGCGCTTGCCTAGAAGAGCCTTTGCAATGAGGCAATGGGACAAGCGACAGGAAAAGAAAACATGCAGTACTTACTATTGGATTTCTTGTGCAAATTTTAGTGTATAACGAAAGCAGTCAAATGATGAGAAAACAGGGAGAAGGATAGCCGTGGCCCGTGTCGAGCTAAGCATTTCGATGTACCCATTTTAGTGAATCCACTCGTGGTATAGATGAAGCGTACTGAACTTCGTGCTCGATGTGACTGAAGCGAAGTAGCGAGTAACCATTCTAATCGGTTACATTTACTTACACGAGTAAAAAGAACATTTCTTTTGTGTTGGCAAAGAGAGCGGCGATCAGCTGAGGCAAGAGCTACAGATTATGAGAGGCAATAGACACTCAAAACTGAATTACTGAACGATATCAGAACAGAAAATTCCGAAAGTACTTGATAACATGAACGAAGAGGGCAACGACAGCAGGCGAGAGCCTGAAATTTCTTCATAAAGGCTGCGGAGTAAGGCATCTGGAATCTATCGAGAAGTAGAACATCGAGTTACCGATATGCAGCGGATGCTGGTTCGACAAAGAGACCAAAAAATTATTGAAGTGCAAGTCAAGCACGTCGTACGAGTTCGGCTTAAGCCGGCAAGTAGTCTACACAGCCACAATTCCCACGTCGAACGCGTCTCTTAACTTGTCAGTCTATGTCGAAGAATTCCGGTACAGTACTGGTTAAGTATTGACCATCATCGAAAAACCATTTGTTTTTGATATGGTATTTACAGAGTTTCTATTAAATGAATAATTATAGTGGGGCGTCCCAGCGTAAACAAATGATTTTCGGTCGAAAATGACTTGCCGAGATGAGAGTGAATACATTGTACGTGTCTCCTGCAGTAAGCAATGTCAAAACAACAGGAAGACTTGACGCTATTGTTCCACTCCAGCTGGCAGTTCTATTACTTCCTTTCAGCGAGCAGGGACTGTCAACCTGCAAGCAATACAGACAACTAACCATGCCACTCCTAATGCTATGAAGTTGGGGGCTCCTTGTAGCAAGGAAAACAGCCAACGGATGACGTTACCACCTGCTAACAATGAGAGTAGTTTATCTGTGAGCCAATCAGAATAAAAGCCGCTATCAGTTTGTAGATAAGATGTCTTTTGTAGAGGTGAAATCACCTTTTCGCACATACTTACAGGCCGAAAATACTTGCATGACATACGGAAATATTTCCATTTGGGGTGAATCCTTTCGTTCTAGTCTTGACTCTTTTGGTACCAAAGCTACATGATTTTTCTTACTTGCATTTCCAACCTAAGTACATGCCTCTGCATTATAGTTATGTAGTATATTGTGTGCTCGCATAGTTATCCTGAAACATGCTGACATCCACATTTTGTGAGCAGAAAATGTTGCGATTTACCCCTATCCAAGCGCTGGCGGTGATTTCCAAATCTAGAATCAGCTTGTTTATTTGTGGAGCGTGGGAACTTGAGGCGTGTCTTGCACATCGTGACCATCGTGCCTCTTGTTTCCGTTTTGCTACTATCTCCCAAAGGAACCGACAGACGCTGATGTATTTCGTCGCTACTTTCTTCTGCTCTTCCAGCTATTAAATACCAAAATCATAGGCCTCGGCACAAATTCACACAAAAAGAGGATGAGCACCTTGTCGAGTATCTGGCGACTCAAACCATCGGCTTTCAGGCTACGAGCGGCAATCAACTGTATAAGAAACTGACAGAAGTATGCTCCTTGCATGCCCTCTTCCTCCCTTGATTGACCTTGCGTTTGTTATAGAATCTGCAAAGATGGCCATGGGCAGAGTCACGCAGCTGGCAATCCTGGAGAGACAGATACGTCAAGAATCAGGAATCTTTCAATAGATATATCAAGCGCTATCGTAAAGAGGCGGCAAAGAGGACAGAGGGTGCGCTAGCCAACCCGGGAAAGCGGAAGCACGAGTCGGATGAGGGTGTCGCGTCGAAGAGACCCAAGCTTGCGGATCGCGAGGAAGATAATGACGGGACAAAGGCCAAGACTGCGTCGAAGCCTCTGCCCCCGCCGACGGTGGCATCGCAGGCCATAGCTAATAAAGCAGTCACCCATTCGGATTCAGGGCAGGATAATGCAGGAGGTCGGGCTACTATTCTCACGGAGCCATCCAAGGCTAAAGCTTCCACGACTAAGGCCCCTGTGTCCCTGTTCACTCAAGTGTTTGATGAAGAGTCTGACAGCCGAGAAACGCCAGGTCCGGATGATTATAACGGTGAAATATTCGGCGATGACCCTCAGGAGCAGGATGATGAACATGTTATGGATGTGGAGATGATTGTCGAGTCTGATCACGATCCAACAGATGTTAGTGAGGTCGAAGAGTTGCTAACGCCTTCCCGATCCAAAATTGCTGCAACTTCGTACGGTTTCCTTTTCCTTTCAGATGATATTTTGGATCTGAACTATCTTCAGCCGATCTTCAGAACGCAAGACGCCTCCATCTCAGAATGGGCGTCGTCTCTATCCCGATATATCTCAGCTACCTTCTCCTCATTTACAGTCCAAAGAGAGACCGGCCCCTGCATCCAGTTCGTCAAATCACAAACCTAATCCCCAGCCTAAAACGATGCAGGACCATCCTATTACGCGCCCTCTCAAGAAACCCCTACGTAAACGACATCCTAGCCCGGATTCGGGGTTCTTCGAGTCACCTGCATCGTCTTCTCGTGCTCCCTCCCCACAGCGAGTACGTCAGCTCCCTCGCCTTACAGAAGGTCCATTTGGTGGTCATCGACTCGCTGGTAGCACCAAACGTGGAGTACCAAACTCTGATTCTGACTCCGATTCTGAGCCCAAAAAGACTTGGCCTCCGGTGAGGGGCAAGGCGACGAGGAGACTGACTGCTCTGGAGAAGGGAAAAGGGAAGGCGACCGAGGATACAGTTGTTTCAGAAGCGGCACCGTCGATAGTGGACTCTCTTACAACCAGGCTCGCAGACCAGGTATCCGAAGATGTTTCGCTCCTGACGTCGCGACCCCTACAAGGCGTGACTACCGAGCTCGTCGATCGGCCTTCAAATTCTGAGGACACGCTCAATGGAAAGGCGGCGGTTTCGCCTCTAACCCCGCCTGAGGACTCAAAGCGGATGGCCATTGTGCTGCCGAAGGAGCTTCCCTCTAACGTACTACCTTCGAACCAGCGTTCTGCGTCCCTGCGTACCGTTGATAAGTATAATTCATTGAGCAAATTACCGACGTCGCTTCCATCGCCCCCTAAGGGACTACAACGGTGTTTTGTTCAGTCCGTTCCACCCGATGCTGGGCCTTCGCGTCCGCGGTTCTCAGCGGCTCCTTCGGATGATGGTGAAGAAGAGATTGTAACCAACCTCTTAAGCGATGACAATCCCTTCATTGCACCTGCAGCACCACCAAAGCAGTCTATCCCCTTCCTCGATCTACGTTCTATGGCGAAGAAACCAATTCAGCGACGGTATACTCTCGCTGCACCTCCGCCACCCCGAATTGATCTACGGAAGGAGGCATTCAAGCGTGCGTCCCGAAAATCGCTTCCGGGAACATCAATATCCGCGCCGATCTCTACTAAGGATTCAATATCCGAGTTGGGCAAATCGTTAATGCATAGTTGGACGAAGCGATTTGGATTGCCTGAAGACCGCGTGAGGAAAGTGTGGGAGGAGGAATTATCGATCGAGAACACGGAGAAGCGGCTGCAGCGCGTTAAGCAAGAACATGAGAAGAGTTTGACGCCTACCAGACGGGTGAAGCGGAAATCGGCGCCCAAGATGGATATTGATGTGCTGCCTGACGATGAGGATATTGATGGGTACGAGCCGCCGTATTCATCTAGGGCGCGCAGGTTTGCGAAGCTATCCAAACAAGGGAGGGTGAAGGAGGCGTTGGACCGGGATCGACGGCGAGCGACTGAGAGTGGTGTAAAGATCGACAGTCCTTTGAAGAAGGCTTCCCCGTTATGGGGTGAGGCAGAGGATAAACTGCTACGCACTGTGAATGCCCACAACGTCAACTCGCTGCGGGAACTCGAGAAGAAGGTTGGGTATGCTTTTATGCTGGAAAAGGTTCGTGACGTTGCTCTGTTGAATTTGGTATGAAGGATTGTATTATATGCCTGGAAAATGTTTTTATTTTTATCAGGTTGAACGGGTGAAACCGCAAAGCTTGCTGGATCCTATATTGGCCATTTAAAGACCTGTTGAATGATCGTCGATACATCCGCTATTCGCCTCTAACATTTTATGCATATTCGACGTCGGCAGCATTTCTCCTGCAAATCCAGGCTTTTCTGATGTGGCATGCTGACGGCGTCATGTGCTTGTAGCTTCTTGATCGAGCTTCAACACGATCACCTATAAAAAGGGCTCACTCGGGTTTCCCGCTTGTGATCAGCACCCCACAAGATGGTGCTGGCTGGTCTGCTCTTCGCTGCGTTGGTGTCTCTCTCTTACGGTTCCTATGTCGACCCAGCTGTGTTGGACCAGTGTTCGGGGTATAATCTTGTAAATGGGATTTGGCAGGGACCCTCGTTCAAGGCGAATCTCACACTACGAGGGAAAGGTTGTGCTGTCTTCGGGACAGACATTTCGACATTGTTGCTTGAGGTGGTATACGAAACTGGTGCCCGCCTTTTCTCATTTATTTCTTCCACCTTAACTCAACATCGCCTTCATAGAAACGCGACTTCATCTGAAGATCACAGATGCCGCCAACGCGAGGTACGAAGTCCCGGACTCCATCTTGAACCGCCCTTCATCAAACATCAACATCGCCCCGGAGAACGCTGCTATCCAATTCAATTACACGGCATCGCCCTTCTCGTTCTCCATTTATCGCACTCTGACCAAGGAGGTCCTCTTCTCGACCGCAAGCCATCCGCTCATCTACGAGTCGCAATATCTGCGCGTGAAGACGAGTCTTCCGGAGGATCCGAACATTTACGGTCTTGGCGAGCATACGAATCCATTCAGGCTGCCCTTGAACACGACCCTAACGTTATGGTCACGCGACGCATATGGCATTCCCACTGGGACTAATTTGTACGGCAATCATCCCATATACTTTGAGCATCGCTCTACCGGAACACATGGCGTTTTCTTACTCAATTCAAATGGCATGGATATTAAACTCAACAATACGGAGCCTGGTAGGCCAACGCTCGAATACAATGTCATCGGGGGCGTCCTCGACTTTTACTTCCTTGCCGGCAGCGAGTCAAGTCCTGTCGAGGTTGCAAAGCAGTATGCAGAACTTGTCGGGCTGCCAGCTGAGGTACCCTATTGGTCTTTCGGGCTTCACCAGTGTCGCTTTGGCTACCAGAGTACGTCTCAATCGCACGTTTATACAATAACGAGTGTCTAAGCATGTTGTCACTACAGATTTCGTCGACGTTGCCAGTGTCATTACGAACTACGCGGCTGCAAAAATACCCCTGGAGACTATGTGGACCGACATCGATTACATGGACGGGCGCAAGATCTTTACCGTTGATCCCAATTATTTCCCCTTGGACCGGATGAGACAGATTGTTCAGTATTTGCATGATCATGGCCAGAAGTACAGTGAGTTAGACGTCTGATGGATGTCGTTCATGGAGCTGAAAGTCGTATAGTTCTTATGACCGATCCCGCCGTGGCGTTACAGGAGGGTTACGAACCATATGATCGCGGAACCGAGATGGACGTTTGGTTGAAGATGCCCAACGGCAGTGCGGCTATAGGACTGGTCTGGCCTGGTATGTACCAAGCTGTTATGTCTACAGGCGTGTCCCTCTGAGTTGTTTGAATGACTAGGTGTCACTGTCTATCCTGGTAAGCCGGGCGAATACTGATCAATTATCGTCTCTGAACCCCACATCAGATTGGTTTCACCCCGACATACAGATGTAAGTTTCCCCAATGCGATTAACGATAAGGGCTATAACGGGATATCTTACCAGGTACTGGAACCAAGAGTTCGAACAGTTTTATAGCCCGGATGACGGCATTGATATTGATGGAGCATGGATTGACATGAATGAGCCATCCAACGTTAGAACGGAATCCCTCTTTTGAGATCGTTTCACTTATGAACATCTAGTTTTGCGACTTGCCTTGCGAAAACCCGTACGAGCAAGCGCGGCTGCAAGCGTTGCCTCCTCCAAGGACCTCTCTGCCTCCAAATCATGACACGCCTATCTTTACCAACTCTGCGCCCAGAGAACTTTCGAAAAGAGATGATCTCTTGAACCCTCCCTATGCCATCAATAACGCAGCTGGGGCGCTATCCAGCAAAACCGCATGGGTACGGAACGAATGCTAATGGACGTTATACTCTACTTATACATGCTTCCAGACCAACGCGACATCTGCAAACGGATTGAACCAATATAACACACACAATTTGTATGGAACTATGATGTCCATGGCGACGCGTACCGCGTTGTTGAATAGACGTCCGGGCTTGCGGACCTTGGTTATCACTCGCTCGACGTTTGCAGGCGCGGGCAAGTACGTTGGTAAATGGCTCGGTGATAATGTCAGTACATGGCAACTCTACAGGCTCAGCATCGCCGGTATGCTAGGAATGGCCAGTGTATACCAGATCCCGATGGTGGGAAGTGATATCTGTGGGTTCGGTGGAAACACGACAGAAAACCTGTGTGCGCGATGGGCTATGCTGGGAGGGTTCTATCCCTTTATGAGAAATGTAAGCTTTCTGTGCGTAGTAAGGAATGAGGAGCGATTAACACAGAGCTTATCATAGCACAATTCGGACACCTCTATTTCACAAGAGTTCTACGTGTGGCCTACTGTTGCTGAAGCGGCTAAAAACGTTCTTGATATGCGGTAAACCCTTGATTGCATTATGCGGCACAACGTATTGAACGGGCTGTGGCAGATACCGCCTTATGGATTACATCTATACTGCATTCCACACAGCAAGTCTTGACGGAACGCCCGTCCTCCAGCCCTTGTGGTTCCAATACCCTACCGACAAAGCGACCTATTCCATCGATCTCCAGTTCTTCTATGGTGACTCCATCCTTGTCTCTCCTGTAACAGACGAGAACTCGACTTCTGTTACCATCTACCTTCCCAATGATACGTTCTACAACTTCACGTCTCTTGCTCCCATCAAAAGCACTGGCCAACAGATCACTTTCACCGATATCGGCTTCACAGATATTCCGGTCTTCATTAGGGGAGGCAGTATCTTACCGCTCCGTGTTCAGTCGACCATGACGACCACAGAGCTTCGGGCCGAAGACTTTGAGTTTGTCGTCGCGCCCCGTGCTGATGGGACTGCAGCGGGAAAGTTGTACCTGGATGATGGGTTGTCCATTACGCCGAACGCGACTACAAATGTGGACACGAGTTTCGCCAATGGCAAGTTGAGCGTCTCTGGGAGCTTCGGGTTCAAAGCAGGTGTGAATGTCGCACGGGTGAGAGTGCTGGGAGTTGAGGCTAAGCCTAGGTCGGTACATGTGAACAATCAGGCCGTGGAGGGTGCCCAGTACGATGATGCCAACAAGGTTTTGGATGTTCCTGTTGGGCTACCACTGAACCAGGCTTTTTCGGTGTCTTTTAAATAGGAGTAAGGTCTGGTCGAATTTCTTTCATAACTCGAAATTGTGTATAATGGATAATATACTTGTGTAAACAAGCATACAACACAAGCACAAAGATAGAGTACCATAATGAGGGAATCTAGCGTTACCAATAAACTACACACCTGCTGGCTGACGAAGAGCGATGCTCTTGAGTTCCGTTTTGTCTATCTTGCCGTTTCTGCAAGCGAAGAATCAGAAATCATTGGGCGATAGGCATTGACGACGACACTCACTTGGTCAAAGGCAAAGCGGGGATCGACAGGAATTTGCAAGGAACGGAATACCATGGCAAGATTTTACAAACGGCCTCTTGAACGCTTCTGGCATCGACCGATGAAGGCGTGAATAATCCGACAAGTTCGTCACCAATCAATACTGCGCATGCACCCGTAACCGTGGGGTAAGATTGCATAGCCGCACTGATGCCATCCAACTCTACGCGGAAGCCCTGAATATTATAATGAAAATGATGTCCGTCTGACCGAAAGAAGAGTGACGTACTTTGATCTTAACTTGATCGTCGACGCGACCTAAATGGTCAAGAGAGCCGTCTTCTCTCCATTTTCCGATGTCGCCAGTATTATACATTATCCTGGAAGCATGTGTGAGTCGGGTCAGGAGGAATTGCATGAAGATGTGACTTACCCGCCAGGAATGAAGGGATCTTTGAGGTATCGTTGGGAAGTCAGTTCATCTAGTCCGAAGTATCCTTTCGAGATACCTTTCCCGCCGGCCCACATAACGCCAGCGGTCCCGAAAGGTACAGGCCGCAACAGCTCATTCAGGACATAGACGCTGTTATTCGCGGTTGGCTTGCCAATGGAAAGCGGTGTGTAAGGAGCATGTTTATGCATCGTGTTGACTATCGTCGTCTGTGAAGTGCAGGTGAACACTTTGTCGTATTGCTTGGATAACTGCTGAATGACTTACCTCGGTAGGTCCACAACAATTGTAGAAAGTCGCTTGAGAGGCCCACTTGTCCGCCAATGATTGGGGGCAAGGCTCTCCGGCCGTAGCAACCACTCGAACATTGGGAAAATCGGAGGGGTCGTGGGGAATCAGTATAGACGGAGTAGCGATTATAACATCCACCGTCTTCATAACCTTGATCCAATCTGCTCGTCGAGGGCCCCGTAAATACAAAGTCCCTCCATTCATTAGACACCCGAGAGTTTCCCATGCGCACATATCGAAGGCTATATTAAGGAGCTGTGCCACTTTAACTCCAGGTTTGATGTGCAAATTCCCAGGCGACAATGAGAGTACTAGAGTAGAATCAGTATGAGACCTCTACGCAGAGCGAATTAAACGCACGGTTGGTGACGTTCGAATGACTGACCATGACACCTTTAGGCTTGCCGGTGGTACCTATCTCATAAAGATTAGTAGTGTGTGCAGGTGCGGAGAGAGAGGCATACCCGATGTGAATATTATGTAGGCGGTATCAGAGCCTCGAGATAGATCCTCAACCGCGTCAAGAGGATAATCTCTGATGGAGTGAAGTACATCTTCGATGCATCCGTAGGGATGACTGAGTAGGCTGGTGCGAGAGATACATCCTTTGGAGACTAGAACGAATGTGGGATTTGCATCGAGCATGATACTTTGAAGTGTATCATCCCTGGTGATGTCACCATCCAATGGAATGTATGCCGCGCCAGCGCGCAAGATTCCAAAGATGGCGACCACCTGAGCAATTGAACGCTGTGCGACAAGAGCGACGAGACACCCTGGGCGAACACCATGGGCTCTTAGATACGAAGCAAGGAGCGACGAAAGATAGTCGAGGTCGGCATAGGACATGGAATTCCCTAGGTGGTCAACGACGGCTCTCTGCGAAGGGTTTGCGCGAACTGCAGACGCGAAAGCATGATGAACACACGTAAACGGAGCATCTACCTTTACGCCGAAACTGTGCTTCGAGGCAGCTACATGCTCAGATATCTTTTCAGATACCTTCTCCTCCTCGAATTCGGGGACACGACGGTACTCGGAGTACGACTGAGTACGTCCTGTAAAAAAGTACCGGCCCAACACAGCGAGGAGTACGTAGCGAAAATAACGAACACTGGCGCGGAAGATGTTCGAGTCCATGTCGAGTGCTCCAGTCCAGATATCGAGTTCAATTGAGAGACAGCGGGCATTATAAGGGTCGAGAGCGGAATCCAAATGGGTTTCATATCAGAACATACCATGGATTCGTTGTCAGAGGAAGCTAATGTAGAGAAATGCCGGGAAGGACTGGCGACCAATTATCAAGAGACAAGCAAGAGGTCAACAAGGTTTACTACTTCCAATTGTTCGGCGCCACATGGCAGTATCAGCAAGTCACGCTGGTGATGAAAGGGACCACCTGTACATTTCTCCTTCCCGTCGAATTTCCGATGATCAACCATTTAAAGGCACTCGGTATAGCGCCTCAATCGTGCGCATCGTTGACATATATAGTTATCCATCCCCCACGCCGTAATAGCCAGACCACCGCAGCAGACCTACCGTGCATCATGACACGGTACTTCCTGCAACTCGATGGCAGGTATTGATTAGTGCTACCGTCTTCACGAGTCAAGAAAACAAAAGAGGTTAGGGCGAAGGCAAGGTTTTACTGTTTTCGATAATACTAGAAGTGCGCCAAGCGTGAACGGGGTCCGTACTTTACCCGACCTTGCAGATGTAAGTTCATTTACCATTTACTACGCATATGGACCCAGAAAAAGTTCCATGAAGCCAAGAGAAGACAGCAGTAGATGACAGACCTCAATTGGGACCGGATAAAAATTTGGAAGTGGTCAGAGAACTCCGCTACCACGCAGTCTTGGCTTCATCATGATATTCCTGCATGATGAACAGGGAGAACAGTGCGTAACGTCAAGGTGCAACGGAGATACCCGGGACTCAAGTTGACCATCTTATCTTATCGTCAATTTTTGATTAAACAACCATCGCGCTCTTGTGATACGCATGAGATTCGCTAGCTATATGGGGTAAATCCGCTCTCTGCTAATGGTACTACTGATGTTAAATTTCCTTCTCGTCGCTAGGTCTTCTCTTGCACAACAGCTTTTTTTAAAATTCCTTTGCGAAGTGCGTTACACAGGCATACACCTCTTTCCTCATCTGTTTGTGCTATGCCAGCACGAACCCAAATTTTACTTAATCTAGCATAATGCGGTTCCATTTGTCTGCCCTCTAATCATTCAGGCCGCCGCGACTTCGGATTTTCCTGACTTGACATCAGCCATCATCGGACCTGGTGACTCGTACCTGTGTCGTGTTGCAGGTAGGCTCGGACGTGTGCCTCATTTCTCCGTCGAGGCAGGGAAAATTTTACTGCATTTTCCAGGTGCAATCAACATATGTGGTGTTGTAACAGATCCGCAAATCAGAAAGTGCCCCGTCCTAGAGTTTATGGATCATGCGGTTGTCAGAACGCAACCTCATCCTCCCGGGCCGTCTTGATTTTCTCTGCGTGCATTCTTCATTGTTATTCGTACTCGGCATGGTCTGGACGCTTCGCTTTTCATGCTACATGAGGTCTATTCATATGATATAACTACCGTAGGGAGGCTTCCCTTTGCTCCTTCCCCTCCCACCTCCCCAAGCCATCATGAGCAGTGACGCGCCTACCGCCTCATCTAGTCGCACTTCCCTTCCCTCCAATTCGTCAGTGACGGAGAAGGCCACGGTCATCCACTCCGACACTACGGGACCCAAGGAGATCGACGAGAAGCTGGGCAACCCTTGGGATGGCTACGAAGATCAGGACGTTCCTCAAAAGACCCAGTCGCGTCCCGTTCGTAACTTACGACTCCAGATTTTTACGGTCTACCGTCGTCTGTTCTCGGTGGCTTTCACCATTAATATGGCCATCTTCATATCCTACGCGGTTCGCGGGTATTCCTCTCGAAAGGTGGCTGAAGTGGCAGTGGCGAATCTCTTCATCGCTATTGTTATGAGGCAAGACTATGTCATTAACGCGGTCTTCTACGTCCTAAGTTCGGTACCGCAATCGTGAGAGTTCGGTGTTTTTTTGCGCCTTCTATCCAGTGCTCACGCTTATATTAGATGGCCTTATTTCATCCGGAGTTGGGCTGCGAGGGCGTACCACCATGGAGGTGTTCATTCTGGCACGGCCATCTCCGGTGTTGTATGGCTGGTCCTTTTCACGGCCCGGGCCACAAAGGAGCTGGTCGACGGCTCTGGGGTAAGACTTAAAGTCTGAAGTGTTGTTTGGGAATTGAATGCGTTTTCATCAGGCTTCAGCAGCGACGGTTGCGATAACATATGTCATTTTGACTTTCCTCATTATACTCGTTGCCTTAGCCTATCCACTATTTCGAATCAGGCATCACGACGTATTTGAGCGCGTACATCGATTTATGGGATGGACAGCAACTGCTCTAGTGTGGGCGCAGGCAAGTGCCTACCTACACCTAGAACTTCTATCTGATCAGAAGGCAATACTAGGTGGTCTTACTTACCAATGATTACAAAGGCTCTCGATTATTGGGTGTTGCCCTCATTCATACTCCGGCATTTTGGCTAATGATAATATTGAGCGTGTCTCTTATTCTTCCGTGGGTGAGGCTCCGCAAGGTCGATGTACGATGCGAAGTTCTCTCGAATCACGCTGTTCGCATGTACTTCGAATATGGTGAAGTATGGTTACTCGATACGCATGTGTGATCGCTAACGAATTTCACAGCGACACCAATACCCGGCTCTTTTGTGCGTATTTCTACCGACCCTCTGTTTGAATGGCACGCATTCGCCACCATGCCTGAACCCGGCATGAAAGGTTTCTCTCTGCTGGTATCCAAAGCAGGTGACTGGACCACCGAGATGATCACCAACCCGCCTAAAAAGATATGGGTCCGGGGCATCCCAACGACTGGTGTTCTAACTATCGCGCCGCTTTTCCAGAGGATACTCTTTGTTGGTACTGGTAGCGGCATTGGGCCCATCGCCTCGCACATTTTTGCCGGAAAAGCAAATCATCGATTAATATGGACGGCACCTAACACGCGAGCGACCTTTGGAAATCATATGGTAGATCAGATTCTGGAAAAAAGTCTGGATGCCTTGATCTGGGGTTAGTCTTTATCTTTGGATCATGCTGCGTAGATGCTCATCAATTTCGCCATCTTTTCAGATACCCGCAAACACGGAAAGCCCAATATGGTCAAGCTCGTCAATCACGTAGTGGACGAATACGATCCTGAAGTCGTCTGTGTTATATCGAATAATAAGTTCACGCAAAAGATTGTGTATGGACTTCGCAGTAGAGGCATGCTTGCTTTGGGAGCAATTTTTGATTCCTAGAGTTATAGGGAACCTCAGAGTGCATTATTACTTGGGGCGAATTAGACTATTTAAAATCTATATGTACCTAGCTAAAGAACGCGAAAAAATTTCACGCGACACCACGAGAACGTCCGCCCTACTAATGAGTAGATATAAATATGGAGCAACGGATTTCGCGCAATGGTCATTGCTTGCACATTGTTCCAATCGAAAGGGCGCGTGTCGCAGAGAGTCAGCAGCATGAGGGTCTCTGTAAATCAAGAGTTAAGCAATCCTGGTACCGGCGATCGCTCGCATACAAGCACATTGACCTTTTATGAAGTTGCCTGCTATCACCAAAAAGAGATTTTTTGCTCAGCAGCACGCACCCCTATGATGGACTGAATTATGGATAGTGCAGCGCACAGAGTAATGTAGGAATAGACTATCTTGCGTCGTGGAATGCGACACGACTAATGAACACCATTGACAGGTTTAAGATTCGGTGCTCATAGTCGTTTGTCCAGCCATTACAAAACAATTCAAGGTAAGCATCGGATAATTTAACTGGCCGATCAGGAAACGGGGCTCGTGCGGATCCTGATGACGATCAATTATTGCCAAGGCGATCACATACGATGCCATCTTCAACGGTTTGTACAAGTTGCAGTATCTTACGGAGTGGTCGTTTTATAATTTATTGCTTTCTGGCTATAACTTCATAAGGGGCGCATTTTATAGTAGTTTCTACGGTACTTAAAGTCCATATCGGCCGTGGTCATTTGGGTAATTGAGATCGGGGGGGAACTAGACCCGGTGCGCAATAAAGTAAAACAGCTAATATCTCTGGTATCGCGACCAGCGGATACCAGAAGTGTTCATCAGCTTCCTTCTTCGAATCATTGATAGTGGCGATCATGAAAGCCTCGCGCACCAGAAGGAGCAAAGATATAGCGCAAAGAATAAATGCGCCGTGTCTTTCTCCGAAGCTAGTGTACTGCAGTGGTCGATACCCTGAGACAATCTCAGTCTATAAAGCTCCTGGGAGGCGAGAAACAGGCTTACTATCTTGCAGCTCTCTCCTTATCAGCACAAAAGTAAGGTATGCTTGAATGACGGTAAGGACCAGGAAAATGATGACGCTGACTTTCCGCAAGGTCGAGGCGATGGAACTTGACGGGTCATTGAAGCTGGAGGTTATCCCGTATATTCCTAGCCCCACGGCAACCAATAGGAGAAGCCTAAACAATCTGCGGTTACTTGCAATCATGGATATTCTGTCTTCGGGAGGAGGAGCCTTGCTGAGGAGTCCTCTAGAAATCGATAATGCGAGTCCATGCTGTTCTTTGTTTAGCGTTACGAACACTTTACTCACCGGTCAAGGACAAGAGTATAAGCAGCATACAATAGACCAAAAAATCCAATCCCAAACAGCACTTGGTCTGCAATAAATAGGTCGAGATTTTCTGCCGCCCCGATAGAATTTATCATGATAGCGCGTATGGCGAATGCGGCGACGCGAACTGTTCAAAATATTCAGCTGACATCTCACGAAGACATGAAAGAGCCACTAACGTATGCAGAACAAGCCCAGTATGCCGTATACATAAGTGGGAATTCTGATGAATTGGAAAGCGAAAAATCCGCAAAGTGGGGCGAAGGCGATGGCGAAGACCACAGCTGCAGTCATGGAGTCATAGCCATACGCTTCTGCGTAGTTTATGGTAGGCATTTTTGTGGAAGCAGAACGTATGAAAGTATGAAAGAGCTGTGGAAATCGCTTCATGGGCGTCCTTTTTATATTAATTTTGGTAAACATCAGTACAGGGATCGCGATAGATCGGAGAGCGTAGTTATTTTTAGCAGCTTGGAGTCGAAGCTAAAAATGTGAGGCAAGGACAAGGATTAGCATGACTATAGTTGTCAGTCATTCCACAGGACATTTTTCTAGCAGAGACTCGGTCATTTGAAGTCTCAGGTATTTCTGAAGTCTCAATAAACCTCTAAACCGTAAAAAACCTGGGATTCAGCGCACCGTTGGATCCATCCAGAGTCCGTCGGCAACAGGTTGGAGGCGTCGGGTCGCAACATGAGGACTGTCAGAGAGTTCCCAAAAAGGCTTAGGCTGACATATGGCGGTATCGTGCCAGTATAGGGCAGGCCAATGATGCGGGGATGAAACTTTGTTCCTCTCCACGACCGTCGTAACGTAGGCCATTCAGCACATCAATATCAAATTTCTACATATCTGTCGCGTTTCACCCTTCGTTTCGAGTTGGAAGAACAGGTAAATCGAGTAGAGAGACGGTTAGACCTTCTTGCCAATAGATGAAGCCATTGTTGAGAGCCGATGTTCATCGATAGAAGCCAAGAAAAGATGGTACATTTGAAGGCTTCTTTTTTCTAGCTAGTATTCAGCAAGTTCATATACATTTACACTTCTTGATAGGTTAGCACTCAAATGAACAATCAATGTCGGGATATAATTTCGGAGTGCCCTGGAGGGATGATATATCACAGGTGGTGACAAGCACAGCCTGAAGAGCAGGGTCCAGAGGATGAGGTTCGCTTATACAGGAATACGCATTTATCATACCTTAACGATACACCGCCACCGGTTAAATGGATGGTACTCAAATGGTGCTTCAGTCTGAGTTTAGAAGTCGATCAAGTCCCTAGCAACACTAAGTTCAATTAACAGTATTGCGCCCGAAAACGCGAGGCTGCAAGTTTGCGTACACCGTTGTCGATGCTTATCTGGATAGAAAGAGCTTATCTGGGTCTGGATATTATTAAGGCGCAATAGAAGATTTACCAACAGGCATGCACATAGTCACACTTCATCAGCGCGATCGAAACCAATTCGGATCCAATTCTCTGGTTTGGGACATGAAGGTCGAGAATGGCCCTCCAGTCATGATGAGAGTGTAGCCCTTTGTTCGAAGGGGACCGTTTCGATGTGATCAAAAGTCAGGCCGAGAACTGGCGCAGGAGGACCGACAAGCTGGTTTAGAAGTAGAAGTGCTTCATTCAAATTGAGTCAGGTATACCAACATTCATAGCGCAAGAATTCTTGTAAACATACATTACAGCCATCGCTAGAGCTAGCATCGCAGCAGCTTTGGATGGTAGACTTACTTTTTGGGAGGAGTAACAAGCAGTGGAATCTGTGGCCCTTCCTGGGCTTTACCTGGAACGATGGGGAGTAAAAGGACGCCCGCTGGATCATGCTGTAAGTCCGGTGCGCCCTTCGGAATGCTGAACTCAAAGTTACTGAGAAGTTCCGTGATTACCGGTTGCAACTCCATAACGCTACGAAATGGTGAGGGTCAAAGAGTTTGAAAAATTCATCCATACTCACGCAAATCGCCACCTATTGATACAAACAGCCATACGTTAAAGTTGACCCATCATTTCAAAGGCCTCGAGTACTCACCTAATGCACCCACGAATACCAGCATCTGTAATTGCAAGGCAATCGATGAAGGATCTCAAACAAGGATATATCGTCCTTACTTAAAGTCATCCTATCAAAGGGTAGAATTAGCGGACTACCATGACAGAAAAGATCATACAGATTCGCATAAACCCCAAGAGATTCCTGCTTGATTCCGCGATCTTCAAGGAACCGACGAGGATTCCATTCGGCGGCATAATCGTCCCAGATTGATGCAAGACTAGTATAATCTCGGTCAAAACCTATTCTTAAATAGAATAAGAATCCAGGGACCGATTGTAGATATACATGGAGGCGAATATGATTTGTCCCTTAGAAATAGGAACCTGTGCAAACGCTTTACCATCCGAGGTAATGATAGGTTCGGCTAGAGGGAGGTGATCATCCTCTGCTGGTTCACGATAGAGGCCAAGGGCCAGCGCCAGAGCATTGAATCACAATCACCCGACGTGAACGCCCCTGCTTTGGCTGTGGCAATCTCTTCACACACTCTCGCTTGATCCTCAGGGTGACGACTGAGCTCATAGAGAAGCCCGACCATCGTGCTTGCAATAGTTTCATGACCGGCTATAATGAATGTCCTATCAAACTTAATCAGCCAAGAGAAGTAAACATGTCGAAGTATAGCCTACGCCAACTGCGAGCCGACAGAGCTACTAGAGAATGATAGACAAGAGCAGCTAACCCCGAAACAATCGTCAATGCGGTATATGGCACCGTGTTCTTGATACCACTCCCCCTCCTGCGTGTTGACGACCAGGTAAGGACAGATTGAATGACCTGATAAGTGGCATTCAGGATAAAGCTTAGGCGCCAGAGTCAAAGTGAGCAAACCTAGCAGAAGTTTGAAGGACGTGGCGGTCTACGAACCCTCCGAATCACATGCCTGGGCTTCCAGAAGCGCAGCAGAACAGCGACGAGAGGACCTGGAACGACAGGAATAATGAAGTGACACAAAGTAGGCTGCACGGTCCCGGACTCGAGCAGGACAACCGTTGAAGGTGAGCTTTTTAAGTGAATCCGTTTGAGTGTGGAGTTCTGTGAAGAAATCGATTGAAAGCAAGAGACTAGGGAAAGCAGTCCGCTCAGTAATTGTAGCTGTGTCGAGGTTTCCTCTCTCCCCACAAGAAGATTCTTCACGAAGCCCTAAGCCGAGACTTTAACTGCATGAATATCTCATCCCAACGTGTGAAGGCCACGTCTTCAGTGAAAGAAGGCTTGGTGTAGTCCAATCCCTCAACTCATCGCGACATTGCATCGGGGTCCATGTGAAGAACCTCGAATGGTCATTGTACGAATCTCAGCACTTCTCAGCACTAGGGAACATGCCATATACGATCACGTTACATCAAACGAAATACTCACTTTTACATGTCACCAAGCATTAGTCAGATGTGCCGTGGCAGCACCCCGCCGTGGCCCCGTCATAAGCATTTGTTCCTCGGGCCATTGAAGGCATCAATAGAAGTGACGAGGTTCGAAAACAGAATCAGAAAATAAAAAGTAGCGGCAATACCCGCAACGGCAGTCTTGCCGTTCTCGGCAACATCGCAGTGATCCCTTTCTTCTCTTATGTTTACTACTACGAAGATTATATTTTGAATGGCCTTTATCCACATAATTGACGCCTGTAGGCAAGTTTTTGGAATACTTGTTGGACTAGGGTGTCTACAAGTTATCTCCCCGACGTCCGGCTATCTCCGCCATATTCCCACGGTACGGACTCCACCAGTAGTAGTCCTCACCGTGTACCTTAGACCAGACTATACACCTCGTATCTTCAGTCACCGTGTCTTTCCTGCCGCCTCCTCAGCCTATCAATACTCTCAGAAGCTCTTAGCTGATATCTCCGGGGTCCTTACGTTGTCAGAAATTACGCCCGTGTGCCGTTGAAGGAATCTGGGAATATTCGGCTATGTTGCGACCCGATTATCAGTCAGGTGAAGGCAACCTCTTTATAACCGAGCCATAACGCAAACGTCTCTTGCGGACGTCAGCATCCACTTCCCTTCTACTTTTCCAATGGCCACCAATAACAGCGGCAGCCCTAGGATTGTTGTCATTGGTGCTGGGTAGAAGTTCATTTACATTTTCGTCGTGAAAATGGCTTACTCCCGTTTGCCTCAGTATCGGAGGACTGTCTTTTGTTATCGCATTGCAGAAAAGATTTCCTGGATTCAATAATTTAACCGTATGACACCTTCTGGACAGTTTCTATTCTGTCTCATAATTTATTCACATCGGGCTTCAGGTCTACGAAAAGGCTTCTGATGTTGGTGGAACGTGGAGGGTACAGACTCGTGTTTTATTCTCGGCCCAAATAAACTAATTACGCTCTTTCAGAGTAATATTTACCCCGGCTGCTCTTCTGATGTTGGCATGCACTTGTACTCCCTGTCCACCGATCTGTATCCCGACTGGCATTACACCCACGGATACCAACCGGAAATTCAGAGTTACTGGCAGGATTTATCGCACAAATACAATCTCTACCCGCATCTCGTCTTCAATACGCTCGTCGTCTCGGCAGAATGGGACAACCAAGAGGAAGCTTACCACATCGTCACTGAAGACGCGGTGACAGGTGCTCGATCGACTTCGTCAGCGAAAATCTTGATATCTGCTTTGGGAGTCTTGGATGTTCCACGGTACCCAAAAATTTCCGGACTTGATACATTCAAGGGCGAGCAGTTCCACTCCGCGCGCTGGAACTACAACATCGATCTTCGCAATAAACGGGTGGCTGTTATCGGAAATGGAGCGTCCGCGTGAGTCTCTTGCATCCAAATTCGACGAGGCGTCCTACTTAGAATTACGAGAACGCAATTTGTTCCCATCATCTCATCTGACCCCACGGTCGATGTTACAAATTTCTGCAGAACGCCAAATTGGTTGAATCCTCCTGTTCGTCTGTTTTCCTAGGCGGTTCTACGACCTTATCATTCCATTATAGATTCGCTCAGAGTATAGCCGACTCAGAAGGTTTATGTTCAAATACCTTCCTCTTTATATGCGGATGGTCCGTTTTCTTCTGTTTCTGCGGGTTAGTTATTCTTCTACTGCGCATTCGGTTCAATCCTTGACCGTGTGTTAAAGGGAGATATGCTGTATTGGGTTGTTTTTGGGACTCGATTCCTTCATAGTGCCATAAAGAAGGTTAGTACTACGCTGTTTCTATCCATTCTCGAATTTTACTCTTCTGCAGGCACGTATAGAATATATTCGACAAAAAGCGCCAAAGGAATACCGCGACCAGCTGATACCTTCATATAGTAAGTCCCTCCCTTCTATGGCAGGGCAACTAACGCTGAACGATCTCGAGAACTCGGGTGTAAACGCTTGATCTTTGACACGGATTACCTTGCTGCTTTACATCGTCCGAATTTATCCCTGAACTGGGACGGCATTGAATCAGTCTTCGAAGGTGGCATTGTAACGAAGAAAGGTAGGCTTCATCATGGTCCTCACGGAGCGCTCTAACAAGCGTTGACAGGAGAAAAGTTGCCCTTTGACGTCCTCATTTTTTCGACGGGCTTCGTGGCTGTACGTGTTTCTCACCATGTCAATTTCTATAGTAATTCTGATTCCATTGCCTCACTGACTAGGATGATTACCCTCTGCATGTCCGAGGACTTTCTCAGACGGTCAAAGAATACTACGAATCTGCCGGCGGACCCAAGGCGTACGTTGGAACTACAGTTCCCGGCTTTCCGAACCTTTTCATGATAGCAGGTCGCGGTCCATTTATATAGTTCTATCGGAACTTGGCTGACATCTTTGTAGGTCCCAACACTGCTACCGGCCATTTATCAGTTATATTTACAGAAGAAGTGCAGGTGAGGCTCAGACGTTTTGTTGAGCGTTCTTTAATCAAGTTCCCGCAGATCAACTATATCTTACAACTCCTTAAACCCATTCTCGAGGGACACGTCTCCTCTATCAATGTCACCGACGAAGCGACAGATGCGTATAATGAAAAGATTCACGCACGGCTGGCTAAATCTGTCTTTGTCGATTGCGTCTCATGGTATAGGAAGGGTAGTGATGGGAAGGTAACAAGTATATTTCCGGGTTCTGGCTTTCTGTTCTGGTGGTGGTTGCGAAAGGTCGACTGGAGTCATTATAAGGTGACTGCGTTGGGAAGCTGGTACCATCGTCCACGGCGTATGTGGCTGGTCCCAGTTTCGACAGGTATTCTTCTGCTATCGGTGGCGACGCGGTTTGGGGGTTTAGCACAATCCAAATGGGTAAGTATATGTTATGTGGTTTGATCGAGGAGTTGAGTTGACTGACGTATCTGATACAGCTTCTAGCGAGAGTAGGTGTAGTTCAACGTATGGCGCAGAAGCTGGCGCGGATTTCCTGGTGAATAGTTCTATCTGTATCTGTTTTGAATCCGAATATGAATGTCAATTCTCTTATATAACTCGATTTTCTGGTCGATTACGTGGTAAGACGAATTTCGACGGTCCAAGGTATAAGTAGGCAGCAGCAGGCTTCTCTGAATCTATATGTCATGCTTATACAATGATCTATTATAGGTCGTGTAAGACTAGGATCATGTATCTAATTACTGCTGGCACGTAACCAAGCAGAGAATCAAGTGAGATACACGGATGATAAATAAGATAGAAGTGCAAGTAATCTAAAGTCCGTGTTATGAATGCCCATTGAGTCGGTGTATCTCACAGCGTGGGGTCGGTGCAAATCAAGCACGGCCAAAATAAACGAGCGTATGGTAAGATGCCTCTTCCCTGGCGGCGCGGACGTCTTTCGCGCTCCCCTGACCATAAGAGACACCATTGACTTGATAAAATTCGTGCATTAGCTAGGATTGGCGATAGGCGATAAAGATCTACTTACCGTAGGCGATCGAGCTCCATGTTCCTTTGTTCTGGGGACCAGTAAAAGAGTCTTCAAAGCGTACTTCCCATCCAGCCTGGACGCAAAGATTGTTCAATTCTGTGCGGTAATCTGGAGGAGTGATGTTTAGCTGGACTAGATGACGAGGATTTCTCAACGATGAACTCACGTCTTCTAGGCTCGGGCATGTTTGTTCGTCTAGTGGTTGCAATGGACGAGAGGGTGAATGTAGATTGCAGTGTTGACCAGGTGCTTTGCCATCTCTTCAATTTATACCTCTCAAATACACCGCAGCTCGGATTTAACAGTGTTACAAGTAACCAAGACGAGTAGAGCGTTCCAAATCATAAGTTAGAGGCACAGCAACAGATCACCAGGAATGTACGAGAGTACGACCAGGAGTCGGGAGAGGTTTAATGGTAGACAGCAAAGTGTCTGAAACACTGAGGCGACCAGCATTCATCAGGACTTCTTAGAAAAAGGCAACTTGACGGCGATGTAGTAGTAGGACCAAGTTTCAAGTGAGTTGAATTTCGTCGTAGTTGCCCGCAAAGTGGACGGCACCCCCACAATGACAGCTATCCGGCGTAAAATATGACCGGTTAGGTTGTTCCAAACAGGGGAGACGCTGGAGCCTGCGAGATTATTCAACCAGAGCTGTTATTTCTACGCGAAACATAACAGCGATTTAACAGGAAAGTAAACTGTCACTCACACGCAGGGTCAACGTGCAATTTGCGCTGGGAAAGGTCAATAAAGACACAGACAAGGATCCACTGTTAGCCATAATTGCATAACGAACTGCATATTGATAGATGTCGATCAGGTCAGAAGCAGTGTATAGTGATATGATAGCCGCCTCAAAGCGAAACATGATAACAATTGACCGGATGCAGAATAAAAGCTGTCAGTACTTGCCCGATATATGCGAAACGAAGAGAACAGCTGGAACAGCATACGTGAGGAACGCCGGAGGCTCCACCTCGGACACGGCAAAAGGTTTTCCAAGGACCCAGAGCGAAGAAATCTGAGTGACACATAAAATCGTTGAAACACTACACCAGTAATTATCCACTAAGAATGTAGTATACATGACTCACTTGGATGCACACTCAGCACAGGCTTCCGCTAACCACCTGAGGAATCCGGATTGAAGAGAGCAGTTTGTGTAAAAGGTACAAGAAAATATATCTGATATTTTCGGCTGTCAATACTGAATAATTATGTGTGATGGAAAGCGGGGAGTGCTATGGAAAGAAGGATGGTATGTTGACACGTGGTCGCGTATGGTCACAGGTCTGAGGTTCCCACGGTCTGATGCGCTGCACTTCCACTTCCACTTGCAACCACGCGCTTCCCGCCATTCTCAGTGTAGTGCTCTTTGGCCCGCCTCTACTTGCTATCTATAATTATCGACTGATCACTCAACATTCTGGCTTTTCCATCCTTTAGTTTCGCTCGCCTTGAAAGAGACAAGTACAATCAGTGTCATCTGCCCCGGCTCTGGGCTGTTGTTCTCATCCTATGCATCTGCTCTTCCCGTGTCTCGCGCGAGCTGATATCTAGGAAAGGAACAATCGCTATGGCTACATCAAAGAGAAGAATAGAAGTGCTGGCCGATCTCAGGCCGATCCCAAGTTGGCTGAGTGGGCGGACGAGTCAAAGTCTGTCTTTATCACCGTCGTACACAGTGAAGACCATAGGCTAACCATCCTCTCATTTCCTGTCCCAAATCTTCACTATGACTACCGGCTTTTAATTGATGAGACGCGACTATGATTACAAGGTATTGTCAACTAATAATTGATTACACTCAAAACAATGCTAATGGATGCGTCGGATTAGCATCCAGTATCATAATTCCAGCAGAGTCGTTCGATTTTTTCACCCATGCGCGGAGTTCTTTTTCTCTGATAATGAGCGACGCAATTATTTGGTCAATCAAACCCATCGCCTCCGATTCAACTACGATAACTAGAGGACTAGTTCTCGTTGCGGGTTTAATATAAGCAACGGGAGTTTCGAGGTTACTCTCTGCATACAACTGTGTAGAGATGGATATTAGCCTGTACATGGAATCGGTGAATTGTCTCACCGCCAAGCGATGGACGACGTGGACCTTCCATAGGTATCGTCTGTATGCTGTTTCGATGACTCTGACCCGTCTGTATCGCAGATTAGCACCAAATTGTGGTTGTATTCAGGCAATACTTCACGTTTTATCCAGTAATCGCTCCTCCTTCATCCATTTACTGATCTTGATGGCCTTTCCCCCGTTCACGCTAGATATTCTCACCGTGTCCGGGAAAATCCCGTTTTCTTCAATGACCACGATGACTTTTTGTGTCGTAACATCCACAACCTCTGTTCGTGCGGTTGCCGTCTGCTTTGTCTGAATGGTATATGTGGGTTGTGAGTTCTTCAGTAGGGTCGCATTGAGGACACCATTACGGTCGAACTCGAAGTATGTCGGTGGTGATGGATATACGAGAGTCAAGAGTGAATCCATCGGATCTGTGGTTTCAGAGGAGAGATGTTCATTCTATCATTTTTATAAGTGCCAGGGGTATCCTCGGATCTGGTGAGCACAGCTTCAAAACCATTCACATGAGAGGGGATTGAGGCCATCATTCAGCACTCGACTTGATTCTGGACTGTACTGTTCAAACGCTGCACGGTCAGGGGAGGACCGTAGACGGCGGCTCAAATCTAAGGAAACCCAATGGTCCTATGCCAGACGTGAATAGTGTTGGGCAAGCCTCTAACGCCCCTCGTATTACTTTGAACAGCCAGCTTCGCTAGGTAGTAAATGTGGTCTATTCTGCTCAATTCCGACTTTGCTGCGATATTTGAAGTTTTCAAGTTGAAGACTAGAAGGAGTTTTTTGACAGAAAAAATGCCTGACATGTTGTAGTCATAGTAGTCATAGTCGAGCGCTGGTATGCATGATCCTTTATAACCGGCCATTCTTCGACTGATGTAGTAGTAAAACAGATACCGTCAATGTTCGGAGCTTGTTCTGTTAGCGCAGTTGCTGCAGCAGCCACATCACTCTTTGTTCAATCTCAACGGAGCCATAGCGTTAGCGCCATACAACAATCTAATCATGCTGCTTTTGTCATGACTTGGTCGGAGCCTTGCGCGCAGCGAGTTGCGAACTCCCTGCGTCTATTTTTGGCGCAAGCATTTCCGCAGCTCGGCCAAGTTCGGCTCGGCAAAATCTATGCCTATTATGGGATGATGATGATGATGAGAATTATTGCGAGCCGATTCGACTTTTGCTACGCCTTATATAAATTCAGCTCATGCTAAACTTTCGGCTTAGCTCGGACTAATGTTCAATACAGTAAACCTCACAATTCAAGCCTTGTATTTTTCTTACCAAATTTCAGCGTCTGCAAGGTCTCCATCGATTCAGCCCATAATACTGAGTTTTAGTCTGGCTGAGGTCCGCTGGTCCGGTTCGTTCCAGGTTCGGGCAGATTTTGCCGAACATCGCTAGGGTTTGGCCCGGTAGAAGCACGTGATCAAACACGAGGTCCTACCGTCCCGGGCCGGTTCAAGTCTGGTCTCGACAGCGGTAGCCTGTGGCGCTCCTTCTGCGCTTGAAACAGCCTTCGACATGGATGTATCGTGAATACCTTTGTTTCTCTCGCATTGTTGTATTCAGAGCGTTTCTTCTGTAAAGCCTACCATCACTCTTTTCAAGACCGGATTTTCTCAATTTTCCGAGTCGGGCTCACAGTGACATTTTCAAAGGATATTTGCGTATCGAAACGAGCGATGCGTTTATGCATCGTGTTCCGGGGTGACATTTGGCATCGCGTTGAGATAGGGAACGTCGACGGTGGAGAGGTTGGTACGGGAGGGTACCTGGTAATCCAGAGCAGTCACTCATTTTCCCTCTAACATGTCTCTCAGACTATCGGCCCTCCAGTGCTCAATGGATTGGCCTCTACAATTAGCATTCCAGCAGCGACTTCCGACTTTTTCTCCTCTGCGCGCAGCTCCTTTTCTCGGATAATGAACGACGCAATTATCTGGTCGATAAACCCCATCGCCTCCGACTCGACTACGAGAACTAGAGGACTGGTTCTCGTTGCGGGTTGAAGAAAAGCCACGGGTGTTTCGAGGTTATTCTCTGCATACAGCTAGGTAGAGATGGGTATCAGCGTATACGGAATTGGTGAGTGGACTCACCGCCAAGCGATGGACGACGTGGAGCTTCCACAGGTACCGCCCGTATGCTGTTTCGATGACTCTGACCCGTCTGTCTCGCAGATCAAAACCAAAGCTGTAATCATCTTTAAAAGTGCCGCACGTTTTATCCGGTAAGTGCTCCTCCTTCATCCATTTACCAATCTTGACGCTGTTTCCGCCATTCACGCTAGCTATCCTCACCACGTCCGGGAAATCTCCTTTAACTCGATGGACGCGATGACCTCTTGGGTCCTGATATCTATGATATCCGTCCGTGCAGACGTTGTCCTCTGCTTCGTCTGAATGCAGTATGCAGGCTGTGAGTTCTTCAGTAGGGTCGCGTTAACGACACTATTGCGGTCGAACTCGAGGTGTGTAGTTGGTGATGGATTTACGAGTGTCAACACGGAATCCATTGGACGTATGGTTTCAGAGGAGGGATACCCTGGTGTATCATTTTTATAAGCGCCGGGAGAATCCTCGGATCTGGTGGGCACAGCTTAAAAACCATTCACATGAGCAAAAGCTAAGGCCGTCGTTCAGCACTGGGCACCCGACTTATTTGCGGGCTATGCTGCTCAAACGATGTACCTCGTGTAAGAGAACGTTACTTCATTGGGCTAGTTGAATGCACTAAAGGCGGAACCATACCCCCAGCACCCTCGCTGTCTGTACAGCCCGCCCGAGGAGGATTGTAGGCGACGGCTCAACATAACCAAACGAAACCTAATGGTCTTACGCAACGGTAGAATGGACGTTATTGATGTTCGGCTTCGGACAGAGCACTTCGCTATAGCAAAGTAATCAGTTTCGCTGCACTTTGACTTCCCGAGTTTGCTGTTCCGCTGTGTGATAAGTATCCGAAGTTCCGAAGACCAGAGGAAGCAAGGGATGCTTGGAATGTTATATCCGGAATCAAGCGCTGGTATACATCCTTCACAACTGATCATCCTCCGACTGATGTACTGGTTTACGAACAGATCCCGTCGATGCTCGGAGCTTGGTCGTTAGCTCTGTCTCCCGGCGCCAATTCCCGCAGTAGAGTTACCTAGGACCCCCTCGGTTGTAACGGAGCCATAGTGCCGTCGCAATACAGCAATCCCATTAGGCTGCTTTGTTTACGACCTGGTCGGAGCTTGCGAAGTGCGGTGCTATGCATCGAAATATGCTGCTGAGTTAGGAGGTCTGGGGGGTCCCTACTCCACCCTAGCACGGGCCATTACAGATCACGGAAATGAACTTCGTCGGCGATACCGTGAGGTACACGGATTGCACGTAGAGACGCCGAGCAAAGGTTGCAGCAGCGTAGTTCATCCATTCTGCTTGTTTCGTGACCACTTTTCTTTGGGATCACTTGTTTGTGGCGTGCAAGGAAATTTTTTCGAAGAGGTAAATATCGCTTACTCCTTGTATGTTCAAGTCACCGATCTCACAAACTATTCGTGCGAAGGTCGCAAGTCCACCCGTATTATTCCGAAATATGAAGGCAGTATAGAAGACGGGCAACGCAATCTCAGCTCAGAATGATGTGGCCCTTTGCTCCAAGCAGTTGCTGACCAAAGAACAGGTTCTTGTGCGGATGAAGTGTACGTATCTTCCTGATTTACGTGAAATTTCGGTAGTCATTTGGGCCCAGTTATGCAGAAGTTTTCGGATGTTGGTTGAACCCGGCCTGCCAATGGCAGTCAACTTTCGTGTTGACGTCGTAGGAGGCTATACAGAAAACCCATTTCATTCGTCTGTATTTGGGCAAAGCTACTTTCGGGGATACAAAGCAACGTATATATGTGCGGTTAGCGGCATTTTACATCGATGACGATGGTCTTGCTGGGAGTGTCGGTTCGTCATTATCACCGCCTATCAAGAGTGATAGACCGGCTGCAATGAAGCAAGTCCCTGTGGCAAAGGATTCTTTGTTCCTGCCGAGCACTTGATGAACTTGACCGCTGAACACAAGGATGAGTGCGGAAGCAGAACTCGTCAGCGTCGGCAGTGTGGGAACTGATGTGAGTGGGCTTTTCTGTAAATTACACGATGCTGATCTTGATCCAGGGATACTATGATACTCGGGAATTTCGTCTGCTGACGATTAGCCGAACAATATATTGAATGACATCGACCATCGCTTCATAATTTTGATCGGCCTCATCTCTCCATAAGTCGTCATTTGCCCTATCTGTTACAGCACCGGTGAACAAAGATCATACACATATTCATAAACTGCCGGCCTTCAAGTCTCCACTGATATCACGGAGACATCGACTACATATTCTTCCTACCGCCCCGCTTTCAAATGCCGAACAAGGTTGAACTAAATGCCGTTTCTAATCGCGCGAAATACGGGCATCTACGTCATTGAAAGAGTACCCTATCTCTCGACAGGTTCACTTTTTTGATCCTCGGAGCCAATGAACAAGTCACTTCTCCTGATTTCCCGCGAGGGTGGGATGGCACTGCTACGGAGAAAGGCTGATGACATTTTTTAGCTGACGCCGTCGGATAAGTACCTTGTTGACGCAGCGTAATCGAGTGGTTCACCTGACATGGTCTTCCGTGCGATAACTCCTACACTGGCCATTGGAGATTACAGGAGACCATAAAAAACCGGGGGAGTGGAGTCCCCCCGAGTCTTCTTTCCTCCTTGGAGAAATGGCCTTCACACGTTGAATGAGATATGCACCGTCCCCCGCTCAGTCAAATGCCTTAACGTAGGTTTCGTTATTCAACGGGGCCGTTTCACAGAGGTTCTTACATTCGATCAAGTTCTTCCATCGATTATCGTCAGGTGGGCAGGCTCGTTTGGTACAATGCACTAGGCGAATCAATCTGCAGCTCCTTTGAGTACACTGGTACTGCTACTCGACGGGGCCGTCTTCAGAGGTTCTTACATGATCAGCTCCTTCACAGATCCTGAGGAGTTTACACGATGGACTCAAACGGGTTTATATATTTAAGTTCACTTGCAATGGTATCCTCTCAGCAGCTTTCTGCTGAAGCCTTGCGACATGCAGCCTACCCTATATTACCTCGTTCTTCCTGTGATTGCATACTTGCTCACCGTCGTTGCTCTGCGCCTCCGGAAACGCAGATCTGCGATTCGAAAGATTCGTGGACCGCCTCGTCCTTCATGGCTATTAGGTTTGTTTGTCTCGACTCCAACATCTGGGCTTTATTCTGACAGCTCGTTATCAGGTCATGAAGCGCTTCTGCGTAGTCGTCAGCATGTGGGCGACTTGGAAATGGAATGGTACCAACAATACGGCGCCATATACCGCACTGGCGGGTGTTTCGGGGTCAGCGCCTATCGTCTATATTTCATTGGAAGCTCTAACAGTCAGCACAGCAAGATATTTTGTCCGTTGCCGACCCTAAGGCATTGCAGTACATCTTCCATTCGTCTGGGTACAGATTCCCTAAGACAAGAGACGCCTATCGTTTCAACGAAGCATTCCTGGGGCAAGGCGTAGTCACTGTTGGGGGTATGCCAATGCGCTCCGTACTGCCAATGTTCGTTGTTTGATCGACGCTCTAGGTAACATCCACCAACGCCAACGGAAGATCCTTGGTCCTGCTTTTGCAGCATCCCAACTACGACTCTTTTTGACCGTCTTCCAAGCATCAGCCATGAAGGTGCGGAAGATACACGGGCTTCCACGACACTGACTCATCGGACACTCTAGCTTACAGAGATGATCAACGAGCACATTGGGGACGGCAAAGAGGTCAATGTGCTTCAGTGGACGAGCAAGGCTGCATTGGATATCATAGGCATTAGTATGATTTCATTTTGCACTCATAATCGTCAAAGACTCACAGCCGATTGCCCAGCGTCTTTCAGATACAAGTTCAATTCCCTTGACGGTGCACAAACTGAACTAATGGCAGCGCTTAATAATATCTTGTAAATGCCACCCGCTCTATTTGGGGTATGTCTTGCTGACACATTTTTCATAGCGGCGAAGCGCAGATGTGGCCGACAACATGGGAGCTTCTGTTTCCCGCTCTGTGGCGCATACTCCCGGAATGGGTACTTTTACTGCTCGAGAGACTGCCGAGCAGAGACACTGTGCGAGTGAAGCGCTTTAGAGACACTGCGACGAAAGTATCCAGGCCTATCTTTGAGAAACAGCTGAACGAGGTCGCTCATGATGCGAATCCAGCTGAGAAGGACGTTGTAAATGTTCTCGGTACGTAAGGCGTATCATTTTCATCAGACTTTACTTATGTTGGACTAGCAATGTCTTATCTTGCCGATGATAAGAAGAAGAAGATGACCGACATAGAAATCGACTCCCAGCTGGCGTACGATTCTTCCAACCCTTGTCTACTTCGCGTAGTCGACTGAATTTCGTAGGACATTTGTTTTAGCTGGCCATGACACCACTGCGAATACGATGGCCTGGCTTCTCTATGAGCTTAGTCGTCATCCGGAGGATCAAGCGAAAGTACGCGAAGAGATCGCCATAGCTAAAGCGAACGCTCCAGGAGCGCTCATGTCGAGTGATTATGATTCAATGCCTTGGCTCAACGCTGTTATTAAAGTGCGATGTCATTCCAGGATATCTTTAACTTTAACTGATAACGATTGGATCATTATAGGAAGTCCTTCGCCGTCATCCTCTTGCGTATGGCCTCCTTCGTGAGCCGGCCCAGGATGATGTTCTACCTCTGGCCGAACCTATCATTACTTCGGATGGGGCAGCATGCGCGGAAATTCCTGTTTCTAAGGGTCAAACCATTTTAGCCTCGGTGTATACCTACAATCAGTCAGTGCATTCTTTTTCTATCGAAAGCTGATTTTTGATCGTCTTATACTAGCCTCCCATCGGTCTGGGGTGATGATGCCGGAGAGTGGAATCCTCGTCGATTCCTTGAGGACCGCGGAATAAAGCAAGAATCTCTTGGGGTCTATGCAAATCTGTATGATTTTGTCTCTCTGATATACTAGCCCGCTGATTCCACCCCTTGACAGACTGACTTTCAGTAAGAAAGATATATTCTTTTTTGAGATCATTTGCTGAGTACCTCGCAACTACAGGTGCCGGTATCCGTGGTTGCCTTGGGTGAGTAATCGAAGCCTTAGCTATAATGGAACAGCTTCAATTTATTATTTCGTATCCATAGGTGGCGATTCGCGTGAGTATGCGCATGCTTGTCGAAAATTTCGACGCTCACTATTTCACAGCGTTATGGAGTTGCAATCTGTGGTCACGGAACTTCTGAACAACTTTGAATTCAGCATTCCGAAGGGAGCACCGGAGTTACTGCATGGTCCAGCGGGCCTCATTTTGATCCCCATCGTTCCGGGTAAAGCGAAGGAAGGACCACAGATTCCACTGCATGTTACTCCTCTCAACAAGTAGCTCTGCCACTGAGGCTGCTACGATGCTGACTCTAACTATGGTTCATGTATGTTTACGAGAATTATCACAGGCTGAAAGTTGTACCCTTGACTGGATAAATGGAACATTTCTACTTCTCAAGCAGGCGGAGTTTTGACACTGAGATCAATGACATAGAATGTAACGGATTCTTCTTCTGTTCCGCCTTGTCTTCATATTAATTATCCAGCGACAGTCGGGATTACTTCCTACACCGCAGCGAATAATGCGAGTTAGCAATTTGCTAAGCAGAATCGTTTTCGCCACTGGCTACTCCGAGCGCTCATCGAACTTCCCATTTTCGCTTCTACCTTGCTACGCTTCTGAAGCTTGAATGAAGACCCAGGCTACTTTTTTATGAGTCCAGCTATCTTTGCCATCAGCGATGCAAATTGTCATCGAAGAATTGGAGAGACGAGCGTCGATCTCTAAGGCATAGGTTTAGCTTCGTACCTACAACACCAACACCAACCAACACCTACAGATGCCAGTTTTCATACTATCCCACTATCCAGCATATTTCTTGATTGTTGCTTGCTCAACAAAATGGTAGTAGTGATGTACAGGGCCCGGCCTGGCCTGGCTTTTAGGGCTTGGGCTTGGCTTAAGGCGGGCCTGGCTTTCAAAATCACAAGCCCGAGCCCTGAGCCCAAGCCCTACCGGGCTCAGGCTTGGCTCGGGCTCAGGTCAGGGCTTTTAGTACGTGGTAGGAAGTTAAATATATTGACCTGTGTGACTGCATCGTGCGATAACAAATTTAGTCCTCAAATGTGCTATCGGCTGCAGCTTTGTCTTCAAGAAAGCAGTCGATGTCTAACACCCACTCCTTCGCTACATCCGCCTCTTCCATTACCTCCTCCTCAAGAGCAATGGCTTCTTCGAGAGCCTCCTCGGTTATCATTGAGCATTGTTCGTGGAAGTATTGGTCATCACTTCGTAGCGCATATTTGAGGAGCTGCAATGCTTCAACAATGTCACCACGTAGTCGGCTATGAAGCTTATTGATAGTGATGCCGCCTGCGGAAAAGACCCGTTCGCTCGAAACTGCCAATGATGCCACGATGGAGAGATAGTCGCGTGCAATCAATGCCCATATACAGGAAGGCCACAAGGCGTTACAAATTGAGCTAGATATAATGAGAGAAAGTCAAGAAAAATGAACCAGAGATGTACCCCCCACCACGTCACAAAGCCCGGGTCTAAGTCTTGGGCTCAGGCTTTCTGAATCCAAAGCCCAAGCCCGAGCCCTCTATAAGCCCAGTACCAGGGCCCGGCTTTGTAGGGCTTGGCTTGGCCTGGCTTTCGGGCTTGAGCCAGGCCCTGTACATCGCTAAATGGTACCAAACCGCTGTAGCGCACCACCCATGGCTCACTGTGTCCGGTACGGGTAGCCCGGGGCTTGCCGGTAGCGGCTGGCCATTTTCGTTTCCATCCTCTCTCTTTTCGAACCTCGGAGCTAATGATCTGGTTCTTCAGTACGCGTCGAGTACTTACGTGCTGATGACGTTTTCAGCTGACATGGAGGGCTGCGTCGGGCGCCGCTGACTAAAGCTTGACAAGCCCTTCGTTCGATGCAGCGTGATCGCATATGGCATGCTCTCTAGTGTGAGATTCGTATAAATGACCATTAAAGAATTTATTCCCATAGGACCAAGAGACGAACACAAGGCTGGCGAGTGGATTCCGCCGAGTCTTCTTCTATGGGAGAAGTGGCCTTCACACGTTGATTCTTGAACGGGATATGCACACTCAATCCAAACGTCTTCGCGTAAAGTTTCGTTAAGAATCTTCTTGAGAGGAAGGGGGGAAAGCATGACACAGCTACGATTACTGGGCGGGCCGTTTTCCAGAAGTTCTTGTTATCAACCGAATTCTTCGCAGCAGTTTCACACTCAAAAGGACTCACTTATAAAAGGCACTCTCAATGCCTTTTTTCTGCTCGAGTCCAGCGCCATGCAGTTTACTTTCTATCACTTCGTTCTTCCTGTCATCGCATATTTTCTCATCACTGTTCCTCTGCGTCTCTGGAAGCGCAGATCTGTGACTCAGAGAATTCGTGGACCACCTCGTCCTTCATGGCTGCTAGGTTTGTTTGCTTCGACTCTAATATCTGGGTTTTATTCTGACAGCTCGTTATTAGGTCATGAAGTGTTTCTTCGTAGTCGTCAGCATGTAGGCGACTTGGAAATGGAATGGTACCGACAGTACGGCACCGTATACCGCACTGGCGGGTGTTTCGGAGTCAGTGCCTATTGCTTATTTTTCATTGGAAACTAACAATCAGCGCAGCAAGATGTTTTGTTCGTTGCAGACCCTAAGGCATTGCAGTATATTTTCCATTCATCTGGATACCGATTCCCTAAGACAAGAGACACCTACCGGATCAACGAAGCACTCACTGGACGAGGCATAGTCACTGCTGAGGGTATGCCAAAGGGACCTGCGTAACCCATGCTTTTGTCTGATTGGCGCTTTAGGCAACATCCACCAACGCCAACGGAGAATCCTTGGCCCTGCTTTTACGGCTTCCCAACTACGGCTTTTTCTGACCGTCTTCCAGGCATCAGCCATGAAGGTGCGGCAGGTACACTGGCTTCCGCGATATTGACTCATTCGAACACTCTAGCTTACAGAAAAGATCAATGAGCACATTGGGGATGGCAAAGAGGTCAATGTGCTCCAGTGGACGAGCAAGGCTGCATTGGATATCATAGGCATCAGTACGATCTATCTTGCACTCATGATCATCAAAGTCATTTACAACCAACTTGCCAGCGTCTTTCAGATACAAGTTCAATTCCCTTGACGGTGCACAAACTGAGCTGATGACGGCGCTTAATAATCTCTTGTACGTGTGACCGGGTTTGTTTGGGATATGTTTTGCATACTTACCTTTCATAGTGGCGAATCTCTGTTGTGGCCGACAACGTGGGAGATCCTGTTCACCGCTCTCTGGCGCGTACTTCCGGAATGGGTGCTTTTACTGCTCGAACGGCTGCCTAGCAGAGATGCTATGCGACTGAAGCGATTTAAGGACGTTGCCACGAAAGTATCTCGGCCTATCTTCGAGAAACAGCTGAGTGAAGTCGCCAATGATGCGAATCCAGCTGAGAAGGATATTGTTAACGTTCTCGGTATGTGGGTCCTATTCTACTCATCGCACTCGTCTCTCATATCGAGAACCAGCAATGTCTTATCTCGCTGATGATATGAAGAAGAGGATGAGCGATATAGAAATCGACTCCCAGCTAGCGTAGGCATCTTCTATCCTTATATATTTCGGTTCTCTGAATTGAGTATGACAGGACATTTATTTCAGCCGGTCATGACACCACTGCGAACACGATGGCCTGGCTTCTCTATGAGCTCAGTCGTCACCCTGAGGATCAAGCGAAAGTACGCAAAGAGATCTCCATAGCTAAAGCGAAAGCTCCAGGGGCGCTCACGTCGAGTGATTATGATTCAATGCCTTGGCTCAACGCTGTTATTAAAGTGCGATGTCGTTCAGTTATATTTTGAACTTTAGCTGATGATGATTGGATTACTGCAGGAAGTTCTTCGTTGTCATCCTCTTCTGCATGGTCTCTTTCGCGAACCGGCCCAGGATGATGTCTTACCTCTAGCCCAACCTATCGTGACTTCGGATGGTCAATCAAGCTCAGAAGTTCCTATTTCCAAGGGTCAAGTCATTTTCGCCTCTGTGTATACCTACAATCAGTCAGCACATTCTTATTCTATCGAGGGCTAGTTTTTGATCGTCTTATACTAGCCTTCCATCAGTATGGGGGGACGACGCTGCCGAGTGGAATCCTCGTCGATTCCTTGAAGATCGCGGAATAAAGCAGGAATCTCTTGGGGTCTATGCGAATTTGTATGATATTTTCTCTGTTATATACTAGCCCGCTAATTCCGTTCCTTGGTAGGTTGACTTTCAGTAAGAACAATATATTTTTGTTTGAGATCATCTGTTGATTACCTTCACAACTACAGGTGCCGGTATTCGTGGGTGCCTTGGGTGAGTATTCGAAGCCCTAGCTATGACGGATCAACTCTAACGTATGACCGTTCGTGTCAATAGGTGGCGATTTGCGTGAGTATGGACCATCTTTTCAAATTCTTTGACCTTCACCACATTGTAGCGTCATGGAGTTGCAATCTGTGGTCACGGAACTTCTAAGAAACTTTGAGTTCAGCATTCCGAAGGGAGCACCGGACTTACAGCATGGTCCAGCGGGCATCGGCTTAATCCCCATCGTTCCGGGGAAGGCGCAGGAGGGATCACAGATCCCGCTCGTTGTCACTCCTCTCAACAAGTAGCTCTTTCGCTGGATACCAGCTTTAACGATAGTCATGATATATGCTTAACAGAACTGTTGCCCTCAGCCCTGTAGATTTAGCTAAATTTGAATGGTGCTCTTTTATTTCATGGTCAAAGTTCTTCTATGTCTGTAATGCTTACTGTGATACTCCCAATTTCTGCCTAAGCATTAAATATCCTAAGTAAACGAAACCCGTCAAACTGGTTAGCAGCGACCTGATGCAAAGTCCCTTCGCCGGAAAAGTCTTTAAAGTTTAAACATGGAATACCACCCAAATACCGCAAGACCAGTCATAGCTTCGTAACTATGGTGGATCAATTGGGTCCTGCGAGCCAACAGTATATGCAAGTTGTCAAGTTGTCCAATCTTTAGGAAACGATGCAAAATCCAGAAAACCGACGAAAAGGCGGCCAACCGGGCCGGCTGGTTCACTCCACCGCGCACCGGTACGTTCGGCATTTTAGTTCCCTGTTTCAACCATCACTATCCCAGACTTGCATGCTGGCAAGGCTGTCGTCCTAATACTGGCTCCATGCCGCAATACCAATGTTGGAGAATATCCAGTTCTGTTTTCTTCTCCGCTGGTCCTCTCTAGTCGGATAGGTAGCGTTCGCAGGTTCGAGGGAGGCAGCAAAATGCGGATAGACGGTACGTGGCAGAAATTCTGTCGAGAACCTTTGTGCTCAGTTCCTCCCAGAATTGTAACCGTCGGGTTGGCGATCAGATTCATAGAGTCGGCTCTACTACCAATGTTGCTGTAACCGGCGAGGTTCCGTTGACGAGGTTCCTGCCGACAGATATTCTCATAAAATCGCATCTTCATAAGGGGCAACTGTTGATCCTCATATATGTCATGAAGTTGCTATACACAACTGCTGCTGTCTCATTTTCAAGTCTGATAGAGCCAAGGTATGGATCACAGTCATCTCGAGGAATAGCGTCGCGAAGGGGACCGTTAGTGCTGTGTGTCCAGGAAATTCGATGCAGAGCCAAGAAATGCAAGGCGGCCACGGATTGCGATGGTAATATCCTGCGGCGTCTGGTGAGGTTCGAGGCGAGCGAAGTTCCTTCCGATGACTCATCTCATCTCATTACAGACAATCAGTCCCTTTTAAGCCAGCGATCTTCATTATTGAATATTGAATACCGATCACCGCCATGGTCAAAGATATGCATCAGCAGCGCTCTTGTGCACAGCACGTAAGTTGCGATGTTGTACCTTTCTCCTTCTGGTAAATCATCGTAATCCTAGTCGTATCTTATTTCGGTGCGAAACTTGAAACATGCCACATCAATACTCGGAATAATATTCAACTCGGCCTTCGGTATCATCACCGCGTTGTAGACGGATGAGCGAATGCTACCGTCAACCTTGGTTTTCGTTCAGCGACGATGAACAATAACCTGTTTCTATGACTGCCTTCCGCTTTGGTGCCAGCATTGTATCACTGTCCGCAGATAGCCTTGATCACATCACGGACCACGGTGATTTACGCATTTATCTGCCGGTGAACCCTCTCCCGCCTGTTTCCGCCTTCCTCGCAAAATATCTGCAACAGATCCCATTGCACGGGCCATTCGTATGGGATGGTGTGTCTAGAGTCGCGGGAAATTCTCTTTTCCCATCTTCGTGCCCCATTGTTGTCAAATATTTTGGGCGCTGGCGCGAAATGGGTGGAAAGTGATAGCTGATAGCACCCGGAACCAATGCTGCGCGCTTGCCGCTTGAAGCGGGAGAGCTTCGTGCGCGAACGGATCACTTGTCTCATTGTCGGTGAGTTTCGTCGACGTCAAAGATCAACGTCCAGACAACTCATTTCCCGATTCTTGTATTTAGTACCCATCCGATAAATTCTGTAAAACAGATGCGAGAAAAAGCGATGCATGGGTACCGATGCTTGTATCACTTCCGGCGCTGTTCCTGAGCGCTCCAGAGAGTATAAATGTAGACAACATGGACGAGAATATCTCACAATGAAGTACTCTTATCCCCCAACGTCAATTCCCTCTTCTTCTTCTTCCTCGCCTACGGTGATAGTGGCGAGGTCTCCTCTGATACTTCTTGGAATTTCGGCTATCCTCAATGCTCTATTTTTGTACACTTGGTACTTCCAGCCACCGGAGTGCAAGAGTGACTGGAAGCTATATTGTATGTGAAGACTGTGATCTATCCTCGACGCATTACTCACACTATTTTAGCGCCAGTACAAGATGTCGTCTCGTACCATCCTGTCAAATTCAACCCCGGCTTTGCTTGGGACATGCCTATTTACGAACAAGAACCTACCGATGAAGTTGATCAAGCTTGGGCAGAACTATATCAATGTAAGTTTTTTTTTTCTCGATCGTTGCTTTTTACTGTGTCTGATGGTATGCTCAGATACTGTCAGTCGGGTCTCAAAGTCGGAGGCGATGGAGATGGCCAATCGCACGTACCCATTGCCTCATGAAGAAGGCTATTACATGAGTGGATTGGATGTGTTCCACCAGCTGCACTGCCTGGTGAGCTACTTCCCGTCCGTCTGTCTTTACGTGAACCGACTAGATTGAAATAGGACATGGTACGAATGTCACTGCATCCGGAACGCTATCCAGGCGTCGACTCTCCACATAGGAAACTGCACGTCGCGCATTGCTTGGGCCACGTTCGTCAGGCGCTGATGTGCGCGGCGGATATCACTCCCATCTCGTGGCAGTGGAATGAGCAAGCTCAGACTGTTAGGCGACGAGACGATGTGGTACATACGTGCCGGAATTTCGAGGCTATACAGGGATGGGCCAAGGAAAGATTCGTTTCAATTAGCGATGAAGAATTGAAAGTGTACGTGAACGACGGGCTGCAGTAATCCTCTAGGCCCCACACCGGAGTTTCATACTACTAATATTCTATATTATTTCACTACAATAATATAAATTATAAATTATACTATTACCAATATTAATTTAATTCAATATTTATCAACCATGACATCATGTGACCGTATCATTCTTCTCTCTGTACCATCTTTCTTCGATCCCCTGTCTGTGCGGCTCTGTCTCGACAACTACTGGCGCAGAATCCTGCGCGAAACTACGTGGCACGAATTTTTCTTGATAGGTGACCTTGACGGCAAGCGGTAAGCGCCTTTCATACATAGGCTCCGCGTTATTTAACTGGTTTCTACAGGGCTACCATGGACATACGTGATATACATGCTGAACGGCATCCTAGCTGTGTAAATTGCAGCAGCCGTGGCATATCTTCATACAAATGTGGAACTTAAGCTCGTAAAGAAAACTATGCAAGATAAAACATTGCTTGGGGCGAAGAACAGTCAGTGAGTTCTTTGCTTCTGATTTCTTTCTGTGATGTATTCAACTATTGGTAGGCACTACTCTATGTGAGTACAATACGCGCTACCCGTTTGACCCTTACGGGCACGAGATGTTGGACAATGTTTGGATTTGGCGCATATATGTCGACGGGCAGCGGATTTTGGCGTGGAAATGTTAGCTGGAGCTCGCGATAGCATCGATATCATGATATATTTCGTGCGTCTTAGGTTTCTCCTTCTTTCGTAATTCTGACATTATTATAGGTTGACATTTTTTCTACGGTACTGACGACTTTCGTCGTTCAAACATCACAAAACATGCAGCCTGATTACAACCAAGTGTCTGCGCTGCTTCTATTCGAAGTCTCCAAGGCTACCGCTTCGAATGGTTAACTCACTATCCCACCCTCACCAATCGCCTTCTACTAGTTCCAACGTATGGACGAATAACTTATGGTTCACGAGCCTAACGTCGAGCCTCATCGCGGTTCTTGTTGCTGTACTAATCATGCAGTTCCCGCAAAACTACTTGACCATCGTCTCTCATGGCTCCCCGCGCGATCGTGCCAGAAACCGCCACATACAGTATGCCGGGCTTTAGACGTGGCAGGCGCCCATGATTATCGACCTGCTCCCAGTACCTCTTCATATGCCCTTCGCGCTCTTCTTTTCCGGCCTTGCTATTTTCTTTCTCTTTTCTTACAATGAAAGTGTTATGACTCGTTTCCACTACCTGTGCAATGGCCTATGTAGCCTATGTTGTTGCTCTGATTCTCCCTCTTATCCATCCCTACTGCCCTGACAAAGTCTCAATAACACTTTACGTCCGCCGCCTCTACCACTTCCTCAACGGCACCCTCATTCTACGCGCAGTCGCATTACTACATTATCCGTGGCTTCAACCACTTCTACGAAAAGGATACCTTTAAAGACAGAAATATCAAGGATGGCGAGAGGACTGCAATCATTCGCGCTTGACATCATCTCTATGGAGGGAAGTTGAACGTTATCGCATTCAGAACAACGCGGGCAAGCACTCCTCTGGTTGCATTCATCTACATTCAATGCATCAGGCCACCGAAGTATCCTGCAATCTTCAGCAGAAATCTCTTCAAGCACCTTGGGATGTCTTCCCAGCGATCGCGGTGCCATGTTTGCGGCTTCCCTGCAGCAACAGATAAATGGTCCTGAACCCTTCGTCCCATACCCTGTCGCGGAGATAGATCGGAACTCTACTTCTGAGCATTGCAGTTCATCACCAATCATCATCATTACTCGGCAAGCTTTCGTATTTATGGATTTGCGCGTGAGAGCACGGCAGATCGATGTTCAAATCAGCAATCAAAACTGCTTCCGTACGCATGTGCACATTCCGAAGCATTCTTCAGAGCAGGCAGTGCTCTTCGTTCCAGTTGCAACCCAATACATGGAAGAAAGACGTTGCCACTGCTCGGTATGCGTGCAGTATCCGCGACCAACGTGCTCTGGGGGACCTGGAGCCTAGGCGAAGACGGGTTGGTCACCACTATCGACAGATCTACGAATGGGATGGGAGAATATGTCGTCGAGAAGCTGTCGTCAAGATGGCAGTATCCCAAGGACCTTGCCTCAATTTCGAATCATGCTCACGTTCATCCCCCGGATTAAACAGAGATCGCACAAGTTGTTGGATGCGACACCCAGTTCTCCCTTCCATTGCCTTGCAATTGCAAGCCGCTCTTCCAACAGACAAGTTTCGCCATCTCGTACTTCTTATCCACGGGCATAACAGGAAATTTCTGTATACGCTTGTGCGACTCCCCGCCATATGTGATGGGTGGTATAGGGTGATTAGGCGACTTATTCGATGGGCTAAAAGCGAGGAGTTTTTCACTTGGGCGTTCTTGGAACGTGTCGAGGCGGTAGTTATGATCGGAGAGCTGCATGGTATTTTGGCTACCACGATGAAGACACGTCTTTATCACAGTATGATTACCGGGCGTGTACAGAGGAATTTCTGTTTTGGCTGAGCGAATATCGGTGAGCACTGCTTGTTCGATCATGTTCAGACTGACTTGAAGATGTGTACATAGCGTCAATGGAGAACCACTACATAAACTGTATACTATGGAACACTCTCGGGTACGCTTTTCCCGTTCCCAATACCGACCGACGAAAGTTCTAACTCTTGTTTCAGGTTATGCATCCCGAGTTTCAGGAACTCAGAAATACGGATTTCAGTGAGATCGTCAATTTAAACCGCGAGCTGGTCTTGATTGAACCAATTCGTTTTGTGCTTTACCGAACAACGCAAATACCTGTGTTACTGCTCATGAGAGCATATGCGGCGGCACATTCGGAATACATGTCTTCGATATTGCTCTCAAGGCTATGTTGTTCAACTTGATGCGGCGGAGTGCAGAAAGGCTCGCCTGTAATGATTACTTGTGGTTTTCTAATCAGTGTCGCCCAAGGATAAACATAGAGTACGTCAGGTTCTTCCTCTTGCGTTCTATCAAACTAACAGATTACGCTATTCCTCGCAGCATGCACTTCCAGAATCATGTGCAGCCTTTTTGAGAAGAACAACGTAAAATGTTCTCTCTCTCGTTGGCGCCGTTTTTTTTACCTCTCTTGCTCGGTACCAGAGCCGGGTCCATTACGCGTCACGACGGAACAAGTACACCTCGCAGTGTGTTCACTGCATGGAATCATAGGTTTTACGAAATGTGATCTACAAAGATAGCACCCCTTCGAAGAATCATTCACCAATGCGTTTTTTGATTCGGCGGAATCTTCGAAAAGCTTCCTTGCTACTACAGTGGAAAGGGAGTGCTGAATTTTGGTGATCCGGGCTGCTCTTTACTATTGGTGAGGGATGGTACCGGTCTTACCCCCAATTGAATGCCTCCTGATTTTTTATGGCTGGCTCTTCTGACCTGGCAACTATCTAAGCGCCATCGATGTCACGTTGATAGTGGAAGGGGTCAACTTTGCGAGGAGCCGTACAGGCCGTGTCCAATCATCGACTGAGGATTGTGATGTGTTCATTTCGCCAACAGTAAGTAGTGCAGGACGTTGATATGTCCCATCCGTAGGCACTTCTTCCTTCCCCTTTCGTGCACGTAAACACCACGATGCAAGTGATAATCATCTGCCGCAGTGATGCATCTTGCGAGGAACGCAGTCAGAGGGAGTCAGGCAGCAAATAAGGCACGTTTGGCACTGGCATCTCGGCACCGCGCTTATCATAAAAGGGACGTGCAACCGAAGACGTTACTCAAGGACGCCTTCCATATTACCCTCATCAACCAGCACTTTTACTTACTAGCTTTCTTTCTATGGCTCCACGAAAAGCTCATGGTCAAGCGGGAGGACCAACGCGAGGTGATACCAGAAGAGGTCCACCTGGCGCTGGTTCTGCCGATGCTCAGAGCAGCCTTCGTGGGGGGGTTGCAGACCAAGGCACTCTGCAAACCTCTGTTTATATAGCACGTAAGTCCTTGTCTCTGCGGCAGACACGTTAATCTATCTTTGATTTCCGAACTTTCTTTGACTCGTTTGTGAAGCGTCTGTCGAAGTCGTCGGGGTGAAACGTCCTTCGTATGGGAAGGAAGGACGCCTGATTAAGATATTCGTGAATGTTTGCAAAGCAACTGTTCCTGAAGGAATGATCTATCAATATGACGGTTAGTCTCTTTTTCTTCTGAATCCTGGATGTCAGAACTGAGGGCGTCCATTGCAGTTCAAATTTATGTTGGCGATGATGGTGCGTCTGTCGCTGACGGCAAGTTCTATAGCTGACAGAACCCCCAGACAAGGAGAAGAAACTCGATATATCTTTCAACAGGTCTCTGTTTGAGAAGATGCAGAATGATTTCCGAGACATCTTTACGCCCTGCGCCGTTTATGATGGGAAGAAGATATCATTTGCTTCCCATGAATTAGATTTGGGACCATCTGATAAGCGTCAGGTAGACGTTTTCCCTTTCTCTCATTGTGCATTGCTCATATCATATCCATCTAGTTCGACTTGATGGTGGACAATGGTTCAGATCGGGCCCCCAAGCGCTTCATCATCTGCTTGATGAAATCGAGTGTTGTCAACTTGGAGTTAGTTTGAACATCTTGTGCTCATCTCCGTGATACTGATAAATACTTTAGAATGCTTAAACGTTTCACCAAGGGACTGCAATCATATGATAGTGAGGTGCAGAAGGCACTTACTGTGAGCCTCCCTCTTTTAATTTATGGATCCACTTGTTGACATGACATAGGCCCTTAATGTTGTCATCCGAATGGCTCCCTCTCTTGCTTACCCTTCACATGGCCGGTCATTCTATATGCATGAGACCAGGTCCATCGGCCTTGGCTTGTTGGTTTGTCAAGGATACTTTCAGTCTGTTCACCCTGCCTTTGATCGACTTCTCATTAATGTTGACATTACGATGGGTATTATGTACAAAGATGGCTCCCTTATATCTCTGTGTCTCGAGTATCTTGGTTTGCCTTCCCATCAGGCTCACCAACTTGATCCACAACAAGGATTACCTCCATATGAGAGGATTCGTCTTCAAAGGTTTCTCTCAGGAATGAAGATTGTCCCTACCCTAGCTGGCAGTGGGGCACATGGAAGGAAGGGGAAACCTGTTTTAGTGAAGAGGCTCACTAACAGGAGTGCATTGATGCTGACCTTTACTCCTCATGGTGGAGGTGCAGTGACAACTGTTGCAGCATACTTCCAGCAGCAAAATCAGCTATTACAGTACCCACATATTATATGTGTGGAGGTTGTACCAGTTTCTTCCTCTTGTCTTTCTTCATCATGCTGACATTCCATATAGACATCTTCAGGTGCATTTATACCTCTGGAGAAGTGTGAAGTGCTACCTGGGCAAAGTGTCAGGAAAGAAATACCTCCAGAGGCTACATCTGCCATTGTTAAATTCTCAACAAAGCACCCTAATGAACGACTTGCTGCAATAAAGAAAGGTGTTGAGGTTTGTTGGAATATTCTTCTTTGCATGCATTCTTGACTTATACTTTGTTATAGTTGCTTCAGTATGAGCAGTCTGAGTATGTTAAGGCTTTTGGCTTTAACATCAAGTCAGACTCGCTACCTTTGGAGATCAATGCTCGAGTTTTACCAGCTCCAAAGCTGTTGTGTGGAGGAAAGACCACCTTTGTAAGCTATTCTTATTCTTTATAGCTAACAGGGACTGAGATCATTGACCAGACTCCCACCTTTGGATCATATAATATGTAAGCATTTAAGAAAGTTTCAATAAAGAGTGTGTAACATTAATATTGTATTAGGCGTGATAAAACAGTATATAAAGCAGCATCAATTAAAGAGTGGATGATCATTATCTATGCTGACCATTCTTTGGTTTCTCTGCAGGATGCACAGAAGATGATCAAAGATCTGATTAAAGGGTGTCAGTCAGTAGGTAAGTTTGAGTATTCAGTTTTTTGTATAATCAAATCTGAGATTTGTGACAGGCATGACAGTAAGACAGGCAAACCCACTGCTGAAGTTTGAGAATGGAGCTGGGAATATTTCTGCAGTATGGATGCAAGCAATAGTATTCTGTCTGAAAAGTGCTAATATTCTCTCAGCAACTTAGGCAAGCAGGACGTGAATATCAGGCAAAGTACCAATGCTTGCCTGAACTGATTGTCACTGTCCTTTCGGACTATGGAAATTCTGGTATATATAATGAAATCAAGCAGTGAGTGATAGTATATGATAATATTTACTTAACTAATGAGTTTCATTACAGTTTTGGAAAATTCAAAGTGAATAGCAATATAACTACTATAATATGCAGATTATCTGATAATCTATGGCTTATAGGCTGGTGTCGCTACACAATGTCTCAAAGCTGGAAAATGTATTAATGCCAGAATGCAATACTGGGCAAATGTCGCACTGAAGTAAGCTATAAAATGACTATTTTCTCTTCTAAACTGATGTTCAATCTCAGGATTAACCCAAAACTTGATGGATGTAATTTCATTCTCACCAGTGAAAGCTCCAAAGTAATGTCAGACCCTCAGAATGCTACAATTATAATGGGTATGAGCATGGTTCTCTTTTGTTAATTCAAGAACTGACACATATATAGGTGCAGATGTTATGCATCCTTCTCCGGGAAGTATTGCACCATCATATGCTGCTTTGGTTTCAAGTATAGACAAGTTGGGAGTTAAGTATATTGCAAAAAGTAGTATGCAGACTTCAAGACAGGAGATGATATCTAGTCTGAGAGATATGGCAAAGGTATGACTATCCTCTAGGTCTGTATATCAATATTAAATATCTTTATTCACAGGAAGCAATCCAGTCATATATCACAAATAGGTCTAATGTTGAAAGAATTACAAATGCAAGTGCCAAGCCTAAGCGTTTAATCTTTTTCCGAGGTAAATTTATTATTTAGCATTATGGAAAAGTTTTCCTGAATAATCTAAACAGATGGAGTATCTGAAGGAGAATTTGAGCAAGTTCTAAACAAAGGTAGAATCTTACAGATTGTTTATAACTTGTCATTTTATTGATGCTTGTCTAGAACTTCTACTTTTGAAAGGTAGTGTTCCAGCAACTCTCTAACATAGTCTTTGCTAAATCCTACTAGCTGCATGCCAAGATGCAGGTGTGAATCCCAAGATTACATTTATCACAGTTATCAAGAGACATCATATTCGGTATGTTGAATTTGTATGTTAATATTATCAGGGTTCCTCAATACTGCATTCTTTAGATTTTTCTCTGATGATGCCAAAGATATTGATCGTGATAGTGGAAATCTTATTGCAGGAACTGTCATTGATCGAGATATCACCAGTCCAGTCCTCTTTAACTGGTATTTGCAGAGTCATGGTGGTCTGAAAGGCACTAGTCGAAGTGCCTATTACACTGTAAGTATATTCTAACTGTTTATATTTTAGTATTGAATCTCCATCACAACAGGTTCTTCATGATGTAGGTCTTCTGGATGGTTCTGTTTTTCTCTTATTACTACTGATTATCTGTTCACCTATAGGAATCTAATTTTAAGTAAGTTTTCACTTTTATATAGTTTTGCATGACTGATTGATCTTTCAGTCCGGATGCTCTTCAATCACTCTCCTATGTGTTATGTTATACATTTGCAAGAGCTACAAAGTCTGTTAGTATTCCTGCACCTGTCTACTGTAAGTTGATAACTTTTCTGAAAATAATACATATTTCTGATCCTGTATTGGTAGATGCACACATAGTTTGTCGTGAAGCGAAACAGCATTATGATCCTGCAGGTCCAGCAGTCTCTGATGCTGGACCTTCTGGTTCAACTGAGTATGATTACATCATGGAACATCATAGAAGTGAATATAAGCCAAAAGTTCATTCTAACCAGCAGAATGTGATGCATTGGTTGGTAAGTAAGCCATCCTTGTGAATAATGCATGAAGATTGATGACAATACATGTACTAGTGATCAATAGGCATCCACATCAGACTAGCTTGCCATTCCCAGCTCATCCAAATATATGTTGCAAATTACTTGAGATTTTTTCTTCTTCTGTTATATTTCATTTTTCTGTACTTGACTATATTTCTCTTTCTACTGATCAACCCCAAATGTGAATTGCTAGTGTCTGTAATGTTCAGTTGTACAAATAGTTTATTTTTTTGTAGTCAGAATAGCTTGCTTGTGAAATAAAGTTAATATTTATTATTTTGGCTGGAACTATAGATTTATGTCTGAGTTACCTTAAATGCATGCAGGCTCCACTGTATCTAACTGGCTTCTACCAAGCGCTAACAACCTCCCAGTCACTTGACAACCCTCCATGCCATCCCTTCCACATGTTCATCTATGCCTCGACACCTTCCCTCCGACACACTGCTCATGTCGTCTACCTATGCACTGTCGTACGACGTCGCACACATCTCATTGCTAGCAGCACCCCCCTTCCCTTGCACCACCACATCCACTCCCTCCTCGCAGCGGGCACATCCCCGGAGTGCAGCGTCTGCCAGCTCCCTCGCACCCGCCCACACTGTCACAGCCATCCCTCCACACTGTCGCCTCCTTCCTCTGTACACATACATTTCTAAATACACTATCTACCGCTCTCGCCTTTGTACCACCTTCCCATTCACACCCTCACAGTCAAAGCACCTGTTCAATCCCTTTTCACTCGTAAATGACAACACAATGCCTATAGTGCGGAAATATATCTATCATTTTTTCAACTATCGTGTTCACATCCAAGAATATAACAAACGGTACGTACGGAGAACAAGCCCGCAAGACTACTAAAACCAAGTCAGTACATCAATAAGAAACTTGAACGGGTTACACGTACCTCTGCCGCCATCGCCGCAACCACACAAACATGCCCTATCCCTAGACCTGCCCAAGTTCGAGTCCTGGCGCTATATGAACAAGGGTCAGGCAGCAAAAGAAAAGATTCGTTACACACCACCATCCACCTGCCCACACCAATCCTTACCCTCGCCGGATGTGCAACCAAGTCGGGAACCATTGTTCTTGCGGACCAAGGTGACAGAGGGATGTCATTTGCCTATCGGTCGACGACAGAAGAAAAGATCAAGTACGCGCACCTATACGTTCAAACGTTCGTTATACCGAGTTGCAAATGAAAAAGCGGACGTGTACATGGTGACGACATGCCTGAAGAATATTGAAGCAAAGGAGAAGGGTAACAAAAGATAGTCGGCGTACCTCTCTCTGGCTTCCGCGTCGTTGCCCCTCCCTGCCAACTAACCGTGTCGAGAACGCTGCAGCAGGTGTTCGACATTGCGAACAGCACATGGATCTGAAATTCCTGCAAGCTGAGCGAAGAGAGCTGTAACGAAAAAGTTATTACTCGCCTTAGATCAGTGGCACCACCCTCCCTGCTGACGACCTCGATACTTCACTTTGCGTTCGAAGCAGCAGAGGCATCCCCCGTCTTGATGCTACTGATATCACTAAAATAGATGTCGAATGCGCGTGCGCACGCCATACGTTGACCTAAGAGAAAAACGAAAGCCTACAGCTTGAGCTTGAAAGAGAGAAACAACGAAGAAAATTTACTCACCTCACGTCGCGTAACCAGTACTTCAGGTCTTCACTTCACGTTCAAACCGTAGCAGTTAAAGACTAAGGAAGTAACAATTAGCACGAACAAATCAACACCTCATTCGTTGGGCTTACCTGGTCAGCGTAACGGGAACCAACCCCCTTTCGGATGCATTCTTCAAAACTAAGCCCAGAATCAGCGAGGTAAAGGAAAAAGAAGGAACATACCTCCTTGCTTGCTGTACTCGACTGTTGCCCGAAAGTGAACCTAAGAAAAACGGAAAGAAAAAAAAGGTAGAGGATAAATGCACCAGGCTCAACTCTAAGACCGTGGTGGTGGTGGTTAGCAGAAGAAAATACTGGCTGTGGACCTGAAGGTATTCCGAAGGCGTTGAGAAGGTAAACAACTCTGTCGTTTCTTTTCTTTCGCTCACCGACTGACGCGTGCCATGGCTCTCCTTCCGTGTTCAAGCGGCTCTTAACTTGCTGATATCGTGAGTACATTTATCCCTCTCGTGTCTTATTTTACTCATCGTTATTTTTTAGCCTCCCTTCAGTGTATTCAAGTCCCCAAGATTTCTGAGTCGGGTGCGCGGCGGTATCTGCGAGGAAGATCTACGAATTGAAGATGCACGACATGTCAACGCGTTGTGTCCTCGGTGAACATGGTATGTATCTCGATCGTCGATCGTTCCTCCTTGCTCTGAACTCGATCCAGCTCCCTTCTCTTCGTCCTGGCGATGTTAACATGTCCTCCCGACCCTGGGATTGCCGTGAGACCGTCCGGCGAGCGAAGCCTTTCCCATCGATGCGAGCACTCGACTATACTTGAATCTACCACAAAGCTGCTACGAGATGCACGAAATCAGGACATGTCGATGAGAGGGTAGAACTTGTACGTGGTACGCCCATTTCCTGATGATCTGGATCCTCAGGTTAACCCTCCTTCAGAGTACCCTCGTCTTCCCGACACGATGTATCGTCCTCTGCCGAGCAGGGTTTTCCCCCTCGACGAAGTATTATTAGGCCGGGGTTGGCACTGCAAGGGGTCACCACAATGTGCACGAAGTTGGGATGGATCTAAGGGAGGAATCACGGGGAGGGCGTGTGCATGGTAGGTCTATCTTGCACTCTCACGAGTCCAAACACTTACCCACCCTCAGACTGTGCCCTCATTTCCCCGACGCAACGTATCGTTGTCCGCCGAGCAAGATATCCATCTTCAATGGTGGTTTCGTTGTGACGTTGATCGGATGTGTCCGTCCATGGTCATGGTAAGTGCATTACCAACTTCTTCAACCCTGACCCGGCCTTACGACTGCCCCTCGCTCTAGACGTCGCCGATTGTCCCGACGCGACGTATATTCGTCCGCTAAGCCAGGTTGAAGGATGCGCAATGGTGTACTGTCGGCAGGGCGTGTAGCTCGACGTTTACCGCGGATGGCGTCGAGGTGAGGGAGGGGATGGGAAGTGTGATCGGGAGGATGAGTGCGGGAAGTGCGTGGTATGTCCCTCCCCGACGTCGTCACTCCCTCCTCCCCAGCCCTAACTTCTTTTCCAGGTAGACGACCATCTCCGTTACGTGCCATCCAACAAGTCTGGAACTCAAGAACTACAATGCTGTTGCTTGGCAGGAATGGTGATGCAGTGTTGAGGAAGGGGAAGTCGACGTGGGATGGAAGGGAGTGACGTGGTAAGTCGATCCCCGAACTGGTCCACACCTCGTGCACCTAACATGTCTTTCAGATTGCCGGCCCTGCATTCCTCCTACATGCGGCGCCTCGTCTTCCAGTCAGCAAGGTCCTGTATTCGATGCAGCAGACGGCAGCACAACGAAGGCCAGGACAATCAACAAAGGCTAGGAGAGCGGAGTGGGTGGATGGTCGGGTGTGTGCAGGAATGTGCGCGCGCGTGTCTACCACCATATCAACATTTATTTCCCTTCAAGTCCTCGCTCACTCTTTCGCAGGAGGTTCGTTGTTTTTTTTTTTTCTTTGAGTAAGGAGGATGCTCATAGGGGGAACCCTTGCATTTTGTGTAGATGATTTAGTAGTCTATGACGCGCGAAATATTAATATCACGTGACGAAACTACGACTACCTGGCAGATTTCCTTGAATTTTCTCGGCACGAATTACTTGCTATGGAAGGTCTCCTGCCTTCCTGGGTGCCGATGAAGGGTCGATCGGTTTCCTGAGCCAACGACGCGACTGGACTCTCAAAGATTCAGCACCGGGCCGCTTGTTAGCTGGTCCTGAAGCCTTGCTTGAAATTTGGTTGGATCAAACACCTCGGATTGGTTCGTGCGCTGGAATATTGTACACTTGTAAAATTTGACCACGTCCGCCGCCTACCAGTCGGACCTCCGGGATTTCTGTCAACCAACGCACCCTGTTAGCACAGATACATAGGCAAAGGGGTTTGAATCCTACGTTAGCGGAGAGCGCGTTTTCTGCCGAGGACTGGTGGCAACACGCCTTCTTCAGGGAGAGCCCTTATCTAGATGAAGTACGCTAGCGTCGGGTCCGATACTCGACACCGAGAAACTGTTAGACTTACTACGCGTCCTTTTCGAAGCGCCCCTCTCGTCTTCTTTGGAAGCTCAGCTTGCGCAGGTCGGCTTGCGTTCTCCTACGGGGGGGCATTGTTATGAGAGCTGAACATGGTGGTAGCAAGGAATGTTAAGATGTGCCACACCCACTTTGTCTTGGCCCGGATTGTCTACGCTGCGTCCAGCCTGGTTTTTCTCCTGGTCGTTATCGCTGTGGTATTTTTTGCAGTGTTTCTTCCAGTTCGAAAGCTGATAGGACGTTCTCTTGTCTAGGAGAACATTTTTACCGTCGCATCCCGGTCGAATACAGAAAATCGTGTGTTCCGTCGACCGCTCCATGTCGACAAAGGGATCTGCCTTCAGGAGTACGATGCGCTCCGCGAGACTGTGGTGGCTGAGGGATGCCTGGCCGTTCGGTTTCCTGAGGGGAGTCGGTGTTCGCTTGGTGCAGCTTGATGTGCTCTTTGCAGTCTTGCTTCGAGCGGTAGCCGTGGTGACCTTCTTGGTTGGCGTTGGGGTCATTTTAATTTAAGTCAGTGATGTCAGAGAGCGGCGAAGTTGGGGGTCAAAACTTTGGTTAAGGGTCCAAGTTCGACTTTTGTAACCAACAAGAATTACACGTGATGGCCGGCCAAAAAGGTAGACAAAGTCAACAAACACTGGTCCTGTTGCCACTCGTAGTCTTTATATATTTCCTTGTATAGTCGATGCGTCTAGACTTTGCCGCGCAATGGATGATTAGTGGCCTTGTGCAGAAATAAACGTCCCCTCTCCTTTCCCATCCGATCGCCTCCTCTCGAATGGAGCCAGCTCGTAGGACATCAAATCTCAGTCAACAGCATCTCACTCTTCTGACGCCCTACATCAGTACCACTGGACAGATGTCCAGCCATATAAATCATGTTCGTCGATGACTTGACAGTGCCTCTCAGGATTTCGGATTCCAGGTTTTTTTGAAGCTACCTAGACGCCTAAACTGAGAAGTGTACTCAACTATCGCACCAGGTGATAACGTTTCCCAAAAAATTCATTGGTGCGGAACGGGAAGCATCACAAATGGTAATAAGCCTAGGCGGTCGGCACCATGAGTACATTCTGTGTTTGTAAGATGCAGCCGCATTGCTTCGAGAAAGCAGCATTTCACAAATGAATTCAAGCAGATAGTCGCTCGTGGAGGCCCAATATAGGGTTGCGCATGAAACTCTAGGTTTTGATACACCAGGGTTTCGGATCAGTAAGCTACCAGTTGGTTACTGGTATTTTAACTCCCCTCACTGGAGGGCTTTTCGTCGAGGTAACTTACCTGTCATGTGGGAGCTAGTCAAGCACAATAATTCAATAATATCATATGTATACTTTAGTTTATAATGTACAGTCACATACGATGGATCTTTATAAATGAATTACATTTCATTATATCAAGAAAATGTATAAAAACGCGAAGACAAAGGTTTACAATTGCGACGCGTCAGTCATGTGATGTTTTCACGTGATATAGCATGGTAAGTAATAATGAAGTTAAAAGTACCGTATCACAACCCCCCCTTGGGGAGGGGTCAGTACAAAACCGTATTCACCCTCCCCGGAGCATTGCGGACATCACGATTTATGGTTTTGAGGAGATACGCAAGCGTTTTGGCGCAGTGAATCCAAGGAAATAGAGATATAAACTAAACCAGATTATCATAGAGAGAAGAGCTGGCAGGATTCCAGACGTACGGATATTTATGACCATTCCGAGTGACGTCGCCCGGCTTACTCTTTACGAAGTAGTTCCATGGGCATCCGCGACCGCATTCATCTAAGATGGACAAAACGATTGAGCTAAGATTGCTCTTTCGCCTTTCTATGTCCATCTAACGATTCGGTACACGCTACATTTTGAATTTTAAAAGAGAAAAGAGCGCAAATACTCACCCATCCCAAAAACAGGCAGCGCGGTATGCATCAGCGAATAGTCTAAGCGGTCGAGTCCATACAGCCCCAGAAGAAATGAAAATTCAACCATCTTGTACTAGACCGGCTAGTAAGTGTGATTTCTTTTATGCCTCAGCTTTCAATTTACACTGGCAACACTCACCGATGAAACGATCTTTACTATCCGTTTAATCCTTTCTGTACGTAGAACCCAAGCCTGCCATAGGCACCCCATAGTTCGTGCGAGATGTACCTCAGCCAAGAGTAAGGCACAATCGCAGTGACGATTTCGCAAGTTTAGACTAAACCAGAGCCACGAGTAAGTACTTTACGATGATTCTGCGCCACCGCCACAGCTCCATCAGTGTCTCTTAGAGGGCCCAGATTAGTACCATACATATGGCGATCTCCCCTGGAGAAACAAGCGAGCAGGAAGTCGCAGAAAAAGTGGCATAAACTTTGCCGGCATTGATAGAGAGTATTGGACCGGCGAAGATCCCATAGAGTCAGCGAAAACCGTGGCAGAAATTTTCCGGTAAGTAGACGTCAGTGAGCAGATATCGATGGACTATACGGAATGTACTGGGTGCCCAGCCTTTCAGGGCCAAACACTGTCGGGCTGGGCCTCGTTGGTAGAAAATAAAGGCGGGGCGGCGTGACGTCACCATTTCTGGACGCGCCTCACGTGCCGCGCCTTTTCGCCTTGACTGTTACTTAGGATTCGACAACCACCTTCACTTCTGACTTAGCCAATTTTTTTCCTCCCAGGATATCGTCGAGACTCGAAGCTCAATCTTATATTCTCCATGGTCTCCCACGCCACCCAGCAGAAATCTTCGCGTCGATACCGTTCAGGAATGCCTGCACAACTTGCCGCGGCACAGAGCAAATATTTTAACGACGAAGAGACGCGTCGATCCATGCTTCTAGCAGACACATGGATTGATCCCAGCTCGGTTACCGCCGATAGCGTCTTTTGTCTCTCTTGTCGGAAGACGATACAACTTGACAAGCGGAACGGACGGTATTATCCAGCCAATTGGAACCGACATAAAAAGAGGTGTCTGGAAACTCAGGCGGGTAGCTTGAGCTTGAAAGGTGGAAAGGGAAGACCAAAGAAAAAGGGGAAGAACTTGCTGTCAAAGCACCCTGACGAGGTATGACTTACTTGGGGAACTTATCCACCCTGTTTTTAATAAGTCTTTCGGTAACTCAGAAATTAACGGTCACTATCAAGCTGCGACATAGTCTCCGTAGCCATGGGGCACTGATAGAAACGGAGAAGGGGGAGGTAGCTTCTACGAACGACGTTCCGTCTGATAAGGGTGATGCAAGCGACCGTACGATGGAGAAGTCAGGCGAAGATGGGAAAACTATCGAGGTGCAATGTTTCTTATTCTAAACGTTCATATCGTCTGACATTGAATGGGCAGGACCGTGAGTCTAGCGCTTTGCCACCTAGATTCAATCGCAAACGTTCAATGTCTTAATATTTATACCATGGACTTAACTATTGCATACGTACCATACAGTATTTAATCAGGTATTCAGCTTTTATTGAAAATTCTAATCGAGAGGTGACTACTGGATGAGAAGAATTATATGAAGTCCCAGGTACACTCATTTATCCATCTGGGAAACACAGTTTTTAGATCTCAATTCGGATGAGATGCCTATCGCCCAGGCAGAGACAACAAAGAAAGCAACGCATGCCTCAAACGGACATCTTCCTTTGTATTTATGACATCACGTGTGCGCGACACCGCTCAAATAAAAGGACGCGACCCCCTACATCTTTCCATCCTTCCATATTTCTTTCATCGGTCTTAGCCACTCAATGCCGTGCATTAGATCCAACAAGGAGGCCGCCGCCTTCCCTCCCTCTCGTTCGTCTGGACACGAGCGCAAGGCGATCCTTGCTTCCGACCGCTGGGTGGATACCAAGCAGTTAAAGCCCCAAAGCGTGGTGTGTTTGGCATGTGGTACGCGTGTAAAGCTGGATAGAGGGAGGCAGTATTACTTGCGGTGCTGGAATTACCACAAGGAGAGGTGTATGGATATCATGGCTTCCGAAGAGGTACTTAGGCATGAGTGGCACGGTCCATTTCTGTGTTAACTTACTTCTATCAAAGGCTTCAAAGGGTGCTAGTGTGTCCCCCGGCCCGGGGCTGTCAGATATGCAGGTCGACGCCGAGTCTGAAAGTACCGACCCGGTACGTTGCATCCTCGTGTTCGTGACTGTTTCGCGTATTAATTTCATTCTTTCATCAGATCTTCTCAGTTCCGGAGACAGGATCATTACCTTCTAAGCTGTCTCGGAAGCGTGATTTGTTTTCACTGCTGGATCCCGGTACCTAATGAGCAGCGCTCGATATATACATTCATTTGGGCTTCATACCATTTCCATACATTCGTTACTAACACTAGTCACCCCAATTCTTTTATAACACTCCCTAACGATAATCGATAATGCCCTCTCACGTCACTTGTAACGTCATCATGATCTATTGTAAAAGAAAGTCTACGTAGCTTAAGCATCCGAGCCGGTTCATTTATAAATGTTGAAGTGAAGCGTGCAACTACTAATATTCAAAGGAACAACGATGAGAGTAATATTCCTAATGAGACCATTCCTCTGGCGAATCGAACCGACGATGAGGGCAGATAATAAGTCAATAAGAACAAGAGGAACGCAGCCACGTGTGGCGCATGGGGCAGTATAAGTACCGAAGAAGGCTGTTAGGCGCGTTTACCAACCTACCGCCACCTGGAGAACACCCAAACCTGATTGTTCTCCTTAGAAACTTGATGTCGAGTGAAGTTACGCGAGCATTTGGTCACTTGAGCCTGAGCAGTTCCAGCTCTCGACCAACACCAGAAAAGAACCAGAACATAGAGAACAATACAAGGTACCATCCCATCTCTCCGAGCTCAAAGGCTTATCACTAATACCAGTCTCCCTCGTCCCTAGCCCATATCTGCGGAGATCGAGATCCAAATCAAGAAAACTTTGGTCCGTGAGAAACCACACAACATTTCGACAGACACATCGTCGGATTGTTCAAAGAGCAGCCAGTGCTGGGAAAAACGTCACTGCCATGACCTTGAAACACAGACAAGAGGCTGCGTTGAGATCGCACCGCCGCCACATTGAAGCGATGAGAGATCGCTCACCAGCGAAGCCTTGGGTGTCCATGTGGTGTTCCAAATGTCATGTGCGATTTTGGATTAGCTGCACAGCCGTACAGAATCGGGCGTGAAGAGTAGAATTCGGAAGGATTGCAGATGGGGAGAACATGTAGGATAGGTGAACGTCTGGATAGCCACAATGTACGATACTATGCCAACGGAATTAGGGTTATGAATAGACGGCATATCCATTCCTTCGAATTTACGTTGAACGTCGCATCGATATCGTTTCTTGATAGCCATGGAATAAAGCATATTACGCAGATAATTAAAGGATTCCGGGTCGGTATGGCCACTCCACTTCCTCGAGGTCTATATAAGTCATGACGGACATAAACAAGATTTACGAGATGCAATATCTTAGGAAATCAAAAGAAAACAGAGCATGAGTCGTGCGAGAGAAAGGCCAGGTGCTAACGACTTACTTATTGCAGAGACTCAGAATTATACCAGCGGCCGACCGGGCCGATGCGCGGGAGGTCCTCGCTTCCACCTGCAGTGCGTCAAAACTCTCCATCACGCACCGCGATGCAAGTCTGGGAAAAGCTGTACGGGAATCTGCGAGAAGTTCTCAGGCGTCAAAAATGCACCGTAGCAGGGATTTAGCTTCTGTTTTATCCTCTAGCGATTGCTTGTGACGCCTGTATCATTTGTACTTTCCGTTCAGTGCCAGTCCTCGTACCTTGACGGACTTGGCTGAACTCGCACAACGAACCTTCCAGGAATTCTGTTGCTCGTCATGGAAACCGAGACGGGCTCATCGGCATCTTTGAATCCTTTGCAAGCTCCCTAGGATAATCGTGAGCCGGCACCTCATCGGTTATTCTCATACGCACTTTCCCTAGCCCAGAGCCACACATAGATCCCATATCACAATAATAGGCGCCGATTGACGCGCTCTGTTGTGTTCCATCAATGGATAGGCGATGGTGCTTGTTGTCAGCCGCCAACACTGACAGACGATGTCTTGCATGTTCCTGCTGGTCCTCTCCATCCTTATCAAGCATGTCATTGCCATGCTCAACAATATCACCATTGACGACACAGATGGACACGTTGTGTTCCAAGGGATCTGGAACGACCATTCCATCTATAACTCCTCCTTGGATTTTGGTGGAAGCCATTCTCTGAGCGAAGACAGCTCTGCAGCGGCTGTATTCACATTCATAGGTGAGTCTCCGCCTGCTATATGGATGGTCATTTTGCTGATGATTCCCTCCCAGGCGTTGCAGTGTACTACATCGCACCGCTTTGGCCATACGAAGTCAATACTGAAGTCACCTTAGACAATGGCCCATCCACCACCGTTGATTTGACGGACACATCTGCCACATCAGCTGGGAATGGTTCAGAGACCGTCATGTGGGATGTACGATGGAGCCAGACGGGACTGAGCAACACGACACACACTCTTCGGATATCCATGGCGCCTGGCGGGCAGTACATCGTCGTTGATGCAATCAGGTATGTTTCCCACGGAGTCCTGTACACGCATTTGTAACTCATCAGCAGACAGGTACACAGCCGACGAACCATCAACCTCGATTTCGACTTCATCGTCCATTTCATCCTCTTCGCCATCGTCCTCTACAGCTTCCTCTTCGTCTGGTGTACCCACATCCACTACCAACCCCGTTTCGACTCCAGGAGGAACAGGAGGCAATACCTTGGCCATAGTTTTAGGTGTCGTGCTCGGCGTAGCAACGCTTCTAGCTGCCATAGGTCTCAGCATCTTCTGCCTGCGCCGTAAACAGGGCAATCCTCGAGCATTGTACCATAGTATTCCATTTCCTTCTGACCCGTCCCCTTTACTCTCGTCGACATCGACAGCCGCCACCACCAGCGCGCAGAGGGGCGGAAAGCCTCTGACGTATTATGCAAATAGATCCAGACCCGTCCCATCTCTACCTCGAATCGTTGACGTGGGTGCTAAATATGATCCTTGCAATCATTCTCCATTGTTATCCGCGACGGCTGAAGAGAGTTACAACCCATATTACGAATCATCATCCGTATCGAAGAGCGGGAACCAGGAGCACGGGCTACAATATAACGAGAGAAGAGGGAGTAATGCCTCCTTGTCGGATTTCGATTCTCAGCTGAAACCGTCCTGGCCACCGTCGGATTGGATCGACTACATTCGGTATCATCCTAGGACAGACGTGGTATCATCCACCGTCTCAACGTCGATGCTGTCAGCCGAGAGGAACCGACAGGACTCTCGCAGAAATATAACTAGCGTTTCCAATATGGATTCCGAAGCAGACGTTGTCAGATCCAATCAAGTCACCCTGACTCGATACGATACCGCTACCGCGGTTGATGCATCGAAGGCTGTCGATCAAAAGATAGGGATAGATGCGGATGACGAGGATGCGGCAACGAATGAGAAATGGATACAGGGTCTCGTGGTATCAGAATCGCCACCTGGGTACTATCAATTAACATAAATTTGCTTGGAAGAGAGCTTCGTTGGATATGACTCGAATGATCACGGACATTTTTTCCTTGGACGATGTATATACCACATAATGACAGCTTGTCTAGCGGTTCCGGGTGGAGGAAGATGTTACGGTACCGGAAATCGTGGGATGTCCGGAAGCTGGGCGTGATCCTCGCTTCGAATTTCACCGTTTGATTGTTAGATAGGCACGAAAAAGAGCGTGGCGGTGATAGGGCCCAAATGCGAGTCAAGTTGGTATCCGAGTCATACATCAACTCCATGAGTCACCGCGGAATAGTATATATCGGTGATATCGAGGGAAAGCTGTTTCACCAGTCTTGGGACCACATCCCCTGCACATTATGCCCTCTAAAGCGCACCAACGCCGCAGCCGTAGAGCAGCCCGCCCACTCATCATCAGGGTCCATGATCGTAAAGCGCAAGTTCATGGCGTACTAGGAGAATTCGACTTCAATTCCAACGAAATCGACAAAGCGATCGAGACTGCTATCCTCGAAGAGGTAAAGCAGATGTCGTTGCGTTCGACGAAGAACAAAGGTGCGGTGCCATGTCGACGCTAGGCCAAAGGCCGCTGTTCTGATTGGTTCTCAGAGAACGAGCAGGAAGAGTTCGAGATGATGCCTGAGAGTGGCCATCTAGAGGAATGGGAGGCCGTTGAGGTCGAGGAGGAAGACTGGGAGGACCTTTATGTCGGAAAGGGGAAAGAGAAGATGTCGTATGCGACTGCGTTGAAGGGAAAGCCGGAGGGATGAGGGAGGCAGCTTCGGTGCTTGACGAAAAGCCGATGTCAGAAGACGCGAAAAGGAGTTTGAAGCTGGCAGAGCGCGAGCATCACCGTCGCGGTATCATAATTATGGACGACAAGGACAAAACATAGTCGGACAACTTGTTTCTGGTTTATCTCGCGGGAATGCTCATCAGTGAAGGAGACTGGAAGTGAAGTGCAAGGTGGTTGTCATTTGTACAAGCATGGGCCGTGGATGCATATGTGAAACAACCGTAGCGCTCTTATACATGGTGTCACGTCTTCGAAGCAATGCAATCGTCCCTAATCGTCCTATCCATCTAGCGAGGCAATCAAAATCTAAGTCATCGTTTTTAATGTATACGGCACAACTTGACGTGTGAGCTACTGTGAAGAAAGTGAGTCAACAAAAAGCTTTTACCCAAAGTAAGAAGGTACATACTATAATAATGGCCTGGATGTATAATCTTCGGCGAACGGATCGTCTGTATCTCCTTTGGATATAGTTCTGCCACGCAGGTTGAACGTCTTTCTGTTGTATGCACCCAATGCAACATACATCCTTCTCCGGTCGATATGCCTGCCAAGCTAGAAAGGCGAGCATTCAATGGTTGTCCAGATGAGAGGAATAGATGCCATACGTTTGCGATGAAATGTCTTCCAAGGGCAATCAAATCGCCTTGATTATCCAACACAACGCCCAGGCGATATCGAGCCAACTTTTGGTGATTTGAGAATAGCTGGACGTCATGAAGTCACTGCTATCTCCTAGTAGAGAATCAGTACACTTTGATATAGACGACCGCAGAAAAACGCACAGGGTTGTCCATACTTCTGAGAAAGGCATCAGCCGCAATGGCTGTCGGGAACACTGGTCATGCAGAGCGACTGGCAATTATCTCTCAGGATGGGGAGTGATTGGTAAAGCAAAGGTAACGTATGCGGTCCGTATTCGACGCGCAGATGGTGGTGGTGGTGGTGGTAGAGAGTGCGACGACGATGTCGACGACAGCGATCGGCTTATGTCGGAAGTCCTTGCCAAGCAACGTCATACATACCTAAAGAGGCGATCCCGCCATCACGATGTATTCATCCTTGCTCAACATGCATTTGTGCATCATACAAGATATCGGCCGCAGAAGTTTTTCCAGGAATTGAGTTTATCATCTCAATTGCGATATCGTTCATTTCTGTCGAGCAGGCGACGCTATTTAAGTTTCTTCGAGTAATGGACGAAAGTGATTTTTGTGAAGCTGTGAGGTTGCGCTGGCGAGGTGACGTGATGCAAGGATCATGTTGAGTAAAGACGCCTGTGAGTTGGCTCTGTCTTTCCTCGCTATTCTCTGCTATCACATCGCTAAGTATACTTTGGGACTGTCTCGCTAAGTCCAAGAGGGAGAATGCAGGAACGCTAGTGATAGTCGCGGGACAACAGTTACGAGAGGTACCACCAGACGCAACGCTCCCAACTTCACTACTAGAAAATCCGTCATCCGATGCCAGGAATGCCCTTCAAGCAGTTCTTTTTACCAGGTCCGTGTTTTCCTTCATACAGTATATGCTCAATATACTGATTTCAATGTTCTTGTGTAGGGATAGCGACGGGTTGGAAATTTTTTTGAAGACGCGACATCCGAAGACCCTGGACAAGATTGGCTGAGCACTGGGTACTGAAGGACGGCAGTGGAATGCTGAATGCTGAATTTTGATCGCTCAGTCAATGGTCCAAGTCAAATGTGAGTGCGCAACAATTTATCTCCCACCTTTCACTTGCTCACAAGACGTGTAGGTCTTGTTTCATTTTCCACGATTTTCTGAGATTCAGGGTGCATCGTCTTCCGTGAAGCCCTGGAAGGTGAACCGAAACCAGCTTTAATCACACTGGTACATTCTTCATCAGGCATTTGTTCGCACAACCTTAACTCTTGACATCTAGTCCCACCAACTTCTTCCGACACCAGTGCTGCCAGATTCTTTATCCGTCGATACTGGTGTTCGTATCAACATCGGAATGAATCGACCCTGGATACATCCATTGAATGGAAGCGCTTAAGCGTGGCTACCAGGCTACACCAAGAAGCATTAGTCACATCTCTCATTGCCACCCAGCATTGTAGATGCATTCGATATTCGTTCGGAGTACTAGGCTACCTTGTCTTGTTTTGTAGGGGAATCATACCAGGGGTACGCTAATACTTTGAAGTACCTGTGCGCTGACTTGGCCATTGTCGATTCTGTGTTCAAGGAGGGATCATATTCCCTTCACGTAAGGTGGGGCTTAAGCTTAAGCGCTGAGAAAGTGGCGAAGGAGCTATATAAATGCTGGAGCTCCCTGTCACACTTCGACCACGACTTCTACTCTTCATGGAACAACGTCCTCATCGCTTTATCCGTAGTGCAGCGCTCGCAGCGCTGTCGCACTTTCGCTCGGTCAATGTCCTCATTGCGTTTGATGGGGACCTCGCATGGTATCTCTTACGTGCTATTCGTTCTACAAGGGTATTATACCCCCGTCTTTCGCAGAATGATAATCATTGCTGATTTGCATGGCAGTGGCGACTAGACGTCCACATCGAAGGCGACTGGGCAACCCTCCTTTTCGCTATCAAGTCTCTCGCTAAAACAGACCGACGCTTCCGTATCGAGACCACGAGGCTTCACAAGTATGCGCTCCTAGTGTACACCGCAGACCTTCAGAGTGCCACTGGTGTTGATCTTATCGATGACGAACCACCCAACATTCAGGAACCCCCATCTCAAAGACGTGTCGACTATTGCAAAGTCTTTTTCAATTGTGGCCTCGTCGGGGCGCACAACTTCCTCGTTGTACAACCCGACGACATTCCGCTGCTCCCCTTCCAGCTTCTTCTCCTGCACCGTATGCACGGGGACCCCTCACCTTGCATCGCAGAGCCGCAGAACAAGCTGAAAGGTCGAATGGATGGGATCGCACTGTATAGTCCTGCACAACTCGTCTTTGACAAGCTCTCAGAAAAGCGTATGGAGAAGGCATTTCGCCCTGTGAAGGGAGAGAAGTTCACGGAGTGGGACAAGATTGCTCCTGGAATTAGGGCTTTTTCCCGGGCAGAGATGGATTTGCGTTCGACGCTCATGGATAAGAAGAAACAAGAGCTGTTCGATATGCTGGTGGTGAAGCTGTGTATTGCACATCCTGATTTTACAGATGAGTTCACCGTCCTTGGGTTCCAGGAAGTTCTGGAACAAAATGAGGTGAAGTCGACTGGTGTCGTATTTTTGTAGGTGTTGTATGTCTTATACAGACTAATGATCATGCATGTGAGCGTACCCTGCCAGAGCCTTAAGAATTGTATTGCCTCGGCCGAGCTGGGCCGAATATAGCCGAAGGCTGCCTCCCCACTACTTGCTGAACGGCCCTCAGGTTACCTTCAAAGCAAGCGTCGACCCTTCGAATATTCACTGGGGGCCCCCGACCGATACTCTTGTCGCCGACAGTTTTACCTCCTTCGGGACGGAGGAATTCATATCGGACTTTGGCAACTTGGACAATATCGCGCCCCTGCCAGAAATCAATGACAACGCTTCGGTATGGGTGGACGGGATTTTGAACTTTTGAATGACATGTTTGTGCACTGACAAGAAACGAAATGTACCAAAATATCTCTCCGTATTTATCATCTCTATGCTGTATCCATAGTTAGTTAGTTAGTTCTCCTCCTATCCTTCTTTTACTAACCACAAATACTCCAAAAAAAAGGTATCTATAGTTGATCTGTAGCGATAATTCTAATAAAATGGTATCAGCGTAATCGCTGTTTTTTAATTGTTGTTCGTCTGCTTTGGGATGTTCATGGTGGTGGTGGTATGTTCAATGTTCACCCTACAGGATCGAGGACGGGATTGGCTATATATGGCAGTTAGGGCAGTAAAATCACGTGGGGGTGTCAGCTCTCATCTACTCAATTACTAATTACCACTCTCACAATAAGAGATTAAAAAATCTGCGCATTCTTGAAAGTACAAGAGTATCGATAAGTAGTCATTTTTCTCAATAGTTTTAAACATCCTAATTCAAGAATGGATAGTCGGTATACCCCTTTGCGACATCACCAGGAGTATAGAAGGTAGCCCTATCATACGGATTGAGCGGCAAATCCTGCTCTAAACGCTGAACCAAGTCAGGCTATTCAAATTACGTTTTAGCAAATATTCTGGAAACCAACAAGAGGCAGCAGCTTACGTTGGAAATGAACAGTCTTCCAAAGGCGACCAAGTCGCCTTTCTCATCTGCCGCTTCGATAGCTGTCTCCTTTCTGTGCCCAGAGGAAATGAATGGCTTCGGCGCCCATAAATTTCGAAGGAAATCATTTTCTTCCTGTGGCCTGATCTCGTGTTCGTCCCGGAACGTTGACCCAACGATGCGAGGCTCTACAGCGTGCAGGTACGCGAAGTTGGGGTATCTTCGCTTAATCTCATTAGTGAGGTACGAAAATGTCGGTTTCGGGTCGGCCATTGTCATATCTAGACCGTGGTATCTAGTCAGTTTGGAGAGAAAGGCGGAGAGAAAGGTGAGTGCAGCACCTTGGTATGTATTCCACGGGCTGACGCGATATCCTGTCCTCTCCTCTCCGATAGCCTTGACAACGGCATCAACAACTTCCAGTGGGAACCTGGTCCTATTTTCAATGCTGCCCCCATACTCATCCGTCCGATAGTTCGAGACGTCTTGCGTGAACTGATCCAGGAGGTATCCATTGGCACCGTGGATCTCCACACCGTCAAACCCCGCTTCGATAGCATTCAGAGAAGCCTGGGCGAATAGCTGGGTATACTCCTGAATCTCGTCGACGGTCATCGGGCGCGGCGTTACGTTGCTGGGTCTGGTAGAAAGTGGAATGGCGGAAGCGGAGACATAGGACAAGGAGGGGTTTCCTGCTGCGAGGACTTTAGGGTCTGCACTGCGGCCTAGGGCGAATAGCTGGCAGAAGATGAATGAACCCTTGGAATGGATCGAGTCCGTTACCTGTATAAGGTGAATATCATATGGCAATTATACGTGAGAAGTACGAGCCTGTCTCCATGCAGCGATCATTTCCTGGCTCCATATGCCAGGGAAATAGAGCCTCCCAGCGGCCTTCGGAGCAATGAAAGTACCCTCGCTGACGAGAAGCGTACCTGGCGCATGCGAACGTTGGGTATAATACTCCTTCACAATTTCTGTGTGTGGTATGCCGGACGGTGTTGTCCTGTGACGCGTTAGAGGAGCTAGCACTACTCGGTGCTTCAATGCAAGGTTGCCTACGTTAACGGGTTGGAAGAGCTTCGAAGACATCTTTTCAAGGGAGCAGAAACCACCTGTACTTCCCTTACATATATATATTGATTATTGCTAGCTGACAAACTCTGACGTCGCCATCGGGCTGAGTAAGAGGGAGGTAAATGCCACTCCTTTTGGCATTTCGCTCTGGGATGATGCTATCATGAAATAAAATAAGAGCCGGATGCATTCCGAAATTTCAATCAGCCAAGTAGTTTACTGCCGCTCCGATGACGCGGTCACATGACTATTGATATCTATGAATACATATCAGATCCAGAAGGTCAATGGACGGTTCTGTCTTTCGCAGCGCTATACCATGGCCATTGACATCCTTGGTGCCGAACTAGCATTAATCGGCTCACTTGGCACTCGAAGATAAAATTCCCCTTGTAGATTTCGCCGACCATATTGAACGGAGAAGAAACCGAAGAAAATTAGATACAACAAAAATCTTGTACTCTGAACCTAGTTCGTATTGTGTAGCCTTGATACAATAAATTGTAACGTAACGGTGTTGTTCAATCGAGTCTACATCTTCTCCAGTAGTCTTCTTAAGAGACAAACTGCACAACCAGTAGATGTTACCTCGTCGTAGTAGGTGCCAGCGTGAGTTTGTTGCTATAGGGACTATTGGATAAAACTAAGATTCACAAGGAAGACAAAGAACAAGTAATAACATTTCATAGATGGAGCCATGACAAGGAACACAACATGTTTGAGCGGTATGTATCAAAGCAGTCCGACTAGAACTGGCAGTAGTCATTGGAAGCATTAGAAGTCAACTGTGTAGGTTCATCACCAGTGTCATTGCCTTGATAGGTATCGCAAATGCTGTCAACGTTGTCCGTCTCAATGGTACTAATAATCCAGATTAATTAAGGATAATGCATGTGAGCGTATTCTGCCAGAACTTTAAGAATGTGTATTTCCTCGGCCGAGCTGAGCCGAATATAGCCGAAGGAATCTTCTGATCATCACTGCCGCTCCTCTCTTCTCTGGTCGCGTTTGCTCCTACGGCCTACCCTCCTTCAAGCAAGCTCTGGCACTCTTCAGTTAACGAGCAACCGGCTTGTTCTTCAAATCTTGCGATTATATTTGTGGAAGTGCCACGTTCGTCGTTTGGACTTAGAGAAATTTATAGCAAGCCACTTTGAGCAGAGCGTTTAGTATGGTACGTACGGCTATCACTGATATCGGGTCGAATCTTCATTAGTCCTCACAGTTCTGAGCTAAATATCCTGCGACCGTGTTTCGTCCCGGCACTACCTACAATTATCTATGCCCGGCGTGACAGCTGCGATGTAGCCTGACGGATCTAATCCCGATTATGGTCCAATGTTTGTTTTCCCACCGTTGACGTGCAGTGTATATCAGAACCATGTGATGGATATATAACACTGGTAACCGGCGCGCGTTCACTCTTAGTCCCTTATACCAACAAGTCGAACTGAATCGAGCATATTCAAGGGTATGTAGAACTGCTATTCTTAACTGATTTACTCATTTCGGTTCTAGGGCAAGTTAGAGAACAGTAATGGATAAATCGACTGCTAGTAGTTCCGAATATAGTAGGAACGGTGCTTATGAAACTGAGGATGAGGTGAGCAAGTCGCGAAGCTAGAAGGTCAGAAAATAATGTATCGCGGACACTTTACAGTATAAACTTCTCGCTGAGATCAGCATCTCCTCCCTTACTGAGCTCGGAAAGGTGGAATCATCTATCATCGTTCCAAAGCAACGGGCATACATCAATAGATGGGTTATATCATCATCCCTCGCGGACACATCCTGTGCTACCCTCGACGTTCGGGGCCTCTTAAATTGGTTTAACATAACCCTCAGAACATCATACACCCTGGAGAATCCATCCCTCCTCTTCCTTCTCGAAGATTGCATCGCAAACAATCATGACTTTGGCGGCGTTTATAGCCATCTCCGCCCGGTATGGTACACCGACGACTGGCACACCGTCAAAGACAAACTATTTTCCCGTGGAAAAGAAGATAAGGAGGCGCGTCAAAGGGCATTGGTGGGTAACCGGATTGTCAGAACCAACGTCCCTGTTCGACGTATCTGGGATCTGTACAGTAATCGTGTTGTGTCGTCGTGGGTCACGTACCGATCCCCATTACCGATATCACACGCGTGGATGGATGAGAAAGATCGCGTCGAGGTTTGGACCCCCATCAACGGATACGAATGGCCCGTACCCATCCCGAAAGATGCGAACCTGGACCTCATACGTATCGAGATGCTGAATTTGGGCGCAGAATACGTGTGGCTAGACGTACTCTGCCTGAGACAGAAAGGCGGACCAAGGAAGCATCTCCGTGCAGAAGAGTGGAAGTTGGATGTTCCCACCATTGGAAATGTGTATCACGACAATACGGTGGTATGCTACTTGAATGGACTTGGTCGACCGTTGAATTTGACGGCGGGTTACTTGGAAAGTGATAGGTGTTGGTTCAGACGTGCGTGGACGTTGCAGGAGATCGGTGTGCGACGAATTATCGTTGGGGATACTCCTGATGGACCTCTGCATACCGAGCTGATAGAGGAAGGGAGTAGTCACCAGGAAGAGATATTGACTCGATTCCACACGCAGCTCCGATCCTTGGAGAACATTGCGATGCGTTCCTTTGCTATCTTTGGTGTACTGGCAGACATGTAACATCGAATTTCGACCAACTCGGTGGACAAAGTCGTAGGGTTGGCATTTCTTCTGCGTTCACATCAGATACTTGCATACTATGAGAGCTAATCTCTTGAGGATGCTTGGACGGCGCTGGTAGACACAATGTATGCTCGGTTCCGGGCGGACTTATTCTTCGTGTATCCTGAGCCAGGGAACGGCTGCCAGAAATGGAGACCGTCGTGGGAGCAAATCATGACGAAACCTTTGCCAGCGGATGTCTACGTTGATGCTCGGGTTTATAGGGGTGAGGCGGATGATTCCGACTGGTGTTATGGGATCCGCATTGAGAAGGCTTTCGTGCGAGGGTTGGCTGTGGTGTCCACGGAAGAGGCTGATCGATGCGGAGAGTTGGTTATTGAAGACGCGGACGATGGGACAACGCGTGCCTTCAAAATTACTGCCACACACCCACACCCAATACCCGAAGATAGGTACACAGTGATAGGGACCCAGGCTTTAGTGAGGGGAGTAGGGGAGTATTGGGTGATCGGGCGAAGAACGCCCAAGAACTGGAATTCGAGAAAGTTTCTGTGTTTAGAATGGCGGACCACCAGGAAAGAGAGAGACTGAAGAATTTAGGGATTGTGAACGAGCGGATCAAGACGTATCTTCTTTGAAGCTTAGTCGGGCGACTGGCTGTTCTAGTTTCTTGCGCGAGAGTGCTTACTAGTGAAAGAGGTTGGATGGCCTGTTCTCAACTTTTCATTACAATTACAAATTTCTATTCTGTCCATTTGGAAGCCCATGATATACCTCCCTAACCCTTACTTGTGACACTTGAAGCGAAGGCAGAAATAGGCGGGGCTGGCCGAGTGCGACAATACGGATTGCAGACGCAGTAGAACTTCATATATATCAATCGTACGGAAGAAGTAAAAGTACACTTAGTAGCTAGGTACACAACATTCATTGTACAAGAATTCTTGTAAACATAGCCTCCTACACCACAACCATTGCTAAAGCCAGCCTCCAGCGAAAGACCTACTTGGTGAGAGCAGTAACAAGCAGCGGGACCTGCGGTCCCTCCTTCGCTTTCCCCAGAGCGATGGGAATTGTAGCGAAGCCCACCGGACAATGCTGTATATCCGGTGCGCCCCTCGGAATGCTGAATTCGAAGTTACTGAGAAGTTCCGTAACTACCGATTGCAACTCCATAACACTGTAAAATGGTGAGGATCGAAAAGTTGTCAAGTTCGTCCATACTCACGCGAATCGCCACCTATTGATACGTGCAGTCAGATGTTAAAGTTGATCTACCATTTCCGAGGCATCGAGTACTCACCCAATGCACCCACGAATGCCAGCGCCTGTAGTGGCGAGGTAATCAATGAATGATCTCAAATAAGGAAGGATCGTTCTCACTGAAGTCATCCTGTCAATAAATAGAATTAGCGGGATAGTAGATAGCAACAGGAAACAAGACCTTACAAATTCGCATAGACGCCCAGAGATTCCTGCTTTTTTCCGCGATCTTCAAGGAATCGACGAGGATTCCACTCTCCAGCATCATCACCCCCAAACAGACGGAAGACTGGTATGTTCCCGGTCAAAAGCTGCGCTTGATAGAATAAGAATACACAAACCGATTGTATGTATACAGTGAAGCGAAAATGACTTGGCCCTTAGCAATAGGGACCTGTGAACATGCCTTGCCATCCGACATAATGATAGGTTCAGCTAGAGGTAGGACATCATCCTGAGCCGGCTCGCGATAGAGACCATGTACCAGAGGATGGTAACGTAGAACTTCCTGCAGATCCAATCATGATTAGTGGGCTCAAAATGTCATAGAACAATATCGCACTTTAATAACAGCGTTGAGCAAAGGCATTGAATTATAATTGCCCGACGTAAGTGGCCCCGGAGCATTTAATTTAGTCATGGCAATCTCCTCGCGTACCTTGGCTTGATCCTCTGGATGACGGCTCAGCTCATAGAGAAGCCATGCCATCATGGTCGCAGTAGTGTCATGACCGGCTCCAATGAAGGTCCTATGAAATGCAATTGAAGGAATGACCTTGTAGACAAGAGTGGAAGAAGCCTACGCCAGCTGAGAGTCGATTTCTATGTCGCTCATCTTTTTCGCACCGTCGGCGAGATAAGACATCGCTGGTTGAAGTTGAGAAGATATTATGATGCGTACAAGTCAGCATACATACCAAGAACATTGACGATGTCCTTCTCAGCTGGATCGACGTCATTGGCGACTTCAATCAGCTGTTTCTCGAAGATAGGTCGGGATACTTTCGTAGCGACGTCTCTAAAACGACTCAGTCGCGCGGCATCTCTGTTAGGTAACCGCGAGAGAAGTGAAAACACCCATTCAGGAAGGATGCGACAGAGTGCGGTGAAGAGAATCTCCCATGTTGTCGGCCACATCAGAGCTTCGCCTCTGAGAAATTGTATATATAAGACATAGCCCGGATAGAGCAGACGGCCACACCTACAAAAGATTATCCATTGCTCCCATCAGCTCGGTGTGTGCACCGTCGAGGGAATTGAACTTGTATCTGAAAGAGGCTGGCGAATTTGGCCATAAATAATTTTGACCATCATGAACGCGGGATGAATCCGTACTTATCCCTATGATATCTAGCGCAGCTTTGCTCGTCCACTTAAGCACATTGAGCTCTTTGGCATCACCAATATGTTCAGTAATCTTCTCCGTAAGCTAGAATGTTTTTAATGAGTCAGTGTTCTAGAAGCCAATATACCTGCCGCACCTTCATGGCTGACGCCTGGAAGACGGACAGAAAATTTCGTAGCTGAGGCGCCGCAAAAGCAGGACCAAGGATTCTCCGCTGGCGTTGATGGATTTTACCTAGAGCTTCGGTTAAACAAAAAGCATAGACGGCACAGAACAGTCGACATACCCTCAACAGTAACTACACCTGGTCCAGACAGTGCCTCACCGATACGATGCGCGTCCCTTGTCTTAGGGAATCTGTATCCAGATGAATGGAAGATGTACTGCAACGCCTTAGGGTCAGAGACGGACAAAGTATCTTGCTGCCTTGAATGTTAGAATTATCAATCAAATACAGGCAAGCGCCGCTGACCCCGAAACACCCGCTAGTGCGGTATACGGTGCCATACTGTTGATACCATTCTATCTCCAGGTCGCCTATGTATTCACGACCAGAAAAGGAGGGGTTCATGACCTGATAAGTAGCATTCAGTATAAAGCTTAGACACCGCAGTCAAGGAGAGCAAACCCAATAGAAATGAAGGGCGCGGTGGTCCACGAATCTTCCGAATCACATATCTGTGTTTCCAGAGGCGCACAGGAACAGCGATGAGACAATATGCAATGGCAGCAAGAACGAGGTAATGTAGAATTGACTCCATGGTGCCGGGTTCGAGCAGCAAAAACCAATGAAAGTGAACTTTATAAGTGGACCCCCCCTCGAGTGGAAAGTTCTGCAAAGAATTTGATCGACAGCAAGAACTTCTTCGAAACGGCCCGCCAAGTAATCGCAGCTGTGTCAAGCTGCTTCCCCTCCCACAAGAAGATTCTTGATGAAATCCTACGCCGAAAGTTTGACTGTGGGTGTCATGTCTCGTTTAGCCTGTGAAGGACTCTTCTTCAATGGAAGGAAACAGTGGGTCCCGCTCCCCAGCTTTGCATTGTCTCCTAGTCTATGAGAAGAATCTCATGGCCGTCGAGGCTCAGCACTAGAGAGCATGCGACCATGCCAACCAAGATCACGCTGCATAAGCGAGAGGGTTCTCCCGGGCCAGGTATTAGTCAGCGGCGCCCGACGCAGAACTCTGCTGTCAGCTGAAAATGTCATCAGCGCATCGAGGAATCAGAATATTGGCTCCCGAGGTCTAAAAGAGACTGAGATAGGGAAATGGAACTTAGTCTTGAGTCAAACGGAGCAAGCCCAATGTCTCATATGACTAAAGCAATCTCGTTACAAAACCATCAGGAGTGAACTAAAATTCGCATCAGACACTAAGCAGCCAATGAAATTTCATAGATGGAAGCATCAGGTCAGATTGGTGTGTATCAAAGCGGGTCCGACTAGAACTGGCAGTAATCGTTGGAAGCATTAGAGGTCAACTGTGTAGGTTCATCACCGGTGTCATTGCCTTCATAGGTATCGCAGATGCTGTCGACGTTGCTCGTCTGAATAGTACTAATAATCCAAATTAGTTGATGTCAAAGAAAGTAAGATCAAGTCTTACTCCGTATCGAAGATGGCAGTGTCTCCGTACTGAAAAAGAGGAATAAGCCGAGGGCATAAGGTAAACAACAGTCCTATCAGCTCACATTGGAGTTAATTCCGGCAAGGCTGCTTCCATCGGTAGCGATAATGTTGGAGAATGTCGAGTGCTGTGTGGTTCCATATCACGTTAAAACGCGACCAAGGACGCGTAGGCATTACACTACTCACCCGTTCGTACATGCTATCAAGTGTGGATGAGTGGCCTGGACGTCATTAAGGTTCAAAATAAAGACGTACTCGTCGCAATTGCCGCAGCTCCTGTAAAGCTTACCGAAGTCTTCGACCTAGTGTGATGGTGATGAATAAGACAAAATCCAAACATACAGTACAACAGAATCCCGTACACAGAAGCTATCAACGGCAACCGTTCCGCCTGATAATATTTTCATCTATCGTCGCCTTGGGTCAGGATAGTGGCACACTTACCTCCGTTATGCTGGATGACCTTGTCGTCAGCACCTTTGGCTCCTCCTCCTGAGATCGTGGACGTTCCGGATGTTTGTTTGATTGTGATCGCATCCTGTGAGCATCCTGAGTAACAAGTACACAACAACATACTAGCTTCCACATACCTCGCAAACATCCTCTACCATGGCGAAGAGCCGATATAAGTATGCTTGCATTCATAGACACTACAACTCCTTACCGAACCACACTGTTGCATAACTCGCGTTAGAGGATCGCAAAAAGGAGACGATAATACGATCACCTACCATTGGTCAACGTGCATGATCCGAGACAGTGAATACCCTCAGATTGGTCCGCTCCCTATAACGCGTCAAAACAAAATTGACAACGACCAGGATGAAAAGCTACATACAATCACGACATTCGACAGACTCGCGCCCTCCTCAAGAAGGAAGACAGCAGCATCCTCGCCTGATTCTGTTTGTCCTTCACACGCACCGTCTCCTCGGTCGAACTAACGTTTCCGCCCTACGAAAACATTAGTAAGGTACTGGGGCATGCGAATAAACCAGTCGACAGACATCGAAGGATTCGCCTGCTTCGATCGTCCTGGGCGAGGAAAGACTACTCGTTGAAGGCGGGGTGGGGAACGTGCAGCTGGCTGCCCGACGGTTGGGGCGGGCGTTTGCGACTGCAAGGAGTGCAACGATGACAAAGGTTTGGAAGATCATTCTTCTATGACTGTTGTGAGGATAGTGAGAGAAAGAATAGTTGGTTGGCCTACTGAATGAATTCTTCAACCTTTTATACGTTCAGTACGGAAAATTAGCTCGGTGAATGTATTGTCAATCGATCCATTCTTTAGGCTGGTTTTCAACTTGGCATCGATCCCCGTGATCCCCTAGAAACCAAGGTTGGATTCAAACGCGGAATGGAAAGATTCTGGCAACGAGGAGCTTACATCATTGAATATCGCAGCCCAAGTCCGCGCGCCACTGGAAATTTTTCTGTGGAGAAGCTATGACAATCTTATTCAAAGTATTCTGTCGTGTTCTTACAGTTGAGAAAAGCGAAACAGATGGGTCTGTATGGAAGAATTGAGTTCGCTTAACCATAGATGAAGTTCAACGACTACCTCGTTATTCCATCCATCCTAACAGTATCAACAGTATTGGACCCGCTTCCAGCTCGAACAGACTGAAACAATGTTACAGGTAATAAGACCTCCACGGAGAATCCTTGTCGGCTTGGGCCTACTGCGGTTGCTACGATCAATTAATTTTCGCCCCGTCCGCTAGATCAGGACATGCGTAAAGTCCTTCAACTTCCCCGAGACCTGGCGAGACTTGATGAAGACCTGGAGACGCGGACACAAATACCATAGCTCCATCGCAAAGGATCAAGCAAAGCCGTCTCCCAGCCGACGCGCTCGGAAGATATTCTCCTGGGGTCCTATGAAGAGATACCGTGAACGCTACTTCGCATCAAGGTCATCCTGCTGACTGGTTAATCCAGAAAAGCAGGACGGAGAACTTGGGGCAGCTCCTGCGGCCACTTCATGCATGAGGTCAAACAGACAATGGGCCATCCACCACTGTCGAAACGATCGGAATTGGCTCACTTGTGGTCATTTGGAGTATGCGATGGAGCGAGACGGATCTGAGCAGTGACGGTACATCCTCGGTGTATATTCTACGGCGCGTATTACGATGTTTGTTCCTGCATGGTCTCCCGATATGCTGGAAGGAACTTTGGAGGTCCATTTCGTCCTATGGCGTGCCATCCGCCCCAACCAATGACCACTGCGTCTGCGCATCACTCAGTCAAGATTCCAATCCCAGTTGAAAAGATGACCACAAGTCGAAAAGACAAACAGGAGCGTCCAAAATGGATGCTTGAACATTTGTGTTAACAGAAATATCCTTCAGGGGCGCATAGCGTACGATGCTACAAAGGATAGACTTCTTGGGGAAAACAATATCATCATGGGCGTGCGGTGGTTTTTAAACAACCGTTCCTATCATTGTCAACTGGTATAAGACAAAGCCCGTACTAAGCAAGCGGGGATCAATATAACGCTGTAACGCACACACGCCTATAACAATGGCTTGGCAACATAGTCTTCAGCAAACGGATAGTCTGTGTATCCCCTGGGCGTAATTTCACCCGGAAGGTAGAACGTCTTCCTATCGTATGCGTTTAGCCCAATGTCCTTCTCCAGTCTATACACAAGATCAGGCTAGAAGGATGAGGGATTCAGTACTTCATCAAATACAAAGGGAAAACCGCTATACGTTGGCAATGAAGTGTCTGCCAAAGGCAATCAGATCGCCTTTATTTTCCGCGGTATCGATAGCAGAACGTCGATCATACCCTCCAGCTGATATAAGAGGCTTCGGGGACCACACACTCCGAAGAAAATCATTCTCTTCATGGCTCCCGATGTCTTCATCCTTCCGATCATACAAACCAATCATCCTCGGCTCCACAACATGCAGGTACGCTAATCGAGGCTGCCGCGCCTTTAATTGCGATGCCAGGTATCGGAACGTAGGTTTCGGGTCGACCATCTTCATGTCTGATGATATCGATGAGCGTACCGGTCGTGATAAGACCATGGAGATGTATACCTTTCGAATTATTCCACGGGCTGATGCGATAACCGACTCTCTCTGGCCCGATGGCCTCAGCAACAGCATCAACAACCTCTAACGGGAACCGAACCCTGTTCTCGATGCTGCCTCCATACATATCAGTCCGTTTGTTCGTAACGTCGCGCGTGAACTGGTCCAAAAGATAACCGTTCGCTCCATGAATCTCCACTCCGTCGAATCCCGCACTAATGGCATTCCGAGCAGCCTGTGCATACAACTCGATGTATTCTTCGATTTCTTCGACAGTCAATGGACGAGGGGCGGCAGTTTCAGATGATAATTGGACGTCAGATGCAGAGACGTATGGTAGACCCTTGGACGCCAGCAGTTTTGGATCTGCTGACCGGCCTAGAGCCCACAACTGGCAGAATATGTATGAACCCTTTGCGTGGATAGCATCCGTGATCTATTGCTTTATGAGCATAGGACCAAGAGAATGAATTGATGATCTCGCACCTCTTTCCACGCGTCTATCTGATGTTGATTCCAAATTCCAGGAATATTGTCGTACCCTCCTGCTCTTTCGGCAATGTATGTAGCTTCGGTGATCATCAGGGTCCCAGGAGTATGAGCGCGTTGTTCATAGTACTCTTTTACTATGTGAACATGAGGTATATGCGCCTTCGATGCACGGAAACGTGTCAGAGGAGCCAAGACGACACGATGCTTGATGGGTACTGCGCCGACTTTGGTTGGCTGGAAAAGTTTGGGCGCCATTGTCACTGAATACGGTCCTAACAGATTATTAGTCCACTGCTTTATAGTTAACCAGAGAATTTCTCACAGGGTTGTCCAGACTTCTGACAAAGGCATCGACCGCAACGGCTGAGTCAGATACTGAGTAATCTGGTCGGGCAGACAACTATGATTATCTCGCCATCCCGATGGCAAAGATTGGTGAGGTCGGAGCAGTACATGCGATCCGTATTCGACGCGTAGTCAAATGATGGCGGTGGTACGGAGGCAAAGAATACGCGCAACCATGACCGAGCATGACCGCCGGCTTGAGCCGGAGGCCTTTGGCAAGCGAGGCCAAATATGACCGAAGAGGTAATCGGCGATCGCGCAATCCTGCCATCTGAAATTTCTGCACTTACGAATCTTCCGCTACGTACCTATTTCGACTTGCATTTCCACATCGTAACGGATGCTGATGTAACTAAGGTAGATATGAATGCGAATTTATATTAGTTATTATGCATAGCTGCTCGCATCAATTTTAAAACTTTGAAAATACAGTGGAAAAAGCCGTCGAATATGTTTGCTCAACTGGTGGGCAACTGGTGTGATAGTACTTTCAAGTTGGTTGACCTACTGGAAAAAACCTGTCTTTATATGTTCACTTCGGAAACGTATCGTAATGGATGTATGGTAGTCAATCCTTTTCATTGCGCTTATCCTCACGATGGCAGCACATATCCGGGTCGTTTGACCTAGAAAGGTCCGTCGAAAATAGGCCTGTGTTCCACGTAAAAAGAAGTTACCACTGAGCATCTCAGCCAACCAGCCTTCGTGAGGAAGGGAGATGTGTATTAGACAACGGCTAACCGAAGCCAAAACGCCCCACGGAAAACCTACCCTCGTCCTTGTCAAGCAAACCGGTAAACTGAATTCCTTGGAGCTTCAAACTCCCACCGAGCCATGGTCCGTGGTCAAGAACAGGCTATGCTACATGTGCCATCGTGGAGTTTCTCGGGAGTATGTTCGTCACGCGATGACGAACGATGCTACTGTAAAGTCAAAAACAGGTGTTACTGTGAGAGAAAGTAGTCACGCACTCCTCCGTTCCGTCAAAAGGCGAGAAGTCTCTCTTCACTACTGGTTCGAGCTTTGTCGGGAGCTAGAAAGGTGAAAGAATACGATTGTTATTTAAAATGCAGGCGCCACAAAGGATGTTCGAGAACGATGCTGGTCCTACATCATCTGAATCGCTGGACGGGACAGGCACAAGCAGGGCCTGGGCCCGAGAGGTGAGATCACAACACTTAGCCTTGGGCAACAGATGCCTTGCAGGGAAGGACAGGAGACCCGCGCTCTCTATTAAGGTTCTCCTCGTTTGTAAGAAAGGGCAGCCAAAGCAGATCTTCGGTCCGAAAGACGGTACACCTGCCATATGAAGGAAGATTCGCGCTTGACAGTGGACGTGATATCAAGCTCGAAGTTCCACCTCGGGACCCATACCCTGGAAACCAGCTGCAGCATGAGAAGATTCGGCGATAGAGAAGAGGCGGTATAGATATGTTTGGGAACCCTCGAACGAAAGGTTGGGGACAGCGACAACCGGCGAATCGTGCTTCTCACAAAGAGGGTTGTCCTTCGAATGGGGGCCTTATTGAATCGCACATGAACTTGACAAAACGAGAAAGATTGAAAGAAGAAAAGACAGCGGTGCCGCCGGCATTGACATCACAGTTATTCACGACAGCGACCCTGTTTGAGTGAAAAAGTGGAAGGAACCCTTAATTCATCAGATCTGTCTGATCTCAGACCGAATTTCACGATAGGGTATAGAAAGATAATTATCATGCTAAATGCTACAAAATAGTTGAGGAAGAAAGCATATCAAAAGGACGAACGCTGTAGGCCCTCGAACTATACTAGTACAATATTCCAGATGTCCCTGGAACAACACAATAAGAAATCGACAGCTAAAAGATAACGGAAGTAAGAAAAAACCGACCATCCCGTCAGTCACTACTCCAACTATCTCCAGTTTTTGGCATGGTCCATAATCCCTCTGATCCGTCATCAAATCCGCCCAACCCCAAGTTGAGCATATCCTCTTCTCCGTCTACGTCCTCTGAATCGAGCTTCACTGTCCAAGATTTCCGAAGGGGGGATCCCGCGGGTCGGGCCTGGTCTAGGGCTGACGTTGACAGTGGATGCACAACATCGTGCCTCCGGAACACCATTCGCGCAACCAGGTGCGCCATGCTAGCAATGACCTTCTTCGGCGACCTTGACTTCTTCTTCATCGGCGGCTCACCCTTCACTGGAGACGACTCTTCACTCCTTGGTGACACAACAATCTCATCACCCAACTTTAGCCTCAACAAAGCGGAGATCTCCCTCGTCCTCTCCTTCTCGCGCTTCCGCTCGCACTTCGCCTCTGCTCGTCCTATCATATCGCCACGATCGAGCATGGTGTGCTCCAGCTGCCTTGCGACACGCTCAGCAGTCTGAGATCGCCTGCGTAGCTCAATCAGTTTCTGAAGGTCGGGATCTGAACATCCGTTGACAATCAAGGGGTTCAGGTCAAAATTTTCGGGAGAGGGGGAACGTGGCTGCGGTACATCGTTGGCATAATCTATAAGTAACAGGCTATGACGGTCAGACCCTTCTGGTGGAAGCGAGTTTTCGTTGTTGGGTGGCGCAAGGAGGGAAAGATTCTGTATCGGCGGGTCGTATGGGTCATCTGGTAAATCGAGCGTCTGTATCGTCGGACTAGGATGTGGCACATGAGGTGCATCGTCCGGAACGAAGTCGTATATCAATGAATAGAAAGAGTCGTCTGGGGGAGATTCAGGTTCATCATCCGGGGGAAGCGCACAAGAATGCAGGCTTGGTGACTGGTGAGGCCACCAATCCAAGTCCTCGTCGACGGGGCCCAGTTGCTGCGGGGAAGGCACATAGTAATGGCTGGGGCCGGGTTGGGGCTCGTCGACATCCAGAGGCGGTAACGGCGACAGTGGAGATGTGATATCGTCCTCTAGACGATGCTCCGCCAATAGAACACTTGGCTCCGTATGAGTAGGACTGCTCCGAATATCTGTGATCTTGCTGGACTCCCATTCAGGCGAAAGAGGCGATAGAAGATTGCCGTCGCTGATTAGGGGGAATGGTAAAGAAAGATCAAGCTGCGGGGCAAAAGGCAGATGCGGAACCGCTGGTTCGTCTGTCGGGGGAAGAGCCGTTGTCGGGGTAGGAACGGTAGGAGGCGGTGAAAGCGGTAGAAATGATTTGGCTAAGTCATGGTCTACGAGCACTGGCGAGTCTAGTATACCCCCGTATGTGGCTCCCACAGGTAGTTTGTAAGGGCCTCCCACACATACGGTGGGAAGAGGCACGCTCCGTCCCAGTGGCGAGCTGCTTGGCGGAGGTGAAGGATACGAGGCCGACACCTTGCCTTGCAGGCCGTCGACATCGCAGATGTGGCCTACTTTTCCGGTGCCGTCAAGAGAGGAATCATTATTTGTACACGAAATTCCGAATAGATTTGAAGATGGACAAGTCGAACGTGAACCAAAGGAAGCAGATGAGAGGTCGTCAGACGATGGCTGTTGGTCGTAGGCGACCGATGTAGAGTCCATCCGGGCCATTATGGAGTAATTCAAGCCTGGACAGAGAATCGTCAGATTGTCTGATTTCCACGAAAAAAAGCAGAAATTTGGTAGGCAGAAGGCGGGACTCACAGCAAGACAACAGGTTAAAGAGAAAAGTACGTTGTCATGGTAGAATGGAAAGAAATGCGGCCCTCTGGCGCGCTGCTAGTGGTGAGTGATGGTGGGGGAGATAGAACCAGCGAGTGCGTGCTGGATTTCCGCCTTCTGCATCGTGGCTTAGTCAGCACCTCGTGGCTTCGAATTGCCATTCGGCCAAGTCATGTTGCTTGGTCCGTTGGGAATTCACTTTGGAGCCCGGAGTAATATTCCTTCATTGTGCGTAATAAAAGGCATGCCCATCCACACTGCCCTGAAGAAGCGTCTGGAATAAAACCTTGATTTGTTGTTCTATCTACATCATCTTCTCTCGCTCGATAAAGAGAGGTCCTCCAGAGTCCATGGTATATCACAACTAGAAGGACCAGTAGTTCTGAATAGACGCTGTCAAAAAAGCAGCCCCAGGTTGTCACTACGAATATATTTCGTCTCACACATGACAGTCGGCCGTTGGTCATCAATTTCGTTGTCCGAATGGAATTGTGATGTTCAAAATGAACCCTGAGTAGTGTGAAAACGCAGAGACGATTCGTCCATCGATCCTATCGACGCGCCCGCATTGGATGACGCTGCGGAGGGTAACGGACTTAGCGATACAAAAGCGTAGTCAACAAATAATATTCCAGATACGAAATACTCCCGGGGTGTCGCCGAGTCGGATAAATAGCAAATGCGATTTCGTTAGACTGGGTAGGGAGTTTCGGTGATGAGAACAGTGGTTACGCTGGCCGAGGTCAGCATCTTCGAAGACATAGCGGACCCCGAAAGTGCGGATCACAATTCCGAACGCAAGGCTTGGACGGGATCTTAAAAAGTCCTGAGAGCATTCAATTGCAACCGGCCAGGCCTAGCGGCTTGGGCTTACCCTCGACGGTTGGATCCGACACATGAGCACCTTAAAGAGGCCAGGCCAGACGCTTGAATAGAGGCATTACTTTCGAGCAAAAAGGACCCTTCCAACACTACCCCACGCTGATCAGAAGCTTGCGAACTTGATCGATGGCGTATCATTTACCGTTCATTGTTTGTTTTTTTCCGGAAAAGGGCCTGGACACGAGAAAGATAAGTGCAAGCTCGGCTCGCATAATAAAGGATGAGGTTTTCAGGCCTAGGGCGACTGCATCAGTACGTAGCACATGAGCAATCTCGAGGCTATGCATGCAACAGGATCCGAGCAAGTTATTACTAGCCTGGTTGGGAGTTTTCCTATACAAAGTTGACGCAATGCCTCCGTAAAGCTCCACGGGCGGTATCAAGATACGCATGGCTGCCGCGCTGCTATCAAAGTTCATCATCTGATTGGGACCAACAAGCGTCAGTCAATATGTCGCTCGTGCAGCAAGTATCCATACCGGCGGATAAGAGGCAAAGGGCTAAACTTTTGAGTCTTTTCATTCCAGGATCCTAATCGTCTCAGACCCGACGACTTACGGCTGTCAGACCAATACATAGGGCTGAAATGTCAGAGCAGAGCCAAATTATTGACGTCACCAGACCAGGACGTTTGTTGGTCAATATGCAATGCAGTCTCGTAAAATGACCATGCCGGCATATTAATCCGAGTAAAATCCAAGTTCTTCGCTGTTTCAAATGGCTCCTGTCTTCATCGCACGCCGTTCATTGAAAAGAAGACGTGACGGCGTACACAGCGGGACCGACGGGGACTGCACACAAATACATTGGCCTAATTAGTCTTCTTTGGATTTCGGAAGCCTGCCGGGGACGTAAAACAAAGACTGCTGAGCACGAAAATCATTTCACCGTACATATCGACGACGGGTACCACTTTTGAGCTGAAAATGCGATAGGTGATCTCAGCACAGAAAGCCGGAGTATCATTTGAAGGGCATCGCCTAGTATAAAGACTACAACTAAAGGGCTGATTATTAGTGTTTCGCCGAAACTGCGACCCACCACAGACAGTGCTAGTAAAGACGAAGTGAAGATGATAAGTTCCGATCTAGAGATCGTACATTCATAGAAAGATGGTTCCTGCTTTGAATCTCGTCGTCAGGTCGTTGTCAGCCCAACCGAGGTCTGGAGTTCCACAGAATTTCAAGAGGAAAACACGAGGAGAAGACTGTCGTCGTCCTGACTCGGAGGTCATGGGAATGATTGGTAATCAATGCGATCACGTGCTATTGCGCACTTACTACGCCGAACAGATAAGTATAAGAATACCAGAATAAATTTGTATTGCAGAGATGGTGGGAGAAGGAACGAAAGAAGTGAGATGAAGTAAGAAGTCATTTGAGAGGTTCGGTAGAGGGATTTGCGCAACGATGATTGGAACATGTCATAGATGCGTCAACAATATCTTTGTCAGCACATGACGCAGGCGTGCAGCCACCTTTACTTTCAGATGTCCCGTTAATATGAATTTATGATAGTAGTAACATTTCATAATGGCCATTCTCAAGGAATAATACTAAGGACTGGTAAGAAGTTTAACAATGCAATAGAAATGAAGGATAGGAGATGAAGAACTTTATTCGTTGAACTCATAAAAAAATCATAAATCTACTTCTTTAAAGGAGTGACTAGCAATGGAATCTGAGGCCCTTCATGGGTGGAATGATAGGAGTCAGAACGAAGTTGGCGGGACCATGCTGTAAATCGGGCATTCCCTTTGGAATACTAAACTCAAAATTATCCAAGAGCTCTGTGACCACCGATTGGAGTTCCATGACACTACAATAAAATCAGAACCTGGAGTGTTCTAAAGTAGCTAGTACTTACGCAAATCGCCACCTGTTTAGATAATCGGGTCAACCTTCTGCTCTGATCCAAAGCCTGTACTCACCCAATGCAACCACGAATACCTCCGCCTATAGACATAAAATAGATTTCAAAGACTGTTTAAATAAATGATGCATTGCTCACTAAACGTCAATCTATTATGGTGTTTAGATCAGCGGCAGAAGCAGACAAGAATTGCCGACACTCACAAATTCGCATAAACCCCAAGATATGCTTGCTTGGTAGTGCGGTCCTCGAAGAATCGAGGAGGATTCCATTTGTCGGCATCACTACCCCAAACCGACGGAAGTCTAGTGAGATTAGGACAATGAATAAAACCCCGTCTGACTCCAGAGTGGAAGATGCATACCGATTATAGGTATACACGGAAGCTGCAACAACCTGGCCCTTAGAAACAGGAATCTCCGAACATAGTTTACCGTCCGAAGTGATAACAGGCTCAGCAAGCGGAAGCACGTCATCCTGTCCGGCCATGCGAAAAAGACTATATGCCAAGGGGTGTAAACGCAAAGCTTCCTATTATATCACATCCGTCAACATACATCCTTTGTATCATAGATGAATGACCCACTTTAATCGATGCATTCAGCCAGGGCATTGAATCGTAATCATTCGAAGTAAGCACCCCGAGAGCTTTCGCTTTGGTTTGAGCGATCTCCTTGTGTATCTTCGCTTGATCCTCAGGATGATGACTCAGCTCATATAGAAGCCAAGCCATCGTGTTCGCAGTTGTGTCATGACCAGCTACAATAAATGTCCTGCAAATTATCGATCAGCAATGTAGACCTGTAGTAATTGAATCAACTCACGCCAACTGTGAGTCAACTTCAATGTCGCTCATCCTCTTTTTCGCATCCTCAGTAAGATGGGAGATAGCTGTACCAAGACTAAGGATCAGGCAGTAATCCTACAGTGGAACTGGCACGACGTACCAAGAACGTTAACGATGTCCTTCTCGGCTGGATTTATGTCATTGGCCACCTCGTTCAGTTGCTTTTCGAAGATGGTTCGGGCAATTTTTGAAGCGACTTTCCTGAACTGTCCTGTCCGCTTCACCTCTCTATTGGGAATCCATTCAAGCGGCTTGAGCAACCAATCTGGAAATACATGCCAGAGCGCAGGGTACAGAAGTTCTAGAGTCGTTGGCCACAGTTGACTTTCCCCGCTAATGACCATTTAGCATGGAAGGCACACCACGAGCAAAGTGGAAATACGGACAAGACATTATAGACCGCAGTCATTAGCTCGTTTTCTCTGTCGTCAAGGGAATTGAAGTGATACCTGAAAGAGGCTAGAAGATACATTGTTAGAAGCTTTCGTGAACATCCAACATGACCATACTGATCCCAATAATATTGAGCGCAGCCTTGCTGGTCCACTCGAGCATATTAATCACTTTCACATCTCCAACACGGTGGCCAATCTTCTCCATCAGCTAGAATTATCAATTGAGCTACCGTCATCATAATACATACTTTACGATACCTTTGTAGCTGATGCTTGAAAAACGTTAAGAAAGAGTTGAAGCCGAGATGCCGCAAAAGCGGGACCAAGAATCCTCCGTTGACATTGGTGAATTTGACCTGGCACCCTGATTACACGGAGGGCTTTGGCGAGGAAAGAACTGGTAGTTCATACCTCCTACAATTGCCAAGCCCTGGCCCAAGAGCATGTCACCAAATCGTTCGAAATCCTTCGTCTTGGGGAAACGGTATCCAGACGAGTGGAATATATACTGCAGCGCCTTCGGGTCAGCCACGGTCAAAATATCTTGCTGCATATGTTTAATCAAAGTCAAAGTAAGATGGAAATAAATCAACTAACGCCGAAACACCCGCCAATGCGGTAGGCAGCACCGTATTGCTTGTACCATTCCATCTCCAAATCACCGACATGCCAGTGGCTACGGAGGAGCCATTCATGACCTTGTATGTCGCATTTTAGCAACATCATAGGTTGGCAATGAAGGCAATCATACCTAGGAAGAATGAGGAATTGGGTGGTCCACGAATTCGTCGAATTGCAGTACAAGTGGATTTCTTGGACAAAACTTTAATAGCACGGATGTACACTAGTGGCCATCAATGACAATTAATGATCAGTAGTGGCCACCAATGGCCACCAATGGCAATCCGTGGCATCTCGTGTTTTTCAGTGGATGGCCGTGGAAGTCACAGCCTTCCGAATGATTAATTTCCATTGCTCAGTCAAATACACCCGTGGCATCCCATGCCAACCAATAAGTAGTCCATGGCATGGCACCGAATAACACCGAATAGCACAGCACACTCAGCCATGGCATGCCACGCAATGCCACTGAATTGTCACCGATTGTCACACTAACAAGTCAGAATAAGTTCTCTGAAAATGTCTATATTAATATTATGAGCAGGCATGCAATCACTAAAATCATTGTCTAATCCTGACCGAATCTGGTCATCCGCTTATCATCAGGCACAATCTGTCCAAAATATTTCTCACATTCGTCGCGGTCATGTGTTGAAACGCGTTCCCTGTAATTTACTGGACGACGCAATTGTAAAATCATAAAATTATTTCAGATTCTCTGACAGCTTTGGTTAATAATCAACGTCTCAAAAGCGCCCTGATTTCACCCACTGAAAAAAAAGCCCAACCAACCCAACCCTTTTATTTCACACGTTCCTTTTCAGCCATTTCTTTCCTGCCGACGTCGTCTCTTCGATTTACCTCCATGGAAGCTTTTCACACCGCTCGCGGAGCCTGTTCACGTTGCCAAGGACGATGCTCTGCGTTTATTGTGGGCTCTTTCTATCAGGAAACTGCAACGGTAAGTTATGTTACAACGTTATCACCTTCATCTCACCTTACACTTCGGCTTCACAGAGCACATGTGGTCACTGCAGGGTGCTACTACACCTCGCATCAACCCTTTTTAGCTGTTGGAGAGCAGCCTAGGACGTATACTCCTACGAGCTGCCAAGGTCTTGTCCCAGTTAGTCTTATTCCTTTGTTTGAGCTCAGTTCACTCTAATTCCGTCTGCAGCAGGAGAATAACTCACAAAATTGTCAATGCGGCGCACCCTGCGATTACCATAGCCTCAGTCTACCTCCCGTGTCATCCCCAGCCGATATCTTATCCAGCACAGTCCCCATGTTCTCCTCTCCTCCTGGCGCTCCAGTCTCGGTCTCTTCTCCCCTGACAACACCCTCTATAGTACAACCCACTGCTCCCTCTTTTAATCCTCCTACCACCAGTTTCCAATCAATCTCGGCCCCGGCTCAGCTCCCTTTCCCCATCGTGTCCTCAGTCTCGTCTCCCCATACACCTCTGCAAGCCAATCCCGCTGCTATGGTAGCCCAGATGGTTGCATCGACATCTGGCATGTCATCGACCCAGTCGGCTCAACACCCCTCCACAGATCCACTCCTCACCACAGGACTTCACCCACCACCTTCTTTTCCCACCTACAATGGGCCCTCCACTCCTATCGTCAACGTCCGCGGCAATAGGAATGGAACCAATGCTCGTCGCCAACAGTCCATTCATGCTCGTAACAGTAACTCCCTCCTCAACCATCTCGGTGTTGGACGCAACAGTAATCAGCCTAGTCATGCTGAACTGTGCTTTCTTATTATGCCGCTCCACTGTCCTAACTCCCATGGTGCTCACGAGAATCCTGCCTACCTCCATCCCGACGATGCAGCCACTGCCAACTGGAAGATGGATCAGGCTGATATCCAACCCCTCATTCAACGCCTCTCTAATCTCAAACTCCACTTCACTGTTAACGTTTCCAAGGACATCGACTGTTTTCGCGAAGTTCACCAAGCTCTCATTGATCACCAAGGCCGCCTTGACACCCCGAAGATTACTGACATGAATCTCAGTCCAGACGTGCAGCCGAACGATTGTGGTTGGTGCCTTCTTCAGTTTCGTGCAAGTCAGGGATCGACCAGTCTCGTATGTGCGAAGAGTGCCAGACAGGTCACCTATTGGACCTGGAACAATCTCAAGATGCACTGCTCTCTTGCCAAAGCATCCAAGGTCTCCGGTCATGACGTGGACAGCCGGTTCAAGTCCTACTTCATTATCGGTTAGTCCATAAAACTCTTTGAACAACCACTTACTCACGTATCACTATATTTAGCCCCTTCCCGTGGCAGTATCAATCACAATATCGTTGACTGCTATCAAGGAGACTTTCAAACTCCCATTCACCCGACAAAGGCACAAATGCAACATGCTTGCTTTCCTGCACGAGCGTTGTATGGCCTTGCCTTCATCTCTCAAACTGTTGGTGAATATGGAGCTGGTCCTGATCAACGTTGTCTTCGTTTGTGTCGAGGAGAAGATCCTAATCTTCAGCCAAGCATGAGTACTGCCCCACGATACCTGCTTTGTCCAAAGAACCCCTGCTCCAGCACAACCGCAACTTCAGGCTTCGTTGTGCAGGCTTCATCGCAAGCATCCGCCTCCACGTCCAGTGCAGTGGATCCAACGCCAAGTCAGGTAGGATTGAAGCACGTCGTCCCTCCCTTTCAGCTGATATAATGCACAGCCCGCCACTTCTCCACATACCCAAGATGCTGCCCAGAACACTTCGGTACGTTTTTTCTTCCTTGCGCCTCATCTACAACCCCAGTCATCTGGCATTCTCCCTAGGAATGCCCCCCCTTCATTCCGACCCATAGACCCCGTTCCCCACCACCTTACAACAACCCCAAATGGGATTTCCCAGGAGACCATCTGAGAAGACTCAAGATACAGAGAATCAGCAGAGATTCGCGCCTCATAATCTATGCCGCTGACCTAAAACAGGCTGCCGAAGTGCTCTGGAATGTGCTCCTGCATATCGGCCGCGTTCGACAAATCCTACTACCTGCTGAAACCCTTAGTCCCCACGCCTACCCTCTAACTGATCTTCCTGAAGGAGTCAGCGTCGAAAACTGGTGGATTCCGAGTGCATACACCAACCCAGAAGTTCACGTTGATGGCCCTGCAGTCGGTAATAGTCTTATCACCGTGACATTGACCACCCTTCTTGAGCGTCTTCTCAACATCACAGATGAGAATGCCGCCTATGGTCACCTTCTTGGTGGTTCTTCACTAATCTTTCCACGCATGCCTGTATACAATTTAACTAACGAGCAGGCTGCGTTCTGGTGGGCCCACGGGTTTTCCCTAGCCCTATGGTGTTTGGTTACTTGTCAAGCGCCGCTGCCTCTCTTTGCTATCGTCCTGCATGCTCTCCTCCCACCCGACATCAGCCGATGTCGATACCAATTAGACAAGTCGTCGCCTTCATCCATCAACAGCGTGTGCCCAGACATCGGCCGCTTCCTGCGTGCTTGGTTCGACCTGCAAAAGATGCAACCCCTGTCAACCCATGAGGATCGCAGGGTCCGCATTCTGGAGCCTGTACCAGAGTTTCTCGTCGAGTACTGCGATCCAGTCATTAGTGTATGTTCTTGCCCAGTCGCCTGAACGTCCTTGACAATGACTACAACGTCTTCTAGCCTCACCAGCTCGGTATGGGGGATTCGCGCTGCCCTGAGCTCCATGAAAATGTTGACAGAGCCATTCGTGCTCTACACTTTCTCGGCCAGGCAAACTTTGATGGTCTACCTGCTTGGCACCAGTATCATGCTGGATTTCACCAAAAGTGGGGCCATGGTTTCAACGAATCATCCTCATCGGCCGCCCCATCTCTCGTACGTCCATTTCTCTCCATCTGTCACTGGTCTCCCAGCTAACACTCGCGATGAAGCCCACCATCATCGCAAGTGTATGCGATCTTGCACAACGGTCTACCCAGGAGTTCGTCTACTGGTTTTGCAACAATAAGCTTGAAACCTTGGACCAGCTAACAAGCATTATCAAATATAACATTTCTTCTGTCGAGGATACCCCTCTAGGCAAAAAAGTCGCTCCTGGAATTGATGGTAATTTTGCACAACTTGTGAAACGTCGATTCCGACTAGCGCTCGAGTACTACCTGAGCAAAGACCCTATTCAACGAGGCACCCAGCTGCTTAAGACTGTGACCGCCTCCCCCTATCTCCCTCCGTTTTCCAGGGACAAAATACAGGTGCGTTCGCTGTCTTCAAAACCTCACTGCCCCATCTCAACTTACTTCCATCTCAGTTCAACTTCGTCTCGCCCCCCGGGCGACATCCCGTCGACAGCAGAGAGTCGATGTTGTACCAATTTGTGCACTCCTGCTTCATGAGTGTCGACATCGGCTTCGATGTTGCCCTGGCCATCTTGTTAGCTGAGGGGGTATGGAATGGCATCCCGGTAGATACTTACTTTCAAGGCCTCTTGATGGGTACTCAGAACGCGTTCAATAGTACCTGAAAGGACGGTCCATCCGTCGCGCTGGGTTAAATGTTGCATCTCGATACGCTATGTAGAATTTAGCTGTCAGACATTAGGTCTTATTTTACAACATACATACCATAGATAGCAAGGCCACCAAATCATCCTGACAATACCATCGTGTTGATATGTACCCACAGGGCAGGGCATGGCGAGGTGAGGAAACCATTGTTCAATTGGAAGGCGAGACAAGATGACACCACACTGGCTGACGACGGTGTGCAAGCCGTTCTTCCTCCATCCACCACACGCCGGCATTGCTGTCTGGCGCTCCAAGTCGAACGCTGAAACGGGCCTTGTAATTCATCTTGAGAACGCAATATCCACAGGCCGACTATGTCCAAGCCAGAGGTGCGTAGTGACGACCACTGCGACGGCGGACATTGCTGTCTCGGACGTCGCAGTGGTTCAAGAAAGAAAAAGCACCCACGCCGCACAGAGGCAACAGTCGACCACGTGACCCCCATGATCCCCCACCTACACTACGTACGAGTTCTGTGAGTATCTAATAAAGCAGCTTGCCAGGCAGAGCTGCTACACTACTTGGCGAGCACGTTAATATGCCAACGTTGATACTCAAAGATATCAAGCCATTGTCTCAGCGCCTCACTTCACACGGCAAAACCAAAAAAACAAGTAAACGGGCGAGACGCAACGGATAACTCTCTATTTAGGTATCACTACATGTTACAATCTTATAAACCATTTGACTCTATCAACACCATACACGCCCATGAAGTTCAAATTTTGGATAGCATGGCCAGCCCTCTCTTCCAAGCCATTGCTCGCTCGCCTCTCTGAGCCTCCCGTCTCTCCGATGAAGCCATCTCTGCAAAGGTTCAGTCGGACATGCAACCGTTGCCCACCCAACGAAAAAGTCCTGCAGCAGTGTACTGTGTAAAAGAAATTCGTGATTCGCTGGGCTGGATTGGAACGTTAGAGTGTTTAATGAGCGCCGACGGTAGAATGATGCAAGTTCCTGGAGGAAACTCGAGGACGATCTTGAGGTCCCACAGAATGAGATGTCCTCCCATTTGATGATTGAAATTCCCATCGGCGTAGACTACACACATCCCCCATCCAAGGTTTTTGCTGTCGTAATGTCCAATTGTCACCATTTGAGGTCCCAAGTTAAAAATTGCCGCAGCAAATACAGACACTTCAGGTGGGAAGTTAGGCTGAAGCTGAGGATGTTGCGAGAGAAGGGTATGCAGAGTATCGGCATAGAGATCAAAGAGATCTGGTTGGGACACCCTGAAACAATCTTTATTTAAGAGCCTACAATCAGTAATCCAGTCGCGGCGGTATGGAAGATGGCGACGTACCGTTCATATAGCCAGCCACCCTTTTCACCGCTTCATTACTGCACAGCCTTTCCAGCGCTGCTGCTACCTGTGGCAATGAACGAGTTTGCCTGGGCGTTGTTGTCCTCCAAAGGAGATACCTGTTCTCACAGTTGCATAATTTCCACGCCGATGCTGCATAGCGTAGCACAGACCTGTTGCATCGCGACATTCCAAAATCGCACGCAACGCCTCAGCACGGGTTTCATTCCAACACGGCATGCCGCCTCGAGCAGTGAGGTCATCTCGAGGCGGACTACAGCCAGATACAAAGATGCGACCTTTTCCGTCAACGATTGGGATGTGTCTGCTAGTTCAATTGTCAGTTCCACGCTAACTTATGCCATTGAAACGCGTCATACCCGTCATTGGTGACCAATTGGAAACCCATATCCATGAGTTCCGGCAAGGTCCATTCACGCTGATCCTCCACCCTCGAAGTCCCTCCAGTATAGCTGCTTTTGCTAGGTACTGGGACCGAGGATGTGCTTGCTACCGGCGTGGCCATGTGGACGCGTTTTAGGGATACGGCCTTCGCGCCCGCTGAGCGTGTAGACGCGTCCTGTCGATCCACACCCCGACGTCGGCGAGCATGCAGACGTCCCTTTGCTTTCTTCCGCTGCATTGGTGAGAGATCCATATTCGGCACATAGACGAGTGAGCCCCTCTGGGCTACCACAGAATCATCTGGCCCACCCCGACGGAAGCTTTTATGGGAAAGCAAGCCCTCTTCGTTTGACTGCTCGCAGTTGATCAGCTCCAGCTCTTCCTCCTCATCGCTGTCCAACATCTCTCTCGACTCTGTCGCGACCGCCAGTGTCTCCAAGTGTACGTCGCATGGTACATAGGCTGTGAATTCGCGCCCAGATCGGGTACAACCTACGACCGCAATTAGCATTCAGAACAATCAAGCCTCAACCAAGGCAACGCGTTGTTGATGAAACGACCGCTATATAAAACAGTTTCTGACGTCTCCAAGGACGGAGTCACATACTCCCGCCAATAACGGCCGACCCTCAGAGGAGGCAGGTAACTGGTACTGCGTAACGCGCCTCTTCCATGAGTGAGAAATGCATTCCCTCACCTAGTCGAATCATGGTACCAGTAAATGGGCAACGACATGTTCAGTTGCAACCGCGACCGCGTTCCCGCCACACAAAACTTGACATCGGCATGACATACGCCAATTTACCCGAGTCCTATCCTCCCTTGCGAAAAATAAGTACTTTTGCCATTGTATGTTTGAGAAAGAAGGAGTCATACGCTGCCGACAATGTCCAGGCAGTGTCTGAACCCGTACCGCCCAGGGGGAGCAGGCATTACTGCCTTACTCCCCACTGGTGGGAATGAAGGTGCTTGACGTGGCACAACACATAGCATTTGCTTCCGCGGCAACAGATCGGCCATCAGGGATGCTTGGGAGATCTTCGCACGTGCCTACGGTCTAGCCTTGGACGCCACCATCAAAGTCGTCTTGCCCGCCTCACCGACTCCACTTCTACGCCTGGTCGGATTTTCCCAGCTGTTACCGCAAGGTCGTTGGGCTGCACCTCGACATCTGTCGGTGTATCTTGAATTCCCCGCCTACCGGAGAAGTATACCTTTGTCTTAGCGTTGACTATGCAATCGGAGGCCGAGTACACCTTCGAGCAACTCTCGAAGGATTCCACGCCGCTGCTGCGCCACTCCCGACCGGGGGAACGTGAGTTTCTCTCATTTGTTGTGGTCCACAGTTATTTAGCAAACCTTTTGGACAGCCCTTCAAGGCTGGGAAGGACGATGCGGTGCAGTCCTAGACTCTCACACCCTCCTAATAACACCAAACTCCCCTCGAGGCCTATTACAACCCCCCCTCGGTCGCGATCGAACCGTTTACTTGCGCGAGAACTACCGTTATGGGCAAGACGACCAGCTATGTTGGCCACAACCGTATTCTCCCCTGCGTCCTCACCTTGGCTGCATTCGCCTCAGCTGTACCGACGCCAATCTTAAGCCTCTCTACGAACTTCCTCGCCTCAGTGATTTCATACCATGGGACGACTCCTCTGCTATACGGGGCCCTGGAATGTGGCAACCTCGACAGTTCGCCTGATTTCACGAGGCCTGCCTTCTCATTATCCGCGCTGCAGAGGACGGTTCCTGGGACGAATCTCACAACAAATTGATTCTCACTAATGCGCATTACTTGTGCATGTTCCTTGAACACGTCCAGGCGCTGCCCTTGGTATTCGAACGGCTGTGCCTCTGCGTGGCAGAGACGCAACGTCTGGCACTCGAGCTTCAGGCTATCATGGATTACATCCTTGTTTATCGACCCCGCATGACTGGACTCGCAGAACGACCCAGTGAGGAGGGAACCGGAGGGTCCGAGAGTCTGGTTGGAGCCTTTACCATGAATCCTACCGTCGCCCAGGAATTCTGTCGAGCAGGCATTCCCGTCTGGTTCATACATCCTCTGAATATGGCGGGAAAGGTACGCATTGACTCGGTGGAACCCATTCAAGAGCCGCACCATCTAAACATCCCCTCATCCTCCTGCCGGCTGGTCATTCGTTCTATTCACGTTGGAGCTGCCACAGACGAAGAAAAGTACAAAGCAATAGAACGTTTCACCCGCTCGCACCTAAATGCACCCAATCCTTTTAACCTGGCGCTACCTCAGAACGCCGTCGAGCCGGAGCCTGCTCCCTCGACTGCCGACCAAGCGCGATACCGTCCTTGTACGCTCTTTCTCCTCCCTTAGATCCCGCTACTGACCTCCACCCTCTTCACACTTGTCAGATAAACGCCCCGAACTATCTCGTCGTGGCAAACAAAAGCCAGCTTCAATGCTGCTGACCGGTACAGTGAAGAAGTTCGACGTGGTGCAGCATCCCTTACTTCCGCCGTTGGTTGACACATGGCTACACGGTCTGCTCAGCGTCAACGCCGACAAGTCCTGCCCTCCTTGCGCCGCCTTTGGGTACGCCTTACCTCGACCCGATCTTTTCGTCACCGTCAAATCAGCGGAGAAGCTTACCCTCATGATAACCTCATGGTTGCGGCTGCGGCAAGGCCTTCTCGCTCGATTGCAGGTTCACTTTAGTCCAGAGGTCAAGAACCATCAGATGTGGCGAACCATCCTTCAGATGGACTGGCTACACCCCCAAACAGGCGCGTCAGGCGCACGTGGAGAACAAAGTCGGCGTGACCAAGTGATAGCATTTCTCAATGGCTGTCACGCAGAGTTAACTGTGGATACCACCCTATCCACTGAGGGTTGTTGGGGCCACAAGAGTAGCTCTGCACTTGGGAATGATGATGTGCGAGAGATCCTGTGGGAACTGGCCGAAACCAACTTTCGCCTTGAATTTTCAGCGCTCGACCAGAAGCTTTCTCTGAAGACTGATGCACATCACTGCAAGCTCGTGGGCGAGTGTTTTCCGTATGGACAATGGAATCTGTTGCATTGCATTGACCTCGGGAGCGTGAACTGGGGCCTGGTGCACTCCAATTGGATGCAGCGTGCACCCTATGTCTTCTCCATGCGTCGTTGCATGCAGGACTGGCGCGGCTGTCCAACATCGCTTTCGTCGGACAAGTCTAAGTATTCAGAGGCAGACGTGGTGCAGATCGAGAAAGATATGGCCTCCTTTTACTGCGAAACGTTCTTCATGACTTTTGGACGGGTGCCCATTCTACCGAGACGATTACCTCGCACGCCCCTCGTCCCCTTCATACCTGAAGCACGCAAGCTTTATTTCGCCCAGGAATCGGGGTATATCCTGGACGTCACGAAATGGGAATAGTGGCAGAAGTCTTAGAGCCGTAATGATACGTCCTATAATACAATGTATAATATAACATCTTGGTGTATTGTATATCACTCGCTACTATTGGTAACTTTGAAAAATCTAGTTTTGCTCTCCATGACCCAACCAGAGAAAAATATTCTTGGTGAATAATCATTATCCCTCAGCGGTCCGTCCCAATTAGGGATTGAACCCATGACGCACGTCCCCAACTTCGGGGAGATCCGAGCAAAAAAATCATCAGTCGCATGTTAGCCGCTAGACGAAATGACCATCTTATCAAGGTGTTCGGGCATTAGCTCTAATAGATCTTTATCTCTGTCAAATGGCGGTCCGAAGCGGCGAGCTCTATCAGGTGATTCGCATCGATCAACATGAATTTTAAAATTCAAGCCAGGCTTATCAATTGACCATCACATCATTTGACAGTTGACTGCCCTGCAGTCCTTAATTAGTCTTACGCGTCGCGTCTGTTTCCCCATCAATCCAACCTTCAACAGTATGGTTCTTTCTCTCCGATGCCCATGAACAGACAGCAATGTCTTGTTTACCTCGTCTGGACATTGTCGACGGGTGCCGGGAGTCGCATTCCAGCCAGAGAGCTAACGACAGAACCCTCCAGAGCCAGACATGTCCGGCCTGTATCATCTCATGATTCTACAGAATGCATTCCAACTCAAAGATGCATGCGACGTTTTGGAAAAGGTTTTAATTCCCCCCCTCGAATCTGTGTGTCATTCCAATCATTTCCTTCGCAGAGAGCTGCACAAGCCGAAGAAAAGGCTCACCGCGACGAGGAGGATTTGAAGTTTATGATGACAGTCTGTCACCAGGTCATTTTTGTTGTAATTACTACCTGACAACTTCGGTATTGATGTCCGTACTTTCCATAGGAATCGAGTAAGCTAGAAAAGGTGCAGCAATCTATTGACTGTCTCAACGTGGAACTGAACCAAGCGCGTGATGCAGAGAAGCTCATCGAGGCTATGAAGCAGGAACTGACGTGCGGGTTTTGCTCTAACGAGCTTAGAAGGGCGTACAGGTGCGTAACGCGTATGTGTCTCTAGCCACGCATAAGGTTGAGTTAGCGGTGTACAGCCTTGTCTGCGGAGATACGTTTCACCCCGCCTGCCTATGGAGCTGGTTCGCTCAGCACATGCCGCAAGAGGCGGGTCATGTTGGCTCCGTCGACGACAAAGACGAGGCATCCTTGGACCTAACCTGCCCTGTATGCAAAGCTGACGTTCACCAACCTCCCATGCGCAACCACAAGATCGAAAAACTCTGTGAAAAACTTGGGTTTGTCGACCAGGACCCCTCTGAATACATTTAGCAGTGGTTCTTTCCTGCGCCTTCTGATTGAGTCCACACACGATCTGGTCGCATGTACTTCAGTTGATTAACTGCTATGATATAAGGACTATATGTAATATGCACAAATTCTTCACGCGAAATTACAAAATATATCCTCCTGGCTTTTCAAAGTACTGGTGCTACCTGTCTCCCTGGGCAATCAGTGTGAATGATGATGTCAAGGTCACTGTATTGGCTCTTCTTCGTGCGTACTGTTCTGCACCCCGGCTTTCCCTTCTAACTTTGGGACAAGCGATCGCATCTCCACACCTCGTGGATCGACCGAAATACACCCGAAGAAGATGTACCACAAGCTAGCTTTGCGGGAAAGGCCGTCTAATCTCCACCATTGAGACGGCAATGCAACGTGTTCAATACCTCTTCCAAGGTTCATATTCCCACCTTCGTGATCACCACCCCTTGCACCTCTCGGAATGCTCTGACGATTCATTTACCCTGGACTAATCTGGCAAGGGATGCTCGAGGGTCTGTCGCAGGAATTTATTATTGATACGAGACCCTACCCTATCTTGCTCAATATCCAATAACTTTTTGGTTATGCTTCGCAGGGAGCCGGCATGTTGTGCAGCGTGGCCGTCTCGAGCACGACGTGCAAGCTGGGTTTGAAAATCCTAACCCTTAGCCTCATCCTTGCCGTCGGCGTCCGAAGAGTTGTCAACGTCCTTCCCCCCCCCAAACAACCTTGCTCAAAATGCCAGCCACCAACCTGCAAAGTCGCCTTTGCCGAACCTTCTGCGAGGCGCCAGTGTTGTAACCTGGCTTTACCCTGCTCCGTCTGTGCGGAGTGGTTATATGGGTAAGCTTTCTTGTTCAAAAATCTAAACAAGAACACGCCATTGATCATAGCACACCCGTACTCTCCAGGAGCTCTTCGCCCTCACCAAACGTCGTGCCCGTGCCTGTGTTTTTGGCTGCACCCGCCGTTCCGACCGTCAGTCAGGCGAACCTCCCTCCGCCGCTCCATCCATCGCCAGCACCACCCCTCTCTCTCCCCGTCCCAGCGTTCACCGGTCAGTGACCATCTCCCCTTGATGTCACGGTCATCGGCCAGCTGGTAGAACACTGTATGTCTTTGTTGTCGAAGGAGTTGGGCCCGTTCCTCGAACTCTATGCAGTCACACCTCAATATTCTGCCTCGGTGCCAGACTTGCGGGGAGCCATGGACCGGCTAGCTCGCGTCTTGCATCTTTTCAGACAACTGGTGAACATGGCGGACAAGAGCTTTAGAGAACAGTGGAGGGCACTCAGTTTGAAGCGTGATAGGCAGGATCCAAGGTGGATGAGTTATGTTGCTCATCTAGAAACAACGCTTAGGTATATGTAAATCGCCTGTCTAAAGTCACCGAACCCATATATGTAACATGAATTTTACTATTATCTTGTCTTGAGGTCTTGCTGTGTCATGTTGGCATTCAACTTTTGTTCCTCAAATGAGCAATTCGCATCTCCAAAGTGGCTGTATGCATGGCAAGGTTTGATATCCGACCGAAACAGTGCATTTCTCAATATAGATCAACAGTAAATGTTCGGCTGACAGTAGAGCATGACTAGTTACATAGGTGCCCAATGCAATATTACAGTGTTTTAGGGAAAAAATCATTCCAACTGCTGTCGTCCTCATACCCCACCCTTTTGGCCGCCTCCTCATACAACAGTCGATTGTCGTCGTTCAGCCTGGGCAATTCACGCACGGCACCCTCGATCGTCAACGCCCGCAAAGGATGCCGGTCAGATGTGGTGCCGCACCGTACGCAAGAGTAGGTCGATTGGGGAGCCTCTTTGCACTTTCTCCACCATTCGTAGGTGCAACTCGCACAGGTAGTGTGACCACACAGGACGATCCTGCCAAATATGCCTGTCAGTGACAACATTTCGCGAACTGTGCCAGACATACGTGACGGCACTCCAAAGTTTGCCCAAACAAATGTTGCACGTCAATTCGCCTTCTACGGCGTGCCAATCCTATGTCCAGGCTCGTGAATAGGTTTGATTGGGTCACAAGCTAAACCACTTACCACCCGTAACGCGGCCCAAAGGCGCTCAGCCTGTCCTTTGCTTCGCATCGCCCATGCCTCTGCATCGCGGGATGCCCGCTCTGCACGGCGACGACCGTCACACACCTGTTTCAAGCACCGCTCTTTGAGCACGAGCTCGTCAACCAAATTGAGAACCTCTCCGGCGATGCGACGTCGATCCGCTCGCACACTAGAAAGGAGCTGAAGGTACCAGGAAGGTTAGTGTGAGCGCAGCAGTAAGGCAAGATCACGACGCGACACGCACCTGATTATTGACGCCAACAAATTCGTCAATCTCCTTGAGGAGGTCCTGCAGATCGGATGCAAGGGATTGTGCATTGCCCTTGCCCACCTTTTTCGACCAAACGAGTAGTGAGCTACACGGCCAAGGATCAGTAAGTCCTGTCCTCGGGAGAAGTGGGACCCAAGTTCTGCGTACCTCCTCGATTTTCGCGGTGGAGGCCATCACGAAATCCCAAAGCGCGAGATGGGTGTATGATTGGGGAGACCATATATATATATGTAAGAAGACGCGTACCCCACGGTATGCTTCCGAATACATTGAGCTCGTTTGCAACTTCCAGGGACCGGTCATCAGTGTGTATGCGCCCGCATCGGTATTGGACCGACTTTGACATAGAAAACCACGGCTTGCCACTGTTGAGCACGGGTCAGGAACGGAAAACATCAACGAACGGTGAACATTAATAATGACTGCAACCGGCTCCTTCACACGGGAACGAATAAATCGGTTCCCAGACACCAGTGAACAATCACAATGAAACATCCGCGACCTTCAACTTCTTGATGTCGTCAAACCGATAATAATCAGGCCTGCAAAGAATTTGATGTATCGATCTGGCGGGACTGCCTCTCCTCATCGAGGTGTCAGATTAAACCAACCGATGTTATTTGGCTGCTAGTCACCATAATTTATATCGCGAAACAACACTCGCAATAAAGCTCTTCGTATTTTTTTTTTTGGCCGAGGCTGCAACAGACTATATTTAGTTCACCATCGCCCCAACATTAACGTGAACCACACAACTATGCTACGAACATTTGAAAGTCGTCGGGAAAAAACTCTGCCAGAACATTTTCATTCATCGTAAAGCTTCCGTACCCTGCAGATGGGGCATGAATGCTAGTCAGCGCCGTAGCAACCGCGCCCACGATGGGCTGCAGGGCGGGATGTTGGGTAACCGCGACTCGACAAGTTGGGCAGGTGAACTCCGTAGGAGGATCACCTCGGCATAGGAAAGTATCCACCCGCGGTCGGTTCAACATCTGGTCTACAAAGGCCTTTTGCACACATGCAACACACGCAATGTGCCCACAGTCCGTTAACCTGTGGTTCGGTGAGCTGGGAGAGACGTTGCGAGTCAAAGTACTCACATCACAGCAGCCCACATCTGCGTGCGACAGATGGTACATTTCACAGCTGACGCCAAGGCCGCCATACCCTTAGAGAAGACAAATGTTAAAGACACCACAGTGAAGAAAACAGACTCTTTTACCTCATGGTGGGCAAGGGGTCCCATATCGTTGTCGTCGTCCTGTCGACTGTTCCGCGTGGTCAGGGCTCCATTTGCGACGGACGACGGCGGCTCTCGATAAGACAACGCCTCCCGATCGACCTCGCGCACCCGCGCCTCCGCTACGTCTCGAGCCTGTATGGCGGTAATCAACCGATTGGTGAGGGAGGTCACTGCTGCTTCGTGGTGCGACGCTGCCTCCTCCAAGTGGTCAACCCATGCCTCCAACTGGACAACCCGTGCTCGAGCAACGTCTCTCTCCGCTTGCATCTACAAACGAGACGTTTAGCCTGAAGAACTCCCACATCAAGACCATGTTTATGGCACTTACCTTTTTCAACTGTACCTCGGCATGAGCGAGATCGGCAAGCTCGCCACGCATCTGGTCGAGGACATGAATTCTGTCAGAAAGAGGATCGCCAGGCTTGACCCCGACGATGATAGTCTCCTGGGGAGCCACGCTCCGGGATATAGGGTCTTCCATAGAGAACGAATCTGCCGACACAGTGAAAGCATGGTGATCACCAGAGAGGTCGACAATATTGGGAGAGCGGGGCATGATGGGAGTTTATTAAACGAGGACTCCCATGTTTTATCGGCCTAAAGGCAAGCAAGGATTGGACAATGTCGCAATTTGTTTGGGGTTCACAGGGCCGATTGGGACGGAGGCGAGTGGGATCCGCCGACAGTGTCCAAGCGGATATGGCAGGACATTACTGTCCCGCCAGCAGGGTAATGACCAATCGCGAGATTTGGGGGGTAGCAGGAGGGGTAGGAGCCAAAGTTGGAAATCAGAGATCGCATGTTGGGTGGAGATCGCATGTTGCCGAAAGACGTGCCGGCGATTGCCGAACCACGGATGGGGCCGGAAAGAGTGCTTAGATTGATAGTAGATCGATCCAGCAAATAGTATCATTAGTATGTAAGATCTGAACCTATGGCCCCAAAAAAGCTTCCGTAGCTCAACCTCTCAAGGCCTCAGCCTCAGCCCTCAAGGATCGTTGAGCTGTCCTCATGGTTCAAGACTACAATCCTCCACCGACTCCTCAACATCCAGCTCCACTTTAACCCACACCCTCGATGTCACCCTCTCCTTCGTCTCCCCTCCCAATCCCGGGTTGCTAGATCCGTCTGAAAAGCGCTGCACGGTGGTATAAACCATGATCTGAAAGGGCTTGCACACCATGTGCTGCACCCAAGATGCCTCGGAGTGAACGATCGCACATATAAGCGTTTCTCTGCGTCCAAATCAGCTCAGCATATAGTGTAGACGTTCCTTATTCTGTATACTTACCTGTACAAGCTTTTTTCGAACTCGTCATAGCCTAGCATTTTGTTAGGAAGGTCTTGTTGGTGTGTGCGCGTCTAGCGAAGACGTGGTTGGTCAGATAAAGCTAAGAGGCCTTTGCAAATGATAACGTCCTATAAGAATCCCTTTTGACGCGTCAGCCAAACATACTTCAACAAAGCCCCATGGTGCGAGTTTTGAGGGATGTGCATTTTTTGGAAGAGTCGTTCCAGTTGGACATGGCACAGACATGTATACGTATCCACTGTGCGTGAACACCCGTTAAGCTAAGCAGTTGGATTCATTGCTAAACATGCGAAATGACATTATAACGTTGCATTCTCTATTCTTGGCAATACATTTTGAAAGTATAGCTATAGGTCATAGTCACCAAGAGCTCTTTTTCACACTAAAAGAAGAATAAAGTCGATGTTTGAGCTTCGAGATTGGGCCCAAGGACCTGAGACCACTTACATGTAATCCCACACCTCCGCATATGTACCGTAGGACACGTTAACTAAGGACGATGTGTTGACGACATCTCTGTTGGCAGGGAGAGCGTGATAAGCGATGCACATGTGGATTTTCCGCCTGAACCTGACCAAGGATGTAGGAACGCGTCCCCACGTAGGGTCGATGAAGGTTGCCACCGCAAGAGTTACACGACGGAGAGGCAGCGTGCGTCGGTATGGAGTGCAACATGTTGAGAGCGGACGTCGGGCTGATCTCGCCTGACATAAATGCGAACCATTCAAGTGACACCAAGTTCAATAGGTCGATAAACATGGGAACAGGCGGGAAGGTCTCTATGCAAACATCAGCGTGTAGAGCAGACATCTAGGCTATGGAGAAACATACCAATGGCGTGTATAAGCAATCGCTTCACGGCACTCCCCAGCGTGGGTACAACAATGCGCGCACCATGGAGCTCCCAATTGTCGGCTGAGACGACGTCCAGTTCAACCATCTCGAACACTGATCATTCGTGGTGGCAAGCAAGCGAATAATTCCATCATGTCACGGAGTGTAGCCCGAGTCATGGTTATGCTGCCCACTAAACGAGGCGGTCTGTACCAAACACGACCGGGCACATCGGCGGTAAGGAAGGAAGGTCTGATGACAGTCAGGCTTGTGATATGAGAGTAGCTGAACAGTGCGCCCGCTCCCGACCTGCAGAACCTACATCGCCACAGCCTGATCTCTATGGGGCTTTGGAACAAGACCGGCCTTTGAAAGTGAGAGAGATCGAGATGGACTCTGAGGAATAGGGTGAGACTGGGGCATACGCAGATGACATCATTGAGGAGGATCGAGGACAATGGCATGTTGTGACCGTTAATGCGTATTTGACGGATGCAGCTGGCGTGAGCTGATCGCCTCTGCAGGTAGAGTGACCAGAAAGTGCAATCCCATTTTTCATTCACCCGCACGACCTGGAGCAACTGCCGCACACTGGCGACATACCATTCCGTGCACATGGTTAAACAATGGTAAAGGTCGGCATTCATGAGTATTGAGAGAGACATAATTTGAGCCACCATGTCGAAGGGTAACTGAGGCGGATCCATGGTGGGGTAGGATGAGGGCAAGGAGTCTATCGCTCCCAATCGTTTCCTGGTGACAAATGTCCAGCCAGGGTTGTGGTCATTGCTGACACGCCCAATAAGAATTTGAACGAGGAACGGAGGCCAACGATGTACGGCAATGAAATAGAGTACATGGTGGCACAGCTGTGGCGGAAAAACCCGCCATTTGAAAAAGCCATGACTCGCCATGCTTCCGCAGGAGCTACCGTGTTCCGATCGTGAGCACATGACAAGGTACAATATATGAATTCATTGGCTTGCGCGCCGCGTCTCTGGTCTGTTCGACGCGATAATTGGCTCTACTCTACATCTCGCTGGAAGCCTTGGTGTCAGATGAAAGGTGCATCAATCTGGTAACGGTCCGACGCTTTGCGTTTTACTAAACAGCCTGTGGCAACTAGTTGCAGACGTTTTCGATCAGTATTGGGATGCCGCGTGGGTAGTGTGGGATGAGGAAGAGCAAGAGAGAACTGCAAGGGGACAAGCCAGCATACCTGCGTTGCCCGATCCGTATTGTGATGCCGCATGGGAAGTGTTGGATCAGGAAGAGCAAGAGAGATCTGCAGGGGAAAAAGCCAGAATACGTGCGTTCCAATGAACCTCTAATGTCCTAAGTGATACCAATCCACAGGAACACAGTCGCCTGGAAGGTCACATACGAGACGACACCGTGGGACCTCTTCGACTGGGAGCCCAAAGTGCAGTGGGCGGCGCATGTCCAGGCAGATGACGGGATGACAAGCCAGCTGTCAAAGCAAGAAGGTCAAGGCAAGGCTTACCGAATCCAACACGAGACGGCAAGAACTCATCCCTGCCTCAATGGTAGACCTATTGGGACGCAGGTGAGTTGATCGGTGCTTTTGGTGGTAGCGCAATCTATTAACCTCTGCTTAGTACCAGGCTGAAACACCGGACATGGATAGCCAGTCTGCGTTGGACGAGATCGCACCGCCGGTACACATGATTCTAACTAAGTCAAGTTGTAATATAAATGCTGACTTGTCTTAAAACTAGCCGTCTACTTTCAGTACGGACTTGTCCGACTTCCTCTCGAAACCAGAAGTTATCAGACTGTTGGACATGCTCACCCCTACATTGAGCCGGCTGCGTGAGAGCGGGTGTCATTGAACAATGGGATATGTACATTAATGTGAGCAGGCAGGCAGACTAGGATACCGATTTAAGAATGTATCTTCGAAGTATTTATTACGAAGTATTTATTGTCTGTGTGCTCAGTGACATCATGCTCTTGCCAATTCCTCTGGCTGGAATAGAACACGTCGTGAACGGCACATGCACAAGTATTATATTAGGGCCATTCCGACTCGAGCATATGATCTAGATTGCCCTGTCAGTCGCATCTGTGATGTCATTTGCTCATGCTGACAAAGCCGCTCCCATGAGCACAGCCCCCGAACAAGCCTTGGATGTAGACTAGCATGCCAGCTGGCATCCATGATGGGCTCGACAGTAATGTCAGCCATTGGTGCACTTGGACACTCGATGTCGGTGCTATCGTTGTGCTCTGTGCTTCGTCCTTCCTCGGGAAGTGCTCATCCCGTCGCTTGGACCCCGTTTCAGCGTTGGGGACCAGCATGGTCCTTGCGATACCATCCGAATCGTTTCTCCGAATTTCCGAACGTTAGGAGGGACGTATGACATGGGACAAGTCTTAGTAGGGTATATTATCTCGATTGTGATTATGAATAGGACAATGAATGATACTCTGCAGAGCGATTTAGGTGCATCAACAGTCTGCGGGTTCCTGGATACTTGGGCATCCTCGTTTGTTTGCACGAGGGATTTTAGAGGGAGGGAATATTGGTGATTAAATTCAGGCACTAGCAATGAAATTATATTCATTGTTGCAGGGCGACATGACGAAAATTTCTGCACAATAATTGGACAGCCGTGGAGAGCCGTGACCTTCCGTGGCAAACCGTGGCTAGCAATGCGATGAGAGGTCGCTAGCACGTCGTGACAGGACAAATTGCATCAGCAGCCACACCCCGGCAACCCGGTCGCGGGGCAGCGATAAAATACCACCAGATCTTGGCCTGTGGACGACGCAGGATGTCAGACCTTCCATTGGGCAGCTCATCCGCTGTGAGCTCCAGGGGATGCCCCATCGTAGCCAGCAGTCGATGGCGGGAATGAGGTATGATCCACTACACTCTACTGTACTCGAACCGTCAGCTTATGCTACTTCGACGTCCAGATCGCGAGGCGGTGTTGATGGCAAGTGATCCTGCGAGCCCCGAATATCAATACGGTCTCGAGGCAGAAGCGCCAAGTAGCGAGATATCACCCTCAGACGACGAGATGGAGGACCCCCAATCATCTCAGTCTGAGCCTCCTCCGATCGAGTCGATGGACGTAGAGGAGGAGTCGGCTGCGGAGAGCATTTTTGTCGCTGTGGTGGAGGGCCGTGTATCACCCAGCGTCGAGGGGGCCTCGTCTTTTGGTGAGGCCAGCTCTTCCATGTGGTGATGACGACGAAGACACTGACTCGAAGATGAAAAGATCTCGATAGTCTCATGGCTGGACTCAGTCGACCTATCGACCATTCCAGCGAAGAGGCTATGCCACCCGAAGCGAACGACGGTGCCAATAATGGTGAGGAGTTGCCCTCAGTCCCACCCGACGGCTCCAGCTTGGGAATTATTGATTTCAGATCGCTGATTAACCGGCTGGGTAATGACATGAACGTCGACCTCCCCTCGAGTGAGAATGAGAACAGTGACCCGGCGAGCACCCGTGCGCATGTGTTCCCAATCTCTCGATACCTTAGAAGCTGACGCAGCTGGTATAGCACATTCGACTCCGCTCCCGCAAGTCCCAAACGGGCCCATCGAGCGTTTGAATGCGTTCGGAGGCGACTGGACGGCTCTCGAGGCTCGTCAAAGCTTGCAATTGGATAGCTTCTCTCGTCTGGCGACGAATGGATCGGTGAATGTACCAACCCGGGTGAGGGGGGATGCCGGTACCAATAACGTTCTCATAGCGGGCATGATAGATCATCTGCTTGATGTTGAACGGAACCATCCATTGGCGAACGCTACGGCTGATTTTGACCTGGAAGAATTGGATCGCTTGAGTCGTCAGTTGGCTGGCTCACCGCAAGAGGAGACTAATCTACCTCTCTTCTTGAGGAGCTCATCTCCTACCACTGTTGGATCGACTTCTCCCTCATCCAGGCAAGTCGACTTGCTTGAAGGTGGTGATGGAATGGGTCCACAGTAAGATGTTCACCTGTTCATGTTGATTCTATGCACTCATGATTTTGCTCCGCAGGATGTCAACAATTACACTGTTTGTTAGTTACGTGGATGTGGATGGCTGGGTCGGTGTTTATGTCGAGCGTGGAATGCAAGTGCCCCTCCCCGAAGCTAGCGGAGGGATGAACATTTCTTTCAGTAAGTCTGGGAATCATGGGATCTCGGTATTGAGGCTTATTGATTTTGTGCCCAGAGGTTCTTCTGGAAAAATGTCGGGAGTGTGGCAATCGTACAGGGCGGTTGGTGGAACGCCTCATCCGTGGAACGGCCGTATTTTATGTCGGCACAAACGTCAAGCCTGTACCTCTGGACGAGGTGCTAGCCAGTCCGGCATCTCAGATAGCATACCAAGAAGTCGGCGCACTCGCTAGAGTGATCAACGACCGCGATAGTGTTACCCTGGCTGCTCCTTGTGTAGAATGTGCGGAGCAGGAGGCTGTAATGGCAGTGGGTGCCGGCTTGGGTGCTGGTGGGCCGTGCTATGTATTATACTTGTCGCCAGAGGTACGTAAAGGAGGCCTTTTCTCTATGTGGTACACTGAGCTAGCCCCTAGGAAATGGAGAATGTCGTCAACGGTCCAGTGCCGGCGGTAGTTCCACCAGTACGCGCAGTGGTGGTGCGTCAGCCACGTCTGGTAGGTTTTCACGTGCTTAGACAGTCAGGGTGATGCTGACCAAGACTTCCAGACCGGTCGATGGGCTCATGTGGACGTTATGGAAGATCGGTGGGCGATGTGGGACCAAGTGTTCGGGAGCATGTTTGACGTGTTGGTGGCTCTGGGTCGTAAAGACTGGAACTCCACCTACAAGCATTTCACCACTGTGCAGACGGTGGTGGCGATCACGGTACGACTGGACTTGGTGGTTCATGACCACGGATTCAACTTGAGTCTCCTGCCTGTGCAGACCTGGCTCCTGGACCGGCTAAGAGCGCGTCATGCACGTTATGTCGATGTCGGGCCCAGGACTTTTCAAAATTGGATATCGGCGTTATGGGTTGAGGTCGAGGTGGTTTATAGGCGGCTGGCTGCCAAGCTCAGCTTGGGCCAGGCCCTTTCGGAGGGGGAACAGCGTGTATTCCAGACGGCCAAAGTGTGGTATAGTTTTCCTCTGGCGCAGGCGATGACGGGAACTTATGTGCCGACGGACAAAGAACTACTCGTTTTGAAGGACACGACACCGTACGAGATGTGGACAGGACTAGTGTTGACCCTGAAAGGTGGAACTCGACGTGGCCATGGAAGGATGCAGGGATCAGTCCCCCTGACGCGAGATGTGGAAAGGTAAGGGTCTATGCAGCTCATAAGAAAGAATCTGACATTCTTCAGGGCGATATAGATACAACGGAGATGCTATACTACTGATGTCGCACAATAAATATTACTTATATACAGCTAGAAGACCTCTGCTCCCCTAACATCCGTGTGAGCAAGGCATTGGTGCAAGAAGAATGACAACATGAAACCGTGATCTACAAAAAGATTGAGGCAAGGAGAGTTTGGGGAAAGCGTTGGATTGTCTCAGGACAGCCATCCACGACGAGCTAGGAGTATGTGGAGAATGGTTAGAGGAGGCCTGGGGAGCTTGGTAGAGCTTACGTACACCGCTCACCATCACGAAGTTCTCACTCAGGTGCGGCGCCGGATCCATCGGCTGCACCTCCTTAGGAACTTCCGGACACGGCCACGATAAGGAGGTATTACCGGACTTTGCGCGTGTGGAATGGCTGTTGGCAGGTCGAGATGCGGATCAGAAACACCAGGGCCTTCCCCGGGAACAACGGCGCATGCCGGAGGTGGATCAGGATGGCCGCCGGTGGGAAAAAGCATAGAGTAGGGGGGAGGGCGCGACGCCCTGTTGCGTGAGGTGGTACGGTGCTCTGGCTGGAAAAGATGAGAGGTAGCCTGCACAGGCGAAGGGTGTAGGCGTGATTGCAACAGTCGACCTTTCGTTTCGTGGGTAAGGGGTGGGGTATGGAAAGACGGATCCAAGTGATCGCACTGGGCTGCGAGCGATTGCTCCAGTACGGCGGCGCGGTGAACATCTGCATCTAGCACATGACTGGGAAGCGGGTGGTCATGAAGGAAGTGTGAGAGCTCTGCTTGCTGTTGAAGACAGTATTGAAAGGCGCGTGCTCCCTGAACGTGTGCTTGCTCTGCAAAGTCAGTATGGTCGAAACGGCTGACTGGGCATGCGCTGGGTAGCGGTGCGAGATTGAGGTGGCATATTGTGGATGTCGGACTGGGGGAGCTACGGGAGAGAGGCGATAAGGGTGGGAAGGCCGCCCACACCGACCCTTGCTTTTTTAAGCAGGAAAGAATCTGGTCTTTCGGCCCGGTGCTCACCAACAAGCGTTGCTCATCGCCGTCATCATTGTGAGTGTGCTTTGATACTACCTGTTCACATCTTGACAGGTTCTCAGACAGAATTGCACCTTAAAGTATCGATCATCATTGGCATGTTGTCCATGGCTATTGCTTTTTTACATCCAGGACGGTATTCGACCCGTCGTCGCAGTATTCAACAGATGTTCATCGTGATCATCGTGATAAGTCAGCAGTTTCAATAGTACCTGATTGCACTTAACCGTGTTAAGACATCATCATCTGGCTAACATTGAAGGATAGGCTAAGTATATTGTTTTGATAGCACCTGATCTGATAGCGCCTCGGCAGCAGATCTTCATCGTCGTCATCGTGGTAAGTTTGTGATTTCAATGATACTTCATATCACCTGACCGTGTTGCAGAACAGCGTCACCAAGATCGTGACCGTGGCTAACATCGACAGTGGCAGCTCATCGGTGTAAGCTTAAGTCTGATGTTTTGATAGCACCTGGTTTTGATGTCACCATGACGGTTCATCGATATGATAAAGATGATTATGGTGGAAGGCTGCACCCCAGAATCACTCAATCAGGAGGTGTTCTCGTGCACAAAGTGAGAAGGTGAAGCAATATTCAAGTTTTATGTTAACAAAGCTGATTATCTACTTGGTACACAGGTTACAATATAATACAAGGGAGGTCGGCAACATTGTGATACATAGGCGAATATACTACAGGTGAACTGGGCAGCTATAAATAAGCATGAAATATAGTAAGTGCAACAAAAGCATCGGGACAACATCAAGAAAGGTTTGGGGTAGCAAGAAGGGGAGGTTACACGGGGAGTAAACGCTAGCAAGATCGTGAAGAGTAGTCGGCGGCAACGATACAATCTGCAGAAAAATGGTTAGGACGACAAGGGAGGTTTGTAGGCGTCCAAATCTTCCAATGGGACGACATCCGGTGCTAGTTACGACGACGGCCCTTAAGCCACAGCCTGCACTTATCGAAAATTTTCCTGACATGGCTGGTTGGGGTGTCTCTGTGGCGGGATGTCATGTTCGGCCAGGGATCGAGAGGACCGACGTGCGTCTGTGCCTGACGTTTGTTGGGATTGTCGACGAGTTGGGGAGGAACATGGGCGACGGGTGGGTCAGCCGGATGGGGATCAAGAGGGGAGTATGGTGGAGGTAGGGAGATTCGATTGGGTCCCCCCACGCCTGGCAGGTTGACCCATCAATGGTATTTGCCAGCGCGTACGAGCCACACTTTGTTTTCGATGGTGAGGGGGGGTCGATGGAACGAGGGGTGCAGGACATCGCGTTGGTGTTCAAGAGCTCGCTGGAGGGTGACCGCTCGCTGGACGTCGGGACGAGGTGGTAGCGGTTTGTCTCGTCCGAGGGTTTGATGCGTCGCATTGGGTGGATCGAGGGATCCCTCAGGACTATTGGCACCTTTAAAAGCTCGATTCGGTGTGCGTTGCACGTTGGGTGGATGCATGAGAGAGGGGGCCGGGAAATGGATGCTGAGAAGAAGGGAAGAATAAGAGAGAGAGGCGAGAAGCAGGTGATGTGCACTATGCAATGAGATTGGAACTTCTTGCGAAGTATGCATCGAGTAGGAATTCGAGAATGTGCCTCGCGTTCAGCGTTGGGGTGCAGAAATGACAGGAGGCCCGTAAGAAAGGTGATACGGCGAGGAATAGCAAGGATACGTGAGAGACAGGCGGGGAGCTTCTTGATTCCCGCTGGCAAGAGCTGTGCCTCGCTTCGATTTGATGGAAGTTCTTGCCGGCGGCAAGTCGACCTTGCTTTCTGTTCCTCGCAATGACTCCAAGTCTTTCCTGTTGTTGTCCTGCTAACCCTCCAGACGTCGAGCCTTGCCTTGATGTTCCTTGTCCGGTTAGCATGCCCTGTAACTTCCGTTCAGCAGATAGTTAACTACAGGCCTTTCTAGGTGTAACTTCGGTCTTTGAGGCTCTCGTTGTCTGGAGGTAAGCTTGACGTTTGGTTGTAGTGCGCACCATCTGTAACAGAGCGTACATGGATGTAGGGTAAACACTTTTCCTGGCACAGAAGACCCTGGACACGACGATTCACAGCACAAAGCCCCCTCGTAATGACTAAGCTCATCTATGATTTCTCATGTACACTGCGGTATGCGCCTTTAAAGTAGATTGTGATACTGAGTACTGACAAGAACTATGGATATTCTTGCATAACATGATGACAGTTCAGCATGCAGTATCAAGTACCGCTGTGGTATACATCGATATTGGATGCGCGGCCATAGCAGGATGAAGGGAAGTTGCGCAAGTTTGAAGAGCATTTGTAACTACGAGAAATATCGAGGATAGGGTGGGGAACCCGACAGTAGGCAAATCGCTTTGGCTTCGTTAGTGGCCTTTAATAAATGGCTTCTACAGGTTTAATCCTCACCCTGAAATGTTGTTTGACAGGCCTGGGCTTGGTTTCGTGCAACGTAACTAGAGCATTTGTTCTGGGCATCTGAGAACGACTAACATATCATTTAAGAAGTCACCCTTTCATGAAGGCGACCCACGATCGTAACGTCATGGTCGTACTAGACAGCCGTCGTCATGCAACGCCAGGTCTGGTAAGTATATCCTCCTGCTTTCGTTCAGCGGGTTATTGACAGCTTTGTCCAGGGTGTAACCTCGGCCTGCAAGGCTTTCCTTCTATCAGTCTAGACTTCGTTCAATAAAGTAAGTTTTCTTCTCATATCAACCATTTATGATTGTAGGATATGCGTTTGCACCTGTGGAGACGACGCTGGAACACGGCTGTGCACACCACAAAGTCCCGTCACAATGTCCGGGCCTATCGAGGTTGAATAAGAGCAGGCGGAATGCGTCCAAACTTGTCTTGGCAAGTGTCTTCATTCGCTGGTGGAATTATGGGCGAGGTAAAGATTAAGTTATCTTGATTCATTGCTTTGACTAAGGGCATTATCCAGGACAAAGTGCTCGAAGACTATTAAAAGGAGGCGCGTCTGTCGTATGACAGGCGTCTGTTTAGCGTAAGGTAATCCGGCTGCATGTTATTGACATGGAGCTGATTAGGTATATGGGTCAGGATGCGTGGAGGAAGATGGGAGATGCGACTCTTGTAATACGACTACGAGAGTCGTTCAAGGAGTTTTAGGTCTGGATAAAGGGGGAATGGCCGTTCAGAGTGGGGGATGAATGTACGGTGTCCAATTTCCTTGCTGAACTCTTCACTGAGAGATCTATCTTCTCCAGTTGTAGGTGGGAGTACCAGCTAACTGCGCCGGTACTATCAGCACATCCAACTTTGAAGCATGGTCCGAGATTCCGCGTTCGATGTTGCAGGAATCGACACTGATGATGGAGGCCCTCTAGAAAGGTGGAACGACACTCACTAGCTTCCACTGCACAGCGTAGTCGGTGGAATGCTAGAAGAACCTAGCTTGGTTTACCTCTACCTGTACCGAAGAAAGGTAAGCTGGTCTTGTTAAAGCCAAGTTCTCGCGAGCTAAGGATGCCTTGTAAGGATTGTAGCCTTCGGCCTTATGTATCGTTCCGCATGATACACTAGCAGGCAGTACAGACGATGATGATGAGTCGAAACCATCTTTGTGGTTGTCACAATCTGCCAGATTCTACTCTGCGTTGCTTGCTCGCCTGGACTCACTGAGCACTCAATGTTGACGCGACACTATCATGAGTATGGCATCAATAAAGATAGTTTGTATTGCTCAAATCAACGTTATATATAAAGTTACAAATCGGGCGGTACTGGGCGACCCGAAGCAGATAGTATTGAAGTCATGATCTCGAGGCCGTGAATCCATCGCAGGCGCTGATATTCCATATGTTGATCGACATCAGGTGCGACGGTATTGAGGCTGTCCTCAAATTGCGCTAATTGTTCCGGAGTAAAGGGATTGTTGGGAGGTTCACAAGGGACATATGTGAGATTCCTGGGGACTGGAAAATGTTTGTGTCAGATCTCTGTGAGGTAAAATTGAAGATTACATACCACTGTCAGGAGCCTGAATATGAACCCGTTGACGAGACCTCAAGTCACAAAGCATCTCCTCATTGAGTCCGAGATTTGGAATAGCAGGCAAAGGGTGCGACATGCCGGGGATCATTGGCCGTGAGATGTTCAAGGCCGTGAGCTCCATGCAGAAGTTGACTCTCCATCCACATTTGGAGGGGACTAGCTCGACGTCATTGGAGGGACATCTTGTGGTTATTCCAGTGTTCGGCCCAGGTCTGAGCATCGGAATCGACGTGTTTAAGGAAGAGGTGGTGCAGGAGCCATATGTGTCGGTTGAGGTGGGCATTCAAAGAATGATGGTGTTCAAGACTCTGGAAAAATGCCTTCCACTTGTTGGAGAACCCGGTATTAGTGTTGACCCACATGCGCTCCACTCTGGTGTTATGGACTGGATCTGGAAAAATGGATGAGCGAGTTGTAAAGAAATCCGAGGAGGCTACGCTCACCTTCCCCAGATATAGGAACCCCGAACGACTCCACGATAATTCTCCATCCATTGAGCAACATAGAGGTTCTCAAGGCCACAGTCTCCTTGAGCACGACTCGGAACACCCCATCAGAGGGTGGCATCGAGAAAGAGTTGAAGAACGCTGACAGGACAGTTGTTGTTGTGTGCCCGAATGCCAACAGCGGCGCGGCTGAGACCGTCAACGAATAGATGCAGAACGATCTTCCATCGGATGAGATCTTGTGAGAGAGACGTCAGCAGAGGCCAAACATAATTCGATGGGAATACTTACTGTGGTTGCCATCATGATGCCAAAGGGAATTGGCTCCAGGAACATGGTACGAGCTACGAGCAACGGGTCGACGACGGAAGGGAGGAGGAGGGCCATGTACGTGAAGATGGGAGGCGTCAAGTCGATCACGTGATACCCGTATACCCCAACTCACGAGCGCACCGGAGACCATCCCACGACCATAGTTCGGAAAGTCCCTGAGAACGTCAGCCATGATGGTATCGAGTTCCGCATCGCTGAGGGATGTCATAGTGAGAAGGGATGAGTGGTGCCAATAGTGGGCTCTACCAGTCTCATCGATGAAGTCCAATTGGCGAGGCGCGAGCCCGGGAGGAACGAATCCCCATCTCAGTTGGTAGCGTCGTATGGTACAGGGGTGGAATCCAAGTAGTGTCGCGATCTTGGCGGCGGAGCCATGGCCATAGCTTCTAGTGAGAGCATGCAGGTGCTCTCGGTTGATTGCAGCGCGTGGACGACCACCGTGGCCGGTACGTTGAACATAACCCTGGACGAGAACAGGTGGTTGTTTGGGAGGGTCGGAGGAGGTTAACGCTGCTTTGCGAAGGAGGTGACGGATCCTGTTGAGACCAACGTCGATGTTCGACCAGGAATTGGTATCGAGTAGATTTCGATGCTTGAGAAGAGAGAGTGAGGAGCCTAATATCAAGGTAATTGAAGAGACATACCAGTCTGTACACATTTTCGAAATGAGCAACCTCATTGGTTTGAAGATGCACTCGATGCGGATCGCCACGGCCAGCTTGAATAACCTGATTGACTGAGTGAGTAAGAAGTCCCCAGGACGTTGCTAGCCGGCTGAGAATGACTGATACATCTACGGGCATCTGAGGATGGGCGTTGGAAAAGAGTGAGGAGAAGAACGTTCTAAGGTTGTGAATTTTGCGAGCATGTGATGAGAACGCGCTCAGGTAAAACATGAAACAGGAGACGATAATAACTGCTTACTGATCTTTGCAGCCGGTTTCAAGTGTTTGAATATCGTGACACAGTCTAGAGGGAGCTGGAATCAGGTACAGTCCTTGAAAATCGGTGGTAGACGCGGGTAGACGTGATAAAAGCGTGACAGTACGACACGGAATGCCATGGAATGCCACTGATAGCCACGCATTTGAGAGGCGCGTTTGCGACAAGTTTGCCATTGGTGTCCACGGTTCGTTCATCAAAAAGATATAAAGAGATTGGATATATTTAAGTAGTGTAAAACGTATTTCAACAAACAATAAGAGTAAAATATGCCGTGGCAATGAGTGGCCATGAGTGGCCATTGGTGGCCATTGATGGTCAGGAGAGAACACGGTATGCCACGGTATACCAGGGATTGTCACGGAAAAAGGTGGGTTTTGTCCAAGGAAGCTGCAGATATTGCAGATCTAGTCCGTCTAAAGTGTAAAATGGCAGCAGCAAGAAGAGAACTCGCTAGGAAGAAAGCAAGACAGGACAAAGAGGAAAACATGTTAGGAGAGTCAGATGGTAATGCAGTAGACCAGAGACCTCCATAATATACAATTCCTTGGTCCTTGATCAAGTATTGATCCCGGTGAGCCTGCGGGAAAGAAGTGCTCCAGAAGGATCATTGCATATGGGAACTGAGGGGAATGGGCCCGTCGGATGATTTGACTATGTCAGACCAATTGACTGAGCCACAGTTTCGCCTGGCCTGCAGTATTGATTTAGTCTGAGCAAGATGTTGTCGTCAGCTGGTTTATGGAAATGATAAGTGGATTGGATAAACGACGTCAATGACGCGGGGCCATTTGACAACTACCGGTTGATTGAGGGTTTCAGTTATCATCAATACCTTGTGGCAAGAGTCGTTCTTGATTTACGACATCTTCTAACCATGGATCGAAGTGTTGGTGGTTAGCACACATGGCTATCGTCTGTCCTTGATCAAGTTCATTTTTTGTATGATGAAGTCAATCGACTCGGACCTGCTTGGCAGTGGTGGTCAATAAGGATTCAGGAACGGCCGGGTCTACAGGCGTGACATGACAAGCCATGTGTGGAATCATATCATTGTAACCATTCTGCTGAGTGCGTCTCACAGCGTAGAGATTCTTTGCAGGGTGCGGAAATGGTAAGAACAGTGATAGGATTGTTAGAGAGGAGATACGAGTCATATTCGAAGAACAATTAGCTAAACAATTGAGGTCACAAATATCATCAGCCTTGAGAAGAATGTGGACTACCTCCAATAAAACAGGATACGGATCGAAGGGCATCTGAAGTAGTGTTGCCGCGGCTCAGCTTATCTCGGCTTAACGCCGAAGTCGGTTTTGAGCTGCTGAGGATAGAAGGGTAGGAGGAACAAGAACACAGTTTCGGTTAATACCAATAAGTCTCCTGAGTGAATGAAAACATCAAAACACCTGTCATTTTGCACGTTGGTGCAGTCAGAGCAAACAGCTCAAAACCGACTTTGGCGTTAAGCTGAGATAAGCTGAGCCGTGGCAACACTAATCTGAAGGGAGGGGTCCCAAGATTGAAAACGTTCCGAAAGAGCTGCAGCGCAAATCCTTTGGATGACAGTAATGACGAAAACCCTGACAGTGAGAAACGGTTGGATACTGCCGTTCGGCCCATCAGAGAACTTCAGCTGCGAGAATGTGAGAGGCTTTCTATGTGCAGGAATTGGCATATTGAGATAAAACGAAAAATTGCGGCAGAAGATTTCTAGATCATTGGAGAATTGCAATCGTAGATAAAATTTTGGTAGTACATGCTAAGAGACATACATTGAGTATGAAGAAGACAAAAAAAGGACGAATAAACTAGAGAGAGGGAACCTTGACAACGATCAAGAACTCATGGCCTTCGAGCAGCTCACCCAAGGGCCACGATCCTGACGATGCAACATGTGCTTTCAGAACAGCCAGTGGCTCATCACGATTGACATAAAACTTTGTATCGATGGAAGAGATTGTCCCAGCAATGGGCCGTTCCTCAAAAAGCAATCCCCGAAGTTGAGCATCCTTGAGGTAATCCACCGGCGTTGCCGATAACATACCCGGAGTGTTATGACGGATGAAGTCAAGATCAATATTGTTGATCCAATGACGATCTGTGAAGTAGAAAAAGAGCCGGTCAATAATGCCTGGTAGTCACCAGAGCACTAGAGCTCACCTCCAATTGCTGATAAAGCAATACAAGCCCCAGGATGAGAAGAAACCAATCCAAATGCAGAGGAACCTGATCCGTTACGTAGCATGTGGAGAAGCATCGTTGCGATTCCTCTGCGACGATGTTTTGAATGTACCACGAGCTGTGTAACCCAACTAACAAGTCCTAGAGAACGGAGCGGAAATTCAGTTTCCAAAAATTGTTTGCTATCCATGTTATACCATTACTGTAGTTCCACTGAGTCGCAAAGGCATGGCCGACAAGGGTACCGTCATTAAGGGTGCAAAGCGCAAGAGTTGTATGTGCTGGGTCACTGAGACATAGTGCTCATACTTTGGAAGCCGACAATTTCACATGTCCGCCTGAAGAGGAAGGATTTTCAATCATATATTTGAATATCAGAGCTTTCCTTTGATGGGGGAAGAGGGGGGAAGAGGTACAGCGTATTCAGCGATACATACCAGGTTTCAAATGAGGATTTTGCTCGGCAGCCCGACTACTCCAAACTCCGTAGTGTGCACCAAATAGGTCAGTGCATGCTGCGACATGAGCATCGGTAATATCGACGCCCTTTACCACGCTGAAATGTAGGTCGGACATGGAAGAAAGACTGAAAGAAAGGTTGGAAGCAGTGAAACAGAAATGGCGACGCATTGCCTATTTTGTGATGTTTGGCTTTGTATACCGGTGGCATACCCAGGAGTGGACACGGATCCTCCTATCCTTCCTGATTCTATCTCTAAAAAATGAGCAGGGAGCACCGTGCCATGCATTGATGAATATGGGCGTGCTGCACGGCTCGTTGTTTCACTGCTTGCACCTTCCCAACGAGATTACTCAGTATTACTTTTCCATCAGCTATCGTAGCCGACGGCTATAAGAGTGTACCCATATTACTAACATTCTGAAGATTCAGAAATGGCGAGCGATGGCGGGATCTGACCTCACTTGGCATTCGCCTCCGAGGTAAGGCGCTCTTCATCGTTTGCATACTCTCCACCTATCTACCATCTACCACCATCATCTTTTGCAGATAGAATGCAGAAAGGATATGTTACTCTGGCTTCACCAATCTCTTGCTATCCTGCGAGATAATCATGGTTCGGTCTGCCCGACTAGATTACTCAGGATTAGTACTTTTCCTTGACTCAGCCATTGCTGCTGATGCCTTTGTCAGAAATCTGGGAAACCCTGTGAGATTTCAAATTTTGCCGGTCTATTAGACCTGTGACCAGTCCCTACATGAGCAAGCGTCGATGGTAGGGACCTGTACGGCTGAGTTTGAATTCCCTTTGATAAATTTAGGGAATTGCCGGATCCCAAAAAGGTCAGAGAAGGGGCTTCCATATTTAGGTTTTACTGGTGATCGTATCGATCTCGACGCGTTTCGACGCGTTTTCTTTGTTTACCACCATCTCGTTTCTTTGTTGAATGCACTGTTACCATAAATCACCAAATGGGAACAATATCTGGTTCTAAAACTATCTTTGAATCTCTCGACGACATCAGGAACGCTGGCTTTGATGATCTCTCTCAGTACATCACCCATTTTGTTGATGCGGATCGCGTTCCATCAACGTACATCTCTACGCTTTCACCAGACCAACAGATCATCTGCTACCATCTCTTTCTCTTGGCTTACCTTGTGACCTGTGGAAGGGAGGCACCTAGAGAGATGCAGCTTCGAGCAGCATTAGCCTCGTATGAAAGAAGGGACTCGGCGGTTATTGCAGGGACAGGGTCGGGAAAAACCCTTATCATTGCTCTTCTCATCTTGTCGGACCATCCTTCGAATGGCGTCACCATCACGATATCCCCTCTGAAGCGCCTTCAATTGACCCAGGTACGTAACATTAGCTGCTTGACAACCGTAATTGGAGCTCATATTGCGGACTACGTAGGCGAGAGACTTTGTTATGAAGTACAAGATCAATACTATTGCAATAAATGATGATACTTCACGGAATCAGTCATTCTGGGATGTACGGTGACCTTCTGTTATATTTATATACTCAAATTTACGATGTTCGACAGAATTCCGAGTCCTATGTATATAGGATACTCGGTTATTATGCTGTCCTGAACTAACCGTGGGAAAGAATCTATTTGGGGTATCAATCCATCACGGCATTTGCCGACTTTGCTACCTGAGCAAACCGTGGGAATATTTCTATTCGTTCACGGCAATTGCCGTCCTGGCTGCCTGAGCTCATCGTGGGAACCTTTTCTATTTGTTCGCTTCCTCTTTTCCAACTTCTTCGCTAACTTTATTTCTGATTTGAACAGTCACCACGATGATGGCGCCAAAGCTCGCTGTTGGCTACAGTGAGCTCTTTGCTGTTTCTTTTGTTTTTAATCTTACTCGGGGTTGGTTCAAGGTCCTCTCGTGTACCCCGGCGTCGAGCAATGAGCTCAACATTCAAATGGTAAGTGAATGGTTAGGTTTGGTTAGCAAGCATTTAACGAGTAAATTTCCAGAGCCTTAGCTTTCTCTTCAATCCCTCTTTTGACTTGTACAGGCTCGTTTCACCAAGGTAAGCCGTACTTTACAATCCTTCAATTTGAGCTAACACTTTGCTTGTCATTCTCAGGCGATGATATGCAATAGAATGGGGCAAGCATCTTTGTTCGCTACGACACAATAGGATGACAGCTGTAAGGTAATGGTAGGAAGTTCGGATACCGGTGCGTGGCTTATTTCTTGCCTCTTTCCCTGCTAACGTGCCATCAGATATGCTAGGATTTGGCTCGTTGCACGTAAACGAGGCTGATGGATGGGATGGACAAGACCTTGCTGGAATTTCAAGGATATTTGAAGATAGCGGCAATACGGTCATCGGTAAGTCTTCGTTTTTTCTATTTCCCATTCTTTAGACTCATTTGCCTCGTCGTGTAGTTCATTTACTCACTTTATTCTATCAACTATAGTAGCTATAGGCGCAAGCTATGCCTCTCGATAGTCCCATCACGACAAGAACACCTTACACAGTGAGGTTGCAGGTACCAGGTGCATAGTACCATGTTTCTCAGCTCAGCTCGTTGTTCGCTAACAAGTCCTTTGTTGATGTAGCCCTTTTCCATGCACGAGTGTGCTCCTCGACTGTCACACGAATGTGCATCATGAAGTCTGATGGGATGCTGATGGATGGGGTACATATACATGGTGAGTTCATGTCCTTCCTCGCGTATCTCGTGTTCCTGATGTTCTGCCAGTGTGAAATTTATGTTGGGTCCTCGCTCGTACACGATGGCGGGCTCAACAACTAGTTCTTGAGCAGATCATAGGTAAGGTAAGCTTTTGCTTCGTTAGCGACTCGGTAACTGATCCTTAATCTAGTTTCAATTTTGCGCTTGGATCCTTTCTCAGTGCCTAACTCGCCCTCCAGTCGCTCAAATGAACCGGAACCACAAGTTAACGAAACGGGTACAGGCCTTTACGTGGGCTGAGTGAACGAAGAAGTGGGGATCGCCTTTGCTAGGTCCCTTTCTGCTTCTTTTTCCTTTCTGTGCGCTAACACGGTATCTACTACTACTAGGCTGGGCTGTTATATCATCTAACACGACGGCTACTTTTCATTAAAGAATCCTACGGGTTGAGGCGGATGTACCGGTGCCTCGTTGGCATGCCATTCATGGACAGCGAAAGGTAGTATATTCATAGTAAGGATTCCCTGTCTTGTTTCGCCTTTGTTTGACTAACTTGTTTTTGCTCAGAATATAGGCTGCGTATTATTTATGTACTAGGGTACGCACCATTATCTTTCAACTCGACTGGAATACTAACCCCTTGTTCTAGCATAAATGATATATATTCTTGCTTGTTAATTCAGGGTAAGCGACCGTATTTGCAGGCCTTAATAGGAAGCTAATACTCTGATTAGATGTCTGACCTGCCGAGTCAAGGAGGCGAAGTGGTATAGATGAGTCTGACACATTGTATTTTCGTACACATTCGTCACGGTTATTAGTCCATGATTTCAATTATTATTGTTGTTTTTCTTTTACTTTCTATGTAAAACAAAACAAAACATAGGACTCGGATTTGCCACGCAGATGCGTTGGCCCTCACCAACTAGTACGATATTTAATAGCAAAACCAAGACGCCGGGAACTGTCAAGCACTTCATTGTAACTACGGAACAAATGTTCAAATCCAAGGAAGGATACCTCACACGATTTGGTCATCTCATCCGGACGCTGGCATTTCGGAAAACAATCAGGCGTGTTTTCGTAGACGAGGCTCACTTCATTTATTTCGCTGGTACTCCACGGTACAACGTTCCCGCATTCCGACCATCCTGGGGTCGCTTGAATGAGATAAAAATACTCCTTCCCTCCATTCCTTGGCAGGTATTAACAGCGACGTCGCCACCTCATGTTCTCTCGGTCATTGAGACTGCTGTCCTGAAGCCCAACTATGAGCTTATTCGTATCACAAGCAACCGGCCGAATACTATATATGCGACCCATTGCATGGTCAAAAGCCTCGATGTTATGGAGAACTACGACTGCTTTCTGCCTTCCCCCTTCGATATCAAACTCCAAAAAAAAATCCTTCTCTTTTTCAACGATCGAAATCTTGGCCGCCGTGTTGCCAGCTATCTGAACGGGAAGCTCCCAGAGAATCTGAAGTCGCAAGATCTAATCAAACACTATGACAGCATTATGTCTCCTCAGTATCTCGAAAAATATCATTCTGACTTTGCACGAGAAGATGGGAAGTGCAAAATTCTTTGTGCAACGTCTGCCGAAGCAGTGGTATGTCTCCATAGTCTGTTTCGATGGCATGAACTGATGTCAAATTCTAGGGCATCGACTTTGCCGACGTGGACATTGTTGGATATATGGGTATACCACAGGATGAATGTGACGATCTTCAACGAGGTGGGCGAGTTATACGAAGAATGGGTAAGATCGGTCTTTATGTGATTTTCTATGAGCCCTGGGTGCTCGACGTCGACATCAAGGACTTTGACAATCCATTAATGGACGAGAAAGACCCCGACAGACCTCGAGCGCCATTGAAACCAACATCAAACAAGAAAGAACGAGCTGCGCTTTCAGCAATACGACTCATTCAAGGTCATGAGCCGGTATGCATTCGAGAATTCAAAGCAAAGTATTTAAAAGACGATGCACCTGATGGTATATTATTCTTGCTGCTGCATTACTCAGTAGAGCTAACGTTTTAATAAGCTCTGCACTACTTCGCTCCCTTCTGTTGCGACCGCCATGGTAATGGATTTGAGCTGCAAGATTTCCTTCCTGGCCCAATCTACAGGCCGCATACGGAGACCAGTACATCCAAGCGCAAGCCAGTTCGGGGAAAGTACCGACTTCCCAAAGCTCACCGCGTTATCCTGCAGCAGCACCTTGAAGACTGGCGCCAGATGGAACATGAAGCGGACGTCCTGAAGTCAGTCCGGCCACTTCGATCATTTGACGAGAGGCACCAGTCGCTGAAGCAAAGAGACCAAGTATGACCTGTAGCTTACTGCAGGTCTGAGATCGCAAATGCAATGCTTGAGCTGTTATAATATTATGGCCCTTGAAGAAACTGCGTCAGAGGAAAGAACGAGACAGAATGTGGATCTTAAAGCCTACAAGAGTTGGATCACGGCGCGAATTTTTCACTTGAGCGTTGCTACTCTGTGTCGCCGCATTCAGTACTGCATTCCACATCGGCATATGAACATGTGCGTCTGTCATCTCTTCGTGAAAAGACCATGTGGTGACAAATTCAGGTGTAACTTGATTTGAATACATGAAGAACCGACGCTTCACATGGTCAAATTCAACAGAGACCTTCTTCGCAACGAGTTCCGCTGCTACTGGTTCCATCCATTCCACAACACGATGATGGATCTGGTCATGATTCCAGAGTGCGTCAAGGAGCTCAGGAATCTGTCGCGAGGATGCACGATATAGACCTTGCTGATATGAGAAGAATTCGCCCTCGGTGATAAGAGTTTTGAGAAAGTCAACGGGAGTCAGTGAGATGGAAGACAAATATTCCTTCGCAAGTCTTGTCTTTTCAGCTTCAGTTCGCCGTGGCGCTCTACATGGCAGTCCATCCAGAGCAGTACGCGTATTTGAATCGAAATTGCCAGCATGAAAAATGCTTCCGAATAATCTTGGTTGTCCAGGGAAGAAGATAAACCGACTTCATCATTTGATTGGGAAGCAAGGATGGGAAACGGCGGTGCAAGGGTCGGCAATGATGGCGGTGGCATGGTATGCAGAGAGGAGTTAGATGACATGCATATATGCGGTGATTCAGACTCGAAGGTCGCATAAATATCTGGCAATACGGGTGAAAGGGGACTGAATGGCTCGATATTTTGAGACCCGTGAAAATCCATTGGAGTGTGTGAAATTGGAGTAGCGAGCAGCAGAGATTTAGGTGCATCAAAAGAAACATCAGACACAGAAGAGCCAGAGCCAAAGCTCGAGTCAGGCGGGGGGAAGTATGGGATAGGATGGGATGGCGTTTGAGGTGTATGAAGCCCATCAAACACAAGTACTGAACTTGTGCCGACTGAGCTTTGCGATGCAAAATCAGATGAGACTGAGAACATAGAGGAAGGGTTATGCTCGTTTCGCCTTTTTCTAGTCTTGGATTTGTCGTTCGTCGCAGTTTTGGCCTTTCTGGGTCCCTTGAGATGCACTGGCTTCGTGTTAATGATGCCAGAAGAAGTTTCGCTTGGAGTTTGAAGTTGAGAGGACATGTCCAATGAGAGGGGGGTGTAAAATACACCGGAGAAAGATTTGGATCGATTTCTATGGCTGGCAGACATGACGGACAGGAAAAATACACGAAAACGCGTCGAAACGCGTCGAGATCGGTACGATTACCAGTAAAACCTAAATATGGAAGCCCCTTCTCTGACCTTTTTGGGATCCGGCAATTCCCTAAATTTATCAAAGGGAATTCAAACTCAGCCGTACAGGTCCCTACCATCGACGCTTGCTCATGTAGGGACCGGTCACAGGTCTAGCGGTCTATAAAGCCGTGGACTAACAATCTGTTAGGACAGTATTCAGTGACCATGGCCCCCAAACTTTTCCAGCCAACCAAAGTCGGCCTGGTATCCCTCAACCATCGCGTTGTTTTGGCTCCTCTCACGCGTTTCCGTGCATCGAACGTGCATATACCCCATACTCGCATAGTGAAAGAGTACTACGAACAACGTGCTCATACCCCCGGGACCCTTCTGATCACCGAAGCTACGTACATCGCTGAAAGAGCAGGAGGATACAACAATGCTCCGGGAATTTGGAATCAACATCAGATAGACGCGTGGAAAGAGGTGCGAGACCATCAATCCGTTCTCCTGGTCTTATGCTCATAAAGAAATAGATCACGGATGCCATCCACGCAAAAGGTTCATACATATTCTGCCAGCTGTGGGCTCTAGGCCGGTCAGCAGATCCGAAATTACTGGCGTCCAAGGGTCTACCAACGTCTCTGCATCTGACGTCCAATTATCATCTGAAACTGTCGCCCCTCGTCCGTTGACTATCGAAGAAATTAAAGAATACGTCGAGTTATATGCGCAGGCTGCTCGGAATGCTGTCAGTGCGGGATTTGACAGAGTGGAGATTCATGGAGCCAACGGTTATCTTTTGGACCAGTTTACACGGGACGTGACGAACAAACGGACTGATATGTACGGAGGTAGCATCGAGAACAGGGTTCGATTCCCATTAGAGGTTGTGGATGCTGTTGCTGAGGCCATCGGGCCAGAGAGAGTCGGTTATCGCATCAGCCCGTGGAATCATCCCAAAGGTATGCACTTTCGTGCCTGTCTCATAGGTCCTTTACTCAGCGGAATTGCCAGATACGACGATGGTCGACCCGAAGCCTACATTCGGATACCTGGCATCGCAATTAAAGGCACGACAGCCTCGGTTAGCATACCTGCATGTTGTGGAGCCGAGAATGCTTTGGATGGATGACCGGAAGGATGAGGAGATCGGGGTGGATGAGGAGAACGATTTCATTCGGAGTGTCTGGTCTCCGAAGCCGCTGATATCGGCTGGAGGGTATCATTGTCAATCTGCTATCGATACTGCGGAAGATAAAGGAGACTTGATTGCTTTTGGAAGGCACTTTATTGCGAACGTATGGTTTTTCCTCTTCTCATGTGATCAATCACTCAATAGTTGCATTTTTAGCCCGACCTTGTGTATAGACTGGAGAAGGACATTAAGCTCAACCCCTATGATAGAAAAACGTTCTACCTTCCTGGTGAAATTACGCCAACAGGATACACAGACTATCCGTTCGCTGAGGATTATACTGTCAGGCCATTATTATAGATGTATGTACCCTCTTGCTTGAGGTAATAGCTTTGCGTTGATCCACTCTCCGAAGTATTAGTTTATCTTATATCAGTTAATACCAACAACAACATTTGTTCGAGCCACCACACAGCCAACAGGGTGCCGTTTTTCCCAAGAAATCTGACCATCTCGGATGAGTAGGTACATACACGTCATGTACAATTCCCCGCACTTTTTTGAATCCGTGAATCGATGCAATCCACACCCCAGAAGGGTATCCTGGACAACGCAAATCCCTCTCGTCTGCTCCAGTTCGTCGTTTCGACCTGTCATTGGCTTCCCGTCAAGTCTCCGATTTTGCACGACTGCAGCGACAATGACAATTAATAGGACTAACCTAACAATTGCATCAACATGGACGATTTTTCCGCTGTGAACTCACCTGGCCGGCATGAACATGCACCAAGTATGTGGCCCGTTCCTCCTACTAGTCTCGCTTCATTGCACATTCTACACATCCTAGAGGAGTATCACTGAAGCAGTCGCAACCGATTCAGTGTCAATCATTTTGACAGCGGTAGATGGCTTATTGTCCGTCTGTCCTCATGGACGGCTTGGCTGCTGCAGCTGTTTTCTCCGTCCTGCTTTTCTGGATAGACCAGTCAGCAGGATGACCTTGATGCAAAGTAACGTTCGTGGTATCTCTTCACAGGACCTCCGGAGAATATCTTCCGAGCCAGTCAGCTGGGAGACGGCTTTGCTTGATCCTTTGCGATGGAGCTATGGTATTTGTCTCCGGCGGGTCTCCAACAAGTCTCGCCAGGTCTCGGGGAAGTTGAAGGACTTTACGCATGTCCTGATCTAGTGGACGGGGCGAAAATTAATTGATTGTAGCAACCCGCAGTAAGCCAAGCCGACAAGGATTCTCCGGGGAGGTCTTATTACCTGTAACATTGTCTCAATCTATTCGAGCTGGAAGCGGGACCAATATTGTTAGGATGGATGGAATAACGAGGTAGCCATTGAACTTTATCTATTGTTAAAGCGAACTGAGTTCTCGTACAGATTCACCTGTTTTGTTCAATTTCTCATCTGTAAGAACACGACAGGATACTTCGAATAAGATTAACACAGATCTCCCGGAGAACAATTTCCGGTGGCGCGCGGACTCGGCCAGGATATTCAGGATCGATGCCAAGTTGAAAACCAGCCTAGAGAATGGATCGATTGACATACATTCACCGAGCTAATTTTCCGTACTGAGCGTATAAAAGGTAGAGGGCTTCAATCGGTAGGCCAACCAACTATTCTTTCTCTCACTATCCTCACAACAGTCATAGCAGAATGATTTTCCAAACCTTTGTCATTGTTGCACTCCTTGCAGTCGCAAACGCGCGTCCCAACCGTCGGGCAGCCAGCTGCACGTTCCCCACCCCGCCTTCAACGAGCAGTCTTTCCTCGCCCAAGACCATCGAAGCGGGCGAATCGTTCGATGTCAGTCGAGTGGTCTAGTTGCATGCCCCGACACCTTGCTAATGTTTCGTAGGGCGGAAACGTCAGGTTCGACCGAGGAGACGGTGCGTGTGAAGGACAAACAGAAACAGGCGATGATGCTGCTGTCTTCCTTCTTGAGGAGGGCGCGAGTCTGTCGAATGTCGTGATTGTATGTAGCTTCCATTCTGGCTGCTGTTGATTTCGTTTGACGCGTTCGTAGGGAGCGGACCAATCTGAGGGTATTCACTGTCTCGGATCGTGCACATTGACCAATGGTAGGTGATCGTATTATCGTCTCCTTTTTGCGATCCTCTAACGCGAGTTATGCAACAGTGTGGTTCGGTAAGGAGTTGTAGTGTCTATGAATGCAAGCATACTTATATCGGCTCTTCGCCATGGTAGAGGATGTTTGCGAGGTATGTGGAAGCTAGTATGTTGTTTGTGTACTGTTACTCAGTCTGCTCACAGGATGCGATCACGATTAAACAAACATCCGGAACGTCCACGATCTCAGGAGGAGGAGCCAAAGGTGCTGACGACAAGGTCATCCAGCATAACGGAGGTAAGTGCGCCACTACCTGACCCAAAGCGACAATAGTGATAAAAATATTATCAGGTGGAACGGTTGCTATTGATAGCTTCTGTGTACGGGATTTTGTTATACTGCATGTTTGGATTTTGTCTTATTCATCACCATCACACTAGGTCGAAGACTTTGGTAAGCTTTACAGGAGCTGCGGCAATTGCGACGAGTACGTCATTATTTCGAATCACAGTAACGTTCAAGTCGCTCATTTACATTTGATACTTAGCATGTACGAACGGGTGAGTAGTGCAATGCCTACTCATCCTTGGTCGCGTTTTAACGTGATATGGAACCACACAGCACTCGACATTCTCCAACATTATCGCTACCGATGGAAGCAGCCTTGCTGGAATCAACTCTAACGTGAGCTGATAGGACTCCTGTTTAGTTATACCCTCGGCTAATTCCTCTTTTTTAGTACGGAGACACTGCCATCTTCGATATGGAGTAAGACTTGATCTTTTCAAATTCTTCATTGGCTAATCTTGATTATTAGTACCATTGAGACGGACAACGTTGACAGCATTTGCGATACCTATCAAGGCAATGACGATGGCGATGAACCTACCAAGTTGACCTCTAATACTTCCAATGACTACTGTCAGTTCTAGTCGGTCTGCTGTGATACATATCGCTTCAGCATATTCTGCTCTTTGTCACGGTTCCATCCATGAAATGTTATCTCATTTTCTGTCTTCCGCGTGAATATTAGTTTTCTCCGATAGTCCCTGTAACAATGACCTCAAATTCGCACCTGCTACGGCGAGGTAGGGGTCTACTAGCTGTGCAGTCTCTCTTTAAGAAGACTACTGGAGAAGATGTAATGGCATCTCGATTGAACAAGATTTTTAGGTCACAATGTTCTGTATCAAAGCTACATTATACGAATTAGGCTCAGAGTACGAGATTTCCGTTGACTTCAGTCTCTTCTCCATTCAATATGGTCCGCGAAATCTACAAAGGCAAATCTATCTTCGAGTGAAAGGCAAGCTGATTAACCTCGGTCCGCGTTTGTGATGGTATAACCCTACGAACGACCGAACCGTCCATTGACCCTCTGGATCTGATATGTTTTCATGAATCTCAAACAGTCATGTGACCGCGTCATTGGAGCGTAGTAAACTATATAGCTGATTACAGCGCTTCCGGAAAATAATGAGAATCGCCGGAAATGACGTCGTCATGTTTGCCGCGTGAAACTACCTTGTAAATACTCTTTTGGGTATATACATTGTTGAACCATTAGCCCCTGAGCCGTCCAAGAAGAAGAGACGTCGCCAAATGTGTCGAAGGGTTATGACCAAACCGAGTAAATATATCAGACTAATCAGTCGATGTAACTGATGACGCCATTTTCTCTCATTCCCATTATTTTCCGGAAGCGCTGTAAAAATTTGAAATGCATCTGGGCTCTTATTTTATTTAATGATAGCGCCATAAAAAAGCGATGCCCAGAGCAGCGGCATTTATCTCCCTCTTACTCAGCCCGATGGCGACATCAGAGTTTGTCAGCCGATAAGTATCATATAAGTAAGGGAAGTACAGGGGGTTTCTGCTCCCTTGAAACAATGTCTTCGAAGCTCTTCCAGCCCGTTAACGTAGGCAACCTCGCGTTGAAGCACCGCGTAGTGCTAGCCCCTCTAACGCGTCTTAGGACAACACCGTCCGGCGTACCACACACGAAAATCGTGAAGGAGTATTATACCCAGCGCTCGCATGCGCCAGGTACGCTGCTCATCAGCGAGGGTACTTTCATTGCTCCAAAGGCTGCTGGGATCCCGCATCTCCCTGGCATATGGAGTCAGGAGATGATCGCTGCATGGAAACAGGCTCGTACTTCTCACGTATAATTGCCATATGATCCATCCTTATTCACCTTATCCAGGTAACGGATGCGATCCATGCGAAGGGTTCATTCATCTTCTGCCAGCTATTTGGCGCAGGGCGCAGTGCAGACCCCAAAGTCCTCGCGGCAGAGAACCCTCCCTTGTCCTATGTCTCCGCCTCCGCCATTCCGCCATCTGACAGACCCAGCGACGTACCACGCCCATTGACTGTCGACGAGATTCACGAGTATACCCAGTTATTCGTCCAGGCTTCTCTGAATGCTATCGAAGCGGGGTTTGACGGTGTGGAGATCCACGGTGCCAATGGGTACCTCCTGGACCAGTTCACTCAGGACGTCTCAAACCATCGGACGGATGAGTATGGGGGGAGCATTGAAAATAGGACCAGGTTCCCATTGGAAGTTGTTGATGCCGTTGTCAAGGCTATCGGAGAGGAGAGGACAGGGTATCGCGTCAGCCCGTGGAATACATACCAAGGTGCTGCACTCACCTTTCTCTCCGCCTTTCTCTCCAAACTGACTAGATACCACGGTCTAGATATGACAATGGCCGACCCGAAACCGACATTTTCGTACCTCACTAATGAGATTAAGCGAAGATACCCCAACTTCGCGTACCTGCATGCTGTGGAGCCTCGAGTTGTTGGAACAACGTTCCGGGACGAACACGAAATCAAACCGCAGGAGGAAAATGATTTCCTTCGTAAAATATGGGCCCCAAAACCGTTCATTTCCGCTGGCCACAGCAGGGAGACAGCCATTGAGGCGGCAGATCAGAAAGGCGACTTGGTGGCCTTTGGAAGACAGTTCATTTCCAACGTAAGCTGCTACCTCCTGTTGGTTTCCAGAATGTTTGCTAAACATAATTTGAACAGCCTGACTTGGTTCAGCGTTTAGAGCAGGATTTGCCGCTCAATCCGTATGATAGGGCTACCTTCTATATTCCTGGTGATGTCGCAAAGGGGTATACCGACTACCCATTCTTGAATTAGGATGTTTAGAAATATCGACAAAGAATGGCTACTTATCAGTACTTCAGTACTTTCAAGGACGTGCAGATTTTAATCTCTTGGTGTGATAGTGATAATTTGTAATCGAATAGATCTAAGACTCGAGAGCTAGGATGGGAGCTGATACGACCACGTGATTTACTGTGCATTAACTGCCATATATAACCAATCCTGTCATCCTGTAGAGTGAACATTGACCGTACCACCACCACCATGAACATCCCAAAGCAGACAAACAATAATAAATAAACAGCGATTACGCTGATACCATTTTATTATAATTATCGCTATAGATCAACTATAGATACCTTTTTTTTGAGTATTTGTGGTTAGTAAGAGAAGGATAAGAGAGAGAACTAACTAACTAACTATGGATACAGCATAGAGATAATAAATACGGAGAGATTTCTTGGTACATTTCGTTTCTTGTCAGTGCATAAACATGTTGAAGTTCACAATATCGTCCACCCATCCCGAAGCGTCGTCATCGTCATTAATTTCTGGTAGGGGCGCGATATCGTCCAAGTTGCCAAAGTCCGATGTGAATTCCTCGGTCCCAAAGGAAAGAAAACTGTCGGCAACAGAAATATCGGTCGGGGGCCCCCAAAGAATATTTGAAGGGTCGACGCTTGCTTTGAAGCTAGCCTGAGGGCCACTCAGCAAGTAGTGGGGAGGCAAAGCAGTCCCGTCAGCGAAGTCGTACTAGAACAAAGAGACCGTCAGTATAAGTCTCATACGAAGAGAACATTCTAACGAACCTGAGCTACGGGTGGAATGAGGTGCGAGGGAGGTGGAGCACTATCAAGGCGTGCCTCTACACCCTGTATGGGCCATACAAGGACTGGAATAGCGATTGGAGCTACCGTGAACTCTGGCTCGCGGGTCACAGGAGTAGGTGGGATGTAAGGAACGAAGTTAGCCTCCAGGGCTACGGTCACGGTCCCCTCTTCCGCATCCTTCTTGCCTTTCCCGCGTTTCTGCTTCCTCTTCCCCGACTCGGGATGGTACTTGTAGCCGGGGTACAGTTCCTGATGTTTCTTCTCCGCTTCGCGGGCCAACTCTCCGTACACCTCCTTTTGCTTCTCTGTCAATGATTTCCAGTGCCTCCCGACGTGAGTGCTAAAGTCATTGGAGGTATATGCCTTGTCTGGGAATCGAGTGTTCAGTTCTTGAGTACACTCGGAGCGAAACAAGAAGAATGGGTTGGGGGGACGGGGGATATGGGCAGGTGTAGAAAGACGAGAAACTTTGTGTTTACGGCGAGACGCTTTCAAGCGCGAACGTTCCCGCAGCGTGAAACCAGACTGCAGTATAGCATCGACGATGCTCGACACCAGCAAGCCTCTACCTATTATGAATGATCTAGGGGTTAGATATTGAAAACATAGAGTCAACATTCATCTCACCGACCGCGTCGCCCGCGACGACCACCTCCTGGGACAAACGTTCGGATCGAATGGACGTAGTCGAACGAATAGGAGCCATAGAAGCGTGTTTTTCAACAAGAAGAAGTGTGAACGCGAGTTTACAAGGAATGCCAGATGCGTCTACCTGGAAGAGAGGAGGGAGAAAGGATGCATATTGGGCTCAGCTTTGTCTATGGCGGCGTATTTCCTAAAACGCGCAAAAACGTGAGCGTAGGAACTTTAACCCGGGTTACCAGCGCCCCATGTACGCCTCGAGGCATCAAAGTGGCTAAATGGCGTCATTTCCTCGCACATGGTCAAGGACAGCCCGAATGCGGTAGGTCAATTTGACTTCACATCACTCTTTCGCAAGGGTAGCAGAGCTGACATGTACTCTTGGATGGTTGGTTACTGAATGTAGCGTTAGGACCGTCTGGTATTCTGATATACGAGCGAGAGAACTTACTAGGGCTTTTTGAATAACGGTTGTCTGCCAATACTTGGGCACAGAGGAAAGTCCTCATTGTCCGCTAAAACTAGTCATGTTGCCTCCAAATAGATTTGCGTCGTTCTTATTTCTTCTAGGTCAGACGTGCCATATATCATGACGCCAGAAAGGTCGTCGATCCAGAGATCGAGTCTGCAGTTTGCAAAGCCTATAGATTATGGGAAGATGGGATTAAATTCAATAATTTACCATCCCATTAAACCATGTACGGCCCATTCGTAGACACCTAGGAAGACAGCACCACCAGCCGATATCCACAACGTCCGTGGGACGGCACCAGCAAAGAGAGCCTTCATGCCCTCTGTCGTATAGATAGTTTTCATTCTAGCTAGAAGTGAAGGCAATTGTTCTTCCGAGTTCTGCAACTTGCTCAGAAAGAGAAGGTGTAGGAAAAGCAACAAGCGCTTACCCGTAGGTCGAGCATAACTCGGGTTTTTAGCACATCAAGCGGTGTTGTCAAAGCTGCAGCGACACCACCAGCAATACTCCCACATACGGCAGCTTCATGAGCATACAAGGGTTTTCGATGAACAATTTTAGATAGCCGTAGCTTCAAAAGTTCGTACAACGGAAACTGGATGGAAGTAAACGGTATCTACAACAACACATCAGCAACCAACAAAACAGAATCAACAAAACGCTGACCTCTCTCATAACAGTAATACCAAATCCGCGGTAGAACCCCCGGAGGCCGTCGTCCGCTAGAACACGCTTAGCTGCACCCCACGATTGCGCAGCACCGTAGCTTCCTGTTTGTGTACGTGTCTTGATAACTTCTGTCGGTACACGAATCAAGCAGGCTGCCTGTAAACGTGAGCCATGGGAAGCGTAACCGAAGAACGAGAACGGCCGTACCACTTCGCCCACAGAAGCTGATATCATGTGTGCAAGAGGTCCCTGGAATGGGAGAACCTGCTTCATCGTGTCGTACGTGGAGAAAAACGCCGCGGCTGTTTCTGCGTAAATATCGCGATAGTACAAACATCATAGCGCTCACCTCCTGGCGCGCTGCCTACCGCGACGCTTCCAACACCCTTATATACTCCTGTAAATCCTCCAGCTCGCGTAAATCCCTGAGCAGATTGCAGACGCGTTTTCAGCGTGTCGATAGGGAAAAATAGAAGATCCACGGAGGTCCCAGCGAGTCCGCCTGCCTTGAAACGGTAAATGGTCACTCAAAAAATGACAGAAACGAGACATACGATGAGAGACTGCAGGAAGGTGGGTGGTTGGTCACCGACCATGGTGGTTGAGAAGGAACGAGGACATCGGACCTTTCGGACTCAACACGCTGCAAAACCCCGGTCCGCCGAAACAAATCCGAAGAGATTAACCAAAATAAATAAATGAATAAATAATCATTTTACACAAGATATCCTCTAACTGGTATACGGTAGTATACAAATATTACAGTACTTCTCATACATATCCCTATACTGGAACTCACATATATCAAGCTATTACGCGACTGAAGGATTTGGTCCAAGCTTCAGAATCACCCTAGGCAGTTTCTTCGTTGGCTCGACCCCATTTGATGAGGACGAAGATGAATCGCCGTCACCGGCCGCTACTGGTAGCGATGCTCTTCCCTTCCTTACCGGAGATTTCTCCTTCTTTGCTGGCGAACCGCCACCTGCAGGTGAAGCACTACCACTCGCCTTCTTCCGTTCTCTCAACGTCATTGACATGGGAGGCGTCACTCCAGACACTTTGATCATCTTACTCTCCAGCGACGCAAACAATCTTGCAGCTTTCTCTACCCACGGCTCAACGGGACCCGGAGCTCCACGTCGTTTCTTAGTGGCCTTTTCCAGCTAAGAGATAGTCCATCAGCACCCGCGAAACACGTAAAAGCACAAGCAACTAACCGCGACGAGGTTGTCCAAACTCCACCAATCCTCCTGCACTGTTCCTGGCGGTAAATCAGCCAGGCCCAAAATATGAGCGAATGTCGCGCTCGTCAACGCTCGGTCACTATATCCGCCCTCCAAGACACTGATGATACGTCCGCCCGCGTAACGCTCGCTCAGACTACACGCGTCCTGCGTGAAACGATGATAAAAAGACGTGGGGACTTTACGGTTATGTCGGGACATGGACTCGTACTCGTGTTCGCATGCATCCATACCGCAGCTAGAGTATTCCATTAGCTTGTAGAGCTGGAATGGGCAAAAGAGAAACCACCTGATAAAGAATAAAATATCGTCTCCGGGCCCGCCCGTTTCGTCTAGAAATTGTTCTGCCTTCCGCAGAATTCCAGCATACCGCTGGGGGTACAGGACATTGAAGAAATGTTCTTGAGATTCGTAGGTCTGGAGATGGACATTCTCGATGTACTGTCCATGCGCCCCATGGATAGAAACAGAGGCGGCCTGGACGAGTTGTGGCTTGCCATCCTAACATTGAGCCATTAGCATTGATTCACGTGTCTAACTAACGAGAGGGATACCTCGCAAGGATAAGATAGAATATCATGTATAGAACTGTAAAAGATTCGCGGGCCGGGTTTGATATCTGGGGCACCGCCTTCAGACTCGAGGGTTTTACGATACGATTCCTCGTTGATTTGCCAAACAATTGATTGGGTGCCATTGCCTGAACAGGACGTTAGAATGCGCCCGAATTTGACTAACCGCTGCTCACCATGGTGCAGATCAATATCAAATATCACGACCCTGTTGATCCCATGTTGAAGGTGGGCTGAGAGAAATAAACGCCTGTCTTTCTTCAAGTTCATCGAAGAGAGAACATACCATGCGCTGCAGCGACTGCCACATTATTTACGAAACAAAATCCTTCCGGGGTATCTTCTCCACAATGATGACCAGGTGGTCGAATGGCAACGAAGGCGCGACTGATGCCGTTGCGCTCATCATTCTTCTTGGACGACGCGACAACCGTGTCGACGGCCTCGCACACGGACCCCAGAGCTCCCTGTATCGCGACAATAGATTCAGGACACACTTGATACAATAATATCATTAGCATGCCATAAAAAACAGAATCACGACGCACAGTAGAGATCGCCCTGAGAATATCCTTCAGGTATCTCGCTCTCCCCTTTCGCAATCTTATCTCGACTCTCATCAGCCCACGATTTTATCTTTGGTATGTACACGTCTCCGTCCAAATCTCCGTGAACAAATTTGACCGCAGGATGGTGCAGAATATCAACAGACGCTGTACTTCGAATGATCTCCACCTTGTCTGTTCCAGTTTCCTTGGCGATGTCCAAGCGACTGAGTGCTGCTGCGAGGTCATCCGGGTCTCCATCAGCGTCCACAACTGAAGGTATCCGGGAAAGAGCAGCAGCCACCCCCAATTTGACTGCCCGTAGACGCTCGGGGCGTTCAACAATTAGAGACGTGTCTTTGGACCGGATGTATTGGTGCTGGTAGCAGGCATCCTGAATAAATACGCCAGCTTTCGCAGGGGCCATAAATATTCGTTGGAGTCGTGAGCGAAAACCAGACAAAGTGCGTGGGTGGAGTTGAAAAGAAAAAGAAATTCCGCGAACTATTCTGGGCAGTCACTGTATCACGTGCTCACTTTAGGGCAAGCTGCTTCGCGTTGATATGCCCCTAGGTCCCTCTAGAGCAAAATGACCTCGGAAAGTGGGAGCAATATGCTAGAAATATTAGATAATGAGTAGTAATAGTTTCTGTTAAAGACTCTATTTCCAAGTACTTAGTGACGGTACGCTGCACCGTACTCGGCGGGTCCTTCATGATATACAAAAAAGGACTCACTCATTATTTAGTTGCGTGAAATTTGGATTCGAAACAAAGAAATTCTCCTCAAGCAAGGAAGCAACAAGAGGGGCTACCGGTGTAACAACTGAAGAAAGAGAAATATCATGATGAAGCAGGTAAAATTTTCCGATCATACCTATTACCAGAAGCTTGTGAGTGTTTGGCTAACGATCGATAATTTCTTCTTCTGTACCGCCATCATGTCGTCCTCAAAGGATACGGGTGATGTGGTGTTATCCCTGCTTGCCGCTGTCAGCTCAACTCACAGCGCCCTAGACCTCTCTCCTCGAATTTCTTGATCTCCAGCAACTCAACTGCCTCAACGAATCCGCGGAGCACCCTTTCCAATCCATCGTAGCCTCAAAGAAAAGGAATGCGACGAGTGCATTCCTGCAGAGCGATGCCGATGAGCAGCTGCTGTTAAACATTGCCGTGTGTCAATCCATATGTCAGATTCGTGTTGGAATACTCATGATATGCACAGTTTAATCAAGCAGTGCGCGTACGCTCGATCGTCATCCAATCTAACGAGCTAGCGGCCGCACCCAAAAAGCTGAAACTTGTCGTTAACCGGTCGAATGTTGGATTTGAGGAACTGGAGGATGCTGATGAACCTGATGTGGCACAGGTCTTGGAGCTGAGCGAGGAAGAGGTGAAGGAGGGCAAGCAAGTCGCCCTACGATTTGTACGATTTCAGAAGGTCAACAGCTTACATGTGCGTATACGTCATTTTATTTTATTTCATTTCGTATTCTGATTGTATCCTAGATTTTCGTCGTATCTAATCACGGCGGCGAAGACGAGACGAGGATCGACAAGATCGATGTATTTGGCGTACCTGTCGAGTACGTTCCATTGTATTTTTCAATCGTGTCCGCAGCTCTAATCTTTGTCTTCAGGACTACTAAAGATCTCAGCGGTCTTCATCAAGAACATGACCATTAGAGTTGTCAACGTACGGCCATTAAGATGTCATAAATGTAGTTCAATACAAGCGTTATCAACCGATATATCGAAGCAAACCAGTTCGACAGCATAACTCTCTTATAAAGGCCTGCATCCTGGCATAGGCAGGAGTATCGCGGAGTACTCGACTGCTGACACTGTGGTCCCGATACAGATCATCTTTCGGATTTCCTAAAGTATGACGGGATATGCAACATCCATCAAGCTGGACACGGTCGACGAGCTATGCGCAAAGCACCCAATCCTCCTTGCATCATCTTCCAAGAAAGTTGTTGACCACAGTGTAGTAGCGTTGTTCGCTCTGTTTCTGACGATTATGGTGTGTACCTCTTTACGGTTCCTGAGCGACTCTGAGGTGCAGTTGCACTACACAGAGAGCCGCATCGCCATGAGGACGTCTTGATATTCTGTAATGTATCTACCTAATCAGAATAACAGGAGATAATTGGTGCCGTTGGAGTTTTTTTTCTCTCTGAGGTTCTTATCGCCACTGAACAGGTCCAGTTTTCAGAAACTCTTGACGTCTTTTGCATCCATACATCAATGAATATGTCAGGGAGTTTTCGTGTTTTCTACTTCGCGAAACATACTGGCTTATATACGCAGTCGGGGACAACATGTAGAAGGTGTGGCGTCAACTAGACGTAATGCCACTCACGGCACTCCTTTCCCGGTGCGGTCTGTGATGGTCGCGGGTCCGACACAATGATCTGAGATGTTCGTGGTAAGGCGAAGTCAAAGGAAACGTCAACCTGGAGAAGAAATGATCGCAGTCTCCGCACAAAACGTCGTGACGGCCCTGGTCATAGCTCCACCATTTCAGATGGATGCAATCATTCTTCCACGGATTTGGAGCAAAGCTATATTGAGGGATGAAGCTACAGACGGATCGCTCGTATCATCCACAGCTTGAAAACTTTGGATCAGAACCGCAGAAGTTTTCTCCTCTATGGTAGAGTCCTAGGTGCGCATCCTTGCTTCTTGCACTCGTCTAGCATATCACTAGCTCCGGCACAGGGTGTAGTCTTGACATATGTTACTCAAGTGTTATCCGGCGTGAAGGCCAGGACATCATGGCTGAAGTTTCAATTCTGAGAACGACTAAAACTTATAGGCGCTCCCCGTTGAGGACAGTTATATCTAATGTACGTCGTTGGCCTGCCTACCGGCGGGCAGGGGTCGGGCGCTTATTCTAATAGACCCGGTTTGGGGCATTCTAGGATGGGTAGCTTCCAAGGGAGGAGACGCTGCTGCGGCAAGTGAATTGTTCTGTTCTCTATCTAAACCAGCTCTATGGTCCTCGAACCATCATTCGTGGATTCTGCCCATCCGAGACATTACAATCCGTGCTTACTGTATTACGACATGCCAAAGGGAACGTGTCTATCGCGTTGAAGACCCAATAATGGATAATTATCCTCAATGTGCCCTTAGCCCTGGCCCACTCATTTACACCGAGTTGTTTATTTAATAGATCATTTGATACCCGGGGGGAACTCCTGATATTCTGGTATAGGCTTGCATGCAACTCCAGAAAAGCTTCTGCGGCGTCAGGTACTTGGTCCCCTGTGGCGAAGTATACCCTGGACAACCGTCAGCAGTGGAAATTTTGTATAGCGTCAATGTCCGGAGGGAAAATGCTGTTGTGTAGTTAAGTCCAATGCTACCAAGCTCGCGCTGAGGCCGAGGTTGTACTAATGTAATGGGCCGCAGCGCGGAGAAACGGGCTATCGCGAGGGAAACGTGATAATTGTGTGCGGGAGGTACATAGGCAGGTAACTAATCTATAAAGACAGTACATGAATGGTTTGAATGGAGTATAAGTACGTTAGTAACAATCGGGGCTACATCTCCTCTTGGGGCGTCTACAAATGAAGTGGCGGTTATCGATTCAGATGTACGCCCAATCAACAGGGAGGGAGAGAGATTCCATTTCCTGAGGTGCGATATCGGTCATCATCGCATCCAGCTCTTCAGACATGTGAACGTAATCCGACAGATAGTTCGCAACAGGATCGAACGGTTCAGGTCTGGCGGTATCGTCAACAGGAGGAGCTCCAGGACTGGAATCCATGTTGACGTCGGGGTTCGCCCCAAACTGAGCATCAACACGGACGTAGCTGGGAGGCTGGACTGAGCTGTCGAAGGCGAATTCGTCCTATTAAAAAAGATGTTAGTGGCAGAGAAAACATACATAGAGGGGAATACAACGAACCTTATCGGCAGCAGAAACTTTCAGGTCGAGTGGCGGCATGGCGGAGGTAGGGACAAAGGTCTCCTCCTCCTCCTTCTTGGCCGTTGGAGTGGCATGGTCAGGAGTCGGGGCACGCTCCTCGTTGGCTATGACCGGAGGAGTAGGAGAAGGGATAGTGCAGACAAGCTCCTTCGTCTTCACCTCCTCCTCTTTCTCAATCACGGTGCCTTCGATGTCCTTTCTGAACAACATCGCGATCTTCCGACATTTATCCTCCTCTTTATAGTTACGGTGGCGACGCGTCCTCGGCTTTTTATCTCTCCGAACGGGTCGGTAGTTGAAGTGCGGATACTTCAGTTTGTGATCCGCTCGGGCCACTGCAGCCATCTCCTCATAAACGCTCCGCTCCTCCGCCGACATAGCATTCCACAGAATACCACAGATGCGGCTTACGTTGCGGTTGTTTCGTTCACGCTTGTTTCCCTGCCAGTAGGTCGAGCGAAACTGAAGGAACGCGTTAGGAGACCGTGGAGCGCGTCTAGTGGGTGTCTGAGAAGCGGGAGGAGACGCTGGAGAATGGGTGGCGACGGCATCAATAAGGCCCATCGCGACGTCGCCCGACTCCCAGCCGTCATCTATAATGTAAGTATCAGTACACAATATGACGTAGTTGACTAGTAACTCACCGTCGTATTTGACCGGTACCTGCATCGACAAGCGTCGAGAGCGGCGAACGGTAACAGGGCGAACGGGAGGCATATCAACGCGTGTTTTGTGAGAGAGCAAGTGAAGAAGAATCCAAAGAGATTTGAGAGGTGTACGAGAATGGAAGTACAAGGAGAGAATGCATCCTGAGCTCAGCTTTTGACTGTGTCCTGTCGGTAGCGACAGATTTCCATAAACGTGAGCGTAGGAATTTCGTTCCTTACTAATGGCAAATCGTGTTCGCCTTGAGGCGTGAAGAGTTCGAGTTCCGGCATATCTCTCCCTTATGCACATACATCACCCAGATTCGGTATGCCCATCATGACTCATTCGCCCCCGTGTGGACCACGGTCATGGCGCATCTTCACGTTCCCTGTGGATCGCCGCGACGGAATGGGTTGTCGTCTTCTTGATTATCAGAGACCACGCCGATCAGTGAGATATGATCTTGAAATATACTCGTGACAATGCTCGAGTGCTGTGAACAACTAGATTGAGCTTCACCTACTGTGAACGGCGTCTAAAAGAACTGACCAGTATCGGTATTTTCCGACGCATCTCATGCTGCGTGTTAGCTGCGTGTCGCCGCATCGGTGTTTGAATGAAGAACCTAGGTATTTTTTAGTATCATATATGAAAAACCTCCATCTCCGGGACTAAGCGTACCTGCCACAAACCCGCCCAAGACCATGTATCGCCAGATTAATTAGTTCTCTACAGCCTGATACTGTAGGTGACCTTCCCACAATGAGTCAAAAAGCCTTCGTTACGGCCTGCAGCACTTTTAAATCGGTAAATGCCTGATCTCCATTGAGCGATGCGACAGCCTTTGTCTGTCCCTCGGCCGCCAATCCTTCCATCATAGCTCATTGACCGTGCGAAGTAACGAGGCCTCGACGTGTACCTGCCTCCACCTTCCCTCCGTCAAACTTCCCCATTGCTTTGTCTTTGGCCGTAATCAAGAAAGGGTTCGAAGAGCAGATCTGATTAGGGTTCCAAGTACTGATACATGAACTCCGGTGCAGTTCACTCCGGTGTAACAGCCTCGGTGTTGCATTTTCGATGTTGAACGACAGGTATACCGTTATTTCTAGGGCATCCGCAGCTTAATTTCTAGAGAGAATTTAGTTCAGTCTGTGATCAGAACGCGTAAGCAGGTGCATACGGGGATAGTAGCCACTCACTGCCATTGCACCAATGGTATCAAGCAGAACCACAGTCAATCCCTGACCGATTCGGACGGTAACACAAAAGGGCTCTCCATTCCTTTGTCTGTGCCCCTATGGGGCATTTTATGGTGGCGCTGACATCTTTAGCCGCCAGCTGACGGTCATCATTCATCCGTCCAGGTTTGGACAGAGACTGAAAACCTCCTTTGTCTACTGAGGTCCAATCGCTGGCCTTTGTCTACTGATAACTGATCGCTGATAGCTGGTGCTGTACGATATTACGCGGCTGCAACGCAAGAGGATTAGACACAGATAGATGTTGTCAGATCAACGGTACCTAGTCCCGGAACGACAACGTGATGTCATTGGCCAGGCCAATTCACCAATAGATTAAGGTCGAGCGCGTGTATTGTTGTCTGGGAGCAGAGTTATCGAAGAAGCCTTCGTGACCACAAATCATCATTTCTCGTGCAGAAGACATAGTCTGAGAAGACGCCTCAACGTTATCTCTGATAGACCTAACATCAGCGTCCAAATAATAAAGATACAAGAACGAGCATACCAAGTCATCTTCAAGTCCAATGGAGAATCTGTAACCATGATAGTCACCCGCCCACCCGCAGCTTCAATCCTCTATCGCTAAGGTTAATTCGGGCGGTCTGGGATAGTTTCTGCCATTTCTTTGATGACCATGTGGAAGGGATTCAGAAGACAATTAAACTCGTGATAAGCACATTAAGGACCTCTAGCCACACGGGTTAAACAGTATAGGCTGAATTGAAGGGAGAACGTCTCTAATTGCCTGCGTGAGTCTCCGGTCATTCATTTCCGACAAGTAGCTCTAATTATACAGACATACCTTTAGCTGCCAGCAACGTATTAGACTGCTCCATACCGCGAGTTGGAAACCGAAAATGTCTCTCATAGAACATTTATATCAAGTGACGGGCCTGTTGAAGCCGAAGCTCGTAACGCTGGCGCTCGAGTTCATTATCGAGGCTCAAAGAAGAGTGAGGAGTCACTATTCCAACTTTACCCGTGAAATGGTAAAAACACGTTCATTCCACCTGTCCAAGGAATCTGCATTATTAGCCTGATTGCTGGGTGCGCGAACTTTGATGCACCTACTCTACCAGGTCACTCGCCCTAGCCAGTGCACCTAAACAGTTAGTGTATCTTCCTTTCCGTAGTCTTTTCCATACCTAGTCCCTCGTTGAAGCGAGCCTCACGTACAGTATACATTGTAGTTGTTCGGCTCCAGAAAGTCTCCAGCCAAGAAAGGACGTTCACCCTTCACGTGCTTGTTCGAACTTCGGTTTCCCGGCCCGGTTTTCCTGCCTTTTCAACCTTTCGCTCTCATTGTCAAGAATCTACGAGTCTCTGGTCGTGTATTGCTATTCGACGCGACAAAAAATCGTTATATGCAGCACGGGGCACAGAAACATTAATATAAAGACTCTGTTTCACCCAGGCCCACTTCGAAACCAACGAATTTCGCCTTCTCACCTGAGCAGGCTATGCTCAAGCCTCGCGACAGGTATTACTCAAATGATTTGGATTTCGCTCAATATATATTTTTGGATTTGGACGACGTCGGCAGAAATACTTAGGTGGCGAAATGCTTAGTTGGTATGCATCTGGTACAATAACAGCCTTATGGAAACTCGTGACATTAACGGTTACATAGATCAAAAGTAGAATTGGTTTGCCGATGAATCCAAGACTAAGGCTGGGACTGCATATCGCCGATGCATAGCCAAGGCGCTGGCCATATAATAAGTATGATCGTCTCACAGGGCATTGTACCGGCCAGGCCTAAATCGAAGGAAACAAGAAAAATTCTGTACTTTTGCTCTGTCTCGTAGTCAGTCCGGGATATCGAAACAGTCTACCGGCCCGCTGCTCCTGTAGATGAAGACCTCTTTCGACGGCGAACTTTCAATTCTGCGTGCAGCCGCTTTTCGCAGAAGCTCAAAGAACCCTAGCAAAATTTCTCGTCCTGCAGAGAGAATGCAAAAGTCGTATCAAATTCAACGCGCTGCTTGCCCTTCTTTCTTGACCCGAACGTCCTCGATTTTTTGCGGACCATATGATACATGTGGCGTTTAACTTCTGCTTTCCGTCGATGAGTGGGCCCGGGCTTCCGATATACTTTGGACACAGTGAAAGCTTGCTATCGACTGGAAGTCACTGGCGCTGACGTTCGAGCACATTTCAGATCTACTTTCAGACAGCCGTCTGTACCTTCAGGTTATTGTTTGCGACGCTAAAGCTCGGTGCACATGGTATACACACTAATCCCTCCTCGTGGAGTCATCGGGCGTCCGACGGACTATTCACGCCCTTCGCTGTGACTAGAAGATGCTATCATCGCAGCCCTTTGTGCCGAGAAAACATCCCATGATTTATACCCACACCCATGTCTGACAAGCTCATCAGCTTATCCGACCACCGCAGAAGGACCAAGACGCTGGAAAGATCGCTCCTCGGGTCGCGTGTATCCGAGTCATCTTTTGCGTCTGAATTGATTTCCCACTAGCTTGGGCACCGAGTCAGATGCATCCCTTCATTTCAGTCGTCTTGATCGATGTGTCTATACTATGATGTACCTTCGAGTCTTCGACTTCGGGTATGTCTTTAACTCCGCTCCATCTTTCTTTCGAGGTCCGGCGTTGATTCCTACAATCATGGCCCTGATGACAATGCTCTAACTCCAGTAAAGCTCGTCAAGTGATTGGCTCAAACAAGGCAGAATCTGAAGAAGCTGTTGCTGTTGCCGACGCCACTTTCTTCAAGATTGGATATTGTACTGAAGCCTAGCATTGCCGCGGCCCAACGACTGTGAATTCATTGTTCAAATGGCAGCCTGACTGAGCTTGTAGCAGGCCTTGCATTGTCAAGTAAAAATCCCACCTACTAATGCTGGCGTGCCTAAAGTTATACGTCATCAGACCAAATACACGTTTGCCGACTTTCGCGTAATAGCGAAATGGTGGGTGCGCGGTAGAATTGAAAGGGGCCTAGTCCGGATCCGGTATCCGGTAATCGGCAATAGCCGACGTACCTACCCTTCCACCATCCCGTCATCCGGGTACCAGTATTCACCCCAGACTTATCACTATCGACACCGGGTCGCATCCCCAAATCTTGTTTGCTTAAGTAGAAGGAATGACGGACAGATTGATGTTCACTTCCTCTAGATTCTAGAGATATTCGGACCTAACATTGTACGTGGCGAATGATCTTACCTTCATTACCAGTTTACTGAGCCAGCAAACTTGCCTTTTCAGATTGTATATACTGTACACTATGGACGCATTTCCACAAGAACTCATTGAGGCCATCATTGACGAACTTTTCGACGACCGAGAGGCGCTCAAAGCTTGCTCTCTCGTGTCACAATCATTCTTCCCTCGTTCTCAGAAACTTCTCTTCTCCTCTGTCGTACTCGACTCTCGAGATGACTCTAGTCGAGTACACAATCCCTCGGCCGACTTCCTGAGATTGCTTGTGCGGTCGAAACGTATCGCGTCCCTCGTCAGGAACTTCACCATCTACAACTTTACCTGTGGGAAGAACAGCTGGTTCACACAGGACCAGGACATCGTGCCGCAGATACTCGGCTCTCTAAGCAACCTGAGAAAGATGACTATCTCAGGACGACACTACGACCGGAGGTGGGACGGCTCAAGCGACATACGTACTTCGTTATGTCAAAGCTTCTCCCTACCTCACCTCAGATCCCTTTCCTTAAACTATACATCGTTCCTAAAACCTTCCGACTTCCTCCAGCTGTTCAGCAACAGCCGTGATCTCAAGGAGTTGCGACTGATGAATGTCTACATCAGCGACCAGCTCAGCCTTCAGGCGCATCCGGACCGCGAGCACAATACCCCCATCGACGATGAACGGCTTTCTCAGAGACCAAAGCTTCAATATCTACGTATACAGAACGTGCCCGTCGTTCTCATTGACACACTCACCCACACCCATTCTCCGTTGGACCTCAGTTCTCTCCGAAGGCTCCAAGTTTGGTCCGATCATGGTGACCAGAGCGACCATCTCCAGCGTCTTCTCGAAGCTGCCGGTGATGCGCTAGAAGAGGTCGTGTTTCACGGTTTCTCGTCATGTACGTTACTATTTATACACTCGCTTTGAATACAACTCAATTCCGACCATTACAGCAACGAATGGTTTGGACATCTCGCATGTCCCAAACATCACATGTTACTTTTCAAACTTCTTTTCCGACCGTGTAGCCAACCACACTGTGCTATCTGGATTGACGGAGTTGTTTTTCCAGCGATATTCACGCGACACGTCTCGCATGGAGACTGTCACTTTTAATTTGCGATCTCACCCTAAAGCCATTATAGATTGTCCTCGGGATGAGTGGAGGCGACTAGAGGAGGCGATGATGGTGGTGAAGAGAAGGGTGAGGTTCGAGATACCTGTCAGGGATATGAAACGGTCCATGAGGGACCCATTGGAAAGGGAGTGCTTGGCCGCAGTGAGAAGGGGAATGGGTATGTTGAGCGATAGGGGAATCTTGGAGGTAGACATGGTACAAGGACCATAACGATAGGACTCAGACTCTTCTCGGACCGCTGGACTTTCACGATATCAGATATCAAATGTATACTGTCCGCTTTCACAGTTTCCACGTCTTAATTCTAACTTACCTTACGAACTGACCCACTGTGTGGCGTAATGGCTCAGTATACGGATCAGCAACACTGGTAAGTCCTAAGTGAAGCCCACGGATGGTGGCTCATACCAGTGTCACTGTATCCGAGGAGGAAACGTAAATGGTGGAGTCCCCATAATAGGGTAGCGCACGAAACCTAGGTTTTGATACACTTAGGTTTATTACCGGTAAGTTACCCCCCCCTCGCCGGAGGGGGTTTTTGTAGAGGTAACTTACCTATCATGTGACTGCCAATTTGGTGTCAATTCAGCATAAGATTTCAATGATATCGTATGAATAGCATATTAACAAAATACAGTCGCAGGTGGGCCATATTTCCGGTGAATTATAGTACATGACTTCAAGAAAATGCGAAGAAAAAAGTTCTGGGGAATTGCCGCGAGGCGGTCATGTGATGCTGCACGTGAGAGGTAAGTAACGGTAAATTACCGTATCAAAACCCCCCTTGGGAGGAGGGGTCAGTAAGAAACCGTAACTTACCCCCCTGGAGGTTTCGTGCGCTACCCTACCCTATAACATATGATTCGATATTGCTGTTGGAAGAGTTTAGAGCACTCAGCATAAATTTATGATTTGAAATGAGGCGGTCCTCGAAAAATAACGCATACCATGACTAATTCCCCCTAGCCGACTTGAACGACTGACCTCGTCATTACAAGTGACGCGCTCTACCAACTGAGCTAAGGAGGATTGCCAGAATGCTGACTTTTATATCTAGATACCTGTGTGACTTAAACAGGGTGTTTTTTAACCTCGTTCAGTCAGAGAGGCCATAGTAGCTCATCTTTCCGATAACAAATAAATGTTATCGCACACTGGTGCATACAACTCCTATTTCACCTCATCTAAACATGTGAGGTGGGGGGAATATATGGGTAAAACTTCAATTTTGTGCCTGTTGAGCATTGAACAATGTGTCGCACCTCACCGCTCGTCGCTGCCCGTGGGGTCGCCCACTATCCGTAGTTGGTACACCGGGGTTTCGGACCGGCATGTCAAAACACGCCCCTTGAGGAAGGCTTGGTAAAAACTGAACTTATGCCCCCCGGAGGTTTTGTACGCAACCGGGATCACAGTGATCTAGGGTAGCGCACGAAGTCTCCAAGGAGGGTAAGTTTTTTTTCGTCGATCAAACTTTCGAAGAGCCGATAAGAGTCAAGAGTAAGACTCGAAAGCAAGACAAATTAACACGAAAAAATAAAATTAGTTCCCGCTAGCCGGATTGAACGACTGACCTTGTCATCGGAAACATACGAGTGACACGCTCTACCACTGAGCTAAGAGGGACCTCATCGCTTAAGGATCTATGCCATGATAGGTTAAAATAGCACCAGATGCAACCTCATGCCCACCGCATGGTAGCACCCGTTCTGCATGCTTCATTGTTCGCATTGAAATAACTTAACACCCCACAACCATGAACAGTAGTGATCACGATGAAAAATTCGCCTGTCGATTAGGCAAAGCACTCTACCACTTTGCTTCCTTTTTACGCATCCCTCAAGCGGAGTATCTTCAACGCTTCCTGAAGGAGAACAGCCATCTCGTTGGAGGAAGCGAGGATGAGATGAAGGTGCTATTCTTCGGAAGCATTGAAAAGTTTGAGGATAGGTGGTGCCAGATGGTTGACCAATTTACCGAAGATAGGAAAAAGCTGCAATCGTTTCACGAAATGGACGAGTATTTGGTGGAGATGGATAAATTGTGTAAACAGACGCTGAAAACATTTGAAGAGTAAGCACCAGCACTTTTTCCGATTGTATTCCTGATTCACGTACCCAGTTACATGCTGACGCCTATCAGCGCTCGATCTGCTATTAAGACTATCACCAGAGGTATATTCCCTATGATTTCAGCGCGTTTACAGTGGCGTGCACTTGATTATTTTGAATTCTATCTGTGAGTCCCAGAATCCGTTGGAGCGACACGTAGTATAAACATCCTTCCATGTAGAAATCAAATCAACTGCCAGGATATGCATAGCATGTATGAGTACACAAGGCTGCTTGAACCTCGGCGCCTCCTAGGGCCAGAGCCTGACGGGAGCGGAATTGATTTTGAGATTCTGTATAATCGGGTTGACGAACTCGAGTACGCATCGTTGTTTCGTCATTGCTAATGCAACCGGGACTAACACACAGTACAGAACACGCGCACTGCATCCAAAAGCAACCGAAAATCCTACGACCCAACGACGACAGGAGAGATATGACGCAGTAACAGACCTCAATGCTAAAGAAAAACGGCCGGCTCAAGCGCAATCTGGGGGGAAGGAGCTGTCATTTAATCATCACGTATTTGAGAGAGATTTCCAGTACGCCATATGTATCGTGACTGCCTCATATTGCATTGAAGCGTGATTTCAAAGGCTGGCCTACTCAAATAACGACAAGGATCAATTGGATACTGATTTTAGTACTTCGGATAATTGCACTACCGGTGTCTTCCATTTCGACGATGCCACCCTGTCAGACGAGGAGCCCCTATTGAGGTCTGTGTAGATGTCGATGATTTCAAGTGTAGCACCTGATTTTCGCGTTAGGGAAGAAGACGCTAGAGAAGAGAACGAGCCTATCTCGAGAACATTAACCCTTACGAGGAACGTCAGCGGTTCTCCTGAGCCCCAGGCTGACCCATCAGGAGCATACAGCGACGCCTCGAATTGCTCTTCACTTTCGGGTTGCTTGCCACCCAACCCCCCTTCATACCACTCCACCAGTAAGGACACCGTGGAGAAAAGTCTCGGTCTTGTCGAAAGATTCGAACAAGATCCCTTCTTCGCTATATCAACAAAATTTATCAACCCGGCACAATATTTCTTGCTTCGCAGAGGAAACTGCGAGATGCCCTTTAAGGTGGTCCGAGGAGGTGTAAGGGGAGATGTCTGGTCCTTCGTGATCAACTTGACGTATACAACGGAGCAGATGCGACAGTTATTGCAGTCGTGTCGTCCGGAAGACAGCGAAGTGGCCGAGGAATTCATGCAAATGTTCCTTCGCCGCCCGAGCTCTATCCATAAACGGGTGATAGTCACGAAGAAGGGTACCCATTACAAGGTCGTCGACGTTTACATTGATGAGGAGTGGAGGTTCGGTTTAGAGCGTAAAGTGACATTCGATGAGCTGAAGGACATGCTGCGCCAGAGTCTGAGGATGGAGAGGGGATCTGGATCCTTGTGGATGTAGATTGATGCCTACGTTCGAGTGTTCTTGTTAGTCTCTGAGAATAATGTGCCTCGATGATGGACCAATCAGATACGACGGCGGGACATCTTCATATAGCAGGTCCTTGAATATTCGGCATGACACAACTGCCTTGAATCTAGGGAGATCTAGGGTAAGGTTTGGCACTTCATGTCGAAGAGCTAATGATCGAGACGATCGTGCCTTCGAGATAAGATTTGGTACTCAGTCCTACTATGACTGGTTAGCGCATCGGTAAATAACCCCCCATCTAAGTGTATGAGACGTGCACATTTAAACTTTAAGAGAAATGTATTTCGTGCCCATGCGCCAAGCAACGGTCCGTGAGCGTGATGATACCAATCTCGATCTACTGTATCATCCTCCGCTAAAATGTCCGCATTGGCAGACCACTAGACACTTGTTTAATTCCAGGGCGAGCAGAAAGACTCTAAGTCAATGAAGATAAAGCGTGACGTCGTAGGAAAGTTGAATAGGAGCCCAAGCGTGGAACATGCCGAAACGCATCAAGAAACAGGAACAGTGGGTCCCAGGCGCTCTTATCGATACAACATCCATTAGCTTTACACCTGGAATCATGAATGGTCGACCGAAAAATAGTAGGAATTTGAACGCTTGTATCACCATCTCGCATTCCTTGCATCACTTTCTCTCGATTATACAGACTTCACGTTCTCGGGATGACGATTCTGGCCCCATCGATGAAAGCAGAGGGCATTTATCTTGGACCTTCGGGAGTGGACAGGAGTTCGAGAGCTGGTGGACTAAGCAAGTCAAAAGTTTAGATCGGAAGCGACGATCCCTGAGCACCTTCGACGAAATGAACGATCACCTGGAATACTTGGAAAGTGTTTGCAGGACTACGGCCGTACAGTCTAGTAAGGAGTAAGTATCAAGCTCGCATAGGATATTTGATTGTGCTCACAAATAAGCAGGTATGAAATGAAATTCATCTGTGCCCAATTGGCCGTGAAAATCATCACACAAGGCATATTCCCCGTTGCGCCAGATGCAGTGGTGGTGGGAGCATTGGATCTACTCGATTTTTATCTGTATGTGTGGTTACACCAGCTTCTGCGAGTTGCTTAACCCTACTCGCAGAAATGGGAAGGAAGATCATAAATTCGAGAGAATTGTCGCGCCCCAGTGGGATGATCCGAAACCTATGACGCAGGAGACGAAGAAGAGGATTGCTAAAATAGAGTAGGTCCTCTGGTCGGGGTTTTCGGCTTTCATATAACATTTGTGACAGGGAGTTGGGTCGCTCCGATCCCATCTCTGTGTATCGGGAGTCGCTTGTGACAGAACCACCGGTTATTGGGGAAAGGGCCAGATCTCCTTATCAATTCGTGAATGTCTACGCCAAAGAACCAAAGTGAGCCACTAACCTCCTCCAAAACGAAGCGCTGAACACATGGGTACTTATAGGCCTCGACCGAAGTTTGCAGACATTTTAGAGACGATGCGGAGCAAAGCAACGTGCATCGATGATCCGAAGTACAAATCAGAGTACGCTCCATTCAAATGTGGAAGAAAGGACGAAGTAACATATTTAACAGGGTCAATGGGCAAAAGAGCCAGCCGCCGACGCAAAGAAACACGGATCAGTCGAACGGTACCTCTGAAAATATACCTTCCAACTCTGCAGTAAATCCTGCCGCGTTAGATGAGCTCGACAACCTCAACTCGGAGAGTTCCTTCAGGTGGGAAGGCTTCTACCAATCTGCATGTCAGAAGAAGACTAAACGGTCTTGTTAGCTACGACGATGATGTAGGAGACTCGGAACTCCTTACCAGAATAAGAGAGGCATTTACAGATAATTCGGAGCCAATTCCCACAGTACCCAAGACACCTGAAAGACGGCGCCGTAGCTCTAGTCTTGCACCGAATACTCCATCTCCCGCGAAACGAAACATAGAAGACGAGGAGCCAGACCCAGGCCAATCATCGTTTACCACGTCGAAAGAGGAAGATCTCGCTGCGATGTTTCTTGAAAATCCTTGGTTCGCATTCAAGAAGCGAAATCCAAAACAGGTGTTTTTGTGCAACTATGATGCCGAGTGTGTACCCTTCAAAGTTGTGAAAGGAGGGAAAGTATTAGGCGAGTGGGTATTCGCCCTCGACATGGTGTACAGGAAGGACGCATTGCATCAATTACTGATGGCGACATCACTCCATGCTAATGACCCTGGCAACAGGATGATGGAGACTATCTTGCAAAAATTTGATAGGGAGCCAGAGGTTGTCTACAAGAAAAAGTTCGTATCCAGGGATGGGGCCCTTCGATTCACGGTCAAGGAACTTTGGTGCGATGATGAGTGGAAGTTCAACTTGGAAGCCAGAGTAAATTTCCCAAGGCTCCTTCGCATGATGGAGACAAGCCGCAGGGTGGAATTAGAATCTGATTCGTGGTTGGACTGGTTAGATTGTTCTGAAAAGAATTGAGGTTCTGGAGATCGGAGATTTAATATATGGCTGTCGGGAACGCACATTAAAGGAATAAATTGTATCATCATTTCTTGTGTCAACGACAAAGCTCGCTGCGCCTGAAAATTTTAACGATGGAAGCCTGAACAGCCACAGTGAGATCAAATGAACAGACGCCAATACAGCTATAGATATCCATATGAGGACCTGGATACCCATAGACATGCGCGTAAAAAGAAGAGGGCAATCACCATCGTCGATGTGGATAAAGACACGTGCCACACATCAACAAGCATATTATTATTGCTTCACAAGCGACGGAGAGAAAAATAAAACGAAGGAAGTTTTATATTTCCGTGAACTCACTTGGAAAACAGACGATCTCAGTCATTCAACTTCAACACCTTTATCGCGGTTCCCCTCTTCAGCTGTAGCAGCTCTTCTGCTGTCAATATGTCTCCTAGACCATCGACCCACTCCGAACCTTCACTTATCAGAGCGAAGGGATAATCAATTGAATGCATAATCCTATCCAAGCCTATCTGGGACGCGTGGAATTGCAATAATGACGTCGCGAAGTTTCCAGCAGTCGTCTCATAGAGGTTCGTGAGCCAATACGAGGAAGCATTCCGCTGCATGGGAATACCCAAAGGAACCTGACGAAGGAGTTCTTTACAACGGGTAAGCCAAAACCGCGAAAAACAGCATTCCATTACAAGACTTACGTTCATCAGTTCTGAATAAATCCGAGGGAAGCCTCTCCCCAAGATGGCCAACAAGGATTTTGAGAGTTGGGAACCGGCTGACCACATTTGTTAAGCGCACATGCATGCGAACACAAACGTAAGGGGCGCTTACTCGAAAACCCCGTTCGTGCATAGCCCCAATATATGTGTCGATAGCGTTGCTGCAAATTCTTGAGCAGGGCCCTCCAGACCAAAGCCATGGCTATAAACGAGCGACAAAATAGGCTCGACATTCGTTCTAGGATGAAAGTATACCGGGACGTCCAGATCCGTCACCATCTGCCAGAACACATCGTATTCCGGCTGATCATAGTATAAGAGTGTGTCTGCAGACACATTAGATACCTCGTGCTACGTGGGGGTAGCACGGGGACATACCGTTATCCGGCCCAGACTGTTGATAATCATTGACTAAAGCTCCGAGGAAACCCAGTTCAGTAACGGTCCGGTTAAGTTCTTGAGCAGCTACAGAGGCGTTATGCATAGCCAAAGCCGCGAAGGCGCCAAACCGGAAAGTATTGTTCGAAATAAGGTCCGCTAGGTTGTTGTTAAGATCAACGGCCATTGCGGCTGCTGTTTCCGGATCGGATATCCCTTGGACGCAAGGCTGTACACAAGAGAGGACCATCTGAATGGGCCGTTCCTGGATCAGCGAAGCCCCAGAGAATGGTGGCGTCGCTTACGAAGTCGATACCGAACTCATCCATAAGCGCCAGTCTGTGATTATGGACATCAACGAGATTTGCTTGGAGTTCTGCGATAGTTTGGCCTGTCATGGTTTTCATTCAGATTGACAAAAGGCATCAAAGATGAAACGCACCAAGAGCCGGTGCTCCACTGTATTTTTCAAATTAATATTTGCGGCATCCTATAATGAGATGATGCTCACCCCACTGTTACCGCAAGTTCAGGAGTTGCCCATGCCTCTTCAAAGACGATAGAACCGACGCCAGTATCATTCCATGCCCTAGCATAAACAAAGGATGCTGCGGTAAGAACAAGCAGAACGAAACGTTTCATATTGTAGCCGCGATAAGACGCGACATCCTGGTGACCCCACCGTCATATATACTCCCAGAAGGAGACGACTGACGATAAGAATAACCTGAGAAAATAGCACACCATGACTAACAGCTCCCTCTAACCTGGTTCATGAATGTCCCGTCGGAGGACACGTCCTATTCCATTGTAGACCTCGTGCGCCAGTAAGCGCGTCACGGGAAGGAACTGACGTGTACGCGGAGTAGATGAGTTCGTGGATTTGTTATCCTAGAAGTATTGTTTTGTTAAAAAGCCGGAAGAACTTGAATGAGAAACAAATTACAATGTACCTCAGATTAAGACCTAACGCCAAATCTTTGTCTGTAAGACCTTGCATCGGTAACTACATAGTGCCCGGCCCATACGACGGAAATGCGGGAGAAAATACCGCCATAGCTCCTTTTCTGTTTCGGTCGTATTGACATTTCCGCTGGAGAGATCGTGAGAATAAAGATACACAAGACACTTTTTCTGCGATTAGATCACAAGGTGAGTCCTAGCAGAATTCCATGTAACAATCGTACTTCTCAGTCAGGCAAGACGCTGGACTGCGGAGAACGCGAACGAGCCGCAATGTGTCCAAGCCTTCCCACCGTCGTCGTGGTATCAAGTCAAGCGTCGTTCCGCCGGCCCGTGGCCGCCGGTCAGCGATACCCAAATTAAAATCCAAACTCACACATCCACGAGCCATATTAATCTCGCCTTGTATTATTTCCACCGGCAGCCGCATTGAAGACCCAGGGTATATTAATATCAAGCCCATCTCAGATCTGCACTGAAAACTTACTTTCTCAGGCCTGATCAGATTCAATAAGTACTCGGGCTCGCTTGCGCACTCTTCCCTTACCACATAATGACCCAAAGAGTTCTTCTCCGGCTCCGAGGCTTCTCTAAATTTTATCGCCACCTTTTCATCTCGCTCAGGGTTCTCTACCGAAGAGGGTGATGGAAAAGAAGTTGTCGTATATAGCTCTTTCAGCTTTGCCATCTTCAAGGCTTGGACATCATGCGTATCGTACCCTATAAGATTAGTATCAAACCATCTTTGTTGTTTCGATTCAAATGTATGCGATGAAATTTCATCTTTTCAATCATCCTTGTTCCCAACAAGTCATTCCGCTTGTTATTCTGTATAATAACAATCTTCACCTTCTGATGGTGTGACTAAAATACTATGAATGTATTGTTCGCACTCATAGCTCCGCGGTTTGATGAGTGAACACTCTGTAGCTTGGCTACTATGAGGTAACCTCCTGCGTGCCAAAATGGAGACTAAACGAGATCGTCCGCCTGGGGATTCAGCGCAGTATGAGAATGTCCTAGATATGGGAGCAAAGATATTAGTAGTTAAGCGGATACGATCACAAAGGAAATAATAAGAAGCCGTAGCTTAACCCCCTGGAGGTTTCATGCACTACCCTACTGTATATTGTACAATACTAAGTCCATTATCGTAACTATCAAAAAGATGAAAAAGAAATATTTGATAAACCTCATTTCCCTCTAGCCGACTTGAACGACTGACCTCGTCATGAACTAATACTAGTGACACGCTCTACCAACTGAGCTAAGAGGGATACATGTAAATCAGTACGAGATTCACCAAATGTTGGTCTAAGATGCTATCTTCAGCGTCAAAACTGCCGTTAATCAGGTACCCTCTCTCCAGGACATGGCCCTGGAACCTGAGAATCCCTCTCCCGTCGGTACCTCTGGCATTCAAAGTATTCGCCCACTCGGCACCGGCTATCACACTTCCATACCACGCCGTACGCACAGAAATAATTGACACAACACGGTCCCTCCTCGGGACACTTTTCGGATATCATTGAAAACCCTCCTATGTACACTAAATATGTACACAAGTAGAGCCGCCAATCAACTAAACGAAGGGGGATATGTACACACACACTGCGTATTTACGAAGGAGGAGAAAAGGGGAGAAAAAACGACGATTAAACACAAAGCATAGTAGTAACGGATATCGATATATATAACATTAAATTCACTTGGGAGAGGAGACGGAACAACGAGCGGCTTTGGAAAGAGGGAGGAGCAGTAAGAGCGAGGACGAAAAAGAGAGAAAGCCCAAAAGAATTAAAAAAACAAAAAGAAAATGTCAGCGGTCGCCATCACCATAATACCCATACGTGCCCGCATTGCTGTACCACTGCTGCTGCGGCTGCTGCTGCTGTTGTTGCGACTGCTGCTGCTGCTGTGGGTACCCGCTCTCACCACTGAAATCCTCAAAGCCGGCGTTCGGAGAACGGAAGCCATTCCCATTCTCCGAAGCCCCATTTGCACCATTCTGATATGACTGGTATCCTTCATACTCGCCATAAGACGGGTATTCAAGCCCCATATACGCCCTCTGAGGAACCCTCTGCGGCTGCTGCATCCCGTAGTGTTGGTAATACTGTTGCTGCTGATGCTGCTGGTGGCTGATCATTACAGAGCTCCATGACCGAGAGTCGTCGCGACTGTGGTCGGGAGCCGGTGTCATCTGGGCCGAGAGAGGGATTGGCGGAGTAGTCGGCTCCGTCTTGAGCGGGGACGTGGAAGGAAAATGGAGACTCAGATTCTGCTGCTGCGAGGGCTGCTGCTGAGGGAGATACCAGTTGTTGATAGGGGGTTGATGTGGCTGGGGCGGTGCCTGGTCTAAGGAAGAAGGGAGGGTATGAGGATGAGTTAGCGGTTGAGGGACGTCGAAATAATAGGTTGCCTGAGGAGGACTGGGGGGGAGGCGGGAGGGGGATGAGGGATGAGAGCGGCGGGAGGGTGGGCCCGTTGGCGGTGCCGGGGCGGGAGGAGAAGCCGAGTGTGGCGGGGATGGCGTTTGGGTTGGATGACTGGGAGGACTGGTTCGCGCCGGCGACGGATGGTTGGTCACGAAAGGACTGGCCGTTCCGGGGGTCACGAAAGGACCGAAAGGAATTACTCCCTGGTCCGGCAGAGGGCGCGGAGGCCGAATTCGGATGAGCGACACTGTGGTCACTGGATGCCGACGTCGGCGTCGATATGTGCCAGGTGTCGCCTTCGTACCCAGTGCTCGTGCCAGGCCGAATCGTGTCCGGCACCTTGGGCGGCACCCGCCGAGTCCCTCGGGACTTGTTAGCCGCCGCCATCGATGCGTGCAGCGTCGTAAGATCCCGCATCATCCGCTCGTTGTCCTCCTGCTTGTCCGAATGCACCGTCTGTGCATGCTGGCGCAGGTTGTCCAGCCGTGAAAATTGCTTCCCGCAGTGGCAAGTAAAAGGGCGCTCTCCTGTGTGCTTCCTGGCAGTAGCATAGACGCGGTGAGTATCCTAAAAGCTAAGACGGGACATGAAGGCACGGTACCTGATATGCCTCGCGAGATGCTCTGATCTGCTGAAGACCATGCGACACTCTCCATATCCCCTGCACTGAAAAGTCTTGGCTGGGGCGGGACGGTAACGCTTGGTTATTGCAGCAGACGGCGGGGGGACAACCATGGTGGCCATCGTATCAGACGACGAGGACGAAGACGGATGCGGCTTGGGCTGATCAGGGGAGGGAGTACGTCCACGAACCATGGGTACTCTGTTGAAAGGAACGATTTTAAGGTACATTGATTGTCGCAGCGGAGTTTGAAAGGCTTGAACCTACCAGTATCTCGGATCCGACCATGTCGCAACCAAATACATGCAGATAGGGTCACAGTCTGTCACGTTGCTCACATCGGCAACTCGGAATCAAAAAAGATCAAAAAAGATCAAATATGGTCCAGAACGCCCTGCCTGGCCTGCCATGCTATCTCCTCCAATCACCATCCCGAGATCGTTCCTCTCTACCGCCGTGTCCCACATGCTTGCCCGATAAGTTCCTTCCCCCCGTACAGCGGCTTGTCTCTTCAGAACAGCCTCTTGCCTCAAGACAGTTAGCATGGAAAAATGTTCATGGTTTCAAAATCGTATTTCACATCGTGGCGACCCGTCATGTCACTTGCTTACCGACCATTGAAGCCATGCTCCATCCAGGAACAAGATCATCAGGTACCACATGCCCCCATCCAGGGTTCTTTCTTCTTTCTCTGCTTTCCAATTTTCATTCTTCTGGGTGTCTGGGTACACGCGCAGTCATGAACCCTTCTTGCTGCTCTTACCGGATCAGAACCAACTGCATGGCCTGGCCAGGCTGCCACGTCCAATCGCCCTCCCGCTAATCTATGTCCTCTGACGGCAAGCTCAGTCCGCAAACATGCAAATATGGTCTTGTACGTCCATACGGCATTTTTTCAAGTCCGTTTTGGGTCCAGAAATGTTGATGACGCGATACGTATCAATCCACCTTTCATTGACTTGTCTGTCATTACGCACTTTTCTCCACCGCTTCTGTATCCCCATCGCGCCGGATCACATTGCCATAACGTACACTCTCTTCACTCTCCGGATCACTCGCCTCGTAATTCCTCCTGGTTTTATGAACACCGTAAGTTCTTATGTACATATACCCACCAGTATATATGATGATCAGGAACCCCCTTCCACAATGTGGACTTTTTTTTTCCCTTCTCATCGCAAATTCCAGCTGAGACACATCGTCATCATTTCATCTGCTTCCGCCCAGCCTTCAAAATTAACTCTCCAGAATTTGTCAATGACACGAACAACGTGTCTTCGCCCTGGCCACCCCGCAATTTTGACGTACGAACAAACACCAGCCTCCTAAGCTTTGCCTCCCCGGATCAGCGCTTGACATACCACGAGATCAGGCCCACCCTCTAAGATGATCAGGTACATACATACTCACAGCACCAATCTCACGTCCTACCTCCCACAAACAGCTATTACGGCCCCGAGATCCCGCGTTCTCCAACCCAATGCCACGTCTATCACGGTTTTCCATACATCAATCAACGCACAAGCTTCGTCCCCCCAATCCATACCCCTCCACGAACATCGCCCTCGCTTTCGAATAAACCCTAAAGAACCGTCCGATTGCCGGCGGAGCAAACCTCCCCAAACGCAACCTTCCATTCGCCCATCCTCCCACACCAAAGAGCTTCGCAGTTCCCACCAAAGGAGGAGATCGCCGCGTCAAGGCCCTCCTACTTCCGCGCAACGCAAAATTACCTCCATCCACCTCCTTGGATCTTTGTTTCATTAATAGAGCCTGATCAGGTACGGCCTCACCTCCCGCCGGTCCCATCCCATCCAACTCGAACCTCAGTCTCTTCGATCAGGGTACTTCAGATCAGGACATGTTACTGAGGATGACATTCCGGAGCAGTATATGTCACCCTCCGCCCCAAGATGATTTTGGGGTTGATATGTATGTCCCCAGATCATGGAAACATATATGAGTTGGAACGCTTGCTCTTTCCGTGATAAGTTTTGCACAATTAGAGCGGGTATAGCTGATACGTACGCATCTTTTACGTATCCCTCTTAGCTCAGTTGGTAGAGCGCGTCACTAGTATTCCACGTCGTTTGGGTTTTATGACGAGGTCAGTCGTTCAAGTCGGCTAGAGGGAATAATGGTTTAACATATTGTTTTTTCTGCAGTCGTGGAAGGATAAGTCAAAGATACTAACTTGCCCTCTGACACTTTGTACAAGTCGTCTGGAGTTTTGACAAGGCGAGGAAGCCTCAGAACAAGGCAAAATTGGTCATGATGATTCCAGGGGAGTCTTTCTGTATCTATCATTTCCCATTCCGATGGCCTACCAAAGACGCTTCATCCATGATCAGGTACGTGATCTTCAGGTACGTACATAACCAGACGAACTGCGCAATGATACACGATTGCTACGTATGATGTCCACCAAAGATTAATGAAAGCCTTACGTGAAACGCACCGCCTCGTTAACAGAACCGTCATACTCGGGACCGGACGTAGACAAACAGGGTTGGCAAGTCGAAACTCAAAATCCGGCTTCAAATATGAAACGACCGGTCAATTGGAATGAAACCTTTCGGAGTAATGTTTTTTTTCTTTCGCCGTTTTGTATTCTGGGCATATCGCCGAGCTAACGATGTGGGGAAAAGACTCAAGAGGTGTTCTAGAATTGGAGAGGCAGAGGATTATAAGAGTTCAATATAGCAAGTTAGTGTTGTCCCTCTTAGCTCAGTGGTAGAGCGTGTCACTCGTATCTATTTATCAAACTGTGCGATGACAAGGTCAGTCGTTCAATCCGGCTAGCGGGAATATGATATTGCCTCCGTTTTAAAAAATAATGATGGAAAGTTTTTGCAAACATTTATTGCTATTTCGAAAAATGATGAGATTCCGAAAAAAAAATTAAAAAGTTTTGGGCCCCGCTAAAAGACCTCTGAGCCCGCACTCAGAGGGCTATGACGATCGACGTCATAGGTTATTTCGTTGATAGTCTAAGTCATGCATTCATGGGTTGTCTCAGATGGCTCAGGCTGAGATCGGGCTGGCAGTGGGCGTGTCAAAACTTTTTCTCTTTTTCGAGAATCTCATCATTTTTGAAAATAGCAATAATTTTTTTTCGGAATCTCATCATTTTTCAAAATAGCAATAAAACTCTTGAGTCTGTTAATCACACTGAGGACATGACTACTGGAGGCCTATGGGCAATACTCTAATTTCGGAACGACATACACCTCTTGAGTATTCTGTGTTCTTGCAAAGGTGCCTTACTTTGTTGATGCCAGTTGTGCGATGTCTACTGCTATAGTCCCTCACGAAAGAGCTCTATGCTCTAGTTCCATAACGAAGCTGTTCAATTACTCCATGGTACGCTCCGATACGTCTCGAACCTTTTCCCTGCAACATCATCTGCGATTGTAAGAATCGGTAAACTATTCGACTTTTATCAAATTCAAGCACCCATGACACGCTAAGTGTTATCAAATGACTCTGTTTTAATTGCTCCCCAGTGCTTACCTTCAGAAAGAACGCTCTGATACGTCTGAAGCTTCTTCCATACATGTCTTCCTCGGACCTTCAGACCCAGTGTTTACTTGTCCGAAAACCTCACTGTTAAATAAGCAATCGCGAGCCGACATGCTTAGTAGTACACTTTCTGATACCTTCTGATCGGAGAGAAGACCGATTCCCGACGTGTTTTTTTCTTAGTTTTTCATCTCGCGTAGATGCCGCACCCGTATCAATCGCGCCGGCGCCGCATGACACAATGGCGCGACTGAGCTATCAGCGCTGTTATTCCGAAAAATGTTGATGGTGGAATACAAGATGCGATGTTAACAATGTAGGATCTGCTCAACGTCTCTCGGGAATCTGGTCAATTACTCACCGCCGACCCTGAGGCATAAAGTTGGAAAGATAAGTCAGAACTTCAAATATGCTACTGAGTGACACAGGGGAGCGCTGCGGTGAATCAATACCATTATGACGCCGCGTGAGTCAGGCAGCCTGTCTATGTACGGGCGCTGACATCGTCCGTGTATAGCACCCAGAGCTTTCCCAGCATCAACATTATGCCCTCCAAATCACTGCGCCACATGCAAGGCTTCGGCTTTCCCTTGACATCAAGACGTATGACTCAAGGTGGAACGGAGGGAATCGGTACAGCGCGCTGACAGAGATCGTACTATGGGCGGGGTCGGTAGTGGATCCAGACGTTGGTGGGGGGTGACCCTGACTCAGAGGCGGACTGGGAAGACTTTGCTAGTGTCCTGGACCTCGACACCGACTCAGAAGCAATATTATCAAGCGCTCATTTATGTCATGGTGTGTCATATCAGTTCTCAATTATGGCCGTCGAATATTCAATTTTACCAGAGCTCGAGACCGAGTGGGAGGCTGTGGAAAAATTTGATAGCGATAATGAATGGGTCTGGGAAGATCTAAGCAAGTGTGAACCGCATTTGGATATCAAGTCCGAGATTTTGGGATGCATGTTCAAGTTTTGATTAGATTGCTGCCGCAGCATGGATTAGTAGTCGGTACATGTGACATATATATTGGGTCTCTTCGCGAAGGAGAAGAGAGAATTGGGGAAGAACCACAAGCAGATACTTATCACAGTTCAGTAGAGGCCTAGAGACTTCTGGATCAAAGGAGGTAAAACTGGACTTGTTCACGAAACATGAAAGAAGCCAAGAACACCGAGGCTAGGCGGTCTCGATGGTCGAGTTGGAAAAAAAGGCGGAGGTCGGGCCGACTATGCTTGGTTCTGTTTGTCGTTTGCCGGGAAGCGCTCAACCTTCTCTTCCACAAACTTCGATGGTGGCGTCAGAAACGAAACGCGTTTGTAAACCTTGTTGAAACGAAATCAATTCATTGTATGTGCTCAAAAATTTTCTATCGTTACGTATCGGGAAAGGAGGAATGTCAGGAGACAAAAAAATAATGCGAATCATAGTAGCGAACTGTGACTCCAATCTCAACTTGAAAAGTGAACATCTCAAAAGTGCCAACCGTTCCGGTGGGTTCTTTAATTGACTTTCAAAATATGTCAAATTCATTAAATATGCAAAAATGTGTATTTCCTCTTCATAGATCCGGCAATCTGTGACTCAACCTAATCATCCTCAACATCTCGCCGTACATTAACAACTGTGAAAATTCGAACCACCTAACACCATCTTTCACGTAAAATTCATCAATCCTGTATTCCTCATTATTACCCTTGACTCGCAACCGTGCTCCGCGAATTTGGTCGGGATTGGCTTTGAAGTAAGTTTGGACTTCTCGATCTTGCACTACAACATCCCCGATGTCGAGTTCGCTGTTACGAAGCTTTGGAACCATCTGTTGGTCGTTGTACTTGGCTCTGACAAGAAAATGCCCATCTGCCTCAGCAAGGACTCTGTACTCGCAAGCATCGGTAATCCTGTCGAGCAGGAAATTTTGGCCCGCAATGCCTGGCGGGTCTCTCCGGAATTCAGCGACTAGTTCTGCATCCCACGGAGGTACGGGTGCGGTAATGTGTCGTCTACTTCCGTAGACCGACGATGGGCGGTCTTCGTTACTGCTACCGGACAGATATCTCGCTACGCTATTATCGGTGTCAGCGACGTGTTCGCGTCATTTGCAATAGACAAGCGTACTCTATCCCATCTGGCTGCTCAAGGACAGCCTCATACGGAGGTGGTGGAGACCACCTAGTATTACCAGGTTCGTCTAATCCCTGGTGGATTGGCATATCGCTGATGTCCCTTAGTATTGAATATTTGTCCAGGGCGTCTAGTTCATACCTAGACTCAGGCCTCAGTCTGGCGCCTGTTGACGGCTCTAATCCTCCTGTGGTAGAACTTTGAACATTGGTTCGCACTTGGTCAGCAGCCGGTGACAGAATGCGAGGTTCGTCTAATATACGCATGTTGTCGTCCCTATTCATATTGATTTCATAGAATATTCATGAGAAAAAAGTCTACGCGACACACCTATTAAGGCCATTTCCGTGGCCATAGGGCTCGGGCGGGAGCCCGTCGCTTTGCGGCTGGTTTTGATGTCCATCGGACCCGTCGTTGTGCCGGTCCGTCCCCTTCAGATAAGATCCACGCTCCTGGTCAGTAATGGCTGGCCTGCGTAACAGCGATCAGTTGATGCTGGAATATTAAGTCGCACGGGCGCCTACATACCCGTTAATATTTCTCTTGGTGGTCTCCACGTCATCCATCGGAGCCGCAGGCGCAGCTCCTCGGACGTGGGAGGATGCATGCTTGAGTGGAGCTCGTGTGCGCGGTACAGACCCTCTCGTAGGAATTTCGGGTCTTTTTGAGGGCTCAGTGTGATTTTGGCTGGATAGAGGAGATTGTTCGGAGCGCCTCCCTGCCCTACGAGTCATCTCCTGCGCAGGATACGGGACCATCCTTCCACTTTGTTCCCTCGGTACATGCAATCTAGGCGACGCTGACATTGGACGAGAAACCGTCTCCCTTTGACCACGGTCGGGTGGCTTCGGTTGTCCCCAATCTGTCTCTGGCCCGTCAGTGGTCTGGGGCACATCAGTCGCGCTTGGCGTGGTAGCCCGGTCTTCCCGCGGGGTTCTTCTGGGCTGCATCGATCCCAGGCGGGGAGTAGCTTGCATATGATTGGCCACCGTCTGCTGTTCTGGACGATTTACTGTTCCACGAGGCATTACCGGAGAAGGGTATGGACTATCGGCCCGAGAGAGTGCCCTATAACCTGGTTGATCTACGTGCGGGCTCATTGGCGCGATTCTGATCTCCTGAGGGGTGTTCGGTTGCGGATGGCTTGTGTTCTTGTAAGGGTCATAGTCGTTCCTTGGGAATGACTCAGAATATCGTCACGATAGAAAACATAAATGTCCGTACAGTATATTTTTGATTTTCTCTTGTTGTTCTATGTCACTGACATTATCTCGGCTATAGATGACGTCTTTTAACCAAGGATGGGATGAAGCACTAGCAGAAGGAACCCATGGTTTACTGAGTATCACATTGAGAAAGTGCCATACAACTCACAACAGTCTGTTCAATTCTTTCATTGCCTGCCACTTCCCATCTAGGGAATACAGGGAGAAAGCTTTCTCGATAATCGCCAATACAGCCGACTCCGCGCAGATAACTCTCGTCACGCAACTGACCCGTCGTAAGTTCATAAAGGGCATCGAGTTAAACATGCACGCACTCCAAGAAATTGTTCAGTGGCTTTCTAATCTCGGTCTCCATCATTTTGATGTACTTGTCCAGATCATCAAGCGAGTTTAGGTTCCCTAGACCCCCCCTCAAGTTGCTGCTCTTCACCTTCAGGTACCGTTGGAACTGGTCCTGGCTACCGAAATCCTTCTTTATCATATCCTTAACCTTCATTCCGTGATACTCAGGGTTACCACTCCTGAGAGCTCTTCGATCTGCCGGCATCTCTAATCTGATAGAGAGGAAATAATGTAGCCATCTTGCCAGGCCGTCGCTGGACGTGAGAGACACCTGATCTGAAGGATTTAGTACCATAGGTAGTTGTCGAGGGAGGAGTGCTGATGTTAGAAGCGATAAGTAACTCGGGTCATGGGCCTAAGTGCACATGCATACTGTGTTTGTTTGTTCTTTCCGCTTCATCCGATCCGGGCGTCTATTTGGATAAACTTGTCGACTTGCGGTGGGGTGCTTTAACTGTCTTGTTGAAATTGGCATGTCGATGGTGTACACGGAAGGAAGGCGAGACGTTCTCCTACTTTGGTCACGAACGCGACCTAATCTTCCTGTCGGAACTTTTTGATCGACGCGGAAGGAACGTGCAAAACATGCACTCCGGGATCGTACTCTGTTTACGATATAGCAAAAACGATCCTATATGCTGGACTTTTACTTGGGTCTTCCGTCTTCGAATCGCGCAAACCTCGCGTCCCTGAAGTTCCACGAGGCTCTTGGGAGGCGAGCGAATATCACTCAGCTTACCAGGGGTGTTAAAAACTCTGAGTTCCCTTTGGTATATTAATAGGGCAACCTTTTAGTCCGTCGATGTCTAAATGATGTGCCGATCGAGGCGAGTTATATCAATGACATTAATAACCGCTGAGCCGCTATCAGCGTTCATAATTTGCCACGCGGGAACTTGGTAACCTCGTGTACTGAATGTCTTACATGGGACCCACAATCTCACCATCTGATAAGCCTCCTTGTCTTCATGTTCGAAGATCACATATTGGCTAAGCATTCTGCTCCAGTGCATCCCTACCACTCAGCCTCTTTTGTAATAATTCAGCGTCACGTCTACGGAGACGTTAGGGTGGGTATTATACTCGGTCTATTCAATATGACTTTGTAGCGTTGTGGGTCCATCGCTACCGTTGCTCAGAGCTGAGTTCAGCTTCCTTCATTTTATACGCTACTTTCTCTATATATTATTCGCAGTTAATATATAAATATTCTCGCCTGGTGATTTTCGCGGTCTTATCAGGAAGTGTCTGCGTTTTGTACCTGCCAAAGCTTTCAGATAATCCTTTAGCGCAGCATAAAGCGTTTGATTTTTCCAGAACACCCAATCCTCAGCGCTCAGCCTTCATTGTAGCTATTTATACAAGCGGACATATGTACTGCCAGTGCAGTTGGTGCTCGCTACTTCTACCCGAAGCCAAAACACATATGATGCGGAACGACAATGGCGGCGCGCTATTGTTAACGAAGGTTACTAAGTGTGTCGTTGTCGCTGATTATTTCGTGATATAACATCATAATTGATAGTTGAACGAATCATTGAGACCGGTGCTTTAAATAATCTGTCATTAAATTCGTACGATCCGGCTGAGCTTGTCTGTACACCGGGGCGAATGGACCGGAAACAGACAGTCAACGCTTTGTAACTTATGAACTGTACATCAATCTGTGCATTTCCATATAACGAACACTAATATACATCACGATTGCAAGGGGAGGAAAAATCATTGAATAGTCGTGACTCGTGAAGACGGTATAAATCATCAACTCGTACTTTGACTACGTGTTCCCAGCCGCTTCTGCTGCCTTTTCACGATCTCGGATTGGCGACTGCTTTCCAGAACTATACGCATGGTACATCAAACCTATGGTGCCGATGATGGTAAGGAATGACCACCCAATCCAAGAAAATGCCATGAGGGTCGTCAGAATCTGGCACTGCTTTCCGCTACGACAATAGTTCTTGCCAGGGATGATTCGGTTCTGGTAAGAGGAGATGCATTAGCAACCGTGAGGCGTCACACAAGTTTCAATGCACTTACTGTCGTGTCAACGGCGCCAACCAACCACATGACCCATAAGACAAAAGTTCCGAGCATCTCTGAGCGGAAACGGCCGCTCTTATGGGATGTGTTGTGTTCACTAAGAGCGAGAACGCCACTGCCAAGGATGTTAGCTATCTGGTTATGGAGGTGTTCCAATAAACTTACGCGATGGGTGCCCAGATGATAGCGAGACAAGCAGAAACAAGGAGTTCAACGATGATGGGCTCTGTTGCAAGAAGTTAGAAGGAGAGAGTAAGACAGTAAGAAGTCATAGCAACCATAAAAACTGAGGAAGAAGCCTTCCGTTATGTGGATTCTGTAGGCAGTGAGTCCAAGGAGGACGCAGGCCACGGCCCACTGCAATGCAATTCAGTCAGAACGGTTTATAAGCAGGTGCCGCGGGTTCCCTTACAAGCCAAGCGTAGGCTAAGACTCTGTAAATGGAATATGCGTTAGACATTGCTGCGTCGAAAGGTTGCGGGTAGGTCAGTAGTATGAATGAGGTGAAACCAAGCGCCTTTGAAGGGCATTTATATAGCCTATGGGAGTCTTTGTCGTCCCCGTGTACGTTCCAGACAAAAGGTGTAGGTCATAAGACAAGCCATGGTACAAATAGACGATGGATATACCATACTCGGATAATCTTAGAATGCTGTAGAAGGTAGAAGGGAATGTTTATCAAGCGTGGACAACGAAACATACCGTCACCGTATAGTCACCGGATTATCGTAGTCAGCAGCAGTCAGTGACAAGCATTCATTCAAACCGACGGGGTCCGACGTGGGTCCATTCCCATGATAGCTGAGGGATCGATTTCGTATCGACTTAACTCGAATAACCCACATTCTTCCAGACCGAGAATCACCGACAAGCAAGTCCTGGATCCAATTTTCATAAATAACGCAGACATTCGGCAAGTGAAGTTCCCTCGGCATGAAGTGCAGAACAGTGGGTGGTGTCGTAAATCTAGGACGGACTTGAAAAGAGCCAAGAGTGTCCCATCAACTGCTATATAATAAGCCAAACTCGAAAGTCGACGTTCTTTTGGATGAGAGTTGTATTGGTCAAAAAAGAAACAAACGCTCTGGTGAATTGCTGAAGCTACACCAACGACTTTACTTACAAGTAACATGACGAAATGCAAGTGCTAGCTTGGCACCAGCGGTGGTTAAGCGGCACGGTGACTACCGTTTGCCGGCGGCAACCATATGGTGCGGCTTCTGCTGAACAGTTCGACGGCTCGACGTTGGCCAGGTCATGTCCTTAGGTCACTGGTCATAGATTTCCCAGCGCTACTAGTATGCGTCTGAATCTGTCAACACTTCTATCTCTTCGGACCTGCTCAGTACCATGGGTTCACTGGAGAGTGTTCTGCGCCACACTCCCACGTGGAGCAGCAAATTATAAACTGCTTTAATCCATAAGTTACAAGAAAGTTATAGATAAAAACGTGTCTCCAGAGACCCAATGTTAGTACAATACTCAACGCTAGTAAGCCTTTCCGCTTTGGAGGAGAATCACCGCTATTATAGCAGACGGTAGAAGCCCTGCTGAGATAGCTTCAGCAGCCATCGCTAGTCTAAAACACGACTGATCACGAGTGACTCTCGCAAATATTTTGGACGATGCATCACCACCAAGGTACATCTGTGAGCGATGCAATTAATTAGAGAGGGACTGGGCGCTGGACTTGATGAAACGATGGACTTACGCATGTGGATCCCTGTTCCGAGGTCCAGATATAATCCACGCCCCCAACGCGCATAATTCTGTATCTGAGAAGTTATGTTAAGTGACTGCTAAGAGCTGGGGAAACCCGGGAAGTATCAATCTCACCTGTGGTCATCGGAAAGGTAGAGAAAATCTCGGACGGCTCGTTTGCGCATAACGCCTCGAATCTCGACCTGACTATCGTCGGACTTCCATTGGATCATCCCGATGTTTCCTCCGTCGATGGCTTTCAGAATGGTATATCCAGGCATAGAGGGCTCAGTTACGACGTGGAACTTAGGGCAGTTGTCGGGCCCAAGGATTACGGAATTGATAATTGAGGGGTTGAGACAAGCGAAGTGAAATGTGGTGATGCCGGGCACTGCAGGAGCGTCGGTATAGGGTAGCGCGCCATATATCGAAGGTGGTATATCAAATGAACAGCGGCTACTAGGAGGAACGCCCCAAACATTGAAAGGGTTTTGCATCGTTGCGAGTATGACGATCGGATGGAAGACAACTCGGAAGGTCTTTGAAGTCTGGGGAGTTGTGCTGGAACGAAATTCGACGCCCTCATTAAATATGTTGCTGAATAATCGATAACGCGAAGCTCTAGTTGTCGTTGAAACGGCCTCCCCTTGCCACCCACAGAGAACTAAACTAAGCGAAAATGAGATATGGCCATCTCGGCAGGTTTCCTTGACGATCCAAGATTTCGAGATGAGAATGTAACAGTACGAAGAGGAGACATAGCTTCGTGGTTCAAGGGAAAGGCGTATTGCCAGAGCCGGATCTTGAAGGCAATGATCGTCATTGGGATCAGAAATGATATTTTGGTCGGCTATCTATTCAGAAGCAGCTTCGAGAGACGATCGTGTAAGTGATGATCCCAAAGCGCTGCATGGAGAACGCACCGCAGAGGTAGTTTCCGCGCAGGGCTGAAGAGGAGGGAAGACAGGCAATGCAGAGGCAGCAGAGCCTTCAAAGGACTAAAGCATATACATGCCATGGAATGGGCTGTATTTCTTAACACCAGTCCTGTCTAAGCAAATGTTCATGAAGCCTTGCATCCATATGCATCCGACACTATCAACCTTGAGGAGATGCATCAAAGACATAATCAGAGGGAACATGACACACAACCTATCGGCGAAATCCTTCTGCTTCTTTTTGGGGTGCATGTAAGATCGTCGCAAGGTAAGTGATGCTTGAACGAACGGAAACCACCGTGGTTTCGTGGAGGTTCGATTCGGAATGAATGACGTTCCGTAGTCGTCGGTATGGGTCCCTGTTCATGCTGCGGGTTTTCTTGTTGTCAGCCTCTGATAAACAAACGATTTGAATTCGTACCAGCCACTTCAACCTGACCCCTGGCGTACCTCTAGTTGAACTGGGAAAAGTTCTACTACTACTTCACCTAGAAGGGATTCCCGCGTTTCAGGTGACGGTGCCTTTAGCCTGGGATTTAACGGTCAAATCACCACGCGAGTTTGGATACGAGTGATCATGATGAGAAATCTCGAAACTGGCTATGTGAGAATAAAGACACCGGTCATCAATTTATCAGTTTGATCAGAAAGTCGAAACCACCGAAGCTATAAATGGCTCTTCCTGGCTTCATACTGTGTTCATTATAGTGTCGGACCCATTTAATATTCTCTCGTTTACTGGAAAGTATCATATATCTCCTTCGTAGATCAGAAGTATTGACTTGAAATCACTAAGCGATTCTGTGTTAGCAGCTTGATGACGGGCGAACATTTCGAAGTTTGGCATGTCTATTGAAGTGCGGCATATCCCGTCCATGGACGATTAAGTTTCGTGGCTTTGAGCAGGTCGTTTGGTCAGCACAGCACGAAGTGAATATATAGACTGATACCGAGGAAAACACGGTCTGTAGCGGCAGACAGAGAACGTATTGACTCAGGCATCGCCGCTGCGTGAGAACGAAAGTTAGATCACATGAAACGGCGGTGAACTGATTTTCATACTTACGTTCCAAGCCAGGAAGAAAAGGCATGTGTGGCTATGGCTTGGGAAACTTCATTTCCAACCGAGTGGTTCTCCAAATCGCCAGTTAGAAATCAAATGTTTCGATGACAAGCGCGACGTACACAGACTTAGAGAGAAGTGTTTATCACCGCTTATCGTACGGCGGCCCTAAACATAACTGAAACCAGGGATAAGATGATCAGCTCCATGTCTTGTGACTACTAGAAAAAGGACCTTAGCCAGATGGCAACACTCTGTCATAGTTTTTTGCAACTAACGCTCTCCGGAGCTGACTTAGGCCTCCATATCTTATAACACCTTTCGTTTCTGTGAATGAAAGATGAAAAAGACATATGCGGAGCTAATAGTTGTGATAGTCGGCTATCAGCACGTCAACGAATCCTCCATTTGGTGGTGGAAGTTCTTGTATAATCGGGCCTCCCCGGTAGTCGTAACAATGGCTTCGTCGTCAGGAAGCACGTCCTGTGATTGCACCTCCCTGGTCGAGATGGAATTGAAGAAGGTCCTATGAGCCAGTCAACGGGTGAGCTAATACCAAAAGGAAGAACAGAGTCAAATACTCTGATACAACCACGATTAGATGAAACATGCCATCCGAGTCGGAGGCTGAGAGCTCGCTATCACCACGTTCGATAATCAATTGCAGGTTTCTTGATCTCCGTCCCTCAGATGGTGTCTCGAAATCCCTCCAAAGTGCAGGAACATCTCAGGAAGGAGTGTGGGGCCGGTACCTTGAGAGGCATCGACCCAGCTGGCTCTGGACGAAATCTCACTCGTCGGATTTTGGGGTATAAAAAGATGTCCTCACTGGACCAGGGAGGGCAAAAGATTCGCGTGCCTCCGCTGAACTTGCTGCAAGTGCTATCCAGGCCTTCTTTTGTGATGGCTTTGAGATTGGTTGGATAAGATATGCGCCACACAAGGTTGGCACAGTTGTCTGATCAGGGAATGCCTGACGCTACAAGTCACCTGGATGGGGCACCCATCAGACACCAGATTAGCGTCGCTGCTAGACGAAGGAATTCAGGAAACGAACTCATTTCGAATTACTTAGGCTGCTACGACGTTTTACCTTTCCTGCGTGATCTTCCATTTCCCCGAAAAAGGTGTCCAGAACCTATATCGCATCTATCAGCTGATTCGTTCTACGAAAGTTATCATAGAAGACGTCCTACAGCTGCACCCGTGCGAGGCCGCCGGGATGGAGGGAAACCGCAACCCTCAGACTTCCTGACGGCCCTAAACAATACTGCGTCTCAGTGGCCCCAATTAGAAAACGGTGATCCCGAGTCATCGGAACACGATCAAATTGTTCGGGGGCAGATGCGATTGTACTAGAGTAATAGAAGAGGGCGTTAATGTCGAGCCAATGAAGAAGCAGCGGACGTAGATTGCTGATTTGTTATTACTCACATGGGTCTTGGCCTTCTCATGATTTGAGTGTATCATGAAGTCCAAGCAAGGATGTGGGCTATCCGACTGAAACGGGTATCTTGTATCCGTGATGCGATGCAGGGGCGGAAATTGAAGTGTGAACGGTCGTTATAACCGCTCTATCAATGCTGGTTTTCTGTATAAGTATCATTCGCCGCTGCCTCAAGTGTGTCATTTGAATAAAATAGACGCTTTCAGCCTCCCACAGAGCCCTAGTATACTTCGTAGGCAAATAGTAGAGGAAGGCGACCCAAAAACATCGACCTATCAAGACCTCCCTCGGACTTGTGACCCGCTAGTTCAAGTTGTATATCGTCACCGCGGTAAATGATGTAGCCTTGTCCAGAGATGCCAGAAAGCGTATGGAGGTATAACTTCATGGTCTCGCACAGAAAACCGCTTCAGTGAGCCTCTGCAATGCTCCAAAATCCTTTTTGTGCTATATAGTAGCACCCCCAGAATAGTTACAGAAGGTTTGAGACCTGAAAGCACTGAGCACAGCCGAGGTTTGATGACGACGGAAGAGCACCCAACTGGCACACAAACTTATAGGCTTCTTTCAAGCCATACAAGCATTACCAGCCATCAAATAAATTTGATGAGGGGAGGAGTGGAAGGCGAAAAGAAGGGGCTCGGGATTCGCCGCTAGTACTGGCGTTGCCGCGCCGCGGTAAAACTTGAGCCGGCACCTGCTAGCGCCTCCTTCAGACAGAAGTCACAGAACACATTTGGATAGCCTTAAGACCACCATAATTTTTTCAGTCTTCGTAAGATCTTAGCGCGTTTTATATTCAGATTTTTCTCATTTATGTGGGGCTCAAGTTGAGCCGAAGTCAGAGTATGCGGCATAAATGCGGCAACGGCGTTAAGACTGATGAAGCCGTGCCGCGGCAGCACTTGATACAGAAACTCCGCAATTGCCTGAATGTTTGCTCTCTACCCTCATCATCCTCAAATATTTTTCACATACATATCCTTTCTATCTTTAAAACCAAGATTACGACAATATCTAAGTTCTTATAGGTTGCGAAGTCTCCGTGATTTAAAGCCATGACGAGGGAACCTTGGACTTATGTAGGCTCCTCCAGGTGCGGTCACTTATAATGTTTTATTGAATCCTTCTACAGGTATTATACAGAGCCATGAACCCTAACTTTTCCAACCAAACAATAGTAACCCTTTTGATGCGTTTACGAGCATCGAAGGCGCATATACCCACCGTTGGAATTGTTAAGGAGTATCGCTGACGCTGTGACAGTTCGCATCCCTCGGGACTTACTCGGGACCCTTTCGATCATTAAACTGCTCTTATTTCTGAAGCGCCTGGAGGATGTGTTGCTCCGGATCAAGATGAACGAGACGCCTGGCATGGATACGTTATGCTTGCCAGCTACGTTCTTACGAAGCCGCAATTAACAAACGCCATTCATACCAAGTGATACCGCATATCCCGCCAATTCCTGGTTTAGGTTCCGCGGTGAACCCCAAATTTCTAGCGTCATCCTCAGGAAAGCTGCTATCCACAAAGTTGGCTTGCACTCGCCCACCAACTGTGGAGGAAATCGGAGAATATGTCCAGTCAGCGTGGGATTCAACGGTGCGGAATTTAAACGTGCTCACAGCTTAATTCCGGATCAGTTTGTGCAAGACCTATTAGATGAATAAGTATCTGTGTGGAGAACAGGCGCGCTTCGCGTTACACGGAGGCATCGAGGCATTCGGGCCAGAAAGAAACGGATACCGCATCTTTCATGGAATAGAATAATGGCGCGTATTTCTTTATACATGAGAATCAATCTACTTACTGGGGAATTTTAGATGGTTCGACACGAGAGCCATAGCCCGGGCCCCGCAGAGTTAGACTTTTGTGCTGATGGCCATAACAGAGACCACCGTTCTTAGACGAGGACAGATGCAACGAGTTACAGGAATTCTCGCTCAAGTCAGCAGAATTCATAATCACATTCGCAATGTACGGGCACAAGCGTGTCGAGGAGCCACTTTCTGTCTTATCATCATCGCCACCCTGCGGCAAATGCTAGCGAATGCAGGGCACTGCGAGCCCTAATTCTCCGCATATTGCATTTATATCATGCAAGGAAATCATAGACCTGTGGAATTTCCGGCAAACGTTGGCCCGACCCGATTGCTCACAAATATTTGAGTCAGCTATCGCGGTAACAGGAGTATTAAGCCGCATGTTACACTTGCACCCGGTTATATAACGTCGGCGAGCCCTTTTTCCTATCGGGATATCTTGTGGCGATCATGGCGCCTAAACTCTTCGACCCAACCAATGTTGGTGTCCTATCACTCAAACATCGTATCGTCTTAGCGCCCTTGACGCGTTTACGCGCATCAAAAGCGCACGTACCCAATGTTGGGATCGTGAAGGAGTACTATGAGCAGCGAGCGTGTACCCCGGGGACCCTTCTGATCACAGAGGCCACCTTTATCACTGAAAGGGCAGGAGGATTTAACCATGTTCCGGGTATCTGGAATCAGGATCAGATTGACGCTTGGAGAGAGGTGAGCAGGGTCGTTTTTGTGTGCTACCTACATCCTTACGAAGCACCAGATTACCAACGCCGTTCATGCCAAAGGCTCCTATATATTCTGTCAGCTATGGGCCCTAGGCCGCGCCGCCGATCCAAAAGTGCTAGTGTCCAAAGATTTGCCCTACGTCTCCGCCTCTGACATCAGGTTATCCACGGTAGCAGTCTCCCCTCGTCCACTAACCGTGAAGGATATCCAGGAATACATCCAATTGTATGCTCAAGCTGCTCGGAATGCCATCAAAGCCGGATTTGACGGCGTGGAGGTGCACGGTGCAAATGGGTACCTTCTGGATCAGTTTACGCAGGATGTATCAAACAACCGGACTGATGCATACGGGGGTAGCTTCGAGAATAGAGCACGCTTCCCACTAGAGGTCATCGATGCTGTCGTTGAAGCGGTAGGGCCGGAAAGAGTCGGTTACCGTATCAGTCCTTGGAATCGCGTCCAAGGTGGATAATTTTTCCCCCGTCACTAGGTGTTCCCTCACGAAAACATCTATCAGATATGAAAATGGAAGACCCTAAACCTACCTTCGCATACCTTATATCACAGCTAAAAGCGCGGCAGCCTCTGTTGGCGTATCTGCACGTCGTGGAGCCAAGAGTGGTCGGGTTATACGATCGGAAGGATGCCGATATAGGGATAGACGAAGAGAACGATTTTATTCGGAGCATCTGGGTTCCAAAGCCCCTCATATCCGCGGGAGGTTACAACCGTCGATCTGCGATCGATACTGCGGAACGCAAGGGCGATTTGATTGCCTTTGGAAGACACTTCATCGCCAACGTGCGTACGGTTCTATCTTATCTTCCAATGAATAGGTATTGAAGTTCCACATTTGTAGCCTGACTTGGTATACAGGCTGGAGAACGATATTCCGCTAAATGCGTACAACAGAAAGACGTTTTACCTTCCTGGGGAAGTTGCGGCAACAGGATATACTGATTATCCGTTCGCAGAAGAGTTCGTTGGCAAGTCTCTGTTATAGATGCCTTGCCCGTATCACGTATCAGCGGTTTGTGAAACACTCGAGTCAGTGCCTATGTCCCTGACGGCAACTTGTTGGATGCCAGTCAAAAAAATTTCAGATACACTTTGGAATTAAAGTTCAATCTCCGGGACGGGAGCGAGGGGAGTTTGGGCTGAAGTGAGGTTCCAGAGTGCCTTGGTCCCACGAAAACTGAGCATCGGCAAAATTAACGCTATATGGATCTTTTCAGGCAGGCATACCCATCTCTCGCCATTCTCAATGGTTAATCGTGGAGCTTGCCGTATAAGAGAGACAACGTTGATGGGATGAACACATTTGTGTTGTACACGTGCCATTGACTCCGACCACATATTTTCAGGCTTTGAACGCAGTTGAAAAGATGTGATATGATTGTGATGCATAGCTGATGGATAACATCGTGGTGTTAAAACGCAACAGAAGGACAGGAAGCGATTTGTAGAAGTATCATTACGAATAGGACATCTCGGTGCCTTGCATGTCTTATCGGTCAAAACCTGCTTCCTCAGTGCATGATTGGGAGGGGCTTGTACGGCTCCTCCAGATACTTTACTTCTTCGTCAGTCAATGTGACCTCGATGGCACCTAGATCGTCGTTCCATCAGCAGGGGTAATCCACAAATAATCCGAAGACCTACCAATAAGATCTTCAAGGTTAGCCACCGACGTCGTCCCGACAATTGGGGCAGAGATGCCTGTAATAGCGCTTTAGCAGTGAATAGACAGAGCCAAAGGTACCGAACCTTCTTTACCCATGGAATAGGCAACGGCGACTTGGGCCATCGAAATCCCGCGTTTTTTCGCTATCTCTTCGACGCTACAGGAACATCAGCTAGCCGAACCGCGTAGAGAAAATAAAAGATGAAGCACCGGCTGATTATTGTTTCGGTGGCGTCGCTGGCTTTGTAGATTGTTGCCCAGCTGGTGAGGATCTGAGTTTTGTACAGGGCAATTGTTCATATCAACCACTTACGGATCTGCCTCCGTCCGTTTGGTCTGTTGGTGGATGGGACGTGTGAGCATGCCTCGAGCAAGAGGAGACCATGGGATGGATCCGACTCCGAAATGCTATGATGTGCAAACTTATTGAACAAGGCTGATGGAGAGGTACAACGGTCGGACTGTACCTTGAGAGTGGGGAACATCTCACGCTCCTCCTCCCGATAGAGTAGGCTGTGATGATTCTGCATCGATATGAAAGGAGTTAAATTATGTTGAATGGCATAATCTACAACCAGGCGTTAGTTCGATGATATGAGAATCGAAAGACAGCATACTTTGCATGATATGAACTAATACCCAACCAGATAGTGAGTATTCAGCGGCTGAGAAACAAGAACCAGCCACTCACACTGCCATGCGTAACAAGAAGACATGCCAATGTATCTGACATATCCCGCTTGGACAACGTCGTGCAAAGCTTGCATCTAATTTCGCAAATGTATTAGAAGCGCCGGTACATAAATAGAGCACCAAGACCGACTTACCGTTTCAGCGACTGGTGTCTCGGGATCGAATCGATGACCTATTGCGGTATTAGAGAAAGATAGAATTAAACTACTGACTGGTGCTCACACTGCAGGACATCGATGTAGTCAAGTTGCAAACGCTCTAAGCTGTGCTTGACGCTGTCGAAGATGTGCTTCACATAATCTCAGTGCTTCCATCTCCAAAGAATTGTATCTCGCAAAACCAACCTTCCGGCTAAGACCGTGCTGATTCACATATCCATCCTTTTCGCTTTCGGAAGGGATCATATAGAACCCTGCAGGCTCTTTTGCGACCGTGAAGAAGACCTGGGAAAATCAGTCTGCATTGTTTTGATGTTGCCGAACATCGACGCACTTTGGTCATTACGACGATGTTTTCGCGCGGCAAGTTGTGCTGCTTGATCGCCTTCCCAAGCATAATTTCGGACTGCCCGTTGGAATAGACCTATGAGAGAAAAATAGATTAGTAAAGAGCATTAAGGACCAACAGGATACTTGCGTTGGCAGTGTCGAACGCATTGATTCCAGCATCATAGCTGTAAACCATATCAATACAAGATCAATGTTTTGAATGATACAGAGGGCGAGTGTACGAACGCAGCCTTGATATGCTTGATACCTTCTTCCTCAGGAAGCACCCATCCTTGCCAGGCAGGATTACCGTAGGACATACATCCTAAAATGATCTTGGAGACCTTCAAGCCAGAATTTCCCAGGCGAACTGAAGATAATCCATTGAGCACGAACGCAAATTGAGGGAGAAGACTTTTACACACCGTACTGCATCTCAGTTGAATGCATATCGAAAACAATGTAGGATGACAGTGTGCACCTCTAAAAATGTTTATATACTGTACGTCTGCCTGCCGAGATGACACAGCATTTTACGGCAACATTCTACGAACGACGCGTACAAACGGCTTATGGTTCCCAGGGGCAAGTCATCGGCTGTAGCCCTGGGCTGTAGGACCTTTTCAGGGGGTCTTCGATGCTCGAAAACCAGATCAAAACTCCTGTTTCCTTTGAAGATCGGCAGTGCTGAACTGCCTTGTCTTTTTCTGGATTGAAATTTTTGACAGACATCTAGCTAGTGCACACCCAGAGAGCATCTATGCCGGTGCTCGATAAGCCTGGACTGGCATATGACGCGTCAACCTGCCGCTGCAACCAAGTAAGTCGTAAGACTTGATGACTGAGTGTACCGAAGCTGAGTAATGCATCCTATTTTCCGGTGGGATCGGTATAAAATGAACGGTGGGAGCCAACTGGAAGAGGTGGTGGTGGTGGTGGTGTTACCGGCGCCAGGTCCCAATAAGGAACGGCCGGGTCCACAGCCCTGACATGGCGAACCATGTGCTGTGGCTGCAAAGGCTCATACCGTTGTAATCACACTGTTGAGTGCCTCTCGCGGAGTAGAGACTCTTCGCAGGGTGCTAAAGTGGGTACCAAAACGGAGGGATCGCAACTCAGAACGAACGAAACACTGAAATTTACAGAACTCAAGTATTTATGGATGATACAGTGGTGTACAGCTGAAAACTCGGAATACGTCAAAAACGTACTTGGCAAAAGAAGTTAGGACTCGACTATCGTCACCATCAAGAAAGATACGGAGAACATGAAGTGCAAATGATGCCGACTTCAGCGCAGCTGCAAGGGGAGGACTTGCGAGCGCGAAAACGTTGTGAAAGAAACGGGCACGCAAATCCTGTAAGTCTTAGCTCTGTCACAGTACAACAAATCATGTGCCTCGTCCTCAACCTCTGAACCACAAAGACGGCACAAACGCTGACAGCGAGGAACGGGAGGAACGGGAGGACGCCTTCGTTCCGCCCATCGGAGGACCTCCACTGCAAGTGTATGAGAAGATGTCACGACTCTCTAGGATACGGTATGTGTCTGTTAAGGGGCCAGTACGTGGAAAGGACAGAATTTGTGTTTCGATATTTGTCAATCGATTAGAGTTGTGTTTCAAAGAAAACAGGCGGATGAGGAGCGGTAGCGGCTGCTGCGAGTGACTGAACTTGGTCACGAAGAGAGTCGAGTTGCATTTCTGTTTGGGAATGTAGGTCTGCCAAAAGGGAAGCCCATTCCGCGGTTGGAGAGAGAAGGTGAAGAGAATTGGAGCAGATGGTGCTGTTGCCAGAGTCACTGTTGACGGATCAGAGGAGATGGAATCCTTCTTGCGTTTCTTCTTCTGCGGTGCAGCTGAGGACGACGGCTTCACAACCGGCGGCGACAAAGGCAGTTTCAGTGTGACCGCGCAATGAAACGTGTATTGCTTGCCGGACTATAGGAAGTAGAAGGAGTAGCAATTTCATCAGAACCGAAGGAAGACAGTTTTCGCTTTTGAGCGGCCTTTCCTTTTTTCGCTGTGGCAGAGGTAATAGAGGCAACAGGTGGTAGGTGGAGATCAGGGCTCAAGCGCTCAAGGAAGGTGGAAGAGAACATGACTGTGCACCGAGATTGATGAGGACCTCGTCGTCGTCCTCCGGTCGGTCTTCCCGATCCTCCCGATCACACCAGCTCTCTTGAGTCGATGAGTTTTCAATAACTTCGGGGGCCCCCTTCGTAAGGAACCCCCCTGTGGACGTAACCACTGCACAGGGAAAAGCCTTCGTAAGGACCCCCCCCCTGTGGACATAACCACTGCACAGACGAGATCCTTGGGAAAGGACTTCATCTGCGGACGTAACAACAGAGCATCAGCGCACAGGTGAAATCCTTCGCAAAGGAGGCCGCCTGTGGTCGTAACGGCTGAACACCAGGAAGCAGGTGAGACTCTTCGCAAAGGACACCGCCGTAGTTTATAGCAGCAAATGAAAGACGTCGGTAATGAGACTAGGTAGGTGATGGAATGGAGGTGGTGACGGGTCTCGTGGTGAGATGGTATGCAACATGGTGGTATCGTGGGTGTTGGGAGGTCGACGTCAGCGTTCAAAGAGAAAATTGCCACTTTCGGCTGCATTACTCATCGGCCCGAAGCACCCGGAAGGATTTTTCAACGTTTTATGGAGGTCTACGTCAAGATCCCTGCTTCTCCTCTTCGCCTATAAAAGATTGTGAAGTTCATATTCAAAAAATTCAAAATATTGCAGCTCCCGTAAATATTGCGACAACATAGTGGACAATTTATGGAGTTAAGGTACCATTTCTTGTCGTTGATAGAACATTATCAGAACAGAAGTGCACGCGTGCATATCGATTGATTGACTGCAGTATACGTTTTATAATGTACTAACAGAATGGAATACGATTGATTTATTGCTCGAGCTCCCCGCCAAATCATCCTGCTTTCTAAGTCACTGACGCTGTAGCCCATCCTCGTACAGGCCTACCTATTGAGCGGAGTTACAAGCAACGGGATTTGCGGTCCTTCCTCTGCCTTGCCTAGGACGATGGGGCCCAAAGTCTGACCTGCCGGACCATGCTGTAATCTCGGAGCTCCCTTCGGCATGCTGAACTCGAAGTTACTCAAGAGTTCTGTCACCACAGATTGCAGCTCCATGACACTGTAAAGCAATCAGAGCCCGGATAATGCGATAAGATGATCCGTACGTACGCAAATCGCCAGCTGCAGACACAAATACATAGGTCAGATATGAGGCATTACCGGCGGTGCTCAAGGCACTTACCCAATACATCCACGAATACCAGCACCTAGAATAGTAAAATAATTAACAATGGCTATCGATGAGAGAATATTACTGCTTACTGAATGTCAGCCTATCATGGGATTGTGGCAACATCAGTAGGCGAAATACACAAAACGGATAAGATCGTACAGGTTCGCATAGACTCCAACAGACAATTGCTTAGTGTCCCGATTGTCGAGGAATCGACTAGGATTCCACTCTTCGGCATCATCACCCCAGACCGATGGAAGCCTAGTAGCATCCCCAATCAGGAGCCCTGCCCTAGCGAAAGAGCAAAACTACATACCGATTGTAGGAATACACAGAAGTCAGGATGACCTGCCCCTTGCGAATAGGAATTTGTGAACACAATTGGCCGTCCGAGGTGGTGATAGGTTGGGCGAGGGGCAGGACGTCATCTTGGGATGATTCACGAAATAGGCCATATGCTAGGGGGTGGAGACGGAGAGCCTCCTATGATAGTCCATATATTAACATCGGGTAGTTTCTGTCATATCACACAACAAGAAACCTACTTTAATAGACGCGTTAAGCCAAAGCATTGAATCATAATCATCCGAGGTAAGCGTTCCCGGGGTGTTTGCTTTGATTTGCGTGATCTCCTCACGTATCTTTCGTTGATCTTCTGGGTGAAGACTTAGCTCGTAGAGAAGCCAAGCCAAGCCATGGCATTTGCAGTCGTGTCGTGACCAGTTAGGATGAATGTTCTGTTGAATTCAGTCAACAGGTAGAAGTAGCATACAGTAAAGGGAACTTACGCTAACTGAGAGTCGATTTCTATATCACTCATCTTCTTCTTCACATCATCATTGAGATAAGATATCGCTGAGCCAACGTAAGGAAGAGATGCAATGGTGAAATTCATGTCACATACCGAGAACATTAACGATGTCCTTCTCTGCCGGATCGACATCGCCAGCCACTTCTTTCAGCTGTTTCTCGAAGATGGGCCTAGATACCTTCATCGCGACGTTTTTAAAGAAATTCAGTCTCGAAATCTGTCGACTGGGTATCCACCCGAGTGGTATAAGCAGCCAACCGGGGAGTAGGCGCCAGAGAGCGGGATACAGAAGCTCCAGTGATGTCGGCGACCTAGCAGCTTCACTACTGTTCGGAGGTGAGTGAACAGATATGTTACAAATAGAATATGTTGCGTACAAAAGATTATTGACCGCCGCCATCAACTTGGTGTTTCCATCGCCGAGTGAATTGAACTGATATCGGAAAGAGGCTACACAAATCGTTCATGACTTTGACGATCATGAGGTTGGTAAGACGAAATCATACTGATGCCTATAATATCCAGTGTAGTCTTGGCTCCCCATTCAAGCATATTGAGCTCTTTGGCATCCCCAACACGCTCGCTGATCTTCTCTGTAAGCTATGGTAACCGAGTGAGCTAAAGTAATGAAACTCCCTGTATCTACCGCACCTTCATTGCCGATGCCTGAAAGACGGTCAGAAAGAGTCGGAGTTGCGATGTTGAAAAAGAGGGACTAAGGATTTTCCGCTGGCGTCGGTGGATATCACCTAAAAATGCCATTAGCGGACGAGGTGACACGGAATCATATGGCATACCGTCCACACCAACTAAGCCTTGTCCCGCCATAGCCTGTAGGGCACGGTAGGAGTCTCTTGTCTTGCGAAATCGGTATCCAGATGAATGAAAAATATACTGCAATGCCTTGGGGTCAGCGACAGACAAAATGTTTTGCTACGTCAAATGTCAGTCCCTAGTAAAGATAGCTTTGGAAGGACAAGAGCGACGAACCCCGAAACAGCCCTTAGTGCGGTATACAGCCCCGTATTCTTGACACCACTGTGTTTCCATATCCCCTACATGTTGGCGATTACGCAAGAGGTATTCATGACCTGATAGAAAGTCATTCAGAAAACAGTTCGAATGACGGAGCCAAGGCAAGCAAACCTAAGAGAAATGAAGGACTTAGAGGTCCACGAATCCTCTGTACCAAAGATCTGCGACCCTTCGAGCGTAGAAATAGCACGAAGGTAAGAAGAATTGCGACGGCAGGGAAGACGTAGTACGAGGTGGACTGCATGATGTACAACTTAGACGATGTTCTTCAGAGGATATCATTATGAATGGCCTTTATAAGTGGATCCAATTGAGCCCGTAGCGAAGTAGTTCTCGAATTTCGTGAAAACGAAGTCGGCTGGATGCAAACTTCAGCAAGATGGCCCGTCGAGTAATCGGACACGGTCAAGGGTACCGCGGGATGCACCAACTCAGGGCATCCTATAAAATCAACGCACGAGAAAAGCCGATGTATGTCGGAAAGACGTAAGAACTCCTACTAGAAACGGTTCAGCCAAGTAAGAAAACCAGTCAAACCACTTGTTTGTCAAGCTATGGGTTCTTCCGACGCCGTGGCTCGGGAAGAATCTGCGTAAGATGGGCACAGTAATGGCGCATTGACATACATCACATGATTAACTCTCAGAATGTTCTTTTCCACGAACAGGAATTTTGGTCAGATGGCTTGAGAGATGGTGCGATGCGAACCGCCGGACGATTTGCGTAATGCTCCCTTGTAGCATATGATCAGTTAAAAATGTCTATTTCTTATCAAAGGTCCCACCATACTAGAAGTTTGTCGGTGAATCGGGGCCTGTGAATGAAAGGATATCGAGATGTGACGGAAAATCGCTTCTGCATCCTTCAAAAGGTCGACCGGTGACTGATTGCCCGTCACAGAAAGGTCGAGGGGCCTTTCGACGAGCTTATCTTCACCTCTCCAATGCGGTCCTCCACAACAACATCTTCAGCAGGGCGACTGTCTTATGCCGGAGTCCTGACATCCATCTGGATGCCTCACTTTGACTCGTCGCTCTCCGAATCGCTCCCCGCCTTGAGAAGATGAGTGCAGCCAATGATCCGACGACTGTCGTGGAAATGACAATGCCTGCTGAATCTCTAATTCATCCTCCGTTTCACGCGTTGAGAGTAGCTGATCCACGGGAAGACCCTGTGTCGACAAAGCCTTTAAAACAACCACGTTTGGTAGCGTACGAGATCATGAAGGGAGCGAGTCATAGGCAGATTCCGACTTCATTGTAACTTATGGTACAATTGACGTTCTGAGAACGATTCCAAACTTGCCTATGGAGGCCTTTCGCTTTGGGGGAAGGGACCTACGTCTTGTACGAAGAGTCGCTACCTTTCGTCGCGTCTCGCATTCAAACCCTTTCTGCTTGCTCGATGTCTCAGTCTCCCCAAGCGAAATCCGGATGTTTGTGGAAGTCACCTAACAGTGGATTGATTGAATATTAGGAGCTGGGGGGAAAATCGTATCAATATCTTCATCCCAACTCGTAAGAAGGCGCTTACAACCTCCTTAATTCTTACTTGTCGATGCTGAGACTCCAATTGGTCCGTCCCGTGCGTCGATGAAGGGCATTATGACCCTCCTGCATAAGCTTTTGGCGCGCATGATGTATACGAGAATGGTCAGAAGCCAACAAAAAGGCGTCCAAAGTGGAGGATCCACTGGGCCGCCCGAGCTTGATTGTAACGCAGTCCTTCCACTCGTCGGGAATAGCAGAGTTCTTCTTGTTGACTGCGATCAGATGTATTCTGGTACGCATATGGGGAATATAGCACTGTTTGATATCGACACGGGAAAAGGTCGTGCTGTGTCCGTGGAAACTTCTCTTGCACCCAGAACATACGTTCTCGAGAATGACAATGGCCGGGCTATAGCTGGTAACCCGGGACATTATGCTGCGGAACGTACATCCAGATTCAACGTTCGCATCTTGAATATCTTGCTCGTCGTTATTGAGATTGGAGTAGTCGACACACAACGTACCGGCAACTAAGAGATCAACGTCGCCATGTGACTGCAGTTTAATTAGTATTCAAATATTATCCAAGACGATAGAACCACCCAGCTCACAGACATCACGAAAGTGAAAGTTGCTTCAATGTACGCCTGTTTGAAAGGTTCGCCCTTGCATGCTCATTGTTAAAAGTGACGTCATGACGCTCCAGGCGTGACTAGTGAATTCTAGATAAGTTCGAAAGCCTGGTGAGGGGATCCAGTGCCAGAGCCCTCGTCGGAACGTGCTATTTACGTCCAGAGACATGATGGCCAGCAACCTGCTTGATTTGGGGACGATATCGGAGAAAATGGCTAGTATATCATGAATAGATCACAAATCCAACGCGTCAGGGGTGGCAGATTTAGTAGCGATGAGAGTGTCGTAGTCCATGTTGACGTAAGAAGGGTCATCGACATCCTGTTTGCGACAGAAAAATGACGTGGTAGACCGCTGTCCTTTCGGTTGGCTCTTGCCCTTGGCTAATATAGTAGGAGGCCAGGGAAGACTGTAGAGGGTGGTGCTCGGGTCTAGTCTCGTAACCAGACACAACGATCTGTATGAAGATGAGTCGTTCACAGATATAGAGCCTGAATAATGATTCTAATCAGAGGGGATGAGCGCTACTTGAAAAAGGTGATGGCCGGCATCCGGCATCATGCGCGTGCGCGTCCAAAACGGGAATCCGGCAGCCTTCTGCTCTCACCAACTTGTCGCGTCGTCTGTCTCTTGCTCTACACGTTCATAGCACTCCCAGACGCATAAGTTGTGTTTTATGAATATATTATGGACATTACATTCACAGATGACGTGTCAAAACACGTGGAGTATCGTCCGTAATCGATCATGAACGTTTGAACCTCAAGAGAATCAGCATCTACTTAGTGACATTGAACTTCGCTCGGATGTGCCTCGTTATGATTCTCCGGTCACACTTCACTAATAATAAATCCGAATAAATGAAATAGGCATCGATGACAATTCTGAATAACAGTCTTCACCAGCCCATGTATGTCAAAAATCGCCCTCCTACAACTAACTCAGATTGCCCTCTGCGGAATGTTCCTGACACTATAATATCGGGACCGTCAAGTCGTCGCTTTTGCTCAGTTTTCTTCTGTTCCATGATAGACAAATCTTTCGCGAAACCGGCCGACACTTTCATACGAGAGGAGCGGTTTTAATCCTACTTCATCATCATCACTTACGCCTACGAAAATATACAGCTCATCTTACGTTCCCTCGTCTCCTTCCCTCTCGTTGTATATGCCTTGACTTCGTTTCTGTCGCGCTTCAGGCGATCCGTCATGTGCAAACTATAAAGCTCTCCCTGCCCCTCCCGTCTACTAGGTCAGATTTAATAGCGCAAGCATACTCGTGCTAAACTGTCTTTTCTTAGACCATGAATACCTTCTTCATAATCGCGCAAATATCAGAGACTTGGAGATCAATACAGTGAACGATTGATGGCATTGAGGTGCCATTTCCTGTGATTGATAGGACATTATGAAGACAGAAATGCATGTGCACGATTGGATTATTGCTCGACCCCCCCTTGCTTTCTGAATCCCTGACGCTGTAGCCCATGCTCTCGCAGACCTACTTGTTAAGTGCGGTTACAAGCAACGGGATTTGCGGTCCTTCCTCTACTTTGCCTGGAACGTTGGGTCCCAATGCCATACCGGCGGGACCATGCTGTAATCTCGGAGCTCCCTTCGGCATACTGAACTCGAAGTTACTCAAGAGTTCTGTGACCACCGATTGCAATTCCATGACACTGTAAAGCAATCAGAGCTCGGAGACTGCGATAAGATGACCAATACGTACGAAAATCGCCAGCTGCAGATGCAAAAATGTAGGTCAGATATGAACCATTACCCGCGGTACTCAAGGTACGTACCCAATGCATCCACGAATACCAGCACCTAGAGTAGTAAGATAATTAACAGTGGCTATTGATGAGAGGATATTGCCGCTTACTGAATGTCAGCCTGTCATGGAATCACGGTAACATCAGTAGGCGAAATACACAAAACGGACGAGATCGTACAGATTTGCATAGACTCCGAGAGAGATTTGCTTGGCATCCCGACCGTCAAGGAATCGACTAGGATTCCACTCCTCGGCATCATCACCCCAGACCGACGGAAGCCTGGTACCATCCCCAATCATTAACTCTGCCTTAGCAAAAGAGAAAAGCTACACACCGATTATAGGAATACAGAGAAGTCATGACGACCTGGCCCTTGCAAATAGGAATCTGCGAACACAATTTGCCATCCGAAGTGGTGATGGGTTGGGCGAGAGGCAGGACGTCATCCTGGGCTGATTCACGAAATAAGCTATGTACCAGAGGGTGGAGACGGAGGGCTTCCTATAGTGTCCATACATTAACGTCGAGCGGCTTCTGTCATATCACACAACGAGTGACTTACTTTAATACAGGCGTTCAGCCAAACCATCGAATCATAATCATCCGAGGTAAGCGCTCCCGGAGCATTTGCTTTGGCTTGCACAATCTCCTTGCGTATCTTTACTTGGTCCTCAGGATGAAGACTTAGCTCGTAGAGAAGCCAAGCCATGGTGTTCGCAGTCGTGTCGTGACCGGTTAGGATGAACGTCCTGTTATACCAAGTCAACTAATAGAACTCGCGCAGAGTAAAGGCAGCTTACGCCAGCTGAGAGTCGATTTCTATATCGCTCATCTTCTTCTTTGCATCATCATTGAGATGAGACATCGCTGAGCCGACGTTAAGTAAGAGCTGCAATGGTGACATCCATGTCACATACCGAGAACATTAACGATGTCCTTCTCAGCTGGATTGACATCACCGGCCACTTCTTTCAGCTGTTTCTCGAAGATCGGTCTTGATACCTTCATCGCAACTTTTCTGAAGAAACTCAGTCGCTTAGTCTCTCGATTGGGTAGCCACTCGAGTGGCACAAGCAGCCAACCGGGAAGTCGGCGCCAGAGTGCGGAATACAGAAGCTCCAGGGATGTCGGCGAACTCGCTGCATCACTACTGCTCGGAGGTGAGTGGACGAAATATATCACAAATAAAGTATGTACTGCGTACAAGATATTATTGACCGCCTTCATCAACTCAGTGTTTCCATCGCCCAGTGAATTGAATTGATATCTGAAAGAGGCTAAATAACAAACCGTTCATCAGTTTGATGATCATGAAGTTGGCAAGACGAAATCATACTAATGCCAATGATATCTAGTGCAGCCTTGCCCGTCCATTCAAGCACATTGAGCACTTTGGCATCCCCAACACGCTCGCTAATCTTCTCTGTAAGCTAGGATATCAGGGTTAGCCAACGTCACGAATCCCCGTGCATCTACCGCACCTTCACTGCAGACGTCTGAAAGACAGTCAAAAAGAGTCGGAGTTGAGATGTCGCAAAGGCGGGACCGAGGATTTTCCGCTGGCGTCGGTGGATTTCACCTAAAACTGCTATCAGCAGAAGATTCTCATAGAACCATTTGACATACCGTCCACACTAACTAAGCCCTGTCCCATGAAGGCATGTAGGGAATGGTAGACGTCTTGTGTCTTTGGGAATCGGTATCCAGATGAATGAAAAATGTACTGCAATGCCTTGGGGTCAACGACAGACAAGATGTCTTGCTGCGCCAAATGTCAATCCCTAGTAAAGATAGCTTTCGATGACAAGAACGACCAACCCCGAAACAACCCTTAGTGCGGTACACAGCCCCGTATTCTTGACACCACTTCGTCTCCATATCACCTACGTGTTGGCGATTACGCAAGAGGTATTCATGGCTTGACAGAAAGTCATTCAGAATACAGTTCAGACGGCAACGTCAAGGCGAGCAGACCTAAGAGAAATGAAGGACTTGGAGGTCCACGAATCCTCTGTACCGAAGATCGACGTCCCTTCGAGCGTAGAAATAGCACGAAGGTAAGAAGAATTGTGACTGTAGGAAGGACGAAATAGTATGAGGTCTGCTGCATGATGGACAACTTGAATAATGTTCTGCATAGGACATCGTTAAGAGTGGCCTTTTATATGTCAGCCCAGTTGGGCCTGTCGTAAAGAAGTCCTCGAGTTCGGCGAAGACAAAGTTGGCTGAGTGAGCACTTGAGCAAAATGGCCCGTTGAATAATTGGACCTCAGTCAAGGGAACTGCGGGATTCACCAACCCAGTGCATTGCATAAGACAAACGCACACGAGAGTGGCCGATGAATAAGTTGGCTAGACGTAAGGGCTTCTAAAAAACGGTTCAATGAGGTAAGAAACTAGTCAAACCGTTTATCTGTCGGGCCATGGGTTCTTCCGACTTGGACGCGGTGACACGGGAAGAACCTGCATAAGATGGGCACATTAATGGCACATACATCACATGATTAATTCTCAGAATGTTCTTTTTCATGAACAGGAATTCTGGTCAGATGGTCTGTAAGATCCTGCAACGCGAACTGAGCCGCTCTCTGCGACGATTTGAGCAACGCCCCCTTGTAGCAATATGATCAGTTAAAAATATCTATTTCTCATTAGAAGTTCCACCATACTAGAAGTTGGTCGGCGAATCAGAGCCTAGGAATGCAAAAATATCGAGATGTGATGTAAAAATTGCCTATGATTTTGCCCTTTTGACGAATTAAGTGCCTGGCATTCGAAGGCACGGTCCATTTCATTGTCCAGGAACTTAGCAATTGTCTGCAGCTAACGACAGCGGAGGTATTGACGTGAGGCGAAATCAGCAGACTGAGATAACAGTATGTCAGTCAGGGTCTTGAAACAGCGAAGAATTGATCACCGACTCACCCGAAAAAGCAGGTGGTTCCTTCTTTGAATATTCCTGCCTTGTACCTGTTGGCCGCATGCGATTCTCGTCAATTTGTTAGCCCCCATGCCGCTAAGGGATTTCTTACTATCCCTAATGTTGGACAAACGTCGGCATTGCGCAATGAACAGGTAAGCTGTCTTACCTCGACTGACCCTTCCCAACGTTTCTTCGGCGCAGGTGTCGATGCACACTGTACTGCCTCGACCAGGCAAAAAAAAATCACCTATGGACGGAGCAAGACTGTCTTCACTATCAAGGCGGGGTGAAAAAGGCGTTTATTGATAGTCTTTTACCAATGTCCCAGGATGAACAATCCTGTTGCTCTCCATCACCTTCACTTGAAACACCGACAGGATCTGCAAGCGATGGATGAGGTGCATTTACTTGAATGCATTTCAAAGACTGGCGCTGGAGATGATGACTGGAACGTCGGATATTCAATGGGAATGACCGGCGGTGTTAAGCATCCACAGCACCGGTAGCCTTTCTCCTATGTAGCACCCCGTTCATGGCAACCACAGTGTTCAAGCAGTGTATAAACCCAGGAAATATCACATTCGAATTCGGGGACATCAGAGTTGGCGACCGACACTCGCAAACGTGAAAAGGTCATTTTGTTTTCAAGTCGCTACCAGTAACACCCAAACGCACATCCCACGATGGTACCCGGTCCCCTTCTCCCGCCACTTTTTGACAGTGATGAGGAAGAGCGAAATCCCAGTCGCTGCATAGCAAGCACCCAGCACAAGCAAACTTGCCAGCAATCGACGTATCTCGGCATCCGCAGGCTGTCCAGACGCTTTCCGGAAGCCACCTAACAGTGGATTGATTGAATAATAAGAGCTGGAGAAAAAGTTGTAGCAATACCTTCATCCCAACTCGCAAGAGGACGTTTTCGATCCCTGACGCTCTTCAAAATTTGTGTGCTGATACCGAGACTCGCGGCGACTTTAATCGGTTCGTCCTGTGCACCAATCAAGGGCGTTATAGCTCTCCTGCACGAGATTTGCTACGCGCGATGTATACGAGGATCGTCAAAAGCCGACAAAAAGGAATACTAAGCAGATTTCTTCCCGTCGACTAGGATGAGACGAACTCCGGTACGCAGATGGGGAATATAGCACTGTTTAGTGTCGACATGGCAAAAGGTGCGGTATCCATGTGCTTCAAACTTCTTTGCACCCGAGGCCATGGGGAGGAACATACGTTCTCGAGAATGACAACCAGTGGCAGGGCAGCATACCACCGAACGTAGTCTGGAGTCGCCGTTCGCGTTAGTATCCTGCTTGCTGCTATTGGGATCGGAGTAGTCGACACGCGATGGACCAGTCACTAAGAGACCAACGTCGCCTGGTACCGATGCTGATGCACATGTGCCATACACGGTGTGACTACAGTTTAATTAGTATCCAATTGTTATCCGAGACGATAGAACGAACGCTTCAGCATCACCCAACTCAGGCATCACGAAAGAAGGGGCTTCGCCTGTTTGAAAAGCTCAGCGCTCAACCTCAAAACTGACGCCATGCTGCTCCAGGAGTGACTTCTAGATGAGTTCGAGAGCCCGAAGAGGGTATTAAGTGCCAGATCCCATCATCGCGAGGCATAGTTTACGTCCAGAGACACAGTCGGCGACCTACTTGATATGGGTTCCTCGCTGACCATGTCGGAGAAAATGACTGGGATATCGTTAATAGATCAAATACGGCGCGTCTGGCATGGCAGGTTTCGTAGCGGTGATTGAGCAATGAGAGCGTCATCGTCGTCAATGTCAAAGTAAGAAGGGAAGAAGATCCTTCTTCTTGCGAAAAATGATGTGGTAGACTGCTGTCCTTTCTGTTGGCTCTTGTTCTGGGCCATTATAGTCGGAGGCCATGGAAGATTGTAGATAATAAAGGGTGCTCGGGCCTGGTCTCGCAAACCAGACTTAACGATCCTGTACAAGCGGTGCTTGAAAAAAGTGATGGCCGATATCTGGCATCATGGCGCGCATCCAAATTTGGAATCTCAGGCTGCTCTCATTAATGTCGCGTCGTCTGTCCCCTTGCTGTCCCCTGCTCTACGCGCCCGCTGTGCTCCTAGATACGTATGTTTATGTTTTAGGGGTTTATTGTGGGTATTACAGCCATACATGACGCGTATCGACCGGTCTACATCAGTCCGGTTACTTGTTCAGATGGTCCAATCACTCTGATTCACTCCTCATTTCTTTGACAGAGTGTGTATCCAACATGCCGCATTCGTTTCTGACTATAATTTAGCTATCGGCCTCGTAATGGTCAAGACGGGGCCCTCTATTCCAGTTCGAATAGCTCATACTATCAAAATGGAAAAGCATTCGTTAATGAGTAGTAATCTGTCTACCGTATACGTCCTCCATAATATATAAACAAGTTGAAATCATTGATGTAGAGTCCCACGAAAAATACTCTGATGTCTAAAACACCGGCACTGTAGCCCATCCTCTTCTAGACCTACCTGTTGAGCGCAGTTACAAGTAACGGGATTTGTGGTCCCTCTTCTGCCTTTCCGGGGACGATGGGGCCCAAAGTCACACCGGCGGGACCATGCTGTAATCTCGGAGCTCCCTTCGGCATGCTGAAATCGAAGTTACTCAGGAGTTCCGTGACCACAGACTGCAATTCCATGACACTAAAGTAAAGCAATCAGAGCTCAGAGACTGCGATAAGATGATCTGTACGTACGCAAATCGCCAGCTGCAGACATGAATACATAGGTCAGATATGAGCCATTACGCGTGGTACTCAAGGTACGTACCCAATACATCCACGAATACCAGCACCTAGAATATTAAAATAATTAACAATGAGTGTCAACGAGAGAATATTAGTGCTTACTGAATGTCAGCCTATCATGGGATCGCAGTAACATCAGTAGGCAATACACACAAAACGGACAAGATCGTACAAATTCGCGTAGACTCCAAGAGATACTTGTTTAGCATCCCGACCGTCAAGGAATCGACTAGGATTCCATTCCTCGGCATCATCACCCCAGACCAACGGAAGCCTGGTACCGACCCCAATCAGTAACCCTGCCTTAGCGAAAGAGAAAAACCACACACCGATTATAGGAATACAAAGCAGTCATAACGACCTGGCCCTTGCAAATAGGAATCTGTGAACACAATTTGCCGTCCGAGGTGGCGATAGGTTGGGAGAGGGGCAGGACGTCATCCTGGGCTGATTCACGAAATAGGACATGCACCAGGGGGTGAAGACGGAGAGATTCCTATAGTAATCCATATATTAACGTCGAGCGGCCTCTATATGATTCATGTCACACAACAAGAAACCCACTTTAATACAAGCATTCAGCCAAGTCATTGAATCATAATCATCCGAGGTAAGCGCTCCCGGAGCATTTGCTTTGGTTTGCGCAATCTCCTCTCGGATCTTTACTTGATCCTTTGGGTGAAGACTTAGCTCATAGAGAAGCCAAGCCATGGCATTCGCAGTCGTGTCGTGACCGGCTAGGATGAACGTCCTGTTGAATTCAGTCAACGAATAGAACTCGCGCAGAGTAAAGGCGGCTTACGCTAGCTGAGAATCGATTTCGATGTCGCTCATCTTCTTCTTCGCATCATCGTTGAGATGAGACATCGCTGAGCTGACGTGAGCAAGACGTGCAATGACAAAAGCCATATCGCGTACCAAGAACATTAACGACATCCTTCTCAGCTGGATTGACATCACCGGCCACTTCTTTCAGCTGTTTCTCGAAAATGGGTCTAGATACTTTCATTGCGACGTTTTTAAAGAAGTTCAGTCGCATAATCTCTCGATTGGGTAGCCATTCGAGCGGCTTAAGCAGCCAACTGGGAAGTAGACGCCAAAGCGCTAGATACAGAAGCTCTAGGGATGTCGGCGAGCTCAGAGCTTCGCTACTGTTCGGAGGTGAGTGGACGAAATATATCACAAATAGAGTATGCACTGCGTACAAGATATTATTGACCGCCTTCATCAACTCAGTGTTTCCATCGCCCAGTGAGTTGAATTGATATCTGAAAGAGGCTAGATATCAAAGCGTTCATCAGTTTGTCGATTATGAGGTTGGCAAGACGAAATCATACTAATGCCAATGATATCTAGTGCAGCCTTGCCCGTCCATTCAAGCACATTGAGCACTTTGGCATCCCCAACACGCTCGCTAATCTTCTCTGTAAGCTAGGATATCAGGGTTAGCCAACGTCACGAATCCCCGTGCATCTACCGCACCTTCACTGCAGATGTCTGAAAGACAGTCAAAAAGAGTCGGAGTTGAGATGTCGCAAAGGCGGGACCGAGGATTTTCCGCTGGCGTCGGTGGATTTCACCTAAAACTGCTATCAGCAGAAGATTCTCGTAAAGTCATTTATCATACCATCCACACTAACTAAGCCCTGTCCCATGAAAGCCTGTAGAGCATGGTAGGAGTCTTGTGTCTTTGGGAATCGGTATCCAGATGAATGAAAAATGTACTGCAATGCCTTGGGATCGGCGATGGACAAAATGTCTTGCTGCGTCAAACGTCAGAGTCGTTAATAAAAGCTTTAGATGGACAAGAGCGACCAACCCCGAAACAACCCTTGGTGTTGTATACAGCCCCGTATTCTTGACACCACTTCATTTCCATGTCGCCTACATGTTGGCGATTAAACAAGAGGTATTCATGACCTGATGGAAAGTCATTCAGAATACAATTTGGACGACGGAGCCAAGGCAAGCAAACCCAAGAGAAATGAAGGACTAGGAGGTCCACGAATCCTCTGTACCGAAGATTTGCGTGCCTTCGAGCGTAGAAACAACACAAAGGTAAGAAGAATTGCGACTGTAGGAAGGACGAAATAGTAGGAGGTCTGCTGCATGATGGACAACTTAAACAATGTTCTCCATAGGACATCATTCAGAGCGGCCTTTTATATCCGAACCCAGTTGGGCCTATCGTAAAGAAGTCCTCGAGTTCGGTGAAGACGAAGTCGGCCAAGCGAGAATTTGCAACAAAATGGTACGTTGAGTAATTGGACCTCGGTCAAGGGATTCGCCAACCCAGTGCATTGCATACGATGAACCCATGAGAGAATAGCCAATGAATAACTTAGCTAGGTGTAAGGGCTTCTAAAAAACGGTTCAACCAGGTAAGAAAAGCAGTCACGGGTTCTTCCGACGCCGTGGCCCATGGCCCGTGGCTCGGAAAGAACCTGCATAAGACGGGCACAGTAATGGCACGTATAATCACATAATAATCAACCCTGAGAATGATCTTTTCGACCAAAACTGATCCTAGTTAGATCGTTACAAGACCTTGCAACATGAAGTGAACCGCTCTCCGCGGGGATTTGAGCAGTGCCCCTGGCATTGTAGCATATGACCAGTGAAAACGAGGTACTTCTCACTAGAAGTTCAGCCATACTGAAGTTGGCGCTAATTAGGGCCAATGCATGAAAGAATATCAAGATATAATAGGGGAAATTTTTCCCATAAATGTGCCTTTTTGCGTCTACGGCCCTCTCATATCTGTTAGTAGCTGAAGCCCAGTGAGAAATCCAGCTAGGAACATCAAGGGCTACCTAGCCACGACAAGGATCAGTGACGTCGGATAGGGTAATCAAGGAACAACGAGCCCAATTTGTCTGAGGTATTAGCAATGAGGCGGGGCCCGTCCTAGCATTTGCCGAGTTAACGTCTGATATAGGAATAACGCGAGCCATCTCACCTCGACCGACTGATCTCAATGTTCCTTTAGCGCGGATGTCGATGCACAATGTACTGCCTTCGACTGGACAAGAATGAGACCCCCGAACGGAACAAGACTGCCTTCATTCTCAAGGCGAGGCAAAAGAGTTGCTTTCTGAAGCTTTTATGGACAGTCTTTTACCAATGTCCCGGCTAGACGATCCTGCTGCTCTTCGTTACCGATTCCTGCAACACCGACAGGATCTGAAGGCGATGGACGAGGTGCATCTACTCGAATGCACTTCAAAGACCGGCGCTGAATGGAATGACTATAACATCGGGTATTTGGTGGGAACGACCCGTGTCATGAGAGTCGTACTAGCGACGCGACGTTAGAAAAGCGGAGGATTATGTACCAGGTGTAAAGCGATAGAGGACGATAGAAAGGTCATAATTAGAGGGAGCCCAATGAACTGGAGAGAGCTGCTGACGAAATGGATGCCCTTGATAACTTCGATAGAGTTTTTTCGTGGCTCGAAGTTGGTGATTGCAAAAGAAGGCATTTTTAACTGCAGGGTAACATGTATGCGCCACTCCGACTAGAAAGCGAGTGGGGACTCACCAGGTCGGTTTGAACCGACAGCTTATAACTAATGCTCGCGTCCTCCGTGGCACTCCCATCTTCAGGACAGTCGTGTCTGGCTTTATGTCCGACAAGATCCGAACGTGACGCCAGACGCAGCACGACAGCTCGAGAAGAGACGTTATGACTCCGAAACGGTCAAATGAGGCGGGCTGTAGCGACAACTGCGGCCACTAACGCGGTCATGCTGATAAAGAAAGCTGAAACAGCAAAGGTCCTATTTGTGTCAAACAGGGGCGTCAGTCAACAAGTTGTTCTACGGTAAATTTTGTACCGGCCTTTCAAGTCGCAATGGGGAGAATACAGCCTATAAGTTATTTTGTTCTAAGCGGTCCTACATGAAACGTTAAGGTATGGTGCTTAAGCGCAGGTTGTAGGGCCTAACCTTCACTCACGCTGGTGGTTTCGAGCAGTGCCGACGAGATCAGAATTTATAACGAACTCCTTAAGGCGAATGGAGCTCATACAACGAATTGGTCTCTGCAAGAACTAGACATCAATTTCTGCCTAGATCTCACAGCATAATCCTCTGAGCCCGATATTAACATACCGGATTCTACAGCATCACAGTCCTGAGTCGTCACAGCACAATCGCATCCGCCCCCGGGAAGTCCGCATGGCTAACAGAGTGTATACCAGTGCTAGCGCGTCCACTGCAATCGGAAAAAGATGTTTCGTGACCTAGGAAGGATATCTTACATTCATCGGGGAGCAGTGCCAAACGGCATTTATAAACCAAGGAGGAGCAACTACTGAAAGTAGTCCATTGTTACGATTCGATGTAGCCTGCACATTGTCCAGAAGACAGGATACGAAGAATATTTACTGGAGAACGTCTTCGTTAAGCGCTATATAGTAGCTCCTTCGAGTCTCGCCACATACCCTAAAGTCGCTATACATCACTGCAATCTTCTACAACTCTGTTGCCTATTGAGCACGAATCAGTACTATTCCTCTAGTTGTCGCAGTCGAAACGGGAGCGCTCAGTGCGGTAACTCCGTCGCTCATTATGCAAGGAGAGGAATCATGGGAAGAAGAACCGGCGCCGTAGCAGTACTAGTAGTAGAGGCCAACACTACGCGGCCGTGGGAAGGCGATTAGTCACAAACACGACCACGTGCGGCGCCAACGCGACGATGCCACAGCCACTCGAAAGTTGACTACCACCACCACCAAACAGGTTCAACTGGCTAATTTCGTTTAATCTCTCACGTTTGCATTCAACAAAGCGACCAAAAAATTGACTAGTCAGATCTTGGTATCTCCTTCCCGCCTGTTGCTGTTTACTGCTGTTTTAACCATTTTCGCTTATCAGAGATCAAATGACCTCTTTACTAGTTCTGCTGTTGCTAATATAGCTCTCTTATACTGACAAGTGGCTATGAACCTTCTCTATTAGCCTTCGGCATATTTGGGCCTGATCTGTACCATCAGACTTTGTAGACCTTCTCATCGGCGTCTAGCACTGTGTCCGTCTCATCGTACAGGCCGTGCGAGACGTAAATTGCCACGGCCATTAACGACGTGAGCCTTTCCCCCTGAAACAGCTTTTGGATTAGGCCATCTTTCTTTTTGCAAAGCTGTCTCAGGAGTTCGAAATCTCATTGGCCCGGGCTTCACGCTCGGGATTTTGGTCCTTCAAGTTACCATTCATAGAAAGCGTCTTCATTCTCTGTATGTCCCGCTCCCGCAAGCAAGAGCCGGAGGCGCTTTTTACTGCAATGTTTCACTTTCATGCTGTCAACTGGGCTACGGTTTCTCTCCATTTTGCCGGAAGATTGCTGTCCTTGAAGAAATATGACTTGGGGTATTCTACTTGTCTTGGTCAGTTGTTTTGCTGTTCTTACTGTATAAAAATGAGGATGCAATCGTCTCGATACCATACTAACCGACATCTGCTCCCTCTGAAATAATCAACCTTCTTACTTGCTCCTCACACAGATAAAATGGCTGACAACCAACGAAGAGGCACGTTACTATATTCTCAGCCTCTTTTTTGTCTTGTGATTCGTCTGACATTATCGTCCTCCGCAGACTACCGAACAGAGCTGAACAACGTTTCTGTCCAGGCTGGATTCAAGCTTGAGTTCCAGGATGTGTTTGAAGGACCCCAGCATAATGGAACATGGACCTCGACTGCTTTCAGTACGATCGATCCGTATACTGTTATGGAACGCGCGCTGACACCTCGTCTTCGTTAGTTGATGGCGTTGCCAGTGGTCAAGGAAGTGCCAAAAGCGTTCGCCCAGCTAGGGAAGAGGCTTCTCGCCAGACTCTCATCCTCTTGGGCCGCGCCTGATACGCGCAATCGCTGTGGAACTGTGAGATGCACCGACTTAATGAGCATTCATAACACGGACTGAAAGTTATCTTCAACTTAATTATCTACCATCCGTGTATCTCACTTGTTTTCCTTTTTTGTTACATACTCGGTAACAATATAGTTGCTTGGCTCTATTCCGCCCAGACGATGAGTGTGTTTAAGACGTGCGGATAGATTTCATAGGTATTTCCCGCTACTACGCTTGGATTTATGGTTGACTGCTGTGAGTTGTGCTTCAACTCGGTTTCACAATCATTGTCGTTTAGTCAAGACTCACTGGAGAGCAAAAAGTTGGTGTACCATCGAAGTCAACCGACCCTGTCTAAGATATTCAGCGAGTTCTAGGATTTATAGAGATGGTGTTCTCGGACCTACGAGGCTCGTCGGCTTTCATGGACCTTACTGAACGCAAAGCTACTCAGATAAATGGTCACGGACTAAAGTTGCAATCCTGATAGCGCTTTCAGAGGTGGCAAGCATATTACTATCGATCTAGAAAGAAATTGGCAGGAAGAACTGACGGTCGTCTTCAGCCCTTTCCATGATATCGGTCTGTATCCTTCCGCGTGGTTCCCCGTATGTCATTGGAGTAAAGACCATCGCCGAAATCACCCTCCGTGATAGTTAACTAATTTATGTAAAATTTTCGAATTGTCCACGATGCGTGCTCTTAGGACTTCATCAAACTGGTAAGTGAAAGCTGGCGCACCTGGGCCTCCGAGTGCCTTTGTATATGAGCGAAAAATGTTCGCATTCTTCGCGCATGATGTCCGGCATATGGGAACCACAGGAGCGATAGCACAGACGAGTAATCCACAGCGGTCTTTATCCTCTGGTGGCAGGTTGCAATGCGACTCATAGACTCGACACGTACGCGGTCAGAATCACACGAAAAAGATCATTTTATGAACGGCAGCATTTGGAGGAATCGTACTGGGGCTCCGAGGGATGTCGCATTACATAAAAGTAAGCTCTTTGTGGACGGAGATAAAATTTGGTATGGTAGTGGTACTAGCGGCGACCTAGAGAGTGACATAGGGTATGAATATGAGGACAACATGACTTCGCGAAAATTCCAAATGATGAATACTTGTCTTCATATTCCGAGAGTCTTCTCCTTGGACATCTTTAGGGATAAGCGCGCCAAGTGGTAGATGGGTAGAGGGACGTTCTCGGGCCGCTACTACCGCTACTACCGGTAACTCGGTAACTTATGTAACCGTTTACACGCTTTTCCCAGGACCCACTGAGTACGCGTCTTCTCTTGCTTTCCACCATCACGTTGCGTTCCCGCATGCTCACTGATACGTTCTGTAATCCTTGGTCTCGTGCTATACAGTGTATTCACTCTATTAATCTCTCTACTCTAACGGATCAGGCCAAAAAACAAACACGGGGACGCTTAGTGTAATACCTCCGTGGTAGAATCAGACAAATTCCGCAGCTGGAGTCGGACACCGAAAGAAGTTCTTGGTACACCGAAGTTGTGTTTTCTATTCATTTAACGATATCTAGCTGCTGACATGTTATCTCAGACGCCGAGAGGCTCCCACATGTAATGGTTGAGCACCTTCAGTTCGAAGGTACTTCTTCTATCTCCGCCGATACAGAACGTGCTCCGGAAGATGGCTAAGATTCATGGAAAATTGCGACAATGTTAAGAAAGCCAAGATGAAACGCGGGTCGACTTTTCTCCTTTGCACCTTTGGTACCGCAATCAGCACCAGCATATTCTGTTATTTATTCGCAGAGCCTCGACAACACCTGGCCTTCTCAGTTGTTGCTATTCTCAGAATTCTATCTCCTCTCAAGTCACTCAACGGCTTGCATCCTCCGCCCCACGGTCATGGTATGATATTTATGCTGACTGTCCATACATATTTTGTCCTGAATATCCGCTTCTATCAGGATTAAATTAGCACATACTTCTCTTCAAGGTACAACTTCCCTTGCAAAGTCATCCGGTATCGCCGTCAGAGCCCCATATCAATAGCTGACCAAGACGGCGTAGTCTTGAATCGGACACCTGAGCCTCATAAGGTAGCTTCGCGGAAATAACACATGCCTTAGTGAGTACTTAATATAAATACCGTTACATGAGATTGATATGTTCTTAACAATGTCTATCCCCCAGACTGCACGCGCTGCTGTTATCGCCCAGCTCAAAGAGGATTTGGTGCTCCGGAATGACTATCCTGTCAAGCAACCCGAGGCACTCGCTCCTGGCGAATGCCTTATCAAGCTAGAATATGCGGGGTGCTGCCACTCGGATTTACACGCGAAGAACGGAGACTGGTTGCAGAAGCCTACTATTCCTGTTGTCGCGGGCCACGAAGGAATCGGACGCGTTGTTGCTATTGGACCCAACCGCAGCGCAGACGCCAGTATCAAAGTAGGCGATAGGGTGGGCACGAAATGGGTTGCGAATACCTGCTCGAAGTATGAATACCTTGCAAGAAAACTGTTGAATGCGAATTGATAGTTCTATAGATGCGAACAGTGTTACCTCGGGAATGATGCTCGTAAGCGTGTAAATCCTTGCTTTCAATCGCTTTTAATTCGTCGCTATCTAGTCTGCTCCGTGGCTGACACACATTGCCATGGGTTTCGACTGGACGGGACATTCGCTGACTATGCTGTGAGTGCCCCCCCTGCGAGATGAAACTTAAACTCATTCTGCATAGGTGTCCTTCACTGACTACGTTACCCCAATTCCGGAAGGGCTTCCGAGCGATGAGGCGGCCCCCATCTTATGTGCCGTGCGTGTCACGCTTATTAATCTCCGAACTCATCGCGAATGCTTCTTTATAACTAGGGATTGACTGTGTACAGGGCGTTGAAACAGACGAGGGCAAGAGTCGGACATTGGGTAGCTATTTCCGGGGCTGGCGGTGGACTAGGCCATCTGGGTATGTGAACTACATTCGGTAGAGCTGCTTGAGGCTCATTCTATGTGGATAAAGCTATCCAATATGCTTTAGCTATGGGACTACGCGTCATAGCCATTGGTACACTCTCCCCGCCAACTTGTTCCGTTACTGGTCTAACCCTTTCTAGATACTGGCGACGAGAAGAGAGATCTGTGCCTTGGACTAGGAGCCGAGAAGTTCATTGACTTCAGGAAGGCTGAGAACCTTATTGAGGAAGTCATGCAAGCTGCAGACGGTCTTGGTCCACATGCCGCCCTCCTGGCTGTTGGTGATGTATGTTTCCTCCCAGTCATATTTGTTCGGGCGCTCTATCTGAATTGTATCACAGGCGAGGCCTTTCAATCAAGCACTGATGTATTTGCGCAAAGCTGGGACGCTGGTTGCTGTTGGTATGCCACCGGGAGCAGCCCTTTTAAACGTGCCTATTCCCCTATTGGTTGCCAAGGTGGGTGTTGGTTCCTCGTCCAATCGAGATCCGACTGCTGAAAGCTGATTGGCAGGCACTTAATATCGTTGGATCTGCAACTGGGTAAGCGTAGTTGCCTTCTTTTTCTTCTGCGAATGCTAATAAGTGATGAGCTAGAAACCAGCAAGACACCCTTGAAGCACTCGATCTCGCAGCCCGAGGCAAAGTGAAGTGCCATTTCGAGGTCAAAGACCTGACAGAAGTCAACAAGTACGTGCGCTCTTTCTCAGGATTCATTCTTGATATTAATCTCCCCTAGTGTTCTCGCCGATATGGAGGCAGGCCGGCTAACCGGTCGTGTTGTGTTTAAGATCTGAGGTAGAAGAAGTTCTATATCCAAACTTGAAGCACCCTCATGTGCCCTGAAATCTATGCGGTTTTCATTTTATCGCTTTTTGGGACAGCCTTTACCGTCCTTACCGCATTTCCGATACTTTCCCAGGTGATCCGACGCACTCGATCTTCTCCCGACGGTACCTACAGTGGCCCAACGGCACCAGTTTTTTCTCAAGTACACCTCGTTCTTGTCGAAATTCCTGGCCCCTGAGCGCTGTCTGAGCGCCGAGCAACTAGCAACACGTCAAGTTTGCAATCAAGTCGAGTAAGGACATATCTGTTGAAAGGATTTCAGTTTTTTTCTCCGAGGAACAGGGAGCTAAAAATAGATGCGTTTGAGACACCGCTTTACTGTTCTATTTAAAGGCGACGTCAATGTTAAGCTGTAAACCAACTACCCTTCCTTCCCAACAACACCTCAATATTCAATATTCAATGGCGAGCACCAACTACGCAGATGCCTATGGCTACAGCAGTATAGCTGCAGCTATCGTTTTCACCATCGCCTATGTCCCCTTATGTGGATTTTTCATTCTCCAATCCTTCAAAAATCCCACCTACGTGCACATAGTGTTATCTGTCTTCTGTGCAAGTAAGCTGTTTTGTCTTATCGATAGAGTATCTACTGAACGTCTCGCCAGTCCGTTTCGTTGCATTCGTGATACGCGCCGCTTTGATAGGGTCGGATTCAGCGGGTGAAAACCTTAGCCTCCTCATTGCCGATGAGGTCTTGTTCGGGATAGGGTTCTTTGGGTTGTTGTATGCTGCCTACACCTTGGTGCTAGACAGGTGAGTCGAACTCGTAGGCTGTTGCCGAGCGTTACTGATTATTCCCAGGGAGCTGCTCTCCGACCTCCCTCCCTCCACAAGCATTCTATCACGCATAACGGGTAATCGCAGAATCTTCCGACTTTCCCTCACAGCTGGCGTCGCGCTGGGAATAGCGGGTATCACTACGGAGTCGAATGATCCCACAAGCTCTACCGGCATTGCTCTCCGCAAAGCTAGTATTATCATCTTCTTGGTACTTACCATTCTCCAAGCGTTCCAGACGGTAGTACTCGTCAGGAGGGAGACAGATGATGGTCAGTGCATCTTTTGTCGGGCCATTTACCCGTTTGATTGACTCGGATCGTGTTTTAGGTTACCATAGGGAACATGCCAAGGCCTTTGGAGAGAAACATGGGTCGTTCATCCTTTGTGCCATCTCGATTCTACTCATCGTGCGCGAGGCTTTCTTGACGGCTACGATCAATAATACCAAGGCGGCGAGCAATGAGCATTTCTGGTACCCCTTGGTTGCACTGCCTGAGATCCTTGCAGTTATGCTATATTGCGCACCAGGTCTTGTTCCACGGCGGTCTGAATTACCTAAGTAATCCTTGTGTAGCTTTTTGATTTGTGTTGATACGTGTAGAACACTTAAAATTGTAGCTACTCTTCCTTACTTGCTCTTAATGGACCTTACGCCAAAGTGTCTCTCGCAGTAAATCGAGGCCGTGTCTCCGACATGTCTGATTGCTCCATCCCTATAAGACTTTCATAATCGTATCTTCCATTATCAAATCTCCACTATCTGTGAGACTAACACGCATTCCTATCGAAGATATAAGTCGTCAAACTAATTGCAGTCAAGGGTAAGATCCATTCGTCGCCATTCTGTGTCGCAGCATCGACCTCAACAAAGTCCTCGCTAGCAGATGTGCGCCACGCGGTCGTAGCGCATACCGCATCGGGGAACGTCAAGTTCAGCGTGCTGCTGGCACTGTTCGGGTTCATGGCGAGGATATAATACGTGCTCGCTGTAGACACGGCCATAGAATTTAGGCTGGCGTCGTTGTCAATGGGACGGCGTTGGCTACCCGCTGGATAATAGGGATTTAAGAGACAAATTGCAAAGGAAGAGGTAGGTACGAACGTTTCACGAAATTTCCGAAATGTTTTAATGTCCAGAAATGTTTCGCGATATCTAAGGTCCTGAGTAAGAGAATGCCGCCGGCAACTTGGGAGAGAAAGGGAGACGAACAGAGGTTGTAATTTCCATTGGACGCGTATGAGCCGTCGTAGTAAATGACACCGTCCTAGGGCCGTCAGCTTGTAGCGTACGACAATGTCGATGGGATGCTCACAGTCCATCCATTTGAATTGGGTTGGAGTACACAACTAGGATCTGTGACCGGAGAGCATCCCAGTTCTTTACGGAATGAACACCAGATACGATCTACGGTCAAAGATACGCACGATTTGATACCAAGGTCCAAAACTGTCCAAGTGCTTGCTGAGCACGTCGCCATTTAGATAATAAGTTCTAGGCACTCACGTCGTAGTGGGGTTCTTGAGCCAAGACAAAGCTCTGGAACATTAATCCCGAGAACATGAGAGCGTTGTTGATCCTGGAACGTATATGTAAGCGCACAAACCGTGAACCAGAACAAATAGATACTTACGTAGGATCATATCCTCCTGACCAGCCTCTTCCGTTGCCATTGGCTTGCCCGAGTGAACAGCAGATTTCCTGAACAAGTTTAATGTTATGATGTATATCCAGAGTAGCATGACATTCTCACAGACATCCATGTAGCTTTACCAGGATAGCGGCTGCTGGTAGTACTAATATAGGAGCGATAACTAGAGTCAGAGGGGAAGTCGTAGGTGTGGTGTACCAAAGCGGCGACCTATCTTCGCGTCACAAAAAGATGAACCAATAAGGATGAGTAATATTAACCTTGTCGATGACTTGAGGAAGCCAAGATGCATATTCGTTCGTAGCAAGACTAAGAGATGAAGATTCGTCGGCAAGGATTCCGACTGATGATGCCAAACCTCTGGAACTGAGAGCATTGTAAAGACCTTCGACAACTTCTGCACGTCTAAAGGAGAAACCTCTCTCATTACCTTTGGAACCATATCAAATAAGAAAGGCGTACTGAGTCGGAGCGACTCTCATTCCTTCCTGACCACACGGAGATGGTCCAAAGTTGTTATCAGGCTCATTCATCGGAGAGATATAGTTGATCTTTATGCCCTCTTGAATGAAATGCAGAGCCACATCACCCAAGAAAGTCCCATATGCTGCTCCGGTACCTAGTCGTAACATCAGCATTGTCCGAGAGCATACTTCACAATTGTAAGAACTCACCGCTAACGAACTGACTATTACAGCTCGTACCACCCGACGTCAAAGGCGCAGGCGCACTATTCGCAAACATAGTCAGGTCCTGCACACCCCGCTTCGCCGCCTCAGTCAAGAAATACACGCCCTGCGCGTCCGCAGACCAATTATACACCCCCGGACTGATGTAGAACGTCTCTGGGGCGCGGACGGGGTTCGACACATTGACCCCTCCGCTCCCGACGTTCCATCGGTAGCTCGAGAGCCCCAGCCCAGCTTGTGAGAAAAGGAGGTCCGAGAGGTTCTGACGTGTCGCTTCTGGAAAGTGATACAGGTCCATGGGCCACCAGGCGCCTGAGCCGCCGACACCGAGGAACGCCTGGGCGGCAGAGGAGGATACTGAAGCAGAGTGGGTGAGTGGGAGAACGCCGAGTACAAGAGCGAAGGTCAGCATGGTTGTGTTGGGTTGAGAAAGAGAAAGAGAAAGCTGTCCTTTTATTGTCTTGGGCCAGACGTCCTGATGACCATGGTGGCTTCTCGGTGCAGGTGGTCGCTGATGATAGACGGACCGCTGCTCCTTAGCGAACCGAAAATTATCCGGGCCGAAATTGGTTGTTTCTCGATATTCACTTTTTGTGGTGATTAATATTGCCACTGACATCAGCGAAGAAAGCAGAATATAACGAAGTGCGTGTGATATTTTATAACCTTCAAAAAATCTGGTTCCGAAAGAGTTCGCGGTTAGCGTTTCAACAGCAAATGCGTCAAGAAAAAACTTCTATTGTGCTCTTCGCTCTTCGATTCTAAGTATCTTTGGCTGTAGAATAGCCCACGTCCACCCACTCTCTCATCCGCTTTCCATATCGGATCGTCACCCAAATCATCCTGTAATAAACATCAAGTGAGTCGAGTAGTAGACAAGTCAAGATACGTCCCACGTACACAAACGACGACCATCCTACTAGCGCAGCGATACTGTCAGTAAAAACCACACCATATCGCTTGATCGATGGTAGCACCAAGGCAACAGCCACAGAAAGGATTATCGACCTAAAGCCCCTGCAAGAACCAGGTGTTAGCTTGAATATAGAGTCATTCGTTCAGGATAACACGAACATCGAGGCCGCCATAATCTCTGCACTTCGCGAATGCATAATGTCCACTGCATAGGCAGTTGCCGGCGTCAAAGCCATATCGACACCAACTCCATTCACGAAGAAACATATCAGGTTCAACACGAGTCCAAGAGTCCCGTCGATGTACTGAATTATTAGGCCTGATGCCAGGATCGATAGCGGTACAGGAATAAGAGTCCCGATGAGTGCGGCTCTCAAACGTTCCTCAGGTTTCCAGGAGTCCGCGCCATATTTTTTACGAGAAAGAATGACAGCGCGGTCTGAGAGATATCCCGCGAGGGGAGCGCCGACTAGAATGCAACAGGGATTTAGAGGCGATTTGACAACTTGGGGGCGGGGTGACTCACCAATGTTGCCTAATCCTCCGGGCACAAAGCACGCTCCAATAATGAATTCATTGGTGATATTATATTTGACGCCCTGAGGAAGATCAGCGACCACCACATTCAAGGTTTAGGAGTGGACCTACGATCGTATACGCGATGGGTACGAACATTGCTACAAGACGTTAAGATTATAACTCAGCTGACGGGACTCATAGAACATACAGAAGTCAGTGATTAGAATAGCCGCTCCAGCAAGCGTCTAGATACAAAATCAGGGCGCGGGACGAAAGGAGAACATCGTAGGGAGTCGTACGGAAAGCATTAGGTTAGGACTTCGTAGAAGCGCTAAAGGCGAGAAGGGGTTTAACCAAACCCACTTCCAGCGTTTTGGTGTTGTATCATCTGCTTCAAGCATCTTGTCTACGCCACGGGATCCCGGGTGACTCGTCTCCGGAAGGAAAAAGAACATCAGTACGAATGCGGCGAAGCCGGCGAAAGCGAGTGCGATCTGCGTCCATCGCCAAGACGCGTAATGCGCACCCCATCCTGGATGAAACGATATGGATCAGAAGGATGGACCAATATATGGGATTCTGTACTTACCTCCGGCCAGAGGCGACAGCGCTGGGCCAAGTAATGTTGCCTAGAAGCAATATATAACGTGTCTTTGTAAAACGCGGAATGGGTACCTACCCCGAAGAATATACCCATTGCCGTTCCACGCTCTGTTAACTTGTAGATGTCACCAATCACCGCCGCTCCTACGGACATTCCACCAGAAGTTCCGAACGCCTGGATAAAACGGCACACCATCATTTCGGGAACGTTACGCGATAACGCCACACCAATAGATCCAAGGGTGAGGAGCGGGGTGCCGATAAGGTATACCGGCCGTCGGCCGTCTTAGTCCATGAGCGCCTCAAGAAGTGTATTAGGGAAGACTAAACTTACAGAAACCACTATACGTCGCGAATACCATCGCGCCTAGTGATGCAGCGAATATCGAAAGACTGACAGCCAAACTTCACGATGATCTTAGAGAATAATTCTCGACGTTGAGAATACTGGTGCGTACCTGATTGTTGTTCCCGTTGTGTCCATATCATGCGCGATTTGTGGTATTGCAGGAATGAACGATCCTGATGCGAACACTGATAGAATACCCGTCAGTTACTTCTCACACCAGAGCCAGTATGGCCACTCGGAACCAAAGCGCTCCATGACACGAGAGCTACGATCGTCCTCTTCTTAGCGGAGGAGAATCGATTATAGATTTGCTCATGTCTAGACACTTCGTCGAGGAGGGGGGTGGACTCTGAATCCATAGGAAAGACCTAGACGGGCGAGTGGGAATGGAAGAAGAATTGAAGGAGTCCACGAAGGGTCATTTGAATTGACAGATGGTAATAATAATGAGTCATGCACAAGCAACGACAATTATGGCGGAATATCAGCCGGCCTATTCGCGATCGATAGGAAATCGAGATCAAAAGTATTTGTGATGGACATTGTAACTTTACAGACCTGAAACTGCCGATTGTTGTGTAGAATGAGTTTTAGGAGACAAAGTTTTTATGACCACAAGATCGCAAGATTATCTGTTGGATATCCGGGCCGGAGGACCGATACGCCGCGGCCTAGACGATGCCCAGAAAATGCACCGGTAGCACATGTATATCTCATCTCATCATGACATGGCACGGTCATCTGATAGAGGATCCTTACCGTGATAGAGATCGTTAGGCGTGTGAAGGCGAAACTAGCACGCTCAATCCCTCAGCGTCGTTGACGAACTTTTGCATTAGGACATTCTGGAGGAAAGAAACGTTGAGCGTAAGGTATGTAGGCAATAAGTACTAGAGTGAACTTGCCACACTACGATGCAGGCAGCAGTAGACATTTCTAACAGTCTCTTATGCTCTACGAGGTTATAGTTTCCGGTACATGGATCCACACAAGTACGCTTTGCCGGCCGGAGACATTGGACCCCCCGTTGTTATCAACGCAATCTTCACAATCCACGCCTTCCGAGCTCCAATCATGACTCCAAAGCCGCCATCCGGAAAGCTGATAGGCTTTATATTATGCGTATCATATGAGGAAACGCATAGCAGTTTGAGATGGTGGGCCAATAGGAAAGTTCCCTCGTCTTCTCGCTTCTGTCAATACAAAACGAGGTCCTGGATCATGATCGTCGGATCATCTGCTCAGTGCCAATGGTGGAAGTCAACAGACAGGTCAATAAGCTGAGGAGTCGAATCCAACAAGAAGAAGAGATCCTCTGTAAGGGAAGTATCAAAAATTCTCAGGCACAGTACGACCAGGATATGAACGCACGTATGGCAAGCTGGACTCCTTCTGGCGCAGCACTCCGTCGAGGGCGGAGTGAGCCAATATTGACGTCGGTCAATGCCGGAAGGGATAGACTTTCGATGAACATGGCGAAGGAGCGTTGCAACGCTGTCAGATAAGAACGGATAACAGATTTAGCAAGAGATTATTCTTGAAAAGTGTCGATCTGTAGAAAATGCAAAAGAGGGGTTGCTTGTATGAATGAAATTTGTGGAGTATGTAGAAAGATCGCCTTGTCCATCGTCTGAACACAAGCTGACACCGTAGGAAGATGGATTAGGTTTCAAATGTCCATTGAGGCCGACCAAACGTGGAACAACCTCGAATTCTCTGATACAGTGAATCTCCTCGCCAAATAGTTCGAGTGTCGTCATACGTGTGCTAGCATGCCAGCACAGCCTCTGAAGGAAGAATAATCATCCGAAACTGATGTAGTGGCCACAGCTATTGAGCCAATAGTGCAAGCGGAGCCTTACGCTTTCCATGGTTTGGAGCTGAAATTTCCTGCCAGATTGCACCGCGTGAAAGCGCGACTTCAAGCCTTACGGACATACGAGAGGCCCATGGATAGTGATTCAGCCTTCCAAGATATGCACGCTCGGCGGCATATCATTCAGACAGAGAAATATGTCGTCCATATCTCCGGTAGAACTTCATGGTGGACCGGAGCCAAAACGGTGTCGTAAGCATCTACTGCCAGTAGTATCTTAGCGCAACGCTCAAGAAAGTTCTTCATCAATCTTCATGATGTCAGGGAGAAGAGGCGCGCTGGTTTCTCTCCGAGTAGAAAGAAGGAAAGGAATCATTGTTAGAGAGGAAAGGCAGCAGGTAGGACATAACATGAGCAAAAGCCGCTGGCGAATGCACCGCGAGAAAGTTGTCTTCGTTGCAATACAAAGACGCGAGTCCAAAAGAAAACCGGGCATCTAGGAGCTTTTTGTTATCTTCATCATACAGGTAAAGAGGAAAATGCAATGCGTAGCGCGCTTTTGAGACCAGTATTCGAGTTGCTGCCGAGTGATGGCTGAGACGGTGGTGGCTGATTGCCAAGAGGCGTGGGAACAATGCGCCTTTTCCTTTCCGCCATCAACATGTCAACTTCAACCACGACCATTGAGGGCTCCGTCGAGCTCAGAGGCGCAAATATCCTCCGTTAACAATTATTATCTGGTGTGGAATGTTGATGGCATTATTGGTACGTGCTATCTAGCCAGTGGGATATGTGAACATCCTATGGATTGGGAATGCCCATCTAATCAAATCATTGAGGACTATCTTTGTCTTATTATGTCGCCCTTCTTTTCGACTGTTGTTTGAGGTAGTACTTATGTGCACTTGGCAGGTCTGGCAAGATATCTTTTCCTCCTCTCTATTTTCGCCTTGTCTACAGAATTGTACGGAATCATCCAGGCTAGACATACTGGAACCAGGCCAGGTAAATGGGGTTTCTTTACGAAGATATATAGTACCAACTCTCATGTCCATTAAGTACAGAACCGGCGTGACTTTTCTTTCGAAATGCCGATGCGGGTCTTACGTCCGTAATCTTGATGTCTGTTTCAACTCCTACGGCTCCCATATAGCACCGGACATTTGAAAGCATCTCAAATGTCTGTTACCCGCAAGAGAGAGCCGTACTTTCGGATAGGTTTGTGTCCGCAGCTTCTTGATGTCTTTTGGCTGATGTTCCAGCTCCAGATCGACAACTCGTGAGCTTTTGCCTCGCGTTGTTCCTGCAAACACCAGGCTTTAAGCATATACCGGTCCTAGAAAAGCATGTAAAGAGTTCAAATCAGGTCAGTGTTGTACTTGCCAGAATCTTACGTCTTACAGATAACAGAAATGGCTAAATAGTCCCCCGTCTATGCCGTCATCTAGACGCGTAACCTAGGCGTGCCATTTATCGGAAAATCCTCTCTTCTTTTTCACGGCGCCTCTAATTTCGCGCCTCCCATAAGGAAACTTTCTTTGGTAACATTCAGTACGAGCGCCCATCATGCGTACATAAGACATAAGTGATACTTACAGGATCAATCTGTATCCCAAACCAGTGGTGGTCTTATAGCTCGCAACCCGTCCTTTGGCAGAGATTTTTCCGTCTGGCTGGCTGTGTGTAAGGCCATAAGCGTGCATCACTCGAGCAGTGTATTGTCATTTCGGGACCCGAAGAGACTCTCCCCCGTCTGGGTCGTCGATGAGTACTTGACTGTTCCTGTTCCGTGTCTCGTGTAATGGTGAGATGCCTTCTCCCTTCCGAAGTCTATTAACACATCCTTTGGGCCAAAAGGAGATCAGTTCATTCCATTCCATGTCGGAGTAAATAAGCACATCGATGGGCTTCCCGCGTTCTTGCGCAGATCGGCGAGTTCGTTCATCTCCTAGCTATGATGTTCAGGTTGGACAAGACAATTTCAAGAGAAAATAGAATTCGCTTTACTTCTCACTCTCTGGTTTCTCGGCGAGATGACTTTGAAACACCATCTCCCCCTGATCATCATCCTTGGGCGCCACGGGTCCTATTCAGTAACTATTGTTCTCTGTATAGTCTTTCACCACCAGCGAAATATTAGAAGCTAACGGAGCTTGTTAGTAGCAGACAGGAAGTTTGCCTTGAGGAATCAAACCGGGATCGTTCCCCCTTACCTGGCCCTGGAGGAACTAGTCATCTCCACCCCACTTAGCCCAGAAAGGCGCAAAGCTCCTCAAAGAGGGATGGGCCTTGTTCTTGTCCAATCCCTTCGTAGTCATCGGTTCATTGAGATTCAATTCTACGGTTCTTTGACTACCGAGATGGTATCACATCCATCCACAAGGGTGTAATGGACCTGTGCTTTTTCCGTTTGATGTTGTGCGTGTTCGGCGGAGTTGGAATGGATTAAGTTAGAGTGGGGTATAAGAACGAACGAGTGTTCAACGAGGAGACCATAGTGCACCAACATGGCCTCCTATCCAGCGGAATTCTCACTTCAGTACCGCGATACAATGCTGAATGTAACACTGCTTGAATCTCTGCTCTATGGTATGTCCTTCCCCACCCGAAACGGTACCAGCGCTTACTTGAAACGTGTTCGGTTCAGGGATGTACACCACCGTTGTGGCTTTTACGATCTGGATAGTCGGTAGGCCCCTCGTCTCAATGTCCTGGTTATTATACACGATCATAATGCACATGGTAGCGATCCGTGATAAAGGCAGAGATCGTCTCGTTCATGGCGGGCTGGTCATCGTGATGCACCTCATCGCCACATCCCATCTCGCCGTTCGATGGAATTTTGTCCGAGGAGGCTTCATCAAACATGGCGAAACGGAGGAAACTGTATACGGCTATTTCTTCGATGCGCCTAAGTGGATGCTCCTGAGCACAGCGGCCTTCATGGCAAATACCCTTATCGCGGACTGCATCATGGTAAGCAGATAGTACTATTATATTAACATGTCGGAACGAGACTGACGCTGGTATGGTTTTAGATTTGGCGGTGCTGGATCATCTGTGGTCGCAGATGGATGTTTGTCATTGTCCCAATGCTATGTACTATCGTTGGAACGAGTTCGTCTCCTCGCTGTCATCAACATCAAATCAGAACTAATAGCCCGACGCAGTCTTTGCAGGTTTCAGCATCTATCAACAGACTGCTAGTCCTCCTCCAGGAAGTGCATGGAGTGCGGCCCAGATCGATTGGACGCTCCCCTACTTCTCCATGTCGCTTGTCGTAACTCTGCTTTGCACTTTGATCATTATATATCGCATCATAATGATCAAGCCAAGCATCGAGAAGGGAACCCGCCGGCTCTGGATCGAAGTCATCGTCGAGTCCGCATCATTGTACGCTATAGCACTGATTATTCTGCTTGCTTTTTATACCACGGGCAATGTGGATGCGAACTATCCCATAGTTATCGCGACTATGATTACTGTGAGTTTGAGCTTGACCCTAGCGCTCTCTTCCCCCGGGTTGCTAATATGCTATCTTAGGGTTTAGCGCCTACCCTGATCGTCGCACGGGTATCGAGCGGCGCGACGAGGCCGGAATCCTCTTGGTATACGTCTCCGCAGTCTCTCTTGGCATCTTACTTGTTAACGTTTGGCTTCACTTCTGGGAACGCAGGAGCATCCCAGACTTCTTGCGAAAGTGAAGATGAAAAGAAAGATTTGACTGTATAAGAAGGAAAATGTGAAAGGAGTCCCAAAAAATCCATGACTATTATGATGTACTTGTCTTCCTCAGATTTGATTAGTGCCTTTGTAAATTGCTTCGAAATGTTCGCGGAATGTGTTTTTCTTTGACTTGAATGCTCGAGCACTTCCGGTAGAGATAACTTACGAGCATGATATGATATAAGCGGCAGGGGGAGGATGTACGTAGCTGAATGGAAACTCCTTTTCGCTTGCAAGCCTTCATAATCTATCGTGGCGATTCCGTGATGAGAACGGCAACAGGCATGCCGATGCCGCCGATGGGGATTTTTGGTACTGCCGGATGGGAAGCATAAATACCCTCGGAATAGGCGCTGATGTCCTCCATTACGCTGATACGAACTGTTTATTTCTCAGACGAAACAGTAATCTCCGCCTTTCTCCGGATTGTGGGTGGTAGGGAATTCATTTGCTATCTCACTTGCCCATCTGGCTTGCCACCGCCCCAAGCTTCTGTGCTATCCACAAACACGAGTTGATCAGAGTGCAGTGCATGTCTAAATTTGTGGTAAACACCGCCTTTCTGCGTACTATTTCGGTATAGATCTAGATGTCCCTCTACATTATCACATCCCAAGTTTCTTCCGCATCGAGATCGTTGGCGGATGGCACTTCGAATATCTGCGTGCTGTAAATCAATGCTACCGTACGCGAAGCCACCAAGCACCACGTGAGTATCGTGGCAACGGCATATGTTGTTCCCCAGATTCGGAAGAATGATGAGTCAAAAGTACTCGCAAGGCTGAGAGTAAGATTCGCGTATACGCCCTACAGCAAGCACTGGCGTTAATGCTGGGCCAGACGAAAGCAACACATACTTACGTTTGGGAAAATGATGCCCCATATCTGCAACCTGAAGGGGACACTCGTTTGACGAAGAGTCTTCTGCAGCCCCAGGAGGGCAAAGAATAACCACATCGATGCCAGGGACCACAAAATCATTGTAACAATGGTGCAGAACACGTTAATGGAGCGGCCAGTTGATTTGTCAGTCAGTAATTCTGAACTTCCATAGGGAAGTGGCAAGGTTGTTCGGAAGAACTGTCCAAGAAGGAGTATGGAGTAACCGGCCTGCCCCATGGGTCCGAGGGGTAAAAATACGGAGGTTATCTGTGAGCCAGAGGGAAGACCATGTACAATGAGGCGAAGTAGATACATGGTCAACAACATCAAGGCTAACGATAGTCCGATGGACAGCATAAAGATGGAGGACGTAATGGTCACGAGCGCATATTCTAGCGAATATTTATATAGCGACAAAGCTATGATACCGCCAGCTGACGACGCAACAACCAGCGTCACTACCGGCAGCAGCCAAATTGTGGTCATTGTTTGTAGCGTGTGAACATGGACAGTTTGCCTGAGAACGAATCAATACCAACTTTCAAGATAAATTTGGCGCGCTTACATGCAATACAAAACACCGAAGCAGCATAAGAAGGAGCAAGCAACGTCTATCCACCACAACCACCAGATGACATATAAAAACGACTTTCCGCCCAACCCATAGTCCTCGTGAATGAGGCTGACTGCTGTCGTTAGAATGGTCACTGCGCCCATGGGAAATGTACAGGCATAGAGACTCTGCGAAGGATGACGAATCATCGGACCCCACGTTTCCGGGTAGATGGTGTAACGGAGAACGGAAACTAGTAGACAAATGATGAAGAGACATATATCGAGGAAAAAGAACGCGAGCGACAGAGTCTTCATTCCCTGGGAACCTAAGCCGTACGGAATCGTACGGAATAGGATGCTGATCGAACCAGTTCCCATGATGACGGCAAACCATGCCGGGGAAAAATGTCTGAAGAGTAAAAGAGAAATTAGTCGTATGTGTGTACAACAGTCGGAGAAGATGGTACCTAACAATATCGTTGATATTTTTCCTACCCTCGGACCCGGACATCGTGCATGGAAAGGTTGAAACCGCGATACCGATGATCGCCGCGAAGATGGCAAGACCGGCCGAAATGAGGAGCTGCAAAACGTATCGGTAGACAGAAGCGAGCCATTTTAGGACGCTGTAAAACTCGATGGAGCGCTAGCTTGGATTGTGCAAGTAAATGGGAGCATTGTGTGATTGCAATTACGAATTCTGGAAAATTTTACTGATGGCCGGGAACGTGCCGTTCCTTACTCCGGCCGCCGGCCAACCCTTCACTACACACGTCCACCGTCTTGCGAATCACGTCGACTTGCGCGATCAAAAGGACGTTTCTCAATGTCTATGAATACTGATGAGAGTAAGTACCAAGTTCCGAAAGAGGAGACTCTCTGAAGACTATGCGGGATCTGCAGGCACAAAAAGGGTCCGTACTAAAGCACATCATCCCCGTCTACGCAAATGGACGCTGATTAGTGCATTTTAGTTGGATGTAAGGTTTCCTTGCGCTGAAAATTCCACCCGAGCTAATTTGTTTGCGTCTAGTGCAAGGTAATGGCATGCCACGGATGCCAGGAAATCAATGTTCAAACTACTGAAAGGCTAAGCTTAGTCGCACGTACAATGATGACCCCGACTCTGCCGCTGTGAGCGCCAAAATACATTTCAGCTGGTAAGGTCCAATGACGGATTTCGTTCTAGAAATACTACTCCATACCGTTGGTGCTTTTATGCCTTTCTTCCTTCCTACAAGTAACCGACCGTACCTCTACATACATTGAAGAGCTAGAAAACAAAGTTCAAAGGAGAAGCTACTGCGTGACGTGTGCTCTGCTTCATCGTTTCTCCTTGTGGAGGCTTGGGTTAGATTCGCTACCCGCATGCGTTCAAGCTGCTCAGAGCTGCGCTTGTGTCATTGACGTGCAACGCCACCACTTGGGGCCACGTCTTTGAGGTAAGGTTGGTCGGACCCTTCTTTAGCCACCTGCTAATAGTTCTGTACCTTCCCGGTTTCAACGCTGGTATAATCCTTCTGTTCAATATATGCCACCAGCCACATTCACAAGATCATCGAGGGGATATCGACGAAATCGACAAGTGTCTGCAAGTTCTTCGCGTCCTTCAGCCGCGGTATGGCTATTCTCCTTCTTCTAGGTCGGTGTACAATTGACGCGTACATCAAAGGTGGCAACTTGTTCGTACTGTAGGTGCTCCTTGATTCGCGAGGTATTCTGACCTTCAATAAAGATATCCTCCTTGGATCATCATCCACCAATGGGAGCAGGGCGGCTTTAGGTCAATGGCCGACAAGACAAGATCCTCATCTGTCCCGGGCCTTCCTTCGTCGGTAGAAGTATCGGAGATTTATCAAGTAGCCACAAAAATTCAGTCCCCGCCTCAGAAAGTTGGCGGCGTACTCACCTAGTACGACACGAACACCGTGAAGGGTCCACATCCGGCGATAATTTCCATCTGGATCCCTACGTGATTTTTTTCTCATGGGAAAAGGACGTGTACCTTATCGTTCATGACAATCACATTGACAGTGGACACGATAACGCGGTATCGCATGGTGAACTCTGCTTGTCCACTATTGCTCAGTACTATATCCTTCCTGCTGGCCAACATAAAAACTACCAGTGTTGTGTCAAGACTATCTTCACTAGGTCCCTTCGACGTCAGTACAATTTGGGCTCGGAAAGTAGAGCAGTTGCAGCGTCGGCCCGATCAGCCCGACTGATTTAGAGCTCACGTGGCAGCTGTGGCGCACTCCGAGTTGCCTCAAATTCGCCCTCCGTTACCGTGATGTGACGACCTGAAAAGGAAGTCACGCAATGAGCTGGTTCGGCTGAGGCGCTATCCACGTGGATTCGGTCCTCCACGCGTGCAAGCCACTCATTGTTCAAAATTTTGACTTAGTAGGAATTATAACAATGCTGAATTTAGGATGAATTTTTACCAATTTACAGAAGATTTAAATCATATACAACAGGACTTGCAGTAAAAAGTAAGAGTATTTATTCAACCTAGCTAAGATATACTATCTATAAGCAAAGGGGCATCACCCTTGTTGAACAAGATCACCCCCTGGTTGACGGTGTGATGGAGGTACGGGAGGCGGCGGCGTGTAAACGTTGCAGAGCGCATGTTGGCGCGCTGGACTGGGACTGGCCCGACTTGATTGGCTTCGTGAATCGTGATCCTGAGGAGGAAGTCGGCGGTCCTGGAAGGGGCTGGCTGGGGCTGGCGTGCGCAGTGACGGAGCAGAATCGCAGGATGGTGGAAAGTGGCAGACATGGTCAAGACGAGCTGACTCGTGGCACGCGTAGGCTCAAGTGCCATTATCCTCTTTTGGGATTCACGTGGTGGCTGTACGAAGGGCGAATTTTCAAAAACTCGCACTCCGACACCAACCAACATCTCAATTTTTTTCTCGTTAAAAAAAAACTCCGACTCTCAAAGGGTTTAGCACGAATTCCCATCACCTTTCTCTTTCATTTCGGGAGATTTTTCACGGGTGCCAGCAATCTGTCATATAAGTATCTTGACATTGTCGCCGAGATTGTGCTCAAGATTAGCTTCGTTCAAAAATCGTCACTCCGCTCAAGTCATCGTTTATGCCTCTTGGCAAACATTTCCTTGGCGGAACAAGCTTGACTTTCGGTAATATTCTGGACGCCGTGTTCTCCCGTCGACAGTCAGTGTACCGTAAGCATTATTTCTTCGAGCTCCTTGTTTGCCAGACGAAACGTTATTTATTGTTACAGTGTACGGGCCCCGTCGCTATTATGCGACTTCGTGAATGAAGCGGAATTTGGCTGTATAAGAAGTTCCGCTCAAAGTACTTCCTCCTCAACAGCTCGACGGCACAGTCAACTACAATATGCACTCCTTCTTATACCTCTTCGGCGTATTTGTTATGGCATATGCCTATGCAAGACTACTCGTGCGCCAGAGGTCATTACGGAGGGTTCGAGGTCCACCTCGACCATCCTTTCTACTAGGCCACGAATGGCTCATTCGCAATCGAGAAAACATCGGCGACTTAGAAATGGCCTGGTATCAGCAGTACGGTGGCGCCTACCGGGTTGGCGGATGCTTTGGCGTAAGTTTCTCCTTCGTTATTTTGGGAGCTAGCAACTGAGTGTCCTTATAGCAAGATGTGCTGGTCATTTCAGATCCCAAGGCTTTGCAATATGTTTTCCACACTTCTGGATATCGCTACCCCAAAAGTCCGGAAGAAGATCGTTTCACGAATATCATGTTAGGACCAGGCGTGGGTACAGTTGCAGGTACTATATGCTCCCCTCATGATCTACTCATTCTGATGAGGCGAACATCAGGTGAAATTCACCAGCGACAGCGTAAGATCCTTGGCCCTGCATTCTCAACGTCGCAACTCCGCCAATTTTTGGTTGTATTTCAATCTGCCGCATCGAAGGTTCGTATTGAGCTTCAATATTCGCACTTAGGAATCCTGATAATTGAATTACCACTCAGCTTGTGGAAAAAATGAAGGAATCCACTCAGACAGGGAAGGTTCTTGACATTTTCGAATGGACAACTAAAACTTCACTTGATATCATCGGCAAGAGTAGGGCAATCCTTCCTCCTCATGGATGTGCTAATTATATCAATCACAGCTTCATTTCGATACGAATTCAACGCTATGGATACTATGGATGGGCAACAAACGGAGCTCGAGTCCGCGTTACACAATATGCTGTCAGTATTTCTCTCCTTATTCTTTTAGCTCGGCTTATGGCTGCTTTCAGAGGCGAGTCTCAGATGTGGCCATCATCGTCAGAACTTTTGTACTTGTCGCTCTGGCGTTTACTTCCGGACTGGGGACTTTCTTTACTCGAGCGGATTTCGACCAGGGGAACACGGCGACTTGTACGGTTCAGGACCACGGCTGAAAAGGCTGCACAAGAAGTATTCGAGAAGCAGGTATCTGTTCTCGCCAACGATGATAACCTTTCGGAAAAGAGTATCATCAATGTCCTTGGTGAGTACCGCCGCTCTTCCTTGTGTATTATACCTCACGCTTCTCTCGTTGAACCCGAAGCGCTTTCCCATCTCAATAACGATCCGAAGAAAAAGATGACCGCGGAAGAGATCTACGCTCAGTTCGCGTAAGCGTCTGTTTACCGAGTCAGCTCTTATGGCTAACTTAATTTCATCAATAGAACCTTTATCATGGCGGGACACGACACGACTGCCCTCACTACTGCTTGGGTTCTCTATGAGCTTGCCCGTAATCCTAGTGATCAAGCGACGATCCGTGACGAAATCTTGCAACTCAAAGCTAATATTAGCGGAAGACTTTCATCGAATGACTATGATTCAATGCTTACGCTCAATGCTGCAATTAAGGTATTACATTCCTCTATGCGACTGATGAAATTTGATTGATTGGGGCAGGAAACGCTTCGACTGCATCCGCTCAATCACGTCCTCCACCGGATCGCTGCGAAAGACGATATCATACCATTGGGTGAACCTATCACCACCGCTGACGGTAGGATCTCCTACGAGGTACCCGTCACGAAGGGACAAATCGTTACCGCTTCCGTATACACGTATAATCGGTGTGTTTCATTGTATTGTCTTCATTGTCTCCTGCCTTACCGAATGTGCTATAGTCTCCCGAGTGTCTGGGGTGACGATGCAGAGCAGTGGAATCCTCAGAGGTTCCTACGACCGCGAGAGAAGGAGCAAGTGTCTCTTGGGATATTTTCCAATTTGTATGTGTGACTCTCACCTTGGATTTTCAAAAGGACTGATAGTCTTCGCAGGATGAGTTTTAGTGAGTACATTCATTTCAATATTTTCGGTGCCTACATACTGATCCAATTATCAAGGTGGAGGGGTCCATTCTTGCATCGGGTAAGTTACCTCTTCTTCATTCGAATATCAACAATACTGAAACTATCTCAGATGGCGATTTGCGTGAGCACCCAACTTAATCTACTTCTGGTCGCAGTATCAATGTTCTCTTTCTAGCATTATGGAAATCCAGGCCCTCGTCACGGAACTGCTGAGCACATTCGAGTTCGGTCTTCCTGAGGAAGATTTTGTAATGCTGCAATCCCCTGGACAGAGAGCAGTGTTTCCTCTTGTCCAAGGTAGAGTACATGAAGGTATCCAGATACCACTTCGGGTCGTAGTATCGAAGTCAGAGTAGTTTTCAAGGGTGACGCTCATGCCTAGGTCCCGCTACGCTATAATTTAGTACCTACTACATTCATACAGATAGAGTTCCTTGGTGTACGACTTGGAACGATTACGTTGACATTTACGAAGGCTACTCCTTTACTACAGTATACAAACCGCAACACGAAGCGGTACTTGCTCTCCCTCATCTCTTCCTTTTACGATATGGTCTGCGCCCCGAAAGCATACACCCTCAAGGCACATTCCTCACCCTTTCAATTGTGATAGTAATAAGGTGTTGCGAACACACAGGTCACTAAGGCTTACTGTCACAGCAATGAACTAACAGAAACACGACATGGAATTTGATACAGGCCTAAGGTACGAAACTGAATATGGGTTTTTTAATTTTATGAGATCTCACAGCAATTTTTTTCTGGATTTTCGTTGGGGAAGGAAGTCCGGTATGAGACCGCAATACAGGAAGGGTTGACACACATATGGATCAAGGGTGTGCACACGACGCAATGCACAGCATTCAGACGACAATAGGCTGCCCGGTAACTTCTCACCAGAATCCAGCCAGATGCAATGACGGCCAACCGCTTGAGACGGCCCTCGGACCGCCGACGATGCTATCTTCTGCCCCTGTATATTGAATTCGTATATTAAATGAGACATACTGCAGGTATCCGAATGTGTAAGTACGCACCAGGATTGACTTTGACTTTGACGTAGTTTTTTCCAGAGAAGAAGTATGCCATAGATTGATCACTCGGGTTAGGGAGCGCTACGTCTACTGTTTTGAAGCCCGCCTGCTTGAGCGACGGCCAGTTATCGACAATTGACTTGGGACCATCCAAGAGGACATCGTCATTCGTGCCTAAGGACACCTTGTCAGCTGCGACGATGCGATGACGAGAGAGGGAGATGCGTACCAGGAGCAATCTTGACACGGACGTACTTCTCACCGCTGAAGAAATATGCTTGTTGCTTATTCGCTGGGTTCGGGAGGACGGTGTCGATCGTCTTGAATCCAGCCTTCTTCAGGGATGGCCATGCATCGACGATCACCTTGGGGCCATCGACGATGTAGTCAGTGGTGGTCCCTACAGCGAGACAACATCAGCATATCCTTCGGTGGGATCCAAAGATCACGTACCAGGCATGATGTTGATGCGCACGTACTTGTCCATACAGAAGAAATACATCATCTGTTTGAACTCGGGACGCGGGTCCGGGAGCACGGCATCAATATTCCCGAAGCCGGCCTTGACGAACGACGGCCATTGACCAACTAGCAGATGTGGCCCTGACACGATCGTGTCGTCCGTCGTGCCGGGCGCGACCTTGATGATAACATAGTGGTTCCCACAGAAGAAGTAGGCCTGTCCAGGGAGAAGAGGATGCAGGACTGCTGCACTGCTTAGCCGTGGGATGGGCTTGATGCTGAGCGTGTCGTCTACGTCGGCGTCTCCAGCCACACGCATGAGATCGTCGCCACTACCGGCGGCACGGCGGCGGCGCAGCTCATCTTGTCCTGCGCCACCATCGGGGTCCGCCGCTCCGTCGTGCTCAGTGAAGAAGATGACGGGGACAGGGATGCCACGAATTGGTGGCGGCAGGGCCTCAAGTGGCGGGATATGGCCTCGCGGGTTCAGCTCATTGTCGAAGCGCGGGTTGTCCCAGATGCGAACGAGCTGTGTCCCACTGTACTCTCGTGCGGTCCGGATGAACTCACGACGGATGCCTCCTGGGAACGCAATCTCGTGTTGGTTCGCATACTGATGACCGTCACCCAGGACATGGTTGACGTCGATACCACCATAAGCGAATATCTCATACTCGAACCGGTGCCGGGTGGCTGTCGTCACTCGTGGCTGCCAGCGGACGAGCGCGTTGCGGTTGTTGCGGTAGTACCGCGCCGTGCCAACAAAGATTGAGCGGACGTTCGTCACGACATACTGACGGAGGTTGAATGCTTCATCGGGAAAGTTGCCGTTCGATGGCGACACCCATGGCTGGAAGCCATTCCAAAACGCGTCATTGGGGTGCAGAGTGTCCCAGCGGATGAGCCGCTCGGCAGCGGTGGGGACGTTCCGCTGAGTGGTGGCATTCTGCACCTGGGCAGGGCGGAACATGTCGGACGGCGCGTTGGTATCATTCGGGATGGCCAATCTGTGAATGTGATCCATGACTTCGTCCGCCCTGTCGCGGAACCAGGGGATGACGGAGGGCACAAATAGATCGCGGCTCATTATGACCTTATAAATGGGAAGAGTAAGAAAGGTTTTTGACTAGTGAGGAGACAAGCAGGCCAGATGATTAACTCACTTTACGAATAACTGGAGAGTTGATAGCTGTGGAACTTTGAGACGGTGCTGGGGATGAGTCCTGGAAGGGTGAAGAGCAGTGATACTGCAAGACCAGCTTTATATCGGTTTGCTAACAGAAAACCAACTTTCCTGTAAGCAGGCCGTTGACATATTCGCAGAATAAATCACCGGTAGGCTGACGTTATCCGCCGTAGGAATGTCCATTCGCTTCTTAGACTTCACATGGAAAACAGATATGTAAAAATCCCCGACGAGAGGCGTACATTCCGATCAGGAAGGACGGGTATAGCACAGAGCCGTCCGAGAGCATCGCGGAACAGGAAGATAGGTACTTGAACCCGTACATGGGAAAGCGAATGGTGCCAATGACATGGTACTGTTTTGACCAACAAGATCTGTAAACGAGCATTCCAAAGAATGGAAAACGCCATAAGTTTGAGAACTCCGGCTCCTCCTGCCCTCTTGATTCTGCTGTACTTCAAAATTAGCTATCGACTGCGAGATACTTCATGTGAAAAAAGTACCATTTTGTCCGTTCAATAGTCTATGAAATGTTTTGCCCTGCAGAGACTCACCGCTACCGCTACCACTTAATGTTCATTTCCTTTCACATATCAAGACAGTGGATACCCACGACTACAACGGGTCATGCCAACCGGAGCTATCAGATGTTCGGGCGGTTTTCCTGTTGTTAATGGTCACAATGCTACTTCATTATCGTTCGAACGCTTCATTCTTACCGGCGCGATGAGCACTGTTTATACAAACAGGAGCAAAGGAAAAATCGATAGTCTAGATTTTAATGTTGATTTGCTTCAATCCAGTTCCAGGGGATGTCCACCGTACCCGGATGCAGGTACGGTAAACCTTCATTCCTACTTGAACACACGTAGACGGTCCAGACCTGTTATCAGGCTCATTCATCGGAGAGATAGAATTGATCTTTACGCCCTTTTTAATGAAATGCGAAGTCACTTCACCCAGGAAAGCCTCATATGCTGCTCCGGTACCTAATAGTAACATCAGCATCCTTCGAGAGCATACTCAACCATTATAAGACCTTACATAGTAACAAACTGATTATCATAGCTCGTACCACCCGATGTTAATGGCGCAGGTGTATTATTCCGCGGATATAGTCGGGCCCAACGGACCCTACTTCGCTGCTCCGTCAAGCAATACAAGCTCTGCACGTCCGCGGACACTTGTACCCCCCGAGTAACGTGGAAGGTCTGCGAAGTGCTGGCGGGGTTCGATGCATTGAAACATCCTTTCCCGGTGTTCCATCGATAGCTCGACATTCCCAGGCCATCTTGGAAGAAGAGCAGGTCTGAGAGGTTCTGACGCGTCACTTCCGGAAAGCGGTACTCACAAGGCTACAGAAGCTTTGGGTTTCCTGGGGCGTTTCCTGCCAAGCACATGATATGCCGATTCCGTATCTCTGGATATTTGAAACGTCAGATGGTCAGAATAGATAGAAATTTTTGATTATTCGTTGTCGTTGTAGGAATAGCAAAGACGATCCGAGTCTCGTTTTGGCTCCTCAGACCCGCGAGGAGTCCTTGAATATGCGACCACAGTTATTTGCGATGGCTCCGGCAAGTTTGTAGTTGCAGGACGGTCGGAGGAATACAGGATCGTTTGCCAGGGTGTCTTCATCAAACCTTAGCGTTTTCGAAATGATCGGATTAACTGGGCAAAGCGTCAGCATTAAAGATAGATAAAGGAAAATGAAAGTAAAGGACACAGTACGGGGTTATTTATGCATTGGAGGAAGGAAATACATCCTGAATGATTTGCCAGACCACAGCTGAGTGCAGCTCAGATTTCAAACGACCATTTGACTCAACCCTGACATTTTGATCTCATGCCCGCTACTATCACGCCCGAGTTCCAGAGATAGCTATTCCTGAATCCAAGTAAAGGTCTGGAAGGGAAAGCAAACGCATTATTGATGGCGAATAAGTCGCACGGTGATAGACGGCAAATCCTCGGTAAAAATGGGACCACGTGGCCTAACCGGCAGCACAGAATCCCGGTGCTCCCTATTGCGACCGCATACAGGTTAAACTCTAACATCTCAGATTATCTCTCAATACACAACTACGGTGAGGTTCTAGGCCCCGCTATGCTATAGATAAGTAGTACCGCACAGATAAAGCTCTTTAACGTAAGATTACATTGTCATTTCTAAAGGCTACTCATTTGCTACAATTTACAAACTGTAACGCGAAGCGGTACCTGCTCTCCTTCTTTAGTCTTCCCTTTTACGACCGGTGAAATGGCCTGCGCCCCGAAAGCATGCATCACTTCAAAGCCCTCTTCGGGAAGACTGAACTTGAACGAGCTTAGAAGCTCTGTCACGATTACTTGCATTTCCAAGACACTGTATCCGTACCCGTCTTGAATAAGTACTGAATCGCATTTGCGAAGAGCGGCACTCACGCAAACTTCCACCTATGCCAGATACCGATAAACGAGATATTTTTCTTCAAGTGGAGGACGAAACGTACCCAATACATGAACGAATACCAGCACCTAGGGTGACAAGCTCCAGCTTCAAGACCTTGGAGAGATAAGAACTACTCACTAAATGACATCCTGCGAGATACTTAGCAAGTGAAGAATCGACTGTTAAATAGAAAAAGCCTCACAGATTGGCATAAACACCTAGGGGAGTCTGATTATGCCGCTGAGGTTGAAGAAATCTATCCGGGTTCCATTTGTCGGCGTCTTCTCCCCAGACACTCGGTAGCCTGCCCCAAGGCAAGTAAACCAAAAGATCACTATGAGAAGTTGCAGTCTATACCTGTTGTAGATGTATATCGACGCAACGACAACTTGGCCTTTAGGTATCGGAATCTCTGATATGATGCTCCCGTCTGACGCAGTCACTGGTTCGGAGAGAGGGAGGACGTCTTCTCTACTGGAAATCCGATTCAGCGTTGCAATAAAAGGGTGAAATCTAAGTGTTTCCTAGAGCATGATAAGTACCGTTGAGTCTCGACACTTTAACGCGTTGAGGTCACTGACTTTGATTGCAGCATTCAAGATAGGCATCGAATCATAATCGCTCGACGAAGGATCGCGCTCCCGCATCTCACTGATCTCGTGATGAATACGACGCTGAACATCAGGATGACGGCTGAGTTCGTACAGAAGCCATGATGTCGTGTTTGATGTCGTGTCGTGCCCGGCAAAAATAAAAGTCCTGTCAAAGTACAGGTCAACAGCCAAGAAACACATCTTAGGCTCGTGACTTACGCCAACTGAGAATAGATCTCATCGTCACTCATTCGTTTCTTGGCATCTTGATTTAAGTACGATAGTGCTTGATTGCGATGTATTAGACCCTTTTCGAGAGTGACAAAAGGCACCATTTACCGAGGAGATTCACGATGTCTTTCTCTTCATCCTGGGCAGCAACTTTCAGCTGCTTCTGAAATATACCACGAGCTACTCGCTGAGAAGATTCTCTGAAGCGATGGAAATGGCGGGTGACTCGTAGCGGGATACCTTCGAGCATATCTGAGGCAAATTCAGGAAGAATACGCCATAGAGCAGGGTACAGAAGTTCGATGCTGGATGGTGACGTTTGAGACTCGATGCTATGGAAATTTGTCAGAAGTAGGTCACGAAAATGGTCGTACATACATTAGGTTGTGTAATGTATCTTTTAGTTCTGCTTGTTCTTCGCCGTCGTCCAAGGCGTTGAAATGATACCGAAAAGAGGCTACCCCCTGCTCTCTAAGAAATACTAGGCAGTAAAGAAACTGCACACTCACTTATACCAATGATGTCCAGGGCGATTCTTTTTATCCATTCAAGAACGTCAACTACTTTTTCATCATTTCCATTGATTTTGATATCACTTTTGAGTCTATCAGTGAGCTGATATGTATGGTCAATTTATGTTTACTAGAGGAGGTCGTCTAGCTTGCCTTTCGAGCCATACTTTGAAAGAGGATAAGATATCGATGAAGCTGTGCAGCCGAGAACGCCGGATTTAAGACTTTTCGTTGACACTGGTGGATTTTCCCTAGATGATAAGGCCAAATTTAATTGGGCATTGAGGTGACGAGAACCACTTACCTGCGACAGTGACCATCCCTTGCCCAAACAAGCTTCTCGCTGCTAGGTCAGAGTCGGCAGTTTTGGGGAATCGATATCCCGAGGTATGGAAGATGTACTGCAAGGCCTTCGGGTCGGACAGTATCAACACATCTTGCTTAAAAGTTAAAAGATGGTCAGTGCTCTTCCAGGAACCATAATTCACAAGTGCGTTTACGCCAAAGCATCCACCGATACGATATGCGCCACCGTACTGGCGCAACCATTGCATTTCAAGATCCCCTGGTTTCTCAACTTGATTACGCAGCTGCCATTCATGACCTGCAATGTGCTCAACCAGTCAGAGTTGAAGGTGTAGATACGAGCAACAAACGAACCAAGCAAAAGCGAAGGCCGCGTGGGTCCTCGCAGCCTTGCCACAAGCCTTCGTCGACGACGAAGTGGAAATACCGTTAAAAAGATTAAGAGACTCAGCAAGACGACGAGATAGTGGGAAAGCGACAACATGTTCACGAAGTGGGAGTCCACAGAGCCTAGAAGTATTATCAACGCCACTTACTCCGAGAGTGTCAGTCTTACATACTTGTGGAGACATGTGTTCAGAATCATTGCGATAGGATGCAGTAAGGGAGAGATCACAAGCTACGGAAAGTTTCCTTCGATGTGTATTGTCAAGCACATGATATATCCACTTTGATCTCGGGATATTTGAAGCGCCGGATAGTCAAAATAGACAAAAATTCTTTGATCATTCATTGCCATTGTAGGGGTTTCGAAAACGATTTTATCAGACCCGTGAGCCAGCTGCGGCAGGTTTGTAGGTGGAGTGGAATACAGGATCACTTGTGAAGGGATGTCTTAATCAACCTTTGCTATTTTTGAATTGATAGAATGTACTGGAAAAATCGTCAGCAATAGATAAAGGAAACTAGAAGTAAACGACATAGTACGAAATTATTTATGCATTGAAGGAAGGAAATACATTCCGGATGACTTGCCAGGTCACAGAGGGCAGAGGGATCACTAAAAAAAATAAGCCCAAAGACATGCAGAGAGCACATGCACTGATAGAAAGACCCAGCTAAGTTCGAACGTCGGTCGGACGATATTACCTTGCTGAAAAGCAAGGTCAACCCACAGTCATAAAGTTTCCTTTTCCGTCGTCTGCCAAAAGCAATTAAGTACAAATAGGTGGCTGTGCTCAATCCAGCAGTCCTCTTCCTACTCTCGCATCTGCCAAAACCAAACAAATACAACGTAGCCGTGCAGCATGTCAAGACTCAGTACTCAGTACTCAGCCGTTTACCATCTCGACTCTATCGCACCTGCAGCACTAGCTTCAAAAAGTCGCCTCGCACATTGAATATTGAACGTTTGAACCTGAACATCTGGGGAATTGCTTAAGAATTGGATCGTGAGTGACTAATACCTTCTCCGTATTTTCCCTTCGCTGATGCTCATGCGTCGCACTTTATAGTCTGTTCCACTTACGAGGACTAGGACTACTCGCTGTGCTGTCCTAGCACAATTAACACTGCATCTGTCCTTCTTGCCACCAACAAGAAGCACACTTTCTAACTTCGTCTCTGGACACTTGCAGAGGGAAAGTCTCCCTTTGGCATCCCATGCTCAATACACGAGAACATTGTACCCAACAAGATCATTATCACGTATATCAGCCCGCAAGACGAGGATCGGTACAAGCTTGTAAAAGGACCACAAGGTGATAGTCGAGGTACTAAAGGAGCTCGTCCAGGGGGAAAATACAGGAAAAGGCGAGGCAGAGTGGAAACTGAATGCTTTTCTGGCAGAGGGAATAGCCAAGGATGACCAGGACCGCGGAGCTAGGTGTGATCGCCTGGACCACCTATCTCGTAAGCCTATATGGGAATGAGCTCGCCCATCTACTGTTCATGGTCCCGATGAAGCTTTCAGCCGCCATCGATATATTATATTCAGGTTTGCGCATGATGCACGCAGTCCAATATGATACTGGTGAGTACATCTGTTAGTGCTCTACGCCATTGATCCTTATCCGTTCACTAGATTCTGCTATTCTCTCCTCCCACTTGCCACGTATCCACCACACCATGACAAATCGACATCAACCCCGACCCAACGACCCATCCCCACGACCCTCCTTCAGTCGGACATTCCCTTCCGATATTGCGTCATCCCCTACCACTCAACGACGTCTACCTGTTCCCGCTGCGCTGGTCTTTCAATGGCTAGTAACGTGCGTTGTTGGAAAGTAGAAGAGGACGTTGCCTCCTGTCTGGTGCGAGGAGGGAGTGAGTATGCCTGGAGACTGCGCGAAATATGACCCCACCCCATCCTGGTGTGTAGGTGTCCGAGTTTTGGCTGGAGACAATGGATCGTCTTCCGGCAAGCAAGACGTCTGCGCCTAGACGATGTATTCAAAACCGGTGAACACACCCACGGCGAAACTTCGCATAGGGTAGGGACGGCAGGTAGTCTTAGGAGGGACTGGTTTTACCTCGACGCCATGTATCGACGTCCGGCAAGCGAGAGCATGGCGTCGGGGTATTGTTGGGGATACAAGGAGTATAGGGCTAGGGTAAACTGGACATAGTACGCACGTCGCACGATGTCGACTGTCTTCGTTACTGATCGAGATCCTTTGCATCTAGCTGTTATTGTACACCTCGCACCCCAGCCTCTCCTTGGACGACGACTTTTGCGCGGACATGACGTATCGACATCTGGCGAACGAGCGCACGGCGTCGTGACACCGGTCGGAATTTTGGAATAGATTATGGGTCTGAGTTCGGGGACTCTTATTAGAGATGGTTTGGCACTATGCAGTGTGGATTTTTCAATGTACAAATGATCTGCGAGGTATACGACTGGTATATCGGTGTTCAAAGAAGCAGACGTGCCACGCAAACACTTGGTAACATATTGGTATGACTTACGTAGATCAACCCGACGAGGAATCGTCGCTTTCAGTGTTTCCTTACATGTTTTGAGTCGGGAGCATTGCCAATGAAAAGGTCGACTCGAAAGAGACAGCAATAGGGTTCAAGGACAAGATTCAGCAAGGTCGTACTCGCCTCGGCACGCGGCAGGCACTTGTCAGAAGAGAATGCCACGCGGTGATAGGTGGCAAAGCCTGGGGTAGAAATCGGACCACGTGGCCCGATCACCGAGCCCGTGGCATTGACGCCCTCATCTCCAATCTTCTCCAACGGTCGACTAGGCCTTTCGCACGGTAAAGGCTGACCGTCACGGGAAATACTGACTACGGTGGAGGGTACTTACCGTTGTGAGAGACATCAACCAGGAAAACTTTATCATCTAGGCATTATCTCTCAGTCCTTCAAGTTTCTTTCTTTCTTGTCGCAGGGCTGCTTTTCTTCGAATGGTTTCTGAGTCAACACCGCTCCTTGACGAGGTATCTCGGCATGAAGAAATCTATAACCGATTTTCTCCTGCGAGGAAGAGGACAATTGTGGCTCTCGTATCATGGAGCGCCCTGGTTCCCAGTTGAGTTCAAGTGGTGTAATTTCCAGCTGGACTTACTGTTTCGTTGCTAGTGTACGCGTCTGGAACTTTTATACCCGCAATACCTCAAATCGCACATGATTTGAACTCGATGGGATCAACAATCAGGTACAAAAGCTTCTTTAGAATCTTGTCTTGTCGTCTAACGATGTCATAGCTTGGCTGTTAGTCTATCAATGTTTGCTGCTTCACTGGGTGGTATGACTTGTGCAACGTATAGCGGTTTCTGTGAGTGCTGTGCTTCTGAAAATTTCAGGCTCAAAGAAACGCAGTAGATGGACGACGACTAATATATCTTGCCAGCATTCCTTTTCTCACCCTCGGTTCCATTGGCGTCGCTCTGTCACATAATGTCCCTGAGATGATGGTCTGGCGGTTTCTTCAAGCATTTGGGACCTCTGGCGGAATGTCAGTGGGAGCGGCGGTTATTGGCGATATCTACAAAGTAACGGAACGTGGATCAGCCATGGGGATATTCTTCGGGGTGCATGTCGCTTCTTCTAACCCTGGTGGATCTTCTAATGTAGTTCTCAGGCGACTTTGCTTGGCCCAGCACTCGCACCTCTAGCAGGAGGTAGGCATGTTATCATAATGTCGACCAATTATTTCATCGTTTCATTTGATTCAGGATGGGGAGCCCACTACGCGTCGTGGCGGTGGACACAAGCTACTCTAGCTCTCGCAGGATTTCTCACGTTCGTCTTGATGTTGTTTTTCCTTCCAGAAACCAGCCACCCAGGAACTCGGGGGATCGATAAGACACACGAAAACGTAGAAAGCGCCCCAAAACGATGGACATGGGTTTGGCTGAATCCTCTCGCACCCCTGGCTCTTCTACGTAGTCCTCTTCTGATGCTGATGGTACGAGAGTCCTTTGCAATCTTGTACTCGAGTACTTATATCATCTAGACATTTGTTGGCGCAGCAATCTCGATAGCATATTATGGTGGGCTTTGGAGATTTCTCTCTTTCCGGGATTTCATCCTCACAGTTTGTCAGCGTTGTTCGTACCTATCGCGTATACTATTGTACGCGTGCTTGACTTTCTAAACGCGTTCGACACTCATATCTCATAGGGAGCCAAATACAACATCACCAACGAGTTCATTATAGGAGCCTGCATTCTGCCTGGAGGAATAGGCAACATAAGTGACGTTCCCTTTCCTTCCCATCCGTTTTTTCTTCCGTCTGAAGTTTTCACCTTCTAGTCGGCGCGCCATTGGCAGGCCGCCTCTCCGACCGCGTAGTCATTGCTTCTCGTAAGAAATACGGCATCAACTCATGGCGTCCAGAAGAGCGACTGAAAGCTGCCCTCGTCGGTGCGCTCATCCTCGTCCCGCTTCCTGTCCTCCTTTCGGGGCTTATCACACAATACGTCGACGGCGAGCTCGGCCTCGTGCTGAACCTTACATGTTTCTTCATCAACGGTGTTGGGGTGAATACAGTCCTAACACCTCTTGCGGCATACATGGTGGATATCATGCATTCGCGCAGTGCCGAAGTCATGGCTGCTTCAACGTATATTTCTAACTAGCATGCATTCACGAACTGACTTTCCTTTTCAGGTGCTCCCGGGCAATGATACTTTCCGTCGCTGTCGCCTTCGTGTTGCCGTTGATCAAGCTCTATGGCGTAGCCATTATCGATGGTATCATATCATTGATCGGATGGCTCGCGTTTGTGTGAGCCATAGAAACTTCGATTTGCCTGCCTTCTAACTGACATTGATTGTATGATAGATTGTTGTGGGTGGCTATACGGTACGGGAAGGAGATGAGAGGCTGGGTGGATATAGGATTCTCAACGGCAGAAGATACCTAAGACATGGGGTTTATAGAAAATGGACAGAGTAGTGATTGGGTAACCGTGACGATGCGAAGTCTGAAGGGCCTCGTTCTTCGAGAATTGTTTTGCCAGACTAGCTGTAGAGGCTAAAGTTAGTGAGGCCGATCAGGCTACGTTGTGCGTCTGCGTTTCGGGATGATGAAAACCCGGCATTTCTGTACACCGACGAGGGGGTTTTGATGCCCTGTACGGAAACCTGCTTCAACTTCTCTTTGGCGGCTGCTATCCACGTAACCACCGTCCCCATACGTTTCTTTCTCACCCACTTTCACTCTGCTGGATCGTTACAGGCGTGGAACCCAGCTATTGATAGCTCGGACCGTGTCTCCATCACTGACATCAGACATAAATACCCCACGCAGATGTGAATAGCCATAAATTCATACGTTTCACATCCCGTTTTTGAATCTGCCTAGGCTTGTAAGTATGAACTATGTCCTCCGCAGAAACCATTCTTGCTTGACATAGGTGGACCAATATCCCAAGGCCCTGGCGGAGCACCCGTTTATCGATGTCGTGTTCCACGTATACCAGTCTTATCATCTAACATATTCCTTGCATGAACTCGGCACCCGTAGTCGAACGGCTACCTCCCTCAACATATCCGGGTCGCGCTGAAGTGCTCACATGTCCCTGGCAGCGCTACGATATATCAATGTCGCATTCAGCGTCGCACTGGGTTATCGTACGATCTTGAGCGTACGTGAGACTTCTAGTGTTATCATCCCCTTCATTGGGTTCATTACTGATGCTGACATTTGTCACACGACTCGGGGTGTGTTGCAGTCGTAATCTCGGCTCAACAGGAGCTACGGGATTCACATACTAACAATTAACTCCAACGAAGTGATGTTACTTTAAGAAAGCATGCGAAGTACAAGTTCAAGTTCGGGTAATAAGTACTACTTATGTACGTGTGTCAAGGTCACATGTGCGCGATTTTACCGGGCCGTGGGAAAATGGTCGGCTGGTTTTTTTTTTGCTTTTCCTCCCCCTAATAAGGCGGTGTATAGACGAAAAAGAATGCACCATTTCATGGGCCGTCCGCGCATCACATCCTGTGACTGTGCTGCAGTTGGAAGATTCTGCAGAATCAACTCATATTTGGACCCGGTATTTTCAAACGTCAATTTTGACTCCGGCCGGACCTCACTTAACTCTGCGCCGTCCAGTAGGTCTCGGGAAGTGTGAGAAGTACCATACGTGGGCCAATGAAGTACGCTTGCTTAGAACCCGGAGCATAGGTAGGTCCTGGACTGGCAAAGTATTCGAAGACGCCGTATACGAAGGATGTTCTACGAAAGTTCGGTGTTCACAATTCAGCGAGTATGCTCATGGTAAGGAACAAGTTCCGGGCAAGAAGATCCGTCTACGTGCATGCACGCTTGATGACAGCGATACTGAAGGAAGTATTTAAGACCTCTTGACTTTTTTATAGCAACTCGGTTGCATCGCAGGGATGATTCATATCAACACAAACGCTGGAATTATCTGTCTCATTGCCTTGCTCGTGACTTTCTTCTCTATTTCTTGGCTCAAACGAACGTCAGTCAAGCATGTGCGAGGGCCACCATCTCCCTCTATTTTGCTTGGTGAGATTCTCTCTCACACATTTCCATATCAAACTTGACAATTTGAACAGGTCATGAACGCGTCCTTCGCAATCGATCTAATTTCGGAGAGCTGGAGATGCAATGGGCTCGATATTATGGCAATGTTTACCGTATCCGTGGCTGCTTTGCTGTTAGTGATGCCTCATTCTGCTGTTGCTTCGTCACCCATATACATTACTTGTCCAGCAAGATATGCTTGTTGTATCGGATCCGACAACTATCGGATATATCATATCAAGTTCCTCGTCTGGCAACCGCTTCCTTAAAACAAAGGATTCCACATTTTTGGTAGACCTCCTCCTGGGACAAGGCCTAGTCACAGCCGAGGGTACGTCTATCCCACGTAGCCTCTGCTTTTACATTAAACTTTATGAACAGGAGAAATTCATCGTCGCCAACGGAAAGTCATCAATTCGGCTTTCTCTCACTCACAGCTCCAGAAATTGCAGCTGCGTTTCCAAGACAGCAGTGATAAGGTACGATTTGTACACCTGCATGCAGATGAGATATTCAAGGAGTGTATATTAGCTCGTTTGCATGATCCGGGATTCTCTAGATGCCGGAGCCACCGTGTTCAATGTCTTGGACTGGACCGGGAAGGTTGCGATGGATATAATCGGTCAGGGTGAGCCATGCTTCTCTTCTGATAGGATCTCAAAATTATGTGCTTTGTAGCTGCATTTCAGTACGATTTTTGCTCCCTCGATGGCAAGGAGAACGAGTTAAGGGAGGCCTTGAGACACGTTTTGTAAGATCGTCTTATTCGGGGAAACGCTCATCCGAATTACTGATTCCTATCTGTCCAGCATTGACTCACAATCAAATCCTTCGTCGCGGGAGCTCATGCTTACGTCTCTGATTAAGCACCTTCCTGATACTCTGCTAAAATTCCTGAAGCTCGTTTCCACCCGTCAGACAAGACATCTCTCAAAAGTAGGCGGCATGGCGAAAAAAGCAGCTCGGGAAGTTTTCAGCCAAAGAACGGGAAACGATGAACCAGGGAATAAGGATCTCCTTAGTGTCCTAGGTTAGTCGTCATCAAACCATCATTTACAGTTCTAGTATCTAAGCTATCTTTTTAGCAAAAGCGCGTGGCGCGGGTCAGATGAGAGACAATGAAGTCGAGGCACAACTTGCGCAAGTGTTATCTTTGCGGGTCTAAATTTTATTGACATCTTTCCCGCTGTAGCACATTTGTCGTTGCGGGACACGAGACAACAGCCACTACCCTAGGCTGGCTTTTATACGAGCTTGCTGCACATCCCGAAGATCAAAACAAAATACGCGAAGAGATTTCGCAAGCTCGCTTGCAGAACGCCAAACTTTCCTCGAACGAGTATGATTCAATGCCATTTCTAAATGCTACCATCAAAGTACGTAGAGCTGAGCAAAGTTCGGACTTGTTATACGGTTCTGATTTCAATCGTTGACAGGAAAACCTTCGCCTACACCCTATCGCACCCACCCTTATGCGTAGGGCAGTTCAAGATGATTGCCTTCCACTGTCTGAACCGATCATTACCAAGGACGGGAAGATCTTGAAAGACATTCCTATCCCCAAAGGGCAAACAATTTGTTGTTCGATATACACGTATAATCGGTACGCGTTATTGTTCCCGATGATAGACATTGGAGAGTCTAAACATTGTCAGGCTGCCGAGTATCTGGGGCCCTGACGCAGATCAGTGGAATCCAAACCGATTTATTGGCGACGTAACTCAGCCTCGCACTCTGCTCGGGATGTATGGCAATTTGTGAGTAAGAATCGACGTACTCGTATTGGAACGAAATCTGAATTTGTCTCTGTAGGATGACATTTGGTGAATCCTACATCTCACTCTAATGACTCACTCGCTCAATTAATAAATAAGGCTCCGGAACGCGTTCATGCATAGGGTGGGTCTTCACCTGTTTCCTGTTTCCAGCACTGAATTCTAAGTGGAAAATTCAAGTTGGGAGTTCGCGTAGGTTACCTCCAAGCCAGAGTCTATGGCCAGTATCTAACATGGAACGATAGGGTCATGGAAATGCAGGTCATCATCGTCGACCTTGTGAAGCATTTCGAGTTCAGTTTACCTGAGGGTCTGAATGTGCAGGAATATCCGGCTGGACTCGTGATTGTCCCCGCGGTGGAGGGTAAAGCTAATGAGGGTTCTCAGATTCCGTTGCGGGTCTCCGTTTTGGGATGATAGAGACTCATTTGGTGCGAAGGACCTCCTGTGATATTTTACATGGCGCACCTAATCATTTCTTTGTACAAGATTGTGTTGTGTTGAGAATTGAAATTTTTAAGTGCAAAGGATGAATTCTGTAGTTTATAGGTTTTCACATCAACGAGCTAAAAAAAAGAACTTGTTGCCTTCTCCTCTACTTAAATTAACACCGAACATTCTTTCTGAGGTACTGGTTGACAGTTGTTGTTACCAACAATATTACCGGTGGGGTTATATTCGCAAGTGAGGTGCCTATCAAACAAGAGCAGGTAAGTTGAATTCAAATTTCACACCTGACGAGAGACAGGGATAAAACCAACGATCCTGGCGTTCCATTAGAACCGTTACATTTGACCCTTCCACACCCAACCTTGTTGGTACTCTTCCTATATGGTGTCCTCCAAACAACATTCACGGGAAAAGGGAACTGGAACACTCTCACACAGTTTAGGCACGGCTTCGGATCGACGCTTCGAATGCTACCCATGACAACAACTGCAAGTTCTATATTAAGTTGGCGGGAAATTATCCGGAACCGGCGGAGGGTGTACTCATGGGTGGCGCGCTTGTAGTCATGCCAAGCTACGAGGATGCGTCACTGTTCAGTGTTCCAGTGGAACACCGTTTGAGAAAAACATTTCGTGCTCGAAGTTCTAGTATCGCTCCTTGCTATACAGCATGTAGTTTCACGAGTCAGAAAGATTGCTATCCATATTCTTTTGATTTATGCGTCTGTCACTGCAAGAAAACATGCATACGACTCATTATGACTCGTGTTTGACTCGTGTACTCGGCCCCGTACGTTACAAACAAAAAAGGTTATCTACCTGAGTGAGGTATGGAAGAACGAATTTTTGCGCTGGAAATTATGGAGTCAGGATTAGCGATAGAACGTGTTGGATATCGAGCTCGTGGCTCGTGTGTTTATTGTAAGCAGTCACGTGTACGTACCGGTAAATTTTCGTAGCTACGCTTTCCTCTTCTTTACTCGATTGACTAGGTACTCACTGCTCATGTACTGCATCAATCCCGTATTTGTGCCCTGATCCCTCGTGTGCTTCCATACCCGCTAGGATTATATCAACAGAACGCAGGAAAGAAGCACGTTGTAGCGTCAGAGTTTACACACAACGGACTGGACCACAGGAGGCCAGTTTAAGCGCTGAGAAGCAAGCACATCAAGGGTGCATTACATAGTGCGAAGCATGACGAAGTGGTACCATGCCCTACCATGCCAAAGTGGTACCATGCCCTACCATGCCACCATGTTGGGTCATGAGGCAGAGGTGTATACTTTGGTCTATTGAGATGACCCACTTCGAACGATTAATATGCTGGCAGCAGGGCCACGGGGTTTCTCGTTGTGATGTGGCGGTGGGCGAGGTGATGATGAGGTGGTGACAGGAATTTTGTGTTGGCTGCGGGTTTTTGTAACGAGCCGGCCTTTGGCCTGGTCCTTACCCTTCATTTCTCCCCCTCGTTGTCGCTCCACATGCTCCACCGTTCTCGACGCATTCGATAGGATCTATTTGATATTAGCTAGTAGTATATAAGAGCTACGTACTGCTGTAGTAGCTCAGGTTTTTCGCAACGACCAGCCTTTACACCTGTCACACACTGCGTGAAACTCCTTCGTGAGAGTATGTGACTTTCGCCACCCTCTCATATTTTTGACAGCTCCATTGGCTGTTTCTCTGCTTATTTCTATATCTCTCTCTCAACTACATCTGCGCTTTTTTCTTTAAATCTCTTTCTCTCTCTCTTTGTTGATCTCTGGAAAACCGAGGCTTGATCACCCGAGGCCACTCCGATTTCGACACTGTATCTTCTGTATACCTAGTAGGATGTCTCGTTATGCCTTGCGCAGCTGCCGCAACACCGTTGCAACAGGGCCAGCCTTGCCAAGGGTGGAGAGTCCTTTATCCGAGTTATCTGGTGAGCTGTCCCCAGATATCTGTAATACTAAAATCCCGGCAGAATCCAGCACTGCGAGTGCTCAGGGCTCTGCTCCTGGTCCGGCTGCAAGCTGTGTTCCAGCATCTGGCAACGTCGCACTGAGGAACCCTCCTTCTGCTCATGTACAAGCAGAGGAGGAGAAATCGTCTCCTTCTGACTTGGAGGATGATCAGGATGTCAGTTCCCAAGGGAATCTGACTGCTGCGGGTATTTCAAAGAAGAATTTGTCTCGTAGTAATGTAGAATATGATGATGAATCTGATACATCTAGTTCTAGTAGTAGCATGGAATCCGAGAAAGCATCTAGTAAGACTGATGCTGAGGAACCTACTCCCCTTCAACTGGCAAGGCCTGCAAGGCTTCGTCATACTCAGAGTCTGGATGACCTGAGTAGGAATGCAGTTTGCTTTAAGGAGCAGCATAAAGCAAAGAAGCTCACCAAGGAACAAGCTTCTACAGTTAGGGCTGCAGAACGTAATCTGACTGCCAAGCAGCAAGAAATCCTGGCAAAACATCAGGATAAGGTTGCTCAGAAGCAGGCTTGCAACCCACCTGAAACCCATAATGCAACACCAGGCCCAAGCTCATACATTGCAAAGGGAAAATTTGCTGATCGTAACCAGGAAGTTGATGATTTGGAATTGGACATTGAGGCTCAACATGAGGCGCTCAAGAACTGGAACCAGGTCCGTGATGAGATCCAGGAATCACTTGATGGTCATCAGGATGAACCTGAACCTGAAACGCACCATGAGGATGGATTTGCAAAGGTCAGAAAGTCTTCTAAGCAGACTAAAGCTTCTGGCAAGTCCAAGGCTTCACGAACTAAGAAACTGGTTGGTAAGACTGGCCGGTATGATGTTCTTGAGGTTGAGGAAACTTCTGATGAAGATCCTGAGGATAATGAACTGAAAAATATCAGAAAAAGCCTATGAAATCAAAGAAAAGGACTTCTAAGAAGAAGAATGTTCATAATCTTGAGCTGCTGGCAAGTGCGTTTGATCGTCGGATGGAAGAGGTGGTTTGGGGCAAGTCCAGAGCACCCTCAAGCAGTCATCATGGGAGCCAGCATGGCTCTACTCATCCAACAGATCAGCTTCCGGCTGATAGCTTCTTAGCCAATGTTCTAAAAGTTGGTAAATCTAAGAAGAAAGCCTCACCGGAATGTAAACGGAAGCTCAATAGGAAGAAGAATGAGAAACGGAAGAGCAAGTGGCATGCTAGCTCCTCCAATTCAGATCCTTCGAGCTCTGATTCCTCTTCTAGTGATGATTCGGATTCAGATTCAAGCTATTCATACTCTTCTCCATCTGATAGTGATCCCTTGGATTCAGACTCGAGCTCTTCAGACTCAAGTAGTGACTCACCATCAGAATCAGGCTCTTCAGAAGCTTCAGACTCATCTCATGATAGTCGCCATCATCGCTGCCACCACTGAAGGCATGGATCTCATCGTCATCATGGCCACTGCTGTAGGAGGCATAGATCTAGTCAGAAATGGATTATTAAGCCAATCCCTCCTACCCCATATGAGGGTACTGCAGATGGTGAGAAGTTCCACCACTTCACAATGGAAATGACTCAGTTCTGTAAAGAAGGTCAGGTCCCCAGAGACGAACAAGTATTCTTGACATCACATTACCTGAAGGGTAAAGCCCTCTCCTTTTTCATCCAAAAGGTTTCTAAGAATCATGTGGAATGGACATTATTGGACTTCTTACGTGGAATGTTCAATGCTTGTTTCCCCCTGAATTATCGTAGTCAGCAACGTGATAAAATAAAGAGGTGCTATCAAAATGATTGTACCATTTTGGAATACGTTTACGAGCTTGAAACCTTGTATGGACTTGTTGGTGTCACTAGCAAGCGAGAACGTGTCATCAAACTTTGGGATGGATTCCGCAAAGAGATGCAATGTGAACTACATTGTGCAAAACTGAATAAAGAAGTTCACAGTTGGCATTGCATTGTTGAAGAAGCTGAACTAATTGAGATGGCTGACCTTGAAGCTGCACCTCGCACCAAGGAGAAGAAGCCATCACAAGGTGGTAACAATGGCAATGGTACTGGGAATAACAGAACCTCATCAAAGAAGAATAAGCCTAATAATAACCATGGTAAAGGCTATTCTCACCATAAGAATGGACCCCGAAATGGTGGATCTGCTCCATTGGGACATTCTACAGGTCATAATCAGGCTTTATTGTCATCCAAAGGAAGTTCAGGCAACAAACCTTCCAATGGAGGGCGTAACGGAGGAGGTAGCAAGCCTTCTACATCACCCGGTGAAGAGGCTGGCTGTGGGCACCTGTGGAATAGTGAGCAGGCTAAAAGGCGAACCTCAAAAACCCACACACACACTCACACAACTACACAAACTACAATCACCCTTGTAGGTTCTCAGGGGAGCGATTATTTCTAATGCGATCCGACTATACTTCAATATCTCGAAGAGTTTCCCTTATCCTCAGTGCTCTTAGCGAAGCTAAGCTTTCTCTAATGAATTCCTAAGTCTAGGAACTTTTTACAGGAAGGTCGTTCACTGGCGTGACGCAACCTTCAAGGCAGATTTGAGTTATAATACACAAGGGACACTGATCCCCACAGAAACAGAGGCAATACATGCCGAAACTTTAGTAAGCTCGCTAAAAGAACACCACAGGCAAGCACTGACTTAGCCCACTCGCTACACAACTGTATGTAGGGGTTCTCCAACTAACTCCAGCAGCTTATCTCGACTCAAGAACACTTCAGAAGCACTCGGAAACAGATTCAGAAACGGAACTTCGAACAGAACTGACATGGAACAGACTGAAACAGAACAGAATAGAACAGAACAGAACAGAACAGAACAGAACTCAGATTTCCACTTCAACACATTCTCTGAACAGACTTATCACACTTAACAGAACAGAAACAGCATCCCTGATTCGTATTCACTCTGACTAAGTTCTCAAAAGTCTTATCAAAAGGGTATCTCGTATTTCTCTGAGTGAGCTCGCTAATTCTATGCAAAGCTCGAAGTCACAAACTGATCCTTTGTTACAGTACCGCCTTCAATGCGTGCACAGGAACTCAGGGGCTCGAAACTTGCCCTCTACCTACTGTAACCAGCCTACTTATACTACAGGGGAATTAGAATTACAATCGTCATGCAGTACCCAGACTCCTACATGCGTAGCACGTTGCCACCGCCACCTTACTGAGCATCCGAGTCAGACTTCCCAGTTTTAGTCTCATTTCTATAGTGAGCTCACTAAACGCGTGCCAAGAGGTGCTCTCCCGACACCCGCGGGCTTGTTCTCTAGCGACCGACAGGTCTAGGCATATGGAACTATCAGTTCTGGCATATGTCATTCAGGACTTCTTTCTTGGATTCACAGAGGCTTCTCGTAGACACGGCAACAAGTGAGTCTTCGAACAATGGGACTCAGAACAATGGAACACGGGCTCGTGGACTTTGGCCAAAGCCCATTGCCCAAGCTCATGCTGATGATATCTGTCATCTCGCTTAAGGATTTCCCCAGATTTTCAGGTATGACGCGTCACAGTTAGTGAGCGTGCTAAGTACTCTCAGTGTCATTGCAATCTTCAAGGTTTTATCTAGCTCCCACGAGCATGCTTGTAAGTTAGAGCCTAAGGCATTGGGTATAGGGTTTGGCCTTCTCATCACGCATGCCTGTCAGGTACAGTGCTGTGACTAAGTCCTGTTTAGAATCCCATTGCTTCTTATGCCATAAGTTATATTCCATATCCTTGCACCATGTAGCATTAGTGTTGACACATAGTTTTAGTCTGCTCACTCACTATATCTCAGTATGCATGTAAAACACTCTAGATTGCAAAATTACATGTGTAAACAGGCTGCAGTCGCAACATCGTGTTTGGTGATTCAGTGTTAGAGAGGCATTGGTAGATTGTGAGAAGTTAGGCATCACTTTGTAGTGAAAGCAAGGAGCTTGTAAGAGTTAGGAGTATATAACCTTAGCCAAAGCTGGGGTCTAAGGCCACAGCGTAGGCTAGCTTAAATACATGTTAGACTCATACTAAGAATAGTATCTACAAGGGCACATGCAATGAGAAGTGCATCTTTCAACAAATGAAGAGTGAGGACACTAAAAGAAGTGTACTCCTGATGAATGAGAGTAAAGAGTGCATATCACCTGCATCTGTGTGGGACTCCATCTGAATAGGCTGCATCCTGCAGACTGCCCTCAATTGGCGGTCGATTCCTGTCCAACTACTAAGAAGTGTGATGCCATCAAGAGAAGCATGATGGTGCATGTGGGTCGTCGGTCATCTGGGGTGCGGCAGCTGTAAACTGGGGTGATGGCAACTGGGTAACTGGGTAAGGAGTGTGCTGGCAGAATATCATGGGTTCGAGAGATAAGATAGGCAGGTCTGGGGTTCTGAGGGATAAGGATAAGATAAGATAAGGAAAATAGAGGTAAAGTCATAATACTTGGATACATGAGATTGATCAGTGATCAATGTGTATACATCAGACAAGTGAAATCAGGCCCCATAATTATAGCTGTGCATGTAGATGACATGACATTGCTTGCCCAGGATGATGAAACCATGTCTAACATGAAAGAAGAACTTAAGAAGAAGTTAAATGTTACAGACATGGGGGAGATTCAACATATATTGGGCATGAAGATAGACAGAAATTGGGAGAAGGGCACTATTACCTTATCCCAGAAGGCATATATTTTCAAGGTACTCAAGAGAATGGGCATGAAAGACTGTAAACCAGTCAAAATGCCTATGGACCCGAATGTACAGCTAGAGAAAATCCCTGAAGGTGACCCCTGAGGCACTGACACAGCCACCAGACAGTATTACCACACTGGTGTCAGATCCCTGATGTATGTGACAAATGGATCCCAGCCTGATATTGCACATGCTGTCATGGAATTAAGCAAATATGTGCAGAATCCGGCTGCTGAGCATGTCACAGCCCTCAAAAGAGTTTTCCATTACTTGAAGGGGACTCTAGACTTAGGAATTACATATGGAGAGACCACAGATGAACTGATACCTTATTCAGATTCAGACTGGGGAAAAGACAGAACAGATAGAAGATCAACATCTGGTTATGTCTGTACCTATGCAGGGGGAGCTGTTACTTGGAGTTCAAAGAAACAGCCCATCATAGCCCTATCCACTATGGAAGCAGAGTATGTTGGATAACATGCACACCATGTGCTCAGGCATGTTTGCCTAGTGAGTAGTTAATGCTTGCTTAGAAGGCAAACGAGTACAGAATACTATAAAATCTAGCTACTTAAATACCATTTTGTATCTTCTAGTACTTTCTTTCTCTTAGTAAATCCTTACTCAGCAAAACTTGGGCTAACTGGACATTGTGCCAGCTTGCACAGCCACAGGGTCATCAATATTCCACAGGGTATATGGCCCTTGCACACACAACTCGAGAAGTAATATGGTTGTGAGTGCTTCTAACCGAATTAGGGTTGCCACCTGATGGTGCAACTACTATTTTCATCAACAATCAATCAGCAATCAAATTCGCTGAGAACCCAATATTCCACACGTGATCAAAACACATTGATATCTGTCATCATTTTGTTCACAAGCACATGGCTCCAAATGAAGTCAAAGTTCAGCACTGCACCTCAGAGGAGAACTTAGCAGATATATTCACTAAAGGACTACCAAGGCCACTACATGAATATCTATCTGCAGGTATTCTAGGTACTTGGAATTGAGGGGGAGTGTTGGGATAGCAATCCTGAGTTAGTGCTAGAATGCACTCGAAGTTTCAGCATTAGTAAGTGGCATAAACATTTAACTGCAAAAGTAAATATACAGAGTAATTTGTAGTAAGTTCTAGAAGTAATACAACATGTATTTAAGTATGACACCTCTCTCTCTCACATATTCTCCTCTGTACTTCCAACAATCCCCAATTAAAGGTTCCTGGTGGACTGCTTGCAAAGAGTATGATGTATAGTCCTCCAACTTCAGCCATGATATAGATGCCTGTATCAACCACAGACTTGAGTATTTTAGATGTGTGGATGAAATTTAGTACAAACCGAGAGGATCCGTCAAGCAAATAGGTAGAGAACCTGAGCTATTCTCTCCATGCGTCGACTTTATAAACTAGTTTAAGCACTGAGAAGCAAGCACATCAAGGGTGCATTACACAGTGCAAAACATGCCAAAGCAGTCCCATGCCCTACCATGCCACCATGTCTGGTTATGATGCAGATGTGTATATGTATTGGAATGAAGCTTCTCATGTTCTGACTTGACATGCGGCTGCATAGCAGATATCATTGGGCCAGTTCAGAAGCTGTTACTTCAGTTATCCAAACATTCCATGACAGCAATACTTTAGATCGAGAGGAATGCATTGGCATGTCGCAGCTGAACACACTGAGGCCTGCTAGTACTAAATACAAAGCAGAGGGCTGGTAGTGAACATATATCTATCACTCTAGTAATTGTTCACATCTAAAGATATGGTCACTAGAAGAGCGCCCAGATGTGCCACTCAGGAAACGTGCAGAAGAAGCGCTGGCTGAATTAAAGGGGAGCCTTGCGGGTGCTCGCACAAGCACCCCGAATAATATGAACATAAAAAGCATCAAAGTTCCGTTCTGAAAGAGCACCAACAGATACATTAAACTGTAAATTTGAATGGGAACTGGAACATCTGATGTGCAATGATACAAATGAATCATAGGTTACACACCCTAGCAGCCTAGAATTAAATGATGAGATTGTGAAACCCATTGTATGTGAGACACTAATCGAGAATGAAGGCCAGAACCTGAACATCCCATGGGATTGGTTCGGTCCCATAGCAGCTAGAGATCTGTTGATTGTCATTGACACTGTTAGAATGTAATTTGTAGATATCTACCTGTAGTATGGATGTCGTTACGTTTCTGTTCAGGAGCATTGACGACTGATAAAACTCACTTCCTTCCTTCCACTCATATTGGAAAAGAGCTATCTGAAACTGCGATCAAGGCTAAGTCATACTCCAATTCCTTAGAGTATTTGTACCCAGGTAGAGAAGCCAACTGTTTGGTCCAAGGTACTTGCAATCCAATCCATCGAAGAATTGATGTATACTCCCATTACTCGAGAAGCCACCCTGCCCATTTCTGATCCACGATCCCACTGATATGTCCATGATCCACCATGATATTATGATCCCAGAGGTCACCATGGGTGAATACAATATTATTAGGGCTTCGCACCATATCGTATATGGTATATGGCCATATAGCCATGGTACAGTGATGGGTGACGGCTGATCCGTAACTGTACCGTCAATGCTCTTAGAACTAGGTTGATGGTACGGTACGGGTATATAGACAGCCGTGCTGGTCATCAATATGGCCATTGAATAATACATACCTGATATTTGGGGCTTCAGAGCAGCTCCAGGTCCTGCCATGGGCATGTCATCATCTGCATCGCAATAAAAATTGAATTTCGAGGGGGATTTCAAGTTTCCATTGGCATTGAGGGCACACTGATCTGTCATGATGCTCAGAATGTGGTTGTAAGTCTGTGAAAAAAGGACCATTATATACTCTTTCATGAACTCCTCTGGCTTAAAATTTAGCAGTATTTGACAGGTGCACAGGCCAGTGGGGGGGCAAATTATTGTGCAATATGTGTGGGTAGTCAAACTCAAAGGATGAAACAGTAGTAGAATAGAGGCAGCAGAAGCAGGAAATAGAAAGTATTCTATGCTGGTAAGGGTTAGAGCTTGAGTAGAGCGAATGAAAGAAGATCAGGTGGTAGCGCTGAAGAGCTTGCGGTGCCAGCACATCGTGGTATGATGTTAAGTGTATGGCAAACATGTGTATAGTGTGATCTGATGACAGTTATTTTTAGATACATACACGGCCATTGATTACCGTATGATGGCCATGTTTATATGGTTGCTAACAGTATATGGGATGTCCATATACCGTCCATCTCTGGGCAAGTTATTTCACCAGATGGAATGGGCACAGTACCCGTATGATGGCACCCGTATAACCATACTATACGGTGATGGTGTGAAGCCCTAAATATTATAGGAAAACAAAGTCGGCATCTTTCTTGCCTTTTCTACTTGGCGAGACCCTCTTTATCATCGTCCCGGGCACCAGCAGCTCTAAGAAGGGTTGCGTAAAATGAATGTTCATCATCACAAGCTCTGATATGATGACCTGAGACATGCCCGCCATAGATATCCTTTCCGTCGACGCCGTATATGCGAGTACCCCAAGGGTTAGAATACGATTGCATGCAGTCTGGAATCTCAGAGAGCTCCTGCATGATAGTATGAAGCTCCTCGGGGGATAAAGACTTGATAACATCCTGCAGCATTTTTCCAGGTATACGTGTCATGAAGATAGATCCCTTTCGAGATCTCGTGTTGGGAGAATGCTCGCCATATAATATGAAACGGGGCACAGGCACACCCATAGAGTGTGGGATGGACATAGCTATCCCCTCTGATTCACGTGCATGTGGGCTAGATTTGAGAACAAGATTGAAGGGTAGAGAGAAGATGCCCTCTTGGATAAGATCTGGTCGGAAATAGCAACAGTATATTTGAGAAATAGGGATCAGGACGTGCCGGTGGATCCAGCCACGAATGAGGTTCCCTATCAGATGACTGAAGAAGGTAATCTGAACGGAAGTACTGGATTCTAGCAGAGGGGGATATGAGCTTACAAAAAGATAGAAAGACTAAGACCAACCGGGTTCATAGCAATGTAACTTTGAGCTCCAGGACAGTCACCAAGTATGGCCTGGTAAGCTGTGCCAAGTTGCACCGTTGTTGTGCATCCAGCCCACTAAAGCCCACCACTACATGCCATTGCATGGACCTTGATTGTGACTTTTCCGATACTGCTGCCTCTCTCCACATGAAGACATCTGATTTGCTGTCTCTCTTGCTACCATTTCTATGCTTCTTCTCTCCTAGCTGCCCCTCCGAACTCGACTTTTCCTTCTGATGACCCTCTCAAGACGACAATGCTCCTTCCATTGATCGTCCTCCCTTCACAGCCACAAACGACCGTCCTCCCATTCATCTCATCTCCACTCCCTACCTGTCGGCACCCCACACTTCTCCTTTCCATACTCCACTATGCTGCTCCCTCAGTCTCTACTCTATCTGGCCATCATCACGACATGAGCTGTGAACAAGTCATTACCGAGTCTGATTTTTTGTCACTCTAGCAGATGTGCATATCGCAGAATTGATTGGCAATGAGGAAAGGAGGTCATGTTCGGGAACAGAGAGTCTTGTGTATATGTGATTGGTGAAGTGGGAAGGTGGTTGCATTTGGGAGAGGAGGATCTTGTGTCTGTGCATACGGGAGATGCTCTAAACTCGATCGGAGATGGAGGTCTTTGATCATACTCCACATCAGTGCACGCATGCACACATTGCCTGCATTTTGGCTTAGACGTTGTTCTCAGCCGTCTCATGCTCACAGCTAGCTACCGAGTGCAATGCTTATCAGTGTGCTGTTCACCTTGAAATACATATGAGATTCTTACCTCGAACTTCCCTTCAGTCTTCACAGAGTCGTCTCTGCACGCTCACTTTGACTGTCCTCTGCAAAGTCTGTCTGAGTTCGACTTCAAAATCCTTATGAAGCAGAGATGAAAGTTTAACAACTTTGAGGTCGCTGCCACCAAGTTTGCTATCTGGAAAGCACCTGTCCACACAAGCCAGGCTTTAAATGTTGATAACCTAGTATGCAATTAGTTGGCATTGTTTTATTGTTATGGAGATGAGTGGGTCATTACCAACTCGTATTCGTCTCCAAACCTTTGTACGCGTATGCGGGAAGGCAACACGAACAAGCTATACAACTACGACTGGTAAGAGAATCTGTGCCTATCACTGCCAGGTTGGCACGGTTTAGGCAACGGTCAGTTTCTTAATGACTCAAGTGAAGAGTGTCACTTACCAAAGGAAGTATGCACATACTCCTGCAGGAGGGATGGATACACAGCCATGTTCCTACCCCCGTTTCTTTGACTGCCAGGCTTATGACCGAGTATCTAATTAAAACATTAGCTTTCCGTTAATACTAGTAGATATGAATCCTTACCTCTAGCAAACAAGCAGAAATTATATAACATTTTTATGGCTAGAACGAGGGGTTAGTGCCCTATCAAGTTTAAAGATAAAGACACGTACCCTGATACATGAGATACACAGTTGGTACTATAGGCAAAACGAGTCAGTCAGACAAAGGGAAAGCGAGATAGAAAATCCTTACTGCCACTGCACCTTTGCCTTCTACGAAAATCACCAAGATTTCTGTGCATTCCATCATACTAATGAGCCACCATCATACCCAGCACCGTAGGACCTGGTTATGCAAAAAGGAGGCATCATGCCACATGATGTAGCAACCTAGCATTAGTAGATACCCTGTCAGCAAGCCCGCAGAGGCGATCCCTGCTCATTCAACCCACGTAAAGGCTGTATCTGTATCGTTGACTTGCAGGTCCGATTCATTTGAACGAACTAAAGGGTAGGTTACTGGCTGCTGAGCAGGGATCCCAAGCGCAAGATTAAACCCGGAGTAAGGATCGGTTAACTAGTCGCTAGAGGAGGAAAAGCATTTGCTCACCTCTGATATACTCAAGACTGGCCTTTAAGCACCTCGTCATGTATAGCCAAGGGCCCAGAATCACATCTACAACACATTATGAAACAGGGTATAAGTGAGGAAGGTACGAGGCTACCATATCTTGTAGCCTAGTGATACCCTGTTCATCGGCATGCCATCAGAACACGTTGATATCGTTGTATGCTGTAAAAGTCTACAGTAACAAATGGTTTGTTAGCAAACAGCGAGCAGGGGTGAGAAAGAAACACTACGCACTTGGGTCCATCTGCAGGGTGTTGTCATGATGTTGGGACTTTTGAGAGCCACAGCTTGAGCTCATAGCTGGCATGGTCGACAGAATAAACCGAGGGAATGAACTAGGCAAGGTAAGTAAGTCTTGGGAATGAGGAAGAGAAGAAAAAAATATTTGCCGTGACCACACTGCTGCTGCCTTCAAACTCGCATGAAATCCCAGAAAAGCCTTGTCCATCTTATCCAGCAGATCATCTACCTGTAGCAAGTCAGATCCAAGCATACTATCGAATCACATGTTAGCAGGGAAATAGAGGTAAGAAGTAGTCCATGCACCTGTATTGGAGCTCCCTACCCATACTTTACAAGCATTGTCCTATTGTATCATAGCCAACGGGGGTACTCGACCCAATATGTCATCGTCTGAGATAACAAGAAAAACCTTAGCTTGGCTTAAGGAGTAGTAAAGTACGGCTTACCTTGGCGAAACCAGTCGATATACGTCAGTAGAGAGATTTAATGGCGAGGTGCTAAGGCTCTGGAAGGGTATTCATTAGGTGCTCCAAGTTGCTCACTAACTAAACTAAACTATTCACTTACCGTTTGAATACCGAGCTCATTGCTTGATGCCACGGTAAGTGAAAGAACGTTGAATTGATCCTAAGCACCATTAGAAACAAAAGAAGTACTACAGGTCTGTTTGGCTGCCAGGCAGTGAGAAGCACTGAGGAAGTTGCATGGCGTGCCTGATGTTGTGTAATAAATGATGTTGCTTTGAAGTTGGACAAATTTCAAACTTGATGTCATGGCAGGCACAGCCAATTTTTGGCACCCACTGTTACTAGTTATTGGCATATTTAGAGTTTAGAGTTGAATAAAAAACTCTCATCTTCATCCTCTTCAGCACGCTGCATGCTCATGTCTTCTGAGAGTGGACCAAAAATCATTCTGAAGATTACAGCTACTCAATCCAATGTGAAAACTAGGGATGTGCACCATATCCATAGTACAGTGGTTACGTACAGTGTATACGGATATGGGTCCATACTGTGGATGACTTTAATGACCCAAAATATGGCTGTATTCATACGGTTTGAATACAGTCATTGAGGGAGGGACAGAGAACTATCTTATTCCATAAAGGTCAGTACCTATGACCTAAAAGAAGCATATAGTACTCACACTTTGGCACCAGATACCCATCGTCATCGTCAAAGTGTCCATATACGGACAACGGTATGGACACGGTACGGATATGACATCAACCATACCGTACCGTGGCCGATAATTTTTATATGGTCTACGGCCATATTGCTATGGTCGTATCCATAACGGTACAGTGCACATCCCTAGTGAAAACATGCTCCTCTCCAAAGAAATCACCCAGGAAAACTGAGAGGGTGTTGAAAGTCACGTACTCTCACAAAGGAGTTTCACACAGTGTGTGACAGGTGTAAAGGCTGGTTGTTGCGAAAAACCCAAGCTACTACAGCAGTATGTAGCTCTTATATACTACTAGCTAATATCAAATAGATCCTATCAAATGTGTCGAGAACGGTGGAGCATGTGGAGCGACAATGAGGGGGAGAAATGAAGGGTAAGGACTGGGCCAAAGGCCGGCTTGTTACATATGCCCTCCTGTCCAATGAAGTTGGGCACTATAGGTAGAGTAAGAAATAAACGAGTGTAATATCTTTGAATGAAGCAAGGAAAGTTAATGAAAGGATGTATAAAGTAAAAGGACATCACAAAATCAATTGCAGGCGGTCCTCATGGTGGAATCTCCATTCGCGTCCGTTTTGTCGCCCTCCTTATCAACGTAGTAGAGCAAACCATCCTTGTCAGTATCAATGCTCTTTCCGTGATCAGGATCCGGGTCTCCATCTGCATCGATTGATCCTGCACTGCCCTCAATGAACTCAGGGAGATCATCTGAGAGGAATCCCTCCAGCGAGTCTCCTGCAGCAGCATAGCGATCCTCGAAATCTTCATCCCACATTAATCCAGCCTTCTTATCAAGACGACGCTGGATAGCTTTTTCCTTGGCAGTCTCATGCTGGAAGAGCATCTGATGGCCGAGGAACCGAGTCTTGTTGTACTTGTGTTCAGGAACAATAACATATCCAGGGATATTGAGCTGGTGAGGGTCGAAAAGGAACTTCATGTCAACATGAAGCCCTTTGCTGGTAGGAGATGGGGAATTGAGATGTGCGAGGGTATAGCCCTTAGGTCTGTTAGGATTGGTGGGACTGGGCTTGACCCATTTGACAAATTTTTCGGTCTGAGAACCTGCATTGAACGAGGCAGTGATTGCATCATAAGCAATGGGTTCAGAGCGGATCTGTCTGCACTCCGAAATGCCATCCTTGGCATGAGTATGTCGGAGAAGGTTGTTGTGCTCAATGCATTTGAGCATGTGCACAGCATGAACCTGAGAAACAAGGCCTCCAAAAGAACCGGAGCCTGGGGCTTCGTGAACGTCAAACCATTCGCGATTTTTGCAGACAGTGAATGCCCTTGGTGGGAGCGGAATTGCTGGAGTGCGAGTGGTAGTGAGCAAGGGACAGAGGTAAGCAGGGGGCTTGCGGCCCTTCTTGCCACGGGGTCTACGTTCACTGGGCATGGACAGTGGGAATGCAGTGGTGATGGTCCTAGAGGGAGAATAATGTAGCGGGAAATGATGGGGAAGCGGGAGCACAGGTGTGGGGGAATTCACACAACTTTGTGTACCCTTTTCTATCCTCCTAGGAGACTCAAAATCAAATGTAATGGAGCTCACAGAAATCCCGTACTGTTCTGGATCTGATGGGAGTGGTGAACACCCCATCGGTAGGTTACCAATGGACACACAACCTAGCAAGTCAAGATAGTCAGCAAGACTGCCAAGCCTGATGAGCTGGTCATAGGGCATCCATGTAATATCACCAGTAGTCCATTTAACTTCAAATATGGCATGATCTTTAGCGCCGTGATGTGATAGAATCTGTTCAATTTTCCACTGAGGTTCTGCTTCCGGAGTCTCTTGTATTTGAGTATCAAGACA